AACCGGATAAATCTGAATCCGAAAAAACAAGTGGAGAAATAAAAAAATATCCGTATCCCGTATCCGTGGTGGATTCGTGTGGTTGGACTTTTACGGATCGATGACGTCAAACCGCAGCTCGCGCATGCGAATTAAAAAGAAAAACAACAACGATGGCGGACAGACAGGGTATTCTTTACGTTTTTTTTTTTTTTTTTTGCCCTTTTGGGGCTAATTTCAGCCTTGCAAGTGAACCTTGTTTTATACAATTACATCCACCAGTCAGCCAGCTTACAGAGGCGTCTGCTGCGGCCAATACTTTTATTGGTCACATGGTCCATCACATGGACCCGACGCACTAGCGTAGCTTCCGCAAATAATGCATGACGCATCACGCTGTTACGATTCATCGGCCAATCAGGTAGCTTTGTTCCTGAATTCTTTTTAAGCGGCACCAGATAGGATTGAGTTTGAAGGCTACGTGTGGACGCAGATATTTTTGAGAACTAACACGTGTGGACAGATACATTTATTTAGACGGGAGTACAAAAATATCCTGATAAATAAATATCTACATACGTGTAGTTCGGGCCTAAGGAGACACATGTGGTAAGTGGCTTGTGTATGCACTAGGCTTGTGTATTGACCACTAAGCCGAACTGGCACTCTGCTATCTGCAGATCTAGGTGAAAGCAGGGTTATCAATCTAGTGGCGATCCAAAACCTGCACAGGTAAAAACTGGGATCAAGTAGAGAACAAAAACAGTCACCTTCATCTACATCTTCCCTTTCTGCTTATTCAAGCATGCAATGATGTGACCTCATGCTTATCTTGTGGAAAATTTGCAAATCATTCTTGTTGCTATCTTGTCATTCCAGCAGCATCTGTTTTTTTAATGTCGTCTGTGATGTGTTTTGTTTTGGCACCAGTACCAAATGTCAGCAGGCATATTACTCTGTGGCAGACCAAAATATTTACTCAGCAAATTGGATGAAACCAAATCCAGGGCTGTCTTGTCCTATAAAGCACGTCTAGGAAAATGCATGATTGGATATGGCATTACAATTTATAAAAGCACTGTATTCAAGGAAATATAATATTGATGAGTAATTATATAAAAATGTGCACAGAATTACGTAAAATAACATTTCTTTTGTTACATAAAAAGTAAGAGTGATGTAATATTGCTGTTATGAAAATATCTAAAAGTCGGTTGTGGGACAAGAAAGGAAGAGGCCAGAAGCTAAATGAACTTTCCAGTTCATATCAGGACAAACTACTCAAACTTTTTATGATATGCATATGCATTTTAGAAAATTAAATGAACTTATAACATCAAAGTATATCAGATTTTATCGTTAAGAAGTGACACAGACCTGTGCTCCTGAATACTTCATAAAAGTTTGGCCTTGGAGTGCAGAGGGTGGTATTTTCAGTCAAAGCAATCAGACTGAGGAGGACAGTGTGGATGAATTACAGTGGCGAGACAGCAACGTGAGGAGCTTCTTAAGATCTTCATTGTGAGGACATTAAAAATGCAGCAGCCAGATGGAGCAGCTTTTTAAAAATAATCTTTTCCTGAGGCTTCTTTCTAGGCGTGTTTTCTGCTTTTCTCAATGTCACATTCCAGCAGTGAGGGCAGTGTTTATATTTTGACCAGGATCATTTTGTTTTGGCCATAAACAATCCCTCATTTAAAAAAAGCTTCTTCCTCTGGCCTTCCTAGAGGTCTCAGCAGGCTGTTTTTATATTAAACAGAATGACAACATACACACTGTGAAAGTGAGGACAGGTTTCAGTTTTTGAGTTTAGGTCAACTGGAACCGTCACGTTTTCTGGGTCATGTTTGCTATCACTTCCCTTTTTAGTTTAAGGACAGTTTCTGAATCACTGTTTGTTTTTCCATTACACTCAGCCAGTTTAATATTTGTCGGTGCTTAAAGACAAATACATCAGGTTAACCACATTGCTTTAATTACATTTTAACCTGTAACTGAACAGTAGATGCAGAACTGTAAGCTGCATGCCACAGAGTAGACTAAACTCTGCAGTCTGACGTGTTTTCTTTGAGTTGCTCAGACTTTAACTGTGGGTTCATGCACATTATATCTAGTTGGTATTTAAACCAGAGCTCACGGAAGACCCATTTAGTTTTAAAGAGTCTACAATCACCAATATCAGGCTGATCCTCTGCTTCCCTCTTTGCATGCAGATGCACAGGTGAAGGGAATGCTTCTGGTCTATTTTAAAAACAGCCACCAAATACCTTCGATTGCAAGCAAATGTGAAACTATGAAAACACTGTGTGCAAGCAAATGCCAAACATTTGGCTGATGCCGCTTTAACACTTAACTTTGGAATGCTGCACACAAAATTACCGCCACTTATGAGCGTGCATGTGTGTATGTGCATGAGTGTATATGCATGCATTTGTATGGGTGTGTAGTTTATACACAAAAGGAGAGAGAGAGGCAGAAGGTCATTATAGTGGAGACATAATGGAGTAGAGAGGACATACTAACACTTATCCACAGTTTACTCCAATTATCTGTGTCAGATTTATGACATCAGGACAAACGCCCCCATAAAAGAGAATGACAATGACAGGACACACTTATACACTGTAAACACGATGACAGGCAGACATCTTTCCCATTCTTCTGTGCTCCTCCTGTCACGTGCAGAGCATGGCACATGCTACCACATACACGCTCAGCCAGTTCAGAAATAAATCCTCGGCTCTCATAGAGGACTGAGGTCACCGTGCTGATACCTGGAAAGCTGGGCTCGAGATGCAGTCATCAAAAGAAGGATGTTATTGTTGGAGCACAGCATATTTCTTAGTAATGATTCATTTTTGCCAGATTCTTCATTTTGAAAAGGCATGCAAAAACACGGGCTATCAAAGTTCATCTGCTTCACCAGGGTGTTTAGTATTTGACCTATACTGAAAACAAAGATTAGCCTTCCAACCTATGCACACACACACACACACACACACACACACACACACACACACACGCACACACACACGCACACACACACACACACACACACACACACACACACACACACACACAGCAGTCGTCTGATTAGAAAAATCTGCTGTGACCTTGTCCATCCACCTCTCTCCACACATAAATCTGCTCACTATAGCCAATGCCACAGTGTTACCATAGTGAAGTGCATTAGTAACCTGAAACCTGCACACGTGAGTTTCTGCGGTACCACTGAGGAAGACAGGACAGGGCTGGAATATAAATGTGTCTTTAAAGTACAGCATGTGAAGAACGGCAGGCTTTATTGCTCATATGTTGTACAACCTGTGCGACTGTTCTGTCTTAGAGCATGTCAGTGAAGGTATGTCTGATCTAACTGTGAATATGAAACAACAAATGCAAGGAAATACTGCAGAAAAATTGATAAAATCATTAAAAATATTCTCCCTCTCTGCCAGAGCTTTAAACTGTGATTATGATATGACTGTATTTTTGGATCCTGGACATGTTTAATAAGGTGACACTAGGTCTTCAAATGAGTTAATATTCAACTTTTGTAGTTCAAAGAGGTTTGTTTCCTCAATTCAGTAGCTGTCTGTTAACTTAAATGATTTTTTGAGGACATTAAAAAAAGAGGGGGCTACAATATGTAACCAGCACAAGAGTTAATGGTTTCTTAAGGGATTAACAAGAAGGTGTGCTCACTCTGCTCACTTTGTCAAAACTGGTGGCATTAGTCAGCCAGCTATGACTCACAACAACTAGCAAGCTGGCTCAGAAGGTGCAGTTTGTCACACCTTTATCTGCACCATCAGTTTCGCTAACTTCTTTAATGATTTGTTGCTATTTTTCTATCATATGAAAGAGATAAATTGATTTCTAACCCTCAAACATGCTTGGCAGAGAGCAAAAATGGTCAGTTCACAAAAATATAGTTTCAGTGTTTTATGTAAATGAGTATTTCTAGCTACCATCCAGTTATTTAGCAATGGAGTCAGAGTTTCCTGAGCTAACGGTAGACGGTGTTACATTTAAACAGCATTTTTCTTTCCAAATCTTATGTAAGATAAACACCCTGAAGTCAGCTTCCTCAAGGTCATGGGAAGTGAGATTAAGTGATGAAACTTGTCTATTTTTTCTCTTTACTGGATCCTCCTTGTCTGGAGCTGAGACAAATCCTTTTTGAAGACAACATGTTCCCCTTCACAAAGCCACACACATTTTTACTCACGTAGGGATTCTTGACTGTGAGATACTTTGCTGTCAGAAAATCAACAACTGATTACGGTAGAAATTCCTTGAATGTTTTGGGGAAAAAAACACCCGTATGGGAGTTGATAAAGCCTGCTTTCCCATAATACTTCAGTACATGTGAAAATATCTGAGTCTTGTTTTTCATAGCTTGTGTGAGAATAGGTGGAAGCTGTCAGTGCAGGTGTATGGGTTTATGTCAAGAGGAGAGAATGAGAGAAAACAACTGTCAACCAAACAGAAAAAAAAAAGTCCTCCCAGTGTATTCATTACATAACACAGTCATTTATAGTGCATGTCCTCCCTTTTCTCTGAGCTAATTCTTTATTCTCCTAGACTTAAATCCCTTTTCACTTTGCGATGTTCCTTCATTCATCCCATGATCCCTTTTTAATTTAATCATTTATGGTACGCCCCCTGCATTGTTGTCATCACTGCGAGTTTTTGCATAACATCCAGCTGTTCTTTTGTCCCCTGATTTCCTCAAAACCTATTTACATATGAAGAAAAAGAAAAAAAGAGAGGAGATGTTAGTGACAGTAATAAAATATACTCTTATATAATCTATTGTCTATACTACTTACCTCATTCATGGTCCAGTAGGAGCATGGAGCCTTTCCCAGCTGTAATTGGGCAATGTAGAGAGTCTGCAAGCTTACCACAGGGCTTACATTTAAACACATCACCAGAGACACTCCCACCCACACCTACGGGTAATGTTTTTATGTCTATGTGCATGCTTGTGCATGTCAGGTGTGATCTAAAAACCCAGGTTACGGTTAGGGGAAGGTGTAAAACCCAAACTTTGATTAACTCGTTTGGGTAGGAGCATGTTTCGAAATTCCCATGTGATCAATATCCATTTATCTATCTGTCTGTGGTTAATGCAGTGGTTCTCAAATCCAGTCCTCGAGCCCCCCCGTCCTGCATGTTTTGGATGTCTCCCTGCTCCAAAACACCTGATTCAAATGATCAGCTCGTTATCAAGCTCTGTAATGGCTCAATAACGAGCTGATCATTTGAATCAGGTGTGTTGGAGCAGGGAAAACATCCAAAACATGCAGGACGGGGGGGCTCGAGGACTGGATTTGAGAACCACTGGGTTAATGCAAGGAAACAAAGAAAGCCATGCATGCATACTGCACACAGGAAGTGCCCAACCAGGATTGTAAGTGGTGAGTGGTAAGTGGTGAGTGGTAACACTAACCCTTTACATCCTGAGTGTAATCCTGTTGCATCCAGCCATACTGGAGCTACATAAAGTGCACTTGGTTGAGGTCACATAGTCCATGGCTTAAAAGCTCCACAGAAGCTCAGAACAATGTATGTTACATAAGTAATATTCATGTCACAGACAAACCAGTTTGATGTGTGCTATTCTTTTTGTGGGCTGTGTGAGACCTAATTAGAACCATGTGTGAACCACTAACAGTGAATATCCAACTGACTCCTGAGTTGATCTTTTCTTGTTTCTTGCCTGCTGCAAATACCCAATTAAATCCACTTAGCCTGGATTAATTGGTCCGTTTAGCTGAGTAGTAAAAAAGGGTTGCTTCAGTTAACGAGATTGTTGAAGAGGTCACACAACTGACCCAAATTCTACTGCACAAAAAAATGTTGTAAAAGGATGTTACTGACAGAATTATTTCATTGTAATATCCTCCTAGCAGCCGTGGTATTACTGTGTATCCATTACTGTGTCGTGGCATTAAGCCTGCTGGATTTGTGTGTGATTTTTCTGACAAATCCTCTGATCATGCATAGCAGCAGTGAGTGAGCATCCTTATCCCTCTCTCCTGGAGATAAATGCTTTCTCTGAATGTACCAGTTACCTTTGTATAACCTATACCTCCTTTTATCCCAGACAGATGGCTTATCTAAGCATCCAAATGAGTCAAACACAGCTTACATAATGTAAAAACACTTCATTTTTTTTCCGAACAGTCTTTTAGAAGGAAAACTGTAACAACTGAGAAACCTGAATGAAAATGTAATTTATCGTTGGTTATTGTTTTGTAAAATGAAAGCAGAGGGATTTATTGTCAGATATGAATTAGGTTATGGAAACTGAGGAAAAACGAGGGGATTACTAACAATATGGGACTGCTCAAAACAGTTTATGACGATGAACTTGTCAGAGGTCATGGGCCCAGTCACAGAATTACACAGAGGGCAGGAGGTAGAACTTCAGACACATAAAACAATAATTGAACATTAAAACTAATTGAGCACATGCTGATAAAAATGGATGAAAGGGCAATGTACAGTAAAATGAGCAAGGTAATCATCTCTCAGTTCTCTTAGTAGAGTCATATAAGAAAGCAGACTTCTATATTTAGAAGAAAAATACATAATAAGCTGTGTAATAGTTTATTGTTATCATAGAATCCCATCACAACAAGTATACAAACTGAGGGTGGTGACCTAATAATTTAAATGTTGAGTTTAAAGCTCCTGTAAGGAATTTTGACATCTCTGAAAGAGACTGAAACTCATATTAATGTCTTTCTATGATACTCAAAAGCAAATAAAACCGTAAGTGAATTATAAATAAAAGATAAATGTGAATATAAAAGGGAGAAAAATGAAGTTTTGGCCTGGTGCCCCTTATAGTTGGTTACATTGAAAGCCCAAACAAATGTAAGAAATAGCCTCATTGTAGTTATAAAGTAACAAAAATTATTAATTGAAGTGGCAGCAAACACACAAATACCAACCAAGTGGCAGCCCTAAACGTTTAAATATGAAGCTCGTGTGGAAATGCTAAAAATTGCAGTTCCTTAAGCGTCCTTAATCAGCATTTCCACTTAATTAGGGGGGTGCGGCTGACTTGTCTGGCACAATGGAGCTGCTATCAGGGTGTTAAAGGTCTGCCTCAATTCTCACTCCTTTCCTCTTAAAAAGTTGACCAAAATGAAGGTTGAGTCAATGTTTCTAGTATGGCGTCTGTCTGTCATTGTTGGGTAATACAAACTATATCTGTAATTCCCCAAAAGAGGAGCATCAAACCCTGAAAATGTTGTCCATCTCTCCCAGAGGCTCTATTATTTTCAGACAATAACAATAGCTTTCAAGATTACCGCCCAACTGACTCTGAGAAAACCAGTGCATTTATTATAATGCAAATAGGCCAGTGGTGGTTTTGAAAGGTCACATCTGTACATGCTATTCTGGCAGAAAATAAAAGCTTAACAAATATGTACACAACATATGCTGTAGCTTTGAAAGAAGCCATGTACAAAATGGATAGCACCAAAGGCCAGACTAAAGAGTAACAGAGATAAACGCAAAGAAACGTGTGAGACTTGACAACAGTCAGAGCACATGCAGGTAAATCTCTGTGTGTCATCTGTAACTTCAATCTGAGTGAATTTTTCTGCTAAGATGTACTAAATTCCTGTTGTGTGCAGTCTGCAGCAGGGTTAGTAACACACAGCAGGAGTCAGATACCTTCAGAGGTGCCACATTTTCTCTGTGTTTCGTGTCACTCCCACTTTTAGCACTTTTTCTTGTTGTTCGCTCTTTGCATTTCTCTTCCGCTCTGTTCTTTCTTCCCCTTTTCATTTTTCACAAACACACTTCCCGCCAAAAATAACCAAGGAACAAAGACGTGTTTTCATCACTGCTTATGTGTGACTGATGTCTAAGTGGGTGAGAGACTGAGAATAAGAGAGTAAAAGAATACAGAGAATTGTTCATGCCGGTATTCGCGTGGTTACCCATTCGTCTACTGTACGTAATGTGTTTGTGAAAGCCAGAGACACCCAGATTGGGAGAGAGAGAGAGAAAAGCAAGGGATTACAAAAGGCTATGCTGGTGTGTGTGTGTGTGCACATGGAGCCTCATTGGCCAGATGAGTTGTATTCACTACAAAAGAGGGACTTTAGTGAGATGAGAGGCAGTAAGCTCAGGGATTAGGTCTGTTGGGCAGCAGAGCAGCAGGCCTCAGGGTGGGCTTTCTGTTGGGCTTACTGGAAGGATGGAGCCCGTGTGTCATGTGGATTGTGTTGGTAGACAGAGGGGCCGGTGTTTGTGTGCTGCAGTCATGCCTGAACTGTGAGCCTGCACTTTACGGTCAATAGGAAACTACAACACATACATAAACAGCCTAATATGATTCAACTGGCTTGTGAAAAACGCACAGACAGAGGGATTTAGAAATACAAAGCACCTGACTCAATTTCCTATCCTGGCCTTTTTTTTTCTTTGTTGTTTTTTTTTTTGTAAAAAATAAAAGGAGTGCAGGGGATGGTGGATAACAATGTGACTGCCAGGCAGCACGTGGGAGAAAGTCACTGGTGGGAAACTGTATTGTGGCTGAAGTTTCTCGCTCTTTCTTCCTGTTATCGCCTCAGTTCACTTCCTTCAGAGGAGCGTTACACTCATCATATTTACACTGATGAAAGACTCTTTTTTTCTTCTTCTTAGAAACGTGAAACAGCAGTACAGTTTCTGTCAGTATTGCATTACTTGTGCTATTAAACAAACCCATGCAATGTGGGCAATGTGCCATACATGTTGCTTGTGTTTGTGACTGATAGGTTCTTCTCTTTATGTGAGTTTTTTTAATCATTTTTTTAAAACTGTGGCGGCTGGTAAATGAGCATAGCACTTGGATTCAAACTCACAAAAAAGAAAACTAACTAAAGTAAAATTCCCTAACAGTCATAGCTGTTTGATTCGCTTAGTACAGGGGTCGGCAACCCGCGGCTCTGGAGCCGCATGCGGCTCTTTCTTCCCTAAGCTGCGGCTCCCAGTGGATTTGGAAAATAAATAATAAATACTTAATTGCATTTTATTTTATTTTATTATTATTATTATTATTTTTTGTAATTCTAAATTCAAAGATTATAATGCTCTTGTAACAATAAATAAACTATTAAGGCTGCAACAACGAATCGATTAAGTAGATTCGTCGTGACGAAAAAATCTGTTGCCAACAAATTCTGTAATCGATTCGTCGGGTCTTTATATATGTCCATGGATACCGGCGTGTAAACATCAGCAGTACGCACAGAAAAGAAACAGCCATGGCCGAGGCAGCGGCTGAGAAAAACATGGACACAACCCAACCCAAATCCCGACCTAAAACATCAGTGGTGTGGGAAAACTTCACCAAGACTGAAAACGAAGGCGTTCAGTGCAACATTTGCAAAGACTGTTTTGCATGGCTCGGGAGTACATCGATGATGCGCGAGCACAGGGCTCTCAAGTCTCACGCATTCAGCGTATGACACACGCATTCCCACTCGTTCACACGCTCACACACCACACATTGTATTTCTCACGCATTTAAATGAACACGGTGATGTCCACCAAGTTGCACTTCTTCAACTATGGAACTGGGGGAAATCAACTGAGTTCCTCCGAGAGTTCAGAAACTGCGTGCCACGCACAAGCCAATCAAATAAAGTATATCTACTGAACAGCCAATCAAAAAGCAGCATTGCTGTATCCGGGTAGATTTTGATATGTTGCGGTTTAACTACAGAAGAAGACAGACACTCGCCGAAATAATTCATTTATTTCATAAATGCAACTCGCTACAGTTTTTTATATACTTTGTATAACGGTAAAAAAAAAAAAAGATATATGCAATGTTATCTTCATTTTAGATGTCAAAGAGGTTTTGTGGCTCCCTGTGTTTTCTTTTCTGTGGGAAACTGGTCCAAGTGGCTCTTTGAGTGTTTAAGGTTGCCGACCCCTGGCTTAGTATCATATTGTATTGTATTCTATTTTATCATAACTCATACTGTAATATCCCATAATGTTGTATGTTGTATCCAATCATATCATTTCCTGTTAATTGTACATTACAACTTATCAAATGGTAACGTAACCTGTCAAATTATTACCCATCTTTTTATGTTAGAAGGAAGTGTATTGTTCCATATTTTATTCTATTTCATCATATCATAACTCAGCTTTAAGTTTTGTATTATCTGATGTATCCCATCATGTCTTTCTTTGGATTGGCCTTGGATTGTAAAGAAATGTGAATATGGTGGAAGAATCATTTTCAGGTACCTATAGCTGGCTCTGTTGGATCGCTGGCTCATTTCCCTTTAGGCTGAAAATAATGAAACCCTCAGGGTGTGTGATTGCTCTCTGTTCTTTGGAGCAAAAGAACAGAAAATAATCTCCTCTGTTCTCCCCTTTGTGCCACCGTGGAGACTGTCGTTGGATTGTCTTTGCGTGTTTCAGATCTCTGCCATAGCTCATTGTCATTCAGGGAAAAAAAATCTTCTCCCGCCATCCTTCTAAAACTTGCACAGCAGGATAATCCAAACATTTTACTTTCACTTCGGTGCAGCAGTAGAAGGGGTAATGCCACGAGGCTGCAGTTATACATGTGTTTCTTTCCCTTTTTCTTCATCATCTGAAAGTTGCTGGTTAAGGAGAGAAAAACTGAGTCCAACACCAGTTTGTACAATGGAAAAGGAAGTTGGGTAACCATAATGATGAATACAGTAGATTATTCCTTTTTGTTACATGGTTGGGCTTTGGGAAACTCCCTTGGGCAACCTGCCCATCAATCCAACTCAAACACTTCAAGCAGCCTTAAAAGACATTTTCTTTTTGTGTCTAAGTTGAGGAAGTACTGTAATAAAATGGGCCTGCCATTCGAAGGAAGAAATGACCTCACCATTTGTGGAGATACCACTGAATTCCTGTGGTTAGGTACAGAAGTACCTCAAAGGACGCTCATAGTTGACATTTCATAATGAAACTGTACAGTACCAAATAGCACATGCCGTTTTCAGGAATTTCAAGACATAAACCAGTCAAACAAGAATCTATACTATATGCCACCACTGTGCGAAAAGGCTCGGAGCGGGTACAGCAACTAGTCAGCTCGGTAAATCACTGAGTTGTTCAAAGAGTCGCAGTTGCCTGAGTTGTTGGCCTGGGGCAGTATTGTGCCAGAAGGTATTGCAAAGTAAATCTATTAGGCGCTGCAATTTGTCCTTTTGAAAGCATAAAAATGCCAGAGAAGACTGGTTTATTTCCGTTTAGGGACTGATTGGACTTTATGTTTTTATTCTTGACACTTTTATTCCAAAAAGATTTTAACATTTTAAGGACAGAAATTAGAGTAAATGAGGATACAAATGACAAACTTCTGCTGAGTTTAAGCTACTCTGTTAACCTACATTTGAAACTTGAATGTCTTCACTTCATCCCTTGTTTACCTTTGTAACAAGTTTTGGCAATGTGCAGCTGGGTGTACGTGTCGGGGAGGAACACACAGCTTGTGGTTGATTGATATTTTTGGCACACTTCATACAGCTCAACTTATAAACAACGACAGCGTCCTTCTACCTTATTTCAAGAGAAGGAAGCAGATCCCCGGTTATTCAGAATACTTCAAGTGAGTCAAACAGGAAGTTTTCCCATTTAGTAAAACAGAAATGATACTTGTGTAAATAGATTTGGATAAGTGTATGTGTGTGTGTGTCTTTAAGTGAGAGCAATCCTTTGTTATTTTTTCTCTGTTTGAGCTTGTTTGGAACACGATGTACCTTCAAGCTGTTATCTCAGCTCGTAAAAGGCATGATTTATTTATCCTGAGAAAAATGTTGTGTAATCACAGCCTGGATGCTGGGGTTTGCCATTGCAAATTTTCATGAAGCCTTGGCCTCCTTATTTGTTTGTCATGCAAAGTTTCCCTCAGTAGATGCTCTCGTCCTGGATTAGGAGTATATCTTGGTCAGCAAAGTTTGAATTCTTATTTGAATGTTTCCGTGAAACTTTCTACACACATCTCCCAGGACAGACTTTTTAAAAATACTGTGTAAAAATATGGAACCTAAAACATGTTTAAAGGCAAACATATCTAAAACAGAATTTTTCTATGATTGTCCTTACCTTTATGTCTCTACTTTTAAAATAACTTTATTGAGGCCTTATGAGTTTCCCCAGAGTCAAAGCCCGTTTGTGCATAAACACCAGGCAGCTGCAAAGCTGATTTCAAGCCCAGTGCTACCAATTTCTATCAACAATCTACTAGCTCCCCCTACTGCCACATTATGGTAATTACTTGTAGTTTACAATGGATGAAGAAAGAACCGTTTGCAGACAAATTAGTAATTGTAAATATTTGAGATCAACTCATGAGAAAGTTTTGGTTTAGCTTTTCACTCATTATTCTTTTGATAAAAAATACCAGGAGTTGCAAACCAGTATTTTGGTAACTGACAAAGAAATAATTTGATACTTTTTCTTCACTCACACTTTCTACCCAAAGCCTTCTTCATGTTTGAGGTACGCTGTAAAAAATCCTTCAGTTGTGCTGTTCATGAAACTTTATTGAAGAGGTAGATAAGTGAAATGGTTCAGTGTTTGAATCCTGCACAGGGACTCTCTATGCAAGAATAAACACTTTTCTCACACCGCACTGGAAGACGGTTCTGTGGTGAGGGAGTTTGTGTTGCCTTGAACTAAGGTGGTATATGGTTCAAATCCCTGTGTGGGACCTTCTAGGTAAAGCGGTTAATAAATCTTTTCCTCACTCTGCAATTAGAGCTGCATTCATGGACAATCATTGAGAAAAACTGAAATGAACTTACCTAAAAGAGTAAACACAACAAGAAAGACTTTTGGTGTGATGGTTAGAGCTGCCACCTTTGATTGAATAGTCCTGGGTGTAAATACACCACGAACAAAGACTTTTTAAGGACCAACAACTGTAATTCTTTCCTGAATCTGTAAATTAAATCCAGTTTGTAAAACATGCAGTAAATTGTGCAGTTGTCTAAATCCCAGATGAACAGTAACCCTGGCGTAGGTCAAAAATACAGACACACACACAAGGGGCCTAGAATTCCTGGTGATGCCCAGTCTGTAGATGGTGATATCTACAATTTTTTTGCAACTTAATGTAACAGCTGAACTGTTTGTTCACACAGTGTCTCACAGATTAGTCAACCTCTGCCTATCTTTGCTTCTGAGAGACTTGAGCTTCTCTGAAGGCTCTTCTCACATCCAGTCATGTAACTAACCTGTTGTGAATCAACCAAATTGATTGGGTGGTTGTCCACTGGGTAGTTTTTTTGGGTGCTTGTTACTGCATTAAATCTTTCATGGTGTTGCTGGAATCATATTAAACATTATCACACTTTTTAAACTTTTTTAAAGTTTCTAAATCATTTAGCCTTTGCTCCATTGTCAAGGAAATATTAGGTTTTAATGTTTTATAAACCATTGAAATCAGTTTGAAAAATTCATTTTTACTCGTAGTAGACTGAGCACAGTTTTACAACTGCTGATGCTGATATAATGAGATAATGAGAGAGCAAGTCAGCTGGTGGCTGATATATATTATGCGTCTTTTTTTTAATATTTAACAAAATACAACAATTAAATGATTCTAACAGATGAGATACAAAGTTGCTGAACATTAGAGGACATTATACTTGATAGTTGTACATGGAAAAAATGTGTGCAAAGTAAAATAGTCCACAAAGGAGTATTGGATGTTTGGCCAGTCATTGTAATATAAAAAAATAGAAAAAAACAAAGTAATTTTTTTCTATTAAAATGTAAGAAGTCATGTAGGGGACACCGGGACTTGTTGTCACATGGATAAGTTGTCACATTGCAATTATCTTTGCCACCAGAGGGCGCAACTAAAAAGTGGAATACTAGTTTTCTTCGTTTACATGGTCAGGGGTCGTGTCCTGTCTGAGAAGAGAAGAGCACATTCTGAGCTGATATGAGCGCCAATTAAACATTTTGCACAACCTAAAGTAAAAAATGTAACTTTATAATTTTTAAAATAACCTTTTAGATAGAAATCCCAGCAGTGATACATGTTAGAGAAGAGATTAAGGCATCCTATCATAACTCAGTCATCGTTCTGTTTTAAGCTAACTTTAAGCTAGAGCTAGAATTAGAAAACATGGTAGTTTGAAGCAACATGTCTCAGTCATTTGGGGGTTAGTTGTCACATGTTCAAAAGGGAATAAAATAAACACAGAAAGTCTGCTTATCAACAGCTGTCATATTGAAATTTTGACTTTATTCTTACAGAGAAAAGAGTGGTTTAAAGGAGAGGACAAAGTGAGAAGACATGGTTAGGAAGACATTGAATGTGGAAGTGCAGTTCCTGACTTGATGCTGAGGGCAGTCAGGCAGGTGACCCTAGATAATAAATCAGTCCGGAGTACAATAAAGGACTTTAATGTCATCTACCATACCTTGGCTCAGTACTTCAAAACATTCACCCCAGCCAAAATACAGAGTCAGACAGCTCTCTAAACTCCAGAGCATGTTGTTTAACACTTTATGTTAATGTTTGTTTAAACGTTCATTGACTTTTTCTAGCTCAATGATAAACATTTTCTGTGCCTGACTTTGATTTTCACTTTCAGGTAAAAAAAAATGCGAACAAAAATTATTTTGTCCTTGTTTTATTAGCTGCAAAATCCACTGTGACATCTTACCCCATGTAGTGAGACAACTTAACCGATGGTGCGGCAACATGTCACACGTTCACACTCTCTATTTGATTGCTTATAACTCTGCACTGACACAAGATATAAAAATGACATGAATACGAAATATACAGCTGAGACTTTGGTCTTTCATTTGGTTCACATTTTGTTTATATATGATGAATTGATTCCAAGAAATATGTAAGAGTGTGACAACAAGCCCCGGTCTCCCCTATAAATCCATGACTTCATGTACATTAAAATCAAATATCAAGAATTATCTGAGCCACTAACATATTTCAATAGATGTTAAATGAATTAAGAAAATATATAAACCCTATTTTGGGGTTTTGTCTGCAAACCCTAAACTATATAATAGTCTTTTTTTAATTTAGCCATTTGAAGACAATGGGTTGTAAGGTCCAGCTACAACCGCCAGGTGGCGCTAAAGAGCGTAAAATCGTTTTAAATGTAGCTTTTTCATTCACTTTGCCCATACCAGTTTGTTTTACATCTAACATAAAACACAAGAAATTCAAATTCTGGTTCGAGTCATTACTTCATCTGTTGGAGCTCCGAAGTTTGCTTCAATTGCACCTTAATCCATCACCTTCACGCATTCATGCTCTCCTACATTTGATGATGAGATACAGCAGTGCAGCTCTTTGTCTTTCACCACTGAAGAAAAGTTGCCTAATGTTCGCAGCTGGTCCCTCACCCGAAAACATCCCGTCCAATCACAGCCCTGCTCTCCTGCACGGGGTAGTTAGCGCCTAGAGTCTCTCTGCCCAGCTGAGAGGTGGTCTTTGTATGACAGAGCTAAACAAGGACTCCTGACTCTGCAGACAACAGACAACAGACAACAGGCGCTGCTGCAGCTGCTCGGACCCGCAGAGTTTGCCTTCACAGAGAGGTGTGAGGCTGCGACCTGTGCGCACAGAAAACGAGACTTTTTTTCCCCACTGCTTATCATTTGACTCATGGTTTTCTCTTTGTGAATTGTTCTCAGTCCCTTTTTTTGGGGGAGCCAGATGACTCTACCTTTATCTCGAGACTCACCCTGACGTTCCGACTGGAGAGAGCAAAACTACCCAAGAACTTTGCTGGTGAAGAGTCTTGGTTCTGAAATGGGCAGCGGACTGATGTGGCTGTCCCTCGCGCTGTCAGTGGCTTGTGCAGCCGGGCAGGACACGGGGACCGGGTCCACGAAGGAGGACATCCCCGAGGGCGCATCCACCCTGGCGTTCGTCTTTGACGTGACCGGCTCCATGTACGACGACCTCGTGCAGGTCATTGAAGGCGCGTCCAAGATCCTGGAAACATCCCTGAGCAGACCCAAGAGACCCCTGTATAACTTCGCCCTGGTCCCCTTTCACGATCCAGGTAATGACATGCAACCAAAACCATTCAAGTTTGATGAGTTTAAGTGGTGACAACTTTTTTTTTTGCTTCATTATTTGCGGTTGACCCCCTTCAGTGACAACAAAAGCACACAGAAAAGTGAGAAATGTGATAGTTTGCTCACAGTCCGCCCTTTGAATGCCTAATGTTCCTCACACCTCCAGAGGAGGGGACTCTGGGGGATTCTGTCTCCGCACACAGATGTTCAGCCTGGCGGTCACTATCATTAGCATTCCGCCACGGTTAGTGCGAGGCTGGAGGTTTGCAATGCAGCTTGATGATTATCATCACCCCTGGGTGCTCTCTCATTCTGACCAGCTATATATCATTGGCCCATTTAACAGTAACCCTGGCTTGTAGGTCAGAGATACAGGCACTCAGTCATGTAACAGGACATCAGTGATACACTAATGTACGGTGGCCAAGAATGGCCACTGCTGCAAATAAAAAAAAAAAGAAGTCACAACAAAAGTTACTGCTGCAAAAAAAAAAGAAACCAAAGCCTGCTGCAAGTAAAAAAAAAAAAGAAATGGTGCAGATAAAAAGGCCACAACGGAAGTTAACGTCAAGAAAAAAGTGGTGATAGAAAAAAAAAAGTTACTTACTGCGATACAAAAATAGCCACAAAGGAAGTGAGCTGCCGAGGACCAGTAATGATGATGCACCGGTGTTTTACGATCTAAGCACAGAAGAAAACTGTGAGAAGACAAGCAAAGAAGTAAGTGGAAAGGTTATTGTTTAATTTCACTTTGTAAACTTCGTACACCATGTAGCGCCTGAGTCGATTTGAAGCTGAACTGAAGCTAACACTACACTGGCATCCTCCAGATCAACTTCGTATCGCCTCAGGCGCAACATGGCCTAAACAAATGATGCATTAAAAAGTTTACGAAGCCGAATTAAACAATAATCTTTCCATTAACTTATTTGATTGTCTTCTCGCCGTCGTCTTCTGTGCCTGGATCTTAAAACACTGTTGCATCATCATTATTGGTCCTTGGCAGCTCACTTCCGTTGTGGCTTTTTTTATTTTCATTCTTTTTATCTTCGCGGTAAGTAACTTTTTTTTTTTTTTTGCATCACCACTTTTTTTTGCGTCATTAACTTCTGTTGTGTTTTTTTTTATCTGCACTGTTTCTTTTTTTATTCACAGCGGGCTTCGGTTTCTTTTTTTTTTATCAAAAACTTCCCTCGTGGTTTCTTTTTTTTTTTTTGCATTCTTTTTTATTTGCAGCAGTAGCAGTTCTCGGCCACCGTACTAACCACATATGAGTTAAAAAAAAACATGGTCATCACATCCACAGCTTAATAGAAGTTGACAAGTTTGCAATGGTGTGACTTTGTGTTTTAAAATCTCTGTAATAAGTATTCTTATGAGGGGGTGAGGATATACCTGCTTACACCATCAAAGGCTGCTGTCATGTTATGTCAAGGAGGTTTGTGTGCAGCTCTGGAGCGGGACTTGTGAAAAAAAGTGCTCCATCATCAGGAAAAGCAAGGGGAAGTGCTTGAAACGTCTACACAGAAAACTCTACAAAACTCTTTAGTTGTATTTGTTTTGTGTCCTTTCACAATTTGGTTTAGTTTATGATCTAGACGTGCTTTAAATGTCTTCAGTTAGACTTCAATACACTTAACAACTACCCAAACAGACTTCTCTGAGAGATCTGAGGGAGAAAGAGAAGGAGATGAATCGTCAGAGGTGATCGGTGTGGTGAAGAGCCAGATTCCTATTCCAGATGTTTGTCCTCCTCTGCGAAACTTCAGCATATCACACATTCTTATGAAACCCAGTTCCTTCATCATAGATTCAAGCTGCAGCTCTGTGCCCAGAATAATAATTACATCCAAGGAAGAAAAATGCTCCGTGTACACAATGATGAATTCATTACTTAAGCTAAATCATTAGCAGATGATAAAAGTGCTTTAATGCATAGTATTTTGGACAAAACAACAGTGATGACAGAGTAATGGTTTTACGACTTTTATAGCAAATGCTACTCATGCCAGGAAGTAATTTTGCTGTTTCCCCTTTGCGGCACTCAAAAGCTGCAGCAGCTTGATTCACACATGCGCCGTTGACTTCTCCACACTTGTGTGTTTGTCCCTCTCTGCTGAGTGACGTTGGTTTTCTTCTTAAAATGTTTACGAGGATGTCAGAGTGTGTTCTCCCAAACCCCCAGGGGCACAGAGGAATGATTAGCAAAGCACACGGCAAGCAAAGGTTGCTGAACATTTCCCCCTGTGTTTTTTTCTGCTGCCGTCTCGATTGTCTCACTTTGTGTCTTTTATCTGGACCCTCAGCTTTGCTTTCATAAGAACTTTCATTTCAGCTTTGTTTCATTCAGACACAGATCCACTCTCCCCGCTCAACATCCGACCCGGTGTGATAACTCGGTCCCTCCTGTTTGATTTGGCTCACTTTAAATCAGAGTCCGGAGCTTCCCCCCATTATTTACACTGCAATCTGACACGGTAAACATTAGAGAGTGTGTTTGTGTATCTGTGTTTCTCTCGGCCTGTGTGTGTGTGTTTGTGTGTGAAGTGAGAGTGTCAGGAGGATGCCTGGATATTGGGGTCAGGCTTGTGTGGGAAGATCAGTCAGGAAGCCTCCCCCCCTTTTCCTCCATCCTGCAGGGAGAGAAAGAAAGAAAGACAGCAAGAGGATACTTCACAAGTCATTTTTACTGAGGCACAGGGGCTGTGTTCTTCTGCTCCACTGTCTGAAAACACTCCAGTAAATCCACTCAGTCGCTGAATTTTATGTCGCACGATGGGCGAAATCTACTTAAAAAATACCACCAAGAGCTGTTCAGTGAGCTCTTTTCTGGTGCTGAAGTCCAGTGAAAGCCGACTAATCTCTAGTTGAAGAATTCAGCTTTACACTGAGAAGTCAAAGGTGTACTCTAAGAAAACTCTCTGCGGTATGAATCTGAAATTTATTCCACCAAAGTGAGTTTATTTGATGGCACTGCCACCAATCTCTGCAGCTTGCCGATTAACGGCATATTAAAACTCTATATTAAGTGAAGAAAAGAGAGAGAGAGAGAGAGTGTGTGTGTGTCTGCAACTTTGTTTCCAATGCCTCCTGAGGGTCTTCACTGTTCACGGCTCTGCTGACGTCCAAACACACACATGCTCGTCCTTGTAAATAATACCCTGCTGTGAGAGGGTGTGTTTGTGTGTGTGTCTTGTACGTGCTTGTGTGAGTGTTTAATTAGCTGAGGATGAGGTGGGTCAGAGCCCAGGGCCTCAGGTCAGTGGGGGATTCAGCAGTTGTCTCCAAAGTGACGCAGATGAAGTGCTGTCAGAAATCATTGAGACGGCAGCGTGGTTTTGTCGTGTTTGGAAAAGAGAGTTGGCGGTTTAACTGATGCTTCTACCTTGAGGCTTCAACCCTGACCCGAACTCTTTTTGCATGATGTCTTGAGGTGTTTTCCTCAAGTCTCAAGTCTGAGAGTAAGCAGATCAGCACAAACCTTGATGAAGTGCCTGTACTTCATATTTGGCAATGAAGTCTTGACCATGATCCTGTGTTTGGTTGTATTGAGACATTGTGAACTGTCCACCCAGCTTCTGTTTGATTTGTTATGCTGTCATTCAGAGTTTATTTGTCGGTCTCTGAGCGCAGACATCCGTCAATGTTAAGCATCTTAAAACGCCTGGTTAACCGTGTATCTCTACTTCCAGTGATTCTGAGTGTGAACTGCAAAGATTTAGACAGAGAGCTTAGAGGAGAATTTTGTATCTTGTTTTCGCATCTTCTGCGTGACCTGAAAGAGCTTGTCTGGATTGTCAGTTTGGTAAAGGTTGGATAAACTTGTCAGATGCTGCTACCCAGTGATGTTACTGGAAGATGTCGGAGGAATTCAAACACTGTTTGACATTTTGGAAAAAACCCTTTGAAGGAAGTAAACTGAAGACTTAACAAACAGCAAATGTTCTGCCAAACCAGAGCGCTGGAGCACCAAGATGAAACAGAAACAAGGGATGGTACAAGTCCAACAGAAGAAATACCAAGTCTTTTCTGTTTGCCATCACTCTGCCAACACCAAGAAGTCCAAACTCAGATTTGCCTTCCCAAATGAAATCAGTGGCTCTTGGCATCTGCCTTTAGTCATTTGGTTTCTAGAGTTTGTTTCTCTGTAGATTGGCTACCTCTGGTTGATGGTATGTCTTACTACCCTTTCCAAGTCATCTATAGTTAGAGGATGATGGACCAGAGGTCTGGGCGTGGAGTGATGAGAGAAGATGACGGGATAGCTTCTGCCTCCTCTGCATGATCAAAGGCTCTCATCTCACGACGCCCTTTGTTGGTGCTCACCGTCCTTTTCCACCTACCCCCTTTTTCTCCCTTTGTTTCCTTCTTTGCAGAGCAGCAGTTTTTTTTTTGACTGAACCACCCCACCCGTGTGAGATTACAAGGAGCCTGCGCTTAGCTGGACGGAGTCAATAATGATGCTATTAGGCAGGAATGCCAAAAGAGAGAGGTGGAGTTTTTTTGGGGTAGAATTAGAGGAGGAGTGTGGCAGACTACAATGAGTGTCTTTGTGTTTCATGTTCTCATTGACCTGCCCTGGAATATTAAAATGGCCTTTAATTTTTAGGAGGGGGCATACGTAAACCCTCTGAAGTGTCCTAGGTGCTCTTAGTGCGATTGTTTCAACTCCATTTAGCTTTGTAATCGGCGCTCTGAGGTTATCCTCTTTTATCTTGGGAGGCAGCACATACCTGAGGGATGTTGCAGGTGTTTAAAGTTGTCACAGGTAATTGACCTTTGGATGCAGTGGCTTACATAAATCCATGACTCAGACGTCCCATTCAAAAGGCATTTGTCAAACTTTTGGTTTAGTTCCCCTCAAGGGTCTGGATTTGTTTTTATGGACTCTGCTGAATTCCAAGCATCATCCCAAAGTCCCGAAGCTCTGACAATTTTAATGCCCTAGGCGGGATGAGGATTCAGAGACAACAGGTATCTCTCTCTCACAACAACTGGATGGATATATGGTAGATGCAGCTACCCTTCCTTTATATCACGTCATGATGCTCATCTCTCACTTGCACATTAATGCACATCACATGACTCAGCATTGCAAGTGCAGGCCAGGGTCAGAGCCAGGTGAAATGGTAAACAAGAAGAGGAGTTTATTATTGTTAATTTATGCTGATGGTGCCAAGGGATGCAATGAATTATAGTTGACCTCCTGTATCTTCTATGCCAGCCCTGTCCTTAAGAATCGAAGGCTGCAAGGAAAAAGTGGGAGGACATGGTAGGGGTAAAGATAGTCCTGGTTATGGGTTGATGAACAGAAACTGAAGAGGGAAGAGAAGGAAGAAAGAAAAGAGTTACTACAATAAAACCATGTTTTTTTCCATCTCCCTTGCAAGGAAGATGATTACATATCATGGTCTGTTAATACATCTGCCGATCGTAGCTGATCGTTTCCATTCAAGTTAATGTGTGAATTTCCACCGGCTTCTTTACGTTCTGCTGCAGATCGCCTGACCCCGCAGCTGATCGCAGGAGTTCTATTTTTTCCGGACACCGAGGCAAGCCGGATAAATTCCGCACAGATTAACCCGTGCTGGAAAGGAAGTCGGGCACAGACACAAAATAAAACATCCACCTTCTTTTCAAAATAAAACACTCCTTGTTTCAGGCGGATCGTATTTCACACCATGCAAACAGGTGGGGACAAAAAGTGAAAGGTTTTTAGACAGCATTTCATCCTGATGACACCATAGATGAGAGGATGCTGATTTTATAAGTCTGGAAGTAGATTTCCTCCTCTGGAAGGAAACTATCCACTGCTTATATGGTTAGCCTATGTGGCTTAAGACAACTTGTTATTGCGCAATTGCACGTGAATCTGTGGGTTCTTGTGAGTTCTCGGGATTCCTGCTGTCCATAATCCACCACGAAATTCGCCTCACAAACAGATCCGGTAGGAATTGGCACATGGCGAAAATCATAGCTGTTCCGGATGCGGTTGAAATCCCAGGTTAGACAGGAAATAAAGGAGCTGCCTTTAGTTCAGGAAGTAGTGGAGCTGTGCAAAGAGTCCATTCATAGTTCTAATTGCTGAGTTATTCTGTTGAGTAACTTGTGTGTTATTTTAGGTACAGATAGATCAAGTCAAGTAGACTTGATCAGTTGTGAAGGAAAAATTCTGAAGTGGGGTATTTGGCCTTTACTTTCTGCATGTTTAAAGAACTTCCTCTATATGTTTGCTGCATGATGTGTTTTTCCTGTTCTGTGCCAGACATGTTTACCTGACATATCCCTAACTACTACCATGTGTCCTCAGCGTAAGCAGCCACTTACTCCATGTTCATTTATCAAGCGGGGATGAGCACCCCAGGCAAGTCAGGTGATCTTGATTGCAGCTGTCGCTTCCTTCCTTTTGTTGGTGGGGAGCGGGGTATAAATGCTGCTGTCATGAGTTGTATCATACATGCAAAAACTTCTGAAAACTTCTGCGAAAAATTGCTAAATTGGCTGCATGTGTGAATGCAAATCGCTGAAATTTTGTGCAGGCTTTTCCTGCCAGCTCCGAAAGTAAAACATTTGCAAGGAGTCAAGTGAGCAGCAGGACACACTGACACAGTACACCAAAAGGCAAGCAAGTTAAGGCTATGAGCTGATAACACCAACATGGGTGTTTGAACAAAACTGCAAACATGTTTATTTTGGCTGGAAAGATTTTTTTAGAATGAGTGTGTATGTGGTGTTCATGGCTTTTGCAGCCAGCCTCGAGTGGACACTTAAGGCACTGCGGTGTCAAGCACTCTGGCACTCTGCTAGTTGAAGACAGAATAACATTTTCAAGGTTAGTACAACAAAGACTTTTCCACATTCAGCCAACCTCTCCTAGAGTGAAGGAACTCTGGAAAAGTGCAGCCCAACTCCAACTCAAGTGACATCCAACTTGTTGCGACATTTCTTAAACTGTGTTTCAGCCGTATAGCATTTTCAGAAAAACTCAAGTGAAGCTGTGAATAACACACTGACCTATTTTTATGCCCCTATAGCGAAAGTTTGGCTCACACTTTATGTCCAATTCACTGACATTTAACTGGAGTGGATTGTTTCCAGCTGCTCATTGCCAGTTATGCCAACTGCAGGCGTACGCTTTCTATGTTGTCTTTATAAGTTTTTGCAAGTCAGCATTTTTTTTTTCAGCTTTATTACTCAAAATAATAAGCAGCAAACTCAGTCAGTTACACTGTTGCCCCTTTATGGAGGGCTTTCCTCAAATCTGTGTTTTATAGTCAATTTAGACTCTACAGAGCAATGTCTAGACATTACTATAAAGAAAACATTTTCCCTAAAGGGCTTGTATTTTATCACAGATTCATTCGATTTTCATTGTTTTACATCAAACTTTTGGCAGCTGGAGGACTAAATCAGAGCATATTAGATTTATATTCGATTGATCTGGTGCCAGAGTTGAACATTCCCATGGTTTGGTTTGGCATGACCTCATTTTCTTTGCTGTGGAAGCTGTTTATGTTCATTTCAGTCGAAACATATGTTGGGCTCTCAGCAGCTTTGCTGGTGTGTCAGGAGTGACATTTGCTCGTAAACCATCAGTCCAAGAGTGATGGGCTTCTTTTCAGATGGAGGACACACCTATGAGTTATTGTATATTTGCCCCCTGCCGGCGTTACTTTCAGCTGGATGACCCTGTGATGCAGCCTATCTTTTGCCCTTATTGGCACACAGTTAAATCCTCAAAACTGTCCCAACCATTATTTTATATGAGGTGGTCCTTGCCTATAATTTGTCAGTACAGGTTGTCTTAGCTAGCTGGTTATTAGTCCCATGTCAGGCTGTCCCGATGTCGGATTTTAGCCTCATTATAGTAACGATATAATGATATTATCGCAATATTCTTGGAAAAATTAAAATTTAGAATAACACAATAAGTAAAATTCAGAGGAAGCAAGAAAAGTGTGAAGCAACGTGATATACTGTGTTTTAAAAGTCTGGCATCCCTGGCAGTGTAACTGAAACTTCTTTAGAGAAGTCTTTGCCTTATAAAATGATTTTTGGCATGCTTTTATTCTGTTAATTTTTCATACACTTTATAACTATGCTTTTATTTTGTAGAGCAAGTTACCTTCTGTATGTGAGTTACAGAACTGAATAGAAACAGACGAAGGGTCTGAAAGTAAAGATTAGTAACTCAAAGAGACACAAGCTTTAATGATCATGAAATATTAGATTTTTTAAGTGCCTCATCATCTCTTAGAGTGAATATCATGTAAGTCAGCTGGCCAAAAACCTCCAGCATTTGTAAATAGATCATTGTGTACTAGCATGTTCACCACAGCCACTTTATAAGGTGATAATATGTCCGAGTTGTTGCCAAAAACTCTTCACTTCATTCTGTCTTCTTGGTCAGGAAAAGCATTACATGCTTGTAAAAGTTTAATGGTGTTATCATGACAGGACCTCAAAGTTTACAGCTGCACATGAGTTTTTAGTGGCAGAATGTATGTTCCGCATTTAATATATAGATGAACTTTAACTGTAATAAAGTTTTTTGGGGGGAGAAGCCAAACAATCCCAACAGTTTAGTTGTTCCATCAGAAAGACTTTAACCTGATCTATTCTACACTATTAAAAATGTAAGCAGTCCTGACATAGAGCACAGTCACTACATCCAAAATCGCTCTTTGGGTTAGCAGGAAAACATTGTGTCTGTCCTTCCAAACCGATGCTTCTGTTCCTGTTTCTTTAAACAAACCTGTATTTATTGGAAGTCTGCACAACTGGTGATATAACCATGTGTTTGCACTAGAAAAAGAGGCATAAAGATGGATGCAAAGGTCAAAAGAAGAGTTAAACAACAAAGCATCTGAGAACTTTGATTGGCATGGAGGCCTGTGCTTTTTTTAAATGTGTCTGGACCAGACAAGTGTTTAGGGATCCTGAATTACAGACTGTGAGGCTGAAGGTCAGGCTGTCAGTGCCCTCTGCCCCCTGCCTCTGAGGACTATGTTTTGAGGGAAGTCGTTTATCTTGGAGACCACCTTAGACCTGTGTGTTCTCAGATTTTTTATGCCTGCAGACTTTATTAAGCACTAGTAACAGTTAAAAATCACAGGGATCAGCATAAAGCACTCAAAATTACACGGTTATAATAAACTGCGTTCATCTATGCAGGTGGCTTTCTTAAACATTAGCTTGTTGTGTTGTTTTGACATCAACAGAGTTTGCCAGAGCAGTAGCAGTGGTTAAGTCCAACAGTCCTTGGGCCATGGAGGGTTGTATCTTGTGCAGTGATTTAAGGGTAATGAAATGGCATGACGATTCCCACCAGGACACGAGCAAGGTTTCAAACATTGTTGAAGAAAATCCAGTGAGATAGAAATCCTGTTATTTTTAACAACACGTCTCGGTAGTCCTGTAGACAGACTTGTGAGCTGTGACTGGCTGGTTGGAAATCATTGCCTCAGACATCTGAGTGTGCATGTGTGTGTGGTCGGATGTGCTGATGTGCTGCATCTGAGGTTTCTCTGTCTGCTTCAGCGTGCACAATTAGAACTTTCCCCGTAAAACAAAAGAGGCACACTTAACAGAAAAAAACCACACAGGCATATTATAGCGCTCTTGGACTACTCCATCACTCATAAAATGCTCGGTCATGAGCTGTGCTGCTCTGTGGTTTTAATATTATGGTTGTGACCACTGGTTTTCAAACCACATATTTAATTTCTTTAGGCTGATTACTGCAAGTAAAAGGCCACATTCAGTTATGAAGTAGTTTTTTTTTAAAGAAGTGAATCATAGAATCAACCTCAGCCAAGTCTCAGGGTTTAAGCCCTAATTTTTCAATCAGAACCACATGTGGAAACATCACACTATGCTCCCTATCAGTACCAGACTTTGCCCTTTAAGCCCTTTAGAGAGCCATTCAGGGACTCAACAGACACACCGCTACCTGATGCTCCTCTAAGCAGCTGCTTTTTTCTTTTTTTATCCACTTCTCCAGCCTTTCCTCTTCTGCTTGATGTGTTGTCATGGAAATGGAATAAGCATCAGTCTTAGCAACTTGCTGTGATGCATTATGGGAAACAGAGATGTTGCACAATGCAACCTATCAGTGGGGGTGTCAGTTTTCTCAGCGGTGCTAATAACCATAGCAAGGTTTCTACATGAATTATGACCGTGAGTTGTTTTCGTTTTGGTTTCACCCAGTTTGACCCAGAAACCTGTCTCAGGGAGTCTTAGTTGAGGAGTAGAGAGAAAGCAGTGGTTTTGAGGAAACTTGGACCAGTCATTAGTTACACAGCTTTGTCTATGATCACTGCACACTGTGACCACAGCTCTTCCACTCACAGTTATTTGACTTTTTGCAGCGTTTTTTTGTATAAACCGTTTGCACGAAAACCAGCGAGGTTGTATAAAGCTCACAAGCCACCTTAATGGAGACTGCAAATAAGCCTCTGTGTGGAACAGTCTTAATATGAACCAGATTCACAGTTTGTTCCCACCAAAATTGGAATTCCAAAGAATCTCAGAGACACTATGATTAGTGACAAATTTAATGGTCAGAAAAAATTACGAGCCTGCAGAGAGGTAGTTACATTATTTGTCAGCCTCATATATCTGTCACATGAACTATTTTCTTATGAAAGCATCGTAGACCAGAGACAGATGAGCCTCTTGATCCCTATGGTAACAGAATCTGGCCACCCCATTGTCTCTTAAATGGTGAGATGTTGCTCAGAGCCAACACAATACTAAACATTACAAAAGTGGACATTTACAATGACTCACACAACAATAATGTCACTTTGTTGTTATTGTTAAAAGGCTAGAGGCAGAATATATGTAATCTTCATATTTGGTATGAAGCAAGCGGGTGTGTTAGTGTGAGTATTAATGTAAGTATCCTTAAACCTAAGTTTAAGGATACTTAAACCTAATGTGGAGATGGTATGACGGTATCAAAATTTGGATACCACCCAACCCTACCTAAGATACAATAACGAGGAGTAGTTTGGCAAAACGAAAAGAAGAAATATGATGACATTTTTTATATAAATGGTTTTATATAGGATTTAATGACAGGCAAAGAATTGCCTCAGTATCCCATGATTCTGGCCTCCCTGCTGACCTTTATAGTTATTTATAGGTATTTATTTATAGGTATTTCTCTCAAAAATGAGAATTTAGCCAAATTAAAAGCTCATGTAAGGATTTCTTAGCTGGTTTTGAAACAGACTCAAGTGAGCATAGTCTCTGTATGACCTTGAAAGTTAACAAGACCATCAGCAACAGCGTAGATTATTTATGTACTATGAGTTTTAATGCTTGTACTCACTGTGAGGGGGTAGGTGTCAGGTCAAATGATTAACAGACAAAAGGTAAGATGTCCATTTGTCCATAGGAGGCAACAAAACTGACACAATCACAAAGCTTCAAGGTAAAACTACTCCAGGTGAATTTATGGTTTGTTTTTTTCTGGCCAGACCATGCATAGATAATTAAGTTAAAGAGCAATCTTTGCATCAGAGGTCAACTTTACAGGGTTCAGAAATCGTCTTGAAAAACAATGCAAACAGTCTGAACAAATTTTCACATGAGGTATCAATGACAAAGACTCATCTCTATCTCTATGAAAGCGATGAAGTAGTAGACAATCGGAATGAACCTCGCTTTGAGCGAAAATCACTTATTATGAACCTCCTTGTCTTTTCATATTTGTCTGCATTCTTCTCTTGTGGCTGGTATTCAGACACAAAGACTCTGTGGTCGCCCAACCACACAGACATATGACATTGAACTCTCTCTTTTATATTTTTTTCTGAGTAGAAATCCCCAATTTTATACGTCATATTCTGTCATATGGAGAGTGTGGAGAAAGGTTTGTAATTTCCAACATGTGATAATGTTTAGATCAACATTGTCGGCCCCACGGTGATCATTTCACCCCATCCTAAGCCCCACCACAGACCACATGTCAATGGAGCATCAAAACACGTGTGGTAACAAGTGGGAAACGTCATTCAGTTTCTTTATTTTACTGTTTTTTTTTTTGTGTAGATAATATTTATGACAAGCATGAATGATAATAACACACAGATGGTCCGAGATGACAGATTTCCTGCATCCTCTTAAATCTTTGATTGACCACAACAGTCATTTCCTCAATTACACACTGAAACCACGAACACAGTTACACAATTACTCTCATGGTGGTTTATAATAAAATAAAAACATGAGACAGATTAAAGTTGCGTTTATTAATATTAATATCTATAAATGTCACATCTATGGCTGCATGAATGGTTGCACCACAAAACCACACAACCCCATAAACGACGGTCATAAATTTGCATACACACAGCCTACACACTTAATCCAGACTAACCCTGGGGTTGCCTGGGTTTCTGGGTTCTGTCTTCGGCACCGGTTATCACGTCAGATGGATGACTGGTTGAGAGTTCAGAGCTGTCGTCCCTCTCTAGAACGTGCTCCCCATCAGGCTGCACATCTGGGAGGGATTTCATGCCTGTGTGTGGTGTGTGCATCCCTGATGTTTTAAAATGACGACCTGAATTCATGAATTCCATTAATAGGGATCTGTGGAATTGGGGCCCATTGTCTTAAGACACATCCAATCATGTTCAAGAGCAGAGTCAAGCTGCCTGGTGGTCTTCTTCTCTTGCTCTTGGTTGTGCGGGGAAGTTTCCATCACAAACTCAGGTTTGTGGTGGCTTCAAATCAAGCCTGTCGTCGGCTCCGTTGCTTCGGGCTAAACCTCAGTCATCGGACGGCAGCTGGGGTTTCAGACAGGGTGAAAGATGCAGTTTAAAAGAGCAAAAGGCAAAGAGAAGAAATAAAGGAGGCAGTGTTATAAAGGCAGCAAAAATGTGGAGAAGAAACAAAGGGGTGATTGGAAAAGAGCATAGAAGGAGCCAGGTGATTGGCACGCTCTGGATCCAACACACTGAGAAAGCCAAAGAAGAGTTTATGAGTTTATACAGGCAGTTTTCATCAACCATAGTTTGATCTTTTTTATGTTGACAGTTAACAGGACAGAAGTGCAGATTATTACCCTTCAGAGCATCTGACCACTTCCTCTGCACTCTGTTTTCCCATTCCTAATAAGCAGACATGAACTCCAAAAAAAGCAGGAATTAATCTCCATCAAGGATTTGCAATTTCCTGTTTGGAAAGACTTTCCAAGAAGATTTCACCACCTGCATCTTGAGTGAAGCCGGCCAATTTAAGCAGACGTTAGCAAGGCTTTTGATCTGATTAAAGAAGAAAGCAGAAAAGACAATCAGATAGAAAATGAAAAGTCAATGAAACACGATTAAGAGTGAAAGAGTAATGAAAGACAAGAAGCGTTAGCAGTAGGCAGGAATAGTGAAATAATAGCTCATTGTTTTTTGTATGAAGCGCGTTCAGGCTGAGAGAGTTTCTTTGCGAACTCTTGAGACTGAGTTGGTGGACCCTCTCAAACTGAGGTATTTACAGATCCCTCGACCTTCTATCTGCTGGACATTCACTCCAATTTGTGTGTGAATCCAAACTTCGGTTCAAACTGGAACACGTCTGCTCTTTCTCATTCAGTATGTTTAGTGCTGGACACTTTCCTCTCTGAGGCTCCCTAATTGCACTGTGTGCTGTTTCACATGTGTTTCCTCAGTGGGGCTGATTAAGTGAATTATGGGTCAGAATGACAGCCACTCTCATTCTGGCAGATTTTTTACCCTGAGTCAGCAGAAAGACAGAGAGCAGTTTGTGTTTACAGCCTCTGCTGCAGTTAAGTGCTGTAACAGCCACATGTTGTGTAACCTGTTGGATTTTGTTGGACGGGGAAGCCGCTGGACTTCCTTTAGCAGAGCATTGTTTTAATATGCAGTATCACTTACCCTTGAAACTCTACCCTGTTTTGCATACAGAAGTTCAGTCCAGTTAAAAAGACTTGGTTTAAAATTAGTTGATTGTCAAAAAACAATAATTTTCTTCTGTTTTCTCAGAAGACTTTGACTGTTGGAAGGAAACAGCCCACTCAAGAGACTAATACATCGGCTGCAATGAAAGCTCTGAATCCAGCTCCTTTCATCTGACAGCTGTTGAGCTTTTTATCCATAATTGTAATCAGACATCTGCAAACAAATGCAGCTGACAATCAATTCGTTAAAAGAAACACTGAAGATGTGAGCTTCATTCTCACATCTAAAGATGCTTGACGGACTCTAAACAAGAAGGGGTGCATGAACAAGGCAGTCTCTCCACCATCTATCTGAGTAGGTAGGAATTTGTCAGATGATACTTGACAGGTTCTGAGATGTGGTTTGGTGTCCTTCATAATCCTTCTGTTGAGGCATCCAGAATCTTTACTGAGGGTTTGGATCTAAAAACTGTTGCAGTCCCTTTTTTTTTTGATCAAATGACTTGTCAACTCTCTTTCGACAAGATGATCGGAGAGGTTGTTGAAGGTGAGATTGAAGTCACATCACTTCTACATTTGCATGCAGAGTTCAAGAAGTAGTACTCTGTTTAAAGGGATATGCTAGGGATAAGTTAGGGTCAAACACACAGTAACACCGAGCTAGACACCTCCTTGAGAGATGAATGTTGCAGGTTGTTTGCTTCTCCAATTATACCAACTTTAGTAACAACCGCACGATAGCAATACACACCGGATCAATGTCTTCACACGGAAACTTCAACTGAAAAGCCACTCTATAGCCACAGCACCCAACTTCATCAACAGTACATATAGAGTCCCAGCCATAGCGCTAGCCACCAAACATCTTTCTAGCTTTGCCTAATTTCTTCAGCAAAGAGACCAAACACAACTCACCTACTCTCTTCCAGCAGCTGCTTGTGTGTAGGGAGAGCTCGGACGAGTCCATCAACAACTGCAGCAGGGTGATGCAGCTCAAGGAAGAACATTTACGGGGTGTCTAACTCGGTGTTATGGTGTGTTTGACCCTAACTTAATTTTACGCCGGAATATCCCTTTAAAGGAAGAAGATGTTTCCCTCTTTGACTGCTTTGCTGCTCAAAGTCCTGGTTAGGGGCTGCTCATGGTTTGTTTTGTCACAGTACTGGCTATACAGAGGGTTACTTAGGGGTTTGGTTTTTAGAAGCTATCTGAATAACTGTGAGTGTGGGACATCTTATTTTTTGCCTTAGGAATGAAAAAAATGAACAGAAATGCTGTAAAACAGCAAATGTAAAGTCTCAACCGGCTGTGGCAGAAGTTCAGGAGGTATTGAACACAAAACTTAGAAATACAAAACTTTCCCAAGCTGCCTCATAATATCCTGCTCACAAATATCAGTAGTGCGTATGACACTTTTTTGTGATGGTGCCGCTTATGAAACGCTTATTCCTGAAGTATCGCTGCCAAAATTCAGACTTTTTCAATTGGAAGACATCAACATCGCTGACCTTTCAGAGCATTGGCCTTGAGATTCCTTGGTGCTGATGTTGTGAGGAAAGAGACGCTCAGTCCATAGTGAGTACATGAGCCATTCCCAGCAAATTACTTTAAGCCCTGATGTCAGTGGAGGTGAACCAGAGTTTGCCATTGGACTGTTGCCCAGTCTGTTCCATCCCATTAGACCTTCTGCGAGTGCTTAAGCTCACACGTGATCTGCAGATGCATACTTTCACAGGCGGCATTACGGATGAATGCTGTCATATCAAGGTGCAGGCTGGAATCATTTGTTTTGATTGTACCAACAGCTTAAACAAAAAGATTAAAAGGCAGGATAAGATGCAGCTTTTAACTCGGGATGTGTTTGTTTTGGTCATTTTTTCTCCTTTGTTGTTGCTTCTTGTCAGAGTTCAGAGCATTCTTTCACTCTGAGTTCATTCATTCGGCCCTGTTCATGCCACCTCTTTGTCATCATAGAGAAAGCATTGAAACTATTTCCTGTGCGGCATCCAGAAAACTACATTCACATTTTCCAAGTACGTGCAATCGTGTTTGGCGAGTTTGCATCGTGCCTTCAAACATGTTTATGCTGTAAATAAGCAAAGTTGTATAGGCGAGGAGAAACTCCTAACAGGCAGGTCAGGCCCATGTTGAACAGCCATCTGCTGCGACTGTGTTGAGCTTGGATTGATGGACAGAGGGGTTCGCACGAAGAGGGAGCCGTATGGAGGCGGACAACCACAATAACAGCAACCAAAGAAAGCCCTATGGAAGCCTAAGGCCGGAGATATGTATTTACAGTACATCTGCATAAAGTGCATCTGATCGCCATGTCAGCTGTGCACATCCTCAAAAATGATGCGACTCAGACTGGAGATGCCTTATGCATATGAGGGAAATGAAGAAGCAGAAGGGATGTGAGGGGTTAGGTTTGGGCTGCCAACAACTTCTAATGAATGTCAAACATGGCGTGCAAATGTTCAGAAAAGGGGCCTGTTGTAAAAGTAGCCGTCATACTGGGCTGAATACTTGCTGTTGCACCACTCCACCTCCTCTGCCACAACTACTGCTTCACGTGGGATACATGCAAGCTATTGAGTATCCCTGCAAATTTGTTGTGTTGTGTTGTGATTGTCTGCTCAGTGCAGCTTTACTTGACCATGTCCTCCATTCTTGAAGAACAATATCACTGTATTGGTTTACTGAGGTCAAAAGTGCATGGATTGGTCAAGTTACAATGAGACGGTCCTCTGGTAGATCCTACAGCTAGCCACTTCGGGCAGCCTGATGCCCTGGTATACTGTATTATTATGACTTTGAACAGCTTATTACAAATTATGATTATGAAATTTACCTCAGAGCCCAAATGAGGGTTTGAATTTCAGATTTCAGATTCAGATTTCTTTTGTGCAACTGGGGAGAGATAAGTTATAGTTTAGAAGTCAATGTGAAAACCTGCAAAACTTAATGGAAACAAATCTAGGGCTGTTGTGTCCTATCCCGGAGGAAAATCCTAGAAAAACTGATTGAGGCAGGGCCAATACTGTGCCCACATCAAGCCGATAAAATCCAGATTTAATATAATCATGGCCTCCTTGAAATCCTCTCATTCTTTTGTCTCAAACCCAGTGGTTGCATACAACTTGAGGTCTCTGGTGTGCCTTCCAGTGGTATCCTCCAGCAAGACCCACTGTGCATAGTCCAGTTTGTGCCGATCACGTGCATAATCAAGCCAGTTGTCCATGGAAATGCAACAGTAAGTAGAGGTATATCTCCAGCCTAAGCCTATTGCAGCAATGACCTGCAGCGTAATGGTTTTCAGGGGTGACAGGGCTCTTGAAGACATCATTGTGCACAAAAAAGAGACCGACATTTGCATGAGAAATTCATGCTGGCTGTCTAGACATGCAGGGAAAATTCATTTTTGGTACTAGAGCAGTAATGAATCCCTTTCACCACAAGTCATTAGGTGTTCTTGGACTGCAGGGACTGTGATTTTTTCAATGTAAGACTTGGTCTGAAAAGCAGAACTCTTGCTCGTGGTTTAAATAGTGGATCTACTAGGAATGGCTGTGCTCACTCAGATCATCTCACAAGTAGAGTTTAAAGAGTTAGTTCTGGTTTTCCACAGTCCTTTGGTTGTAGTTAGACACATTGTAGTCAGAGGAGTCTAAAGAATACTTACAACAGCCACGGGAACTCGTCCCAGAAGGAGAGACATGTCAGCTTTTCCATCTTTGAAAAGTCTGGCTCAAGATTCATGTTCCGTTTAGAGCGGCCAGACACATTTCCATGTTAGTTTTTTAAAAGCGTTTCTGATGGCAGCAAATGTTCCCCCACTCCACCTTGAGGATTTACGAGGATGCCAAAATCTGGGTCATTTGGAAAAAGACTTCTTACCTCTTTGTGTATGTTATTAAATAAATTGAATGTGCTCGCGGAGTGGAGTGCTTCTCGAGGAAATGAAAGGCGATGCTGCTTGTGGAGAAAGAAAGGAAAATGCTTGTGATTCCATGGTATGAAACGAGGAGTTACGTCCAGCCCGTCACCCTTAAATCTTTAAATATAAAAGAATCACTTGAGACAGAAGACAGGAGTAGTTCAAGAGTCTAAGCGTGCCACTAAACTGAATTTCTGATTTCAGCCCTGGCTTTCAGACAAAGTCAAAGACTCCTGTAAAACAGCTCAGTAGTCCTTTGACATTGTCCTCTGCTCAACAAGGGAAACCTTGTTCCCAATCTGCTGACATGTGAAGAACTTCAGAGTATATGTATGCGTGTGCCTCCGTGTGTGTGCCTCTGTGTGTGTGTGTGTGTGTGTGTGTGTGTGTGTGTGTGTGTGTGTGTGTGTGTGTGTGTGTGTGTGTGTGTGTGTGTGTGTGTGTGTTTTGCAGCCCCCTCATCAGGCCCATTCCACAGCACAGCTGCAGTAGGGGGCTTAGCAGCTCATTAACAGAAAGAACAAAGTGAGTGAGGAGACAGCAGTGACCGACTACCGACACTGTCAGAGATTCGGGGCACAGGCTGTGTTGTCACTGCGAGGTGGAGGTGCCCCCTTCTGCAGTACGGTAAATGAAGGTCCCACTTGCCTCGAACCCCTCGCAAACATGGACCAGTTGTCAAGCATGACCTGGGTGCCCACGTCTGCGCATTGATCATTGTCAATAAAACCTAAAAACCTGAAAACTGCTGAAAACCTGTGAAGTTTCTGTCTAAGATGCATCCAAAACACTCTGTTCTCCTCCAATTAGCCATAATATTATGACCACCTGTTCAGTTCAGTGTCGTCTAATTTCAGCAGCACTACCATAAATTATACTTTCAGGGACTTCTGCGTTTTCCTTTTTTCTTGACATGCTTTGAAGGTGGGGGAACTGTTCTTTACATTAGAGTGGATGGTGCTGATGTACTAGAGTGCATTATAAAGTTCATCTTAATATTCTTCCAGCTCCACTTTACAGTACACGAGTGGTGCAGTGCTTTCAGATGCTCTCTGCTACTTTGAGCTGGTATCTTGGATGGACTTTGTTTTAGTTCACTGTTTCATGAAGGTCATAGTTTTTCCACAAATGGGCCAAATGTGATTATTGAAAGTGTAACTGTGTTGATAGTATATTTAATAGGGCGCTGATTAGCTTAACAGTTATACACAACCCATATACAGAGGCCATTGTCCTCACTGTAGTATTCATTGTTTCAGCTCTTAGCAACGACCTTTTTCTGCATGTCTGCCCTCTCTCTCTATTCTCCCCACACTGTCTCATTACCTGTCTTGTATAATAAAGGCAAAAATGCCCAAAGCATGTGCCCTGCTTTACATATAAAGAAATGATAGTGTTAGTCATGCTAGCTACAAATAAACAAACTTTAACAATCGTTCATAAACTGACATTATGGCATAGTTAGTACCTTTCCTCTCTCATTTCTCCATCTTTAACAGGCTTTATTAATTGTTCTCATTTAAGTATGTAATCTACTCTGACTGATCCAGATGCAGGTTAAAGTTAAACTGCATGACTAGTGGCAAGTCCTGTCAAATTAATTTATCTAACTTTCATCTGATCTGTCCCGAGAATCATCTTATGGCTGTAGCTCCATGTCATTTTTGAGATATCTCTTCTTTATCATCTGTCAGTCTCTGCAGATCCTTTTCCTCTTTCTATCATGGTTAGATGTTTACCACCGCTGCAGTGCATGATATAACATTTAAATCTGAATATCACATATCTGCCAAAACTAATGTAGACTTGAGGAAACAAAAAATGTCATTTTAATCACTGGGACTCTCTCTCTCTGTTTTCTCTTCGCAGAGATTGGACCGGTAACAATCACAACAGACCCCAAGAAGTTCCAGTACGAGCTGAGAGAGCTCTACGTCCAGGTGGGTTCAGAATTCACATCAATCAAAAAGCGAGGAAACGGCAGCAGGAGCGCGGCTGCTTTAGCAGTTAGCATAGTGTCATCTGGCCTTGATAAAAGCAGACTCAGTCCTTACAGACATCTTGTTAGCTGATTAAAGCCGAGCCTGATTGGTGTGTCTACTTCGGATGATGAAAGAACTTTTCAAACAATAATTTATTTCCTGTACTTTTACAAGTACTGCTCCTGTTTTATTGGGGTTTTCAGCTCCTTAGTTACCAGAGGACCTAAAACTGAAAACCTCTTATTCATCCCATATTTATTTGCCTTCCTGCGCCATTACAAACAAGTGTATAAACAATAACATACAATGACTGGATAGCTAAACAGAAGTCTGCCAAGTTTGAATTTTTGTGTAATCATTTGGAGAGGGAAAAAAACCCTTGAGCGAGAAACTACAAAACTGAGACTCCTCGTGTTGAAAGATGGCAGAGACACAGATTAAGTGTTCATCTTCGGTATGTGTGAATGTTAATACGGAGTGCAAGCATGTTGTGTAGAGTGGAAGAGATCCAGTTTCCTCTCTCTCACTGCCTCATTCCTGACTCTGTTTTTCCTCCCCTCACCTCTTCACCTGCTCAAACCCCGAGGAGGTTTTGGCCGGAGAGGATGGAAAAGATGCTCTTTGGAATTTACATTTTTTCCTGGAATTGAAATTCTTCCAGTATAACAGACGTTGGGTTTAAATAGCGAGGATGTGAGGTAACGCTTAATGTTTTACTTCTAAGCACACAGTAAGGCTGTCAGGCTCAGTCAAGAGGTCAGTCTATCAGTGAAGGATTGGATCTAGGGGGTTAAAAGGCAGGCTGTTCCTGTATCTTCAGCTTCCGCCCCCTCGGCCTGAAATCATGGGTCACTCCATTCCAGATGTTAATCATGAGGGTGATGAATCCTTGCAAACTATTGAACCCTGCAGAAGAATCGCTTCGTTTTTGTGGGAACGCTGCAGAAAACATTCACCTTTGGCCCGCCAAGAAGACAGAATCATTCCCAAGTTTGGGGGAAAATAGACAAATTGAACATTTGTATGTGCTGCCATGCAATGCTTAACTGTTTTTGTTTCTCCTTGTGGTGCAGGATTCTTTATGCACCATCTAACATCCAAGTAGTTAGAGGTTCTCAGAGACCAACAGCCTCATATTGCTCTCACACCAGATGCAAATGAAATTATTAATTTGCTAGATTTGCATGTATCTGAAACAAATGCATTATAATCCACAGGTGAGTCTAATAAAAAGGTCATGTGTTACAAAGCAGTGAGAGCAGTGCGTGCTAAACTAACCTATCAGCTGAACTACCCAGAGAGCTTTACAAACCCACAAAAGCATTAAAGACACGTACATGCTCACACTGTTTGCTGATGATACTCTCTTCTTTCTCAGGGAGGAGGGGACTGTCCAGAGATGAGCATCGGTGCCATTAAGATCGCTCTGGAGATCTCCTTGCCCGGCTCCTTTATTTACGTCTTCACGGACGCCCGTTCCAAGGATTACAAGCTGACCCATGAAGTTCTGCAGCTCATTCAGCAGAAACAGTCCCAGGTTTGGATTTTACTGCCACATACAGCATACTGTGTGCAAGAATAGGACGAAGTGTGAATGTTTTTATAAACCTTTGTGGGGTTGTGTAGGTGGTGTTTGTTCTGACAGGTGACTGCGATGATCGGGCCCACATCGGATACAAAGCTTATGAGGAGATCGCTTCCACCAGCTCTGGGCAGGTCTTCCATTTAGACAAGAAGCAGGTCAATGAGGTAAGTGAATCTCTCAGTGGAAATTTGCTGCTAAACTTCTGCTCTCTTTTCTTTCTTCTCTTTTTTGGAAGAAGTTTTCAGGTTTCAGGGTTTGAAGAAAGACTTAAAAGGCATGCTTTGGTCATACAGTATTTCAATCTTTCCAGCTTGGCCGGGCTCTTTCTCTATGCTGTGTAAATTAAATAACAGTAGAAGGTTTTACAGTCTCTCTTGTGTTTTGCTGTGCCTATGTCGAAGTCTGGACTCCAGATCAAATGTGCAGGAAACATTTAATTGATTGATGTATACCTGAGCTCTTTTTAACCTTTCCAAGTCATGTAAATCAGTGGTATTGGAGTGCATGCTGTTTTCTTTACGTAAGATAATAGTTTTCTCCAAGAGAGGAAGGAGTTCAAGATTTTAAGACTACATCATCACTTTCTCCTTCACTCCTAATACTTAGAAAGAAAAAAGTTTGAAATACTCTTCGATTGAATTTCTTAACCTGATTTACTTGTTTTGGGTTTTTTTTTTTCAAAGAATATGATCGAAATATGAGTACAAAAATGTGTAGATGGATGAACTCAAAGGTGGATTTGTGGCATTACAATTGTCTGTGAGGTGAAATCTTACTTGGTCTGGGTGTCCAACAGTAGCTACTAAGTTCTCCATGGGAACAGGGGGAGACATGAAAGGGGGAGACACGGGGGAATGTAAGAAACTTCCTGATTAAAGCTTTGCACATGTTGAGGGGATGACCTTGTGAGCAGCTGAGGGGGTAAAAGTGTGCGTGTGTATGTGTCTTTGTGAGTGCATTGTTGGGTGGTTATTAAAGGTTAAAAGGGAGGAGAGGACCTCTTTTAAGATAAGTGCTGTCTTATTCTTATTCTTCTTTAAACATAAAAGCTGTAAATCTCTGGTTTACTTACTGCTACAGAAAAATAATTGTAAATCCTACAATGTTTAAATCTCCTATTTGTCACCTTAGGTTCTGAAATGGGTGGAAGAGGCGGTGCAGTCGTCCAAGGTCCACCTGCTGTCCACAGATCACTTCGCTGGGGTCAGCAACACCTGGCAGATGCCCTTTGATCCCAGCCTGAAGGAAGTCACTGTGGCACTCAGCGGCCCGGCGCCCAACATCGAGATAAAAAACCCTCAGGGTATGATCGATGTTGGCGTACACTCTGGGCTGTCAGCGAGATTCCAGAAATTCTTTAATTTGTTAACGTGATAAGCTGTTCACAAGAGTAACAGAAAAACACCGGACAGCAAATAGAAATGAGTCCTAACACGTTATAACACGTCTCTTCGGTCAAATCAGTTCCTTTTTTTCTCAGTTTTCATCTAGCTATGGTCATTTCATTCATAGAGACGGCGAAATGAAAGCCATCCTCAGACTCAGGGTTATACTGTTCTTTTGTTGTTGTTTTTTACAGTTAGCAGCATTTTGCACAAATACCAGCACAGTAACGAGGTTAACTTAAGAGGTGCTGTCCTACAAACACAAGCTTTTCTAACATACCACGGTACTCCATCTTATTATTTTGACAACTAGCGCCAATATTGTACATGTAACCTGCAGCCATGCATCAACAAGTGTTAAAGCCTCATTTGTATCAGTCGAAGCTGTGGAAAACATGAGTAGTTGTCTCACTGTTCATGTTTGGCCTCCAGGGAAGCTGGTGGGGAAGAGTGATGGCCTGACTGAGCTCCTGCACATTCCCAACTCTGCCAAAGTTGTCAACATCAAGGACCCGCAGCCCGGGATGTGGTCTATCAAGGTAAACAATTCATACTTAAACTGGGAATGTGTGTAAAATTACAGGCTGCCCCAACAATTCCCAGAGCGGAGCTGTCTGTTCGAGACTTACTGCGGACGGTTAAGTGGTACAGCTTTGGAATGAGGTCACAGCTGACACCCTAAAGAGGACGCTTTGGCCCTTGAGGACGGTCTTTAAGTTGATATATTATTGAAGTCATATATCAGGGTTTTGAGTCACAGTGTTGTCTAATCAATTTAACACACATGATGTCTGGTGAAATCATCTCAAAGCGGACTGATCACACAGGCGCAGTCTTAGCTGACATGGTTTTTAGGACAGTCGTGATGGATGAGGATTAAGTAGTTCAGGGCCACTGCTGTCAACACTGAAATGTAGCTTTTTGTTTTGGGGGCACCTTCGCTGTTGTGTTCCCACTGCAGACTGGAAACTGTCTGCACCCTGCTGTCCAGGTGAGAAAAGAAGGTCACACATTTGACTGCCTGCACTGTCAATGCCAGATGCTGGGAAATGACAAGCATTTTTACCTGAGTGATTTGTTGAAGGGCCTCGATGGCCCCTGTATTCTGCGAAGGCTCCTGCTGGGACACTTTCCCTCATCTCTGCATAGCTGTGTTATATATTAGAGCCAGTTTGATTTACAGGGAAAGAAATTAGATGGAAACTGTGTCATCTGTGTGTTCCCTTCACAGAAAAATTGCACTTGAGCAGATGGGGATGCATGTAGTCTTGAGTGTTTTGCATATTTGTTTCAAGTGCTGAAAGATAGGATTGTCTGTTTTAACAGTCTCTCTTCAGTTTGCATATTTTTAAAGCACAAGGCATCCTTTTCCATCATTTCCAAATCCAAAATATGAATGAATGAGCTTCTTATTGTAATTTAATTATTGTAACTTTTTTCTGTGCCTCTCAGCTAGGACAGGGAACAGGTCATATAAAGGATGGAATAAACTGAGATTGTGGTAATAAGAATAATATTACAAGAGTAAAATCATCATTTTACAAAAACATTAAGTTGTAGGAGAAGAAGTTGTACATTCACAAGGAGAAGTCATAAATTAATTTTCATGATTTAGGCCAGGAATTGATGATGAAAAAGTTCTACATTTACGAGAAAGAAACCATTATCTTGCAAGAATGAGGTTGTGATTTTATTTTGAAAATCATTATTGTATACTTTGGTTTATTTGTATGAAAAAAATAACAGATAGGGAGAATTATTTGATCAGTAAACAGCCACCTTAACTAAAAAAGGCGTGTAGATCGTCTTGTGAAGTTGAACTCAACAGATGAGAGCAAACAGCGGTTGCAGAATTCTGCTTAGGCTTAGTCCTGATTCCTTTTGACAATTTGGTGCTGATTGGATATAAGACTCTCTATGCAATGCATGATTTTAATATCAAAGGATGCTCTATGTAACTCAGTTTTACACAGCTGCTCTTCTGGTTGTCCCATTTAAAATAAAGACTAACCATAGCATAATAAAGTACGACTTTACTTTCATAATCTCTATTTCTATTGCCTCTTTTATGTGTTTCTTACACTCCATCGCACCAAACTCGGATCAGAGGAGAAAAGATTGTTTCTGGAAAAGATGGGACTGAAATTGGTTACTGTATAAAGTGAAACATGGCCTTTCCAGCTGTGTCTGCACTTAACCTCTGGGTTAATCTCATGCTGTGGTCTGTGACTAAACTCTGGTGTCAGAATCCTTCTTCCTCTTTTCACAGAAAAACTGCTATTTGTTCCACATTCCTGGCTTGCTTTGTCTTTGGGTTTGACAGTACCTAGAAATCACTCATCGTTATGTTGCATTACCCTTGGCAGACCTTTTTAACTTATAAGTGATAAATTCGGGTTACTTGACAGAGGAAATTCAGGGATCTTCTGTTTATTATCAAATTGGATCTACTCCTGTGCTTATAGATTATTAATGTTGTGTCTTTCATGCTTATAAAAGTGTTGAAGAATATCAAGCAGATGTTAAAAATAAGAAATTACATCCTTTTGCCATATTTCTACCTCTAGTTTGCCTTGTTTCCACCTCCCTGATGATCTATCATCATGAGTCTCTCCTTCACTTCATTCTTCTTCTTGTCTGCTTCCCTCGTGCATCTTCTTCTTAAGATATTTACTCCCCTAATTCTTCCTCAGAAGAACACTTTCACAGTCTCTCTCTTCAGCCCAAGTACATCTTGTTTTGCCAATTTTTTCCTCTTGGACATTGGCTTTTCCAGGTCCAGTCTCCCCCTCAGCACTTTATCAGACTTGCAAAACTAAAAATATCCCCCTCTCATGTGCAGCCGTGTTTCCCAGGGCAATTGACAGAAATGTGGAGAAATAGTTTAGGGGGTTTACACTGTTCTGCCATGCTGGTTTTCAGAAAGGCTAATGGCCCGTGAAACCCCAGTGTAAGGCCCTGGCCATAGATTGTGTTTGAAGAGGAATTTGATCCTTTTTAATCTGCCTTTAATTGGATGTTGTGTGTAAAAGGTGGGCGTACTTCACTCATACTCCCTGCTCCTATACAGTTTTGCCCCAAATTTCCTCTGTCGATAGATGACATTGTTCTAAACTCATCAAAACTATACAAAGTGCTAATTTTTGCTAGTACAGTATACTGCTCTTGGTTTGATTGAATCTTCATGTCTGTTTTTGTTCCAATACTATCTTTTCACATCATGCATGTATTGCTGTGATCTTACTGATAAACAAACAAGGGTTTACATTAGGGCCTCAAATCAAACGATATATTGAGCAGTTCACCTCGATAACGATAAATGGATCATAACTACTCCACACGCTGCTCAGCCCCTCCCACATCAACTTCGTCTACTTCAGCCGCTACAGCAGCTACAACCTTTTGAACTGTCCTCCATCTCCTCACCTGTCTTTCCCTCTTTGTTACACACTGGATGGGGTGGAGTCACGTTTCCGATGAAGGACAGTGTCTTAAAGGGACATAAGACCATAGCCTACCTACACACATCCAATTATTTTTGACGCCGCATATATTGACATGGGCAAAATTACGTTGGTTATTGTCGTAAATTTTTGGTTTATCACCCAGCCCTAGGTTACATTATTGTTCTTAACCCATGATCAGAGTGTGGATGAGTTTTCATTTTAAAGGCATACGAACAGCTCAAGTGTTATCAATCTTAACAGAATTTTAGTTTTTAGGGCACGTTTTCATCCGATCATGATTTTGAACAGTCACAGGAGCTGATTCTGGTAACAGTATATCTGAGACCTGGGCTGGTCAATCTGTGTGGTTGGGTGTGAAACTAGGAAATAAGAGGCTTTAACTTGTAATTGTCTCACCTTTGGTAACAGCCTGACCTTTAGGGGACCTCTCCCCTTATTATGGCCTCATTCACAACTAACTAAAGACCAAGGATAGTTCTGTGAAGGCTATGAGGGCAGGTCTGATGACCACAGCAGGTATTGTTTTTTTATTGATTGCAAACAAAGGCACTCCTGCAGCTACCTCATTGCTGTATCTCTGTTGTCTGTGTTCTGTCTCCTGTTTGGTTCAGTCGGCTGTTCCCAGAGAATTGAAGTTTATATCAGGTAGGGCTCGGTAATTGTAAAATGCAGCAAACCTGCACGTTCTCTGTCATTTCAGGCAATTGCAAATGACAGTTTAGGTTTGCATGCCTCGCTTTGCCTTGTGAGTCAATGTCTGTGACACCTCTGAAGTGTCTAACCTAAGGTGAGGAGTTTCCACCTCTCACCAACCTATATTTCATTGTAATTACTCTGTCTGTGCGCCGTCAAAGCTTCACAAGACCTCCACATGATGAAGACAAGATGAGGCATTAGCTACTGTTGGATTATAGTGGTTGTGTTCGTTTAATTGAGGTATGGATGTCAGACTGAATGGGTCATCTCTGGATTGTGGAGAGTAAGATATTCAGCCTTGACTAATTTCAAGTGGCTTGTCTCTACATGTGGGGCTGGCTGGCACACAAAAGGATGTTACACAACAGTACCAGTGGTGTGTGTCTGTCATTTACACTACTTAGGGGCTTCCTTTGATGCTTCAGCTCGTCTGTGTTCTTGAGTTTTATAAAACTTAACACAGCAGACTGTCAGCTTTGGGTTTCATAAAAAGAAATGAAGGCAAATGCTTTTATTTAACATATGAGTATACTGCTTAAGAAATCAAGCTGTAGCTCTGAAAGTGTGTGTTTTATTTGGATGGACATTGACACAAAACTGTACCATGAGGATTTAAGTAGAAAGACACATGTCCTGACTATTACTTTTAGACTAACACATCCGTAAATCTATGTGTCCCCTTTCTGTCATACAGACCTCGAGTGAAGGGAGACACTCAGTTCGAATCTCAGGCCTCAGCACCATTGACTTTCGAGCGGGGTTTTCCAGAAAGCCCACCCTAGACTTCAAAAAGACCTCCAGCAGGCCAGTTCAAGGTGAGTGAGGTCAACCTAACCGAATAGTAAAACCACCACAGCTGTCGTCTGCTTTTCCTTTCACCTGTTGCATTCACTAGCATGTTTTAGCTTCGGGAAAGCCAAGTATAAACTGTATGCTTCAACCCTTTCCAGGTATTCCCACTCACATCCTGCTGAACACCACCGGGCTTTCCCCTCCTGCTCGGGCTGACAGGTTAGAGTTGCTGTCAATCACGGGAGAAGTGATTAAAACGCTGCCAATCCGCTTCTACGCTGACCGCCAGCCGTACGGCCTGTGGAACATCACAGAGTTCATCCCACCCAACGAGGCCTTCTTCCTGAGAGTGACAGGATATGACCTGGACGGGTTTGTGTTCCAGAGAGTCTCCAGTGTCTCCTTCTCCAGTATCAAACCTGGTCAGTGAAGCAGGTTTTCATCCATGTTTCCACAAAGATCCGACAGACTGCACGGAGGTTTGATTGATCGGCAGCTTGATTGTTTTGCTTTGATTGCTGTTTTCTTTCTCTCCCTTTTAGACGCCCCAAAGGTGCAGATGCCAGCGACAACTCACGGCTACTACCTCCAGAGAGGGACTGTCAGCTGCCAGATAGAGAGCCTGATCCCTTTCACTCTGCGCTTCAGCAGAGATGGCAGGCGCCTTGGGGTTGACCAGCTCTTCAGGTATGCAGACCTTTGCATTGCAACCAAATTCTCAAATTTCATGAAAGGGTTTAAAATCCACTCAGCATTTTGCACCCTTTTTTAATCAACATATGTTTACAGCACCAATCACTTCACTTACTGCTTAATATTCCAGTTTCTACACACTGAATATTTGAGAGTATCCTTTATTCACACTAAAAAAATGTTATAGCCACTATACCAAAGTAACCAGCGCTCCACATCAAAACAAGAATGACATTATATAATGCGAGCTGAGGTCATGTTAATCAAGGGTCTCTCCCAGATAGGCTAGACTTGCAGCACGGACTCGTTTATTACTGAATTTAACCATCAGTATCTGCTTGACTTACCGCTGTCCGACTGTGATTTTACTTCTTCCTGTATTTTCTTTTGTCTTTTCTTATTTCCACATGTGTAATTCCTCTTCATTTTTCAGTGATCATTATCATTATTATTATTGAAAAACTGATAAACATGACGCATGTTGTAGTAAATTGCAAGTGCTTGCTGTCAGATTCGGTCCCCTAAAGGAGGTGACCCACTGTCATTGTGGATTTGCACATTTTAAGCCACTGCTGTGGTTCCAAGTGTCATCTGTCTGGGGTCCACGACTCACTTGGGGCCCGAGCAGTTGCCTGTCTTGACTGTTGACAAGCTTCACCTCTTGCCATCAATAAACTTAAGTGGTCGTCCTGCTTCGCTTAAGGTTTTAGGGCAAAACCCAAGACTGGTATATTTCATAATTTCACTCACAAATTTGACTAGATTCAAAAAAAGGTAAATGTTTCACCGTCTTCATTTCCAGTGAGTCAGACAATGCGACATGGGAAATACCCCAGGTGACTCTTAAAGATGAAGGCTACTATGAGTGTGTCGCCATCAGCAGTGCTGGGACAGGAAGAGCTCGCACCTTTTTGGACGTATCAGGTAAGCGCACTTACATTGAGTATTTGACTTCATCATGGGGTGATATAACTCTGTTTTAATCCATTTAAACCATATTGACCAGTTGGGAAAATGACTGAAAAATAGTTAGTAGTTTTCAGTAACAATGCTCAAGTGACTTGCACAAGTAACTTATTACAGCACTCTTCTTCACTGCTTCTCTTCTCATGGGTGTTTCGCTTATTAGCTTTATGAAAGCCGCAGACTTAACACGTAATATGTGAAGAATATCTTCAACAACATACTTTGCAATCAGTCCTTCCTGGATAACAGATTGTGGAGCTAGTGATGATTTAAAATCAAGGCTGTTTGGATGGAGTAGCTCCTCTTAGGTCTGCACAGCTAATGTGCACCGCATCTGGTGTTTGCAGCGCCAGGCTCTCTGGCAGCTAGCTTAATAGAAGCGTGTTGTTTGGTGTTTTGTGAGGACAAAGTCCTCCCTCATGCACATGGACTTTACTCTTTGTGGTTACTTGAAAGAGAGCAAAATACAGCTGACCAGCTACTGTGTATTTACTGCGAAAAATATCCTCTTTTCTGTGTTGCTGTTGAGTCAAATGATTTATTCCCCCTAATCTTATTTTACTTCTTTAACAAGCCCTTTGAAATCTTAATATTTTTAGTGATGGTATTGTGCTTAAATAAGTTACAGAGTTCTCAAGTGGAGAAAACAGTAACACATATAACGCTGATTTTGACACGCAAACCTCCTGTCATTATACACCACCAATGGCATTAACAGTGTTTCAGCATGTCAGCCAAACTTGCTATTGAGTTGTGCTGCAGTTTCTGTTAATTTACAGAATAATTACCTCCATCTGTTTGTGCAATGAGCCAGAAGACGGAAAGTGGACAAAGTTTAAGTCATGCTTGATCGGTTTACACACATGCTTACAAACTCAAACTACTCATGAGCATGCAGTTGGAATTTATATGCAAGTCATAGTGGGTTGTATTTTATAGGATCCGAGATCTCTTGCTGGGGATCCCATGCAGAGAACCTGCATGATGACAGATCACATGTAGCTTTATGGAAAATATGACCCCAGCATGAGGTTGTAATCCATGCCTCACAGCCATCATGTCATCAGGGTTTTAGGGAACATGGTTTGTAAAGCAACAGACTGTGAATATGATGTAAGATGAGAAGACATGGAGGGCTGAAAGAAAACACAGAGCTGTGAAAGTTCAGGTGTGTACACTGAAACTGAGGTACACATGTCCAATACAAACTACAAGAAAAAAAGGAGGAGTTGAAGCTCAAAGAAAAAGAGTTTAGGTGGTTTTGGAGACATTTTGTAAAATGGGAAGGAGAAAAATGGGGAGGCAGGGATCTGCTTACTGTAAGACTGTGAGTCAGTGCTTTACTGTACGTTTCCAGATTCAGGAGAGACTCTGTCCTACTTTCACCTCATCTGACTTTTGTAAAATTAGGTGAAAATATTTTACCTCTGCCAAGAATCCCATCTTTGTTACTTGGCTAGTGGTACTGCTAGCATTACGTAAACATAGAAACACACACATATGCGTTCAATAGGCACTTGTCTGCCAAATACTATATGTCATCCTAATCCTAAGGATCTGTGCTCAAATCTCCAGTATCCCTCTTATGGTAGAGCCAAAGACTGCTTCCTCTCCTCGCTCAGCTTCTCTCTCTCCATTTCTGCCTCTTTGTTTCGCCTCCATTTCCCCTGCTTAGCTCTGAAAGCGCAGTTTGATGACAGACTGAGGCATAAAGGACTGTTATTGACATGGTAGTGAAAGAAAAGACAGATGGTGGAGAGGACTGAGTGAAGTATGGGCGAGTAGAGGACAAATAAAAGTATCATTCAAACAGAGTTTGATTTAACATGCACAGAGCCAAAAGTGCAAAAGAGCAGCTTATGTTCCAAGATCAAATAGTTTGAACTTTTGAGGACTTTAAAGTGTAAAAAGCATCAAAAGAAAGGTATGAAAACTGTAAAATTACTGAAATAATCCCAGATTATCTATAAGGATGGGAATTGGTAAGATTTTATTGATACCAATGCCATTATTGTTTCTGCATATCCAAGTCTTATAAATCCTGTGTAGGTTTAGTGTGTAAAGAAAAAGGCTTATACAGGTTTCTGTACCTACAGCCTAAATTTTAGTAAAAGTTTTATAACCTTCACAACTTTGCTGAGAGGAGGCAGCCTGGCCTCCAATTGGACCGTGACAGGTTTTAAAAGTCGTCTGATTGTAGATACAGCCTTTTGATAGGTTGATGGACCCAAACTGACATAGTACTCTGTGTTTAGCATAGTCAGCTGTGAAATAGAAAAGCCTCTAAATGTAGAAATACTCAAAGTTTATTGCTGAAATGCTACTGGTCCCACTAAGAAAGTGGATTTTACAGTAAATCAATGTTCCTCCTGACAGCCTCCCAGAATGTGTTGGTCTATTGTTCTGCAAGGCACGATCTTAGTGAAAAGCACTGATGAGCGAAGCATGAGGGCAAGCTATGTTGAAATAATTTTGTAACTTTTTACCTTTTTTTGGACTTTTTATATAAATTGAATAGATCAAGGTTAAAAAACAATCATCATATATCTCCATAAATGTGAGCTGCTGGTCAGTCTCTACATCATCTGCAGCAAGAAAGAGGCCAACACTCGCCAAAGCCGGCACACCCAAATTCTTCCTGTTAAGCTTACGTTATAGCAGCTGTCTTTTACATTTTCTCCTCCTCCCGCAGAGCCACCTCCAGCCATCACGGTGGAGGGAAACGTAACCGTGTCTCCTGGCTCCCACGCTGTCCTCACCTGCCACGTTGCCAGCACCGTCAACTTCAACCTCACCTGGCTAAGAGGGGGTCATGATGCCCGTCTGGACCCGCGGGTGAATGTCTTGACCAACCTGTCGCTGCAGGTGTTCTCTGTAAGCCCAGATCACGCTGGCTGGTATGAGTGCATCGCTATTAACGAAGGAGGGGTGACGGCGGAGCGGATCTACCTCACAGTGCAAGGTGAGGAGTGTTTTTATTTTGTCATTGCACATGTTTAAACATTTATCCGTGCACATCAGTTCAAAATCAGCAGCAACAAGGTTTTAATTTGATTCTATTTAGTCAATGGTGTGTGTTTATGAGACTTCACAGAACAGAGCACAAGCCTCTTGGCCCACACAGCTTCTTTAACAAATACATGATCTTCTTCCAAGTGCCCCCGCCCTCTCCTCTCCCCTCCCCAGCTCCCTGTAATTCACTCTAATGCTTTCTATGATGTGTGAAAATTATTTATGCCTGACTCCCAGGCTGCAGTACACTGAGTTTTCCATCCACAGACAGCTCTCATAGTCTTGTTCCTAACACTTCTGTGACACTGAATCAGGAACACTTTGTTGTACAGATGGAGGAGAGTATCTAGTTATTTGGCCAAAACCACAGAGCGTCGACCTGCGCCAGGCCAGGAAATGGCGATGTATTACAGCTGTTAAAACCTGTCTTAAAGGGAGCTGACATGAAGCAAGTGAGGATTTCTTGAATAATTTAGTCCGTCCAAATGAGTATCCAATATTTACTTCGTTATACAACCAAACGAACTGTCCTTGAAGTTAATTCAAAGGCCACATGCTGCATACTTGCGCCTAGATTCCTCTCTCTGTGAGTTCTGCCAGATATTTTGATATTTTAAAGTAAGAAAGAAAAACAAATTGCTCCACTTCACCTTAAGCTGGCTGTTTTTCTTGACCTAAACTTGGAAAACTTTAAAGGTTCTTTGATTTGAACTTGGAGCTGTCTCAGCAATGTAAACCCCAGTGACACAGATTGAAAAGATGCAGGTTCAACACCGGTGCTGCAGACAGGTTTGGAGGTGAACTCTGTCATTTGGCTTGTCTGACTGAGTGATTAGTTGCACAGTTGTCTCTAAACCTTTCCCTCCTTGAACTAGATAGTTTTCTCTTTTTAACTGTGTGTCTTTTTTCATGTCATCTTGTCACATCTTTCTTTTTTTTTTAATCTTCTCCTCTTTAACGAAAGTCTTACTCTTTGTGTTTCTTTGCACCTAAATCTCTCTGAGAAACAGCTGTTAGTGAGCCCTGAAGGCTTCCTAAATACCCCCCAGTCAGCCCTCATCCTAGTTATTTGCCCCACTTTAAAGTGAGTCAAGGCAACAAAATTTGGAAAAGCAACTTAACTGACCATTTTGGATGTAAACTCTACTTTTACTCATCAGTAAACTACACAGCATGTGCATTATATGTTGGACTGCTTTGTTATCAGAGGAGAGGGAATTGAATAAGGTGTCAGCAAAGCAGAATTTACGGTTCAGCTGGGCTAAGAGAAAGCAAACTAGTATTTTCTGCAACTTAAAAATCAAAATGGATATAAGATTGAGAAAATGTGTTTTTAAAAGCAGAAAGAGAAAAAAAGAGGTATGACTGCACTTGCATTATTGTTGTTTTCCAACAAATACATGCAAAAGAAGTAGAACCCAAAAAGCTTCATTCAAAGTGCAGTATTTTCACAGCATTACCAAAACTAAAAAGCATAATATGAATGTAATCTGATGGGAAATTTAGGTTGAGAGGATTAGGGGGAAGAAGTTGTTATAATTGTAGAGTACATCGTGTGTGGGGGGCAATGCAGTCAGGTGAGGAATGAAGGCGATGAAGGAGGTGATGAAGATGGGCCTGTTTCTGACACACTCAGGCTGCTGCTGAGTCAGGATAGAAGAATGCGTCCTCCCCTCTTTTTAACTCTTTGCTGCTTATACCAGGGGAGTCCCTGCCCGGCTCAGGAAAGTGTGATCTCGTCAGTAAGACGTTGCATGTGAAGAGAGAACAGCAGGAGGCTCTACGTGATGTTATCAGGGTCTTACAATCAGGACAATGTGGCCTCGGGTGCTGCTGAAGTCCAGCTCAAGAAAGCAAGAGGTGTAAAAGTCAAGGCTGTATCAAAACTATTGCCTGTAATTTCCACAAGCTGAATCTTCAGATGTAAATTAAGTGTACATCTTGACAGATTTACAAATGGTTTTGTTTATTACAGACCTCAATAACGTGGCTATGAGTCGGGATGCTTGGACATATTAAAATGGCAGCATGAGGCAGAAATTTGTATTGAAAATAAATATGTATATATGTTATTGTTACTTGTTATTATAGTTATCCCTATAATAGAAATATTACTAATAAAGCATACATGGAATGATTATATAAATGATTCAACTGCCTTGTGTGTGTAGGCCTATAGCTATTGCTCTTCCTATCTGCTTAATGTTTACTTATGAAAATCTATGTTTAGAGTTATTCTTGCAGGAACATAACTAAAACTTTGAGGTTTGTTACAAACCCAACCGTTCGAAATTCGGTGTAAAATTAACCAATCTATGGTTATTTTAGTGGCACATGCACCGTAGACTGTAATGTCATGAGTGGGCTAGCGTCCCGTAGCAAAATGGCCGCCATGCGCGGACGTCTGTCTCCATTGGCTAACAGCGTGCGTAAGCCATCTAGCGTTTATATATCTATGGATCACACGTCTCACCTTCAGAGAATTGCGTGCTTACGTCACTGCCTTGACGATAGCGTCACGTTGCGCCGCTAATCTAAAGGTGGCAGCTATTCAGTGGACCAGCTAACGTAGCTATTGTCACGTAAAACACACATCATTGCGAACAAGATAATTTCAAATTTCAAACCATTTACTATAGTTATGGGTGTGTTACTCAGCGGTTTGACAGGCTGCTGTCGCGATAGTACACACGCGAAGTATCACGGGAGCAAGAAGACCGCGAAAGAGCAAGCACCTGAGGCCTCCTCCACGGCCCGAGAAAAATGAAGACACATTTGTCAGCAGCATTTGAAGGAGTCCTCGAAATGAGACGCACTCAGTCTTTAAGTGCGACCTTCAAAAGCTTCGGCCCCTGAATTTGGACACAGGCTAAGTCGACATCTGGTAAATTCGCCGTATTTCCATCAAAATGTGACAGTTCTGATGATTGAAGTCAAAGCATCAGGACAACGTCTCCACATTCCTTCACACCTACTGTACTTCTGTGTGAACCTTTCAACTTGTGACTACAGGAATATGTATGGCTACTCTCACCAGACCAAAAACACATTTTAGGTTGCTGGAAAGAAAACCATTTTTGTCTGTAAGCTAAAAGAACTATATGATAAACATAAAAGTAGAAAATGAAACAAAACTTACATTCTCAGAGTTCAGAATGAAATGTCCATCAACAGAAAATCCAGCATAAAGAAATCTCTGGAGAGCCACAAAAACACCATACAAGGAATCACTAGAAATCACTGGAACAGATGCAGGACACACCAAGGAAGAGACTATGAGCTTACAGAGGTGGGAAACAGAGAAACTAAATCCACACTGAGTAAACAAACACTGGTATGACACAAGACACAGGTGAAACTAATGAGGATGATCAAACAGGAGGGAAACACACGAGGGCAGGAAGTTAAACGAAACCAGACACAGAGGGTGAAACGTACAAAATAAAACAAGATGAGTTGACTAAGAAAAATTCCTGGATTACACACACAACAAATAAAAAACACAAATAGGAATAAAAAAAAACAACACAAGAGAAAATAAAATACAGAGTCAGGAAACAGGCGAAAATGGGGGCTGGACACTGGTGTGCTCATGACTTAAAATAAACTTCTCTAAATGAGTATCGCTTCAACATCTTGGGTGGATAGAAATTTGAATTTTGCTGCTTTTAAAGTTTTCTGTCTCTTCATTCAACTATGAGACAGTTTTCTCTCATACTGTGTTTTCTCATACATTTTGGACAAGTCTAAAACTCTGGAGATGATTCAAGCGGTGGGAACAGAACAGAGAAAACACGCCCTTGAAGAGTTCAGTTACACATCATGAATCAATTGGAAAATCTTTTGAGATCCCACAGCCTCTCTGGGTCTGGATTCAATATTGTCTTCTGTTTCACTAATAAAAAGGAAATGATGGTGAGTGATATACTGTGAAACATTATTAGATTTAGTGAGAGACATCACTCCACCTGCTACAGAGACAATAAAGGTTTATGGTCTGCTGCAACTTGAGGCTACACCAGCATTCGGACAGGGTTGTGTTTGAGGTTCCTTGCCTTCAAAAACTTTGAACTGATTTAAACTTTGACAAAACTTTAAACTTGTTTCTGTTGAAGTTAAAAGACTCTGGATTATTTTAACTTGGTTAACATGACACTCCAAGTAAATAACTGAGAATGGATTGATTTTCTTCACCACTTTTTTTGTCTTTAGAGGTGCCCAGAGTTTCAGTCGAGCCCCGAAATCAAACCTTCACAACAGGAGATGAAGTGAGGATCAGATGTTCGGCCAGAGGCTACCCTCCACCTCGTTTAGTTTGGACCCACAATGACATGTTCATCATGGCATCCAGCAGGTGAATTCATCTCTTCCTGCATCCATGGATTTTCAGGCTTTAATGTTGCTCTGTTTTGTAAAAACATAAAATGTAAAAGTAGTTTTCAAAGTGGATAACATTGAATGCTATGTTGATGACTTGACTTGTAATGTCCAGTCATGATCACTTGTTAAAAACTGGTTTCTGTATTTTGTGTGTTTAGACACAGGATGACTCCTGATGGCACACTGGTGATCAGAAACATGGAGAAGAAAGATGGAGGAGTGTATGGATGCCTCGCCAGTAACCAGGGTGGGACAGACACCATGACTTCCATTCTTACCTACATCGGTGAGTCCGAAACATATGCAGTGTTCAACTAGTTGAAAAAAATAGTTGGCAATTTTGAAGTGACTTTTTGGGGAACAAAGCGATATGAATCCACTCTAGTTGAGAGGCTGCCATAGTAACAACTTGAGAAACCTAGGAAGCCCCGCCCCAAAGTATACCTCACTTTACTGTCATTGTACCCTAAACAGAGGGGTTATTCAAAAAAATTGTGTAATGTCATGTTCAAAAACTCCATCAGAAAAAGCAACTGAAACCAAATCTTAAAGGAGAATGTAGAAGTGAATACACTAGAGAAGGGGATCATGTTTTCAGTCTGGTTTCTCATATGTGAACCCACTTTTATATCCAAAATTTATATTCATGACATAGTTCATCGTTGGCTTTATAACCAGGAGATTTACCCTCTTGTGAATGGAAAGGAAAAAATGGACATTAAATGTACATTGCAGGTGCATTATGCATAAACACACAGCTAGAACTGCTTTTCTAATGTCCCTCTGCAGCTGACTAATGTGTTTTCCATTTTTACCTGTCTCTTCTGCCCAGAATCCCCTGAGGTGACAGTTGCTTTGAGTGATATTCTCATTAGCATCGGTGAAACCACAGTGATGGCCTGCTCTGCATCTGGGATCCCACAGCCGGAGATCTGGTGGTACAAAGGTAACAGCTCAAAAGCAGAGGGAGTTTCAGAAAAGATATTTTTACATTCTTTAAAGAAATTGTCTAGAGCTCAGTTTGGGGTCAAATATTGTTGTTTTTTATCATTACACATATGGTAATATCTTTAAAGATCTAAGCTGCTTCGTTCAACAGCTGCATTTCTTGTAATGTTTAGGTGATGTCCGCCTGCATTCATCGTCCTTCTTGGATGTGGATACATTCGGAGGTACGCTGACAATCAAGGAGACTCAGGATGTCGATGCTGGAGATTATACCTGTCTAGCTGTCAATGCTGCTGGAACCTCATCAGGAAAGATCTATCTTGATGTTGGAGGTGAGAATGAAACTAGACTGTCTCTACAAAAACACAGATCAATTTATGAAAGAGAGCCCAAACAAGAGCACGGTTGGAATTAAGAGAGCAATAATCTGCACTGATATAAAGCAGTTTAAATTAGCGCATGATGCCTGTATATAATCGACAAAGAAAGGCTTTTATAGTGCCGTTGAAGGAAACTAGTAGTGGGCTATAAAACTGGAAGAGATGGTAGAAGGGGTCGACTTTTAATTTTACTAGAACTGAAACAAAGCGCTTTTCTCCATACCCTCGTAAATATACTGTGTTGATGTATGAAATGTTTGTTGTGAACAAAAATAATTATAACTTTGGATGTTGACCTCTTTAACCTGCCATCCTCAACATTATTCTTTTAGCCCCACCCAAGTTCATTCAGAAGCCATCAGATGTGGCCCTGGACATCGGCTCTAATATATCCCTGCCCTGCTCTGCTGAGGGTCACCCAGTGCCACAGGTCACCTGGAGGAGAGAGGATGGACTTCGCATTTTTAGCACACCACGCACACACGGCACCGTGACACAAAACAAAGGAGGTCTACATATCACAAGTACGTTTTTCAGGAAGACGTGTGCTTACATATTACACATGTCTATGCTGGAGGTAATACATAAATATAACTCTTTTCACTCAGACCTGTGGGTGGATGATGACGGAGTGTACATCTGTGAGGCTCAGAACCAGTTTGGTAGGATCTCAGCCGAGGCCAGAATCACTGTGACTGGACTGGGTGAGTGAAACAAGTTTTTGGACTTTTCATTTCATTTCCTCTCTGATGCTATTATCTTTGCAGAGTAATTTCTAAAACTCAGGTGTCATTACATTTTTTGCATCTTTGTTCTGATATATATCCTGATTGACTGATCTGCCTTTGAATTCCCAAAGGAAAATCATAATGGATGCAACTTGAGGTTCCAGTTTGACTGCACAATACACTTACACACTCGTACATATACACAGAATCCCTTTTTTGCTGAACCTGCACTTTTCTGATTATGTCCGCTCAGCGATCATATTTACTTTCCATGTCTGTTTCATTTTCTAAAACAACACGGTGCCTTTGGGTATTAAAATCTGTCAGTGCGCCTGTGTGTTTCCCTTTTCGCCTCTCCACAGAAGTGCGAGTTCATTAGCACATTTCACTGGGAGTGTTTCAACACATGTCCCTTGTTAGCCACTGTTTCTGTTTCACGGTTTTCTCTACAGTGCAAACACACCGAGCTCTTATATGTGGGCCAAAGGTTAGAAACAGCAGACCCACCCAGATGAAATGCATTACTGCCCCACTGCCCTGTTTCCCCACTGACAGTTGATCCTCATGAGTCGCACACACCCGGTACAGAAGAACATGCAAAGGCGCTTCTTCTGGAGAGTAATGGAGATGGCATAAGGCCTGTATGTGTCCGCCTGTGTGAATTTGTGCGTGTTTGTGAGGTTTTGGTCCCAGTGAGTAAGGGTGGTCGTCAAGTTCGCTTGAAGACACCCTGTTGTCCATCACAGCCTCCACCCATGACATCAGCCTTGTCATAAAATGTGTGTGTTTCCGTCTGTGTATTTGTATAGAAGGATGTATATGCGTGTGCAGACAAGGGTGTGTTTATACTTAATGCAGCTGTGGAAAATGCAGTGCTGTTAATGTGTCCGTGGCAACCAAACATTCATATGTGCTTCATTGAGGTAAACCAGAAGTCATTTGTTTGTTATTTTGGTCTGAAAATATTTGGGGAAATAAAAGAAGCCACAGTTTTTTAATGATGGTGACTTCAAAACTTTGACCTGTTTTTTGCATTTCACACTTCCCTGGCCGTCTGGCAAAGTTACAGCTGTTGGTTTGTTCTTTAGGTTGGCTCTTAAACACAAATACATTTAACCATGCTTGTGTGTTAATAAAACACTGCTGCCTACACATCATCCTTTTCAACAGAATCAAACTTCATCACAGGATTTTTTCTGTTTTCTGTTGATTTGAAAAGAAATCTATCATATAACTATAACATTGCACCTGCAGCTCCGCCTGTGATTGCATTGAGCCCCACTGTGCTCAGTGTGATCGAAGATCAGCAAATGACTTTACCCTGTGTGCTGCTGGCTGGGAATCCACTTCCTGAGAGGCAGTGGCTGCACAACTATGGTTTGGTGAGCATGTTTAGAGAATACCCAAATACTTAAAAACCTTTGTAAGCAATCTGAGTTAAATAACCAGGATTCCAATAAATGCAAATCTTTCAGGTGATCTCAGACCAGTACGTGACAGTGAGGCGGGACGGCAGTTTGCACATAGAGAGAGTTCGCCTAGAGGACGCAGGGGACTACACCTGTTTGGCTGAAAGCGCTGTTGGGGCCACCAATCATACCACCACTGTCTACGTCTATGGTAAATTTCAAACACATGCAAACAAAACTGATAGGAAATAATTAGAACACATTATTTAATTTTAAGAATGCCTCATAGCATATCTTGTGGAGTTTTTGAGAACAGAAAAGAATATGCATCAGCTAAAATATAGGGAAATACAGTCATTGATGACTGTACAGCTGTTTTAGTTAGTCATCTTGTCTTTTCAAAGGGATTTTTGGATGTATTTTAAATATAGAGCACAATCAGTCTTAGTAAGATCTGGTAGCACCACGGTCAGAAGCACTGAGAGTTATGTTTTAAGCAGATTTTAATGCAGGTGACATTACATTATTAAGATCTATTAACTGTAAAGATGGCTTCATTTGTTGTTGTGCTGCCAGTTTGAGGTTCTTGATTTTGTGTATACTTTTTGCAGTGAATAGACCTTAACCCCCAAAGTGAATGATCTTTCTAATGAAAAGGACTATTGTTAATGTTTTATGAGTTATGAAATGCCCCCCTGCGTTTTAAATTGTCACCAGCCTATCGCTGTTTCTCAGTAACTTCTCTTAAACATCTCCTTCACACTGCAGATGGCCCGTAACCTCATGGATAGGATTATGTTTGAGGTTGCATTAAAACCAGGAGCAGTAGAAGATGATAGCTGAGTTTGGAGCTCAGTGAGAGAGGGAAATGTGTTCTGCATTTACACTAAAGGCAGATTCTGCCAAGTCATGTAAAAATCATTTGCAGGATTTACACAAATACAGAAGTTGTCTTAGTGCTTAAACTTAAGTTCTTTTTACACAGAGCACTAGACATATCAGTGAACTATTACATTAAAAAAGCTTTTAATTAAAACTTAAGGAGAGCAAATATAAATAGAAGACCACTCTGCAACACTGGTTGTGTAAACAGTGTGTAATTTTGTTTTTAAGTTAAACCACATTTTTCATCTTCAAAAAAATGCCCCAAACCTCCCAGGGCTGATCTTTTCAGTAGAGTCCCGCTGTTGCTGTAAAACAACATAAACAAAGCAGATTGTAAATAAGGAAGGAACGACAATGAAGGGAAAATAATTGCCCTGAATGTAGTTTGTTTAGTAATGCTCATGGTTTATACCAGATGCCTCAGAAAACATTAAACCCCAAGGCACTTCAAACTCAGACAACAGAACCTGTGAAAGCTTGATGACTGAATGAACCTATTACTAACTCACTTTGTCTTATTCTTTCAGTGATTCCAACCATTCAGCATGGCCCTCAGGTGTTCAGCACAATCGAGGGCACACCCATCACACTGCCCTGTCGTGCCGATGGAGTACCTACCCCTGACATCACCTGGGCCAAGGTGTGAATTAGCATTTACTTTCTGAGTACAAAGGGGATGCAGACACACAGATTGCTTATGTTATATTTTACTGTGGCCGTGTAGTATATATGAAAACTCTATTGCAAGCAAAGTCATGCTTCTCCATGGCCACATTTACTCTCTGATGGGTTTTCCAATTTGAAGAGGCATTTAAGCGGTAAAGGTATTTATGTCGTACAGTGAATACTTTTATCAATGGACTCTGGTGGAGTAATACCAATGCCAAAAACTACCAATAAAATCACCTCTATGTGCTTTTATCTGCCTTTACAGTGTACTAAATCTTATAATGTGCCCTCCTGTTGTGTGTTAGGGTGTACTGTTGGCCTGTGTGCGTATGTGAACAGTCCTCGTGTCTTTTTCCATCTTTTGCTCTCAGAGTTGTAAAAAATGATGCTGTTAAAGTGAACAGGACTTGAGGGACGCATGAAACTGAAGCGTGCTAAGTTTTATACCAGCTGCTGAGATGAGATTCCCTCTGATTCTACTGCTGTTCTGCACTGCATTGATCAAATTAAAATAAGTTATTCATGCCAGATCATAAGGACGGTCCAGAGATGACACAATCCTGATGCTCTGACATCACCTTTTTTGAGTTATGGTTTGTTGGATTTTATAACTCTTAACGTTTTTATTTCCAGCCTTTTATTTAACAGCAGTGAAGAAAAGCAGATCATAAATTCAAGGACACTAACTGGGTCAAACCGCACATCTCACCTCTTTTTCTGGGTACAACAGCGGGTGTTAATAAAGCTGAGTTAATGAAACCAACTCTGGCCTCTGCCCTTTCCCTGCTGTGATTTGTTTTGAAGGGTGGAGAGCTTCTGTACTTGGGTGGTCCGGCTTTCTCCATGGATTCTGATGGCAGCCTCCTCATCTCCTCCCCTTCTGGAAATGAGACTGGAGAGTTCATCTGCACAGCTACCAATGCTGCCGGCTCTGCCTCCAAGAAAGTTCAACTCACTGTTTATGGTAAACCTCCCTCCTGGTAAAAGGCTGCAGAAAAATAACAGAGCAATGTGTTCTGTTAAAATGTAATAGATTTATTTCAGAACTTAATTGTTATTGTTGTGATCACTGAAAAGAGGCCTTGCAGTAAGATATGAGAAAAGATGATACACTACGATACAAAATGATACCCTACTCTACCATATACCAGTCTACAAAATACTATACAGTACGATATGATACGATACTGTACTGTACGATACGATACTATACTGTACTGTACGATATGATACCATACTGTACCATCTGATATGGTATGGTAGGTTACAATAGGATAAGATACATTACAATATGGTACGATACAATACAGTACAATACGGTACTGTACGATATGACACGGTACATTGGTTACGATAGGCTAAGATACAGTACGATAAGGTACCGTAAGATACAATGCCGTACAATATGATACAATACAATACAATACGGTACGATACAATATCATATGATTCGATAGGGTACCTTACCATATTATACAATATGATTTAATAGGGTACCTTACCATATTATACAATATGATTTAATAGGGTACCTTACCATATTATACAATATGATTTAATAGGGTACCTTACCGTATGATATGATACGATTCAATAGGGTACCTTACCGTACGATATATGATATGATACGACACGATACTATACTTTACAATGCAGTTGCATACAATATGACACAATATGGTATTTTTGGTACAATATGGTATGGTATTTCTGATCTTTGCCTCTGCTTTTTGCCATTGCTGCCATACTTTGGTGCTTTGCTCAAATTTTTAATCCAACCACCACCACCCCAACATTCACCTGCGGGCTCTGACTGGGAAATTCAAGATATTGTCTCATCTCTCCATAATTTCTGTATATGAAAATAAAACAGTGAGGAGTGATGAAGTCAGCGCTTGGTTGCCAGTCACAAACAGCTTCTGTTTCTGCTTCTGCTTTTGCTGCTGCTGCACTACACAGCCCAAAGCAGAAGGGGACAATCTGCAAAATAAATCATGACACTGTGGGGCCAAAAATGACTTCACAAAGATGCTTATCACCACAGAGCAGGAGCTTGTGACCTTTTTTTATTTTTGCTAGATCATCCTTTTCATTGAGGCGATTCAGTGCCTACAATGACAGTTATGAAGCACTTCAGCTATGTTTGTGTTTTTCAAGATTACATGGCGTCACTGGTGTTAATGTGTCCAGTGTTAATACACAAAGCTTAAGGAAGATGATTGTAGAATAAGCAAATATTCCATCCTTTTTCATTTATTAGTATTAATTTTAGAGCCGGTATTTAAGGTTATCCGTTTTTAATCACTGCTGCCAAGATTTATTCACGATCGAGAATCTCTGGCTCCTACTATATAAACAAGTCACCCTGAGAAAATGAAACACAAACTGTTGTATTTGTAAAATTTGGATTTTATAAACATGTATTACAATTAGTCTTTTTAAAGTAATAAATTAAAATGATAATAAATTTGAAAAAGCAAAGTGGCTGTGAAGAAGGGAAGAATAACAATAACAGCCATTTATTTTGATCTTGTTTTTCTTCATATAATTAACTCTTAAATTGTATATTTACACATGATTATTTACTTATGGTCACATTTTATCTATCTATTATAAATCCCTGTTCTACTTGTGTTTACCCATGTTTGTATATCTAGTTCGTCCAAGATCAAACAGTGCTGGCTCTGGAGGCTCAGCTGACCCCATGAAAATGTCCGTCATCGAGGGTCAGGACGCCGTATTGCCCTGTGAGGTCAGCAGTGTCCCACCTCCCACTGTTACCTGGGCGAAGGAGAGGCAGCTCATCTCCCCTTTCTCTCCCAGGTAAACACACACAAAACCAAAACACTGTGCACAGCCAGAAGCTCCCAGATGGGGGAGTATATTTGGAGCAGTTTTTCATTATCGTTAGAGAAACAGTTTTCTGCCTTTACTCCAAGAATAATACATTCCTTTGATTATGAAACAAACATGTGGCCAGATTATATTACCCTGGCTTTAACCTCAAAGCAGAGGTGCATCAATAACTAAGACATCCTCTTTTTCTTGCCTCATCATAGTGCTGTCTTTGCGCTGTTCATAGCCCTGAGGTATAGTTTGTGGTTTTAAAGGAATAACTAAGTAATCACCCTTTTCCCATGATTTATTTCACCCTCTGAGTGTCTACCACAGGAGCTGTAATTATGGCTGATTGTGGATTAGTAAGACTTACTATCTGTTAAAAGAAATGACTTAACTTTATTATTCACAGTTTCATTTTTTTACTCCCTACATGATTGTTGTCTGTGTTCCTCTCAGGCACACTCAGCTCCCCTCAGGCTCAATGAAAATCTCAGAGACGAGAGTGTCAGACGGAGGACTTTATGTGTGCGTTGCCTCCAATATTGCCGGCAACCTAACGCAATATATTGAGCTGAGTGTTTTGGGTGAGTAAGAAGAACACATATTATTTTGGTGCAGATAAAACAAAGTAAAGACAGTGCACTGAAGGCTGTTTTCTTTATGCGTCATGCAGTGCCCCCCAGTATCCAAGCTGGCCCCAGAGTTATGAAGATTCAAGTGGGTCACCCGGTGGAGCTACCGTGTGTGGTGATAGGGGTCCCAGAGCCCACCCTAAGCTGGACCAGGGATGGTAGGTCATACCCAGTTTCACCTGACGGCAGCCTGGCATTGAGGAATGTGGGACTACAGGATGAAGGAACTTACACCTGCACAGCCACCAACATTGCAGGCAGAGACGAGGCTCGGATCAAAGTTTTAGTCCAAGGTTGGTGTCAGTCCATGTCTTTATTTCACAGTGTGTTATTAATGTGGATTAGTTAATAATCATGTGTCTGTGCATTCTCAGTACCCCCTGTGGTCGAGGTACTGGAGCCCCCCTTCAACAGGCCCCTCCAGGAGAGAGTTGCAAACCAGCGTATTGCATTCCCCTGCCCTGCCAAAGGTAATGGAAAATATCCACCTAACCTCTGTTTCTATTGAAGGATTTCAGGATATATTTACACGCTTCATGGGTGATCCAGTTTTCTTGACTTTTTATGCCTGTTTTTTCAATTATCAGGTCTTCCCAAGCCTGTGATCCGGTGGTTGCGTAATGGCCAGGAGCTGACTGGTAATGAGCCAGGGGTGTCTATCCTGGAGGACGGCACTCTGCTGATTCTGGCCTCTTTGTCACCGCTAGACAACGGAGAGTATGTCTGTGCTGCAGCCAACGACGCCGGATCCACTGAGAGGAAGTACCAGCTCAAAGTCAACGGTGAGTTAACCTGATTTATTATCTTCTTACCTTTTGATTCCAGTAAAACTACATCTCAAGATAAATATTATATGTCCTACCTCCTCAGTACCCCCTGATTTCCGGGACGGTGAAACCCCAGGGAACGTATCGTTGGTCCTGAGCCACTCTACCAGCTTGGTGTGCGATGTCACAGGAAGTCCAACTCCTGTCATTACCTGGTACAAGGATGGGAGTCCGGTAAGTGAAATCCCTCTGAATTGGCTGTTTAGATATCTCCTGTCCAATAAGACTGATGGATGTCAGTCGGGTTTGCAAACCAAAGAAAATCCAGTTTAATTCCTGAAATGAGGTAAAGGGTCTCTTTGCCTAATCTAAACTTCATCTTCAGTCTACATGGTCCTCTAAAGAGCAAAACTTCTCACACATAAAAGCGTGAACTTAAAGGTATTGATGTAAATACTCACAAAGACCTAATTGGCTCTGATCATAGGCTACTCTATTAAAGAGGACAGAACTTACACCACAGTGGATTCTCCGTGTGTGTGTGTGCAGATGTGCCAGGCAGGCCAGCCACAGTGGCAGCATGCTCAAAGCTGTGGTGACAGACTAATTATGATAAATTGATGTAAGAATGGAGGGTTTGCACTCACAGAAACATCCCTGCTAGCTGGCGGCTTTTTATTCTCTTGGCACCGTGAGTGTTTTTTTTCCTGTAGAGCACAGATGGGAAAATGAAAGCTCTAACTTGAATCCGCTTAACAGTGATGACCTGTTGCTTTCTGAGTGTTTTAAGGCTGCATGTAAACACTGCATGTGTTACTCGCTCTCTTTATTGGATTTCTCATTTTAATAGGTATTTGGCTCTCAGTTCCTGTTTACTTTCAATTCTGCTCGAGTCGAGGGCGGCTATTTTTTCATAAAGATATTATTATGTGTTGTATGTAGTGCAGAAGGAGCTTTCAGGCAGTATTTCCTCATACTGTTGTTGACTGTTGTTGTGTTGTGTTGTGTCTATCTACGCTGATTGACAGGTGGTTACCGGTAACAACATCCAGATTCTTGACTTGGGGAAAACCCTGCGACTGTTAAAAGCCGCCACAACAGACGCAGGCAGCTACAGCTGTAAAGCCATCAACATCGCTGGCAGCACTGAAAAAGACTTCATAGTGGATGTTCTGGGTGAGTAAGGGAAGTGAGAAGCTGTCTATGGAAGCTTTAAGAATTATAGTTAGGGAGCTGTGTGCAGACTTGTGGTGTTATAATCCTCGTTAAGGTGCTTGATATGTTAGAAAACTTACTTTCATTTTCAGGATTAGTCAGCTTGTAAACTGTGATGTTTTCTGTCTGTGCTAAAAGTTCCTCCAACCATCGAAGGGTCAAGCTCCTCTCAAGATATTTCAGCCATCGTCAAACAGGAAATCAGTCTGGAGTGTAAGGTGCAAGGAGTGCCATTTCCCACAATCCAGTGGTACAAGGACAGGAAGTAAGAGTCTCCAAAAACAGGAGTATTAAGTGTCTAAAGTAAATGAAATCTGATTATGATATGTGACATTTTTTTGTTTCTAGGCTGGTGTTTCTTGGTGACCCCAATTTAGAGGTGTCTAACAGGGGTCAGGTTTTAAGGATAAAAAGTGCCCGTCTTGGAGATAAAGCCCGGTATCAGTGTAGTGTCATGAACACTGCAGGCAAACAGACCAAAGACTTCAACCTCAATGTCTACGGTGAGTCTGGATGGTCAGACACCCTGCACAGTCAGGCAGGATCTGCAAAACCTGCTTTTCTCATATCTGTATAAACATAACCACGCAGCAAATACCAACAAATTGAACTTTTTAGTAGGTTTGATCTTTTTTGGGTTGTTGTTGTTGTTTTAGTGCCTCCATCTATCAAAGGTGGTAACTCAACCTCAGATGTTACCGCCCTGCTGGATACCCTTGTTTCACTCGAGTGTGAGGCCCGCGGTGTGCCAAGTCCCACTATCACCTGGTACAGAAACGGCGAGGCCATCCTGTCCAACCGGCAGGCTCAGTATGTCGAGAGAGGCCACTACCTGAAGATCCCACGGGTGCAGGCGTCCGACTCTGGCCTGTACACCTGTAAGGTGACGAGTGTGGCCGGCAGCGCGGAGAAGAGCTTTGAACTGGACGTCTACTGTAAGTAGTCGACAGCTGATGATCCACAGACATTTTATTTCCTGTTACGTTGCATGTCAACCAAAGCAAAAGTTGAAGGACACTAATTTGATATGTAGTGTAGATGATATAAAACACATTCAGTCAATAAGTCTGCTTTTCAAATCGAGGGAAGTGAGGAAATCTCTTCTGCAAAGCATCCATTGTCCCTGCATCTGCAATCCCTCACATATGTGCTGAGCTCTGAAGCTTATTATTGCATTAATCAGAGCTTTAAGGCATCTGGTCTCCCTCACTAACTTAGGACAATTGCAGCAGTCAACAATAATATCAAACAGCTGTGGATAGTCAGCGAACAATTGAATTATAAAAAAAGAAACGTTGGTCCTTTGAGTGCACGTAATGGGTACCAGTGGCTTCAAGCTCTGCGCAATTTTACAAGTTATTGGCTGATAAAAGCCTGAAACATGTCATGTAAGAAGATTTCAACTGAGTGCCCGGAGATTTAACAACTTCTTTTTTCACTTCCCCTTACTCCCCCTCAGTGCCACCCACCATTGCAGGGGGTGATGAGGGTCCAACTGAGAGGAAAGTGGTCCTCAGTAAGCCTCTTATCCTGGAGTGTGATGCCGGCGGTCACCCTCCCCCTTCCCTCACCTGGCTGAAGGATGGAGTTCCTGTGCGTGACGGCGAAAGCGTCCGTGTTCTCGATCAGGGAAGTAAAATAGAAATCATGTCGGCCACGGTGTCGGACTCAGGGCGGTACATCTGTGTGGCCACGAGCATCGCTGGAGAGAAGGAGGTCAAATACGACGTCAAAGTTTTAGGTAAGAATAACTACATCGGATTGCTTTTTGATTGATATAACCAAACCATCTAGTTCGAGGGCTAAAGCCTCTATATATGGGGTGCACGGTTTTACTGTTAAGCTAAACCAACACATCAATGCACAATGCATTAAAAAAAGCTCATCACTATATTAGAAAGATGTAACATCTAAGTCCATGTCTACATGATTTTTTTCATTCTTAAATCCAAACTGACTGCTCGTAAGCTCCACATGAATTCACTTTTTCATCTAGATTGTGGTTTGTTCAGATCAGTCCAGGGGTTTGAGTCACATTTTTTGCATATGTGAACATTGAACATAAAGAAAAGTTCAGCATTAAGTTCTTGTAGACAGCTTCAGTGTTCTTAGACCAGTCCAGTTCGTTATCCAAGTACACCCCCAGGTACTTGTAGTCCTCCACATTGTCCACACTGGATGGAAACAGGGATCACAGGTGCCTTTGTCCTTCTCATATCCACTGTCAATTTCTTGTTTTTTGTTATGTTGAGCTGCAGATGGTTCTGCTCACATGTGACAAAGTTACCCACCACAGTCCTGTATTCAGTCTCATCGCCCTTCCTGATGCATCCACCTCCAGCAGAATCATCAGGAAGTCTGTGGTGTAGAGGGTGAAAAGAAAAGGAGACAGGACTGTCCCCACTCAAAGGAGCTCAGTTGGAGGAAATGGATATTTTTTGTTTTTGTCAGAGAAGTTCAGTGTTGTCTTTCTAGGGCTAAAGTCGGTTAGTCACTACTCCCAAGTATTTACACAAAGATGTTTGTTTGGTTTTTCATTATGAATAGCAACAGAAACCTTATAGGGGTCAGGTGGTAAACCAAGAGTCAGCTGATAAACCAGATACAGTTTCCTCTTTCCTCCCCAACAAACCAAAGCTGCACTGTTGAATATGGAGTGATACAGTTTGAGCTGACTGAACTAATCAGTGACTTCTCTGAGAGACGTGTGCTGCATGGCTTCAAGAGGGACTCATTTAGAGGATACATTTGTCGTCATGCTTGTTTGTATACAGTGGTGCATTATGGTTTTCAAAGCACTCTTCTAACCACATGCAGTACCCTCTTTAGTGTTGACCTAATCCCTGAAATAACCACAGCCACACTGGTTGCTTAGGCATCGACAAATGTGCGACAGCCAGAAAACATTGTTCCGTTGTCGGCAGGATTCGAACCTGCGCGGGGAGACCCCAATGGATTTCTAGTCCATCGCCTTAACCACTCGGCCACGACAACACATGTGAAACCTGATCTGGCCTTCATGATCGCTGCTGAGGCTGCTGCTATTGACACCATGTGTTCGTTCCACATGGGAAACAGACACCTGCTGATTCATGGTGGCCTCGCATGTCTGACTTAAAGACTCACACACCCCTCCTCTAACACCAGAAAATTAACTTTAAGAAGAGAGAGGAGGCTCCATGCAGAAGATATTATTTTAATTTTAACTATTTCCCATCCTTTTCTTTATCTGAAAAAGGAGAAATAAAAAGCACATGCTGAAGTATAATAAATCAAATAGATTTCAAATAAATCAAAGTATTCCATAAAAAAGTTTAGACTTATGTTGATTTATATTCTTTAATTCTAGTCCCTCCTTTCATCGATGGAGCTGAGGATGTGACGGACAGCACGGTAATAATCAACAGCCCTTTAGAGCTGGAGTGTCACGCCACTGGAACACCAGCGCCTGCTATCACGTAAGATCTCCCTCTCTTGGATCTTGATAAGCAGACATGAAAACACACACATATAAACATACACATTCACTTTTATTGTCCAGGTGGTATAAGGATGGAAAACCAGTCAGACAGGGTGACGGGCTGCGGGTGGGAGCTAGCGGTCGTCGGCTGATCGTGTCCCGAGCTCAGGTCTCTGACACGGCTCGTTTTCAGTGTGTGGCCACGAATGAAGCCGGAGACCATGAGAGGGACTTCAATGTGGTCGTCCAAGGTAAAATATTCAAACGGCAAACACGGTGAACTGCTTTGTGAGCGTTTTAATTCTGATGTTTGTAATTTATGATTCGTATGCAAGCCTCAGGGACTCTTCCACTCTGGGTAAATATTTTAGGACTTTTTTTTGGGACTTCTCTTTTTCTAAATTTGCTGCTGCAAAGTGTCTCAGGACAAACTTGACCCTCTTAACCTTCGCAGTGCCTCCAACCATTCGCACCACCGGTCCTGCTGAGCGTTCAGTGGTTCTTCACAAGTCCATCAGTCTGGAGTGTATCTCCAGTGGTATCCCTCCTCCCAGTATTACATGGCTGAAAGATGGCCGACCTGTAGACACAACACTGGGATACCTCAAGGTTAGTACCCTGATTGTTTGAATGTGTATTTGACTTCTTTTAGGGTGGTTCACCAACACTTATTTACTCAATCAGAGTTGTGTTTCTTACATAATGCAGACATTTTAATCTTTCTCTTTACTCGTAACCATGGTGATCAAGTCGTGCCTAATCTATCTCTGATGTATGCTTTAACAATTGTGTGTTTATGTTTGTGGGGTTTGTTATCTCATCGTGTTAAAGCCAGAAAAGCTCTGCATCGTTGTCGGCAGGATTCGAACCTGCGCGGGGAGACCCCAATGGATTTCTAGTCCATCGCCTTAACCACTCGGCCACGACAACACATTTAATGTCACCAGAAATACTTTGTTTCTGGTGACTCTGTTGCTATATGTCATGTAAAAACGTCCCCTTCAGACTGAGAGGATTCCTGTAGTGTAGATATACTCATCATCCGAACATGATGAATAGTTTACAGCCTGACCTCCCTCTCTCCTGTGTGTGTTTGTACTTGTGTCTGTTACAGCTGGAGTCTGCAGGCAGGCTGCTAAAGATCAAAGAGGCAAGACTAGAGGATTCTGGGAAATACACCTGTTTGGCCACGAATGCAGCTGGTGAAACTCAGCAGAACATTCGGCTCAGTGTCCATGGTAACTCTCCGGTGCATGTTCCTGTGGATTGTCTCAGACATCTCCTGGTTTCTGTCCCACACATGATTCTCTCCACTTTTTGTATCCAGGGATTGGGTGGAGACAGGAGAAGATCAAGTGTTAATTTGTTGCTCTTGTGTGTAATACTCTGTGTCCATCAGAGCCGCCCAGTATCCCAAACTCTGGAGAGATCATCAACCAGACCATCCTGACAGGGTTCCCCACTGAGCTGGAGTGCAAGGCCACAGGCAGCCCGTTACCTGGTGAGACAGCTCACAAACTTCCTCTTCAGTCCTGCTGCGCTCGCTCACAGGCTCCAGGGTGTAGTTTGCTCCAACTGCTGCTGAGTTGAAGTTGGCCGTGCTGCTTCTTTTCTTTATCTTTGCCTGTTAATGGAGGAGTGGAAAATTGATCTCATATGACTCTCTGCATGCAGCGCCAATCTCTCCACACTGCTTTCCAGGTTCATCACAGATAAGCAGTCACGCTCCAGTGTGATTCAAGACTCTTAGCTTCAGATGTGTCTTTATTTTAACAGCAGGTGTTTCAGTCATACAACCTGGTATACGTTAGGCTAAACTCACTGCATGTGAAATATTTCCTGAGAGTTTTATGTGGTGTCCAAAAACATGGAGGTCCGATAGGTGAAATAGATCCAAGCACGACCCTGATCAGCTCATGTGATTTTTAGTTCACCGCATGAAACAAAGAAATATCAACCAGGTATCATGTGAAGCCATCGGATTATGTAATTCACAGACTTTGCTCTGACTTTGTTGACAATGCAGCGGCTGGAAAAATGCATGGAAGAAGACACAGATTTATTTACAGTTTCCAAGAAAATAAATATCCCTATAAATTGTAATCCGCCTACATCCTCCAGGAAATACGAAACATTAAATCTTCCATCCCCTCCTTCTTCACTGAAGCCATCCTCAACCTCATGTAGATAGAGGAACTTTTTATGATGAAGACAGGTGAAATTATACTGTATCTTGTCTTATTAGAAGCAAGAGAATGTGCTCAATCTGATTTATTATAACAGATCTATTTAAAGCTGTCCTTTCGGGGAGCTGCTAAATTTTCAGATTTATTGACATGAATAGACAGACGAATATTATAATTAATATTCATAATTAAAGACTCTAGATAGTGGGGCACAGGAGTGTAATATCGTGAAATGTTTTCCTTATATCTTGCCCAGTAGATGGTTGAGCAGTTGTTGATTAGAAAATAAATTGTTTTGACTCTGTAAAGTTTTCCAAACTTAACTCAATGTTGTATTATTCAATTACATATTTTTCTATCCCTCCTAATGGTTTTTGATTGTATTTTTAAGATACTCTTTGTTTTTTGTCAAGCTCTCTGACTGACCTTTATACTTCAGCTATAACGTGGTACAAAGATGGCCGACCGTTGACAAGTGCAGCCGGAGTGACGATGTTGAAGCGCGGCCAGGTGCTGGAGATCGAACGGGCCCAACTGTCTGATGCCGGCCTGTACAGATGTGTGGCGGTCAACTTGGCTGGAGTTGCTGAAATATCCCACAGCCTGCAGGTGTATGGTGGGTATCACTGAACAAAGATCATTTAAAGTGATATTTAAGACTAGATAATACAATGAGTCTTTTCTGTGTTTATTTCTCCCTGCAGTGCCTCCTGTCATCTCCAGTCGAGGTGGCACAGTGACAGTTGTGGTGAATGAAGCTGCCAGGCTGGAGTGTGAGGCCACTGGGGTTCCTGCTCCCAGCCTCACATGGCTCAAAGATGGCAGCCCGGTGGCAAGTGTATCACATGGCATACAGGTGTTTACACAGTACTCCAAAAGAGAGCATAATGTTTCTCCTCCTGATTAGCTCAGTCTACTGTACATCAGCTGAGCTTAATGTCAGTCTATGTCAGCTGAAAGCTCAGCTGATTAGCATTATAGGACTGTATAGAAGAGTCATAGTCTTTCTTCTTTTTGCCTTGCTTTGTGTTTTTAGTCTCTCCTTCTCTCTTCTTCTGTCAGGTGTTGTCTGGTGGCAGAGTGTTGTCTCTGAAAAGTGCTCTTGTCAGCGATACAGGCAGATACACCTGTGTGGCTGTCAATGCTGGAGGAGAACAACAAAGAGAGTATGATCTTAAAGTTTATGGTGAGTAAATAACCCTGTTGAGAGTACAAGGCAGAGGAGTTGAACTGAGAGTCAGCTTGCATTTCTATCTCTGATGACATGTGATCATGCGTGTCTACTTTGACACAACATGAGCAGAAACATTATTGATGGAGGCTTCGAAATTGAAGGATTTTGTGCTATATTTTACCTAAACTTATGTAGACTTAACATCTGCACTCCCTTTACTCCCTGTTTTTTCACTCTTTTCTGTTATTTTACAGACAAAGCAATAACTAGATTTTGCAAATTGACCCTTTTTATTGACTCAACTTTTGTTATCATTTTAGTAAACAGCAAAAAGCTAAACTTTCTTTGGTAAGAAGTGTGTCTAACTATTAAGAGTTTTGGAAATGGCCATGAATTTGAGACTTATAGTAGTCGTTAAGCAGGTAATTTATAGCATGAGTTGTGGACAGATGCCGTTGAAAGATGGGTTAAACTCTCCTCTGTAGGACGCAGTCTTCCTGGCCATGACTCTAATGTCTTTTCCTTGTTGCCCTTCTTGTTTTACTGGATAATGTTTTGGCTGACTGTACTTTGGCTCTCAACAGAGCGCCAGACTCAGCACAAAGCATTGGCTGTAAAATTGTAACAATATTTGAAAGAGGCCTCGAGCGAAACATGTGCAAGCAGAGTGAGGATGATATGACTGAGTTTAGCATTTTAGTAAACCTTGTCAGTTTCCTCCACAGAGCTGAGCTTGATGGCGGATTAGTTGTTGTACAACTTTAATCAAAGCTAATGTCCCTGAGGAAATAAAAGACAAGTAGTTTACATACCTTACTCATGTGTCCGTTCCTGTATGCCTGTTTTAACATATGCACGCAGAAACAAACATCTCGATGACGTTTGTTTCCTCACAAAGATCAAAAGGAGCTTGTCCAGCGAAATAGAGGCAGATTTGTTGTGGTAATTGCTACCATTCTCCGGCAGCTTCCTGTGTCTGGCCAAATACTGAACGGAGAGCCTGTTTCTGTCCTTCCCCAGTGGCTTCAGCTCTGTCTGTGCAGTAACCATAATGAAGGGGAATTCAGGGGTCAGCAGTTATTTTCTAAAACAGGCCAGATTCACCAAAATATCAGAGCTATCTCATCAAAATCTGATGAACTGGTAAAAATAGTCACTGAAAATAGATGTGATATATAAAGCCTTTTCTGCTGTTTGAATATGGACACTGTCATACTAAGGGTGGAGGGAAATTTCCCACAATTTCCTCCACTCTGTTTGTGCCAAGTATAAATCCAGCCCGGACTTATACTTTTGGAAATGCAGTCGATCAGTCCCAGCAACACCCATCTATGGTTGAGATGTTACTGGGACTGACAGAGGAGGACAAAAAGGTTTTGTTTTGGTTTGTTTTTGTGGGAATTTCTGCTTCTGAGTCATTTTGTATCTCAAAGCATGTTTGTAATTTCCATGGTTATGAAATTTCATAAAGCCCCGAGAAATAAAAGTTCTCTGACTGTTATTACGACAAACAAATGTTGGGCTCTGAATTTGACAGTCTTTGTATTTCAAAAGGCTTTAGCTTTGTTAGCAAAAGAAACTAATTACTAGGAGTTTAAGACTAACACAACGATTAATCAATGCAGAGGATCATGCAACGATTTAGTGTCTCCCTTTGTGCACTTGTTCGATTTTATATGGAAGAGATGTTTTAGTATCCTGCCTCTGTGTCTGCCACAGTGCCGCCTAACATTAAAGGTGAGGAGGTGAACGCTACAGTGATGCTCGGCCGTCCTGTAGAGCTGCACTGCCAGAGCGATGCAATCCCTCCACCTACTCTCTCCTGGCGCAAAGATGGACGCCCACTCTTCAGGAAGCTGGGTCTGACTGTCTCGGCTGATGGCAGTGTGCTCAAGGTAAAGCCGGAATCAGAGATCATAAAAACGAATGTCACCCTGCAAATCCCTTCTCTCCTCAGACACCTCATCCAATAAAGAAAACTCTTATAAACTCTTAACTGGGTTTGCAGTTTAAAGTGTCTGTTGCAATATCTCACTCTTTGTCTGTAGGTGGACAGAGCCCAGGTGCAGGATTCAGGCAGGTATTCCTGTGAAGCCACGAATGTTGCTGGTAAAACAGAAAAGAACTACAACCTCAATGTCTGGGGTGAGTTCAAATCAATTATGGTTCGATCCTCTTTTTGTTTTTCCACGGAGAAAAGTTTTTGTGTTGAACCAGCTCTTGTTAAAAGACCACATTGGCCAGTTTCCTTTGTTAGCTCTGGTTGACCTGACTGACCTCCAGTTTCACATGACTACAGTATGGTACTATTTGGGATAATATGTTCTTTTATAAATGTATTATTATAAGATTAATTGGTCTTGGGATCCTCTATATTAACATTTTATTTATCTGTCATATGTAGATGTCAGATAGGTATTTAAGCGGTTTACTTTTGTGTTGAAGTTAAGTGAAATACACAAGAACATACCTTGAATGAGATGTGAGCGCCCCCTTTTGGTGTCCTGTCATTATTACAGTTTCTCCAAGTATCCGAGGCTCAGAGGAGGTGTCTCCACTGACCGTGATTGAAGGAAGTTTGATCACTCTAGTGTGTGAGTCCAGCGGCATACCACCACCCAGCCTCACCTGGAGAAAGGATGGTAAGTGTAGTCAGTGTGTGAGTTTAGAGAGTGACAACTGATGTGAAAACTAAGATGTCACTGTGATGTTTTATGATGGAATGAATCTGGTCTACATTGTGATTCTGTTTGTTCAAGGTTCAGAGTTAAAGTCAGACCAGCGGCTCAGGGTTTTGTCAGGAGGTCGACAGCTGCAGATCTCCAGTGCTGAGAGGACAGACACAGGCTCTTATACCTGCACAGCTTCTAGTGCTGCAGGCACTACATCCAAGGAGTTCAGTCTGCAGGTTTATGGTGAGTGGGTGTGCCGATATATATCTGAAGCAAAAAGTAGATGTTATTCTATCTTGCATAAGTTGAAAGAAAAATAAAAACGATAGTAAATGCAATCTCAAAAAAAGTTAGATACTTACTTTCAGGAGCCACAAATGATGAAATGATTTAATTTGTAAGTAGTTAGCGTCTCCTCTTTTATCACTTCAGTCCGCCCTTCCATCAGCCGCAGTGAGGGCGACACAGACGACATCGCTGTGACTAAAGGAGGTGATGTGACCCTACAGTGTGCTGCAGAGGGCATGCCTCGACCAGCAATCACGTGGCTAAAAGACGGGCGGCCTATCACAGGCCAGCACGGTGCAAAGGTTCTGAACGAGGGGAGGCTGCTGCAGATTAAAGACGCTAAGGTGTCAGACACGGGACGCTACACGTGCATCGCTGTTAATGTTGCAGGACAAGCTGATAGAAAGCACGACATCAGTGTTCATGGTAAAAATAACCATTTAATGTTTGTTTTTGTCTTTTTTTATAGAGATACGGTTAAACTTAAGGTTTAAAATGTTCTTTCTGACTCTTTCCCTCCTTTCTCTCTCTGTTATTCAGTCCCACCTAGTATAATTGGTCAGGTCGACTTGCCTGAAAATGTGAGTGTTGTGGTGAAGAACCCTGTAGCTTTGAGCTGCGAGGCTTCTGGTATTCCTCTCCCGGCTATTACCTGGCTAAAGGACGGACGGCCAATCAAAGCTTCCAGCTCAGTGCGAGTGCTCTCAGGTGAGCTTCTGTTTCACTTTCTGCGCTCCCTCTGATAACGAAGGATCGATTTTTTGTCTCATTGTTATCAAAGTTTCTTTTTTTGTGAGATAGTCCAGACCTTTAGAGAAGTGAGTCGAGCTAGTTTGCTTCCCTCACCGGGTCTCAAAGGCCAAGTGGTTGTAATACATCACCAGTAATTAGATGTAACAGGATCATTGCATCTGGAGCCAAATCCAACAGACAGAGATTTGCGAAAGAAGACAAACAGAAGCAACTGCTTTAAATTATGTTTTTGAACATTTAACAAGATTTATTAGGTGCTACTTGTCCTAACTCCAGCCCTTAAAGTTCAGCACATTCCCATAATAACTCAGCAGGAATAAACACAACACTTCGCTTTGTTTTGCCAAGGAGACCCATTTAGTACTTGACTTTTTCACATTTGGTGCTCAATTTTAGGATCATTGAAAATACTTGGAAACCAAATATGTCCGTTATTTGGTCAATTTAGCAATCAGATTCTGACCAAAGTAATTAAGAGGTTGAGGCATTCCTGTGGTCAGTGAGAAAGGTACATGTTTATCAGGTTGTAGTCTGGGGTCAGCAGAAATCACAGATTCTCATGAACTCTGTGAGGACGTCATTGTTTTCAGAAAGAGATGCCATTCGTTTTTAGTCTCGGCAAACTATTTCGTAAATGTTTGAACAGCTGTGAGCTCGGAGTGTCTGACTCAGAGTCTTTCTGGTAATTGATCCCACTTTTCAAAGAGTGGCGATTTTCCCTGTAGGCGTCTGTGGGAAAAAGAAAGATTTAACATCACAGAGCCTGACACAGCAGCTGAAAACATCCTATGATCAAGTTGAATTATCGATAATTAAAAGCCTGTTTGATCTGCAGGGGGCAGGAGCCTGCGTCTGATGCACGCTGCAGTGGAGGATGCTGGGAGGTACACATGTATTGTCTCTAACGTTGCTGGAGAGGAAAGGAAGAACTTTGACCTCGACATCTTAGGTAAAGATTTAATGGGCATATTCAGGTACTTTCACGGTTTGCATAATGTTGCACAGGGTGAACTTTTGTTAGTGTTTGTTAATAGATGATACCTGAAATTCACCAAGGGAGCTTTCCATTTGGTAGAAATCATAAAGAATATATGATTTTGATTTTTCTTTAACAGTTCCACCCAGTGTTGTGGACGAGGGCACTGTGTTGGACACCAAAGTCAAGGAAAAGCACAACATTACCCTCACCTGTGAGGCCTCAGGTAATATTCCCTCCTCTGCACTCACATCAAACTCCCACGTATAAAAAGTCTGTTTATTCAACTCTTTAAGATTCATCTTTATTCTTCACTGCCAATCATTTCCAGGTAACCCTGTACCGGAGATAAAATGGCTGAAGGATGGACAGCTGTTGGTGCCTGACAGACGCCACCAAGTTCTGTCTCATGGACGTTTCCTTCAAATTTCTGAGGCTCAAGTAGCGGACACTGGCAGGTACAGCTGCCTGGCGTGGAACAGCGCAGGAGATCGCAGCCGGCATTACAACCTCAATGTCCTCGGTAACACAACACAGTCATCTGTTTAAGAGGATTTTAAGTCACTCTCTGTAAAACAACACCTGATTGAATTGCACTCTTCTCCTTAATTTTTTTGACAGTTACTCCCACCATCGCCGGATCAGGTCCTGACGGCTCAGCAGATGAGGTGACGGTTACTCTGAGCAGCCCCACCTCTCTTGTGTGTGAAGTCCAGTCTTACCCTCCTGCTCTCGTCACTTGGCTGAAAGACGGCACTCCGTTTGAGTCCAGCCGCACCGTCCGAGTCCTTCCAGGTCAGAGATCATAATCATTAAATTATTGTGCTCAGTTTGTTTGGTCCTTTAATTATTAAGTGAATATCATGTTTTCACAGGTGGGAGAACGCTGCAGATTCTCAACGCTAAAGAAGAGGATGCTGGGAGATATACTTGTGTGGCCACTAATGAGGCCGGAGAGACTCTGAAGCACTATGAGGTCAAGGTTTATGGTAAGAATGTTAAAACATACTTAAGTAACTGTCATCTGACTTGTTGACACATATAAATCTGTCAATTGAACATATAACCTGAAGAGGCTGCAGTCCTTAGTGCATGTCACTCTTTCCTGTCCCTCTTAAGCCGTCCGATCAATAAGGACATTAATTGTCCCAAAAAATACTTCTATAACCTGTCTCTTGTCTTCAGTTCCTCCTCAGATCAATAAGAACGATATCCCAGGAGAAGGTCTGACCCCGAAAGAAGTAAAGATCAAGATCAACAGCACACTAACCCTGGAGTGTGCAGCTCAGGCTTTTCCCACCCCTGCACTGCAATGGTACAAGGATGGACAGGTAGACAGCTGATGTTATTCCTTGGAATTATGGGAAATCATTAACATAAAGCGTATGAAGATGAATTTATGATTTATGTCTTTCCTTGCACAGATCCTGCGTGCAGATGACCACGTGTCCATAACAGCCAACGGCCGTATCGTCCAGATCAAACATGCTCAGGTGTCAGACACGGGCCGCTACACCTGCGTAGCCACCAATATAGCTGGAGAGGATGAGAAGGACTTTGATGTAAATATACAAGGTGAACTGGGTTGACTGATGCTGATGTCTTAACAGAGACCATTTGTGCCTCTAATGGGCTCTGAGAGTTTTTCTTATTGTTGTAATGGTATCTGACTTTGAAATATAGCTGATATTACAGAAAATACATTTAGGATAAGACCCATTATGTTGATGTCAGCAGTTTTTAAGACAAATCTACAGCCATGATTTCTATTTCCATCCCAACTACACTCAAATATAAAGCGATCACCAGAAGGGCTGACATTTTTCCTCATTTCTTTTTAGTTCCACCTAACTTCAACAGGCCGGGTGGAGTTGGTGACACCACGTCTTCCTCAGGCTTTGGAGTGGATGTACGTGATGTGATCCTCAACAACCCCATCTCTCTGTACTGTGAGACCAATGCTGTCCCTCCTCCTACACTCACCTGGTACAAGGACGGACAGCTGCTGACCTCCAATGACAAAGTTCTGATCCTGCCAGGTGAGACAAACCAGAAAGAAAGAACTGATTGAAAGAGCCAGAGCAAAGCAGAGGTTGGGTTTGTATTAAGAAATTTGATTTTCAGGTGGACGGGTGTTACAGATTCCCAGATCCCAGGCTGAAGACTCCGGCAGGTACACGTGTGTGGCTGTAAACGAGGCAGGCGAGGACTCCATCCAGTACGATGTTCGGGTTTTATGTAAGTTTAAACACTTTTCTTTGAGCTACAAATATCAATCCGAAAAAAAACAACTTCACATGTTAAAGTTTCTCGTGTCTTTCCTGAAAAAGTGCCCCCGATCATACGAGGAACAGACAGCGATTTGCCCGATGAGGTCACAGTCCTGGTCAACAAAACCACACAGCTGGAGTGTCACGTGGATGGAAACCCCGCCCCTAAGATCACCTGGTATAAGGATGGCCAGCCAATCGAGTCCGAGGGGCCATATCGGATCCTGTCTAATGGGCGAGCGCTTCAGGTAACAACCAGGAACCACAGACGGTTATTTGGAGCGTCTTCATTCTGCAGCCAGTCAGTCAAATCTATTTCAGGATAAACAAATGCACTGGTGAGTTCGTTAAAATCATTTATCTGCATTTTCTCATCCAACAGGTGTCGACTGCTCAGGTGTCGGACACAGGACGATATGTGTGTGTGGCGGACAATTTGGCGGGGAGTGCAGAAAAATTCTTTAATCTTAATGTTCATGGTGAGTCAAACTTTATTTTTGCTAACAACCCAAATAATGTTTATATGAACTTAAATACTGTAAACAGACAAACTAAACCGACTGTAGTAATAAGGAAATAACTCTTAGGTTTGCAATGATTGGTAAATTCATGTTTTGTTGAATTAATATTTGTTATCTCTTGATTTCAGTGCCTCCGACCATTATCGGTCAAAACCCCGAGACCATGACTGTCGTGGTGAACAACTTTGTGTCCCTGTCTTGTGAAGCCACTGGTTTCCCTCCTCCCACACTGAGCTGGTTAAATGAAAGGGGCCCCATTCAGCCGAACACCAACGCACTCATCATGCCAGGTACCCAGAATATAAAATCATCTACAGGGTTACAGTTAGCAGGAAAAAAAAAGTGCAAACTGTATTGAATTGAAAGACAATCAGAGAATATGATGATGTCTGCTTGCACGTTTGTTCCCTCAGGTGGTCGTACTCTGCAGATCCTCAAGGCTAAAGTATCTGACGGGGGGAAGTACAGCTGTGTGGCCATGAACCCAGCAGGAGAAGCTTACAAACACATCCACCTGACTGTTTTTGGTAACAGAGTGTGACATGAGGCCCTACTGCAGTTTTAGCTTCTGGTTTTATATCGCTGACTGGCTTTAAATGTCTCTTTCTGCTCCCTTTTAGTCCCTCCAAGTATCCGGGACAGCAGCGGTGACTCCCCTGTAGTGGTGAATGTCCTCGTTGGGAAATCAGTGACTCTGGAGTGTGAGTCCAATGCTGTGCCTCCTCCCACCATCACCTGGTACAAAAATGGCAGGATGGTGACAGAATCAGCCAACCTACGCATCCTGGCAGAAGGACGGCTGCTCGAGATTAAAGGCTCAGAGGTAAAACAGTTTTTTTTTCTTGTGTTATAGTTTCAGTCGAGGAGAAAAAGTACAGGTCTCTAGATTTTACTTACATAAGGGCTAGAGAGGTACAGCGAATCAGGACAGTGTCTGATGTGTGTTTTTTGATTATTTAAAGCATTTTCTTCTCTTTCAGGTGTCTGATACTGGACAGTATGTTTGCAAAGCCACAAATGTTGCAGGACAAGTAGACAAGAACTTCCATTTGAATATCTATGGTAAAACAAAACAACAACAACGGGGTCTTTCTTGAATAACGTTCAAAAACCTACAAGAAAACTCTTAAAATCCGAGTCTCTTTCTAATCCTCCTAGTTCCTCCCAGCATTGATGGCCCAGCAGAGGAGAGGGTTGTTGAAACCATCAGTAACCCTGTCACCTTTGCCTGTGATGCCACTGGAATCCCTCCTCCCAGTCTGGCCTGGTTAAAGAATGGGAGACCCATAGGTAAACCTGTGTCAAAGAGTTTTATTATCTCATCCTTTCATTTCAGATACCTTTTTTTGAGAAATTTGACCAACCGGGACAAGAAAGAGAGAGTAATATTATAGAAATAAATAGATGTTTATATAAACATATGAACTTTTAACTTTTTATCTGCAGAGAACTCAGAGTCTCTGGAGATGCACATCTTCTCAGGAGGAAGCAAGCTGCAGATTGCACGCTCACAGCTTTCTGACAGTGGCACATACACGTGTGTGGCCTCCAACGTGGAGGGCAAAGCACGCAAAAGCTACCACCTCACCATACAAGGTACATGCACAAACGCAGCCTCAGAAAACTGTTTATTCTTCTTATCTTAAACTAGCAGAATGTGCTTTTTCCCTGCATAATTTTACTCAGTATGTTTGTGTTATGGTTTTATGTTCCCTTACTAAATTAAATATCAGCTGATTTATGGTCTCATCAGATAATCTCAGGATTTTGCTACAGCTGGTAATTCTCTCTCAGTCCCTCCTAGTATCTCTGGATCAGAGTTGCCCAGTGAAATGGGAGTCCTGCTGAATGAAAGCATCCAGTTGGTTTGTAGAGTTCAGGGAACGCCAACACCCACAATCCAGTGGTTGAAGGACGGAGAAGTCATTAAGAACACGAGGAACACGGGGCTCAGGTAATAATTGCCCTTAAAAAAAAGAGGCTTAAAGATGGATAAGCTTTTGTTAACTTGTAAGGATTAAATCTAACAAGGTTGTTCAAACTAAGGCTTAAATTTTTAGAAAACTGCACACTACAACTACTGAAAGAGAAGAAAAAAACACTGCATCATGGTTATATCTATCATGTTAAATACATTTGTATGTTTTGTATTCATAATTTGACAAATAAAATGATAGTGGATGATGTTATTATGATTATAAAGATGAACATGTTGCATTCAGGATCAGTCCGGATCAAAGTACGCTCACAGTGACCGGAGCTCACACATCTGACAGTGGAAAGTACACCTGCGTGGCCACCAACACTGCAGGAGAGGAGGACAGGATATTCAATCTGAATGTGTATGGTGGGTTGTCAAATTCATACGACATGTTCTTGCTTATTACCAAAAGATCTCTTCAAGACTTTACTGACTGTTATCTTTACTCTCTTTTTCAGCTCCTCCTGTGATTGACGGCAAGAGCAGTGAGACAGCCGAGCACTTAACTACAGTTCTGGACAGTTCTGTCAACATTGAGTGTGTCGCTACAGGCTCACCTCCGCCTCAGCTGAACTGGCTGAGAAATGGCCTCCCTCTGCCTGTGTCCTCCCACATACGGCTTCTCTCTGCAGGACAGGTGCTCCGGTAGGTCAGTGGACAGGACTCAAGAGGGAAAAAAAGAGATATGTTGTAGTGTTTTTTTAACTTTAAAACAAATTAAAGTTTGTTTTGCATGTATAGTTTTAGAGTTATTTGAGCATTTGTGTTGTAGAAAACTTTTTTAACTTCTGCAGGTTCTTCTGCTTTTAGAAAGTTATTAGATTAACATAGATGTAAAATGCATTTAAAAGTCTAAATCTTGCTATGTCATGTCAGTTTCTACACTCTGCAAACATTTAGGGGTATGAAAGTGAAAGAAGGTGTTTTGCTATGATATGTTCTCCAGAAACATTTTTGTTATCAAACTGAGCTGGATAGTTGGTAAGAATAACAGAATAATGATTTTCCGTGCATTTGCATCCATCAGGATTACCCGCACTCAGGTGTCAGACAGCGGCACCTACACCTGCGTTGCATCAAACAGAGCGGGAGTGGACAACAAACATTACAACCTGCAGGTGCACGGTAAGTTTAAAAACATCCAGCAATCAATCAAACCAGAGAAATTAAGTCATTTAAATCGAACTAAACAGCTGGGATGTTTGTGTCTCTCAGTCCCTCCTGGTCTGGATGGAGCAGGGAGCACAGAGGACGTGACTGTGGTCAGAGGACACTTAGCCTCTCTGCAGTGTATTGCTGATGGGACTCCCACACCCACTATGACCTGGCTCAAAGAAGGGGTGGCTCTAATTACTGACCCCCACCTCAAATTCCTTAACCTGAACACAACTCTGCAGATTATCCAGGCTCAGGTCAATGACACAGGGCGGTACACCTGCAGTGCTAACAATACTGCGGGTCAAGCTAGCCGTCATTTTAACCTGAAGGTCCTGGGTGAGTGAAAGCGGATTATGACACTCATTCTGCAGCTTCACTTGTCGATTTATGGATGAGAAAATAACGTTTAACTGGGTTTTGTTTTCTTTGTTAGATCCTCCACGCATCGAGGGCTCAGGTGTGCCGACAGAGGTGTCTGTTGTGGTCAATAATGTCCTGGAACTTCAGTGTGAGGCCTCTGGTATCCCTGCGCCCTCCTTGACTTGGCTGAAAGATGGGCGCCCACTCCCGCAGACAGATAGCCTCCGCCTCCTTCGTGGCGGGGAGGTGCTCCGGGCCTCATCAGCACAGGTCAGTGACGTGGGACTGTTACAATGAATCCCATTTCTTCTCCAATTTTAATTGATGTCATTTTCTTTTTCACATATCAAAGGCTTTATTTGTGTTTGAATTTTGTTGCATTTTTCCGTATTTAGTTGGAGGACACGGGCAGATACAGCTGTTTAGCTAACAGTCCAGCAGGAGACGATGACAAAGACTTTCTAGTGCGAGTGCATGGTAAGTCACGCAGATATTTTTCCTCATGCTTGTGCGAACATAACAAATACATTGACATAACACAAGGTGATATCACATTTTGCTGCACAGTCCATGTCAATAAGTCTATTTCTGGTCAGTTCCTCCTAACATTGCCGGGGAAAGCACACCTCAGAACGTTTCAGTGCTGCAGAACAGACAGGTGACCCTGGAGTGCAAGTCAGACGCTGTTCCTCCTCCAACTGTGACCTGGCTCAAAGACGGTCAACCATTAAAGGTCAGAAATCATATTTTAACAATTCACTCAATGCTGTTAATTTACTTTGAATATATATTCGCAACTGACTTTTTAATTGTCATCCAGGCCTCTGCGCGTGTGCGTGTCCTGTCAGGTGGACGCTACTTGCAGATCAATATGGCTGAGCTGGGTGACAGAGCTCAGTATACCTGTGTGGCCAGTAACATCGCTGGCAAGACGACGCGGCAGTTTAACCTGGCAGTCAATGGTACAAGCATATGTTAAATTCATAGCTGATTAAACGGAGAAATACAAAAAAAAGAGGATGATCTAGATCTTCTCTGGCGAACTGGCGCAGTCTGAATAAAGACTGAATGATGAAAGAAAACTAAATATTCTTAGATAACTAAAGAAGATGACAATGAGTCTCTCCAGCTGATATCAGTTTTGTTTTATTATTTTTCTTTTTTTTTGACATTTAGTTTATTTGATGTTGTATTGTTTAAGATTCAGCATGTTTTAATTTACTTGTACTGATGGGGAGGATTCAGTATAAGTCCTTTAGGCGTCTTTCTCTCCTGCACAGTTTGCTGTACTTCTTTGTTTTAAATATGTAGTTATTTTATGTCTACTTTTGTGCAAAAATAAATAACAAAAATTAAAATAAAAAAATAAGTGGTTACGGACTTCAAATATGAATATGTCAATAACTGGCCATCTGTGTTACGTCTCTTTAGTGGCCCCAACAATCAAAGAAGGCTCCCAAACAGTGTCAGTGCACATCAACAAGCCAGCTGTGTTGGAGTGCATTGTAAGTGGTGTGCCACCACCACGCGTATCCTGGAGGAAACATGGTGCAGTCTTGGCAGGAAATAACCCCAGGTGAGTCCACATACAGTTCAGCGAGCATGCATTTCCTATGGGTCTATCCACACAGAGATCTATCCAAAGTTGTCTGTGATAGGGTGACCATATTCTAAATCCCCAAAAAGAAGATACGACTTCGCGGGGGCGGAGTCACGGAGTCACAAGAAGTTAATTTTGAGAGTTTTTTGGGTTGGATCGAGTGTCTTTTACTCGCTTCTAACTCAGTAAGTCCACGTGACACAAACTCAAAACTTCCGTACAAAATCGCAGACATTTGAAGGACTTTATAAACTTCCCCGGACAAAACCAGACAAGGCCGGACAGCCCCCCAAAAAAGAGGACATGTCCGGGTAAAAGAGGACGTATGGTCAACTTATCTGTAATTTATTTGGAGGCTTTATGTTATTAAAAGTCTGCATACTCAGTGTTTATGTATTTTAACATTTTAGACCTAACTCGTCACGTTTTGTCATTGCTGTATCTTTGCTCAGGTACACATTTTCAGAGGATGGTTCATTACACATCCACTCTGCCCAAGTGACTGACACTGGTCGCTACCTGTGCATGGCAACAAATGAAGCAGGGACACAGCGCAAAAGAGTTGATCTGCAAGTATATGGTGAGTAGTTTATATATAAAAACATGTGAATGCTTTGAAACTGTTTCCATCCTCCCAAAAACAGTCAGGAGGTCATTTATTTCTTTTTCTGTCTTCTTGCAGTCCCTCCCTCCATCGCTGATGGCCGCACTAATGTGACTGTCACAGTCAATGTTCAGACCACTCTGTCTTGCGAGGCCACAGGCATCCCCAAACCCACGGTCAGCTGGATGAAAAATGGTCGCGCCATCAACACTGACCAGAACCAGAATATGTACAGGTTGATCCAGGTTTTCTCCCTCTCCGTTTTCTTATTCAAGATTAAAAACTCTCAGAAGGACAGAACAAATTCCTCACTTAGGGCAAAAATGGAATCATTTTTTTGAATAGTTTGCATATTTATAGGGTTGATAATTACAACGAAACAACTCTATTTGTAACAAAAATTCTCCTTATTTTCAGGTTATTGTCATCAGGCTCCCTGGTAGTGATAGCGCCCACAGTGGAGGACACAGCTGTGTATGAATGTGTTGTCTCTAATGAAGCAGGCGAAGATTCAAGATCCATCAACCTCACTGTCCATGGTGAGTGACACTGACACCATCAGCTGGGATTAAAACTTTTAGACATTTTATTTCTATCAATCTCTGACAAAAGTTTTTTTGTTTGTTTTTTTTGTTATAATGTTCTCCCTCCAGTTCCTCCATCTATAGCAGATGAGTCCACAGAGCTAGTTGTAACCAGACTGTCCCCAGTGGTTATTGGCTGTACTGCATCTGGGGTTCCTGAGCCTACGATCCACTGGAGCAAAGACGGCAGGAAGCTTTCCAAAGAGGGGAAGGGTTACAACATTCTGCCAACAGGTGAGAAAAAATACATGCAAAGAACATCCAAGTTTTTAAATTGCCTCTAAAAACACTAAAATCAAACAAATATCTCTTATTATCATCTCCTCTCTTCATACACTGATGAAACAAGGATTGTCCTAAGTAATGGATATACAAAGAGCATATTAATATTTATTTTGTGTGATGGTTTTTCTCTTTAGGTCCGATAGAGATCACCTCAGCAGAGCTCAGTCATGCAGGACGTTACTCATGCACGGCTAAAAATGCTGCAGGCTCCACCCACCGCCACGTACAGCTCACAGTGCAGGGTAAGAGTATACCGAGATGGAATAAACACGACTGCTAGGATGTTTTTTTATTTTTTAACTTGATCATATTTTTCCTTCATCTTGAGCATCTCTGTTTTTCCCATCACTCTCCTCAGAGCTTCCAGTGATCCAGTCTCATCCGTCCATCCTGGATGTGATCCTGAATAACCCCACTATTCTGCCCTGCAGGGCCACAGGCTCACCAAGACCTACCATCACCTGGCAGAAGGAGGGCATCAATATACCCACCACAGGTAGTAAATCCTGACCGTATCTGTATGTTCACAGCTGAAAGTAATTGGTCATAACATTGTCTCTCCTGTACGGTACCAGGTGGAATTTTCACAGTGCTGCCTAACGGAAGTCTCCAGATCTCTAAGACCTCCGTGTCAGACTCAGGAACATACATATGTGTGGCTCAAAACCCTGCAGGGACTGCACTAGGAAAGACAAAACTCAGGGTACAAGGTAAGGCACACACTCGACACTCTAGTGCATTCATACAAACGTCATTCACTAAATCATATTTATCAAGTCTTTGGCAGTGGTAAATGTCTTGAAGCCCACATTGGATTATATTCATGTCCTCCTTTTTCTTACACTGTTTGATGGGAGTGATATTTCTATTTGCCTTTTTCTCGCAGTCCCTCCAGTAATCACCTCAGAGACTCAAACTTACGTGGCACCCGTGGACTCCTCCGTAACGCTTCAGTGCCAAGCGGACGGCTCCCCTCCCCCGTCTGTCTCATGGTACAAAGATGGGCAGCCACTTAGGGAATCTGTACGCCAGCGGGTTCTCAGTTCAGGATCCCTGCAGATCGCGTTCATCCAGCCGAGTGACACTGGGCGATATACCTGCACTGCTGCAAACGTGGCGGGAACTGTCAGCCTTGAGATGAGCCTCACTGTTCACAGTAAGACTCTCAATCACATGTACTATACAGTGTATTTTTGATGAAAACAAATCCAGAAAATAAGCCTCGTTGTTGATACATGGTATTAGGGGACTGTATATTTCACGGGAAACTCTTCCTTTGCAGTCCCACCTTCAATTCGGGGTGGAGAGCCGGAGGTGTCAGTGGTGGAGAACAGTCAGGCTCAGCTGGTATGTGTGGCAGAGGGGGTTCCTCAGCCCAGTCTGTCCTGGGAGAAAGATGGTACACCTCTCACTGAAGGCACAGGGGAGTTCACAATCCTGCCCTCTGGAGAGCTGGTGATTGACAGTGCCCAAGTAAGAGAAACAGGGAAATATCTTTGTACTGAATTTAGTCTTAGTGCTTCTGTCCAGATGTTGTAGGTTTTAAGTCCTGCGATGTGGAGCCTGCTAATCTCCTCTTCTTTGTGTCTTTTTTCTGCACCAGTCTGAAGATGCCGGCATTTACACCTGTGTAGCCACTAACGCTGTGGGACAGGACAGTCACACAGTGTCCCTTTCTGTTCACACTCACCCTATCTTCACCGAGCTGCTCGGAGACGTGGCTCTCAACAAGGGAGAGCGCCTCCTGCTGACCTGTGGTGTCAGTGGTATCCCCCCTCCAAAAATCACATGGGCATTTAACAACAACATCATCCCAGGTACACAGCTGCATCACACAGCGATTTGATGCACTGTAAAATCCATCAGACAAATGTGAATATGACCTTTTTAAACCTATGACCTTTGTCATTTTTCATAGTACACTACGATCATATGAACGGCCACAGTGAGCTGGTGATAGAAAGAGTGAGCAAAGATGACTCTGGTACGTACACCTGTGTGGGAGAAAACAGCGTCGGAACCATCAAGTCATTGGGCTTTGTCTATGTCAAAGGTAACACCTGATAAAACCTTTCTCCTCAACTTCATGTTTAATTTCTGTTTCTATTAATATCTCACTTGGTTTACCTATATTTTACATTTCTTTGATATATTTTACACGTAAAAACATCATAATTTAAATTCATGCAGATTCAAATGTACTTTGAAATGTTTTTATAGATTAATTTCATGTGTTATAGTGTTTTATGAGCCGTTAATGAAATGTTTGGATCCAGGTTATGCATACTAACTGGGAAGATTTATGGTCACTGCCTTTCTCCAGAGCCTCCTATCATTGATGGAGACCCTCACTCCAATCGTATCGAGCCCCTGGGTGGTAACGCCATCCTGAACTGCGAGGTCCGAGGCGACCCCTTACCCACCATCATGTGGAGCAAAAATGGAATAAACATTCAGATCAACAACCGCATCCGCCAGCTGGACAACGGCTCTCTCGCCATCTATGGCACTGTGGTACGAAAACACTTCATGTAATGGTCTCTTGTGTGTAATGCTTGTAGAAATGCTCCTTTTTTGACCATAATTATAAACTCTTTTGATTCATTTCTTTACAGAGTGAAGATGCAGGCAGCTACATGTGTGTGGCAACAAACGACGCTGGGGTTGTAGAAAGGAGCGTCACACTTACTCTTCAGCGTGAGTTTCTATCGTCTCTTTGTCAGTCCTTCTAAACTCACTTTGCCGTATTTTCTAGGTAAACAAAACAAAAACTGTTATGGCTGAGATGTATTTATACTGAAACCTTGTGTTGATTGAAATCAGGAAGGTCACGTTTAAAGTTCAGCTTCCTTTTTTCAGGTGCACCCACAATCGTAGTCGAGCCGGTAGAGACCGTTGTTGATGCCGGGACTACAGTCCTGCTCAACTGTCAGGCAGACGGTGAGCCGACACCTATGATGGAGTGGTCACGTCAGGGGCGCCCTCTGCTGGGCAACGACCGCTTCTCCACCCTGTCCAATGGTTCTCTCCGGATCAGCAGCGCCCAGAAGGAAGACACGGCTGAATATGAATGTGTGGCCAGAAACTTGCTTGGATCAGTGCTAGTCAGGGTCACTCTGACTGTACGAGGTGAGACCCAACTTTGATTTGAACACCCCAGAGATGCAGTTAAATTGTTTATCTACAATCTACCAAATTAAAAGTACTCATTATTGTTAATTAATTATCCACAGTGAATAAGATCAAATCAAAAACAGCTGACAAATACACCTGTACTGTATTTTCCAGTTCATGGGGGCTTCTCAGAGTGGGCAGAGTGGGGTCCCTGCAGTGTTTCCTGTGGCGTTGGCTCTCAGAAGAGGCTGAGACAGTGCACCAATCCTCGACCTGCTAATGGAGGGCGCCACTGCGCAGGATCAAACACAGAGACGCGTAGTTGTCAGGGAAAGCCATGTCCAGGTGAGTGAAATCAACCTTGTCTCTCCGTGTTAGGAAATGAAGTACAAATGGCGTACACGTATAAAGAGAAAATATATACTTTCATACTTCCAGTGGATGGGAACTGGTCAGAGTGGTCTCTGTGGGAGGAGTGTTCTCGTACCTGTGGTCAGGGGAACAGAACCAGGGTCCGTACCTGCAGTAACCCTCCAGTTCAGCATGGAGGCCGGCCGTGTGAGGGGAAGGCAGTGGAGGTCATCATGTGCAGTGTCAGACCTTGTCCGGGTAACAAAGATTGTCACAAATTTAACTTTCCACCAATGTGGGTAAATGTGTGACTGTTGGCTCAACTCTCTGTTTGTACCCCTGCAGTGGCTGGTAACTGGGGGTCTTGGCTACCCTGGAGCTCATGCAGTGAGACCTGTGGTAAAGGTATGAAGTCCAGGATTCGCTTGTGCAACAATCCTCCTCCAGCTTTTGATGGGCCGCAGTGTGAGGGTTCAGACACCCAAACACAAATGTGCAAAGAAAGACCGTGTCCTGGTGAGCATTCACGCTTGTACAGTTTAGTTCAAATAGAATAGTCACAAACATAATTTCATCTAAAATATCAAAGTGCATGTGACTGAGCTACTTCTTCTTTTCTCTCCCCCCCCAGTGGATGGGAAGTGGTCTTCGTGGGTGAGCTGGGGAGCTTGCAGTGTGTCTTGTGGAGGCGGGACCAGACAGAGAACACGCCTCTGTGCTAGCCCCGCCCCTCAGCATGGAGGCAGGCAGTGTGAAGGCAACGATGTGCACATTGACTTCTGTAACAGTGACCCATGCCCCAGTAAGTCTGTTTAACTTATGTACTATCACAGGTTAGCCGTATGTTTAAGAAAAATTGTTTATCTTCATATCTGTGTGTAAAATCATGTGTACTTTTAGGTTCCTGTAAGGTGTCTTTAACAAACTCACTTTGTGTGTTGTAGTTAACGGTAACTGGGGTCCATGGAGCAGCTGGGGCAGCTGCAGCAAGACATGTAACGGAGGACAGATGAGACGCTACAGGACCTGCGACAACCCGAGACCTGCCAACGGTGGGAGAGCATGTGCAGGAGCAGATACTCAGATACAGAGATGCAGCACAGAGAACTGTCCTGGTGAGTAAGCATGCTTGAGACTGTCTGAGATCGCAGTGTTCACATATCCATGTATTTTAATGGTTTTTATATTTGGAAGGTGTCTTTATTTACACAATATGTACTGATGGCATCAATAATGATAGTAAAAACATTTTTTTATAGAGGTGGTGTGAAGGGAGGAGGTGGAGCTCACATAGTAATGGATATGGACTGAAATTTATGTAAGATTTAGCTAATAGGAAGTAGAAAGATGATAAATAGAGAAGGCCCTAAGAAAGAGCCTTGGGGGACTCCAGCAGTGAGGAGAAATGAAATGAAGAAATGAATTTTAGAGTTTTGTTCTGAATGAGCTAGAAGCAGCCTAGTCTGTCTGTCTGTGTTCTTCTAATTTCTTTGTTTGCATGTGTTTTTTTTTTATAAATTTTTGGGGATTATATCACTACAGTTGATGGTAATTGGGGTTCGTGGCAACCATGGGGAGACTGCTCTGCTTCCTGCGGTGGAGGAGAGAGGTCACGTGTCCGTCTCTGTAATAATCCGTCTCCCAGCAACAGTGGTCGGCCATGTCCTGGAGACTCCTCCCAGCTATCCAGGTGTAACACTCAGGCCTGCCCCGGTATGTTTTTTTTTTAATTAAATGATTAAATGTGCGATTAAGTGCATGGTTGTTGAATTTTTTTTTTCATGCCGTCTATTTTCCAGGTGGGCCTCAGAGGGCTCGAGGAAGCATCATTGGGAATATCAATGATATTGAGTTTGGCATCGCCATCTTAAACGCCACTATCACAGATAGTGAGTCAGACGGCAGAATCATCAAAGCTACTATCACGAATATACCAAGAACTTTAGGTAAGCTGTCAAACAGCTGTTTTTATTTTTATGTGTTATTTTTTCCTCTGCCTTAGTTCAGCTGGCACAGTTTGGTTGTATGAATATACTGACGAATGAATTATTCCCCTTTTCTGCCTGATTTAAAGGTCCTGCGATGAGAAAGCTCATCTCAATCCTGAACCCCGTCTACTGGACCACTGCTCAAGAAGTAGGAGAGGCAGTCAATGGTTACACACTGACAGATGGTATCTTCAGGCGAGAGACACAGGTGGAGTTCGCCACAGGTAAGAATGGACTGTCTCTGTGTGCCTCTGACATGCAGAGTAACTATGGTTCGAATATGTTTCTTGCAGGCTGTATAAAAACACAGAAATATTGATCCCTCTTAGGTGAGATACTGAGGATGACCCACATCGCCAGAGGCCTGGACTCAGATGGAGCGTTGCTGCTGGACATTGTAGTAAACGGACACATCCTGCAGCTGCCATCACAGGCTGACATCAACATCAAGGTATAAAGATGAGATGCAAAGATTTGTTGCAGATTGTTGCATTAATTGATTTATGATTTAAAAAAGATTGAATTGTATATAAAACCTGAAATATATCAATATGAACCAAGTTTTATTTGAGCCTAAGATGCTCTGTGCCCCCCTCTTTCAATGAGTCACATTTAGAGATATTAACTTGATTTCAGCTGCTTTACTACAAATTCAGTATCCGCCAAAGTTTGCAGGATTTCTTGTAAGTAAACATTAAAATGTTGCATTAGTTCAAATTGCCTCACATGATAAATGTGTTGGACTCAGGACTACACAGAGGACTACATCCAGACCGGCCCAGGTCAGCTGTATGCTCTGTCTACACGCATGTTCAGTGTGGACAGGGAGAGTGTGCCTTATTCCTGGAACCACACCATCTCCTACGACGTGTCCAAAGGCAAGATGCCCTACCTGGTGGAGATGCTGCGCGCCACTGCCATCAGCGCTCACTACCACCCCCTGGAGGAGATGTTGAAGTACAGCATCCAAGCTAGTATCTCCAAGGGTGAGGAAAATCAAACCACACTGCTCTGAAATAGGAAATTAGACCGTGAAAAAGAAATAACGTGACTTAATGTAAAATTCCCTGTTTATCCTGTAAGTCAGTTGATTAACTCTGGTTTCTGTTTTTTTTTTTTTTTTCATTTCTTTGAATTTTTTGTGATAAAAGTAACAAAAATTTAATGTTGAAACGCTCACATGGTTTTCAGGAGATCGCAGTAACCAGTGTCCTCAGGGATTCACTTTGGTGTCCGCTGGCCCGTACTGTGCAGGTAATGTTGAACACACATAATACTATTCCTAACAAAGTGTGAGTCACTTAACTAGTGTTGTGTTGTTTGTATAAGAAATCAGCAGAACAGTCAAAATATCAGTCATAAAAGTCATGAACCTGATGCTTTAAAAAACTAGCAGACACACTAACTGCGCCTCAAACTGTTGCTGTGATATCGCTGGTGATGTTTTTTGTGCTGCAGATGAAAACGAGTGCAAGGTGGGAAACCCCTGCTCTCACGCCTGCCACAACACTATGGGCACCTACTACTGCTCCTGTCCCCGAGGCCTCACCATCTCAGCTGACGGCAGGACGTGTCAGGGTACTTGTCACACACACGCTTTATGTTATAAATCAGTCAGCTGTTTATCATTGAAGAAATTAAGCTCTTGTTTCTCCTCATAGACATTGACGAGTGTTCGTTGGGCGGTAACGTGTGCCATGAAGGACTGGACTGTGAGAACACGATTGGGTCATACAGATGTGTTATGCGCTGTGGGCGGGGCTTCAGGAGAACGGCTGATGGTCTCAGCTGCACGGGTTCGCCAACAAGCTTTATCGGCTGTATTTAGACTTGATGGAAATGTTGCTGGCATGACATTTGACGTCAGTTTCCTTTCTGTTCAGATATCAATGAGTGCCAAGAGTCCAATCCATGTAACCAGCACTGTCTGAACACGATAGGGAGTTACAGATGTGCCTGTGAGCCGGGCTTTCAACTCAGGAACAGACGCTGTATAGGTGAGACAGCGACCTCTCAGTGTTTACATGCTTTATTGTAACAGTCACAGGAACTCGACACAAATAATTGTCGTTTCTTTTCTCTCTTTTCTCACTGCAGATATAAACGAGTGCAGACAGCGAGTCTGTCGATCAGATCAGCAGTGTAAAAACACACGAGGTGGTTACACATGTATCGACCTGTGCCCCAGTGGTATGACCAAAGGTGCTAATGGGACTTGTGTAGGTAAGGATTCACATGTTTCCTGCTGAGGCAGTAAGCATTTGTCAAAGTTCATGTTATGTAGGGTCAGCTCAGCCACCTAATGTAGTTAACTTAGAGGAATTACAAACCCAAACATTGAAGTTGGCTGAAGTGCACTCTGTAAAACATTTTCAGCACATTACACTGCTGCCACAAGCATTATTGACAAATGCAACACATGCAAGTTTCTCCGCCTGCAGAGCACTGATGGCTGTTTAGATCCGCAGCCTTCAGAAGAGACAAAAAATAAAAAAACTGCCGAACTAGATAACTCTGGATTCCCCTCTCTGTGGTTTTCTACTTCATAAAGCTATCCGGTAACACTTTACAATAACCATAACTGTTAAATAAAACAAACATTTATAAATGCCAAGCAGATAATTTATTAATGTTTAATCATCATTTATAAATAGCATATAGACCATTAATAAATTGTAAACCCTAACCCTAACTTTACAATAACCATCTAAGTAATGTTAATAGATGGTTTATAAACCACTTATTAATCATTTACAAAGTATTACAAACATCAGTTGCAACTTTACAATAACCATCTAAGTAATGTTTATAGATGGTAAAGTGCTACTTACACATATTTTAATCTAGATGTTTTATAACCAGCACTTAAACCCTATATAAACCTTTAATAAATAGTCCATTAATAATTAATGAAAATTATAAATCATAATTTCATTGCTTGTTAATGGTTAAGTAACTATTAACTTACAGTAATAAACTATCTATTTGCCATTTATAATTGGTCTATATGCTGTTTTTAAATGATGATTAAACATTAATAAACTATCTATTTACCATTTATAAATGATGGTTATTGTAAAGTGTTACCAGGCATCCTTTTTTAGCCCACATTTAACGGCATGTCATCGCTGTTAAAGCTGATCACTATTTAGTTTTCTCCTGCAAATAGTGAGAAAATGAATGAACCTCTTGATGGCAGTGTAAAGCTCTGATAAAGTCCATGTATAGCATTGTCTGACACTGTTACTTAAACTTGTGTTTACCTTTCTTAAAGTTAGCTAAGTTATGTCATAAACTTTCTTTGCTGTGCTGATGATTAACATTTACCTCTCAGGGTCCCATTAATGGAAAATCTTTTGTTTTTCACATTGGTTTCCTTTATTTCCTTTGTGTCTCACTGTAGACATCGACGAATGCAGGGACGGCACTCATCAGTGTCGATACAATCAGATCTGTGAGAACACCAGAGGCAGCTACCACTGCACGTGTCCGCGGGGCTACAGGTCACAGGGAGTGGGACGGCCCTGCCTCGGTGCGTAAAACCCTTGTCTTGTAACCTCATGAGGAAATAATATTATTAACAAACTCAGTCCAGTATTTAATGACATTAACATGCTTCATTAGAGACAAAGCAGCTGATACCTCTCCTTGGTTTTTAATCTTTTCAGTAACATTCAGTTTGCCGGGCAAATGAGAAATGTTTGTGCTGCTCCTCCCTCACATCCGCTTGCTTCCTTTCATCGACTCGCTCGCTTCTCGCTCGCTGGCCCCCCTTTTCTCTTCCAGCTGTGTTTAAAGTCTTTAATAATTCCGCTGCCATCTTCATTTCAGTATGCACATTTTGTCCTGCCATTGCTTCTTAACATCTCTGAAACGCTGCGATAAAAAAACTGCCGATTAACTCAACATTGATGCAAAGTTTCTGCACAGACTCACGGCATGGCTTCAGATTATCTGCAGCTAGGTTAATGCCACATTTATTTGCCTCCACTGCTGGACAGGTTTAAGAGACACGGTAGGGTAAAAGGAAAGGGAATAGACAGTGAATGGATCCCTCTTTGACACCACAGCAGTAAGAAAGACCAGCACCAGCACCTCACAGCTCTGTCTGTCTCTTGTTTCCTTTCACTTCTCTCCATTTCTGACTTTGAAAACAGTTCCTCTGATGTTTGGATTTGGCTATTTCCTGGAGTCGCTTTCTATTGGCCGACACTCACTGTTGCACTTTGTGACATCTTTAACATCGTAAACTGATGTCTGTCTTTGTAATATATTCATCAGGCATTAACTGGGATATCACACCTGATATTGACTGTCAATAATATCATCAAAGTTTTATCATCAAGACGTTTCCTCGATTTGATATGAGACTGTCTCATACAAATAGTTTTTCAAAAATACATTTCTGTCTCAGGGACGTGTAAATGTATTGTTGAACAGCGGGGTAATTGACATATACCCTTTCCTCCCCTTCATCCTCGTCTCTCTCCTCTGTTTTCACGGCCCGCACCACCTCATTTTTATCCACCCTTTGCTCTGTTACTCCTGCTCCTCTTTCTTTCTCCTGGTGCTGGTCTGTCTTTGTGTTGAGGGCAGACATAAATGAGTGCGAGCGGCTCCCTCAGCCCTGCGCCCACCAGTGCGTCAACACACCCGGCAGCTTCAAATGCACCTGCCCACCAGGGCGCCACCTGCTGGGTGATGGCAAGTCCTGCGCTGGTCTGGAGCGTCTGCCCAGCTATGAGAGTTACTCATTCGGCTACAGGACGGCACAGTCCTCTCCTGACAGCAGCTCCTACCAGCGACTGTACCACAACATGGCCTCTCAAAGCCACCACTCCTACTCAGCCAACCCAAGGGGGCGCTACAGGGGCCGGAGTCGTAGGGAGGCCAGCATGCAGGGTTTCCTCGTTTGTCGGCAGGGGTTTGAGTCCAAGGGTGGCTCCTGCGTAGGTAACTATGGAGGATAGGCAGACATGAAAGGAGAGAGGGTGCAGATGAACACTGAAGCTGCTGCTCGAGCTTTAAACATGGAAGAGTGTTTCTGAAATAGTGTCTCAGTACATCGCTTATTTCCCCTACGCCACTTTGCGTTTGTCTTCATGTTTGTGCCTCGCCAACAGACATCAACGAGTGTGAGGTGAGGGACGCATGCCAGCACGAGTGTTTGAACACACCAGGGAGCCACAGGTGTCTCTGTCCCGCCGGTTACCGCCTCATGACTAACGGCAAGACGTGTCAAGGTGAGAGCTCCCTGCACCTCTATCTTTTTGATTTTATTTTTACATATTTCAAACTTGTATGCAAAAAAATAATAATAATAGAAAAAAATTGTAACCCTTTCTTTTACGGTTCACTTATTACCAGGTAATTAACAGGTAATTACCTAGTAACAACATGGAATTATCTGGTAATTACATGATAACTACTAAGTCAATACTGTCTAGTTTTTCTTTTTTTCTGTTTTCTGTGCATCTCCATTTTCAAAAGCTATTTGGGAAATCCTGGAAATACCAGAGCAATTCGGCTTCAAATTTGTATGATGATGGAAGTTTACCTACCTGGTAGCTAGACAGTATTGACTTAGTAGTTATCATGTAATTACCAGATAATTTCATGTTGTTACTAGGTAATTACCTGTTAATTACCTGGTAATAAATGTACTGTAAAAAGAATGGGTTACTGAAAAAAATTCATTTACATACAAAGAAGAAAATAAAAAGAAATGAATTATACACGTTTGAAAAGGAGTAGGAAGAAGTAAACACCCTTATTACTTTTCCTAATGGGTTTTATATAAACTTTTGCTCGAGCATCTTCTGATCTTTAATACAGTTTGTGATAAATTAATAATGAGGGAGTTTTTGTACCTACAGACATTGACGAGTGTCTGGAACAGAATATCCAGTGTGGAACAAACCGGATGTGCTTCAACATGAGAGGAAGTTACCAGTGTATAGACACGCCCTGTCCGCCAAACTACCAGAGGGATCCAGCAACAGGGTAAACCGTCACAGAAATATGGAACAACGATTTATATTTGTTTTATTAACACTTAAAACTCCCACGTGACACCATTGATATTGTTTACATTTTCTCGGGAACTATGCTGTGTATCTCTATGGGATAAAAAGTGTTCAAAAGCTTACCCTTTTGGCGATCTATCAAGGTTTTCCAGGCATTTCTACACCTGCCACAAGGTTTACAATCCAGCCACAAAAATAGGTGTTTGATCAAAGACGTTTGATGGTAAATCTGCAGTGATATACCAGTGAAAACATGATTATTTATCATATTGTTGTGAGAAAAAAGGTCGCTATATATAAACAACTGTACAACTGTAAATAGTAAGTAAAAAAAAAAGCCTGGAGGAATTAGTGTAAATATGTAAATAGTTTCTGTTGTGTGTTTGTTCCAATCCCAATATTTATTCTCCTGATAGCCAAGACTTAACAGAATGATGTGCAGGTGAGAAAAGGCTCGGTCACTGCAGATTTATGTGTTTTTTGAACAAAGTATTGTTGGTATCAATTTCCATTTTGTTTTTTGGTTGACTTTAATGGTTCTGAATCTACTGTCACATTCATTTTACATGATTTTTGCACCCATAAACTGACAGCTAAGGTTGTCCTGAAAAAAAGATGTGTACATATTTGCTGTGCTGACCAAAAAAAGCAAAATATAGCTGGAATTCTGTGTCTTATAAATTTCATGTCTCTGTTGTAGGTTTTGCCTGAAGAACTGCCCACCGAACGACCTTGAGTGCGCACTGAGCCCGTACGCCCTGGAGTACAAGCTGCTGTCTCTCCCCTTCGGCATCGCAGCGAACCAGGACCTGATCAGACTGGTGGCCTACACGCAGGACGGAGTGATGCACCCCAGAACCACCTTCTTAGTGGTGGACGAGGACATCACTTTACCTTTTGCCCTGCGAGACGAGAATCTGAAGGGAGTGCTCTTCACCACGCAGGCGCTCCGAGAGCCCCGGACATACCGCATGAAGGTGCGAGCCCTCTCCTACAGCGAGGACGGAGGCATTGAGTACCAGACCACCTTCATCGTGTACATCGCCGTCTCTGCCTACCCCTATTGAGAGCACTTTAAGAGACGTAGGACAGAAGGAGCGCTGATGAATCGTGTCCATGAGGAGTGAAAGTGTGGTTTTGGAAAAGCTGCCTCAGTGAAAAATAAAAAACTAAAACAAGACTGTTCAGTGCGAGAGAAGACAGCGAACAGCGGGGCAGGAGATGTAAGTAAGCATATTCAAAGGGCAAACAATCAAGGCAACTGGATACTTGGATAAACTGGCTATTTATCGGCTCTAATCCTGGAATCCTCTCCTCAGCCTGTATCAAAGTTTCACTTATTCCCCCAACCAACAAGATTTATTTATAAGATCTACAAAAATTCGTCCTTAAAGCCGACGCTTCCACCTCTGACTCAGAAAGCAGGCTTCAACCCTACTCATGAAATCGTAGCTAGCCTTTTATCTACTTTTACCTTTTATTAACTTATTGGAAAGTGCTTGAACGAGAGACACAGGCAGTTTCCCGCCTTTGTTTAGACTTTGTGCTCATTGTGGAGATAGAAAACTTGACTGTCACGTGTTCTACATCCTCAGGTAGTGGCCTTAAATACACACAGGTGTATTTGACAGAAACTCCATCCGATCATTACACTGATGAGATCATCTATGTGCCATACTGCTCCATCCAATACCAAGATGTATTTTATTTTTATGACTTGTACATATGTGTTTTTTTTTTCTCATAATGTATTGCTATACTGTAACTATTGTAACCATTTTGTAATAAAAATTTTATAAATCAATACAGGCTGACGTTAATCATGATAGGGCATGCATCCATGGTCAGACATCCTTCACTGTAATCACTTGGTGCCTGTATATTAAAAAAAAATCTGCTTGACAAATTTATTTACTTTAAGTCTTGATGTAAATGAAGTGTATTGCATTAATCTAAAAATTTAACTATCATCTGTTTTTATAGTTCAGATAATTCAAATGTAAATGAGCTTCATCTCAGGATTTAAATCAGGGGTGGGCAATCATGTGCCATGGAGGGCCGAGAGGCTGCAGGTTTTCTTTCCAACCCAAAACTCCAGCAGGTGATTTCACTGATTAGTCCCTGCGCTCTGCTTGGAGGTAATCAGTGAAATCACCTGGTGGAGTTTTGGGTTGGAAAGAAAACCTGCAGCCTCTCGGCCCTCCATGGCACATGATTGCCCACCCCTGATTTAAAGGTTTTGGGTCCTCTAAAATCTGAAGGCTACTGAAAGGAGACAACATACCACTGTTGAGTTCGATCATTATTCTCAGACATCAGGAGATCCTCATGTCTTAAAGTGACTTCAGTTTGTCGTCTTTGTGCGAGCACATCGGAGGTTTGCTGTTTTAGTCCATTCAGATCTGCTTAATGTTGCATTGTTTCACCACGATCCACTGAGTTAGTATGGCATACTTAATGGCTACAGGATTACTGCACGGTTACTGTAAAGACGAGCAGTTTCTCAAAGTACTGAAAACCAGTGATGCACCTGAAGTGCGTTCGCATTAAAAATCATGGGTTTGATATTTTTTTCTAGAAAAAAATTCTTGCATTTTTAAATCATGTTAATACTATTTTTTAATGTGAAAATATGAGCAGGATGGATGAGCAGGTCAGGGTTTGCCTGGACTGGAAATAAAGATAAAACACTGCAAGTATGAAAGGTGCTTAAAAAAAAGGTGGAAAAAAAAGTTTAATTTCACAGTTTAGATAATTGTATGTTGTGTTTTGATAAAAAAATAGAACTGAAAGAAAATAAAAGGCACATTTAAGACTTAAATCCATCCTGAATTATGAACCTTATATTAAGCTGTAACTTCAGACATATATTCAGGGTTTCTCATTTTACGTCTTGAACTCTTTTAAGCCTCTTTACTCATTTAAGAAAAATGACTCTGACCTGTCTACCTGTGTGTGTGTGTGCGCATTAAAAACACCATCAATAGTCTTGAGTTTCTGATCAGCATTCATACCTTTTATTTTTTATTGTCAAAAAAGCACAAACATAAAAAAGGAATATCTTGTAAGGCAGTTTGTACATCAGTCTGGTATGCTCCCTCATCTTCTCAACTCGAGGAGCATCTCTGTCTGGACATACATCAACAACAGGAAGAAGATGAAGAGACTGAACCTTCCTTCTTGTGTGTCTTTGTGTAGAACCAGACGTTACTGCATTAGAAAAGAGGAATCTAATGTCTGGATGTATCATCACTGATGATGACGACAGTGTTCAAACATGGGCATCCATGTCTGCATGTCAGCTGATGAAACTTATGATCCACATGTAAAGAAATGGAGATTTTCCCGCTCAATATTTAACTGGAAATTAAAGAAAACCTTACGCTGCTCTCATCGCGAGGGTCTACAGAGGGAACACGGGTTGCTTAATTTTAAAACAGCATTGCTTAAACTTTGATTTTTGTTTTACACTCTTAAAGGTGAAATAATCATCATATTAATACACAGGGGGAACTAAACCCTAAATGTATGGTACAATATTTTCATGAAACAAAATAAATCATTTGGCAACAGACACAATCCACCCGACAAGGCAGATCAAACTTCCTCCTCGCTTTCTCCTCGTGTTACAAAAGTGATGGAAGTTAAAAGTCATGGTGGTTAAAACATGTTAAGGATTTCTTTGAACTTAAATTCGATACAAAAACTTTGTTAATTTTTCCAGAACAGACACAAAATAAGTACAAAAGACAGGTATGAAATGTTTGAGAACACTCTCAAAAGTGGAATCATGCAAATCATATTTCTCTTTTTTCTCACATAAAGTTCCCTCTCCATTTCCAAAACGACACATTTTCATTGTTTAATCTTAATCCCTGCTGCAAATTAGGTGTGCTAACCCTTTAAAGCGGTGTTTTTAATTTCATTTGATGGGGATTAAGCACTGAGGCATAAATCTTTTTTTCTTTTTTATAAAACATAATCAAAACCAAGAGTCATACGTTTAATCCCAGATTATTTTTCTGTTAAATATAAAATAAGAAAATAATCTGTGATATCAGTCTGAGGGTGGTTCTCCTGATGGTGCAGAGAAATGCGGCTCGTATGAAGAGCACCAGCAGAGCCTCCCGACGATGCTCTGTGCAGAAGCAGATGGTGCACGTGTGAGTCGGATGTACAGTGGATGTGAGTAGAATGGGATTAATATGAGTGGCGGTGGAGATGCATCGTGGGTGATAATCCTTAACTGGGGCAGGGGAGTGTGAAAGGATGGATGGATTTCAGCGACCCCGACTTACTTCTAACCCTGCCTCCAGATCCGGTCTCCTCCGTCCATCTGTGAGCGCGGAGATGTCATGAGAGGGTCAGAGAGTCTCTGCCGCAGCGAAGGTTACAGAGAAAACAAATACTGAACGAGTTTTTCCCTCAGAGAATGAACTCTGAAAGCCTCTGTTGTGAGGTTTTGTTGAGGTGATGAATGGAGGACACATTGCTGGGGGGTCATAACTATTGTGTTTGCCCGTGGAAGTGTAGACAGCAGTGGATCCCAACATGTTTTGGCTGCTAATGTAGTTTTAGAGAGTGTGTAAAAAAATATGGACAAAAACTACAGCTTTCCAAAAGACTCGGAGCTCTCCCTGCTGTGTTTTTTACAAAGCCTGCCTCATCCATGTAAACAGATGGGACATGGACTAAACTTTAAACTCAAAATACAAGTCGAATTTTGATTTCAGAACGTGGTTTTTCTTATTTTTAGTGAAGCTTTAGTAATAACTGTTCAGAGAAGTTGAGCTCTGATTGGTTACTTAATGCTTTCAGAGGGATAACCGCATGATTGACATGCATGGAGACAAATGTGGCTCCGTCTTTGCTGTGTGCACTGGGTCATCATTTATCATCATTTTAGCAACCCAAATCCATTTTTAACTTTATGATTTGATTATCCATTTTGAGTCCACAGCAGGAGTTTTAATTAAGTTGCAAAGAATGAATTTTTCCTTTTTAGTTTCTATGTTATCTGTTAATTCTCTTATGAATGAACATAATTCTGTGTAGCAGAAGGATGTTTTCTGATTGTTTAACTGCCTTCCTCTCAGCTGGGAACCACTGATGTGCAGGCTGTGGATAGGAATGACCCAGGGAGGGGGTCACAGACACGTGAGGTGGAGAGTTGTCTGTAGCACCCTTTGAGGAATATGATTTAGTAGGCTGTGATCGCGCACAGGAAGAAAGAAAAAAAATCTTTTTTTAACCCAATGTGCCCCAGATTTGGATTTCCTTTTACAGTCCGGTCATGAACACGGCAGGATCTTTCACACTGGGTTAAAAAAAAATACAGTTTTTCCTTTTCAGTTCCTGTGCCGTCTCTTAAATTACATGAACAGTTCAGTGCTGATGCAGTTGTCCTGCATCGGCCGGTGATGTGGGGTGAACTGATCCTTTAAACCGTCTTCCTCGCTGTGAGTACCCTGACAATGCTGCCCACTCCTCCGGCTGCCAGAGCCTGCAGACACAGGAGGGAAAATGTGGTCACGCTGGATTCTATGGCAGCTCTTCTATTCAGGACTGTAGCATCTTGTGGCCACATTTGCTCTCAGATTACAAAGCTCACACTGTTCATTTTTATTTTGGCTACCTCTTTACCAACATATCATCTACGGTCATGTGGTTCTTTACCTTTTCGTGCCACTGCAGCAGGACGGCGCTGCTGTTTTCTGACGGCCTCTCGAAGCCTTTGTAGATGTATTTCATCAGCAGGTCCACGCCGTTCTTATCCAGGGACTGCACCGCTTTCTCGATGTCGCTGCTCTTAAAGGCGCTGAGCACCTTCAGCACCAAACCTTCAGCACGCTCCTGAGAGAGGAAGAAGAGGAGGCATGTGAGAGATGCTGCAAAGCTCAATTTACCAACTTAATATTCTGTTTCCACACTCATGAATCCTGAACCAAATCTCCTTCTGCATGTTCTGATATCAGGCTCAACAAACTGATAAAATATGACAAACATTCAATCCATCCGCAGGCAAAGGAGAGCAGACCCACCTTCACGTTCTGGTTCTTTGTGTTGATTGGAGGGTTCTTCAGGACTGCATGTAAAGCTTCAACAAGGTTTCCTGTGCAGAGAGGGTTAAGGGTGCAAAACAAACCAGCAGGGAGACACCTCGAGCCATTTTACAAGCTCAACCCCACAGTGAAATCAAACAGCTTTCAAACCTGATGTGTAGAATCAAATCCTAAACTGCTGACAGCTCTTACATAAGAGAACGTTCCAGTTCATGATTTGTAACCTCAGGCGAGTGTCGGCCTCATTGCATAATACAGTCTTCATTTTATACAAGCATAAGCATTAGCAAACCTGAAAGAGTGGTCTGAAATGATTTTCACGTGTGCTTCAGGTCAGTTATTGCCTGAGCTCTCTTGTCATGTAAGTTTCTCTGGATCATCGCTGCTGACGGTCGGTGACAACGATTAACATCAGTCTCATTATTGTTATTGTTATTATTGTGATCATAATCAGATCAGCTTGACTACAGCTGCTTTAAATAGATTTATCATTCCTACCACTATTATTAACGTCATTATTATAAATGCTAAAATCAGATCTGTTGGCACTGTAACTCTAACTCTGTATGAGCTGTTGTTGTTATTGTTGTTGTTGTTGTTACTGCTCTCGTCTGTCACTAGTCCATCTCCAAACCTAGAACAGTCTCAGAGGATGTCTGCTCAACATAATCCTCGTTCTGCCCAAAGTTTAAAATAAACTTGCTCAGAGCTACAAAGTGCTGTGCTCAACAAGCTGTCAGACTGCTGAACTCAGGCTGGGCAGTAACTCACCAAAACATCCCATTTCCTCTACGGGAGTCATAATCTGCAGACCATTAAACATTTGTGCTGATGTCTTTTTTTGCTTCTGTTTCTTTGCTATTTTTGACTTTGTCTGGTTCACTGTTGCTTCCTGATTTTCTGCTGCATTTATTGTGGAAGAACTTTTATTTTGTCCATCAACTTAAATGTTAGTGATGGCAGACAAGACCTCAGTCCTGGTTCTTATATTACAGTAATAATTGTTGAAGTGCAAAGTTATTTTGTCACTTCTATGCATTTCTTTCTACTTTTAAAGTGGAAACTGCTTTTTTCTTTTGTTTTAATAGTTGCACATTTTTGCAGTCAGGGTGTAAAAACGAGGACTTACCCTTTAATTCTCCTTGAGTTTGATAAATGTGGGAGGTGACTGTCTTCAATGAGGAAGTGGAGCTCTTTCAAGCCTTATAAGGACTATTGAACTGAAACCAAAGACTCAACTGGATTTAGACTTAAAGAAACACATCAAGCACAAAAGACACCTTTTAAGAAAGTCATGATATTGAGAGGGAACAACTATGACAGTGGTATCAGCTTCTTAAACCATGCTTCTGCAGCACTGATCGTACTTAGCTCACTTACGATGCAAAATAAGGTTAGATTTATTTTCAGCACGGTTAAGAAATTGTAAAAATGTGCCTAAACACAAACAGGAGAGCTTGCAGTTCATTTTCATACACTGCTATTTCACCCTGGGAGCAGAAATCCCAGGAATGTGACTGCCAGGCAAGTCTGGACAGTAACTGGCCTACTTGCAAAACGCCCATTCATGCAGACATATCTGCAGCAAACAGCACAGAACAGAATAATGCAGATAAATCAGAATAACATTGTACTCGACTTTGTTTTTTTCATGAGCGGGAAATAAAGCCTGCTAGCACACATATGAGCTAATCATGAAGAAAGGATATTGCCTGATCAGAGAGTCCACCTCTGCCTCGTCAGGACCCAGCTGGTTTTCTCCTCCGTCCTCCTCGTCCACAAATTTGTTCTCGTCGTACTCGTCCACGTCCACTCGCCTGAAGCGGGCGGAAACCGTGTTTTTCGACATGTTAAAGGTAAAGGTTTTGGGTGTGTTAATCGCAGCAGAAATGCCAAAAAGCTGAAGCCCAACCCGGCCTTTTTTCCGACAGTGACTTCCTTTGATATAGCTAGCTGTCACAGTCGGGCAGCTTCCTGATTTCCTCCCCTTTCCTCTCTGTTTAGTTTGTGCTTTCCGGAACAAGATGTCGCCGCCTGGTGGACAGAATTGAAACTGCATGTAATATTACCTTCTTCCCGTTGTTAGCCGCTAGAGGGCGCCCACACATTAAAAATGCAACCATTGTTTGTGAACGCAGAAAATTAATCTTATTCTCAGTGTTAATTTATCGTATCATGATAACCTTTTCTTTGATATGTTGGGTCGGTATCGCAAATAAAAATAAGCTGGGTAACACTTTACAATAACCATAATTTATAAATGCTAAATAGACCATTTATAAATGGTAAACAGATAGTTTATTAATTAGATTGGATTAGATTAGATTAAACTTTATTGTCATTGAACACACTTCAAGTACAGGAACAATGATCCAACCAGAAGTGCAAGGTTGTAGAGTGCAAGGTACATATGGGCAGTGCAAGTATGAACTGAATATACTAAATATATGTGTGCAATAAATATGATAAAAATATATACACTGTGTTGGTTACTGCAGGTCTGAATAGGCTTTACAACAAAAAATAAAAATCTAATTATGTACATAATCTATATATATACAGTATACTGATTAGTGCAGTTGTGAAATAGAGAAAATGCTATTAAACAGTGGGTGAGTGAAGAATATAAACAGTAAGATATTTAGGAGTACGAGTAGGAGTATGTACAGTTATTTAATGAATAGTTGGATAAAATATGTATACACAGATACAGCAGAGTGTGATTAGTTAGATTAGAATGAATGAATAATTTATAAATAGCATAAATTTATATTATTTCTGCTGTATGCTTTATTTCTGTGATGTGAGAATCGTGTGTGTTTTATCTTCTGTTGCAAACCAAATTGCCCTTAGGGGACATTAAAGAATTTCAAATCAAATCAAATCTAATAAATTTATGAAATATGATTCGTCTATTTTAACTCAATCACCGAGTTATAGCTTTCATTCAAGTTCCACACAAATTACGGTCAAAGCGTCATTTCAGAGTTTTTAGTGCAACTACACAGGCAGGTGAAATGTAAAAACACAATCTTATTTACTCTTATCAGAAAGTTTTCGGTTTTAAAATTTTCATAAATAGTTGTCAGATCATAAAAATTAAAAGTTGTCATGATTGTTTAAACTTCTTCCTATTTTAGAATTAAAAAGTCCTGAAAGTCTGACAAAGGCCATGACTAAATAGATTTAGTGCCAACTTTAGCTGTGCTTCCTTTGGGCTTGATGCTAGTTCAAAATAATATTACCACTAACTTCCCAGAACAACGCTTAATCATGTCACATATTACTCAAAAAAATGGTTCATGAGGATGTACTTAAGAAAGGAAGTAGGAAACAAAAGTGGTTTTTTTTTTTCACAATAAAGGTTCAAATTTCATACCCAAGTAGTCTGATACTGAAGAAATGAGTCATGGTTATTAAATGTATGAATTAATGTAGCTTTTATCTTTATTTTTATTATTTTTTGTTACTCTCAATTAGGTATCAATAAATGACTTTAAATAATGAGTTCACTTTCAGGATAAAACCGTTAAAGTAATCTGAGGTCACATTTGCTTCACAAACTGTCTGGGCGGGACAAAAAACTTTGTTTGATGACCACATTTTTACTTAATCTCTTTGGCAGTTCAAAAGCCAGTGCATGAGCATTTTTTAATGTTTTAATATCAATTATCAATCAATAATATCAATAGTTGCATCATTACCTGCCATATTTCTACTCTTCTTTAACATTACAAATGAAAACAAACAAAGTAATTTGTGGAGCACCTTTTATATGAAAATCACCTCATTGTGCTTTACCATAAAAACAATACATGACAATATCAATAATAATAAAGATTACACAAAATGGTGAGTATATAACAAATAACCAAGCAGTTTAAATGACCTCACTCCCTTCATTCATATAAAACTCGAGACTAGCCGTGTTTGTCGTATTGTTAGTTGTGTAAAAAAATCATGAACATTCAAAAAAATATGAGGGTTTATATTTAATCAGTAAGGCCGAACAAATACTTGGCAGGAGGATAAACTTGTATAACAGCTCATGTGGTTCCATGACATATGATATAGCAATGGCTAACTCACTGAATAGGTCATAGTGACTTAATTATTTGTTCATGGTGAGTAATGAGCAGGAATGATACAACCTACATGACTTCATGCATTTCATGATCATGACACATTCACCATATCAACTTAAAGCTCCTGTGGTCTCCATCCCTCTTTTTGTGATTTCAGGCATTAAAAACTGCAAAAGAAAAATCATCAGTTTCTTAAAATTTTATTTACTTTTGTGTAACATAAAAAGGAAGTCATAATTAAGTCATTTAAACATTGATTCTAGCCTGTTTCGTTTACATAAAAAAATCTCCCACAGGAGCTTTAATGAAGTCTCCAAAAATATATTGCAGAAACACAAAACAGTCGATAAAACTTTTTTGCATTTAAAAAACAAAATTGCAACATAATCATGAAATGCATTTAAAATGGACTTAGTGTCAACATATTTTTATCAGCACTCTGTTTATAAACTAGATCCTTTTTTGCAGCAATGTCAGACACTTTTGTTGGACTTTTACTTGACTAATTTGAAAGTTTGTAGTTACACAGAAAAAACTTGTGTTTGGTGATGAAAGCCTTGATTCAGACCCTCATATGTTGAAATCTTCAAGTGGAAAAAGTGATAGGAGTTCTATGACAGACACGCAATTCTATGCTCATGTAAGAGTGTGACGCTTCTGCATTATTCTCCCTTTCTCTATGTTTGCAGGAACACTTGGTCTGATAGGACCTCATGCAGGTGATTCAGGGATTACTCTGTTTTATCAGAGTTTAATCTGCTGGAATTTAAACAGACGATAACATGACTATCAGGATGCATGTGTGTGTGTGGTGAATCACTTTGTCTGTGGCTGCTGAACTTTCACAGCTGTGGCACAAGTATTTATTTTGACTGGGTCAGTAATGGGAAGACCACCACGTTAGCTCTGCAACGTCGGAAGTTTCCAGCCTGCGTCACGAGAAAAGTCCATTCTTCTATTAGCGGGAAGTAAAAACACACTTTCCATCATGAACTGTTCACACACTTATCTCCATTTTACCTCATGGGACAGGTTGGAATAAACACAAACCAACATACCCTCTTGTCAAGCCACAAGACAAATGGAGTGGAACCTTTTTGGGCCTCCAAGCTCCTCGCCCTCAAACTCCGGTGGGTTCATTTTCAAATCTGGCAGGGCTCTGGCCTCTGCTGCTGGGTTACATAAAGCACAAAGGACCCTGGCAAGTAAAAACTCACTCACAGCTGACACAGGCCTTTTCTGGGAAGTTGCGACAGCTGGACACACCGCTGTATGTTTCTTTGATTTTTTTTCATTTCTTTTTTAACTGGAATCTTCAATTTCCTCGTCTGCTCTGTCTAGGCAGCTGGACATTTGCCCCAGGAGAGGAGAAAGGAAAACACAAGCTAATGTAATCCACAATCCTCTCCAACACACACACCTCAAACATGTCCGACCCAGGAAGGCTGATACAGAGGAGCGAGAAAGTGTTGCTCACTCGACTGGATTTGCGTAGGTACGAATGATGCTGGATAACACAGCCAGGAATAGCAGGATTTGGTGATTGTGTAACGGATGGGGCCTTGTTGAAACCCACCGTACACACACACACACACACACACACACACACACACACACAGACATGCTGCTCACACACTCCTCGGCTTCCTGAAGGCACTCCCACATGAGACTATTTCCTTGCTTTCTCTCTCTATTTTATTCCACTCCTTCACTCTCTCTCTCTCTCTCTCTGCCACACACCCACACATACACACACACACACACACAAACACACACACAGCCCTTGCGTGCATCGGTCATGAGTGATCCTCATTGCGGGCTTTGTGGGGCGCCCCAACCCGTCTGTGCTATGCGAATGACTCAGCACATCAAAAGGCGAGGATGCAGGCACATACATGACCCTCACGTGAATGTGCAAATTAAGGAGCCTTGGAAAATTTCAATATGGAGTCTGTTTACCTCTGTGTTCTCTATTTACAGCGAGAGGGACAGACTGACTGATTGACAACGCCAAGGAGGGGACGAGACCCTGAGGAGATTTGTGTGTGTGTGAATACCTCAGCTGGGCAGCAGGCCAGGTGCTTCCGTGTCAGAGAAAAGCACTAACAGCAAAGCAAAGCATCCTAAGTACTTAATTAGTAGTTTCGGATGAGGGGAATATTGCTCTTGGATGGTGATTTAATTGGGGAATGTAATGAATTAGTGTGAGCTGCGTTGGAGCAGGTCTGCAGGCAGAGAGAAACTGTGGGTGGTTTCCTTTTTATGGAGATGAAAGTAGTTTCACTTGGAGCTGAAGGAAAATATCCTCAGCTTTTAATATTTATTTTATCCTTAATGCACACGTTTGTCTTTTAGACTGACAGAGTAACAAATCACAGGTTTGAGCTAAACTCCTGTTTAATGGTGAGGCGAGGTTGGATTGATTTTTAGCACAATGTCTCAAATATTTCAATCTTAGATGTCCAATTTTCATATCTCTGTTTTCAAACAAAGAATCAAATGTGCTTTTAATGTGGTTTATGAATAGTCAAAGATGTCTTTACAGTTAATTTTTTAAGTGGTAGCCCTTTAATGCCTGACACCACAAATTAAAGCCAGAAAATTCAATTTTTTTTTGGAGCTGAAATGTTTATTTCACTTACTACTTAAAATCAAAAAAATCAAAATGTCCTTAAAATTTAACAAATAAATTTATTTATCTTGTTTGATACATTAGATGTTTTTGGAAACTAATAAACTACAAGAAGAGATTTTTATCATTTTTTGGACTGTATTCAGGTGTTTTTTAGTAATTTGTTGATCGTATAGATTTGATAGAAGTATATAATAGTATGTATTAAATATGATACAAAAGGCATTAAAGGGTTAAATACTTCTTAATGTAACTCTCTTGTTTAATTTAAAGGCACAGCGTGTAGTTATTAGCAGTATTAATCCATAAATCATTACTTTGTTGGCTTAAAGCTCCTGTCAGGAGTTTTTTAACATTTATGAAACAGACTAAATTTCATACTTAAGTCTCTTTATGATACCCAAAAGCAAGACTGACAGTTATTATATTGTAACTTTTAAGGCCTAAAAGTGATGTGCGGGGGTAGGTGCTAGCTAAGCAGCTTTGTCCACAGGGGTTGCCAAAATTGACATAGGTTAAAAGTCTCTCAAAGGAGCTTTAAATAAGTGTTTAATCAACGGAGTATCATTATTTTCTACTTAGAATAAACCTTGTTATCTACAGAGGAGTGGGTCCCCTTCCTCATGTCACAACCAGAGCATTGACAAATTAGAAACATACATGCTTTTGTATTCAACCAGCGGACAAATCAGATGCACCAGTTTGGAGATAATCTTGAATCTACATCTTCATACTTTTAAATATTCATGTTTGCCTTATGAGAAGCAGGAGCCATGACAAAATCAATTTTTGGACTGTTTTTGAACTTAGTATTACTGCTGTTTATTTGTCACTGTGCTTAAAACATTTAAAACAGCTTTGATAATTCACCATTTCCCAACCTATGCTGTTTTTTATTCTTTGGGTTGATCGAGTTTTGGTCTGATTGGGGTTGTTACATCATATCGTGTCTAACTTCTGGTTATCTGTACAGACTTATGCCTGTGTCTTTTTCCAACTCCCCCTCAGACAGGCATTTAATGAGCTGTGTTGTAAGGTTTGCAGGTTTGCATTTATGGAGGTTGTGAAATAGCATCACCTCAGGTAAAACAAATCCTGTGATACAACTTAAGTCTAGTCAGGCAGCTTGGGAGACACGCCTGTTTCATATCTCTGCCTGGCTTTACCGTCCAACATACACTAAAATATTCAACTCTTATCTGCACGCTGTGAGGAATATAAACACAGTCAAATCCTGCTCCCTATATGTAAAGGAAACAGATCTGTGACCCTGCACTTTTCCCTCAGTTGATGTGTTATTTCAGGGAGGGTCTGAGCCGTAAAGGAAGGGTGTGTGAGATATATTTTGACAGATAACGTTTCACACAGGGTCAATTCTTTTTTTATTATCGCCCTTTTAGGATGCACATAAACATTATGTATTTCATGTTTTGCCAGTTATAAAACGAACAGTTCGTGATCACAGGATTATTTTGTACATTTCTTGGTTCCTTAAAACTGACCATTTAGCATCAGACACATTTGTAAACATTGTAGGGTCATAAAATGTAACAGAGCACAAAAATATTGAAAACTAGAACTGCTACAAGTCTTTTAAGAAACCCAATCCTTGGAAGAAAACTAGATAGCAAACAGAACTTACAATGAAGTCAATGTTTAAGGTTATATGCATGAAAATCTGACATAGAAAAAAAGCCTGTCACCACTCTCATATACCTTTCATTTACACAACAGCCTACAGCCAAACTGAGCAGCTAGTCTGGCGTGTGTCTTCAGCTCATGAGCACCAGTTCTTATCAGTTTTAAAACCAGAAGTCCACAATGATACAAGATTCACAGGACCAGATCATGATCTTGTGCAAAATCCGAGAACCGGCTGAGGTGACTCAATGCAGCCAAACTGCAACCGTTTCATAACTAACCACAAGGTTAACTTAGGTAATCAGTTAACATCATCTTTAGTTTAGATAAGTAGCAGAGCTCTTTTTTTTAAGCAGGTTTGAGTGCACACCACCAGCCAGGGTTTCATGAAACGTACAACTTTCATGGCAGCTGTTTATTTTGTTAATGAGCTTATGGTAAACCTGTTTTAAAGCTTATGTAGGTAACTTTCAGATTGTGTTGATTTGGCGCCCCTGGTGGACAAAGCACTGTTCGTTACTTATTTTCTGATTTTGCTCTGTTTATATAAAGGGAGTTTTCTAATGAATAATCTCACACTGTGGTCCCTCACTGTGAATCTTTCAGTCAAAAATGCTGATAGAGACCACCTGTTACTTTTTTTTTTGACACCTACCCTGCAGTGTTGGTTACAACCATTAAAGATTGCTACACCAAATTGTTGCTGATGGTTTTGTTTGATTTTATAGCTCATATAAAGGCATTTAGACAATTTCAGTCTGTTATACAACCATCTTAAAACTCACCACAGGAGCTCTAACACAGTTTGACACAAGTTTAATTTCTTGTTACAAGGCACTAAATAAGAAGCCAATTTGTCTTCTTGTTCAAGAAAGTATTTAATCATTAAAAAAGACTGAAATCCTAGAATTTAAAAGAGCATTTAGTTACAAAAGTCTGCAAAACACTGACTACTGCAGCCATGAACACGATGCCCCGTCTTTGGCTTTCTTTATGTAACAGAGAGATATGAGAGTGGAGGCAAGTCAAACAAAGCAAACCAAATTTTCTCTTTTAGCAACAACAAAAAAGTGTAACAGGACATTTAATCATGCAAAAAGTCACACATACAATGTGCTAAAAAAAAATAGTAAGGTAAAGGCAGGCTGCAAAGGTTTGAGTGTCTGCAGCAAGACTGCAGGACCCTCTTTTCTGCTCAGTGTCTTCCTTAGGTGATAGTCGAGCATATAGGGGTCTGTATATAAATGCTTCGGTGTAAAATTCCACCGCTCTGTGTGCAGCCTTCGGCCCCTGCAGGTATAGGTGTAGTGTGTCAGATTCCAGGCCTCTACAGCTGCAGGTGTAGGTGTAGTGTGTAAAATTCCACTGAGCGCTGCAGAGAGACGCCGTTTTCAGATAGAAGTGGGTCTAGTGGTAGCACCCACCACACCGCCCGTCCTCTCCTCGCTCTGACGGAGGCCCTACTTCACTGTGCAGGGGCGTTCAAGGAGTCCGTGGGATTGTTAGTAAAGGAAATGGCCTTTTGACAAACAAACTTTGCAGATATCTTAAGGCAGCCTGAAACAACACGGTCAGGAAAATAAACACACCTTTATCTTAATGGTGAGAGACGGAGAGACGGCGGGAAGAAGTAGGGCCGTTTCTATGGCATCAAGTTGTGTTTTTCCAAAATGGAGGCTTAAATAAGAGACACGCCCTACAGTGGAGCAGGGAGCACTCCCTCCCTGTAGGTGGGTGAGCAACATTGAGATGTTTGAGGTATCTAGAAGGGGTGCACTCAGCGTGTTTAGGAGTTGCCATCAAACAAAACCAAGGGTAACCAGCTCCTCTTCTGTGTTTTTAAACAGGATTACATGTTTAGACGAGCCATCCGGGGAAGTAAAAAACACAAACACACTGATTTGCATGCTGTGAAAAAGCACACTAAATATAGAAAGAGTTCAGCTAACAAACAAGTACGATACAGGTGAGGCCTCCGACAGCTGAAGGTATTCTGTAGAAACAGCACATATGCATAGAGAGTCATAGGACAGATGCACATGCAGCGTTGCAACCACATTTGAGATATCACACTATAAAAGTAACAGGAAACAGTGGACTTTTCTTCACGGCTGAGACATAAGACTTTTAAGATTTCCTAAAATTTTCAAAAGGAAAAGGAAAGATTGTAAAAAATCACCTCAAGTTTATGAAAAAGTCAGATTTTAAGCTGTAAAAATCACACCGCAGCGTTAAGTCAGTGGTCGTTTTAACATCACAGCAGGCAGGGGAGAGTTCGCTGTTTGTTGGAAACACATTTCACCAGTTCTCCCTGATAAGAAGCCTTCCTGAGCTGTTTATGAATGCTTCAACCTGTAAACGTCAAGGTTCTTCACAAATTCAAAAGGTCTGATTCAAAGTTTACAGAAAACAGGTCAACATTTTCCAAACGCTTCACTCTACAAAAATCCAAAAGTTTTCTTTATCCAAACTGAGATTTAACTACTGTTGCTCCAGGGTTTCGCTCGAGACTCTCTTTTTAGAAACTTCTTTTTGGGGATCTCCATGAGGGAGAAGGGGGGAGGGCGGCACATGGGGTTCTCCTTCCGCTGCACGATGCAGTCCTTGATGGCCTCTTTGATCACCTAAAGGACACAAACACAGGAGTGAGAGTTGAAAGGAAATGTGTATAGATTACCTATTCATATGTCACTATTTGCCTGTTTGAAACGTATATATATGTATACAGTATATGTTGTGAGTTTGTACAGGCCTGAACCAACTAATATAAATCATTGCTGTGTGAAGATCAGCTATTACTTGGTCTTTCATATTAGGACACCAGTGGCCAAGCATTCAAACCCCCCCCTAACCACTGTCTTTTATTGCAGTGGTTTGATTCTCAGTCATCACCATATGCTGCAACACCTTCTTTCCCCGACTCTCACCTCCCTACATTTCCTGTCCCTCTTCAGCTGTCTTGTTTAATAAAAAAGGCAAAAATGGCAATAATATGACTAAATTATACTGAACTGACTTTCTAATGGTATAACTGACAGTAAAATAATTGTAATGGACCCAGCTTTGAACTTGTTTCCTTAAATATGGGTCTTGATAATTCATCAAACAATGAGCATGGTCCTGACCTGCTTTTTTTCTTTGAAAAGCGTCTTGGGATGGCGACTGTTGTGAATTGGCGCTATATAAATAAAATTGGATTGATTGATTGATTAAATATGGAGTAGTTTAATAGCCTTCCACAAAGTTTTACCAGTAGTCTTCCTAAGATTTATACCTGGTAGGTTATTTTTGGTCTTATTTACGCACTGTTTGATTTTTTTATTCTGACCTGTGTCTGTTTCATACAATAGTTGGTTTCAAAATTGTACCTGTTTTCTTTCTTTTATATTTTCAAGTTTTCTCCACTCGGTTTTTTCCTTTTTAAACTACATTTGTCCATTTTTTTCATCTGGCAGAAGCTTTAATCATAAAACCGGGACCATTTTGATTGTTTCCCTTCTGTTCTGTCTGAGTAATGCTGGATAATTCACCAATTGCTGGTGTTGCCGGGCAGATTTCTACTATTTTCAAAACATGACACCAGGTTTCTTTGGGGTTATCCACCCATTAGTGTTGCTGCGTATGGATTTAGGGAAGATATCTTCATGAACATTATAATCCCACTGGGATAAGCTGACCTTCCGGTGAGATCAAAAGCATTGCATCATATTTCAGCAGTTACTCAGCAGGGAAGTGACTCACATAAAGAGAAAGTCAATCTGACCTCTCACTGTGACACGCCTTATAAACTCTTGTACTGACTTGCACCATCTGGTCTTAGATGGGCTTTTGGTATCTGAAATTTTCGATGTTACACAACAAACTGATGTTTGTGTGCTGACATGACAATGCAAAAATGTTAGACTATGTGGTAAAGATGTGAGTAATAAACAAATATTTCTCATTTTTTCAAAAAACACAATACATTTCCACTGTTTTTTTTAAATCACAAATTGCATCACTAAAGGTTTTTTTTGGTTTTTGTTCACAGCCATCATGCATATCTTATTCCTACCTCCAGATTGTTCAGGGTGTTAAACTCCATCAAGTCATGGAGTCTGGTGAAGGCCTCGTTCGTATACTGGAAGTTAAAAGTGGAGAACGGGCTCTCAGGGTCGTCAAAGATATCAAAATCAGCCAGCTCCTTCTCCTTCTCTGTCTCTCTGGGAACACCTGTAAAATAATTGTTGAAGAAAACATGTTTACATTAAAAAAAAATTCACATGAACTCCAACAAACTGGATACACAAGTTGCAACAAACTGAGCAGATATTGGAAACTTCCTTTGACCACAGAATCGTATTTTAAGATTCATTTAGCTTGAGGAACCTCTTCAATGTGTTGCTTTAGAGAATGACTCTTGTGATGGAGCACCTTTAAACGCCCCGTCATTACCCGACTGACGAGGGTCTCTCCTCATGGCCCCGTGGCCATTAACTTTTGAGCTTGTAAACAAACAACTGGTAGTGTTTGGTTGGTCTGTTTGTTTATTCAGCTTGTTGGTCAGTAAAGCTGGTGATTGGCTGGGCATGTTTTTGGTTGATTGCTTGGTTGGTTGTTAATATGTTCGGTAGGTTGGTCGATTGGCTAGTTGACTGATTGGATGGTTAGTCAGTTAACTGGTAGGATGTTGGTAGGTATTTTTAAGTGACTGGTTGGTTAGTTAGTTTTTTTTTTGTTGGTTAGTTGATTGGTTGGTTGGTTGGTTGGTTGATTGGTTAGTTGTTTGTTCAGTCAGCTGGTTTGTTGGTTGGTTAGTTGGCCATTAGTTATTTGGTTGAATCTTTTGTCAGCTGGTTGGTTTGTTGGGTTGGTCATTTGGTCTGTTGGTTGGTTTGGTTAGATGCTTGGTTGGTTTCTGGTTGGTTGGTTAGTAAGTTGGTTGGTTGGTGGGTTTGTTGGTCAGTCAGTTTGTTTGTTTCTTGATCATTTGATTGATTGGTAAGTTAGCTGGTTGTATGTTATGTCAGTTCATTGGTTTGTTTCTTGGTCAATTTGCTGGTTGGTTGTTTAGTTAGTATGTTGGTTGGTTGCTTAGTTAGTTTGTTGGTTGGTTGTTAAGTATCTTGGTTTGTTTGTAGGTTGGTTATAATGTTGGTTGGTGACACAGAGTAGTTCAGAACTTCACCTCTTTGCCAACACAAATGACGAGTAAAAAAAAAAGACATAATAAAAAAACCCTATTGAAAAATCAGTCTACTTAGTAGGATGATGTAATGTGTCCATAGCAACATAAACACTAATATTAGTCAGCTTCTTCAAGCTCCTGTGGGGAACTTCTGAATCGTGGTGTTTGCTTTGGACAGAGTGATTCCTCGTATCTATTGTCATGTACATGTGAAAGTGCTGTTTTCAGACAAAAACTCATCCTCTGTCTTTTCACTGTGAATTCTATCACCAATTGTGAGAGATTTACAGGAACAGAAAAGAAGGTGTTGCTTCAACCTGCTGTCTATCAGCTGGTCTGACACCTACCCCCTCACAGCAGGGTCAGGCTTAAAAAAATGACAACAGAGAAGTTATCAGTCATGTTGCTGGTGGTCTTGTTTGCTTTTGAAGGTCATAGAGAGGCAAGCTCAATCCATTAAAAACCCCTCACAGTGCCTTAAGGTCTGCTTTTGAGACATTCCTGAGCCATACTGCTCAGTATAACACAAAATAGAGCAAATATATCTGCTTATGTAGAAAGTGCAAGCTTCTGCTGCATGTTCCAGTTTTTATGTTAAATTCTTTACTTTGACAAATGGATTAAAAACCAAAACATATGTTTAAAAATGGGACTAAGGAAAATTTATGTTATTGTATGTATATAAGAATGTCTGGACCCTTTTCTTAACCTTTCAATGAGGGTGGAGTTTTCCCACCAGTATGTCTTTCCCTCCAGACATAAAACATCATCAATTTTTGCTCAAATCCAGATTATATAACTACAAATGTAACAGATGTTTCTGGTTTTGGAAATTGCATACATACCATGTGGATTTATAGTGATCCCACCCCATTATGGCCTATATAACCTTTCACGTAGGGGAAGTCCATTTATGGTACAATTTCCGTCTGATGTCCGTTGGGTCTAAGTGCAGAAATCTTATGTAATGTCCATAAACAGACTGCGGAAATATGTGGGCCGAAGACCTACTAAACGTAAAGAGGCAGAGGTGGAGATGAATTGGAGATGAGACGTTAGTGTGTCTTAGTATGGCTCATGACATACGGCCTGTTTACACACAGAGCTCTCCCACTAGAGCGAGAGATTCCCAGCCAGCACCTGGCTCCTTAAGGAACCATAACTCACTCTGAGCAGCTCATGAAACACTGAACACACTGTGCCTCACATCTGCACACACACTCATATTAAGTAAACTGCAGGTATGCTTGAAGACAGGCGTACCATTTCCAACGTGGGCAGAAACATTTTTATTGGGGTCACCCAGTCGAGAGGCCCAGCTTCAAAATCTGCCTACTGCTGACCGAATATGGTTGAATTCCAGTGCGCAAGGAATTCAAGGAAAGGATGCCTCATGTGCCATGACGGTAAAGCACTATTAGGATAATTACACAAAGAGCCTTGGCATATTTTCCTCCCAACACATGCACATACTCACCGGGTGCCTTGAATTGCCTGAAGTTGATGTTGACCAGGACAAAGTGGATGACAGTCGGGCAGTTCTTTTCCCCTTTTCTTGGCTTGAAGACGTAGCATTCCTTCAGGCCTTCGCGGTCGAAGACTTTAGGGTCAATCTTAGGGAAGGGAAGCTTGTTCATTCGTGCCCACTTTTCAGCCAAAAGGAGCTCCTGCAACAAAAATACACAAGAGAGAGGGACTATGATTATACATCTGCACAGATCAGTTTCAACGAATGAATAGAATTAAGTTTCTGACTCAGACCTTGAATGGGGGGCTGGAGTCACTGGGACGTGCAGAGAAGTCAAAGGAAATGATAAGGTCCACGGTACGCTGGGTTCGCAGAATGAGAGGGTAAGGTAGGTTGTAGGTCAGACCGCTGTCCACTATGTGGATCTTCTTACTCTTCACGTCCAGAGGCTCGTAAATGCGATCAAACTCATCCGGGTCTGAGAAAGAGATGAGACAGAAATGATTGACACGGGAACATGATCGAGAAATAGTTATTGTCTGCAGCCAAAACTTGTTCCACATGACTGACCCTCTTAACCAATCCGTCATTATTAAGTGGTGTAATTTTCAAAGAAAGAAGGGCTGGGTGACACACTTTCGTTTTTTTAAACCACGCCTGATGTTCTTTTGATTCAGTATCGGTGGATCCACCTAACTCTTTTGGAGACTTTTGTTTGTAACCACACTTAGTGCTATTTCATCAATGGCTGCATGTTTAATGAAAGAAGTTTAAGAAAATAATCACCAAAGTTCATACTTTGTCTGACTTTTGAGGTGCTTTTCCACCATAAAGAGTGTTGTTTCAGTCTAGCGCAAATCCATTTAAGTGTGTAAATAGGAAAATGTCGAATTTGCAGATACAGGTTTGGACTCATCATGCTGTGGTTATTTAGGTTTGGTTGCCAGCACTAAATATATAATGTTCACATGCATCAATTTACTAAGTCCTTTAAAATTCACTTATTCTCATCTATTTATAGACGCAATATTGTACTTCTTGTGTCTGCACAGGGTTTCCAAACACTCTTGCTGTCATAAATAATCAGCCACAAAAGTTAACATCATAAAATTCACAGTCATTTATTTTTGTTACCTGTGACAGCGTCCACCTCGTCCTCAGGTGTGGGAGCGTGGCATGTGACCTCACCGCATGGAGAGAACGGCATGTTGGTGTTTAAGTTCAAGCCCAACATGAAGTTATGCACCTGGCGACAAGGTGAGGTCGGGATGGATGGAGAGACCAGGCAGCAGGTTGTTGCACAAATAAAAACAGGACAGCTTACGTCAGAATGCAGACCAAACCAAAACAGAAAGTAATATAATTTCTTGTATCTTTACTGAGTCTGGTACCTTCCCTGCTCGGCCCTCTCGTGTGTTAAATAGGGCAGAGTCACTGAAGAGAGACGTGAACATTCGTTGAACCCAGCTGGCCTGAGCGGTGCGATGGTACTCGTCTTCTGCCTCCTGATTCTCTGTCCCAACTGAATGACAGAAAGATACGAGAAAAGACTTTATTTATAATGCACAATAAACACATTTATTAAGCCTTATAAAGGCATTTATGAGCTTTTATAACAACCCCTATGAGCAATTATGAGCATTTATAACCACTTAAAGCAACTTTTATGCAGTGTTTTTTTTCCAGTGGTCTTTTCAAACCAATTATAACACCCCAACTCTATGCAGTTATAAAGGGTCATAAAGAGCTCATTCAATGAATCATACGATGTTATAATTTCTGTGATTTTAAAATTGAAGAACGTCTTAATAACACTAAAAACATTAGCAACATGATTAAGTATGACTTTACCATGTTACTTTAAAGCTCCTGTGAGGAGTTTTTGACAGGCTATGACTGAACATGAAAAAGGACTATAATGACCAATGGTGCATCTTTATGACTTACAACACTAAATAGAACTATTGATGACAAAATTGAAGTCAATTTTTTTATTTGTATTTCTTCATGCCTGTAACTGCTGTGAGGGGGTAGGTATACCAAAAAAAGCTTTTATTTTTATATTTTTTTAAGTGTTATCAAATGTTGTAAAATAAGATTAATGTAGTGTTTAGAAAATTAATCCTTTTCTGAACGAACAGGAGCAGATCTTGCAAAAATACTGCACCTAAACCTGTTAGGTGAAATCCCTCTAAAGAGGTCAAAGATCACTAATACATAGTGTGTGATCAGAGGCAAAATAAATAAACATGCAAAATTAAGAAAAAAGAGAATATGGTGGTTAAAATACATGAAAGGAGGGGAGGAAAGGTGCATGCTTGTAAGTGTATGTTTATATTTACATGATTAGATGTTTGTGTTGATAGGTGTTTACAGATGAGTGAGGGGAAGTTTAAACTGTGAGTGGATTGGACTCAGATCATTTCATTACGTAAGTACAGAGTCAGCAGGTTTCCATCTAGAGAGGACGTGTTCGTTATTTTTCTATACAACAAATTTCCTTTACCTTCTCTATCTACTTATTGTATGTAGGATGGTAAAGTTTGAACCATTTATTGTGATGCATTTAACAATATTTGCCACCTATGCTTGCAGGTATAAGACCTAGTACTGCTGTTTTTTGGGTCTTTGTTAAACTTTAAGCTTTTTCCCAAAATGATCTCAATTTTGTGAATGACTAAAATATTTGTGTATGGTTACCCATTTTATGAAGTACTGTATATAACGTTTTTGAAGGCTGGTGAGAGGCAGAAGTGTGAAGTGTGCCACAAGATCAAGAGTACAGATATAGCCTTCGACACTCTTTGTGTAAAGAAAGAAATGATCCTATCTTCAAAGGAAGTTCTTCAAATTGACAGTCTGCTTTTAACCAACACCCTTCCCCTCTCTTTCATTATTTATGGTTTTATTTCTTTAGAAACGCAGCCAAAGCTAACACTTGCAAAGAAAAAGCCTATCCCCCCTAAAATCATTATTTTATATTAGTACTGATGTAATCACGAAGAGCAAACATTTACAAGACAAAGTAGGGCATTTTCAGGGCGTCAAAAGTTAAAGCCTGACACCCCTCTTCCTGACAGGAACCGCAGCTGTGACACATGGACGGATAAAAACGATAACGTAACCACAAAAATGTGTTAAGACATTGACCTTCTCTCCCTCAGCCTGCAAAGTGTTAAAATGTTGACTGAAAACACTCAAAGTCACAGGTTTCTACAGGAAGGTGTCTGTTTGTAGGCCTTTCACGTGAATCATGGTCTTAGCTCACCTTTACGTGGTTCTTCGTCATTGTCCAGGCTGTCTTCACCCACGATGTGCTGAGGTTTAATCTGCTCTGTAAAACACAAGAGACAGCTTCACTCATCAGGTTCAAAAGAAAGCTTGATAATCTCATTTTATCTAAACAAACACTTCACCTGAAAAAAGGGTTGGCTTAGTCATGTGACATTATCGAATCTCCATCTATTGTTAATCTCTTTAAAAATAAGTTACTGGAGAAACGCAATAGGTCTGATGAAGTCATTCTTAAGCTGGGTGGAGATGATCTTAGCACTGCGGAACAACCATTGCATTGACAGAGAGTTCCTGACTGCTTTAAGGTCACCCCAAACAAGTGCATTCAACCAAAAACAAACATCCGATGAGCGCCCAGGATACACACTGGAAGCCGATACCTTCCCACTGTTGTGGCAACATCATAAAAACAAACTCGTGATAAACATTTAGAATCTGCTAAGATAACATTAGGTTATCAGGCTATTTTTAAAGGTATTAGGATACCTGCAGGTGTGCATGTGTGTGAAAATGAGTTTGGCACGAGACCAGGTTGCAAAGGTAAGAAAAGACCGGCAATGGTATGTTCACAAGCAGAGCTGAATGTCAGTTTCAGTGGAAGGGTGTATCATGAGGAATCCTATCAGGAGATCTACGTACACAGAAACCAGACAATGGCAATACCTGGAAACAAACACCTACAACTATTCTGACAAAGTACCCATGCCAAGGATCACGTTTCAGACACAGAAGATCAAAATATGTAAAAATGTGTCATCGATATACTGCTGGGGTGATTCTGATCATCTTTTTAGGACCTTATTTTTCCTTACAGCAATAACATAGAGTCGCTTAGTTCATTTATATCTTCAAATTAAGCTTTGGGTGTTCAAATGTGCTCTTGAAAGTGGGAGAAATTAACATCAATGATGGATGATTGTCATCGGCTCTACACATAGCCTTGGTGGTGGGGTTGTTTTTAATAATTGCATCATTGTGTTGTCACCGAGAATCTCATTTAAGTTATTTGCATTTAACTTTATTGAACATTTCCTTCCAACAAAATCTATAAATCTGCTTCAATCGCTCCAGCAAAAATAAAACACATCGAAGGGACAAATGAGGATTACCTAACTCCTCCTCCATGGTGCTGCCACCCACTGTGTCTTTGACCCCCAGGACTCTGTTGAACAAGATGGAGAAAGCGCTGCCCCACACACCTGACACAATGAAATAAATCCTTGTTACAAACATTACTCATTGAAAATGCTTTGACCTTTGAGTTTCTTTAAAAACATCCGCCTCACCCATGAGAAAATGCAGAGGGTTTTCCTCATACTTCTTCACGACAGTTCCCATGAAGAACTTGCTACCAAACAAGTCAGGGGTCATGAAGGTGCCATACTTCGCCATGCCAATTTCATACGGGCTGAACTCCACCCAGTCTGCAGGGTGAAATCAGTGTTAGTGTAACAGAGATGTATCACATATGGTCACAATGCTGAAAGAATATTCATCACTGACTAATACAGGTGGTGCTTCATAGGAATCTTGGGAAACTGACTTAATTGTAGAAAGAGGAGCAGAGTATTATCAGGAAATCTACAACCAAACCTGTATCACCAGCTTTTAAAGGTTAGAGACTTCAATTTAAAAGGTAAAAAAAGAGCCAGAATAGAGCAGACAGTGGCCGAGTTTGATAGAGTAAGAGTCAAATACAAGTCAAGTGAATCACCAATGCTTTCAGGTGGATTTGAAGCGCCCTTTAAGGAGGGTTATAAAGTTGTACAACAGACTGAAAGTGGATTTTTATCAGCTACAAAAGCAAACAAGGCCATCGGCAACAAGACTGACAATTTCTGTATTTACATTTTTGCTGCCTGAAAACGCTGTGAGGAGGTAGGTGTCAGTCCAGATGACTGACAGCACCCTGAAGAAGCAGTCTTTTTTACACATCACTGAGTAAAAGGTTTGAGGGTTACAGAGAGCAGGATGATCTTTTAGCAGCAAAACATGACCTAAAGACGCAGGACTAGATCTGCAGAGAGATAAACGAGGGTGTAAAGATCACCACAAACACTAAGTTCTTCCGTAGCTACACGATTCGAACCTTTGGTCACAAACTGGCTCTAAAAATGGAAATGCTTTTAATGACATTGCACTTAGATATCCTCCTTTCGATGGTTAGTTTGAAAGTAAAGCTGTGATGATAAGACATTAAAAATAATATCAATAAGAAATATGTCAAAGTGACACTACCACTCCCAAGGCAGCAGTCACATATGCGTCTTGACATGTTTGTTGTCTTTTGACTCCTCATAACCTATAACATTAATGCATAAACGTTTTCTAAAACAATTGAACTTGATGCACAGGCAGGAAGATTTCCTCGAGTTTTCAACACAAACAAGTTGAGTGTGTGGTGTCATCCAATGAATGAGGATATGAAGATTTTATCGGAAAGGCCGGTATGGTGAGTCAGTCTCCTATTTCTTCTGAACAGAGGATCTCTACTCTCTCTCTCTCTCTGTGTTAAGTCTCGCAGTATTATTTTATATTTTGTTTATGAGCTGTTGGTTATTCATAAATCTGTCTGAGGTCACATGGTGTCATTGCTCTTCCTTTTTTCTCTTCCTGTTATAGAGTCTGTTTCACTACAGTTTAGTGGACAGCTGCTGTGAAGGCCTCATAAACTATGGGGAAGTAGTATACAACATTGGACTAACCCAGACCGTTTTGACCTTGCCCACACCACTTAGTTCCTTGATATTAAACAGTTGCCGTGTAGGAAACTATCGCGCAATAACAGCTCACAACGTCATGACACATCCTCTTTGCGCTGCTGGGTAGCACTAAAAGGAAATAAGTACCGCTGGGTTGTTTTGCTTGTGGCTAAACTCACCTTTTTAGTCACTCATGACACATGCAAAAACGTTCTCACACACTGTTGACCTAACTGCATGTGCAGATGGTCAGAGATTTACCTGCAAACATGAGCTCAGAAACATCTGGCTTGACGTGCAGACATGTGAAGAGAGGAAGAGGACTCTGGGCTTGGTTTATTTTCTCCTGGATGCTGCTCAGCTTAATGTCCATTCTCTATAAGGGGGGGCAACAAAGTCTTAAAGTCACTTACATTCACGCCCTGATAAGTGGACTTGATAGAGTTTGGTAAAGTAAAAATGAAAGGTAAAATACACAAGATTAGAAAACAGAAATGAGTTAGTTTTCAAGACTTGTTTAAGAAAAGACGAGCAAAAAGGAGAAAATGTAAACAAACAGCAGTCGAGTGACTCTTACCGCAGGTATAAGCGTCTCTCCTATAAGCATACCAAAGATGTCTGTGAAGGTTACAGGCTGCCCTGTGGCCTTTTTGGTCCAAAGGGCTTGGATATAGTTGGTGATGTGTTGTGGGAGCAACAGCCTCAAAGGGTTACTGCTGACCTTGTTCATCAGCTCCTGATTGATGTCCTTTGGGCCCTTATTTGGAAAGTCTGGGTGGGAGTACAGAGAAGACATATACCTGCAGGAAAAGAAAGAAAAAAGTCTGTAAAGAACTTGTTTGTTACAATCAAAAAATGCACAAAATATTCCTTTCTAGAGGACTTATGCTGCAGGTATTGTAGGTACTGCAAGGGAGTAAAGTTATTTGGCAAACACAAAGATGAACACGGATGTAGGTCAGAGATGCTTACTGGATGACAGCTGCACGAAAGTATGCCAGAGAGGTGAGGAGGCAACACAGAAGGTCAGTCAGAGGAAAACGGAGACACATAAATACAGCACAAAGATGGATAAGGATAAAAAGCTTATGAGGCTTTGGAAATAAAAGTAAATAGAGAGGGGAAAATGTAAAAACTGGTAATAAGAGGAGAGATGAAACTAACTAACCATGTCGATCCTGAAAGCCCGGCGACATATGTGGCACAATCCAGGACCCCCGACTCAAACAAGGCTTTCATTACACCTGAGAATCCTACCATGGCACGGAAACCACCTCCTGAGCCCGCAATAGCGATCACTGGCACCTACAGTACACACAAAAATACAAAGAATGAAGAGAGATGCCTGCCTAATTGCATAATTACATGATACACAGCGTGGAGAATCACATTCATTCTACCTCATTCTTACAGGTTGAGTAACTTCACTCTCGAGAGTCTATACAGTGATTGTGCCAATGCAAATTACGTCACGTCTTTGTAAGATTTTTAAGCTTAGGCCTTTGGATTTTCAACAATTTCATAATTCTAATTACGCAACACCGCTTCCTCTCTGCAGTTGGTGTTGATCTCATGGTCAGTTCTGAATATTCTGAGTTTTTTTTTCCTGAGGCTCATGCTGAGTAGGGAGTTAAGAGATGTTGCAGCGTAGTGGAAGCAGCAGCTGGTTATCTCATTCCTCTGGAGCTTCCGCTACATGCTGAAAATATGAGCAAGCCTGCCTGGAGATTACAGGCAACCCCGAGGACGGCTAGCCAAAACCACAAAAGTTAAAAAAATAAAGAGTAAAAAAAAAAGCAAACTTCTGTTTCTTAGCTCAGCCCAGAGGAGGAGCGAGTGTAGAGAGGTTTGTGGTATGGTTTTCTTTCCAGTGTGAGACCGACAAGCAGCTATAAGGTGAGAAAATACTGTGTGGGAAAAGTACATCACAGCTGAGAATTTTGCAAGTCCGCAGCAAGTCTGGTTGAATTATACACCACAAATATTTGCATGATTTTTTCGCTTTCTTTTCTGTTGTTCTCACTTGTTGGTTGCAGACAAATTTGCAGCCTACTGGAACGAGAGACCCCGCAGAAGACACACATTACATTTAAACAATGTGTCGTTAAGAGGCTAGAGTCACTTAAGTCATTTCTTATAATGGGTGTGTAAAAAAAACAGTGAACCAACTGGTTTCTGATCTTATTATTCTACCAAATTCAGCACAGCAGAGAGAATCGATATACACTTCCCAGAAACTAACAGTGGATACTGGGGTAAAAAGGTTTAGCAGCTGCTGCAGATGCCACCTTTGCTTTTAGGTGAGGAGTGAAAACTAGCTAGCAAAAAAAGAGAGAGCCAGTTTAGCTTACCTTACATGCTAAAAAAAAGTGTGCAAGATGTCGTTTTCAGGCCTAGCTACAAACTGAATTGACTCTCTTAACAAGTCTGCAGGCTTCCCTTTATTATATTCAAAAGAACATAACTAAACTTAAAACTTTTCACTTATTTGCTTTCCTTGACGTGAAAGACAGAAAGAGGTATCGTTGTATACTCGTTGGACAAAAAGCTAAGCTAGTATTGGTACCATGAAGGTGAAGATCAAACAGCTAGCTTGACCCAGTCTTCAGGTGATAAACCATTTGTGTAAATACCAAAAGAATTGAGATATTTCACCAGGGTGCAAAAACTGTTCAGCAGAAATGCAAGTTGAATTTATTCTCAGTTTATACTCAAACTTGTTTTTGCTTCAGTCTCACCTCCTCTGGAGAGCTGGGGAGGAAGCGAGGCTTCTCCATGTCCAAGAGCTTCTTGATGCCCAGCATCACTCTCTCTCTGCGGGTCTGTCTGAACTGCTTCTCTTTATCACAGAGGGCGCGACTGAACCTCAGGTCTAGCTTGGTGCTGCAAAAACAAAAAGAGAGGTAATATGAGGACAAAGAGTCAATCACAGACATGGATGAAATTCCTGCTTGACTTTCCTAATGATGTTGAAACCTCAGGTCTACCTTAAGTGGTTTGTTGTGAAACATACTCAATGACATTCATGGTCTCTCCTCTTTTACTGCGCACCATCTCAAAATTACTAAACCCTGAAACATCTAAGGAACGTCCAAACCCTCCACTACAGGGATGTCACAGGAATCGTTTCGTATTTTAACCCTTTATTAAGTTCACAGGTATCCTGTCGTTACTGAGTCATGCAGGTTAAGTTCTAATTTCAGTTTCTAAAACGCTCCAGGGTAATTCCTTTGACTTCCTAAACCCTTGTGTATTGTGATGCTGACTCTTAAACAAGTTATTGTTCATATTTTAAACATGAGCGGACAAGTCATGTAAAACAAACTGTGTAAAAGTTCCTGCAGTAAAACTTGATAGAATTAGAGAGACAAATTTTGATATTTGAATGGAATACAAACCAGATCTCCAACGACAGGTCCAAGTAGACTTTGGTTGCCTGTCAAAAACAAAGACATATCTGGTAAATATGAAGCTCATTTAAAACACTTATTCTGATAAACAAAAAATGTGTCACAAATAAAATCATATTTTTGGGTGATATGTAACACAACATTTTAAATAATAAGGAACACATAAGGTTTACATTTCTTTATAGTCAACTTCTTCAAACTCTTTCTTATGCCTTGGGATGAGGCCAACCACTTTTTTTCTTATGATTTACATGTTTTTAAATATTTTGGAGTTTAAACTGTGAATGACTTTAATCATGCAGATTATAATCTGCTAGGATGTAATCCTCTGCACTTGGTTTTTCTCCTGAACAGCTCAGGTTATTATCAAACCTGTCTGACATCTTAATTAAAAATAACGTTACAATATAAATGATTGACTTTTTGAATCAGGGGAGGCTACCACTACCATGTGATCTTCAAACTACATTCATATATACATAAATCCCACTTAGCAAAAGATGGGAGTTACTGATCTAGAGCTTCACTGGCAGGTAAGTAGGTCTGTGGGATTGTGTTTTGGACTCAGATTATGTCTTTGAAAAACAGTGAAGTCAGAGGTGATGGTTGGCAGTAAAATGCTGTCATAAAATCTGTGTCCTACGCAGGTCTGTGTGTTTTAAAAACAAGCACTTTGAGCAGCTGCAGTTTCCTAACTGAAGTACTGAACTGCAGCCCCTAAATGCTGTCTCAATCTACCTCAGTATACCTTATGTGTCTATACTCATTAATTATTTCATCACATATTTAAAACTTGAATTTATATTAAAATTCACCAACTCCCTGTCAAAGGAAACTCTTACAAGTTTTAAAAATGCCAGCCTTCAAGAAATCAATTCATAGTCAAATGTCTTACTTTGCCAATAAGGAAAGCTTCGGTCTTTTTCCGGCCTATTCCATGCTTGGTGATGTCGTAGGATGCTGTCCCAAGTGTCTCATCCATCACATAATTTGCATCCATCAGTGTCAGCTAAGAAGAATAAAAAACAGAAGTTAAATACAATTACTATGCATTATTTTGGGGGATGTGTGTTTCAGCTTAAACAAGAACAAAAATAGCTAGAATCCGTCATGAGTACCAGTTCAGAGAGGCAAACTCTTTTATTTTTGGAGTGACCACAAAACGATGTAAAACAATCTAAAATGATACTACTTATCTCACATCTTTTTAACCTATGCCACACTACACTCCTAAATGTCATTCTAACCCAGTTTAAACTACACTAGACAAAAGCAGATCTCACCTCCAGGATGTTGTTCTGGTTCGGGTCTAATATAAAGTGAAACGTCTCGTTCCATTTCGGGTTGATGTCGTTATCAATGTGTTTCGTCCTTCTTCTGCTTTCTGGGGCTGTTGGGATGAAAAGCTCCACATATGGATCTGGAGTGTCCACTGCATACGTACAAACACAAACACAAGAACACACACACAGATTAGTGTCTCTCCACACAGCATGTAAACATTTGGATTCTGTCCAACTCAAAAGAAGCATTTCTAGTCAAGAGTTAACTTTGAGCTGGATTTCCTCCAAATGGATGCAGTTCCCGTGAAAGTAGCAGAAAGAAACATGTAGCTACCCGCAGCTTGTTCCGAATGATTTACAAAAAAATGTAGTTAAAAAAAAAGAGAGGTTAAAAAAAAAAGAAAGGCACTCACACAGGTCACCCAGGGCTCCTTTGGTGACACTCTCAGCTCGAACCACCGTCACTGTAAATTTGTGAGAAAACTGCTGTTCCACCTGCAAAACAACATTCATTCAGTTCAGCTAATCGTGTGAAAGTCAGCCGAAACGCTTTGATAACTAGGACTACAGATACAAATCACACACAGAGGACTCTTACCTCATTATGCATAAAAATGTGAAAAGGAAATATGATATCAGGGCTCAGTGCTGAGTCAAATGTCTATCAGACAGCAACATCTGGCCTTTTTGGCAGGTTGTACTAGTTCACTTCTCTGTTAGTTCTAACAAGATAATTCTGGAAAATAGTAATTTTTAAAACACGCAGTCTCAGCCTGGGGATCTGATATTAGTGTTAATGATTTAAAACTTCCTGAAATTTGAAAATAAGTGCAGTGGGAGAAAAAGACTGTTGAGAACAAGGCGGTGACAACTAGACAACACAGACTATTAGACGATCTCAAAAGGGTGTTTTTATTGACCTCATCAAATCTGAAGCGGAAAATCTGAACTTTAATTTCTTCATTTAAACCAACTTTTTCTACTGCACTCTTGTGGTGAGATGCACCTCAACACTGTCAGGCTTTGGCACCACATCATTATGCAGTTACTTGCAAGAACTCAACTCAGGCTAATATGCAAATCAAGAGAGTTCACACCGTCAATGCAACCCAGAGCACATTCATGCGCTCAGACTTTGCGAGTGATAATGCAGCGAGAAAAATAGTCTCCACTTCAGACTGAACACATCTGACAGCCACTTTAAACTTCACTGAATACATTATTGCACCACTAAACTATAGTAAACAGACTTCATATTTTTTGACAGCGTAAAAGCTCTTCTGTCCAAATGGTTACAACAGGGTCTTAGATTTCTGCTTCTGTCTTGTTGCTTTGTTACACCATTTCGCACATTCCTCTGGCGACTTTTACAGAGTTTTTTATGCTTTCTATGATTGCATTTAGGTACCAGTATTACGTGTGTTTTTGGTGCCTAAATCTTTCAATGGAAATTTCCTTTTAAATCTCTTTTTGAACTTTGTACTGAAGGATTCATTCCTTAAAGTGATAAACTTAAAAAAAGAAGAGGTTGGGAGGTCAACCTCCTCTAAATGCCGTCTTTGTCTTACATAGATATCCATCACAAAGCCCACATGCTGGATTAAGAACAGAAGTTGTTTTGCCTTTTTTCAGCGTTGTTGTTTTTTTTCTTTTTAGTTAAGCCACTGAAAGAACAAAGACAGCAGTGAGTCTTTTATTTAAAATTTATGATATCTGTTAACATTTCCAGCAATTTTAAGGTGTGGCTAGGTGCACACAAGGGCCACAAGACGTCACAGAAGACTAACAGCTGTGTCATACGTTTCACCTTTCGCAATGTTTTCAAACACTTTCACAAATGCAAAACTGTGATAAAAAAACTGAGAATGCTTATGCCATACCGTTTATCTAATGCCAATCTGTGCCTCTGAATACAGCTCACGTTAACCCTTGTGTTTCACTGCAGCGATACCGACAAAGGCCTTACCATTGAAGTGTTTGTTTCAAAACAGACTTTGTGTTGTGATTTAACCTGCAGTCTCTCCACTGCTGTTAAAATGTGGCCGTTTTTGTACTTTTAATAACACTCAGCACTACCTGTGTAAATACTCACAATTATATTGGATGCCATTGTGTGGAGTCGGGTTAAACTCAAAGAGGTAAATGTCAAGAAATCAGCTGTCACTCAGGAGAGCATCTGGAAGTTGAAACAAACACATTTATTCATCAATCAGGATGTAGGATTGAAACTTAGGCAGGTAAACAGGTCTTATATTAAAAACAGATCACAAAAAATGGATCATGAAGCGAGATGTCTTCAGTCTACAGCAGGACTATCACAGTAGGATATTTCTGTAAAAAGCTAGGACCGCTGTTGAAACATTTTGCACCTCCACCCTTGAGGAGAAATACACATCGCCACAAATTTCTATATAGAGCACTGGGTGAGTAGAGACTGTTTATATGTGAGAGTTCAAGCCCTGCACTTGCACATGTATTACGGGGAACTCAGGCAAAAGATGCTGAAAGATAAGTCAAAACAAAGGTACTGTGTGTTCAATGTATGACACAGTCTGATATATGGTGTGTACATTCGAGGGAAGGTTGTTATTATTTTTAGCATCATTCAGGCTCCCTCTTCCTCTACTATGGTCGAACACAAACATATGATAAGGAATTTGCATGTAGTTTGGTTTGTGTGAGACTGTGTATGTGTCCTGGTGATAGCATATCAAGGTCAGCGAGCCTTTTCTCAGCTGTGCACCAAAGCGTGTCATTACTGAGAGGACCGAGAGCACGTAGAGAGTCTGTGTGTTCACAGAAACAGTCACGTAGTTTGCATCACTGGTCCAACTTTTCAAAGTGCCAGTTCACTCTGCCCTTGTTCTGCAGCGTACAATGGGAGCATGCAGTACAGGCTGCTGCTGAGTCCTGTGCGTGTGCCGACATAACCCAGAGACTTCACGGTACTCAAATTTTCATATGAGGACACAATGTATGAGAGAGGGACACAGCTCCGGGCCATGATGCAAAGCAGCTGCAGTAACTAGCTTTTTGAGGAATAAAGTTTGTCATCAGTCTCATATATGAATGTTCTTCCAGCAAAGTCCTGCATGAATCTCACTTTTTTCATACTTTTGAACGACTATGTCTTTCCCTAAAGTAAAAATGGAATATACATTACACTGTGACACTCCAGTTCATTCAGTACTTGTTATTAGGCCACTATAAAAACAGGTTTTTCTTGAATGTATAAGCAGGCCAGTCTGGGTCAAAGCTTTAAAAGCATGACTTTGCAACAAGCCGGGATTTTAATGCTGTAATGGAAGTAAAGATAACTGATAAAGATAAACAAGCTTTTTTTGCAATGTTGCAAACCATGATGAAGTACAATGAATAAAAGAAAATAAAATACAATCAGATTAAGAGGACTTCGCTCTCTCACTGCACATACGTTTGCATCTGTTCGCTCTGATGTGCCACAGTAATAAGATCTTAAAACGAACAGCTCTAACAGCACTGACAAAGTTCTCTCAAACTGCAAGTTAGCACTAGCGCGCTCTCAGTTTCCTTATCCACACAGTTGCGTAAAATGAAGAGTTCACCGTGTACAAGAGAGCAACGGGGACAAACACGGACGGCCCTCTCCTACTTATCAAACCCTCTTTGAAACAATGGAGAGGAAAACTGAAACATACCGTAACCGGAGTGCTCTCAACTCACAAATCCTGAAAACTGTGCCATGCTGGTCGTAAGTTTCGTTCCATCACAGCAGGGCTGAAGCCGGAGGAGGTGCTTCGTCTGCAGATGTACGGTCCGCACACCCGGCAGTCAGGGGGGAGGTTCACCGCCTGCGTTGTCAGACCACAGCTTGGAGGAAAAAAAAACACAAACTAAACAAAAACCACGCGTAGATGTCTAAATATAGAATAAAGTACGACAGAAAAGTTGAGCAAAGTTGAAGAGGTGAGCGTAAGGAAACTCCGAGCAAGAGTCAGCTTTTGACTCAGCGGAGGAAGCAGAAGGCTGACGGTGGCTCTCCACCTCTCCAAGTGCGCAGCACCAGAGCGTAACCACGTCCGCATGAGGGCGCGTAAAGACTTGGATGGCGTGATAAACAATATATAGGAATAACTTAATTCATGACACAGGGGTGACTCCGAACATACTTCAATTAGTCAAATACCTCCTGCTGGGGCAGTCTGGCTGTTTTCAGGACAAGAACATTCACATAAAGACCCTTTGGAGTTCACAGTTGGAATTGAGTATAATAATCATGAATTAATGCACATTTTTCATGAATATCCCCGAAGAAGTTTTGTCATTTTAACTTATAATTCATATAAAATTAAAGTCAGGAGACTGATGCCAGTGTTTAAAAACGATTACTTCACATTTTAATGCGTTTTCTTGGTATTTGCTCCATGATCAACTGAATGAGATCACAGATATTTCATCCTAAATCAAATTGTATAATTAATTACGAATATAGACACTCCCTTGTAGGATTACTGTCTTTATGGTCGAGATAAAAGAAGACACTCAGTCTTTGAAATCTAATTAATTTCTCTCTAAAGGGTGGCTTTTATCGTAAGAGACGTTGAATTAGAGTTAAAACAATTACAATGGCTTATTAGTCACAGTTGTTCGTTTGATCAGATAAAAATAAAATACTTGAGAAGTTCTGAGACAGCCTATATATGGGAAAGAGTTTCAGATGCACGTTGTTTTCTACCTTCCTGGTGCCAAAGATAACAACTACACATCATACAATCATCGACATGCAATGGCATTAATTGTGAAAGATATGAGATTCCTCATAATCTCATACCTGTTAGTAATAGACTATTAGTCCGACTCTGGTAAATGAGAATCACGAGCGACTTTTTTTTTTTTTTTTTTTTTGTGTGGATGACGTCAGCCCGGTTGTATAAAACGGGGCCGCGCACAGGTTTCGGCATTCACAACTTTCAGCTTCAGAGCGACGCAGCAGCGAAGGAGAGGAGAGAGAAGGAAACAAGAAGAACCTCTGAACAAGTCTTTGGAGTATGAACAGACTTACACTCGCGGCTTTCCTCTTGGCACTGGGTTTTCTTGTCTGCGAAGGTGGTAAGTAGGGAACAAGACCCCACACTTCACATTTTGATGCTTTCTTTTTGCTCTTGCATTGATTTAAAACTAAATTACTAAAGGCCACAATTAATAGTATTTTAAAATGAACTGTACTGCTTGGCATTGGTTCCCTTCTAATATTGATTTTTATTAGCTTTTGCCAAAAAGAACAAAACACAATTCAACTATATCTTAATTCACAGAGATGCATGATGTTTTGTATTAATGCCCAGGCTTTTTTGGCAGATTAGTATCTTAAGTGAACATTTCATATGATGTTTTACAGGTAACCCATGTTGCTCAGACCCATGTCAGAACAGAGGCGTTTGCACAGCGCTTGGAGCAGACAACTACGAGTGTGATTGTACACGAACAGGATTTTATGGACAAAACTGCACAACACGTAAGTGTCAATAGCACACATGTGGTGCACTGAAAACCTAAAAGGTCCTGAATGTCCAATGATAATAAATCTTCTCTCTTGGTTTTTACAGCTGAGTTCTTCACCTGGATCAAAATCACCCTGAAACCAACTCCAAACACCGTCCACTACCTTCTCACCCACTTCAAGGGTTTCTGGAACATCATCAACAACATCTCATTTCTCCGGAACGCCATCATGAGATACGTGCTGACATGTAAGCACTCACTAGCTGAAGGCAAAATGAAAAGATTGATGGAAAATTGCTCATCAGCACACCAAATAATTAGCACTGTAGGTTGTAAAGAAGCTTTTGTGGCTTGTATACTAATGTTGAACTCTTTTTTTCTCTTCAGCCCGATCCCACCTGATTGATAGTCCTCCAACTTTCAATGCGGATTATGGGTACAAAAGCTGGGAGGCCTATTCAAACCTTTCTTACTATACACGTACCCTCCCCCCTGTACCTGAGGATTGCCCAACCCCTATGGGAGTAGTAGGTGAGTGCACTCTCGCTACGTTTGGAGAACCAGTTTTCTCAGATTCTTGAATACTGAGCCAGAGTGGCTTGGCCCCATTACATCACAGGAAGCGCATATATTGAAATTACCCCGCTTCGCTATTGGTAGGGTGGAAATGTACTTAGGGAACGCAGCGAAACCTGCTTCAGCAAGCCCAAACTTGAGGACTTAAATCCTCTTTTTTTATCAGATTTTACACAATGTAGCCTTAGGACTTCACAGTGAAAGAAAACCCCTTTAATAGCTTTCCCTATCAGGAAAGTAGATCGTATCTGCTAACTCTACTGTTTCTGATTGTTTCCCCAGGCAAAAAGGAGCTCCCCGACGCTAAGGTTCTTGCTGAGAAGCTTCTAGTGAGAAGGAAGTTCATACCCGATCCACAGGGAACCAGCCTGATGTTTGCTTTCTTCGCACAGCATTTCACCCACCAGTTCTTCAAATCTGACATGAAAAATGGGCCAGCTTTTACCGTCGCTAAAGGCCATGGGGTAAGCACAGAAAGTCACAAGCTAAATCTGATTTAGTCTGGAAAAAGAGACAATAGAAATCGATTTGAATTGAAAGAGAATTAGTCGGTGTTTAAGATGAGTTAATGTTGTTTTTACTTTCAGGTGGACCTTGGCCACATTTATGGAGACAACCTGGAGAGGCAGCACAAGCTCAGACTCTTTCAGGATGGCAAGCTTAAATATCAGGTATGACAAGTCACAGCTGCTCTCTACTCTAAACAGTCAAATACTTCAGACCACCCAAGTGTTTAACAGTTTCATCCCCTCTTGTGTAACTCTGCAGATCTTAGATGGAGAAATGTACCCCCCAACAGTTAAAGAAGTGGGTGCTGAGATGCACTACCCCCCTCATGTCCCTGACTCTCACCGCTTTGCCGTGGGCCACGAGGCCTTCGGTCTGGTCCCAGGCCTGATGATGTACGCCACCATCTGGCTGCGGGAACACAACCGGGTGTGTGACGTGTTAAAGGAGGTCCACCCTGACTGGGACGATGAGAGGCTCTTTCAGACCACACGACTCATTCTGATCGGTGAGTTTATATAAAATTCTAAAAGTAAAGCACATTTATGTCGGTGAAGCAGAAAAACTATGATAAAAAGGTTTGTGATGCTTTCGAAATCAATAAAGATAACACCGCAGATAGGAAAAGAGGAAGAAGAATTTTTTTATGATGGCACACTTGCAAACGTACTGCACTCAGTTAAGCAGCAAGCACTACTGTGATGGTAATGATTAACCAAGAGATACGCAAAGGAGGAAGTGTCGAGGTTTTTGTTTGGGGACTTTCTTCTGTGACTACAAGCTAAAAGAGTAAAAAAGAACTCTCAAAAGTATTTACCAATGCCTGGTTTTATTACAGAGAAGGTTTAGATTTCCTGAGTCAGAGTTTGTGCTCTTGTGGTTTTAAGTTTCCACATCACTCTTGTGTAAGTTACAGATTGAACCTCAGATGACAAAAAAATCTAAGTGAAGTAACATAAAGCAGAAGCTTCAAAGTAGATCAAGTTTTTTAAACAACCATAGTACCTGCATCATCTCATATAAAACCAATTTTCCCTGCAGGAGAGACCATCAAGATTGTGATTGAGGACTACGTCCAGCACCTGAGCGGCTATCACTTCAAGCTCAAGTTTGACCCCGAGCTGCTCTTCAATCAGCGCTTCCAGTACCAGAACCGCATTTCATCTGAGTTCAACACCCTGTACCACTGGCACCCGCTGATGCCCGATACTTTCCACATTGAGGAGCAGGAGTACAACTATAAACAGTTTGTCTTTAACACGTCTGTTGTGACTGAGCACGGCATCAGCAACCTTGTGGAGTCATTCACCAAGCAGATTGCAGGACGGGTAAGGACTGTTTTAGCTCGAGTATCAACATTGTGATCAAGTTTTTAGAACCACTGTTGCTTATTGATTTTTTTTCCCTCTTTTTCAAGGTTGCCGGTGGCAGAAATGTCCCAGGACCTATCCTGCACGTGGCCATTAAGTCTATTGAAAACAGCAGGCAGATGCACTACCAGTCCCTGAACGCCTACAGGAAGCGTTTCGGCATGAAGCCCTACAGCTCTTTCGAAGACATAACAGGTGAGATAAAGTCACATACAAATGCTAATTGTTGGGGAGAGTGACATGACGTGGTAATGAAAGAACTCATTGTCAATGTGAAGTGAAAAGAAATGCTGCCTCAGGCCAAATTACTGCCATATTATTAGCAGCATTGTTCCAGGCTCATCGCAGGAATTCATGCAAGCTTAAGAAACACACCCACACACTCCAGATTAAAGCTTGGTTCATAGACTACGTATTATTAAAAAACTGTTTGGTTTCACTGTTGCGCATGTTGAAGGTTAGGAATTTATTTCCGTGACTCTTGGGAACCAGATGTTCATTTCATCCTAAGATAGTGTAAGCAGATTGTCATCACAGAGAGCACAGACGTAAACAGAGCAGAAGGGCCTCCTGCTTCAGAGGCAAGGATTTAGAAGAAAAAAGACGTTTCAATGATTAAGATTTAACTATAATGTATGAGGGGAGAAAATATCTTTGTGTGATAAAGGGCTAGATTAAAAAGAGATTCTTTTCAGTGACAATTTGCTGGAGTTGACTCGGTCAAAACATCTCTCATATTTAGTCTAGCAGCCAGATCTGCTTCAGCTAAGAGATAACAGATCAAAACTAAATCCTGTTTTTTGTTACTCAGGAGAGAAAGAAATGGCGTCCATCCTCGAGGAGATGTACGGACATGTCGATGCTGTGGAGCTCTACCCAGGTCTGCTGGTGGAGAAACCCCGGCCCAGTGCAATCTTTGGGGAGACCATGGTCGAGATGGGAGCCCCTTTCTCTCTCAAGGGCTTGATGGGAAACCCCATCTGCTCCCCAGAATACTGGAAACCAAGCACCTTTGGGGGCAGCGTGGGCTTCAACATCGTAAACACCGCCTCTCTGCAAAAGCTGGTCTGCAACAACGTGCGTGGCCCCTGTCCTGTGGCATCCTTTCACGTGCCTGATGTTAAAGAGACGGGGTCTATGATCATCAACTCCAGCACATCCCACTCAGGCAGTGGCGATATCAACCCTACAGTCATTTTGAAAGAAAGGACTACTGAGCTCTAACTGTTTTCTTTATTTCATTAGGGAATTTTTTCTATGTCTGTATTTATTTATTTATTTATTTTTATATTTATTGTTCTGTATTTATGATATATCATTGAAAAAAAGTGCGACATATGATATTTTTTTTTTTTTACATACATTTTGGATACGGTGTTCAGAAACTCTAGTCTCTGGTTGTGTTAATTTATTGAAAGATGATTTGTATCATAAGTTATTTTTACAGTAATGACCTCAGACAGTGAAACTTGATACTTGAAAGTTTGTTTACAGTTTCAACTACACAGTAGCACACACTTCTAATGTCAGTTTGTGTTCATTTGACCGTGCAGGCAGGGATACAGTAACACAGAACGGTAGTGAACTCAATGAGTAATCCTATCATGATCTGATTTAACCACCATAACTGTGTATTCTTATTTCAGTATTGTTTTGTTATACTTCTGTAATCAGTCTGTGTACTGGATTGGGTAATTTATAATGAATACTTAAATAACTCTAAACTGCACTTTTGTTCAGAAATACATGTTTCTTTGGCATTCAAATGTAGGATTCAATAATAATGAAAACAGCTATGTCATCAGTCACTTTTCTTCTCAATGCCTTTTGACTTGCAATGTTACAACTAATAAATGCTTCCAAGACATGGGGCAAATTTCTCAGAAATCAGCAGTGGTTGTTGTTGTCATTTTCACTTTGTTTTAAGCTGAAACTCTCTGATTGGTAGAGCGATTAAACTTTACCTTTTAAGGTAGTCCAAGTCCTGAATATACAGTATGCCGAGGTCAAGCTCAAAGAGAACAGTTTGAATTGACAAGTTAATGCAATCGTCCGGAAGACACATTTAGGAGGACATCATACGTGTTTGTAGTTCTTTGTTCTCAAATCAAAAATTGTGCAAAATGGAAATACAAAAAAAAAGCATGAAAATGAACTACTGTGAGACATGCAGCAAAAGACTGAATCAGCGGCCACTACAACAAGGACCAAAGCCCCTTCAGGTGAAGTGCTGAGATCACTTGGCTATCTGCCCAACTATTAAGACAAATTTTAACCAAAACCAGAGAGTAAAATTTAAAAGACTTTTTAAACTAAGCCATATACTCAACTTTTTTACTGTGTTCATAAATTGGCAAAAGAAATATAGTTGTTGAATGGCACGTCCTTTGATCATTGCTGTGTATGCCTTGCAGAATCTAAAGCATTTGTTTTTCTATGCCGAAATTCTTAATTTTTGATGTCTTCTTGATTATTTAGCACTTTCATTAATTTCATTACCAAACATTACTTCTGCCACGTTTCAATGTGCAAACTCTAAAAGTTAGTATGACATGTAATTCCTTCGAGAATTATTTCTACTATTATTTCTATTTCTACTTTGCATTTAAAACTAATTTTGTTATTTTGAGGTCATGCTCAAAAAATCATCCAAATTTCTAAATCTCCACTTTCAAAATTTTTTAAGACTTCATAACCCTTAAAAAATGACATTTTACCATCACGCAACTTTCCTGTAACTCAATCTTTTTGTATCATTCGTATTTCATTCATAAAGGCATCACAAAGTTAAGGAAGTGTTCTAGCCCTTAAAAGTTTTGCAAGAGTTTTAATTTATTCCCCTTTTTACTTATTTTGTTCAGAATCGCAGTAAGATGTCGTCTGTCTGAGAGCAACAAAGGCTTCTTAAACTCTCTTTCTTTCTTTCTTTCTTGCAGAATTAGCAGCTTGGTGCCAGCTCATTTTGTGTGTGTTTGTGTGCAGCATACACAGTTAAGCACTGTCATTTTTAGCAGTTTTGTGTGAGCGTATTTTCTAACATGCGACATAAGCCGTAAAGATCCAGCTTCTGGAACCATTTAACATTTACAGTACATCTTTCTCTGAAATTGTATCCCCTTGCCTGGATACTTGAAAACATTTTGTTAAAGCTCCTGTTAGGATTTTTCTGTCTGTGTTGATTTCAGCACCCCCTGTGGTCAAAGTGGTAACCTGCACATCATTGCTGGCTTCAGCTCATCCATGTAATAGCAGAATTAATTGACAAAAATCTCCCCCTGTTGTCGTTTTACAGTGAAACTGATCACTGACCATGGCTAAGCCCACCTTCCCCATCACAACAGCAACAGGCATTAAAAATTATGGCACAGAAATTGTCAGACTTCTCATCAATAGTCTCACTTGTTTTCATATATCACAGAGACATATCACTGTTCATTTAAGTCTGTTTCTCAACCAATCAAAAACTCCTTGCAGGTATTTTAAGGTGTGTCAGAAATACATTTTTTGGTAAATTCAGATGAGTCTCTCAATTATCTAGATGATGAATGGAATAAAAATTGCCGGTAACAGTCCAACCTTATTGCTCATGATCAATTATATAATAACTGCTTTGCTAACGCTGACATGAGATTCAGGGAGTGGAGCTTTAGCAGATTTGGGGGAAAGAGATGTGTGTAGCGGTTAATTAAAAAAATATAAATGCACCGTTATCAGTTTGTTCTGTCACACTCTTACTTGAGGTCTATGTTCAAGCCTCTTGTCTGGAGGCTTGACTGTACTGTGCAACCTAATGAATGATGATTAACAGGAGGAAAAATGGAACATTAATCCCAGTATGGCTGTTCGGGAAGAGTTTGAGGAAATGTTTCTAGTCTTAGCTTAGGTTGCCACCCTCAACACACCCACAAGACCACTTTGTGTAGCTGAAGGGTTTTCCCTTTCCAGCACCTCATATAAAACATGTTGACACTCGCCCAGCTCCAGGAAGCCCACATGGTGTGAGCCTACATGACAGGATCACCTGGTTGACGGGGTGAACCACTGAAAGCAAACATTAAAAATTTCTCTTCCTTTTTGAGGGTATGTGTGTCATTAATGTGATTTTTTTTCCTAGCTCATATCCCTAAAGCCAACTAAGCAGGTCTTTGAGTCATTCAGCCATAGTAACTCCCCAGTGACAGTTTCTGTGAACTTCCTCTGTTTTGATACTCCAGAGGAGCTGCTTAAGATACTAATACAACGTATAGTCTGTATCGAAGAGGAAGTGAGGGAATAGCCATTTACGTGGCTGTGACAATCATCTAATCTCTAAAATTTTCCAGTTGCTCGTATACTCATTGCTGGGAAAAGATGGAGAGGGGCTCAAAAGACCTTTATGAGCCGTAAAGATTAGCTTCCAGTCCAAAAGCGTACGGGAAACCTTGCCTAGGCAGTCTGATCTGTCACTATTTTTCTAGGGTTCCCCATCCAAAACAAACATGGTGGAGAGAATGTTGACGTGACTGGCGGCACAGCGCCGTGAGTCAGGCTTCAGGACATCATCCCTTCTAATCACAGACAATGACAAGCTAAATTTTCCCATCCATTCACACATTTCAAACAACTGATATAGAGAACACATTCTCTATCTCCACCCCACACTGTACAACTACAGTTTTGAATACAAAACCACACACAGAAGTGAGGAAATTACATTAATTAAGTCATGTGCATCAGTTGTCATCTTAGCTAAGCCAAGTGAACATTTCATCCTCCATCTCACAGTCTTTGTCCAAAACTTCAAAAGGTCCAGGCATAGGATTCCCTGTCACACCAACTTGGTCCATCACGGCATGAAAATGACCTAATTGTGTGTGCAAATTTTTTGTTTTCGCCCACTGTCAGTTGCCCGAAGGGTGAGTATCATTATTCCATTGTGCATCAATGTGTGGCACTCTCAGGTCCTGGTCTATGAGATCGAGCAGGGGAGCATATCTTGCTTTGTCTGGGTGTAATGAGCATAAGCAGGCAGTGGGCTCTGGTGTGGGAGACGAGCCGTAGACTTCAGGATGAGTTTTCCCTCTGACCGCTTCAGGACCTCTCTGGACCCAGACCCAAAAGTGGATGCCTTGATACAAGACTGGAGTTACGTGCTGAGATGCAGGTAGCAGCAACTGGGTTCAAATGAGTGAATGGATTGAGCCCATGTGGCAGCAACTAACAGAGTGGGGAAGTGCCAGCTCTGCACGGGAATCGCAGGCACTGACCCAACGGAAGCCATTTCTGGTCACTTCTAATGGTTTTCACACTGCACTGGCCCTGCTTGACTCAAATAAGACATGACGTTATCATTTGATACAAGTACAAGTCCCTTTCTATTGCTGACCCTACTGTGTAGAGCATCTTGACTTGGTATTCCCCAATGAGCTTCAGCTATCTGTGAAAATGTGACTTGATATTTCAGACCTTTACTCTCTTCTAAGTTCCTCCATCGACAAACCAAACCATTGAGCTCAGAGTCGAGTATGGAATAAACAATGCCAAACTTTTTTTAATGACAAATTCCTTTCGCTGATTGAACTTTGAGTGTTTTCACCTCAACTTTCAGTTTCAGCGAAGCCTGCCGGGAACAGGGTAGAGCCAATCTATTCCATGAAAATTAGACTCTTTGTAATGGATGATGCCTGTGAAGAGGTAGTTCTGTAAATTACTCCCTGCTTTGCCTATTACTACTATTACTACTGACTAAAGTCATAAACAAAAAGCTTATAAATATTGATCTGGAGATGGTTTTATTGATTAAAAAAAGACCAGATTTACAGATTAAAACATACTATCTCTGATTCCATGGTTGATGGCACCACAATGGCTTCGAATTTCTAATCTGTTTTTGCAGAACAAATATCAAGATAAACATTTCAATAACTGGCAACATTACATGTCCACTCAAGGTCACACAAGAAAAGTGGAACTGAAACTCTGTAAAATGTGCCAGAAAATGTGTGGCTCTGGTGTTGTTCTTGCTAGGCAGAGTCAACAACAATCACAAAGGGGTTGTCAAGAAGTTTTGAAACAATCAGATTCAAGTATTTAACACAACATCTATTGGTTATATTTGCATATAGATATATTGGTTTAACCTATTTCTCCAATGTCTAACACATTTTGAAAGAGTGCTGACCCCTTGCTGGACCGGTAAGTGACGTGCTTCACCATAAAATGAAACGGGAAAGCAGATAATATGTCCCACTCTACATGGTTGCCAAGACTGCACCCACTCACCTGCTTGTGGGAGGTGACAACAGTGAGTATTTTTCTGAGCTGTTGCTGCAACCCACACAAGACGACGACGGAAAGGAACCACCACTATCTGTCATAGTCAATGATGTCATACTTTCAAAATGATCATGGTTTCACTAGACTCTTGACACGCTTCCACTAATAACATTTCTTTCATACTTTCATAAACATGTGACAGTTTTGGCCACAGGGAGTGTTGGGAGGAAAAGCCTGGGGCTCCTGAGACATAGGTATGATCCTTGTTGAAACTGACAACTCTAAGTTAGCGTTTTGTTGTCTGAGGGGATTTCTGTGAATAGCTTTGTGGCTAATCACAGGCATTACCTGGCCATTAAAACATTCCTGTGATGGGCTGGGGGGAATAAATCAGGAAACAAACAAACATAAAATAAAATTGTAATTGAGGTGAGTTTTTAGTAAAACACATCCATAGGAACAGATAAGAGAGGCAAGAGATTAAAATTAAAATATAAGATTTTTATACCTCCTTGTTGGTAGCTTGGGGAATTTGAAAGAAGGATAATTAAGAGGAGGTTAATTATTCACAACTGCTGTCTGCCTAAACCTCAAACACGACATAAAAAAAATCACTGCCAAGAGAAATATCAATAAATTAAGAACAAATATTAACAGATTAAGATCAATCTGACAAAAACAGAACAGCTCTGTTGTATGTGTTTTCGACCAGGTTTCACCCTCATGCTCATTATGTCCCTGACTTTCAGCGAGGAGGAATGCCTGGTACCTGACTGTTTCCCTTTCCAACTCAACCCGCATTTACTTGTCTGACATATACAGTTTAGGAACATCCTTTTAACAGAGGTGACCTACAGTTTCTCTAACATTGCCTTTTAAGGGCACTCTGGGTGTATGGAAGAGGCCTTTTGTCACCCTGTGACAAAACAACAAAATAAAAAAAGGAGGACAAAACAGCTGTTGAACCGTCAGGGATAACACGAACATGCTGTCATTTCATATCACTGACACATACTCAGAGAAAACACTTACTCACCTATTAGACTTACACACCTGTTCTCATACAAGTCCATTTAAAGTCAACTTTTGACATGAACCAGTTGAAGTGGCTATAAGTTTCAGTTTTGATTTTGATTGGAAAGGAGACTTACACAGCCACATAAAAGGGTTTCCATCTGTTATAATTGCTCTGATGTAAGTGAGATGTCACTCTGAGTAAGAAAATACTTAGGAGTCCAGCTGAAGCTTGCACGTAGCACCCGTGCTCACAGCTGCAAAAAACAAGCAGATGTCTCCAGATGTTTTATCTTCTTTCGTGAAAATTGCTTTAAATTTCTTGTATTGATTCATATCCTACTTCATCAATATATACTCATTCATATTGTTTATTTTGTCTTTATTTTTTCTCACACAACAACTAATTACTTGAAGAACAAGGTTTTGGAGGTGAGAAAAATAAGGTTGACAAATCTAATATGATAATCATGATTATTGTGGTCATGAATGCCTAAAGAGAAATAACTTAAGTTCCTTTCTCTTTCTCTTAACATTTAAAGACAAAAATTTCTCTCTCTCGCTTCCAGTAATCATTTTAATCAGGAATTCAGTTGTTACACCCACAGAAACCTCCTCACCCACACACATAAATACGTGTTTCCTTCACAGCAGAGGAAATTACACTGACGTCTTTCGATTTCTTATCAACAACCATTCGATGTCCCTCCATTGTCAGCTATGCATCCGTCATGCATGCATATAATTTAATGTTTTTTCATTCAACAGAGTTTATATCTATATCATTTCCTGAAGTGAAGTTTAGAGTAGCAAGCATTTGATATCGACCCAGATAAAAGATTGGGACTCTCTTCCACACCTGCAAACACTTCCCAACACACTTATTTGTCCATTTGTTGTCATAAAAGGGACAATAGTCTCCTGTCACTCACACACTTGAGCATCAGCGTTGCTCAGCCCCTTTCTCACACATCACTCTAGTGAGTAATATACTACAAGTGACTTAAAAAATGTAAGCTATTTCACCTGAAAGGTTTCCCATGTTAGTAATACAATGTCTGGAGCTCTACTACCTTGACACACCTTGCGTATCTTTTGTGTCCATTTACTCAACCCTTTCAGTGCAACACCTACAAGACAGGAAATTAATTTGGAGATGCTTTTTGATTCAGAGAAGTATGGGGGTTATGGTTTGATAATTGACTCCAGTACATAAGCGAAACAGAGACATTTTTCTGGCAGCGAAGGTTTCAGTCACTACAGGTGATGATGAAGCATACATCATGAAACATCACTCCGTAAAATTATGTCACGTACAGGTAATAGCTACGTCTTAAAAAGTTAAAATGACTGCCATGTGATTCACACCAGCATCAACCAAGCTGATGTGCTCCTGTCTAGGAAATCTCTCAGTACTTTTCCTTTTCAAAGGATGAAACACATGTTTTGCATCTAATCTACCTCAGCCATTTCACTAAAATGACGAGTTTGTGTTCATGGGAAACCTCCATGAATCATTCTCCACAGAAACCCAAGGTTTGGCAAGATAGCCAAGAGAAAACCACAGGCTGATTGGCAGCATGTTAAGCAGAATGATGCTTAATTGGGGTTCAATGTCAGCAAGTACTTTTGATTCAACTGATACATTTACGTGCAAGGGTATCTGATTTTGGGACACCTCAGTGCCATTCTGTCATGTCCAGACAGGCTCATGACGCTCTCATGGCCAAGTGCCCAAAGTCTTAGGCAGAGGTTAGATTAAAGGGATGGGGATAGGGGTGGTTGCAAAATACCGCACTGTGTTTCTGAAGTATTTCGGTGAGTGTAAACACGCACACAAATTCACACGAACCCAATTAAACTTGCGCCTAAACTTTCCAGGATTTCATTCACATATGAAAACTCTCAGGAATGTGTTTCAGTCATAAAAGCTTTCTGTAAACACTTCATTCACTTGAATTTCAAATTATGGGCTAACCAAAAAGGATGACAAATTGAAACATGATGCTTTAAAATGACATGGAAGAAACAGATTTGTGCTTGAACTTTGAGAAAGAATGTCAATATTTGACTACTTTGCCACAGTAGACACATTTTGATGGAGTTGAAGAAGTCTTCTTATGATATGCATGTCGCTCACATAGACAAGGTTGAACATGTGAGACATGTTTATGTAAATAGTCAATATGGATTAAAATTCTTTTTCTCATGAGTTTGGCTTTCACTTTGTTGATTATGAAGACATCATTTAGTGTGGAAAAAGTTCACTCTAACTTAAAGCAGAAGTCATTCATGCTCGATAAACATTTGACCGAAACCGAAATCACCTTTCTTTACTTTCACCTTCTTTTTTCTTTAGTGTTGTTAACTCAAGACAACTTTCTGTCAACATTAAGTGCTGACCTACAGACCTGCCAAATGAAGCCAATGCCAGTATTTCCTCATATGGCCACCTGAGACTGGCTCCTGGTGTAAGTCAATGCAACTAAATTTCAACAAGACTTTGGGATATACATCACTGACATGAAGTGATGAGGTTTATTATTCTAGATGTGACCATAAGTGGATTTGGTTTTACTCAGAAATCTGTCCCAGTGTGTTTTTTTGTGTGAAATACCTTCAGTTGATGTGATCTTACACCTACAGAACCTGCTGCGAAGTTTCCATGACATGTGTCATCTTTGTGCTGTTGTCACAACATGTCTGGTGAAAGGTGACAACCGAGTCACCGTTTTAAAGCATGCCATTAAGGTGAAATATACACTTCCTTGTGTTGCAGAAAGATGTTTTCTTGATGTCATTAAGTGTTTAGACGTTAAGTCACCAGGACTTAACGAAAGGAAGGCCCATCATTTTCTCCAAGTCAACCTCGTCATCAAAACAACACCTGTCACATGTGTAAACCCTTTTCTGTGTAGCCCACAAAGTTCCCATGACACCACACTCACATTGTTTAGTTTTACTCTGCACAAGCCCATGGCTCAGTGAGATTAGCGTTGCACTATATTTTGTTTTTGAAAAAATAATCCTCAAACCACGAGATAAAAACACCAAAAAAGATTTAGGTTTATCTTTTGAACAAATTGATACACAGTGGATGATAATGGCACTGGATAATATATTTATTGAATAATATTATCAGAAATCAAACTGATGAGCTTGTATTGTATATAAGATTTGAACAACATTAGAGCTTTGTAATGTAAGCGATAAACTGCTGAACACCAGAATCTTTCTATTAATGGGGACATGTATGTTTGTTCAGCTCATCTATTGAACGATACCTTTTGTAGGCACCAGAATTACAAGTTGGTTGTATGAATTATTCAAATTTTCTATTATTAAAGGCATGAATTGTTGGTCTTTTTGTGAGTCTAAGCTGTAGCGCAGCCAGGGTTGTAGCTTGGTCAATGTCTACTGCAATAACGATATAATGCTCTTGTCAACTGTTCCTTTAACAGTTGGAAATGTAAAGTAAGTTAATAAGTTATTAATTTGAAAAGTTTATAAATTAAGAGCTTTGTTTTTCTCATCAGAGTGGGAGTTCGGCTCATTGGGCCACAGAAATCCTGTCAAAGTGAGCGCTCTGTTTGTTGTGTGCAACTTTAAAGGTCTCCTCTCTGTTAGACTTCATATGCTGCAGTTAAGCACACGCGCCAAACAAGCTGCTGTACACATGGTGCTGCTGTGTTTTCTGTTTCCCAAATGCTTTTGCCTTGGAGACTATTTGTAATAATGTATAAATGTAATGTAATGTGTAAATCTTTTTTGTTACTTATTTCTGTAATATTTCAGTTTTACAATTTAAGGCACAGTGGTTATTGGAGGACCCATAAGATGCTAGCTGGCTAGCTAGCTTTGCATACAAGTACACGCGCTGCAAAGGCAGTACAGCTCTACTACCCGAATGTAAACAAGTAGAAATGACTGCACAGTCTGTATTCATTTCCTTTCTAGAGGTCATTTCAATACTTTTTTGTGAATTCTTTTAACAATATGAGGAAAAATCTAATATTTACAGCCAAGGTTTTGATAACTCAAGGAATATTCCTGAAACTGGTCCGTAAAGACGGATATGAAACTTTTCTCATGGCACCAAGATGGAGCTTTTTGAAGATGGTCTGTACAGTTGGTGTGATTTAAAAGGGAGTTTCACTGATTGTGTCACATAATTCAAGCGAAAACAAACAGAAACTGAGCACTGATTGACCGTTCACAGAGGATGAGTCAATGTAAACTAAAAGCTGTATGTGAACACATGTAGTCTGAAGAACAAATTTAGAAGTAAAGGTGGGAGTGGGAGATAAACAGAGGGGGGTAGGTGGACAGAGAAATGTAGAGAAAAAAGTATATGCCTCAGGAAGGGAAACAGGATGTACCATAAAGGAGCAGATTCAACATCTATCATCAATCAATTACTTTGGGAAAAGTTTTATCTTTAAAGGAAAGTTTGATTTACCTTCAGCAAGTGAGAGTTTTCCCTAAGCTTACAGCACTTTCAATTTCCCACTCCCTCAATTGTTTGTTTTGTTGTTATTTTCTCCTTTTCAGAGACATTAGTCATGCGTGTAGCTTTATGTCTCAAAGACATGATTTGTTATGTTGCTCATACTTTTACATCAATAAACTGTGAGGTCTACAGCATCAGGTCTCTCACATTTTGCCAAAGGCTCCATCATAAAACAATATTCATGTTTCGTCTGGTATCAGGGCTCCCGGACGTGTCTCAGAGCTGCAATACAGTGACGTAATGACGGCTGTCACAGCAACAAACAAACATGATTTCAAGGAGACAGGTTTTCAACAGCCACATGACTGAGTGACAGTTACAGGCTCCTGTGAGTGAACTTGTAACTTGATGGAGCCGGTCTCCAAGCCACCCACGGGTGCTTCTCATCGTAGTTGTAATGACCCCTGAGTCACACAGACAGTGTAGGTTGTAACAAGGGAGCAGTCTTTATGTGTGATTACTGTTTTTAAACGACTGGAAGCACTCATCTTTAATAGCATCTTTGGTTTGTTTTGCACTTGAATGCTTTTGATTCAAAGCAGTTTTTTCTCATTTATTCTAGTTATTGCAAAGATGCTCAATTGTATTATTTTATCAGTTTTTAACCAGTGTGCCCCACCCACAACTCTTAAATTATTGACTGTATACTAAATATTCTCCTCATAATTTTCAGTGCCATATAACCAAATTAACCGACTGCAATTTCACAACAAAACAGGAAATGAATCAGTGGTTACGCAGCAATAGGGTGATTAAAATTCCAGTTATTAAAGCAAGTATTGAGAAATCCTTTTTCTGGGATGCTGGAGTTACATTTAAGTTTCTACAGAAATTCTTAGATCGGCGTTAAAAATAGCAGCTGTTTTAAATATGACTTTGCAGTATAATTATCACTTGGAGTTGAAATTAACTCTTAGATCATTGAAAAATACTGTGTACTTATTTTGCAGTCAAATTATAACTTCTTCAATAATTTAGGCTGATTGAATTAAACTGTTAGATACCATACAGTCTTTTAGGTACACTTAAATTACTTTAACATCGTTTAAATCATCTTTTAAAGTTTTTGTGTCTCAAAATATTGTCATAAGGGTATTTAGGAATTTGATGACCTAGATGTGGATATAAACTGCGAATAAAGGGAAATAGATGATTAGATCAGGCAGCATACTAAAAAACCTGAATCTGCTGTCCTACTTTCTCACAAACCTGCTGCATGTTGCTCACACTCTTACAGATTTTACTCTTTCCCCTTGTTTGCTCCTGCAGCTCCTCCCAGTGGCAGTTTAACTAATCTATAAAACACAACACATTTTTAAAGTGTGCGTCATTTTTTCCCTTTTGAACTTGAGCTAGTCAAAGGAGGGCCTCTCAGGCCGAACACAAAAACACCAACATTACAGTTGGATGACTAATATTTATGAATGAATCGCGAGATAGTAGCAACAACAGTGGCTATGGTGAGGAGGAGGGTGACTGCGGCCTCGTTACTCACTCACTCCCTCTCTTACACACTACTCACTATATCAGCTCGGTGTTGCGCAACAGTCACTAACACACATGCGTGCAAAGTGATTCAGGGGTCTCTGAGGGGACCTGACCACTTAAACCACAGTTTTTTTTAACTTATGAAACCCATGGCAATGGAGGTTTTCCGTTCAACTGTAGCTGAAGTTCTGGTATCTATTCTATATGGTGCAGCCAGATTTTCATTCCACATACTCAACTTTCTGTGTGTAAATACAAGTAGGTATGTATGTACATTGGTGACTGTAGATATTGTTTCAAAAAATAAACATCTTGGATAAAGAAATTCAAAAACCACAACCATGACTTGTTGCAAAATGATTACTGACGAGTTATTCCAAGACCTCTAGAGGCCTTGGCACTGACAAAGTACTGTATGAAGTAACAGTTCATGGTGTAGAAAATACTTTTGGATAAGTAAACTGAGTGGGCTGAGTGTGAGTGCACTGAAACAGCTGAATAAGGGAATAAGCCTGCCGTTAGTTATTTCCATATAATCCAATTCATGATCCAATAAAGGCCGCTGCATGAGCCGCATTTATAAATAGTTAAAGCTATACCTCTCTGAAAATGAACCTTTTAACATAAATCTGTATCATATGAACTAATTATAGTGACGGAAAGCACAATCAAGAAAAGTTTATTGGATGTGAATCTCTAGAGGAAGCTCTAAGGCTACGTTCACACTACAGGTTATCGTGAACAATTTGGATTTTTTGTTAAATCCGATCTTTTTGTGCGGTCGTTCACATTACAACAACGAATACGGCATCTAATGTGAACGGAATGCTTTGTGAAGTGATCCGCATGCGCACAACTAACTGTTCTACGTTCCCTTGTCCGCCATTGCTTTCTGCGCCTGTTTGTGTTGTCGAACAATGGTGACGTTTGCCACTTATTGATGACGTATAGGTCGGGTGAACACAACCTGAGCGTCCACGCTGCAGTCACATCGGATCCATATCCGATTTATATCCACACACAAAAGAGGCCTGGGTCAGATTTGAAAAAATCAGAATTGCACTGTTGCACTGTGCAGACAGCATCCCTTGTGGGATTGATGTTTTTCTGCCCATATTTCAAAAGTTGAAACTGGTTTTGTTAAACAAATTGTCAAGAACACAAATGAACAAAGTTTATAACAATCATGAGTACCTGTGTAAAGGTTCATGAAAAGCTGGTACAGTCAATGTTTTGACAACTTAATGTTGGTCATTTTTCTCTCTAACTCATATGTTTCTCTGAAACAGTAACCAAACTCACAATGAACATAATGCCACAAGAGCACGATGCAGGCATTATCAAAACATCATATGAGCTACTTATTTATTCTAAGAAGAATACACTCATAACAATCTTATTGAAGCACTTTGTTTAACACTTCAGTACAACTACAGTTCACTAGACTGCTGTTAATTTTATGAACACACAAAAGCACATTTTTATCCATTCTTCACACAGTTAAAAGACTTTAAAAAAAAAAAAAAAAACAGAATTAGGCTGCCTGAGTTTTTTGTTTTGGTGTTATTGCATTGTTCATTTGTTCTCAAAGTGTTCTTCATCAAAGGAAAGGGTTTGGTCTCACGAAAGCCGCACAGTATGGATTAATTTCTTTTGTCTGTTTTCCTGTTTTGGTCATTTTTTCTGACTTTCTTTGCAGGATGTTCGTGCTGTTTCACATGCAAGGACAGTATTTGGGGAAGAAAAGCTTTTGCCCACAATGAATCACTGAAGAAACAAAGGTTTTTTCCTAACTTTCTCCATAAGATTAGATGAGTGGATGCAGACACCCTGGCAGACACCGGAGAAATGATCATACAAATAACAATCCTGTCGATGTGGAACCGTATGGGTCTGACATCTTTTGCCTGTTTTCAGTTTACCCAAATTTGACCTGCTCCGAGTAGAGCAACACTTCATCACAGTTTCCGACAGTGATCATTTACAGTAACATGCAGGCAGTCAGTCATTCCCCTTTTACTGTAAGTGGTTAAAAGTAGGGTTTGGTTTCTTCCATTTCAGACCAGCTTTAAAGGGTTGTTTCATTCTTTTAAACTAACTCTAGTGACAACAAGCTGTGCAGACAGTTACGCCAAAGTTTTGAGCAGCTTTGAGAAACCCAAAGTATATTTCACCACTACAATACATGGAAGCAAAAAGAAAATGCAATTTTAAAACCTCTGAAATGTTACCAAATATTCAATATTTTCTATAACATCCCTGTCTAATATGGACAATTTAAAATCTAGTACATAACAAAAAACATTCAACCTCTCTGTTAACAGAAAGGTGTGTAGATAAAAAATACCTGTCTTGAATTATTAAACACAAATACTTCACTTTTGTAGAGTATCTGTCTTGAACATGTGCAGCCTACTGGCACTAAATCAACTGGGGAATTGTTGCACATGGTATAAATAAATAGAGAGTTAAATGCTTTCAGATCATTTAAACTCTATTTTTTAATCATAACTTATACAAAGGGAATTTACAGTTTCTTATGTTTCAATGAAAAATGTCGGTTTTATCAAAGACACACTCATTTCTAATATAATGCCAGCAACATTTCTCATGAAAGGTGGAGCAAGGGCGTGTTGACCGTTGAGTTGAATCACCTCTTCTTTTCTCAACACTCTGTAATTTAATGAATTCATCAGTTTCTGGAGTTTTTTAAAGTGATACCTTGTTCTATTCTCTACCGATACAGGTTTAAAGCGGTTTAACAGTTTGGATCTCCTTTGATTTATTATTAGTTTCGCAGTGTGCCAAATATTTTCAAAGGGTGACAAGTCGGGACAGATAGGCGGCCAGTGTGGTTTGGCATAGTCTTGCTGAAGTATGCAAGGTCTTCTCCGAAACTGGCATCGCCTGGATCGCAGCGTGTTGCTTTAAAAACCTTAATACAATGTTCAGCACTCATGTTGCCTTCACATTTAGACGAGCTATTATTGCTATGGGGACAAATGCATCCCCATACCATCTTTTGGACTGTGTCCCTCCCCTCTTTACAGCCAGGATGCAGCGTCCATGATTTCCAAAAAGAATGTCGCTGGTTTTCAGGTTTTCCTTTCATACATAGTTTCCTCCAGATTCTTTGAGTATTTGAACTGTATGTACTGTAGATGATGAAACCCAAAATTATTAGCAATTTTACACTGAGGAACATTATTGTTGACCTATTTTCTCACCCAGTCACCCCAGCGGTGAATCTTTTCCCATCTTTACCTGTGAGAGACTCGGCATCTCTGGAAAAATCTTTTTTTAAACACCGTCATGTTACTAACCTGAGTCAAAATGACCTCGTCAGGTGTGCGGTATTTATCCAGGTGTTTTTTCCCTTTAGTTTACAACATTGTCAGTGTTTTGTTGTCCCTGTCCCAACATTAAAAAACACCCTTATGTTGTCTTTAGCACTATTTTCAAATAAAAAAGGGTTTCAATCATTTCCAAAGTGAATTCTTTTGTAACAAACTGCATCCTTACTGCTGGAAATTAGGTTGTACATCCTGGTCCTTGACTCTACTAAGTTCAGGGTTGCCAAATGGATTTATTTGCATAAAGAAGTTGCCCAGTACGGCGCCTCCAGTCACTTGCTGAAACTTGTTGGAGGCAAAATGAAAGGAAACAGGTACACTTTTAGGGATTAAAGTTACTTAACCAGGAAATGAGTGACTATTACCCGAGCAGTAAAGTGAGGAATGTGAAGAACAAAATTTGCGTAGGTGGCAGATGAGGAGCTCTGCCCATATTTACACCTGATAGCACTAGAAGGCAATGAGTGGGTTTGGTTTTGGTAAATCTAGTAGAAGACACGCCAACTTAAGACAGAGAGTTACTTCTCTGTAAACGAGGTTTTGATCTTTCTATCGAGTCTATTTTTGCAGCCCTTTAATCACAGTCGTGTTATTTAAAAAGGCTTATGAAGTGAATAACCAGGATGACCTGGTTATTTCAGGTTTTTAGCATTACAATTGTTTTCATTGTTCATGACAGTCAGGATAACTTTTTGTTTGTAGCAACGATGGGAACAGGGTTGTGCGAGCCTTCAGTTTCAATGCCTGGACTGAATCCATTATCCACAAAACACCAGTTATACATGTTGGTCTGCCAAATGCGAATAAAAACTCATATAAATCAAGTCCTTTAGCGAGAGTCATCAAGCCAAAAGAAACAGATGTGGTTGAAGGAGAATACAAAGTAAATCAAATGAGGTCAAATAAAGCAGAGTTGGCTCATGGACAGGATAATACTCCTATCGGAAGTATGAGGCAGCCGGGTGTCTTCCTGCCAGTTCATAAAGTCTGCCTTTCTGAACTGGAAGTGAAATTCCTGAGTCAGAGCAGCAGATATGCGTTGGCTGTAGGCCTAAACTCAAGCAAGGCTGGACTTTCAGACAGCCTCTAATAACACTGTAATCGGTCACTGCTGTCATAATAGTGGAAGACTTTCAATTCCTGTACACAGGGGTGATGCAAACGTCACAAGGAAAGTCACCTCAATGTCAGAGCCTGGCTGGAGGAAAATTACAGAGCTCTGAATGTTTTCCTTTTTACAGACCAAAAGACCGGCCATGAAGTCATCAGGCATGTCTGCCATTGATTATGAAGAGGGGAAGTGTGCATGTGGAAGTGTATCACAGGGCTGAATTAAAGGTCGACTATGAGTTTATCTGTAAAGGTAGTGCTTAAATATGTATTCGTCAGGAATAAACATCAAATTAAAATGCTATTCAAGGAAATTTGTTGTTCTGGGAATTTACAGTGGCTTCCCTTTTTATCTTAACTTTCCTCAAACTGGCATCTGCAATCAGTCCAAAATAGATATAAGAAATAAACCATCCTGGTTTGGAACAATATGAGACATGTTACACACACCTATAGAGAAGACTGCTCTGCTAAAGCAATAACATGACTTCTGTAGTTCATACAAATGTCCTGCAAGATGGGTTGAGGAGTTAGGCAACTAAACAAACTTACCTCTACATTACTTCCTTTTAGTCAATGATTAATAGCCAAGAGAAAGCCATAGCTTTATATGGCATTTACCCAGCTTATCTATAATATGCAGACGTTTGAGTCACCTGAAAAAAAACACGGACCGAAACACTGAAGAGGAAGAGACTTGCAAAAAATTGTTTGTTACAACATTTCCCTTATATAGAAATCCTGGGGATTTACATTCAACATCTATACGTTGAGCTGGTCAGAATGAGTCAACGCTCACACTATACCACACATCTGTATGAATGTATGGAAAGCTGTAATTAAAGGCTTGGGCAAATTCAGTAAATCTATACCCTTAGACGTCAGAGAGCATATGGTTCGTATAAGAATTCCTACTTATAAGGGAGGTGTAGGCAGACACTCACATAAACACTCATTTATCCGCTAACACTTATTTCTGCAAGTCTCTATACATCAATAGACTGTTTAACGTGGAAGCAATGGGTGCTATTTTCATTGGTAACCATGCCTGAAAGAGTTTTTGTCTCTCCAACGCCGTGTGGAGAGGACATAGTGGTAGACGTAAATGTATATTTATAAAGCAAACACAGACATACTGGTGTTTGCAATCACAAAAAGAGAAAAAGGGAGTTGTTGCTTGTAAAGCATTGATTTTCTTTGCTTTTTTTCATCCCTTAGTTTAACGTACTAAGCAGTGGACTGTTTTTAGTGTTTGAAGAATTATTTTCATTTAAGTGCTTTTATGGCCAAATCAAATATGTATTCACAAGAGTTAAAGCTCATGTGAGCAACTTTCAGTTTGTGGTGATTTCAGCGCCCCCTTGTGGACAAAACAGTCTTTGCTTACATTGTCTTATAGATGCTTGATAAATGTTTTCTGGCAGTCAACTGGGTCATTTATTGTGAAAATTTTATATGAAAAATAGTAGAAATAGGGCTGTTTCCATCCCACTAGTTCCAGTTCCAGACACTAAACATTAGGATAGAAAAAATGTCAGTGTGTTGCTAATGGTCCTGTTTGCATTTGTTTATCATAAAAAAGGCATCAATATAAATCTCAGGCTATTTCATTAACATGAAAAAACTCTTCATAGGAGCTTTAAATATGCTGTATATCTCATGTAGATAAGAGAAAGGAGTAGGAGATATATTCAAAGTGATAGTATTAAGTCCAAGTGAGGCCAAATGACTGGGTATGGTGTAATAGGTATATGACCCCATATATGAATGAAAATATGTTTAACCCATATAACACTATAATGAACACAAAGTCTGAAGTGGATCAGCCAGTAAAATCAGTCTGCGCTATGTGAGCAGGAAAGATATTCCAGTCCAGTCCAGAGCATGCTTGCAGAATGCTGACCTCTAGCTTTAACATGACGAAGGTGTAAAAAAGCTGACCTGTAGAGAAACCCTATTATCCTGCCCAGAGAAGTGATCCAATGAGCCGGGATGATGTGGCAGAGTGATGCTTGTGGAGCCTCAGAGACAAAATGTTTATCCCAATAAAACACAAAGATGTCTGCAAAACTTCTCTGTTTTTTCTTTAAGGACAAAAATGTTGTTTAGATTTGGGATTTCAAAATGGGATGAAGTCATTGTAATAAAAAAGAGTTTACTCCTGAATGTGTGTCACCATACATCTTAGTGTCAGCCTTAAATTGTCTCTGGCAGCTTGAATTTTAGCCCAAATACTCTATTCTATTTTAAACTTTTGCACTTTATATCCATACTATATATTTTTAAAAGGTATATAGAGAGGCTCAGCACACCTGGGACATATCTTCCTCCATCATTTGAGAGGTAAAAAAGCAGATTGTCTTTCTTAAACAGATACCAACAGCATCTTAAGTTGTAAGTTTACTTCTTTCGCTGCTGTCTTGGAAAACATTTTGGTTCATTATAATTTTCCATAGAATAAGATAAAAGTTATACTCAGTTTTTCTTTCCCTGTTATGTGGTCTACATAGACAAACAAGCAGTGAGGCTTATATTGGTCTCTTGCTGACAGATATTCCAAAACAGATGTTGCCAAACAATGGGCTGCTTTCCATTTTAAGCAACAATGCTAACACATAAATATGTCAGCTCTCTCGAGGCACTGACAATAATGTAGCCCCAGCTGACATGGTTATACTGTGTGTGGCTGAGTAAAAAAGTCCAGTAATCCTTTAAGCCAATAAATACAGGACACAGACACCGGAGAGAAGGACAGAAGTTGATCACGGTGAGCTGTCCCAGAAAATATCTAGTGGGTGTGGAGCGCATTAACCCTTCCTATTTGCACGGCAGTGAATCAGCATTTGTGAAGAGAAAAGCTCACAATGAGGCATGTGGAGAAATACAAAGAACTGAGAGGTGATTAAGGGATTCCTCGCCACACTGCAGCTTATGGGAACATATATCCTGAAAAGTACCAAACTAAGAGTACACCAATTTTCACAAGAGTATATTAACACTGGCACTCCTCACTAAACACAGCCCTTTATGAGTATAATTAAACAGGAAAGCTGTCACAGTGACACCCGTATATAACCCTCTTATATATCACGAGAATAATAATGTCTTTGTGAGTCTTTGAGTGAGGAAATGGGTTATTTTTCCCACTGTAAAAGCTGCAGTAGTTGCACATTTAAGCACATTGAAGCACTTAACCTTAATTCTACTTTGATGTACTACATTTAAACTCAAGAAACGGCACATTTAAATGAAACCATAAAGCAGTTATTTTTTAAAGTGCAACACATGTAAAAGTGTATTGAATAAATCTGATGATATGTTCTTTGAGAGCGGGGCTCTTTTATTTAAGAGGTGTAGGACAGCACAAAGAGCAGGAAACCAGGGGAGAGATTAAAGTGTAACATTGGGGAGGAGGGCTGCAGGTTGAAGTCAAACTTGGGCCGCCTACTAAAGGACTATTACCTCTGCACATTGAGCCTGGGACTTAACCATTAGGCTAAACTAGCATCCTGCTACAGATTTGATGAATCAGCAGTTTGTTTTGTAAAAGTCTAAAACTCTAAAAAGGGACACTTCACATAACGTGTTTTTATCTTGAATACCTAGCATTCTTCACAAATAAAATAGATAACTTTAACTTGTGAGTATTTTACATTGTGGAAAATCAGGGAGAAGAAATTGTTATTGTAGATTTTTAATACTTTGTCAACCCCATTATGTATCTTATATATTTAATTTGCACAGACCTTCAGTGTTTTGAACTTTTCCACCACCAAGTTGAGGTTTTCTACTCCTTATTTCTCTTTTATCTTGCATTTGTTTTGCACCCAGAAAACAAAGTCATTATATTTATGTGAACAAATGAAATACCTGCTCCAAACTTGAAAACTGCTTGTAGGTAAATAAAAATGTCAGTTCCAGACAGGAGAAGAGTCTGCAGGATGTTGAAAACAATTAAGGAGCGCGTGATAAAGCATCCCTGTAGATGTTCCCCACCCCTTGCTAGCGGTGTTTTGTGTTCTGTAATATTTCCATCATGTGTTCATTTTCGTGTGAAGCTTTATGCCTTGAAGAACTTTGAATTCCAGACAAGATCACATTATTTAAGTGTTCATCTCTTGGATGTAGAGCTCTGCTTCAAGTTAACTCTTGCTGTACGGCCTAAAAGAGTGAACAGCAGCAGCACACTGGCTCTTGAATAAAAGAGGCTCTTGTTTTAACTTTAGACTATTATCTCTCTCTGTTTATTTCTTTCATTCTCTCACTCACTCACCGTTGTGTCTAGCAGAGCCTCTTTCGAGTAGAGGCTTCTAATTCCTGGGGGGAAATCCTCTTAGGATCTATGCTCTATTTCTGTTTGCTCTATAGGGACTTTTTTCTGAAATCTCCATTAGACCAAGCTCATTGGCTGGAAACGACACACGCATGCACACAACAACAGACAGTGTCCAGCCACAGATAGCTTTGAGAAGTGACCGAGTGAAGAGCAGTGCAAGGTTAGCTACTGACACTAAGAGAGGACTTCACAGAGACTGTAGCAGGTAAGCAAAACTATATATTTGTCAAACTTAAATAAATATCATTTAAAGGTCAAACTTTAGCAACTTTGAATAGGAGGTGTCTAATACTGATATATTTGGTCTGGATTCTTTTGCAAACATTTGACACTGATTTTGAGATTTTGAGGCTGATTTTTATTGTATTTTTGAATGAATCAAAAATATCTCTTGTACAATTTTGCATCTACCCTTATGCAATATTTTACAAAGATGTTCTGCAAGATTAATGTTAAGCTAGCTTCCAGGTTTAAAGTAATGCTTCTGCACAGAAAAGAGAAACAGGATTCTCTGTTTTAAATTCAGTCATTTCAGTCAGCAGTGTGCAACAGTTTTCCATCCGTCTCCTACCTGCACACATACAGAACCGAAACCCCTTACACAAGACTTTATTGGCTCATGCTACAACTAATCAAGGCAAAGCTCCAAATGTGGATCTGAGGGTTAGAGAGGTGCCCTCTGAGATCATCAGCCTAAATCGGAACTGTGACTTCACTCAGGAAGGAAGGCTTCACTTAATGGGGCACTGAAGATGGGCCAGGAGATCTGCAAACATCACCCCCACACACCCACTGGTCCAATATCTGACGCAAATGACATTATGAAGTAATTAGAGGACCAGATTGACTGTGGCTTTACAGCCATGCAACCACAGTGTACATTTTCCATATGCCGCATGCTGAAAAATCACAACTTAAGTGCACATAAAAATTTCATCAAATTTTAATTAGAATCCTTCTTTTAATATAAGAAATTAAATGCACCCTTTTTCAACACAAAAAAAAGTCTTTGGTTGTGATTTTTTTTTGTTTTGTTTGACCTTACACAGTTGCCACTTCGCTCTGTAGCCTCTAAAAACACTGGCTAACAACAAGCAAGACACAGATCTGTTGCAGTTCAGTAATCCTCTTAGTCTGCGTTAATTTAATTAAATATCATGGGACTCAATTGGTATCCAACAGCTCAGTCACCGTGCAAAGATTTGAAATCTGTCTCCATAAACTTAGGTAACTGAGAACATTGAGAATAAACAAGTGTAAGATTGCAAAACTGAAATCATGATTTGTTGAAATAATCGTTAAAGAGCACATTAAATAATGAGTATCCTCTCTCTACAGCCATCCAGAAAAATGTCTGACAAAATGATTGAGTTGGAGGACAATGCGACCCACACAGGTGAGTAGAAGTTTCTATCTATCATATAGTCCAACTACATATCTGAGAATAAAAAAATACTCTGAATGTGATTGACCGCAAATATTGCAAAATCGATGGAGCATATGGAGTAACTGGCTGCAAACAGACAACAGGAAGCTCAAAGTAAAGTAGAGTATAGATCTGTAGAGATTTGGCAGTTTAACTGACCCGCTAATCTTCTTTGTCTTATGTAACAGTGGTGCAATGAGAGCACTTCTCAGAAAGCGGGGATGACGCCTTAATCTCCAAATTAAAGCAGGACACCATACTCACCAATGAATCATTGCTGTACATTTCAATTCACAAAGAAATGAACATTCAGCTAAATGGTGCTATTTATGCTTTCCAAGTAATGCCTGAGGGCTGATTGTGTCAGCCTCCAAAAATCTTGTCCTGTGGTTTCCTATTTCCCAGGACGAAACAAATACATTAGTTTATAATTTTTCTTAAAGTCATTTATCAAGTTGGTGATGAAGAATTTATTTGAATCTGTGTTTCCTAAAAGACTGAACTGAACTGAAAAATGGTATTTTTCTTTTCTGTAGGGCCTAAAGGTGTCATAAATGACTGGAGGAGGTTCAAGTTGGAAAGTATGGACCCAGAAAACCTTCCACCTGCAAAAAGAGAACTCCTGAGACAGATGTCATCTCCGGGGAGGCCAAAAGATGACTCCAGAGCAAACCTTAACCGTAAGGTATAACCATGCAGATCAAAACAACTGTGAACAATCAAAATTCAACACTATGCCAACACAACGAACATCAGAGGATTTTACAAATAACTTGAACTTTGAACTGGAAGATTGTACTCCTTGTGTTTGACAGTGTACAATTAAGTCAATTCGTTATGGGCCATAGTACTGGAACATAGACACACAATTCGGACTATAAAACCACTGGGGGTAAAGGGACTCAAGGGTCTGAGACTCCACCATGGCCTTCACAAGTTATTTTTGTATTTAATGATAACCATAAGAAATGAAAACAACCCAGTCCATTCACCAATAAATTGTGTTTTTCAACTACTGTTTGAATGCTGTTTCAGATGAGCGTCCAAGAGTATGAATTACTCAAGGAGGAGGATGCAGGATGCCTTAAAAAATACAGGAGGCGTTGCATGCAGGAGATGCATGACAAACTCAGCTTTGGGCCCAAGTTTGAAGGTGTCCATGACCTTGACAGTGGAGAGGCCTTCCTGGAAGTGATAGAGAAGGAGCATTACAGCACAGTGGTGGTCGTCCACATCTACAAGGATGGAGTCAAAGGTTGCGAGGAGCTCAACAACTGCCTTGACTGCCTGGCCACGGAGTATCCAACAGTTAAGTTCTGCAGGATTGATGCTGTTGCATCAGGTGCTGCAGAACGCTTCTCGGACGAGGTTTTGCCTACACTGTTGGTGTACAAGGCCGGAGAACTTTTAGGGAACTTCCTGTCCTGCACACAGCATCTAAATGAGGAGTTCTTCGCCACAGATGTGGAGGCGTTCCTAAACAGCTATGGCCTACTGCCAGAGAAAGAGCTGCCTGGAGAGGAAGATGAGGATGAAAATGATGTAGAGTAAGCCAAGAGTTTGGTTTCTTGGATAGAAAGGAAGCACACTCTCTAGGACGCAATAAAGAGCCATTAAAGACTTTTTGCAATATGTGGAAGGATATATCTTTGGGTGAAGGCAAGTACAAAACTATAACATCTCCATTAGCTCAAAAGTGTTTCAGGTTTGTCTCCTAAGTGAGACATTTCATATCCGGTTGGTCAAGACAACTCAACATCCCAGATACGGGTGCTCTGAGATATGGTTGTGTGTTACAGTAAGGCGATGAGAAACAGTGTTTATTTATTGATCATCTCTGACAAATCACCTCACCATCTCTCAAAACAAAGCCAAAACCAGTTCTCTGTCATGTAAGATTATTGAAGTGTTATCTTTTGTATTTATAGAAAACATTAAATGCTGTGTGTAATTATAAAATGTATAATTCAAATGTGTTTTGTAGCATTTGATTGTCTGTATATAAGTTATTTCGACCATTGGGTTTACAAATAGTTACATCCGCATACATACAAATATACAATGTTCAAACAGCTGTGTGCTAAATGTCTCTGTGAGGGCGTGGGTCACCAAAATGAAAAAAGAAAACTTTAAAGAGCTAACCAGAACATAAACACTTCAGATTTAAAAGGCCAAAGCACTCTGGATATGGAAACATTTTCATGTAAACATCTGTCCTGTCCAATGTGACCTTCCATCACTTCTCTTGAGTCAGCGTGGTATGAGCTCTTGGGACCTTAACATCATCACTGTGGTGTTCATCTATTTATCAGAACATTTTATATATTGTAAAGGTGGAATGGTGACCTGAGGTGCAGGATTTTCTTATTGTGATACAAGTAAGCAAACAAGTCTTTGAGTCGCCACATGTCAAGGACTTGGTAGCTGAATCCATATTTACGTATGTGATTTTGATAAGAGTTTGGTTACTGAATTAAACTATGTACTGCAATACTATACAATGTGATCTACTGTACATGTTACAAAACAAGAATAAAGTCATTTAAAATAACAATGCTTGAATTGGATTTTGTTTATACCAAAAATCTGGTCTGCCTGATGGGAAGAGATATCAATGAGTTACGATCACCATAGAAACCTTTGACTTTGGTTAAGTGTCTTGTAACCGCTCTCCGGCTCTACATTTGGTGTGTCATCAGGGTGGGACTAGACTACCATTGCTAGATCCATCAACAAGTTTTCATTCATTGGGTCAGAAACCCCTGTACTGACCAGCCATGATCCTTTATGTAAATATAGGGCGGGTTTTATAAGATGACAACAGGAGGTGCTGCTTTGGCCTAGCTCTGTATTATTGCTTGCTGAGGTACATCTGCAGCCAACCATTGCTAATACCTTGAACAGTTTAAGATCCATGCGCCAAGGTGAATTGGTCATTTGTCACCATGAGGGCAGGCCAAAAATATTTTTAAAGTTTTCAATTGTTGTTTTAGTTAACTTCCCCAAAAACAGGATTAGTTATCAACAGTTTTATGGGAGCAAACTCTAAAATATCCCTGAGAAAACTTTTACTACGCCTTTTTCAATGTACAATTTCATGCATGCAAGTGTGATGATTGTGAGACATCTGTAAAATAGAAAAATAGCTTTGTTTTCATAGTACCTCATATATCTCAGAAGAAATACTCTGAAATAGCAAAGAATTTCCATGTCTACAATCTGCATGCTAAAGCAATTTAACTGTCGAAATTATACTATATCACCATGTAGGAAATTAAGCCTAAAATGAGGCTCATCCCACTGCTACTTACTCCACTATCAGAAATCACAGTAAAGGGACAAGTTTTGAATTTAGTGCGATTACTTGAAAAACGTTATTTTATGCAAAGGACTGAACAAACGAAACAGATTAGGTCTCTACTAACTTACAATAACTTTATCTGATGAAAAAAATTAAACCTCTGTGTTCTCAAAATAGAAGCATAAAGGGAAGAAAAACTAGGAAAAAAAGGAAATGCAAGATAACATACCAACGGCAGGCCCTCACATGTTAAACAGCTTCATGTTGTTACTGTGACTTGACTCCCCTGTGACCCCAGTGAGCTGCAGGCATGTCAAAACCACAACATAAAAAATGATGGTTAAGATTTTCCAAGACTTGTTCAATTATCCCATAACTGAATATGCAGCGCACTAAATTAAATTATATAATAAAGTCATATAACTGTCAGGCATATTTCCACACAAACATGTTATAAGTGCTGCTGCAGGAAACAGGTTCACAACAAAATCCCTTTCCAAATAGTCTTCACAGTGCAGGTTAAACAGCTGAGTTTGCCATCCTTGAAGTCTCACAAACCTGCCTTATTTATCAGAGAAAGGCCATTTAAAGTTCAATTTTAACTCCAGAGCCCACAATCTTTACTACTTATAATAAATTTTACCCTCAAAATCTAAGAAAGTATCCCTCTCAGCTCTTAAATTATTTCAATGCAAACCCTTTAACAGTTTCACATGTTGGGCTTTCAAGCATCAGGAACAAGCCGAACTGTGAAGTTAAATAACTTCACACATTTCTCAGGCAAACCTCTTCAGAGTCCCTATCTATTTGGCTGCCTCTGTTGCATTTCTGGCATTACAAAGATGGAAACCACAACCATGCATTCAGGAGATCTTCTGCTCCATAACAGCGGAAAGCAGTACCTGCAACCAAGCAGCAGCACCAACCGCCATGAATTTAAATTTCTTTAAATTCAAGCAGTGTATCATGCTATCAGATATAAGCATGTAAGCCTTATCAAGGAGTATCCGCTGATGATATGAAGGAAAGAGATCTATGCCGAGGTAATCAGGGCAATCCTCTTACAAGATTAAGGTTGTAGTTTTAGTAGGACTGGGTTACTAGGTGCTTTTACACCTGTGGAAAACTATAGGAAAAGGATGCCCTAAATCCCTCGAATAAAATGAGGTTATGTGCAGTATGTTAGCTTTATACTCTTGAAAAAGCACCTCCAAAAACATCTAAAGATGTGTGCTTTATTGTGGTTTCATATCAGTAATCTCTGACATATTGCCTGCTAAGGAGTTCTTGATGTAATTAATCAAAATAGAAGAATTAGGGACTCAGACACGCTAACAAATATTTCTCTAAGGATATACATGTGTCTGTATTCCACAAATCGCATCTGGCACAGTTTGCATAGCCTTTAGCTGGTAACACCTCACTTTTCACAGTACTAGCGTGTCTACGGTTTATCAAAACCTTTTTGGATACCTCCCACAAGACTTTTCCGGCAGCGTGAGAGGTGTTTCCTGAGGTGCCTAAACATGTCAGTCTGACTCCCCGCTGGTGACTTAGACCTCGGCATTATATGCAAAAGCAGCGGCTAACTTCAGGCGCCGTATATGTGCAACCACCGGCTTGCAGAGTTCACACCTATTTAAGAAGTTTCACCCAGATAAATGCCTCAGAGCTCCTTCCACATTACACAACCAGGAACTGTACTGTATATGCGGCATTCTTCCAGTCGGAAAAAAGGGTTCAGTGAGTCCAGAAAAATCCAGCAGAGTCCAAGCAGAGTGTTGAAGAAGATTCACCTCAAAACATAGTGAATCATCTAGGCTAGGGTAAACAGTAAAACATTAACAAGTGAGAGGGTGTTTTGCAACGATATTCTGTGAAACATATTCATATACAAAGTGTGGGCCTCTTCTGAGATGCAGGTTGACAGAGTTTTGTGGGTAACTTTACTACATAGAATGAAAGAGTCTGGGTTTTTGCATGTTTACCCAGAATTCACCTCTGCAAACTTGTTTCTTGGAACAGCCCCCAGGAGCATGATTTGACTCATCGCTCCCCTCAAAGCGCTGTTTACCTCAGTGTTTACCCCTGCAATGACCACGTGATCCCACCCCCATTTTGTGACGTTTTGATTACCTCTTTGTTTAAACTGCGGCGCTAATTGGAAAACTTGGGTCATTTTTGTGTTTGGACTCTTGGAAAGCCCTCCTGCCACGCTCTAGTTCACCCACATAAGGAACAATCGCACCGAGGTGATGTCATGGCACTGCAGTGGGGACCTGCTTTGAGGCGCACATGGTCCCTCTGCCCATATATGGTCAGCGGACATGGGAGTGATGACATAACTCTAAACTGTACTTGCTTAAATTCAACATATTTCTGTCACTGTGTCACAGGTATATAAAGTCCTTTTGACTCATTATTTTCAACGAGGATGTAAATATTATCACTTGACTCATCCACCCTTTGCCAAAATGTTATCAATAAACAAACCACTACTTTTTCTACTTTTTCCAACCAGTGAAATGAATATATCAATACCATATGCAACCACTGCACCTTAGAGAGAACTATTGTATTTTTACGACAACAAAGGTGAATGAGTAAACTGTTGAAGATAACAGGAGGGAGGAGATAAGAATGAAGCGGATGAGGATGAGTAACAGAAAACAAATGACAGTGCAAATATCACCCCCACATTGCAGTCCATCTTTGGGTTGGTCTCTTTCTCACGCAAAGCTGAAACTCAGCTGATGGTTTAATCAGATATGTACGTGGACTAATGCAGGAAAGGGGGGGATAGGTTCATTTGAACTTCTGTCATATTTTTTCTGCAGCGCACCAGTCTTGACGGGAACTCAAAAGGGGAACTTAAATCAGATCATTACTGATACTGGTGAGGTAGCCCATGCTTCTTGGATTCACTATTGTGACAAGTGCTGGCAACAATCAACATAGTTGACTAAGAGGTTTACACAGTACTGTTGCTATAGGCAACTATACATCTTGGTATCCAGGCGTGACAGCTGAGTGGAAGAAAATACCTATGCTGCCTGAAGCAAACATCATCCTTAATACTTATCCGGTTTGTGCTACCTGTCTTTGTTTCATCATGGAATCACCTTGGTTATGAACCAATAAACCACCACTGTGTTTGTCAAAACTGGTCCAGACAGGGTCTAAATACCTGCCTGGCATATGTCACCAGGGAAAAGAAATACTAAAACTGAAGCTGAGGAATCGGCTAAAACAAACACATAAAGTAGCAAATGAAAGTCAAAGAAAGTCAACAAAATGTTTTATGGATTTCAGAAAATGGCTCCTAAGGAACATCTTAAGGAATTGTTGTGAACCTTTACAAAACATGAGAATAAAGAAGCTCATCTTTTACTTAAATTCAACAATACTTGTTTCCCTTGATTCACAATTTCAAAAGTTGTGGTATATTAATAGTAGAGTATAAAGTCAAAGAATAGCTAGAGGAAAAGGTTAGAAACCACAAAGCATAGCTAATTTCTATCATAACTACATCAACGTGTAGTGACTGATATCATAATCATGATCAATAACATCAGCAAACCAATAACCTAAGTCATTTTATGACCTTAGGTTCCTATAATGGTTTTCTAAATCTGCCCACAACGCACCCAAATTCCCCGGACTCAATATCACTGATCTCGGTGGTGACTGTATGTCATTCACACCTATTTATTTTGTGTTGTAAAGTTTTGCAACCACAAAGAAATCTGTCAGAGTTGTAAATCTCTAGTTTCTATGGAGGGAATATTTACTCGGTTACATCCTTTCCATCAAGTGACACTGACATACTCACACACCCTGACAACCTACATGCATTCCTGCACACACCGTGCTGCGTATTTAATGAGTAATGGCGCCATCTGCTGACCGACTTTGAAGAGGAAGATCTGGTTAAAATAATTAACTTTTTGGGCTTCAGTGTTATGGACAAGTTTTTTTTATGAACTCTACCTTATTACTTAAAATCCTAAGTTGGAAACATTTCACAAGAAAGTTTTATGCTTGTTCAAAAACTTCTGTATCTAACATGGATGTGAAAAAAATCAAATTTGTAGGTTGAATACAAACATGACTATGATGCGGCTGTATAAATGAAGCTTTGGTTGATTTGTGTATACACTAGCACCACCAGGAGTTTTGACTTAGTAAAGCCTAGTCAAATAACTTCACTATGAAAGCAACACAAAACCCCTACTAACTAGCAGGTGCCTGACAGCTTTCACTTAAATTTGCATTAGGCATACAGCACATGATAGAAACAACTTGCATTCAAAAAATGGCCAGAACTATTAATTAACTTAATAGTATTAGTTTGTTTGTACAGGCAGTCTTCAGAGAGATTACTCTCCGGCGCTAAAAATTACATCTACTGGCATTACTAACAAGGTTGTACCATTCAGTAACAAGAGCAATAACATAGTCGGGTGTCAGAGACCACATACAATTGAATAAACTTACAAGCTTCAGTTGAAGGTGTTTCTGTGGAGGTGTGATCAGATGTCCCCTCTCCAGAAGCTGTTTGAGGGGTCTGTAAATATTTTCTGACAGCATCTAGACAGACAGAATAAAACGTAATACATTAAAAGCAAACACAAGTAATAAGAAGAAATTTTAAAAAAATAAATAAATAAATAACCTGCTGCAGCTTGCATTCACATCACTTGGCTACTGAATTTCAGCACAATATCAAACGTGATAAGACAGTAGGAGAGTTAAGCACCAGCAGCAGCAACTGTGTCAGTGGGCACACAATTGTTAATATACTCATGATGACTTTGATAAAATCACTTATTAACTTAACCAAAAATAAACTGAAATAATAAACTAAATCAGACCGGACATACAGGCAGAGAAGATAACTTTGTAGTGCGCATTTTACATTAAACACAATGTAGCCAGTGAGCAGAAATATGTGCTAACTAGCTAGCACAAATATCTGAATAGTATTAGTATTAATAGCATTAGCTAGCTATTAATCGCAAAAATAGTACAGGCTAATGTTACCTTTATATTGCAGCATCCTCTTCTCCTCCTCTTTTCTTCTGTTTTCCGCACCCGAGGGCTTGGACAACTTTTTCATCTTGTTGATAACATGACCTTTGACCCCTTTGACCCTGAGGTGTGTACGTCATGTGATCAGCAGCGCCACATTTTAGGAAAATCATTGTTTATTCATTTAATATATTAAATGATACAATAATATAACATTTTCAAGAACATACAAGGGAGGGCATAGAAAATTATTTTTTTTGTTCTTATTTATTTTTTTATTTATTTATTATTATTATTTTAATAATCCAGTAGATGGCGACCGCCTCTATCGCCCACGCCAAGAGCGAGAGGAGACCAGATGCAGCGCAAGATGGCGGACCCAAAGATAAAAAACCACATTTACAAAACGCAATAAGTTTCCGCATTACCTCCGATTGGCGGACCCAAAACAATTACTTCCGGTGGAAAGGCTTTCTCGTTGGCGGACTTCCGGCGCCGAAATACTTCAGGTAGTCGGATTTAGTCGCCGGATCCTTTTTTTTTTGCTCCGTTCATTCCATAAGAATCGAATTAAATTTATTATTGAGCTAAAAATCAAAATAAAACGTTTATGTATTAATTATGACTACTGTTTTGTTCTGATTTAATTCTGAAGTTTACAGTAATATGTATATATAGCCTGATGTCCTCATATTCTGATAATTTGTCAGAATAGGTAAATGTATGTAGAAGTTATCATCTTACTCAAATTCTTTTGTAAGAGTTTGCTAGAAGTATGGACTGTTTTAACCTCTCGTTACACATCATATAACAGTGTTTTCTAACTTTTCTCTCCAATAGCTTTATTACACAGCACATCAATGTTTCTTAACTTCTCTGTGACCTTGTTTCTCCACTCCTATTAGGACCTCGTTTAATGTCAACAATGTTGCCCTGACCCTCACATATTTTCTGTTGTTCATAATTTTGTTTTATGAGAGTGCTTATGTTGCTGCACAAATTTACTCCCCCCATCCTTTAGTAACATTGTGTAACCAGGGACATAATTTATGAAATGGTGTGCTTCCTGGTGAACCTCTTTAGGATTGCTTGACTGTGCAAAATCCAAGTATACAATAGTTGTAGAGACACAAGTCACATGATCTCTTTAAGGTTCAGAAGAGCCATATAGCAAAAACAATTGAATAGCGATATCATTACAGACTGTGTAAAGAAATGGGAAATTGTCATACAACTGCTTTGAAGATTTCTTTAATTTTTTCCAAACAAAATTGTGAACAGTAAAAAAATATATATATATACAAAATTCAGCACTGCCGTCGGTGTGGTGGGGGTCTTAAAACACGTTGCCACAGGCCATCATCAGCTCTGCTCTGAACCGGTTGATGCCATGCTCCTTCAGTGCTTTGATCAAAAGCTGAAAAACAGTCAAATAATGTGAACAATTGAAGTTATGCAGTATGGGTTAATTGTTGTTCTTGAGCTTTCCAAATGAATAAGAACAACCTCTTAACAATATCATCAATTTTCAAAGCAAGCTATATAGTTTGATCTACTCACCTCTGGGAGCATGACGTCAAAAACGAAATCAAGCAGATGAATCTCGCCTCTCTTTATTTTTTTAGAAATGTTTGTTGCCACCTCAATGAACCGCAGGAGCTCGAACATCTATTGAAGAAAAACACAGAAAGTAAACACCTTTCAAATGTAACACCCCTGAGAGTAAAAATACTCATGATGGATGGCATTTTTACTTACGCGCTGCTCACTCCAACTTAGTGTCCTTATCTTAAGATGCTGCTTTAGTCGGAGTGAGGTGGCGGGATTCCTCCAAAGGAACATTCTGTTGGAGCGGATCTTTCCAGACAGTAGATCATCGTGTAATGTCTGAAACCAAAGAGCAAGAGACAAAAATGTAATCATCTGAAAAAGAAACGGTGGCTTTAACAACTGATAGTGCATTCAAAAGCAACCTTGATCTGTGTCTTAGAAAAGACAGCATGAATTCCTCAACTGTCAACAGCATCCTTGATCCTGCAGAGAAATAAGAAAAGAGCAAGCCCTCATTTTTTCATCCTTTGAGCCTCGTATTTTTGACTGATACTATGTTTCCTTGATAAATTATGTTATACCGAGGATGCTCAATGGAGTCCTCGCACCCGCAGTCAAACGGCTCCATTTCAATCCCAGCACAATCCTGATGCAGCCAGCCCCTGCACGTCTTGCACTGGACCCATTTTATGACGTTTACCTCAGGGTAAAGCAATCTGATCAAATGAGAGACAAACATAATATTAAACAAACACGCTGTCCAATTGATTATACCTCTGCAGCACATTTGAATGTATAAATAATTTTCCTGCATGATTCGTGCATTTAAACTATATGTAAAAAAGTGGTCACTTCATGGAAAATCACTGAATAGGCCCCGATAATTGCATTTATTAAATTGAGTCTGCAACACACCTCTCTCCTGTGTTGTTCGATGTCTGGTAGACACAGAATTGCATTGAATCTGCCATGCACATTCTTTGGACATCCGATACCGTCTGCGTCATGGTTTCCTTGACAAGGCAATTTGAAAAGTAACATCAATTACCAATTACATCGAGACAATGTTGATCCATACAACTGTGTGCATTTTGAAGGACTCCCACTGAGATAATACTGTTTTTACAAGGCAATTTTCTAACCTCTATGTCCTGCTGCTCTGCCTTCCTCTTTAGACTGAAGACCGGAGTATGCTTTCCAGCAATGAGCTCTTGACATTCTTTGGTCCAGTGGGCGAAGATTTTCCCACAACTGTAATGACAATATGTCTTTAAGTACAATATATTGATTGTCTTCCAGTTAATTAGGACATCTAGTTTACTTAAACTGTCTACCTGTTCAAAGCATTGTTCTCCAGGAGCAACAGGCACCACCATCGCCGCCAAACAGGCATGTCATGCTGAAATTGTTGTTTGTACTTCATTTTAGTGCACAATACAAAATACAATCTTGAGGATGACACTGCGTGTTGAAAAGTACTTACAACTGAGTAGTCAAACTGTGACTCCATAACGATGTACATGGCAGACTTAAAAAAAAAAATTATGAGACAACATGTGAGATAACTTTAAAAAAGTCCATGTTGGAAAGTTATTCTAGATACAATATTTGTGCATTACAGCTCGTTATGACCTACCATCAACATGAATATGCCACAGTCTGAGCCGAAGTCCTGGCTGGGGAAGCCCTGATTTAACAAAAGCAAACGTTAATCATCTTGTCACATACACTTTGTAGGAGCCAGATTGGGGTTTTGCAGTTTATTGTTATGTATTTTTTGTGCCAGCAGATGGTGCTATTGTGCCTGTCTATTTAATGGGTGGGTTGATTAGGAGAGGTGCGCACATAAAATGATGAATGAGTAAATAAATCAAAACAACAGAAAATGTGTGTGACATGTGACATTATTCCACCTGCGGGCACGCATCAACTCAAGCAAAAAGGTGTTCGCCACAAGTAACAGCATTGGAAAGCTGTTATACACTTTTCAACTGTAATATAAAGCATGCACAAATACCTCCAAATCTCTGCCCGTTTTCTCAGTCCATTGCCCAGGACATATCTTCTGCGCAATGTTCCTGTTAATTTGAGAGCGTCACTTAGATTTCCCATGATGGAAACAATGGAATGCAGGGTTAGGGTTAGTTTGAGTGGTCGGAGGTGAGATTGAATGAATGCGGACGGCTTGCTTCTTTTCAAACTTCCTGAGAGTTCTTCTTCTTCTGTAAATTTTGCCGTCAGAAAGTGTAGGTGCATACCGCCACCTACTGTTCTGGCATCGCAAAGCAGAAGTTCAAAGTTCATGTTTTGGGTCCGCCAATCGGAGGTAATGCGGAAACTTATTGCGTTTTGTAAATGTGGTTTTTTATCTTTGGGTCCGCCATCTTGGCGCTGCATCTGGGTACTCTTGGCCAAGAGCCGGCCCTGTTCGTGTTCACCATTGCCCTCCTTTTTTTTTTTTTTTTTTTTTTTGCATCAGATCCACAAAGTTATCATTACGTCTACCGTCACTGTGTTCTGTAAAACAAAATCTTTTCCTTCATTTCTCACTGCAGCAGCTAGCTGACTGTCCCCCAAATTTATTTTGAATTAATCCAAACACTTGCACGAAATTTGAGACTCTGCAATGACGCTGACGAAGCTATTTTCGGCTTTAAAAACTCAATTTGTCGGCGAGCAGCGTCATCGCCGTGTCGTTCAGGTAAGAGAAATACAACTCCCATGATGCCTCTGTGCGGTTGTCAAAATGAAATTGTGAACTGCGCCTGCTCCAACAGTTGTTGCAAAAATGGCGGCACTCTTGCTGCAGGAGTTTGAACCTGCGGAGCTAGCCAGGCTACCGAGAGCTCTTCAAAACAGACTCGAGAGGATCCTGTCGGACCAGCAATATGAAATTGATTCTTTAAAGGCACAGCAAGAGCAATTTCGTGTCGACAGCGGTAAGCTAAGTGCTAAGTATTTAGTTGGGTAGCCGTGGTGAGTGTGTTGTGTCACTCAGCGTGCACATTAGATAACTGAATGAAGTTTAAGTGAACAATTGTAGTTTGATTTTACTGACACCATAGCTTCATAAAAGTGATTATCGACTTATAAATTCTTGAACAGTTTTGATATTTAGAGAAAATGAGGTCAAGGATTTAACTACGGGTTAGTCAACAGCACGATGCTAAAGCTAACTTTAGCTCGCCAGTCAGATAACTTACCTTAGAGTTATCTTCACTAAGAACATAACGCTTCACTAAGAATAAATGTTGTGCAGATCATGAAGCTGGTGTTATTGTTTGCTAAAAAACATTATTTTACAACGACAGACAATTCGGCTAACCTAATTGACTTTTCGTGCTTCTGTGTTTGTTGTTATTTGTTATAGAGCAACATTTCTTTGAGAAAGTGAAACAGCTCGCTCAGAGCCAGGAGGAGTTTCTGTCCCAGACTCAAGAACATCTCAGACTTAAAGAGGAGTTTGCCAAGCTCGGTAAGAGTGGACACATGAGTCCATGTCAGACACAACTTCCCTGAATTGAATGTAACCTCTCAGTTTGTGACATTGGGACAAATTTCTCTTCATATCTCTTTCAGGGGATGAACTTAAAAGTGTGCGTGAGAAAAACAGAGAATATGAATCCACTCAGGAGAGGTTGTCTTCAGAGCAGGTGAGAAAAAAAAAAACAATATAAGCCACTTTAAGCCAAATGTAGAAATCTCTTGGACAAGCAGTTTGTGTTACTGTTGTGTTCATAGTAGGGCTGGGCAATAGGGGAAAATGTTTATCACGATATATATATATATATTTTAATCAGTCGATACTGATATATATATATATCAGATCCAGAATTTATTCATCACATACTTGTATATTCACATATATAAGCAATGAAATGTTGCAGACGACCCACTATTGCACGTCACAGGAAAAACAAACAAAAACAAAACAAACATAAAAAAATTCATGATGTCACAGGTTATTGCAACAGAAACAAGGTGCGGAAAAAAGTAAGTGGTAAAAGTACAACAAGAAAAACATATTGTCTTTAGCCAGTTCTGTGGTTGGGTGTAGCTGCTGTCTGCTACTACGCAGTTGTTTGCTACTTGGTTCTAATTCAGCACATGATTTTTTCAGCACGAAGCGGATCCGGAGCAACTCCCCTTTTCATTTGCTATTTGTATAGTCTACCAGAACATGGCAGAATGCCGACTATCGAAAAGGATATTGACCATGCTTTATATTGATATGAGGGAAATTAATTTTCAATGTATATCTTTATCGTTTTATCGCCCAGCCAGAGTTCACAGTGATATGAATAATTCCTACCTTAGTGATAGCATACTTTTAAGTGACGGTTGATCTACACTTGTCTCATGCAACTCATCTATTCATCTCAACTTACTGACCTACTGGTGAAATGAGACCAACAATATCAGACCCATACTGATGTTAACACACCTTTCTTTTTTAATCACAGAAAACACAGTCTCTTTTGTACTATAATTTACCTGTTGCTCCGACTGTAAAAGTCTGTTTGTTATAGAAATAGACATGATTAATATATCTTTATATCCATAGAAACTTTCATAGCTGCCAATACTGGTATATAACTTTTGAAGCTACTATCTGCTCATACTAATATTATGCTGATATTATCCCTACTTCTTGGTTTACTTGTACAGACTGCTATTTAAATTTTATATGGACTTTAATGGACCAGTTAGTGGTTGGTTAAATTGACATCGTTAAAAAGTCTGAAGTAATTTCGTAATTGATTAACTTGTGACTAACGGTTAAAATCATGTTATCTGCGTAGACTGTGCTGTCAAAAGCCAAGGAGGAACTGGAGGCAGAAAAGCGAGAGCTTCTGCGAACACTGGAAAGAAGGTCCCAAGAAGTTGAGCATTTGAATGGTATGAATACATACATTAGCAGAGCAACATTTATCCAAACATCTCATTTTTATTTGTCCTGTCATTTGAACTTGGCCATTCTTTGATTTCTTTTCATTACCAGATGACCTCAGGCAACTCAATGATAAGCTGGTGGAAGTCAACACCTCCAAGATGACCTTGCAGATGAAATTAGATGAACTTGAGGCAGCTGAAGTCAACATCAAGGTGAGCTGTGTGGTTTTTCTGTTTTGATTACACGATAAAAGATGAAGTGAACAGCTGTTACCTTATTATGAACAAATGGTAGAAAAGCTGCTGTGGGTTTTTGTTACAGTACAAAGAGAGTCGTATGGAACAGGAGAAAGAGCTGCTGCATGGACAAATATCTTGGCTGAATGAGGAGCTGAAGGCTAAGAGTGAAGAGCTACTGTCTCTGTCCAGAGAGAAGGGAAACCAGATCTTGGAACTGAAGTGCAGTCTGGAGGACAAAACAGAGGAGGCATGTTTGTTTTGTATTAATAGATGATACTTAGATAACTGTGGCTTATGACTGAATATATTGTGGGTACTTTGTGACAAATCATGTACTGTTGAAGGATTTGATGTCACAGTTTGTTGTTGTATTATATGATTTAAGCACTTGTTTCAGCTGGAACCATCTGCAGTGATCATAACAGTGAAAAGTGTGTCTTTTTTGCTCTTGATCTCCAGCTGAGCAGAGTCCAGGACCAAGTGGGCAGTCTGAAAACGTCAAATGAACATCTTCAGAAACAAAACGAGGACATGAACAGCAAACTCAAAGAAGTATGTGTGTAGTGTTTCTTACAGACAAATCTGAGCATGCATCCTGTGTCCTTTCAAGAACAGTGTTGTTTTTATTTCATTGAACAGTATGCAGTGCAGCAACAGGATTCATAATGTGGCATTCATTGTGAAGCTGAGTCAATGACATGTATCTGGATCTTTCCTATTTCTAGGCCAAAGAACAACAAGCAACTATGGAGGAAAAGTTCAGAAATGAGCTGAACGCCAACATTAAGCTGTCCAATCTTTACAAGGTATGTGTCGTGTCATTACAAATGTGAACGCATTCGCTCTCAGTATTTAATTCCAGGCTAGGGTTAGCTAAAGTTAGCTCATTCATGAGTCATACTATATGTTTACATGCAGTCCAAAAAATCGATTCATTGCTGTAGTCTGAGTGAAATTGCATAAATCAAACTTCTCTTAATCAGACTGACATACCTGAGTAATGTGGTCGGTGAACAACTTTCTCTGTCTTGTATTTGTCTCAATTGAACTGAAGCAAGCCTCAGCTTTCTGCACATGCTCAGTGTTTGTACCTGGCGCCCTGAGCTGAAGGTGATTAGCACGGATGTGTTGCCAGAATTTTGGTAGTAAACAAAACCTCAACAAAAAAACAAAAAAGACATTAAAAAGGGGACCTACCTACTGTGGGGCAAGGACAGCAGTTCAGTTAAATCGCCTTATGCATGTAAGAGTACTGAAAATATCAGTTTTCCTTTATTCTTATTTATTCAGTTAACAATAGGAAAACTTAAAATCACTTGTCTGTCTGTAGAGTTTTGCTTAAGAGTCACTGACAAAGACCCAAAGATAATATCAAACACAAAATAGACTCAATTTAGATGGATACATTTTTATTTTATTTTTGTTGGCACTTAGATTGATCTGTGTTATGTCAAAACTTTCCCTGTTGTTTCGGCAGAGTGCAGCGGCAGATTCTGAGGCCAAAAGTGAAGAGCTGAGCAGAGCAGTTGAGGAGCTGCATAAGCTGCTGAAAGACGCAGGAGAAGGTAGAACCACATCCTAGTATGACCACAGCTGCTAATTCAGCTACTCGGCACTTGACTTCCTCCTTCAGCAGGATGCTTAGCTTCTGTTTTAATGTACCCCCCCTGACAGTTCTCTTCTCCCTCTTTCTTCCACTTAACAGCCAACAAGGCCCTTGAGGAGAAGCTGCAGGGGATCAATGAGGCCACAGACAAGAGTGAAGCGGAACTAAAAGACAGGATCCAGGCTCTTGAGAAAGAGCTTGACAATGCCAATGAGCTGCTGTCAAGTTCGAAACTCAGAGGTCAGCTGAGTTCATTTTCCTTGTTTTTTTCTTTAATGCACTGGTCTCCATTTTAAATATATCAATCTGAGATCCAACATTTAGCCTTCATGCTGATAAATTTGTCTGGTAATCTTTTCTTGTTTGGGACATTCAGGCCCTGTCAGCACAACTTCAATGCTCACAGAGGAGCAACTGACAACAATGTCTCCAACAGCTGCTGCTGTGTCCAAGATAAAGCCTGGCATGAAGCTGACAGAGGTGAATAAGGTTTAAAAACCTGTGGCTGAATGAGAATGAGTTTGATATTGATGAGGTTGTGTGGGCTTACAGTAATGCTAGGTACGATCCTGTGTTTAAGCTGAGAAAAGATAATAGTAATTTAGATTGTTTTGTGAGATTTTTAGAGACTATCATTACAGGTAACACGAGAGTAATAATGTAACAGCAAACCCAAATGTTGTCAATGCCCATGTGTCTTATTTTGATACAAAATGAAAATTGTGTTCTCAGCTCTACACAGCATATTTGGAGAGCCAGGAGCAGCTTCAGTTGGAGCGACTGGAGAACAAGCGGGTTAACAAGTACCTGGACGACATTGTGCAGGAAGTGGAAGCAAAAGCTCCTATCCTCAAACGCCAAAGGGACGAACATGAGCGAATGCAGAAGTCAGTAGCTAGTCTCTCTGCCAAGCTGGAGCAGGCTGTACAGGTTGGTAATGGGGATAAGTTGTATGTTTGTCAGGTAAATTAGATTTCCCACCTATCCTAATTACATTCTACCCTGTTGTTAAGTTTGTGTTTTACATTTTTTAGAGAAATTTTGATGCTCTGTACTTTAATTTCTGCTTTATGGTACCTAAGCTTAACCGTAAACTGTTTTGTGTTTTCTTCAGGAGGTACACCGTCTACAGAAAGATGCTGATGAATCCAACAAGCGCTCCTCTGTTCTGGAAAGAGACAACCAGAGGTTTGAACTTCAGTTAGCAGACATGGCTCAGCAGGTGGGCTCACATGCCTTTCCTTCAGTCTAAACATAGTTCAGTTTTTTTCCTCTTGTGTCTCTAAGATTCTGATTTCACTGCTATCTCTTGTGTTTCCATCCAGGTGCGAGTACTGCTGATCGAGCTGGAAGAGGCTCGCGGGAACCATGTGATTCATGAAGAAGACGTGAACTCGGCTGATATCAGTAGCACTTCGGATGTGATCAGTCAACATCTGGTGACCTTCCGCAGTGTAGAGGAGCTACAGAAGCAGAATCAGCGTCTCCTGGTGGCCCTCAGGGAGCTCAGCGATGCTCAGGAGAGAGAGGAATTTGAAGACTCTGGCAATAAGTAAGTTAGATTGTGCATTGAATTATTTTTAATCTGTTATTATACAATAACACAAAGAATAAACAATTAGAAATATCGCCTCTTCCAGGCGTCGCGAATTGGAGCAGCTTTTGGATCAAGCCTTGACTGAGCTCGAGTCCCTGAAGGAGCAACGAAGCCAACAGGTCAGAATGACTGAGCCCATCGCTAGGCAGAGGGACATGTACCGTGTGCTGCTGGCTCAGGCCACAGGAGTCAACTTCCCTCAGCAAGGTGGTGAAACAAAGAGAAACTAAGTCATTCAACTTTGACTCATTATAGAGCAGTGATGATTTTTCACGTTTTGCTGACTTTATGAGGGTCTTTTTCATCTAGGTACACCACCTGAGGAGTTTTCTCTGGCTTCCACTCCCCGGCGCTCACCTGCAGCAGCTTCCACAGCGGGAACACCCACTGCACTTGTGTCAATGGCAACAGAGTCAGCAGAAGCCTTGGAAGCCAAGGCAGCTTTGCGACAGGTGGGTGCTCCATTGACCAGATCAAAGTTACCCTGTGAGTCTTGGCTGTTGGTATTTCGTTTTCAAAAGTCCACAGTGGCAGCGCATGAAGATATTAAGTGTACGTTTAAGCTTTTCTTGAGTTTTTTTATAGGCAGTTCACTCCACCCCCACCCCACCCTCTTCCTAAATTGGCACAGCCTTTCAGATTTCTGTTTATTCATCCTTTTCACAAAGCTTTCAGTAATGATTCCTCTCATGAGTGTGCCTCATCTGTTTCCTATTTACACCACTAGATGGCCATATGTTTCTACTGAGATATTTACAATTGAGCCAGTTGGATATTACTTTGTCAATAATGACGCTTGGGGTACAGGGATGAAAAAGTACTATGGTGCCATTTAGGCTAGTAGAAAGACTCTAAAGAAGAGTGACTGCGGTGTATTCAGTTTCAGTAAATTTCTGCTATGTAGAATTTAAATGAATGTGTGTTAAATGTGTTTATTCTGCCCTCAAACAATGACACTTCTTGAACAATGAAAACTAAAGCTAGACTGTCACCAAATAAAACTTTCTGGTTGAATCTGCAGTTGCAGGAAGTGTTCACCACCTACAAGAAGGAGCGTGTAGAGAGCGATAAGGCACTGACAGGGCAGAGCGAGAAACTCCAGGAGCAGCTCTCTGATCTTCACTCCCAGAATGCCAAAATATCCACCCAGCTGGACTTTGCCTCCAAGAGGTAAGCGTGATAGGCATTAGCAAAAACAGAACTACATGATCAACTGTAGGATGTAAATTGTTCCTTCTGGTGCACACTGACGGTTTGAAAAAGTAAAAAGATTGCATTCAAGTGAAGTGTATTCCAACACAACTAGGTATGAGATGCTGCAGGACAACGTCGAGGGCTACAGGAAAGAGATTGCCTCCCTCAGAGAGAAAGGGCAAAAGATGGCAGCTGCCTCACAGAAGCACGAGCAGACCATCAGCACTTTGAATGAGGATCTAAGAGCTGCCAAAGAGAAACTCTCCATGGCCGAGGTTTGTACTGTATGACATACTGGTCATGATTGTGCCTCATTTAGTTCTCTCTGCATTTCATTATCACTCAGCAGAACTGCAATGATGCATCACTGTAAATTTTTCCCTTCTCTGTTTATCTCAGAGCTACTACAGTTAGGGTTTGTCCTTTCCTTTTTCCTAGGGTCGTGCTGAGAGTCTGCGTAAAGAGAGAGACATGCTTAAGCTTGTGGAGTCCAGGCTGAATCAGGAGAAAGAGACAATCCTCAGCCAACAACAATCCCAAAACCTGCTGCTAACCAACCTCCAGACCATTCAGGTACTCTACGATAGAAAAAAATCCACTAATCTTCTCACACAGTCACACACAAACATGGTTCAAATAAAAATAACAAAAAAAATTGTTTGTTTTCCTTTAGGCAACTCTCGAGCGTTCAGAAAAGGATACTCGTCAGCGTCTGAATGACCAATTGGAGAGGCAGGAACGAGAGATCTCACAGCTGCAGAAGAGGCTGGAACAAGAGGTGGAGCAGCGCCACTTGATCAGCAGAAACCAAGAAGTGAGTGTGAAACTGTTGGTGCACAAGACTATTCCAATTAGCTTTGTCTCCAGAATTAAAGGAGTTATGGTACTTCATTAAATGTATTTTGAGAGCAGCTCATTGTGCTGGTTAGTCTTGATTTCTCTGACTCACTGAAAAACAACACCCGATGAGAACTGTAGGAAAGAAATAAAAAAGTGCTCTCTGTGCATCTCGCTGTATCATCTCATACACAGATCCAGGGGATGGAGGCAAAGAGGCAGCTGGAAGCACAGGTGGCTTTACAGCAGAAGACCAAAGAGCTGCTGAATGCTGCTGAGCTGGAGATTAAAAACCTGCGTTTGCAACAGAGCGGCAGTGATTCTCGTCACATCCTGAGCTCCCCCTCCACGCCGATTATGAGAGGTTTGCACCAGCGCTCCTGCATAGAAAGCAAAAGAAGGCTCCTACATAGTTAAATGTGTTGTTTCCACTGACTGGCATGAAATCTGAAATGACTTCTAGCTCCTCATAGCTACTAGTTGTGTAATTTTTTTTCCTTTTAAGATGTGTAACTCTCATTTGCTTGAGTTGTTTTACAGTTTTATTAAACAAGATCCAGTAAAAGCTAATGAAATGTCCTAGCCAATCTCTTTGAAATGCCTGTGGTTTTTCAAACACAGACTTCTAACAATAAACTGTTATTTTTATTTATCCACAGCCCTTCCTCCCTTTTCCCTAAAAGCACTTTCCAATTGAATTGTTCTTAAATTACATTGCTTACTAGACATCTTTCTGCTTTCAGGTCCACAGAGTTCAGATCAAGACAGAGAGGACTTACAGGGTCGTCTGCGGCTGGCTGAAACCCGGGCAGAGGAGCTGGCAGAGAGCCTCAAGGCAACCACATCCAACATGGAGCAGTATCGTGCCATGGCTCAGAGCCTGGAGGATTCCCTGGACAAAGAGAAACAGGTGCAAAAGAAACCTCAGGCTGCCTGTCCTGAGATTTTTGATTTTGCATTACTTTGAAAAACTGATGACCTGATTTTGCTGTCAGAAACTTTTTGTGGAATAATTTTATTTTCTACCAGAAGCACTTTATTAGGCCTCAGGTGACCCAGGAAGCTCAAGCATGGTACATCACAAATTAACATATCACATGGTCATTTGTCATGATTAGTCCTACTTGATGTTTTTATTTTTCCACCACATAAGACTGCCAACATTTTGTTTGGTAGAATCATGTTTTATCTGGAAACAAATGTCTCTATTCTTCATTTAAAACAAGCCCAAAAGTTACAATGCTCTGTGGAAATCTTTGATCATCTGTGTAAACGCAAAAAATCAGAGTTATGATAGAACACTTTTGTGTACGATTAGGGGGAACCAACTTTGTATGTATTTCTGAACGCCTAATGACCAGGTTACAGAGCAGGCACGCTCAACCATTGAAGCTCGTATCAAGGAGGCAGAAAAGCAGCACCATGCTCTGGAGGAGAAGGTGGCGGAGGCGGAAAAACAGAAACAAGATTTGGAGGAACAGAAGAAGAAAGCGCTACAAGCTACAGAGGAACAGGTCTGTTAAATCCCACATTTTGAAGGTTTACACACACCGAGGCAAATGCAGACTTTGAAACATTAAGTTGAAGTTAACAGCATACTCCTCTACGACTAGATTCATTAAAATGCAGTAAGAAAAACCTATCAGTGTTGTTTCTGTGTTCCTTTTAGATAAACAACCTAAGGAGAAGCCTCAGCAGTGCCCAGGAAGATCACCAGGCAGCTCTACAGAGAGTTGCCGTAGCTGAAGCCCAGCAGCAGCAAGCATTACAAGATGGTCAGGAGCAGGTAAACAGTTTTAAAAAATAGAAATAGATATCAAAAACTATCATCACTGTACTCTTTCTCATCAGGAGTGACACAGTTAAGGCTAATACCATCACAAATTCTGCTTATCTTATAGTTATTATATTCACATGTTGTTGTTTTCGGCCACGTTCAAAGTAATCTGTGAAAAGTCACCAAACTTCTTTATGTCAGTTTTACCCATTTTTGTTCATGGTAAATTAGTGAATTATCAATGTTATAATCTTTGTATTTGAGTAAAGATTGATGATATAGTTTATACTCCGGAAAACTCTGTATACTACTGATTGTTCAAAACTGTAAATGTAAATGTGCTTTAGTTATACAGCCCTTTACAACAACCCTTTCAGTGAACCATAGTGCTTTACAATACATAGTAGATTAAAAAAAAGTGAATAGATAAAAACAACGCTACTGGGTATTAAAAGCAAGCATAAATAAATATGCTTTCAATCTAGATTTGAAAAGGCCCAGGTCGGATATAAGTCTCATTTTTGCGGGGAGCTTATTCCAGAGCCTGGGACCAGCATTTGAAAAGGCTCAGTCACCCCAGCAAATATAAACTCCAAATAAGCAACAAAAAAAGGGCAACTACTATAATGTGATTTAAAATGTGCATTCAACAATTTTGTCTAATCCTTAGTCCTGTTTTAAAGGCGAAGCTGGCAGCTGAAGCTCAAGACAAGTACGAGCGGGAGATGATGCTGCATGCGGCAGACGTGGAGGCCTTGCAGGCTGCTAAGGCTCAGGCTGTGCAGGCTGTTGAGCTCAAACACCAACTAGAAGAGAGAGTGCAGAGGATCAGTGCCGAGCTAATGGAGGCAAGGGTGTCCTGGGAGGAGCAGGAGAAGATCTTAAAGGTTGGTTGTAGAGGGGATTTGATAGATGTCTGGGTGATAAACCAACATGATGAGATAATGTTAAATCATGTTGAGCTTAAAAAGTCCCAGAAATATGTCTCAGTGCAACATCAGAAGTCCTGAATATATTTTTGTGGGGCATTTTGGTTGATTATGTGATAAGGTCTGATTACTTTTCTAGCAACTGTCAATCATTTAGTTTCGGTTGTAAATGTAATTTCAATGTTAAATTCTTCGCTCATAATCTAGGAGGAAATGTCAAAGATGGAGAGCAGCCATGAGGAGCTAAGGAAGCAGAACACCCTGCTGCACGAACAGATCCAGGCAATGAGCAGCAAGATGGCTGAAAACCTCCAACGTGCTGTCAATGAAAGTCCTATGAATATCTCCCTGACTGAAGAAGGCAAATCTCAAGACCAAGTCCTTGAGATTCTGAGGTAACACACTTTAGGGACAAACCGTACTTAGTCCATGGTCTTGATTATTCTCCTGTGTGTTGACCCTTTTATAATATCTTCTTGTATTCTGGTGTCACAGCTTTGTGCGTCGAGAGAAGGAGATTGCTGAGTCCCGTTATGAGCTTGCCCAAGGGGAGAGTTTGCGACACCGTCTGAGAGCGGAGCACCTGGAACATGCGCTCAAGGAGGTCCAGGACAGCTTGAATGCAGAAAAGGAGATGCAGGTAGGCAACAATCCTGCAATTAAGATCATGTCGTTTTAAGACCTTTTTCCAAGTCGGTAACAATTGCAGCACAAACTGTATGGAACATAGAGACGTGAGAATATTAGGTGGAGCAAGATCATGCACAAATGAATCTGACTACTCAAACCTGTAAATATGACATAAGGTTAAAAATCTGTTGTTCATCTTGTACAGGTGACAGCAAAGACTCTGGTACAGCATGATGAGCTGATAAAGAAAACGGAAACGATGAGCATCCTGGTGGAGACCAACAAGATACTGAGAGAGGAGAAGGAAAAGACAGAGCAAGAACTTCAGCAAACACAAGCAAAGGTATCAACGCAGTGGTTTGCATCTTAATTATGAAATCAGTATGTAAAATATGAATATAAGAAGTGTTTTCCAAAAATGTGCTCTTTAAGTCATGTCACGGGACGTGCTGCAGTTTAGGTTTTTTTACTGAGTTGAACTTCAAGTCCACATAGTTTCAGCTCCCTTTTTGTGCTGCAGGTCCAAAAGCTGGAGTCAGACATCATGCCTCTGCAGCAGGCCAACACCGAGCTGAGTGAGAAGAGTGGTGTACTGCAGGCTGAGAAAAAGATACTGGAGGAGGACATCAAGCGCTGGAAAGGTCGAACCCAGGTTTGTGTAGATCAGTAAGACGGCCAAAAGGGAAGGAGGCTTGTCTGTGTAGTTTGTAGCATTTATTTAGTAGAGGGATGATTGTTATGTTGCTTCGTTTCAAACCACTCACATTCAAATATCTGCTGCTCTTCTAGCATTTGGTGAGCCAACAAAAAGACTCCGATCCAGAAGAGTACAAGCGTCTGCACTCAGAGAAGGAGACACATCTCAAACGTGTTCAGCAGCTCACCGAGGAGAACACGAGACTGAAAGCAGAGGTTGGCAGGTGAGAGATTGTTGATCGTAAGTGACAGACTGGCTATACCGATGCAGGATCTTCTTTTTGTTTGTAGTCTGAAATATTCTGTAAGTGAATCAGCAGGTTTTGGTTTTGAGCTCGAAAACAGCCTCTGTGGAAAACAAAAGAAGCCGAACGCATCAGCCATAATGCAATCAGGCTCCTGGTGATGATATACAGGAGCTGCATTTTGTCTTTAGAGACAGTCATTTGTTTACAAGTGTAGATAAAATCTGCTCATGGATTTTTTCTTAAATTATTCGAAAGAACTCAAGGTTAGAAGTCCTTTTATTAGTAAACCCTGGCAGCCCTGAAAGTTGGCACTCCCAAAAACTATACTACTATCAGACAACGACAAGTGGGTTCCAAGACTGAGGGGATTAAAATGATTTAACTGTTGAACAAGTGTAAAGTAGGGCTAAACCTTGATACTGGTTGTCGATTTGGCCATTTATCATTAACTTTCTTTATATCCTTTTCTTATCATAGAACCAATAACCAAATGACGTCCCTGCAAAGCCAGCTACAGAGCCTGCGTGAGACTGTTAGTAAGATTACCGAAGAGAGGAATACTCTGAAGAGTGAAGTTGAAACAAAGACCCAGGACATTGCAGAGAAATTCAGAACTATTACCCAGGTCAAGAAGATTGGACGTCGCTACAAGACTCAGTATGATGAGCTGAAGCTGGAACATGACAAGGTGAGTCTTTTATAAGCCAAACTTAAAGAAAAATAGTCATGACAGTAAAGTATGTGACTGTAGTTTGAACATAGTTGATCTAACCTGATGTAACATTTCCTCCAGATGGTGGCTGAGGCTGCGGCAGGCCCATCCCAAGAGGAAGAAGCTCGTCAAGCTTCAGCTCAGGAGATGCAGGGCCTCAGAGACTCTCTGAGCCAGGCTGAAGCCAAAATCAAAGAGACTGAAGGACAGCTGGAGAACGCCAACAAGGTACAAACATCACAAGTCTCGCATGTTTCAGGCAAAACCTGTGACTGCAGTACATTTGAATTGTGTTCCGTTATCTTTTCCTAGTTAGAAACTTTCACTATTTCTTTGGGCATCTGCGACAGGTGGCTACAGAGCGTGAGACTGAAGCACGAAATGCCCAAGAACAGTCCTCCAGGCAGCAGGCAGAGTTGACCAGGGTGAGGCAGGAGCTCCAGGAGAGAGCTTCACAGGAGGACACACTGAGGCAACAGCTGACTGAGAAGGAGGAGAAGACCAAGAAAACCTTTATTTTGGCCAAACAAAAGATCAGTCAGCTCATGGGTGAGAGTGTGTCCTTCAAACGATAATTGTGTTTCATAGTTTCTTCCTCCACTTACTCCTTGGGTCTCTAGTGGCAGTACTGCTCTTTTTATTTGAATCTCAGACCTAAACATAAGTGTTTTATGTACAGGCACCAAGGAGCAGCTGCAGAAGGAAAATGAGACACTAAAGCAACAGATTGAGGAGCTGGAGGTACGAGTAAGCGCTCTGAAGTCTCAATACGAGGGCCGTCTGAGTCGGCAGGAGAGAGAGCTGAGAGATCTGCGAGTTCAAGAGCAGAGAGATGAGCAACCAGAGGCAGGACCAAGCAAGGTGATAGTGGTGGTAGACTTCTTTTCATACATTTCCTTTATTGCATAAGAATATTTCATAAAAGTCCTTCATAATGACTTTTTTTTCGTCCTGATTTCAGACCCAGGAGCAGCAGAGAAGCACCGAACAGAGACAGATCAGCCTGAAGACAACCCCAGCTGCAGACAGGGGCAGGTATGACAAACTTGAAGTAACCAAACACATCGTCCTTCCACTTTGAAACGTATTAAGCTGGCACTGTTGGTGTCTTTTTTTTATTTGAATACGTTCCTAAAGTCATTTCTATGTCCACGCTCTTCTTCTCCGTCAGTGCCAGCTCATCTGAGCCCCCGACCGCCAACATTAAGCCAACACCTGTCGTAGCTACAGCTAGCAAGCAACCTGTCAATCCAGGAAACAAACCCACTCCTCGAGCAAGCATCAGACCCATGATCACTCCTGCTCCTGTTCCCACTCCAACGCCCACAGCTACTGTCATGCCAACCACACAGGTGGAGTCACAGGAAGGTGAGTCGAACTATGAAGCTCTTGGTAGAAGAATCAGGTCAAAAGAGTGCTGCTTCTTTAGATGAGTGTACCGATTACTTTTACAAAGCTGTGTGTTTCTTATCAATGCGGCTTTTGGATCAGTGAGATTATAATTTTTTCCCTTCTTTCGAACTCCTCTACAGCCATGCAGTCCTCTGAAGGCCCGCCTGTGGAGCATGTGACGGTGTACGGCAGCGCCAGCGGCTCGGTGCGCTCCGCCAGCCCCAACGTCCAGACCACTTTAGCCAGCCCCATGCTAACTGTGCAGCAGACACAGACACAAGCCACAGCATTTGTCCAGCCCACTCAGCAACAAAGTGTGACCCACACAGAGCCAGCCAATCAGGAGCCACCACCTGTGGTCATCGAGGCAACACCTAGCACCCAGGTGGAATGGCCTTCAACGTCTTCTACGTCCTCAGTGTTTGGAACCGGTGAGAAAATAACTTTTGAACTGGAGATTCAGATATTCTTTGAGTGGGATATTTAGTCAGGTGATGCAACGTTTTAAAGGGATACAGGACAGGTTCATGTGTTTATTCTCGAAAACAGAACATGTAGCGACAAGGCCTCTCTTTTACAAACCTCAGGAAATCACACATTTAGTTATAATTTGATGTAAAGTGTTGTTGGCTCTGCATGAAGAAGACTAAACAGTATCCCTCATTTCTAGTTTCAGCCACACCAGGAACTTCGTCTATGTCCAAGAGGCCTCGTGAGGAGGAAGAGAGCACCACCATGGTCCCTGACACAGAAACGACACAGGAGGATTCTTCCAGAGCTCCTATCGCAAAGAAACTCCGTATCATCCAGAGAGTGGGTCCAGAGGTAAGGCAGCGGCTGCCTGTCCTGAGTGGGTCTTTCTCAGTGTTGTTTATGAGCTGTGGTTGTCATTTAAAGTGCTTGTTTTTTTTTCCACAGGAGGAGGTGCTGGTAGAGGACAGTGCTGAGGCTGAAGGAGTGGTGCCAACAGATAGTCAAGATGGTGCAGAAATAAGCCAGGTTTGCATCAGTTGATACTATTTATGATGTAAAAAAAAAACACCCCTCAACAAAAATCAAAGTGTTCTCATGCTCAGTGCTAACCTCATTTGTCTTGTAAACTACAGTGTGACAATGAAAAAAGGCTGTTTTCTCAAATGTGGCACTTTTCTCACATTTTTTTACAAGCACAAACTTGTTTTGTTTTTCTTAACGCCTAAATTTACAAAAAAAAACACGACACTATCTATGCTGAGAGTCGCTTCTTCCAACAAAGAAGTTTGTGACTCAGTGCCAGTATTTATAGAGCTGAAGAATAAAGAGTGTAAAGACAAGTTTTATGTGTGAATCTTCACTAATGTCACACTTTTGTTAAAGAGAACGAATGAATGAAAAGCTTCAGTGTTGTTCAGACTTCATGTTCTTCTGCCCCACAGACAGAGGAGTTTCCAGTACTGGAGGAAGGAGATGAGGGGTCAGCAAACCAGTGCATCCCAATGGACCAAGAGGTTACCCTCAGTCAAAGTGACAATCCTGACCAACTGCAGCAGGAAGTCATTGTCATAGTGACGGACACAGAGAGCGAGGACGAACAGGAAGAAGAGGACGAAGAGGAAGAGGAGCAGGTAAAGAGTCCCTGTTGAGCCTTTCACCACAAAGCTGCAGGATTTGATGTAAATGTGTTGTTAAATTTGTATAACTGTTATGACCTCTTGAAATTTAGGACTATGAGGAGGAGGAAGAAGATGAAGAGGAAGACGAGGAGGAGGAAGATGAAGAGGATGATGAGGAGGATGATGGAGAGATGGGGGAGGAAGGCGAGGAGAGCAATGACGGCAGCGGAGACGGCAATGAAGCCTATGAAGGAGAAGATGCAGAGGTTTGATTACCTGACACATGATCCACTAACTTGAAAAACCTGCTCACCCACGCAGCTTTCACTTCCAGCACACTGAGTTAACCCTTCCAGAGAGTTATGAACCATTTCCTGCTCATAAACTCAGCTTTTCCACATTTTCTCATTTCACTGTCACTTCTTTTTTACCCACGTGTGGCAGCTCTCTGTCCGCGTGTGTTGACTCAAGTTGTTTACCTTTTCACTCCAGTCTTGGCTGCATGTATTCAGTGGAGTGACTCAGTGTCTGATGAGGGCCAGTTAAAGGTCTGTTACTGGTAACCTGCATGTGTTGGCGTTGATTTAAGAGGGGATACGTTGAAACACTGTCTGATGTTTATAAACTGATCATTTATGAGGGCAGCTGTTAGAAAAAAGCGACCATACTTGCTGCAATTGTGGCTAAAGATTGTTACCAAGCAACACAGTATAAACTATTTGTGTCAAATCTGCTCACAAGAGTGCTTGGCAACATTTTAGACACATAAGAGAAATCATCTTGAGAGGATTTTAGGTTGTTCTAACATTAAAAAGCGTTAGCACCATCTATAGCACAAGTCAAATCGGTTTAGCACCATTAGCATTTAACAAGTGAGCAATGTTTTGTGCCTTCAATAATGGAAAACTAAAACTCCAACTAACTTACTTGTAATTGTCGTGTTGACCAGGGAGGGTGTCAACTTAATTCACATTGCTTTTCCCAACATTTTTGAGCAAAATCAAAAGAAACATGGGTGTTTTTCTGACGCACATTTTTGTTCCACAAAGGAAAAATGAATCATAATGTGTTTAAGGAGCTTTTCCAGTTCATGTTTGAATCTATAGTGTGTGTGTGGCAACCTTCCCATAATCTGTTTCCGCTGATTCTACCAACACCCTATTTCTCTTACATCTCAGTTAAACATTTTTCTTCTTTTTTTCCAACTTCACATTTTATTAACCCCTTTAAAAATTCCTCTTGAGGTTTCACTGTTCTTTATTATTTCCCCTTTTGTTCTGTCCTTTCTCAGGGAGCTGACGTAACAGACCCGGGCACCGAGACAGAGGAGAGTTTGGGGGCGTCTGACTCCACCCAAAGACCAGCAGATTCCCAGACACCCAGCTGTAAGATCCAGGAAACCCTGTCAAACGCACATATGTAGATCCACCTCAGACTCTCCACGTGCGCTCACAAACTGTCCCGCCATCCTATTAGATATCTGACTCGACACGGTGACTGAGAAAGATGTAATATGTTGTTGTCTGTCTAAAGGGACGAGTGGTACAGGTCAAGCAGAAGCCAAAGTAAAGGTTGTCTCAAAAAGGAGCAGAGCGTTTGCTTTGCTCTGGAAAGAAATCGAATGATTCAGATTGTTTTGTACCCGTGGGCAGCAGGTACACAAAGCTCAAGTTGTTGGGGCTGCTAAAAAATGACAGGAGATTCTTAAAGCTTGATTTTTATATAGTCATAGCACCATAGAAATATGTACCATTCAGATTTATGATATTAATGAGAAGGAAGAGCGGTAAACCCCTGAACAAAAGGAGTGTGAACCCGCTCCTCTCTTGTATCTCAATCAAATGTTTGTTTATAAAACGATATGGACCTCTGTTATTTACAGTATTTCTCCTTGGTTTCAGTTGAAGCTGGTACAATGGAGGCCTTCTCCACAGAACAACCAATCACTAGCTCTGGCACAAGGATGCCCCAGGCCCCACGGAGGCCGACACATCAGCTGCCCCCTCGCCTGAACATCCACCCTGCCCCTACATCAGAGCTGGGGCCACCCGCTCAGGTTCCTTTCGTCATTTTTATGGAAGTGCTTTTCACACTGTTTTATTTTGAAACCACAATCACCCAAATCATTTTCTGTCATGTCTTTCCACAGCGGATCCCTGTTCGACGAGTCCCTCAGCTCACTCCTGGTGTGCAGAGCAGCGCTGTAAGTCCCCTACAATACCTTTTAAAAATACACACATATTACATAAATCATATAAATCACCAATTTACTCTTGAGTCTCTGTGTTTGTGTTCATCATTTTGTTCCCCCTCCGACTCTGCAGCAGAACTTCTTTGAAGATGATGATAGGATGGTTCCCAGCACTCCCACTCTGGTGGTACATCGCTCTGATGGTTTTGATCAAGCCATCCAGTAAGTCTCACTCGCATGTTCGCAGAGAAGGAAGTCTGAGTGCCTGTGAAAAAAATTAGCATTTATATTTATCTCACAGCACGTGTTTTGACAGATCTGTTTTGGCGCCTTGCTGAGTGTCTTCATGAAACTTTCCTCTCATGCTGAACTGAATTAAACTGAATTTAATCAGTAAAATTAACACATTAAAGGGTAAAATAGAGGACTTAGAATTTACTTCTAGAAATTTTTGATTCTGTTTTTTCTTCAAGGTATTTTAATTTTGTTTTTTAAAGCATAACTCAATAGTCTTGCTCCTAAGATTTCCTCCATTTATAGAAAACACTGTAATCTTAAGCATATAACCTTTGAAAGTTAGACCTTAAGAGGCTTGTATGTGTATGTTAAGATGTTATTAGAATATATAGGAAAGATAGGGTGGAGAACCTAAAATGCAAAGTGTTTTTCATTTGTCTCTCAGTTCCCCCCAAGTGACTGGTGTCCCCTTCAGGTTTGGCCCTTCAGACGACATGCCCCAAACCAGCTCCTCGTCACACTCTGACCTGGGACAGCTCGCATCTCAAGGAGGTACTCCACACACAGCCTGTTCTCAGAGACACTTCATGTTGAAAAATATTAAATAAAATGAGTTTTTGTTTTTTTTCTTGTTTTCAGGTCTTGGCTTGTATGAAAGCCCCTTATTTCTGTCAACTCATGAGGAGGAATCGGGTGGACGCAGTGTCCCCACCACACCATTACAAGTTGCAGCACCAGGTATCTGTCTTTTCAAACTTGTGAATGAACAGATCTGCTCAGTCTTTTTGGTGCAGATACAATATTCAAAAGGGTAAAAAGAATTTGTTTGGATCTGTGAGTGCTATCGGTCGCTACAACAAAACGATAATCTTGTTTTTCTGTTCCAGTAACTGTTTTCTCAGAGGCAGCTCAGTCTGACACCACTGAGCACGCCTCCCAGTCTGTTCCCACGGTGAGCACATCCACACCAGGTCTGGTTGTACCGGGAACGGCTATCGGCGGAGAGGAGAGAGATGACGTCTTCCTGGAGCCAGACACTGATAGGTGAGTCTCGCTCCTGTCTGCTGTTTGTCAGTGTTGTCCTCTAATAAGAGTCAGACCTCTGCCTCTGTAGTCAGACAGTTTTTTTCATCCTAACTTTAATTTCCATACAGAACTAATCAAATTTTTAAAATGTGTAATTATATTTCTCTCAACTGGTAGATTCATGGAATTTGTAACAGATGTTTGCACGTGTGTGGAGTGCATCTTTTGTTGTTTTGAAGATGAAACAACTTTATCATACGTCTGTCCTGGTCTGTTTAATTTAGGCCCAGTGCAGAGGTGTCAATAGATCCGGTGGTCTCACAGGGAGATCCAGAGGAGTCAAGCCAGACATCTGACAAGTCCAGCCTCCCCTCCACCAGCCAGGAGCCCTCCTCTAGTTCTGCAGGTACTGAGTGCAGATTTCAACTGTGTCCGTCATTATCCTCTTTCCTAAAAGTGTTGTTCTCTTCTGATGAGACTCGTGTATTTTTCAGACACAAGCAGTGCACCACCTAAACCCTCCAGACCTGGACCCAGCAGACAGTTGCAGCGCTGGCCAGAAAGCCGGGGTGGACGCTTTAAGAGAGGAGGTAACGGTCGCTCATTAGCATTAAACTTGCCCTCCTTAGTTCTCAGTGACTCATTCTGAGATAACATAGAGCCACAAAGGTGTCATATAATGATAATATTAAACATTTGTAATGGAGGAAGAGAGGACTAAAGAGCATCAGGAGCTGTTAAAGGTTATATTTCAATTAAGTATCATGAACATTATCTTTGTACATAATAATGTGAATGAAAACAAACCATGACATTAAAAAATATTATTAATTACAAACCAAAGATTAAAAAGCAGCAGCTGAAGAGATCTCTTCATCCTGAGGAATGATGCATAATGATCTGCAAGGTAGTGAGGAGCAGTCCTGTACTGTTTCTGTAGTACAGGGTCACATTTTTCCTCTTTCTAAAGTTTTATTTCAACAGAAAACAGGCTCAAGATAACATTATGATATTTATTGTTCATTTGATTTAGTGTAGCAGATTTTCAGGTTGGTTTATAGGACTCCCAAAAACACTGAATAAGTTCACTTGTTACCACAAAATGATCTTTAGTTTTCTTTATTCTTTTACTCATTTGCTGTAGCTGCATAGAAACACATTTTATTTTCTGTAGATATACATGTATTAAATGCTGACATGTCATACAGTATGATCACAATATGCACAGTCTGGCAAAGCATTTGTCAAACTTTAATGACAGTAATTTGCATTGACATATTGTTATAATAAAAGTTGATTGTTAATACAAATAAAAAAAGATATTATGCCAACATAATAACATTTTAAACAGCGCTGTACAGAATTTTTACATCAGTGTAGCAGGCGTTCCACTATTAAAAATGTTTTCTTTCTTAACAGGTCAAGGGTTTCCTTCACGGTTTTCTCGGGGTGTCCATGGAAGACGATTCCATAGATAAAGCACTAATCTGAACAACAAAAAACTTGTCATTCCCATCAGAACCATATAAAAACCCTTAGAGTTTTGGTTAAGTTGTTCAGATGTTCACAAATGTCCATGCTGAAAAGCCTGTTGATGTTTTTTACTTTTATTTTTATTAAGTGTGCTTAAAAAGTACCTTTTGTAACCAGTCCATGCTGCGGCAGAGTGTTTTATGAAGATTGAAATAAACTTTGAATCTACATGTAGACATCCTTTCCTTCAATCAGACTTTCTTGGGGCATTTGAAGACGTCGTTAACCTGCGGTGATGCGTTGGCTGCAGGAGCAGCTATGCTCGGACGTCCCCCGTCCATCCTCACTTTGTAGGATTTGGCTGCAGAATGAAAAGAATGGTTGTTGATTTAGCATTTTTAATTTATGTCTGGTGTTGAGAATATACTTTGAATCCATGTTTGTGCCAGTTTCCATTTGAGTGAATGTTAATTTGGTGTCCTCAGACAGTCCTGACTTCAGAGCTCTCATTTAGCTTGGACAGCTGTTGGCTACAACAAGACATATGTTTTGAGAGGTCCAGTTTTTCTGTGATGACATACAAGACTAGACATGAAAGTTTTACGTACACGGGAAATGCATTTCTCTTTCTACCACAGGTATTAACATTAAAATGGAAACTTTTACTGTTTCTCCACATTAAACAAGAGCCTTTGGTGATGGATGCCTCAAATGACCTTTCCATCTGCCTATAATCCCAACAGTATGCTTCTCCTATAATCCCCCAACCCCACCCTGACACACACTCTGACACATGGTCCTCATTATGCTTTTCAGACATGATGTGACAGTTACAAGAAAGTTTTGCAGCAGACAGACAAGAAAAAAAAATATTTATCCTTTTGAAGCAAAGCAACTAAATTTCTAAACAGTCTCGACCACATCTTTGTCAGTTTGATAGACTAGGATTGTTTGTTTAAGTCTAGGGATTTGTTAGTGTTAAAAACACGCCCATTTCTGCCTAATGGATCTGCATTTAACTTTGCTGACATGGTATGCTTATTCAGACTTCATACAACGGAATATTTTATGCGAGGTGCTTCACCTGAAATGTTGTTGGTGGAGGGGTTTAGTTTACGATGGCAATTCACACAAAACCATTGAAACAGAACTAAAATCAACAGTCGTCTCCATGCCTTTGCTTAACTCACATACTAAACATATATTGTTAAATTAAGGGAATCACACTTAATGTAACCTCTAAGACATCCGGCTGTTATATTAACCAGTATAGAGTAACTTACATCTAGAGTAGACGTAGTATTTGTACCCCTCTGCTTCTCTGTTGGTCGGGATGGAAACAGCAGCTGTGATGGTAGAGGGGAAACCTCTCCAGGACGTCCGGATGTTGATAGTTGGGCCCAGAGCAGACACTGGAAATGAGACAGGTGAAGGTAAATTTAGTCACGTTTAAACCACTTTTTTTTTTCATTTCAACTGCACTTTTATGCCATTTTTTCCCCCGTTTTGACGCTTTAACAGTTGAAGTGCCATACATGGTTCACAGGAACTGAACCTTGGCTTGCTAATAATTTACAACGGATGGATCTCTCTGCCCCTCTCACCTCTACCACAGAGGCATGACTCATTTTTTCAGGGAACTTTGTGAAGTAACTCAAATAAAACATGTTTACTTGAGCCTGAGTAAATCTGGTAAATACCTGACAAACACCCAGTAAGGCCCTCACTGTTAAAATTTTACAAGACCACACATGAAAAAGAGGTAGGCTATAATTTACCTGCTCCACCCAAACTTGCTGCTCAACAAAACACAAAAATGTAAATTATTTACAACACAAAAAGAGAAAGAAAGTAACAGCTGAGAGTTGCTCACATGTTCTGCATGCATTTAAATGATACACATCTCTTAATGTTAAGATTTAGTCTCCTTTTCATCTTATCTATTATAACTGCAACACCGTGTTAATATTGCAATTCATTTTAGTATTTGTGAAGTTTTAAAATATTAACTTTTCAAGTTATATGCATGTATATGTGGCCTTTAGTTTTGCAATATTTATAAGTTACCCCTGTATTCCCCACTAAAGTGCCCCAAACTGTATTGTGAGCAATCTGAGATTCATAGTGTGTGGTGGCTTCATATTTCCTTGTCTTTTTTGTCTAGTATTACATTTTAATGGATGTTACATATTAATGGATGTTATCATAAAGAGACCAGGTTTGTCTTTCAGCTCCTGAAGTACCTGCTTGGCGCACTATCCGGTTTTTGACCGTGTAAATGGCATACTGGGGTTTCCTGCCACACTTTGGACTGGTGCCGAACTGGTATGAATATTTCTGGACTGTTCCCCCTAAAAGAGCCAGACAGGAGTCAATTTCACAACAGTTCACTCAGACGATACTTGAAAATATATAACTATATTTACAACTAATCTTGAGATAATTTGTCCACAGTAGTTCACCTCTCTTGAAGAAGTAGACCGACTCTGTCCTCCTCTGGTACTGAGGCACAGACAGAGCGGCGGTGATGTGACCCCGGAGCCCATCAAAGCCTGTTTCAATGACCCGTGGATAGCCAGGGTCCAAAACATCATTCTCAAATCTCCAGTACTGGGGCCCCTATAAGGATTACAAACCAAAAGCAGGTGAATTAACAAATGTAAGATCGAATAAGCATAAGCTACACATATATTTTGAAAAGCAAAAATACAACCTGATTAAGCGCACTCATGAAATCCCTTAAGTTCTATTTGTAAATCTACCTTGAAAATGTAGGTTTTGCCCTGGCAATTGCAACGAGTAAACACAGTGTCAATTGGGGAGGGGACGCCCCACACTTGAGTGATGCCACGGGCTGGACCCGGCACCCTGTTACTGTCCAACATCCAGAAGAAGTGTCCTGAAAAAAAAAGTGAACAATATATAAGGACAGCCCATACATACAACCTCATTTAAGAAATTTAGTCTGCAAAAATATACCTGAGAGTGGTTTTAGACGGAATTCAAGAGTAAAATACTTCAGTATGCACCTCTCTACCACAATCATGAGCATTCAATATCAACTGCCTGGCTGGCTCTCACCTCTAAAAACCACAATTGTGCCGTTGCTCAGCGTGGTGACTCCACTGACTGGCCGCCCACTACATAGATTTGTATCATTGCTGTCATCTGAGGAAAAACAGAACATAATTATCAGGGAAACCATCTGTTTGGATACACATAAAAAAACAAGGAAACCACACAATTACAGACTGAGTTATGGGGTGTTAGATGTACTTTTGTGCTTTGGTAGCTGAGCTGAGGGACTTTCTGTTTACCCCATCTTTCAAAGTATTATTTTCAAAGCCTCATTTCAACTTTTAAAGGGCTGTCGGGGTCATTTACAGTGTGTAAAAACAGCCACCTCTGTCTAATATAGTGTGGCCATGCTTTGAGAGAGGTTCTGTTGAACCCAGAGGCATAATGAAAAAATGACGAAGCTCATAAAGCAAACTATGAACAGTCATAAAAATGAGCCAGAAACTGGATGCTTCCGCTTTTGCAATAGTGTAAGATTCTTGTTAAATAAGTGAGTCGCTGGTAGAGTCTTACAGGATTGACGATTTCTCCTCTACGAGCCACAGAATTCATGTTTAAGGCAGTTCTCACCTGCTTGGTAATCTCTGGGATCATCTACAGTGATAGACTGTCCAACATCCAGAGGTTTGACCTCAGGTTTGGAGCCCGGTTTACCCACAGCTGGTTTCACTGGCACTGGCAATGGCTTAAACACCTCAGGTTTGTCCTGGGGTTTGGAGGTGGCCTCAGGTGTTGTAGGTTCAGTTGGGACTGGGGTGAGATCAAATGTATCTGCTGTGGTCCCTCCTGGTGTAACATCCTCTGTAGCTTCGTCTGGCATAGTGTATGTAGATGAGGGAAAATCGGTTGTGAAGGCATCAGGTTCTGGGTCTGTAGGAGAGACACTGGAAGAGCCCTCAAGGTCTGGCAGAGAGGATGTAGGTTCTGTAACATCTTCTAAGTTGTTGTTATCTGGTTTGAGGGTTGAAATGGTCTCTGTTGGGACGGTTGTTGGGTCCAGCGTTGATGAGGCAGGACTGGTGGAATCTGCAGAGGAGTCCTGCGTGGGTTCTGTGGACCCTGGACTGGTGGTTGCGTCTGGAGATAGGGTTGTAACATCTGGATCATCAGTGGAGGCTGCAGTTGGGTCTGTACTCTGTGCCTCAGGGGAAATGGTACTCTCAGGGAGTGCTTCTATCTCAGGCTCTGGGATTTCGGGGCCAGGAGTATCCCCTCTTGGGGGATCCGCTGGTGAAGCAGGCCGGCTGGAGACAGCTGCTGTTGTTGGCTGAGGGGGAGTTGTTCCAGAGGTCATGGAATCATCAGCATCTGGAGGACAAACATGGTTATAAACTCCTACATTCAGATTCAGAGAACTTTGTAAATTAAAAGTGACTGCAAGACTGTGAAGGGGGATTGTGCTAAAAAGGAAAAATATTAGAAGTGATTTCTGATGCAGACACCTCCAAAACTGAGAAAGGTCCTTAATTCCCCATCTGCTACTATTAAGTGATCTAGATGGTAGTTTACAGTGCATACAAATGGAAAGAAATGGCTGTAAAGTCAGATTAGTTTTGTATATTGTTGAGCTTGAAGCCCCATCAATGTAACATGGTCTGATATTCACTGATTTACATACCTGGGCTGTCAGTGGAGACCTCTTCAACGTTTGTTGGGAGTGTACTGAGGTTATCATCTTTGGAAGTTGTTGTCTGTGCCTGAGAGGTAGTTGTCTCTGCATCTGTGCTGGTCTCAAAAGTGTTTGGATCCTGGGTGGGTTCAGTTGAAAACAGATCCAGGAGGTCAGTTGTAAATGATCCGTAGCCGCTGGTGCTCTCAGGGATCGGAGTGGCTTCAGGGTTTTCCACATTATTGTAAGAATAATCATCATCAGGGAAAATCTGGGTGTGCATATCTAAAAGAATTTAAAAGTAAGGAGAGTTAAGCGCCTGGATGTCAAACTCTTATAGATTTACTTACAGGAAAACACTTTTATTTATTATCAATGCACATAATCACTCACCATCACTGAGGTCATCTTGTGGACTGACCAAGGAAATTATATGGTCATAAGTGTAATTGTGAATATTCAATCATAATTTCATCAAAAGCAGCTTTATTTTCCTGCATTTATGTTTTCTGGGCGTACAATGTGAATTTTCCAGACGGAAACGTTTCTACGTCTCTTCAGATGCAAGAGTATCTCCACCTTCAAAAGTTTCCCTGCCAAGTACTGGATCAAACCCTTCAAGAGAAAGCTCTGTCATCTTTTCTTGGCTTCATTTAGTGCTTTCCTTTTCTTGTGACTGAGCCTGTGCCCGTAACCGTCCCACATACTCAGAACAACACTACTCCCTTGTCTTTATTTTGGCTGCTGAGGCCCATGCTTTTGGCTGGTTCTGGTGGAGGCTTGGCCTCTTAGAAAACCAAAGGAAGAGAGCGGGTGTTTTCAGGTCAGCCACAAACATCATCCTGCCTTCCCCCTGACATATGCCTTGTTTAATCAAGGTTAAAAGTATTTCAGAAAACATGTCACCTGTATTGTCTCCCTCGCTGAATGTAGAATCTTGATCTGTTGCTCCACTCGCAGCTGGCTCTGTGGGAATATTCGGAAATAAATATGAGACAGTTGATCCTGTTAAAACAATCATTTGATCCTAAGTTACTTTAATTTTAAAAAGAGATCCTTTTCAGGTCAGATATACCTTTTGGTTTGATACTATTGATATTATCACATGAAATAGTCTTCCCTGGGGCTGTTTCACTTGTTTCTTCACTGATTTCCTCTGTGATGATTATCAAGACAGAGAATATTGTAAATATTAACCCATTGCATTGGTGCAGATTACTGCATGCCATGCATGCTGTTCCACATGCTGGTGGACATGCAGGTTTTCCATGTCTGACTTATGCCCACTTTATCTTTCATGCACATGTATGAGTTTCAATGTGCCGTAACTCTGATTGTTGTCAGACAAAAAAACTTAGGATGACTGGGAAAGGTGCAAATTATTAACACATTATTATCACTGTGTCTTTTTGACAAACGGTTCAAGAGATTTGTGAGCAATTCATGCTCATGAGTATTTGCTGTCCTCTTAATGTAGGTCATTCATAGACATAATATTGAATACAAAATGCAAAGATAAATCTATCATCATGCATGACATAGCACACGTGCTCACAGCGAATCATGTCTAAAGAGGACTTACCTACTGCATCACAGTGGTTTTCGTAATCTGGACAACACTGTTTGTACTTAACACAGTCCATGTCACAGCTACAGAGCCTGCCTCTTTTAAAACCCTCTCCACACCGACCTTTACAGGAGTCTCCTGATGCACACAAACGCAGCAAGTTTTAGCAAAACAGACCTTTCTGAGACCACTCAGGACTTTTGATTTGATCTTTTAAACTGTGGGAAAAAATTAGGTAAAATAATCATTGATGAATAACAATCATTATTTATTAAGTGTCAATTCATAAAAATCTTCTCAAGAGACCTAACAAAAGAGAAAGTCTAAACCACATTCATTGTTCATATTGTTTTAAATTTTCTTTGGCAGACAGAAACATTGAGCAAATGATGTATAAATTAGTTATAAATAGGCATGAAAAACACTTATGTTTTGATAAAACTCTTACTTGTTGTGCATTTAGCTTCAAAGTCTTTGCAGCACTCTCCATATGACAAGCAGGTATAGTCACACTGACACATGTAACCCCTGTAATACTCTGCGCCACATCGACCTCTGCAGCTTGCTGTTTATGAAAAATATAGGCAAGAATAACAATATACAGTATTTTAGAAACATAAGCAAAATAGAACTTGTGCCTTTAAAGTTTCTGTGTTATTTTCTCCAACAACCCAGTGCGCTTGAGGACACAGCTTGTAAATAATACAGCTGTGCCCGATATTGACTTTTGAGGGTAACTATTTATCAAGAGAGTAAACATGGATGAGCACACGCACAGAGAACAAGTGAAATATTCCATGAAAACCTTTATCTGAAGACAAATATCTGGTGATCACAGTATTGAAGAGTGCTTTTCAGGTAATAGATAATGCTAGATAAAATCATTCTTAATAAAATAACATCTTTAACTCACTCTGGGCAGCAGTGAATGTCAAAGAGCACACCAGCAGAATAGCAGCACAAAATGTGGAGTAAGGCATCTTTCCTTAAATCTGAAAATGAGCATAAAACACAAAAATAACCCACTGTCAAAGACAAACTTGCTGTTTCTGTGACACTGAAAAATGAGAAAGTAGCTCACCTGGTTTGAGTCTCTGTCAGAATCCTGCTGGAGGTTTGTGTCGGCTGCTTTTTAAAAGGCTGAGAGAGACCAGCTGACTTCCTGTTAATTGACAGATCTGGTCTAATTAAAAGTGTGATGATCTCACAGCGGGCTGTAGGGAGGGTCCTCCAGTCCGGCCACACCATAGGTCTAGACTTCATGATTCCCCACAAACAGCTGGAAGCACACCAACACACATCTGTGCCAGACAGACGGCTGACTTCACACACTTCCGAGCAAAAGAGAAAAAGAAAAACAGTTACGACTGGGTATTATGTCACAAACGAGTGAACTGTACACCTTTGTGTCATCACAGGCCAGTGTAGTCAAATCAGTACCATATGGACCGTCAAAAGGAGTCCCGCAAGAGCTTTAACATAGTGGTCAGGAGGAGGGTGAGATTATAGTCCACGCTGCTCTTAAACTTGAATGTTTTTCAAGTGTTCAAACCTTTCTTCCAGCACAAGCAGTTTATCCATCAGACTTTTATCCTAATATGTGAACATGTAGGACATCAAAACACCAAAACGCACAAGAATTTTTATATAAGTCTCATATATTCACCACATTTAACAATGCTAAATGATGAGAGCTAAATTTGATTTGAAGTTCCTGAGTTTTTTTTAAGTTTGGAAATAGATTGAAATGAGAAATGATGTCTCTCTATGATGTGTAGAAGTAGGCTAAATGAGATATTGGTAACACTTTACAATAACCATAACTTTTAAATGATAAATAAACCATTTATAAATGGTAAGCAGATTGTTTATTAATCATCATTTATAAATAGCATATAGACCATTAATAAATTGTAAATTTTACAATTTTAAAAAACCTACCTAACCCCTACTTTACAATAACCATCTAAGTAATGTTTATAGGTGGTTTATAAACCAAATATTAACCATTTACAAAGTGCAACTGACACACATTTTAATCTAGACGTTTTACAACCAACATTTAAACCCTATATAAACCTTAAATAAATAGTCCATTAATAATTATTGAAATTATTAATCATAACTTCATTGCTTGTTAATGGTAAAGTTACTATTAACTTACATTAATGAACTATCTATTTACCATTTGTAATTGGTCTATATGCTGTTTTTAAATGATGATTAAACATTTATAAACTATCTATTTATCATTTAAGAATTATGGTTAGTGTAAAGTGTTACCGAGATATTTATGACAAGACCAAAAACTTTTTTATTTGAATTTTTGATGCCTGTAATTGCTGTGAGGGGGTAAGTACATTATTACTTTTCACACAAGAAAGATTCATAATGAGTGATGTTAACTATATAAAGACAACATAAGGTTTTTTTTTTGTTGTTTGTTTTTTTGTTTTTTTGACAATTTCCTCCACTTTCCAGATAAAATTAACAACAACGTAAAAGTTACTGCTTTGTCCACAGGAGGCGCCATAGTGATCTCAGACAAAAAAGTTCCCCACAGGAGCTTTTAGTGATTTAGTGATTTTTACAGATTCCTAAACATGAAGTCAATACTGTCTAATTTCCCTTTAAATTTTAGCCTTGCCAAGTTTAAAAGCCTTATAAGCCTTTATTTTTTTTGGTGAAGTGTGAAATCAAAATCATTCAGGCAAGGGTGTGAAAAATAACAATCACACGATAAAAGTACTTAAAGATGTCGCAGCAGATGTTGCTAAGAGGGGAGAATTCTTGAGAAGGATTCTGTCATCAATGAGTTAAATTATTCTGCTTTTACAGTAGGAGTGTATGCACAAAACAAACTTTTTACTTTTGGCTGTAGTAACTTTCCAGCACACTTCATTAGTAATGTGACCTTTGGTGAGCTTACTGCAGTCTTTGGTTGACTGTTTATCCCTAAAATGATTCACTATAGATACAACTTTTGCATGAAACAGGCATGCTTGCTCTTTTTACAGAGAATTTTTTAAACTAATTTAATTTGAATTTATCTACTTATTTAACATAACCATACCACTGAGTAGATCCAGTCAAATCTTGAAAATAAAAAGGCTGAAAACAGCTGTTGTTTATTGTAATGTAAAGTAGATGTATCTCTATAGAACAAGGGGTTCATTGTTGTAACCTTTCACAATCCCAGCCAAAGGTGTATTTTCTTGCTCTGTTGTCATATTTGTGCTGTGATAAAGCTCCAAAATGATTTTAGTCCAATACGTTTTGCTTTCTTATTACCTTTTAGGGTGTATAAAGTTAACTTCTAGTTGTTTACTTAGCATGTTTTTATTATAGAGTATCAGAGAAGTTCAGTCTCTCTCCATCAGACTGATTACTGTGCTAATGTATTTTTGTAATTTAGGGCTGGTCTTCACTCTTGGTATTTTGTGGTTGGAAGTGCTGGTGGACTGTGGTATTTATTTCCCATCATGTCATGATCCAATTAGAGGTAAAATGCTCATTAGTGCTCTGGTGTTAGAGCATTCATGATAACAGGGTCTGGTAAACAAGGGAATATCCACACAACAGTTCCCATCACTTTTGCACCATGAAAAGAGGAAGTGTCAGGGGGCTGTTATACTTATCTGATGCCTACAAAACTCAAAGGGTCAGAGCTTCAAAGGTAGAGTCAGAGCGCCCCCTGGTGTTGTAGATGTTGACAAAATTTAACATCCTTAACTGTGTGTGCCAAAGCTGCCATCCAGTTCAGATTCAGATTATTTATAGTTCAGATTATTTCAATGTGACGGTGCTTCAGTGCACAATGTAATATGCAGTGTAGAGGGATGACATGGCAGGGTTAAGACTCGAGAAACCAGATTGTAAGCATCTTGCAGAGTGAGTAAAAGAGTGACACAGTCTCCGTAAATTACTCTGAGATACTGGAGTGAAGCAGTGAAGCTCTTGTAAAGTCCTGTTTATTTCTGCTGTGGCATAATCAGTTTGGTCTTTTAATCTTTCCTGAAATCACATTCTTATGAACAATACCCTTAATTTTGATTGTATGTGTTCAGGCTCAGTTTGACAAAAGACGACTTGGTAAAAAGAATTTATCATTTTACTTTGTGAAATATTTCCACATGTACAGCATACTGTGTGGCTCCCCCTCCTAACTGCCACCCATTACTTACAAAATCTCTGGTCTCCCCAAATCAAAGCGCCTTAACGAGGGGGCGTGGTTACTGAGAGGTAACAATTAAGCTACCTATCTAACAGTGATTTTCTATGTATAAAATCAATCCACATACATGTGAAATCACTTTTATTATCTATATGCTGTAAATAATATAAATATCTTTCAGTCCCTATGGATGAATTAATCATTGTTATTCTAATTTTACACAAGTTATTAAAAACAACATAAGTTACATTTAGGCTCCTGTGCTGATCTTGTTAATTTCTATTATGATTATACAAATGTGGTTTTTTTTCAATCTCATTTATGATGATACCACACAGCCTACCTTTCCTTCTTCTTTATAAATTACACTACAAACAATGGGATGTAAATAAACATCTGCATGCTCACTTTCATATCCTTTATTTGACTAAAGCCTTATTTAAAAAAGATTTTACTTTTCATTTTTTATAATTGAGGGGTAGGGGAGAGTGGGGTAAGATGAGACATTTTTCATATTTCAGATCACTACATCAAAGCAATCATAGTTTTTTGTCTAACTAGTGTATCTACATATATTTACACTCATTCTGCAAACCAACAGAAGGAGTGTAAATATAACTGTCTTGATAATATAGCATGTCAAAAAAAAGTGGTCTCTTATGGTCAACTTACCCCGTGCATTGACCTCATGCTGTAGCTCATGGATACCACAATTGATGATAAAACAAATCTAAAATGATCTTTTTTGGTCTGAACACAATTCTAATACAGCTTAAGACAGACTAAGACTTTCAAGAGTGAAATTTTTTCTTTTTTGGAAATAAATGTCTAACCCTTTTACCCATTTGCCTCTAACCCTCACAGACTTCATGAATTGATGCCCATCTCCTAAATATTTGGTCACATGATCAATTTCTTTTTCCATTTCCAAGCCACATGGGGCGGCTCAACTTACCCTTTGGCTCAACTTACCCCACACAGTTGTCAAAAGATTTTAAATAATTGAGCGACAAAATCAGTCTTATTTGACCAGTACAGATGTTCACATATGCCATGCTTTCTTTTTGAACTACTGCATTTTAAAAGACATACGTATGTTTGCAATCAAGAAAATCTAATCATTGTCCTCAATTGGCTGTAAGTGTAGTCACAGTTTTTCCTTGTAAAAATAGTGCCTACAGTGACCTCTCCTTCTGATGGCTCACCAATATTAACAGCACTTTTCCTCTTCTCCTCCCTGCAGGCCAAAAAGCCCTCAGAGAGGCAGACCAACACCTGAACTAAAGATACGATCAGCAAAAACAAAAACATCCCCGAGACGAGGCACTAAACACTTTTCCATTATCACAGATGGAAGTCAGGCACACTGGATCTCCTGGGGAGAAGAGAGGAGCGCAGAGGGGGGAGAGTCAGCCCCTTTTGCTGAATCCAGAAATTGTGTTTGTGCTTTGTGAGCAGTGGTGGCCATCTTCTGAGCTGGCAGCTTTAATCATGCAGCCTGCTGAAACAGAAGTGAAGCCGATGGAAAAAGAGCTGAACGAGAGGGCAGAACACGGAGACACGCAGGAAGAGAGGTGATGCAGGCCAAGGACATTAAACTGTGTCCAGTAAATGAAGTGTGTTTCAATGAGAGCTCAGTATTTTTCTGGCAAACTGCTGCAAAAAATGAACCCATGAAGGATGAGTTCATTACAGAAAACCACACAGCCTGTTATCATGAGAGGAAAAGCTGAACACTTACACCAAAACTCCCTCTGTCTTTTACTATGAGGTTGTGAAACCAGAAAAAAAAATAATGAAAGCCAACAATAACAGATTTATTAAAATAAATAAGCTTACTAGACTATTCAAATTTTTTTTGCTTCATTGAACTTTAATTGCTCAATAGGAACACAGTTTATATCTCTTAATCTGTAAAAATCTGCATGAAGCACTAAAAGCACCTGTAGTAGTTGATTTGTTGATTTGTTGATGGTGACTTGATGTTTAGAGGAACATGATCAGAGACGACCTTTAGAGGGAGACAAACACATGCACATGGTCTGCTCTTTGAGGCACCGTCACTGCAGGATAAGAATAGGAACAGCAACAGGTGGCTTGGACTGATGATACATAATTAAAAACGACAGCTCATTTCATTTCATTTGGAGGATTTTTTGCTGAGGATTAAAGGCTCAAAAGATTATTCTCCTTTTCATTTGTTTGTGCAGACGGAAGCAAGGGCCACTGCCAATCAGACTGTTTATAGCATTCTCCTGTATGTTTATCTTGCACCTAACATATGGATTAGAGGAACTTCGTATGATCTTAATCTTATTTTCTAACCCTTACAGATGTCAAGACTTGGGACTTTCTGGTAAAAGGCTTCTTCTTGGCTGTTGATCAATATGTCACATAATCTCTACATCTCTTAACAGGAAATGCACTCTATCTATAGCCCTGTACTGTGCTATTTCCATGCCTCAGACATTATGTTCCTGTGCACACGGTCTTCATTTTAATACTGCATTACATCTGACATCGAGAGCTCCAGCAGAGGACTCTCACTGATCATGTCTTTGAAGCGTAAAGAGCATCTGAAAGGACATAGGAACTAGAAACAGTGAGTCAGAACAGCTGCGGTGGCCTCAGTTAAATACCAGCTGCATGTACTTTTGATAGAAAATGTATAAAGGTCATAAGGAATCTGTTTTTTCCTGACTTAAAAATTAAGACATAAGGAAGACAGGTGATAATATAGTGCATACTTGTCCATTTATAGCAGAAATAACTGAGGAGTCACAAATGGATGTTCTCTATCCAAAATCAGTTCTGTGAAGGTTCATCAACCCAGTCCGTTATCTCCAACATTCGTCAACTGTATCACACTGAAGCCACAAATTTATGCCAGTTTTTCAGTTTCACTGATATCATGTACATCAAATCAAGCAACTCCGCTAAAGCAAGTGTCAGACGACATAAACATTTCAATGGTTTTTATCCTGGCCCCATGAATCATTCCGAACACGTTTCCAGAAGAAATGCCAAGACTCTTGAATGGCATCTCGCCCAAATACAAGGCCTGAATATGTAAGTAATCCATATGTGAAAACCTTTTCTCCATATGCAACTCAAGAGATGACTTATGAGGTGCATTTACAGTCTAAAAAAGGCCCGTTGTGTGTGTTTTTGCTTTAACTTAACAAATATTTAAAATGACCAAAACAGTATAAAAAATGACTTAAGTCAGACCTATTGTGACTCCTTACTTGTTTGCAATGGTGTTTGCCTTACAGTTGTAAGGATCAGAGCATGAGGAGTTTATTTCTCCTTTCATTCATTCACACTAACCTGACTGTGGACCTGCTTTAAAGACCTTTTATACAAAGCTTTACTTTAAATATTCTGCCCTTTTACTAGATTATTCCCCTGTGTTTGTATTTTTCTCCTATTTCTTTTAATGTTCCTATGTTCCTATACAATTATATAATGTGTTACAGCAACTGCAATAATAGCCCTCCCTGAGATAAGTTAAGCATTTCTAATTCTGAATTTGAAGAACTGATGGAGAGGACAGATTTACTTTCCCACTGTCAGTTAATTGCATCTACAATAGTCTCCTCCGTCAGCCTCTTACACCCCTTATCTGATTCTGATAAGACATGGAAATGGAAGTACATAGTTTCCTGTCACTCGTCCCCTGAAATGCGCCCTGTGTCGGTTTAATGGACATGCTGCTATGTTACCATTCAAGTGTCACTGCTTCTTTGCATTCATTCAGTAATTTGCATTTCTCAAGTGACCTATTTTTTCGAAGCAAGTTTACTTTAGAGTGCTTATAATACATTTTAAGTGGCTACTTTTTTTTGTAGTCATATCAAATTGACCCCCTAAAAGAATGTACATATGTCACGTTTTACTGCTTTCTTTTATAATGTATATAAATTTGACCGTTGTACATCTTTTCTTGGTACCAAATCCTTAGCTGTACTTAAGCTAAAACTCATCAGACTCACAATGTCATTACAAGAGGGACATCAGCACTGCAGTAGTGTTGCATTAGACTCTAAAGAGACACTTTTCAGTTACCCAACTCTGGTGCAATGAGGGCCCTGAAGCTGAACAAGTAGCTGAAGGACAAGTCTATCCTCAAGACTCAAAACAATTAGACAAACAGATGGTGTCGTGATTGTAAATGAAAGCTGTAGTGACTTTATACAAGAGTGTGTATGTATGATGTCTTTCTGTATTGATTGTAAATAACAGGTTGTATATAATGCGCCCCAGACTGCCTGGCTGCATGGAGATCAATATGATGAATAGACACTGATTGATTGATAGGGGATCTTGATTTCACTTGTCTTTGCCTGTTCTCTTCTCCTTTCATACCCTTCAAACCACCTGTACAGGCCAGCTATCAAAAACTCTTGATGTACAGCCAAGTACTGCGCAAACCCAAACATTAAGTTTTCGACTATACCAAATTCACCTCAGCCTGGCTCTTTATGGGGGAAATGTACAGGTTGATGCACATTTAATGTATATCCAACGTGAGGTGCATCTGTAAGTGAGTATCATGCATACATGTGTGCATTTCCATAAGGCTCTGAGTAGATAGATAGATAGATAGATAGATAGATAGATAGATAGATAGATAGATAGATAGATAGATAGATAGATAGATACTTTATTATTCCTAGAGGGAAATTCAAAAATGTACGTGGGCTGCTTTTCTATGTATGTGGGCTTATTTATATGTATCAAGTGGATCCAATTAAAAATCGATCAATCATTATTGAATTCAGCAGCATGAGGGAGGAGCAGAAACACATTACAAACACCACACCAGCAGTGCAAATGAGATATTTTCAGAAAGTATTATCTTAAAAGGAGGAGAGCTTAATTCTTCAGTGAAGTGGAACTAAAATGTTTGAACTTTCATTCACCTTTCTTTGGTATTATATAAAAAAAAACAGGACACAGAAACCCCGTCTTTCATCCCATTTTCATTTATTTCTATGCTCTCTATGAAGTGGGCGTTACCCTAGATGCAGATATCCAATCAGCTTATAGTATACTTTTTAACACCCGCCCTCATGTGGTTGCTATGCCTACTCCACGTCTCTCTCTGATTGACGAGTAAGGCGACCAATCAGCGCCGAGCTGGGCGGGAGTTTGCGCGCACACTGAAAAGTGTCTGGTGAATTTCTACTACTACAGTCAAACCGCTCAGGGTACACTGAAGTGTTGGACCGTAGCAGTTCAGAGGATGGAAAATGTACCATAAACGTTGTTGGAAAACTCTCTAAGGTAATTAATCTTCCCTTCACATGTGAGTTTCCTCTATAACTCAGTTTAATTCAGAATAAGACTCGAAAGACTTGGCTAACGCTCGGCTATGAGAAATTCGAGTTGGTAGAGCATGGCACTGACATTGTTGAATTGAAACTGGCAGCAGTAGTAGACACGTTTGTGTGGCATATGCTCAGAGGGACATTTTGCTGTTATCGAGGGAAAAACAAGACGTAAGCAAATGTGTGAACAAGAAATATGATGCAAATGAAGAGTTTGAACTTCAGGAATTCAAGATGTATTTCTTTTGGGAGGGATTAAGAATGAGCATCTTCTGCAAGGTGGGGCAGGGTTTTCTAGGACTGGATTTTGATTTTGGTCCTACTGACATACATTCATTTGGCACAGAGCCACTCAAAGGATATTCAGTCATTGAATGCCCACGAAGATTCAGTTTAAGCTTTTGGTTTGTTACTTTAACTGAATATCATTGAATTAAATGATCAAATAATCTCAGACTTCCATTCTTATTTGGGAAGTTTGTGCAATTGTATGGACCTTTGACTTGGCCTATTTTTAAATATATATCCAGAATTAAGAAGCTGCCAAAGACACAACATTTTAATATGATTGTCCCACTATCACTTGATCAATTCATGTGCAGCATTAGACAGTTTTTGTTGAAAGGAACTTGCCAGTGCTGTCATGTAGACACTATTCAGTCAACTTTAGGTTAATTGCAAATCATTCAGATGAATTATTTATCAGTTTAGATTTTTTTCTAAAGAAAATATGGTGAAAGATTATGTGCAGAGCTGATATTCATGCAAATATGAACTGGTCTGTGGATCTCCTATGTGTATTTTCTCACATAGTTATAGCAGGTATGTGTTTGCCTCCATTGGAGAATGGTACCCAAAGTGGAAAGACTAAACTGTGCATTAATTTAGAGCTTGGAGGGAGCTTAAATGAGAAAGTCTTTGACAGTTTGAGTTTTAATTTAATATAGTTTGTTGTTTTCAAAAAAGTTATCATCATGCACACAGTGATTTATATTGACAGCAACACAAAGGTTTCCTGATATCATGCAGTTTACTGACAGATCCTCTTTTACTACTTAAGAAGTTCTGATTATATAACTCTGAATACTTCTTCTGTGATGTAAAAGAGGAGACGAACTGCAACTACCACCTACCTACCGTTATCATTCCCGAATCAACTGGTTATCTTTAAGAACAAGAGAGAGACAAGCTCATAAGTGATAATGCACTTGAATATCATGATTTGAACATCTAAAGCATAACCCAGTGCACTGTTTCTGATTCACAAACCAATTTAAACATATCCAAAACAAGTTCCTGGCTAAGATAACAGTGCGTTTTAGATTGTAATGTGTATGGGATGACAGGTACTTTTTTATCAAAAAATTACTGTAATTTGTAAAGTGTCAAAACTACAACATGTCATTGCAATTGTGTATCGCTCATCAGCTGACCTGGTCTCTATTATTGGCATCAGCCATCAAAGAAATGATATTGATCCTTTAGAAATGATACTTATATGTTTTTATGGTCTGAAATCAGCTGAGGACATGTCACACGTCAACTTTATCTTTGTTTCAATGTTTCCTGTGAACCGATAAAGATTTATCTTGAAAAGTTAGTCCGTCTTCAAACTTGAATATTACATGATCCTTCTTTTTTCCAATCTTTGAATATTTATTTGTGGAAAATTGTCAAAAAATCCAAAGTAGAAACCATCATTTGGAAAATACTGGGCTTTTTCTATAGGCACTGGTTTGCAGGTGCAAGTCAACCCCCCTATGTTTGTACTTAAGCAACCAGACAGGAATTCCCCTCCAACTGCATAATGTATGCATAATTTCACAACAGATAAAGCATTACCCACAGTATCTTCAAACTGCAGCTCGCACGGCTGTCTCTCTGCCAGTTCTGTTTTCTCTCTCTAGCAGGAGTGAAGTGCTGAGTACTGCTCGGTTTTCAATATCAGAAAAGATAAATAAACATTCTCCTAGGACTTCAACAGCAAGAAGGCTTTTCTCAGGTGAAATGCTTGGAAACAAAGTCATAGTGAGTGGGAGGAAAGAAATAGATGCTTTGAGTAGAAAGAAAAGGCTTTACTATCATTGAGAAAAGAAGTGTTGGAAGGAGCAGCTGTCTTTTCTCACCCCTACTCGAGTTAGAGATGAAGTCTTGGTGAGTATTATTTGGTATTTGATGGTAAGTGTTAATGTACTGACTAAAGGCTGTGTTGTGAGGCCAACTTTCACTACAGGATAGGCGCTGCTTCAAGTGAGATTTGTTTGCTGCTTGCTTTATTGATTAAACCTCAGTTTTTATGACGTACAGAAAATGAAAAACCTGTTTGTCTTACTCAAATTTAGATCTACCGTAATCGTACCTTTTGCATCTTCATCAGGAATGCACTGATTGGTTGAACATCTTTTGCCATTAGCAAATAATGGCAATGTCTCGATCCATTTGAGATACTTCATTAATATACTCACCAAAGAAAACAGCTTGACTTCTAAGGATGTACAAAATAAGGCCCAAAACTCCTGTGACACCCTTCAAGATTTGGTTGACTGGCTGCTTCCTCACAACCAATTACTATACCGCAAATTGAAAAGCCTAATGCTTGTCCAGGCTGAGTTTCAGGCTGACAGAAAGAACCAAAGGGGCGAGAAGAGAAGAAAGAGGCAGTTCATCAAGATTGTCTTCCTTTTTTGCATTTTTATTTGAATGGGAGATGTCTACTGCACCAAGCTTTTGCTTTATTCTACAGCAACCTGCTGAACGGCACTTACACTTGAATATTCAAACAAGCAAGGACACCTATGTGCACACACACAGTCATACATAGTTAACCAGTAGACTTTACATCCTCCCTCTTGATGACTCCTCTCTCTCTCTTTGACCTGTCAAGATCCGCTTTCTATTACTTGTTGTAACCCTCCTGGCTCCTCTACAGCACATCATATGGTGCCAATGACTAATATTAATAATACATGTTTAGCCTCTCATATGTAGGCTAAAGTGCTGCAAGGCCCCCTGTCTTATTTGCCAAGCAGGGCAGAACCCAAAGGCAGGAAATAAGAGGCAGGAAACAGTCACCTGTTACATAATGAAAACAAAAACAAAACTCGTCTATGTTTGAGTCAGAGCTGTGAGTCTAGATGCAGTGCATGTCTTGAATCATAAATTAAGTGCCGGTATGATTACATGTCCTGAGTTCAGGTGACAACAACAGGTGGTGTAACGCTGTGTGATCATGCCCTCTGGGGAAAACAACGACCCATGCCTGAGGTTGTGAATGAGCCTAGCCAAGGTCTCCTCGTGGCAGATGGGAGGGTCCTGGGGCGGCATCCCCCCTGGCTCTGGTCCCGGATCTATTTCAGGGTTACTGGTTCATTTTATGCTGTGCTGTGTTCTTAGGGCAGGCATGAAAAGGAGAGGTGAACTGTTTGTCTGTTAAACCTTACAGTAGCATGAAGGATGATTTCTCTTTGAGATTATTTTAATTACTTCAGAGTTGAAAAGGAAGCAGACAGGAGTGAAACCTTGGGTATAATGGCAGACTTAAACTATGCTTTAATTTCAAGGAGGACTACACAATGGTGCTCAAGGCTGCGTGTCTTAATATGCTGTTTATCCTTGTTTCATTTTTTGCTCATCGCTGTGACCTTACAACTCTAAAGAAGAATGAATCTGCTTCACTTTGATAAAACTGGCTCCTCATCAGCTGTAAACAGAGTTTGTTTTGATTTGTACACGAGAAATTCGATGTATTAGACTTCCACAAGAAGCCAAAATACTTATATCTGTCAGCTTGGATTATTTTGTAAAATTTATATTAGCGTTCAACTGATATGGGTTTTTGAGAAGCCGATACCAATGCTGATATATGGCCGATATACCAGTATTCCATTTTTGCACTTAATAAATAATAAAAATTCAATTACATTCATTTTTCTATGAACATTAAAATCTAATATCCATGGTTATCTTGGCCAGTAACATGTTTTAGATGGAGCTTTGAATCAATGAATGGAATAAAAACTAATCATTAGGCTGTGCTACAAAAGTCAGTACATGGTGTACTTATGCTGTAGACAGTATTAAACTCCAGTATTCTATAAATTATAACAGAATCAAACACTTGTCAGTAACTCATAGATTTGATCTGCTGCCATTTAAAATGTTTATTATTCAAATAAAGGAGTTTATGTTTCTCAGCAGCTGTTTTGTGGCTGCCTGCAGTGTCTGCAGACACGATTTCATATTTTTTATTGGCCTCATGAGCCCAGATATCAGCCGATTGTTTCAAAATGCCTTTTATCGGCCTGACCGATTAATCAGTCTAACTCTACTTTTGGTGTGACAACCATAATCTCATCTGAAAACAACTTGGTTACCTGAGCTTGCATATTGGTGGATACTGATTATCAACCCAATCTCAGTTGGATTAAACAGAAACATATTAGCCTGACATACTATACTCACTGTACATGTTGGTTTTAAATGTCTGATAGTATTGCTGACATTTCCTTTGCTCTGTCAAACAATACTCCTTTGTTTTATTGCGGCTGACCATTGTCACCTGATGTCTGGTACTCTGTGTGCATGTTTCTGTTTTGTAGCTGCAAAGACCTTATTGATTTATAGTTACACTATGGTGCATCATCAGAACTTGACTTAATCAATACTACCTTTCAGGTTGTATCCAAGCAGCACACCTCAGTTTTGAAAAATGTTGCAGAGATGAAGTTAATAGAAGTTCTTTGTGCGTCTACTTGAGGCTGAAAGCAAAAATTGTGTACATAAAAAAAAAATTACATATTGGTTGCACTAAATTCAGATTTTTTTAATGGGTTCAGAACCATCTCCTGCAGCCATGTTGGAATTGGAAAGGGGAGAGAGAGAGATGGATAGAAACCAACAACAGCAATGACAACTCATGCTGACTTAAGATGACGGTTTCAAGACTGATCTATTGGCAGCCAGAGTCATCAGGTTCACATTAGGATTCATGACCTGAAATAGTTATCCATCAGCTTTTGAAAGAAATGAACCTGGAACAGCTTTAACCATCTCAAGGTACCAGTAATTGTGGTCATTTATCAGCCGGAGAACTGTGGCCTGCTTAATCTTTTTCAGTGTGAGGGTTTACTCTCTGTGTCTTACTCACATCTTTTGAATTACACTTTTGGGCTTTCAGACCAGTTAAAACTTAAAAGGTGATTGTATGTGGCACCACCAATTGTCTCGTTTGTTGGCTTAACTGCTGCAGGGAGAGTTGCTGGCAGTGATTTACTTGTGAGATCATTCTTTACAAAAACAAGAAGACAAGGAGTCTTGAACTAAGACATTATACTTATTAAGACTTTCAACACTTTTACTCTACTGCCTCCCCTTTACCCGACAGTTCAATAAGTTTAAGATGTATTGTGTGTGATAAAACTCTACGACAGTGAAAGGGAGTCTTGTCGATGGTGTGAACCTGCATCTGAAACTGTTTTCCTCAGTATCTCCTCCGGTACAACCAACTGCAGTGTTAGACTCTGTTTTCATTCACAGCTGCACTTCATATGTGTGACCACCTCTTTCTGTGCATGGACCTCGGTGTGTATTGTGAGAGTGTTTTCGATCACTGTGCTGGTCATGGCGGGGCTCAGAAGTGATGCCCGCCTGGCACGCTGTCACAGACTGGACTGGACTGAGGCTGTGTGCTGCAGTGACAAAAGCACATTCAGGCCAGGACAATAGGGAGCTGACAGCCTGGGCTGTGATTATCACCCTGCGTGTCTCTCTCTATCTGTCTCTCTGCCTCCTGTCTATTGTGCTACTGTCTCACTATTTGCCTCACTCTGTCTCAGTCATTGGGGGATCAAGCGCATGTTCTTTAAGCAGCCTGTTTATAGCTTTAAAAGAGGAGCTCTGGGCAGTGTCTGAGCTTTTTTAGTCATTAAATACAGGCTGTAATTCTGCCATCAAGTTGGTGATGATGTGATTGTTAGTTGCTGTGTGTCATCTTAAAATGTAGGCTCTGGTTGTAGTGATTTTGTTGATGCATCTGGCTTTGTGGGCTGTGCTGACAATTAGGGGATGCTGAATCTGTTGTTGATGATTGTAGCAGAGCAATTATCTTGTCTTTATTATAGACACACAATGACTCACCATCAGGATACTGTTTCTCCTCTGAGATCAGGGTCTGATGCAGACAGCTGACGTGTTCTGTAATTCAGGTCTGTACATATCTTTACTGAATGACTTGTCACATTATTTTTGTGGTGAATGAATCGATGAATCTGTCGGTTTGTAAGATCTGAAATAGGGCTGGGCGATATGGCCTCAAATCAATATCACGATATATTGAGCAGTTCACCTGGATAACGATAAATGGACGATAACTACTCCACAAGCTGCTCACCACCTCCCACATTAACTTTGTCTACTTTAGCCACCGCTTCAGCCGCTCCAACTTTTAAACCGTCCTCCATCTCCTCACCTGTCTCCCCTTTTTTGTTATGGACTGGATGGGGTGGAGTCACGTCTCCGTTGTAGGACAGTGTCTTAAAGGGACATGAGACCATAGCCTACCTACACACATCCAAAAACAACTTTTATTTATTTCTTCACATCCACTTTTACAATAATAATTCAACAGCCAGTAGTACAATTCATTTTACAAGAGGTTTTAGTAAACAATCACCTTTTGTTTTTCTTTTCTTTATATATATATATTTACACATGTGTAAATGAATAAATCAGACAACCAAAATTTTAGAAAATTTAAGAAAGAGGGAAAAACAAAAAAACCAAGACAAAAACAACAACAACCATAAAAAAACATCGAACAAACCAAGAGGACGAAAGAAAAACAAACAAACAAAAATAACAAAAAGAAACAAAAGACAATACCAATCATGGATTATAAATTTCCTTTACATAAAGATCCTTCACCAATTCATCAGCACATGCATATCTTCATCATTTACCTCTGGATATCATTTATGATCTCGCTCAGTACCAAAAACAAACAAACAGACAGAACACTTTATAGGTTATCATTCCACTTGTTCTCCACCACCTCCATTAATGGTTGCCATCTTTCCATATTTATTTATTTATTTGACACTGAATATATCGATATGGGCAAAATGATGTTGGTTATTGTCGTAAATTTCGGTGTTGATAAATTTTTGGTTTATTGCCCAGCCCTAATCTGAAAACAAAGAAAGGTCTTTGTGTGCAAGAAAAGAAAAGACAAAAATTTTAACTTTATAGTTAAAACAAACAAAAGTAACAAACTATTAAACCCAAACCAGGACATGCTTTAATTTTCGCACTTTGTACAATTTGAGTGATCAGCTGGTCCCAGAGTTCTCCAGATTGATAATGATGACTCCTTAGCTTCCTGTAAGATGGTTGAAAGCTCTGCACCAGTAAAGCGTGCACTCCTTAGAGATAAACTGTAGCTTCTAATGGAGCCTGACCGATCCTAACAACCTGAATGTTTTCTATGTTACTGAACGTAACTGTACTTCCACAGTCTTGCTCGCTCTAACAGAGCACAGCCATGAGTCATCACTTGCTGGTTGGCCGAGCAGAGGTGCAGACTGGCAATGGTGGTGGTAAAGGGGAAATTAGGCCTGACACAGACTGATCGTCCTTCCACGCCGCTCCAGCAAATCAGGTTTAAAACTAATACTGAGGGACAGATGAGTGAATCTGCAGTGCAGTAGACTTCCAGCTGCTCTTTAAAGTCACTCTGTTTGTCCTCATCCTACCTCTCTAACTGACTGTCACATTCATTCACACTGTCAAAGGGAGAATGTTTAAAAGTGCAACAAGTGATTATTTTAATTTCGCACTTAATGATAATTTCTCATGATAGTCTCTGAGGGCTTTTAATGATGTCTTTAAGTATTCTTGTTTACATACAGACTTTTGAGATGATATAAACAGGATGATTTTTTTTTTTTTTTTTAGCTCTAATTACAAATAATCTCTGAACTGCAGCTAAGCTCTCAGTCAGTATGTGAGTCAGTCTCCTGCTGCATGTTTCAGTGAACACCTATTCATCTTATTTATGCCTCAGCCGCTGTGTCACTTCACCAATGTCTCCTTTTGACAGCTTGCCCTTCACCGGTTTGGAGGTGTGTTTATGTTTACCAATCGAACTCATCAACATGTCTGGTTTTGTTTGTCGTCTTCGATTCACCTCCTCCTCTGTATTTCACCTTTATCTGTTACCTTCCCCCTTTTTTTCTATTCCTCCATCATTTTCCATTTCCCACCTGCTTTGCTCCCTGAGCTCGTGACAAATGTGCCTGTTCAGAGGTTAGCGAAGCATCTTTATTCCACATTCGGCTATGTCATTTCATTTAACCCAAATCAATTTTGATTTTTTGCTGTTTGAGCCAGAGCAGGAGGCTGTTTTCAGGCAATTTCACCGAAGGTGTTCGTAGCGACACAGGGAGTAATTTCTGTCCAACCTTTCATATCTCTCCTGTCACCCAGAGGAGGGAGAGAGCAGGCAGAGGTGGCGAGGAGGCAGGAGTTTGTGTTGACCTCCCCTCCCTTCATCGCCCTCAGAGAGATACCAGCCAGCAGATCTCTGTGTCTGTCTCTGTCTTGCAACAAGACATAAAAAAGAAATAAAAACAGAAATGCTTAGTATGGGCGGAGGGGATCAACCATTTATTTCCTGCAGGATTAAATGGGCTGTGAAAAGATTTTCTCTGAGTCTATGAGACTTTCCTCCACTCCTCCCCTCCTTCTGCTTTTATTTGGGTGTAATTTTTCAATGCAGCCATCTGTGTGTTGTCAGACTGGGTGAGGGTGGCGGAGAGCAGGAGTGGAGGTTAGTGTGTCTCCATTGTTGAGAATGATTGAACTCCTGAGCTTACCTGATGTCTGTCTGTTGAAGATATTATGTTTTTCTTTGTTTACTCTTTAATCTGGGTGGTTGTGCTGCTGCTCGTCATTCAGGCATGATTGACTGGAAACAAAATCATAAACGCATGGATGATAGACATTTCCATTTTTATCAGTTTTGCAGTAAATGAGTCCAAACTAGTGGTTGGATGTGGGATGTGAAGAAGACCAAGGTTACATGAACACAGTGGAAGTCAGTGGAGAGATGTAAGAATAGGAGAGATTCAGGACTGACAGCTGGCTTCAGTTGATAACTGCTGCATTATGATCCAACTGGAAGCAGTAAAAGTGATTGACACACATGTGCAAAGGGAATTACAACAGTCAAAAACGATAGAAAATAAAAGTAAATGAAGCTCTTGATCTGATGTTAGCAGTTCTTCTAAGCTGCAGGAAAAGAATTGAACAACTTTGGTAAAGTGATGATTGAAAGTCATTTGTTGGTCAAACTTCATACTCGGAATGGGTGATATTGGCAAAAAAATTTATCATGATAAGTTTTGCCATTCTGCCGATAACGATAAAAGTCCAGATAAAAAATATTAAAATTCCAATCTGTGTTTTTGACTCATTCTGTATTGAGGACACCAGTTGGCGTAGGCAAATAAGATACTTAACTACAAGTTTAAGTGGTAGGTTTTAGAGATTCTTATTCTGATCTGTTTGAGCTATGGCTGCAAGTCCGTCACTCGTCTTACATAATCCACTTGCATTTATCACGTTTATCGTGAGATGGCAAATATTTATTGTGGAGGAATTTTCTGACGATAAATCATGAACGATAATTTATCATCCCATCCCTTCTTCATACCAACTTTTTTGACAGTGGATTTGATGTTAAGTGGTGAGTGGCCAGTAAACTGTTGAATAGCAGTGGTGAGGGTGTCTTGTCCTGTTGACAATATTTCAGTTTTGTCAGGGTTTAGATGATAGGAGTTTGGTGACATCCGCTCATCAACAGCAGCAAGACAATAATAGAGAGAGGACTGTTGATTCATGTTGTTTAGAGAGCACGGAGGCAGGAAATAAAAACTGAGGGTGATTTTCTGGTCAGGATGCCGAGTACTGAAAATGCTGAACTGCTTTGGTTCTTTAAAGAGAAATAAAACATAATTGTGTAGACACAGGCCATGAATCTTAACTTTACCGTGAAGGCATTTTACATTCAGTGACTTTTTAAGATGTATCGTATCGTGAGTTTCTTTGCTTTTCCCATTCTTGTTTCAAACCGCAGAATTTACACAAAATCTGGGTTTTGATATTAAATATTAAACCTTTCTTTACATTATTGGTACATTGTTTAGCCTCTGTGGTTTAGACTGAAATATCCCAACAAATATCAGCTGGAAACATTTGTTTAATCCAGAAGATGAACCCCACTGACCTTTGTGATCCTTTAACTTCCTGTCCTCCAGTACCGACATGAAGTTGATATTTATGATTAACTTTTAAAAATCCTATTTAGCTGGGTATGAACCCTGAACACACTTTGGTGGTAGTTCTGATAATCATACATCCATGCATGTTAGCCTGCTGGTGTTTAAGTCTCTGTTGTGTCTGAACTTTACTGTTGTTGGCTCGTAGTCTTCTTTTCTCTCTCTACTCTTTGAATAATGAGGAACAAGTTGAGATTTTGAAAGATGTACAAGACTGAAGAAGACCTTAAAGTTGTACCTTTTTTTGCTCATAGTCCTATCTAAGAGTACCCAGAGCTATTCTCTTTTTTGACCCTAGTTTTGATCTCAAAAAGCTCGCCGGATTTTTACCACAATTTTTCTGTTACCAAAACTTGGACATTGTCTTATTAAAACACAAAACAAGCCATCAAACAAGGAGGAGTGGTCCCATTTCAACCTGTATTAACTAAATAATTGTGCTTTAACATTTCTTAAACATCTTTTGTCCTTTTCTTAAACTCTCTGGACATTTCCTGTAAGCTACAAAGTATTTATTTGAAAAGAAACAGAATCTGATTTGATTTGACAGCTTATACCTAAAACCTATTTTAACCTCATATTTCTTTTATCTATACTGTGAGTTGTTTCTCCTGTATCTTTGTGTATTTATTTATTTATTTTAAGTGACATTTCCTGATATCTGCTGCTGATCTTCAACAGTATGAACATGGAGACACACACAGCAAGACCAAAATCTGTGGGGCATTAATTACTGAATAAAAGATGATCTTGAGCATGAGGAATCAAGGTCAAAGCGTGTCCCACTTCTTCTCTGCTTGTTTGCCTCAGAGCTGATATCAGCTGAGCGTTCAGCAGGAAGCAGATGGAGAGTGCTGGGTGTCTATACATCCCACCATGGCTGCCCTCCACATGGGGTCCCAGTACACACCTCTCTCTCTGTCTTAGTGCCTCTTGATCATGCTGCTTTAAAACTGTGAGGATGAAAACAGAAGATGGTTGATTATCTTCTGCAGGGTGTAATCTGCTGCATGAGGCTGTCATACAAAGTATTTGTATCATTTCCTCTCTGTTCCTGATGTCTGCTATACTGAAAACCATCTGGTTTAGTCAAGATCTCCCCCCTGCATGGGAATCTGCTGTTAAACTCTGCCTAACCAGCATTTATTGGAGGTGGGCTGATGACCTTGAAAATTTCACCTCAGCAGTTACTGTCTTTAAATTTTCTCTGAGCTGTTTTTCGTTCTAGGCTAACGTTTTCTCCAGATGGGATCTAAATAGATGTGACGTAAATATAATGATACATATTAGCTAGATGCTAAATTCAATTTTTCTTGTATAAAGCTTTTTCCTTCTCTTAGTGGTGAAATAGTATATTACAACAGACTTTATGTTAAGTTCATGATGACAAGAAAGTGTTGTGCAGATTTGAAAAGTGATACCAGAGCCTGTGTTGGCAGGCAGCAGAAAGGAACCAAACTGGTCACTTTGGACTGCTGTAAAACTTTAATTATGAAGCTTGATGTTCCCTTAAAAAGTTAAGTGAGTTATTATGAAAATTTAAAAACTAGAACTCAGGCTTAAGTTTCCTTTTCACCATGAAAAGCAGACGAAACAGTCTCCTTTATCAACTCACTAATCCCTGTCATGAAACATCTCTTTCCGCTAGGGCTGGGTGATATGGCCTCAAATCAATATCACAACATATTGAGCAGTTCACCTCGATAATGATAAATGGACAATAACTACTCCACAAGCTGCTCACCCCCTCCCACATTAACTTTGTCTACTTCAGCTGCTGCTCCAGCCGCTACAACTTTTGAACCGTCCTCCATCTCCTCACCTGTCTTTCCCTCTTTGTTACGGACTGGATGGGGTGGAGTCACGTCTCTAACGTAGGACAGCGTCTTAAAAGGACATGAGACCATAGCCTACCTACACACATCCAAAACCAACTTTATTTATTTTAACATCGAATATATTGCCATGGGCAAAATGATGTTGGTTTATTGTTGTAATTTTCGGTATCGGTAAATTTTCGGTTTATGGCCCAGCCCTAGTTTCAGGTTACCATTTTCCCTAGTTGGGATCTAAATTGATCTGATGTGAATAATATGATACATATAATGAACAACTCTGTTGGTCACAAATAAAAGCACCTTCTGTTGCACTCCAGGTTGTTCATTGTCTTTGATTCTCTAATTATAGATGCCGGCTGGACATTCGTTGATGTGTTGTTGTTGGGGTGTGTGGCAACATCTGGTAAAACTGTGTGAAGTGCAAATATAGCTCTTAGCGTGGTTCTGTGTTTGTATCTGGTAGCTTTCCTTTGCCTCGTAAATATAACACATTTTAAGTCTTAAAATTTTAAAGATAATTAAAACTGTGATCAATCATGATCACATTGTTGAACCGACTGAAAGCACCATATTTTAGAGATTTGGTCTCTCCGCATCCTTCAGCGTTCTCACTTTCCTCTGTGCTGGACTAACCTGCTCTACTGAACAGAATGCTGTCTGCAGGGGCCTGGCTGTCCCACTGCTGAGCCAATTAACTAGGTGTGAGGGGTGTGTGTATGTGTGTGCTGTGTTTCTCTGTGTGTGTGTTGCTCCTGCTGGATGCCAGGTCAGCAGGCCTGAGCAGAGCCTGTGCCAATAAAAGGGGAGGCCTGTCGTTAGTATATACACACACACACACACACACACACATATAAACACACCGCACTCTGTATGAGGGCAGCCCTGGGGAAACACTTTGGCATTATAGACTCATTTGGAAAGGGCAGGATCAAATTTGACTGCTTTTCCAAGTGTTAGTGTGAGTTGGGGGTCAGAAGGTGTATGTTAAACTGCCTTCATGACAATCTTAACTTCAAAAGTTAAGGAGACGTGTTTCCATCCTGCATTAGTCATTTCATCTTTGATTTGTACATAATGTGAGTCCCAAACTGCTGCAAAGTCATATTCAGATGGTGAAGAGTTTAGTGTTTGATTTGGATTTCAGTGCAGGATGACATATTTTGTTTCTCATTAGTGTTTCCACTTCTTTCCATTGTTCATATTGGAGGGTAAACAGACAAAAGATACTGCTTTGTAGTACGAGTTATTGTATTCATCTCACAGATCAAACTAAATAAATAACTGGTTACAAATGAAGCTTGTCAACAGCAGCATGGGACCAAAGACTGCTCAGCCAATCAGAGCCAAGAATCCCAACTTCCTCTCTCACAAGCTCCGATCATCTCCTTCGTGGCCTCCTGTTGTAGCTCGACTCGTTCCCTCTATCGATTTATCTCCCCCTGCTGTCCTCCCCCACCTCTCTTGTCACCCCTCCTCCTCCTCCTCCTCCGTGTTTCCTTCCTCTGCTCCCTCCATCCTCTCGGTTTATCCTTTGAAGTCATTTGTTAAGCTCTACTTTGTTCTCCCTCAGGAGCTCCTCGTCCTACACTGAAGGTGTCTCAGGAGGAGCAGTTTTAAAGGCAGGACTTTCTGAAGGCTTGTTTATGTGCAGTTTGCCAGACTTCAATCCTGCAGTTTATTGTCAGAGGGCGAAGAGAAGACTGAGCATTTTACAGATTGTAACAAGGAGCCCAAGGGCGACTCACTTAAACTGTGATGTGAATAAAGAAAAATAGGTCAGACAGTTTGAAGAAAGAATCTCACCTTCCTCTCTGATGCAGTCTTCTTCTTCTCCTCTCTTTTTTTTCTTGACAGATCGCTGTGAACCTCTGAGTGAAGATGGCCGTCTTTCAGAACAACTTCTGGGTGAGTGTCTTGATGACGACAGTAAACGCACCAACATATGACAGAGGTTTCACAAAGGAACACCTGCATTTGATGGCTCCTTCTTTCAGGCTTTCGTACGTCAAGCTTTAACTGCCACATATTACCGCTTCTCGTAATTATAGCCATAAGTTATGAGTCACTAAGGTTTCATTTATATTCCCAGCTTGAAAAGCCAATTTCCTGGTTACCTGCAGCTTGCCAGGTACTTGCAGGAATTGCTTGTTGTCTCGCCCCTCACCTCACTTGCAAATGAAAGAGATCAATTTTGCATTCAGCAGTCTTTTTTTTTTTCTTGCCGCCACCCGGAAACCAATCTCATTCAGCTTATTCTTGTATGGAGAGATTTCCCCCCGCAGTGTTACTGAATGAAAAGGGCTGTTTTCTCAAGCAATTTGACATATGTATAACTCGGTATCACAGTCTCAGGACATATGCCACAAGATTCTTGAAGCTGAAGTTCTTTCACTGACTGGCGTTGATGTGCATGTTTAGCTCCTATTTAATAATGAAAATAACATTCACTGCTGTTAACTGTTGCTGGGCAACATGAGCTCAGATAATTGGAAAGATTTCATGAACATTTGACCTCAATTACAGTAGTGAGGGCTTGTTTTGTTTTTGATTGAAAATAATTGAAGGAAACACTCTGATGAGCTCTTATTCAGAGATGTGATTAAATTAGATAAAAGAGCAGGGAAATCCTCCCCCAACACATGCATGGTGTCATTATCTGTTTCGGCAGTATTTTAAGATGATAAGACGGAGTTTCAGTAGTCAAAAGCTGCAAACAGCTCATCCATGCAGAGTAAGGTTAATGCACTCAAGTATGACATGGCTGTAATTTTTATTTCATGCATCATAAAGAAAGGAAAAAAAATCTTGTTCATAACTCAGACCATGATTAATTTCTGTAACACAAAACATCATGCAGTGCAGTCATGCAGAAAGAGGGGATTTTTCTCTCTCTTATCAATGGGATCTTGAATTTGATGAAGTGGGAGGTTGCAAGAAAGTTTCAGCAATGTGGGCCATGCCTAACCATGATGCATCTTCACGAAACGCACAGACATACAAAGAAAAAGCATAAACGACTTGATTATACAGTTAATTTTATAAATGTATATAAAGCCTCAAAGTTCTGGGCTTAGATGGTATCCAGGGTATTTACAGCCTTTTTTTATGAAGACAAACAGAAACGAAGTGCTGATCCAAACTGGATCAGACTGTTTTAGCTGAGCTGTTAGCTGGCAGCTAATGTTGTGTCGTATATATTGAAGTGCATCAGAGCCTGTAAATAAACACAAACAGCTGTCATAGCTCACAACTGCCCATTTAGAAATATCAGACTTGGCCAAGACTCTGTTGGTAAGAGACTCTGAATGTCAGCTTTTCTTAGTTTTCAATAAAATGTACAGCCCTACTCTTAACAATGTGCACAGGTGCAGTTAAGGCTGGGTGATATGGGAAAAAGTTTATCACAATATATATTTTTTTATATCATTCGATATCGATATAGATCACAATATAAAAAAATCACTTGCCAATCTTAAATGTTCCCTGTTACTTTTACATTTAACATGTACTTGACAAAATTTGCAGTGCACACTACTCTGCTTCTTGTCCGACCTCAAAAACCAAAACACCTCCACACCACTGACATTCTTGTGCCAGTGTTGCAGACGATGTTTTCATCTGCATTTCTGGGGGGGTGTAGCACTCATTTTCTTTTTTTCTCACTGACAGTGATGGCGGCTTCACGTGTTAAAGTGCTATGGTTGCGTGTAGCTGCAGTCTGCTACTATGCAGTTGTTCGCTACTTGGTTCCAATTCGGCACAGAGCAAATCCCCTTTTCATTGGCTATTCGTATAGTCTACTAAAACATGGCAGAATGCCGGCTATCCAAAAGCATATTGACCATGTTTAATATCAGTATCGAGGGAAATTAATTTTTGATATATATCATTATCGTTTTATCGCCCAGCCCTAGGTGCAATAATGAGTTCTGATTCCTGTGAGATGCAGTTTAAAAAAAGTGTAGACAAGTCAACGTCCTTTAGCTAATGCAAACCCAAGGAGTTCAGAATCATATCTTAACAAAAATTAAATAAAATATCTGCAGCTTTAAACTCGACTTCTGAACCGCTTCTGTTTGTTTGCCTTAAATCACCTCTTTACCTACAATACAAACACTGAGACACACTCTGTTGGGTTGTGTCTCCACAGCCTGTTTCATGCTTAAACTCCTGACGTATCAAGATCATTTTAGGGCATCCAATGTTTGGTATTTTTGGCAACTTCCTGTTCAGATATGCATCTCAGTGGGAGATTTTCTTTGTCAGACATGGAGTTCAAACTCAGTGTACTCCAGCTCACTTTCAATGGGAGGGAGTGGTTCTGGGGAGGGCATGCAGAGGAAGAGGAGGAGATTTTCATAATGGTGGTTGTTCCTGTGTGTACGTCACAATGTTAGTGTGTGAGGATGCTTCTACAATCCAAACACAACAGAAAACACAATACCTTCAGAGCATATCCAGCAAAACTCCGCCCACTCGCTGGCTGTGAATTTTTCTGACTTTTCAGCCCACCTGCTGAAGTCCAAGTTTTCCTGTCACCTTTTCAGATCTGTTATTATGCCAAACAAAAAAAATAATATAGCATCCTGTAGGAACCACCACTTACTGCCTTTTCAGTCTTTTCTCAAGAAGTTTGGAGCTGTAATACAGAACTTTTTAATGTCTATAAAAGAACATTATTAGTTGAACTGATTTACTGTTTTATGTACATTTCTCTGAGGTCTTGCTCTTTCTCTCTGCTCCCTCTCTGCACACCTGGTACTGCTATTTCAAGTGTGCCCTACTTCTTTTTAACCTTGCCTTGTCAGACTTGAGAAAGACCTCAGTTGTATTCAAACAGTTGAACTAAAAGAAATAAGGGGCAAAATTGAGATTCAGGACATAAAATGATCATTTCTAACTGATGGAGCATTAAAGGTCTCAGATAAGAATATCAATATCACCACCTCGATGAGCCCTTTCTATCCAGGGCTTTGATAAAGAGTTTTTGCCCGTGGATCAGTCTCTGCTCATTTATCAATGTTGGATATCTTGTGATGCATCAGTATGAATTTGATTTATGGCAGACTCAGCTCCACTTTCAGTCTTTGAACAGCACACAGTCTGAAAACCAAGTAGGCAAAGGTCACAGAAGGGTTGAATTTAATACTTTATCTATTTGTAGCTGTGTTTCTGTGCTTAAAGTCATTAAATTATACAGAACCATTAACCATTTCCTTTATAAGCCGGCAGCAGGAGCTCTGAAGCACACTGCTTTAAAAGTTATATTAGCCAGGCTGGGAAAGTTTTCTGCTGAGAAGAGAACAGACTCGCTTTTGGACATTTTGAAGCCTGCCAGGAAATTGTCCACTTTTAGCAAGAATTTACCATTGTTTGAGTCCTGGTTTGGCTCAGCAGTTTTAGTGTGCACCCTGTTTAGAGTGACTGTAGTCTCTCTCTAACAGAATTTACTGAGGTTCCTGCAAGTAGAAGAAGTTGGTGGAGGAAGAAGCTATAAACCCTGTTTTTTGGCATTTCCAGAGAGGGCCTAAATTAGGTTACCGAGAGTCGGCCATTGTGTGTATATCTTACTGTATAAGATTAACACCCGTCAGTAAAGTGAAAATCTTTATACACATAGGCTACTGGAACCTCTTTTCTGTTTCATGTGGATTGTATTTTGATTGATACAACTCTAGAGGTGGGACTTGAGTATCGCATCAAATCACATCATATCGTAATGTATCGCATCATATCAAATTGTATGGTATCCTATTGTATCCCATCATATCGTATCGTATGATATCATATTGTATTGTATTGTATTGTTTCGCATCATATCATATTGTATCGCATAATATCGTATCGTATCCCATTATATTGTATAGCATCATATCGTACCGTATCGCATCATATCGTATCATATTGTATCACATCATGGTGTATTGTATCGTTACGCATTGTATCGTTACGTATTGTATCGCATCATATCCCATTATACTGTGTAGCATCATATCGTATTGTATTGTATTGTATTGTATTGTATCGCATCATATTGTACCGCATTATATTGTATCGCATCATATCGTATCATATCCTATTGTACTTTATCGTATTGTATCGTATCGTATAGCATCATAAAGTATTGTATTGTATAATATTGTATAATATTGTATCGTTTCGTATCACTTCACCCTTGTGATTGGAGCAGGGTTCAGTTAGTCATTGGCCCGTCTGAAGTAACTTTGCTCTAACAATGGGCTTGGCCACACCTCATTTTTATGGACTGCAGTCCAATGCATTAACACCAATGCCCCTCACAGAGCACTGACAAATGCATCAGTGCAGAACTGACAATAACAGCGGCGTTGTGTTGTGCTGTCCTCTTTTGTCTTAATAACTCCAGCGCTTAAAAATAAAGCTGATTAAACGAGAGCAAAGCTTTGTTATTGAAGGTCAGGCATTTAATAGACAGTGGCACTCCAAACTCACACACTATGCAGATGTGTTTTCAAGTAGTGATTGGTATTTCAAGCTTTGTAGTTCTTGCTGGTAGTTTGTTGGTACTTAATTTTGTGGCCTCTGAATGTCTTTTGATGATCCATAGATGTTGCAGTGTTTTTGCTTGGGGCAAAGTAAGAGACAGGCAGGTCTGTAGGCAGGGAAAAAAGAAAGGAAAGGAGAGCAGTGTGGTGTGGCAGGAAGCAGGCAGACAGGCAGGGAGTCATGCTGCAGAACTCCAGCCAGACAGGAAGACAAGGTTAGAGGACTGATCTGCTCCCGTTTCATCAAAAAGTCACCAAACCTACCTCTGAAATACATCTATATCCTCTCCATCAATGATAATATGTCAGTTATGAACTTTCATGTGTGTTTATGTATTCAGGACAGCGTCTTCCACCCAGCCTGCTTCCAGACACAAATAGCTGTGTCGTACAAATCGTCCCTTCAGTTAATTAGTATCACAGCCACTTGGGAACGAGTCACACACAGAGCCCTGTCTTGTTTGGCTCAAGAACATTCACAGCCGCTCACAAAGCCTCCTCATTGCACGCTGTCCTTTCCCATTAACTATATAAGAGCTGTGCTCATGGCCCACAGGGGGAAGCCCATCAACTATAATTAAGTACATCCTCACTAAATTAAAGCACTGTTGGGTCTAAGAAGCTGAATTACTCAAAGGATTGGGACTGCTTAATTTTTCTTGGATCTAGATTTTCCTTTTTAGGAAGGCTTTTATCCAACACAGTGTAATATCCTTAAGAGAGATGAGTAAAGCTTTTCTTTTATAAATGATATATTTCATTTGGCTCCATGACACTTTCTTTTATATTATCCTTTTTCCTTGAGCTGCTTTTGTTCAGAGTGTATAACCAACCCAGCAAACCAGTGCCAGGGGTCTGGGACTCTTTTCTGGCTCTGACAGCTCCAAGTTTACAGCCAAGTAATTTTGGGTGTTTGGTTGCCTGGAAGCGTTTGAAAATGTACCATCAAAGCATGGTATTAACTTAATGAACAGGGCTGTTAGAGGCTGTTTTATACTGTCTGACATAAAATTTGTTGTTTGTTAAGGGTGTGTCAGGCAGCAACAAACCTGCACTGAAATGTCAGAGGTGGCGCATGAACACATTGTTGTGTTTTCTCATTGTTCTCTGCTTAATAGGTGGGTTTATATGTATTTAACTGACTCTTAGTGAAATCCTCAACATACACATCAAACAAAATCTCTGGGATTTGCAGTAATTTGGGAAAACAGGTCACATTTAGTCACTTAAATGTAAATCCCAACAACCCACCTAACATGTCTAAAGGTAAGACAACGCTCCAAATTTGAATGTATTCAACACGTCTAACATTAGCAGAGCTAGCACCACCAGCCTCTAGTCCCCTTGGTGGGTTTGGACGTTCACATGCCTGTGCTAGTTATGAACTGTTCTGTATTCAACACAGGCATGTGACCACTCTGGGCAAGTAGTCACATGCCTGTTGAGCCTGACACCGCTTGCATAAAACTTCATCTCCATTTTCTGGATTAAATACTGCCAAAACCTGCTGCACCACAAGATGTTAACTTTCCTGTGCACTTGTGAACATCTGGGTAGATGAGCATTGTTGCATTTGGCGACAGCATAACCATTTTTTGAGGCCTACAACAATTAAAAATGTCAACAGACTGTTTAGCTGACTGGTAAAACCATTTCAAAATGCTGCACAATATATCTTTGATTTGATTGGCTGGTCGTACTATGAGTGCCAATTGATAGCTTTTTCCTCTGGCGAGAGCAACAGCTGACCGATGAAAGCTTAGAAAGTTTGATACAGAGTGAAGACATCATCTCCCAACCTAAATAAATCTTTGTTATTCGAAAATTTAAAGAGGTAAAGTTTGACGGAAATATCAACAGCAAAGGAGATGTGTATGTACAGAAACTTGTTCTTTTCTACGCCTATCCAACATGAGCTCTGTCAGGTTTAGAAATAAAAAAATCATCCGTTTTATAGTCTTGTCCTTGTGGGTCATCATAAAACACAAGATTTATAGTTTGCACAATGCAAAGAAATAAAGGCAAGGCAGCTTTATTTGTACAGCATATTTCATACACTGAGGCAATTCAAAGTGCGTGACAGAGTCAAAAACAAATAAACAAAAGTCAAGAAATAAAACTATAAAGAGGAGGTGTATGGTTGAAGGTGACTCAAGTAGAGTTAAAGACAAACATGGTGGTTTTAAAGTAAAAATAGAGAAATAGAAAAGGCCGAAGAAGCAGTCTAAAGAAAGAATCTGTTTCTTGGCTAAAAGATGGTCAGAGTCACGGCAGTAAACCTGGTGGACTGTTGTAGCGCTAATGATAGACCACTTTATTGAGCCACAGTGTTGCTCGGGTGCGGTGTTTCACTTTATCTTTTTGTAGTCGGTAAACAAGGAATCAGACAATGTTTTTCTTTTCAACTGAGACACCTCTGGGCCATTGTGTCTGAACTGCATCACTGCAGACAGTGGCCTCATTCTGGTGGGATTTAAGCAGGGGGAAATTACCACCACATAACTGAGCATGTTCAGAGTCAATATTCCCATCTCTGCTCTCAGTGCAGACTCTGTTTCCTCTTTCTTCAGTGGTGAATGGACCACGAACAATCCAAGTCTGCAAGGGGATTTAAATGAAGTGTTTCAAAGAATAGCTGATAGAAAAGCAAGCTGTTTAAGGTTGTTCGGTGTACAGCAGCATCATCTCTTTTTTGAAACAGCTCCTTCTCTGCAGGCAGATAAAGGAGTGTGCGCTCACAGACACACACACACTCACAAAAACAACAACGCCCAGTGGGTTTTTATTATTGCCAGCTTCTCGGTTTAATGATGCCAACGCTGCTGCCCTCCCCATCACTTTGAGTCATGGTGTTTTCTCTCGGGGTTACAAACAGTAAACAAACAGTGTTGAACCTTTTCTCCTCCCAAGTTTTCCTGTCTCTGTCTACTCTTACCTTCTCCCATATATCCCCATCCTTGTGTCTGCCTTTTTTCTTCTTACTCTATTGTTCTTGTGGATCCTGTCAGTACTATCAGATTGACAAAAAGCTGATGAGTCCATAGCTATGTGAGGTAAAAGATGGATACCCAAAACAAAATCATTTAATACAAGTAGGGCTGGGTGATCAACATTTACTGATACAGATATTTACGACAATAACCAACGTCATTTTGCCCATGTCAATATATTAGGTGTCAAAAAGATAAATAAATAAAAATTGGTTTTGGATGTGTGTAGGTAGGCTATGGTCTCATGTCCCTTTTAAAGGGATATTCCAGCGTAAAATTAATTTAGGGTCAAACACACTGTGACACCGAGTTAGACACCCCCTCGAGAGATGAATGTTGCCGACCGCTTGCTTCTCTAGTTAAACCAACTTTAGTAAGGTAGGGATGGGTGATATGGATTTGACGCCATATCGCCCAGCCCTACATACAATCCTGATTTTTTCAGCATTTAATTGATTGAATTGAAGCTTTAATTTTCTGTAAATAAATGTTATCATGTGGTGTGGCTATTTCATGAACACAGAGTCATTTAAACTACATGTATCACTCAGGAAACAAATGTGTCCATCCCTCCTCTTCCTCTGTACAAAGTCTGCAGCAAAAGCACGATAGACCAGCAGAAGTGAATCCCACTCAGCAAATGGGTGTGGAGTCGTCAGTGATGACAGGCTGCAGCTACCTGCTGCTGATGTTATTGACACCTTTCTGTTGTGGGACTGTTGTTCGGCTCAACCTGCTCAGTCAGCAGAAAAAACTTTAGTGAGTCAGCAAAACTCGCAGCAGCACTGACAGACTGTCCAGTCAGCCTACTGGGTGGCTGCTGATTTACTGTCTGATGGATGGGTAGATTGCTTTCAGCTTTTCTATACAAGGAGTAACATTGTGCAGCGAACAGAGTTAGAACCTATTTAACATGAACGATTCTTTTGCAGCACGTCGTAACTGTAGTAAGAGGGAAAGAAAAACCTGATTTATGTGCGATGAGTATCAATGCACAATATAATCAGGATCATCTCAGCACTGACAGATAATAGATTTAAAAGTTAACTATCGGTATTTAAAAACTTCTGCAATAATGTCCTTTTGAGAAAACTTTGTACCGTCATTAAAGTACAAACTAACATTTTGACACCTCTGGGAGTTTATATTTGTACATGCTTGATTCAAGTGCATCCAACTTTAAAGCGTCTTTGTTTGAAGAGCTTCAAATGAAATGTGCAAACTTAAAGCTCCTGTGAGGATTTTTTTTTATATTTATGAAACCGACAAATTAATTTCCTTGATATTCAAAAGCACCCAAAGACCAACAGCAACAAGACTGATGAATTTTATTTACTAATCTTTAATGCCAGGAAACAATGTGAAGGGGAACATGTCAGCCAAGCAGCTGAAAATACATCTCTGTTTTTACAATTTTTCTACTTGATAAATTCATAATAAATGAGAAGTTTGACTGTCAAAGGTCAGCTGGATTAGATTTAGTTCAGTCCACAGAGTGTGCATGACAAAAGTGGCACAAACTCAAAGTTCCTTACTGGAGCTTTAAGTCTTACATTAGATTTTATACTTTTGTACAATCACAACATTTCTGTGAACATATGATGCTGATATATATAAAGCACACTCGTATTACTATAAATATTAAGGCTGAAGATGCACGTTTAAGTAAATGTCTGTTGTGCTTGCGGCATTTAGCACAACAATGACTTGGTAGAATTGGAATATAATGTTCATAAATATATTTCAATGAGAGTAAATAACCCAAATAAAAATCATTTGTTTTTGTTTACTTCAAATGAGTCTTTTATGTTATCGCAGGAGTGGGTCCACATACATGGTGACCTCCATCTTGCACTGCCGCATTTCCATTTTAGCACAGAGCAGACAGTAGTAGCAAATGCGTTTCTTTTTAGTGAGTGGCTGTGAAAAACGCGCTTCTTTCTAGCTAGATTAAAAGAAGAGGAGAGTAGTAGTCATTTGAATTGATGCGTGATAAACTTGACAAAAGGACAACCATATTCATCATCGATCAGGAACTTCATGTTCTCAAAGGTCACTGTTGTTGAGTAAAGAAGCATTTCAGAGCAGAACCTGACCACAAGGCATTGCTAAATATTCCTATTTCTACACACTGACTGTACCTTTTAAAAAACAGTCTTAAAGAAGAATGAACGCCTCTAAAGTTAACATGCTAACAGTGTTGTGTTCGCAGTAGAACTATGCTTCTTCAAAAGTACATAAACAACTTAGAAATCCTACACTGAACTATAGAACAGGCTTCTATGCTCTGTTTCCTCTACGTAAAGGAAAGCATAGTTCCTCCTTTATCCAGCTGGTCTTTAGTCTTTTGTTGTGCTCAGCTCTCCTCAGCTCACACTTTCAGTTTCATATAACTAAGGAGCTGTATTACAGAGCAGGAATGTGCTCAGACACTAGATCCACTCTCAGACACTCTGTAAAGACAGATTTCACAAAGAGCCAGAACTCAGACTGCCAAAGAATGAAGGATTGTATTTAAGAGTCTAACCTAAGCAGAGCATTACTCGACTTTTTGGATACAAAAGATGTCGTGACTGGTGTGAAAAAAAACCTCAAACAAAGGAAGAAAGTTTTCGTTTGTGGTTAGGTGAGAGCGCAGACTGATGCATGATACTGATGACCAAACTCTGACAGATTAATAAATCTCTCTAACTTTTGTGTACCAAGCAAACAGCCAAACAAGTTGCACCAGTTCTCTCGAATGCCCTTCTTTTGAATGTCGAGGTGCAGCGGCAGTTTACTCATTTGGTTCAGATATGTCTGAGCTTGTTTCTGCACATGCGATCTTCTTTCCGCACGCCTTACAACACCTTTTCTTTGCAGTCACACCTACAGGCCCTCTTGAAATTTTAAACACATTTTCATAACTCCTGTGTAGGTGAAATCTGTCCTCAGCTGTTTCTAAATACCACATAACAAGACTCCTGACTGCTCACTGAGTTTTTCCCTTTCAGATGTAGGAGGGTTCATGCTGGTAGTGTATGATTGAAAGAGGCGGCTGTCAGTCACTTCGTATTCGCTGTAGACTTCAGATGTCAGTGAGAAAAGCAAAATTTGTAGGTGTATGTTGGTGTCTCAAGGTGCCTGTTTCACCACCTTTAGGAATAACAGATGTTTTTTTTTTCACCTACAATCTTTTTTGATCAAATTTTAAAACAACTTAAATGTTTTGTTGCTTGGAGCCTTCAGCGCAGATCCCTTGTTGCCTTCCAGCCTCTCGCTCCGTCTGTTATTTGTGGTTGACTTCACATCTGAGAGATTAAAGGAAACAATGCAGATGAATGTCTTTTATTTGCTGTTGTGAAGCAGCTGTGAAGCTCACCCTGCAGCCCAGAGTTTAGTTCATCCCAGGTTTTCTCACCGCCATTAATTAGTTTCATACGGGCCTGAGGGGAAGTCTGAAGACGAGTCCAATTAGAATCAAGTGAGACCACTTAGATGAACCAAACTCTTGTGAGGTGTCAAGCACAACCAGGCACACACCCTCACATAAATTAAACAGAATAAGATGGAAAGAAGTGACGTCCGCCTTAAACAGAAGACGATAAAGTTGTCTGAAACCCTGTGAGCTGAAGATTCATAAATCTGGGCTGAGACATGCGGGCCTTGTTCAGTTTTAAACGTCCCCGCAGTAAAGCTTTTAAAACCTCTGTGTTATTACAAGAATATCCTCTCTTACATCTTACAGCAGCAGCTCTGAAGCTCTCTGAGCAGCAGTATAGACAACTTAATGCTGAGGATCCATAAACTGTGCTGTGTTGGACAGATTTTGCTTTCAGTCGAAATTATGAAGCCTGTCGAGTAAGACAGTTGAGTTTTCTTTCCTACACCTTCTTCACTTTTAGACTTTTGTACTAATTGCCTGTAGATAAAACCGTATAATCAAAATCTCTATAAAAATGTCATGTCCAATAAAATGTTTCTGTTCTGTTTAATAGACCAAACTGTTTAATCACACTTTTGACAACGCCTGCTGCTTAGATGAGGTCTAATAAACCGAGCAGACGGCCAACAGATGCCAAATAAATCCACTTTATTTTAAAATGTTACCCAACTTTACCTCATTTTTTACAGTTTTTTTTATTTTTTATTCTTTCAACAAGAAGAAACAGAACCACAAATCAGGAATAAAGCTTTTAGACTATAAACCGTCTTAAACCCTTTTTACATTTCTGGTTTTTTATACTGTTTAATACTCTGACGCAGGTGTTGTCTGAAACTGTCAGACACGCCACAGAAATAAACCAGAGCAACAGAGTAGCTCCAGGTAAAAAAGAGGAGTTACTGTAGTCAAAGCCATCACAGATTTTCTGTTTTTGACAGATTTACCTTCATTTACCAAAACCTGCAGTATTCATTTATTCATATTTCTCTCATATATATTTTATTCTAAAAAAGTTTGTAAAATGATGATGTGATCACTGGTTTATGTTTGTGATTGGTCATATGTTGCTGAATTTGCTGCATCCATGTGAAAGTGCTCACAGTAACTCTTGGTTGGATTATCATGCAGAATAGAAAACAGGCTGTTTGAGACTGACCTGTTATCAGAACATGCCTTGAGTAGGGCTGGGCGATATGGCCTCAAATCAATATCACGATATATTGAGCAGTTCACCTCGATAATGATAAATAGACGATAACTACTCCACAAGCTGCTCACCCCCTCCCACATTAACTTTGTCTACTTCAGCTGCCGCTCCGGCCACTACAACTTTTGAACCGTCCTCCGTCTCCTCGCCTGTCTTTCCCTCTTTGACACGGACTGGATGGGGTGGAGTCACGTCACTGATGTAGGACAGCATCTTAAAGGGACATGAGACCATAGCCTACCTACACACATCCAAAACACACTTTCATTTATTTATCTTTTTGACACTGAAAATACCGATATGGGCAAAATGACGTCGGTAATTGTTGTAAATTTCGGTATCAGTAAATTTTCGGTTTATCGCCCAGCCCTACTGACATGTATCCTCTGTTTTTTTGACTTGAAACGAAACCTGTTTAACCTCCAGGTTGTTACTATATAATGGATTTTAAGTTGCTGATCAATCTAGAAGCTGTGAATCGATTATAAGTCATTATATACCTTAAGCAACTGCAATGGGTAATGTTGGAGGAATTTGGTGAATTTTAAGTGGTTAGATCTGAATATTTAAGGGAAGTACTGGAGTAAACCTGGAGTGTCTCCTCCATTGAAAAGTCCTGAAAGAACTGACCCTTGGCTGAACTCACTTGCTGACCCAGGCTAATGTGTTTTTTCCTTTAGTGGGACTTGGATTCGTGTTATCGGCCCTTTATGGGTGTATAGCTTGAACAATTGATACACTGCAAATGTTTTGTGTTTTGTTTTAGTTTTCTTTGAGTGTGAAGCTCAACCCACCTGCTTTTTTAAGTTTAAATGCCCCTCAGCAGCGAGGTAACGGTGAAAACAATCTGAGGAAGGAAAAGAGAAACGGGGATCCCAGCCCTTACACAGTCCGATGCTGGTGTTTGATTTACTGAGATAAAATGATAATTTCCCTGCTGCTAACCAACCCCCTTAACAAATTTCAGCAGATCCCCCGCAGCTCTCAGCAGTCTCCAGAAGTCTCAGTCTTCATGAGAAAGTTGTACAGATTTTACACCTCCCATAAACCCCCTCCATCCCTCTCTTCTCCTCTCCCATCATCCCCTCATTGTGATGGTAATGGACTCCATCGTGCGTGACCAAAACGGTCAACTTAATTGATGAAAAAGAGATCACCAAGAGTGGAGAGAAGGGGGTTTGCATAAATCAGACATGAGGGATTTTCTTCTCACTGAGGACTTAAAGAACACACCATGATGAAACCTGAAGAAGACTGACAGGAGGTTTCATGTCATGTTACCCTTAGATTGTTGGGCATGACTCAGCATGTTCAAGTATCAGCTCACAGATGTTGCTCAATCAAAGGCCTGCACACTTAAACATGCACAAGGTTAGTTCTGGATCATTCCAAGTGAAGGAGGACTTGTCGGCGTGTTAATGCACATTAATTTTTGCTGCACCTGCTTGTCTGAGGAGGCATGTGTTCCCAAACAATGAGACGCTCTTCTTTCTTCTTCAAAAGGGTGATACATTTTTTATGTAGGTCAGCTATGAATCTGCAATCAGCACTTTTTTTTTTTAAGAAGGTCTTTGGGACACTTTGATCTATAGTTATGATACTTACTCCGACAGGGTAAGTCTAGAGCAGCCTGTCAAGGAGCTGGACCAAGCCTGGGTCAGCAGCCACAACTATGAACTTAATCAAAAACTACTTCTGCTGCTTTTAGAGACCTTTGGCATCACAAGCAGACTTGCATTCTGGGAGCATAATGTTTAAGAGAGGTGAATAAGGCACCAGGAGCTCTCTAAGACATGATGGTGCCTGAATATTAAGAGCTTAGTAAGTAAAGAGTGAAGGGTTTTAAATTCTCTTAATGCTGCAGTAAAGTTAAAGCACTCTGCCTTAAAGACCCACTCCGAAGCAAATGATGTTTTTCTTGTTTTTTTACATGTTCGTATGGCATTTTTCTAATACTGCAGGACATATCATGAAAAAATGTAAGTGCTAAATTGCATTTCTGAGTATTTTTGCATTCCAATCGCTGTGAACCTCTGGCAGACCCAAACAGCAGGTTCAGATCATAGACTGTATACAGAATGGACAGCGTCTGTCTCCTCGCTGGGTGAAGCCAACCCGAGAACAGCACCCTCTGGTGACGGGCTGCAGTATAGGTCAACGTTTTTTATCGAAAATTTAATTATCACGATTTAAAGACCACTGGGAACACTTTAAGTATATATTTAAAAAAATCAGTGTGGGACTTTAAAAAGATCTTTGCTTTTTTGATATTTATTAAAGGTTATTATTGACTTATTCTATTAATACTGTTTTTAAATGGGCAACCTCTTACCATGTATAGGTGACAGACTTGCCTGCTAGCAGTGCCAGACAGGTGCTGCTGTGGAGAAGCAGGTGTGTATTGTGTGGGTTTTTCATACTCAGACTGGCAGCTCAGCTTTCTGCTGCGAGGGTAGAGTTTCAACAAAAGCTCCTGTCAGGGAGAACTCTATACCGCCTGCATGACACTCTGAATACTGTGGAGAAAATAATAACACCTGTTGACATTATAAAAAAAAAAAACACAATTGTTCATCAGGAAGGAGAGGAAACAGTCAGTAACACTCGCAAGACTGACTAGAACTGATAGTGGGTATAACTGAGCCAAACAGTAATTATTAAGGTTTTATCTTAATGAGATCTTAGCTGTATTATCAACATGATAACACATGCATGCACTAGTTTTAGGGCCACTTTACACAAACACTAACACATGTTGTCTCAAATGAAATTCGTGTTTAATAAGATCTGAGATAATATTTCTGTACATACTCTGACAGGATTGCCTGAAGCTTATTTATCTTGTGTTGCTTTAAACATAAAATGTGACATTTTAAAAACTCCTTCAGATGATCTCCTACAGCTGTGATCAAAAATGAAGTGTGTTGTTTGGGATTAAGATAGACTGTAATTAAGGCTGACCTTTCGAACACAGCTGATTTGACATTTAGTCTCAGTAGCCCCCAAAGTTGTTTTGTTTGTTTTTTAATAACTGTGGGCAAAATGCAGAGAGGCAGTTGTGTTTATATTTGATCCGATGGGAGGTAAAGATGACATTTATCTACTGTTTACAGATCCTTCAATAGTTTTCTTCAACAATAGCAGACCTGGAAAAGCTCGGATGTTAAGTTTTATCTTCTTCTGTCTCTTCGGTTTGACCCAAAATTGAGAAATATTCGCCTTGCAAACACATAGAAGAAGACAAGGAGCAGTTTTGTGAAAAGACAAACAATCACTTGACTATTATTAAAACCTTTTAGCCTACTTGACCAGCTTCTTAATCAAGTAATCATTTTATCTGGTCTAATCACACACAGATTCAAGCCTAAAAAACTGTGTGGTGGCACAAAACGTCACCCTAAAATAGTCTTTCTTAAAGTTTTGAAGCACTGGTTTTTAAAGGATGAGGCTCAGTGAAGTCAATTTCATCAGCCAACGTCATGAAACTCACTCGTTTCCTGAGACTCCCCCCAGATTTCCAGTTTCACTTCTGCATTCTAGTAGTCCAGGTTTGTCCGACCGTATCTCTGCCCTGTGTGCTCAAAATGTATAAGTGAGTGAGTGTGTTTGTTTGCTTGTCTGGTTTTGGGTGACCCTTCTTTAGCATTCCAGCCATTCCCCCGCTACCTGGGAACTGGTCTGTTCTCCTCCGTCTGGGTATTTTTAGGTCCCGAGAAGCAGCTGTCTGTGTCTCCGTCTGCACACACAGCCGGCCGTCTGTTGACTTAAGAATGTGGTGAGGCTGGAGAAATGACACAGGCTATTCGGGATGATGCTGCCTCAGTCAGCATCTGTCAGGATTATAGAGTTTCAAGCGAACACAAATATAGTTTAGTGTGATTATGTCTGTGAGGTGTGAGGTGATGCTGTAGTCTGTGGTAAATACGCTTAAAGCTGCAAGGTTGGCAACTTTTCTCTCAACAGCATCTCTGCACTCTGTGGTTTTCTCACATTTTGTCCTGAGTCATGTTCGCCTTGAGGTTTTGTGCTCGACAGATGAACAACAATGAGGAAAGTTTTCAGGGAGTGCAGCAGCAGTTCAGAGGTGGGTGTACAGTAATTGAACCTAACAGTGAAACATCAGCAAAAACAAACTTCTTTCAGGTTTGTCCCTCAAACTTAAAGCCCCTGTGAGGATTTTCAAACTGGTTCTGAAACAGACTGAAATTAATACTGATGCCTCTATATCCTATAAAAGCAGAGGCAATTTTTCATGTCTGTTACTGCGGCCTCTGGGTAGATGTCAGATAAGGAGGTTGATATCCTGCTGCAGAAACAGTCTTAGTTTTACATTTTCCTCTGGAAAGGTTTACGCGAGGGATGTTTTTGACTTTTGATGGACAACAACATGTATTTGTTTGACAAAACTACTAATGCTGGATGAGGACAACATCGGTAAAGACATTATATGTACCACTTTGTCCAAAAGACACCCAAACCGATAGATAAATGAAAATTCCCTACAGCAGGTAACATCAGGACCTGTCCATTTGGTTCGAGCCAACAAATAACCATGTTTTTTGTAATTTATTATACACCAAAACAAGGGTCATAATTTGGTTTTACAAGATAGGGGTATGAGTACATAACCAGAAGACAACTGGTGTTAATATAGAAACAAGACTGTATACAAGACTTGCTAAATAAGCTCATTAATTTGTGAAGTTTCCGGTGATGGATTGATCACTACACCACCTTTATATAGTCACAGGGTGTCTGTCACAGTCACTGAGTGATGAATAAAAATAAAACAAACTGTGTTTTACCAGATCTGCTGTAAACGAAAAAACAAAACTTTTAATATCGTTCGCTGGACATGACCGTCATATGTTACATCTAAGCTGTAGTGCAGCCATCTGCCACTCGACGGGGCTGTAGCTCCAGTTCTTTGTTATTTCTGTAATGTTGTAATGCTGTACGACGCTGATGTAAACAACACTTAGGATTGGTGGCACCGCAGAACTTTGATGAAAGAGACTTGGTGAAAGTGGCACATTCATGTGGATGTTTATCTGAAAGGAGGATTAAAGGTGGGTGGTGCTAGCTCTGCTAACATTTGCCACACATGATAAAACAGATTCTATGATCATGTGTCAAATAAGTGTTGACATTTTCAGAGTGTTTTCTTCCTTTAGACAGCCAGGTAGAGGGCGCTGACGGTCCAGCAGCTCAAGTTCAGCATGTACAGAGACTGTCGTCCTCATGGCCGTTGTTACTGGTTCAATTCAGGTCCCCCATCGATCCTCTGCTGTGTGTTTTCTGCTCCACCAAAAAATGCCCAAAATACAACTTGAAGACTCGTCAGTTTTAACGATTTAGATTGAACTTTGGTGGGTTTGTCAAGGGGTCAACTACACTGATGTGCATCTAAACCCTGATGTATTAAACAAGCAGAGTGCATTTATCACTGATGTCCTCCCTCTCTCTAATCTCTTGCCTGCAGTTCATCAAATCGTCTCCAACTCTGTGCACTTCACCCACATTGGTTTTTACATCATTTCCAAGTGTTTGTTGAATGTTGTTTATGTGACTGATGGTGAAATGTTTCCACTGATAAATTAAGTTTGAGACAAATGTGATATCCCTGAGCAGAAACATTAAACAACATCACTTTTGAGCTTTCTTATGCTGGATCTCCTTCGGGTGCTAACAGACGGCGTGTATGTGTGTGTTTTTTACGCCTTGGCAGGGGGAGAAGAATGCCGGCTTCGATGTGCTCTACCATAACATGAAGCATGGCCAACTGGCAACCAAGGAGCTTGCCGAGTTTGTCCGTGAGAGGTAAGGTTTGTGTGTATTTGTGAATATCTGTGTGGGAGGTGACACCGGTGGTGGGGCTCGGATGGAGAAATTCAACATTCTGGACTGGTGCTTGTAAAAGAGAAAAAAACGCTAGTTTGTGCCAAGGTTGGGCAAAAAGCTTCAAAGGGAAAAAGATCTTTTCTGTATTTCGTCTCTCACTTTTTCTAACAAGGTGTTCATGATTAATTCATATTCAGTCCTGAATGCAGACCTGCAGATTTTAGTGAGAACTCTTTAACAAGTCTGTCTTTGTTACAAATGCTCCGTCTTCTCTCTTTGCTCTGATCTCTGACCTCAGTCCTCACTACTGTGCTACTTTTCAGAGCACCATCTTTAAAAACTCACACACACACAGATCTCACTGAATAGCAGGATTATTTCTGAGCTTACTGCAGTACAGGAATATATCTCCCCTCCACGTTTCTGACTGCTGGTTTTAAAAGAGCTGCGAAACGGGAGGATATCTGTCAGGACTCTCTGGTTGGGATAAATATCTTTTTTCGTGTTCCCTGTTAAGAGCTAAGATGACTCATAGCTGGAGCCCTTTTTCTCGCCTGTGATTGTTTTAAAACTTTCTTGGTTCAATGTTCAGTTCAAAAAACAAATTGTGCACATAAGTGCACATTAAGAGCTGTTATGCAGTGGGTAATGACAAATCTCAAAGTAGATTTTATCAGAGAACAAGCCTTAAACTCTCACCTAGAGTCTCAGGATGGAAGTAATAAGAAAGCTAGAATCTCCTCTGCTAAGCTTTCCACAGAAACGGAGTCTAAATAATGACAGCTTTTAACTTAAACGTACGTTAGTAAATAAAAGGGGGAAAAAAGACTTAAAAATCCCACAACTTTACTAACTTTGAACCTCCAGTGTTAACATGTTAAAGTGGGATGTGTTTGAAGATTTAGATTGTGTGAAAATCTTAATTTAAAGACTGAGTTTTCGATTTCAGGCCTCTAAAAAGACTTTAAATGAGCTACTATTATGTATACAGCTGGCGCAAACTACTTAGTCTTGCAATGTAGCATTACCTCTAAGATCAAGACGCACATGATAACTTTACCAGGCTGTCATATAATAGGGGGCATAGGTCCCTTATTTACTTTCAGTCACACCCTTCTGCTCCATATTTACTCATTTTTTGTCCTCTTTGACTTTACTATCAAATTCAACCAAATAAAATGATGCTTGAGCTGATTAATACTCTAATGTCGAATTTATTCATAATGTACTTGTAATGAAGAGGCTGTTTTTTTGATAATATTAGATCAGAGTTGACTTATTTCTGTTTTTTTCATAGCTGATGATAGAGTGATTTATGAATTTCATGGTGAAAAATTTTATCAAACAGCTCCACTTTCACAATGAAATAATAAAATTAGCAACATAAAATAGTTCCCACTTTGTCCACAGGGGGCGCCAAAATCAATACAGACAGAAAGTTCCTCACAGGAGCTTTAATGTAGAATAAAATAAGCCTCCTGGATACATTAGGAAATCAATGAGAGGGTTTATTTTCAATCACTTTAATTTGATAAATAAAAGTCATAAATCTGCATCCGTCATTGTTGAGGAATAGGCTGAAAGCTTGACAGGAAAACCAGCAGCAGGGCAGAGGCCACTCAATTACCTCATTAAAATTGTCCGCACTCAGTGGCTAATTTGTTTTATTAAGCGCTTTGTCCTCCAATTAGTGATAAGCAGTGAGTGAAGTGAGGCAGGTAATGAGTTTCCCACAGGAGTTTGTGCGCTCACAGCTGGAAGTTTACACACACGCACACACACACATACACACATGCACAGAGTGAGACCCGTGATACAATCCTGACATTAATTCGGACCGCTTGTGCACATTCCTCTCAGAGGGAAATTCACTTATCTCCTGGGACAGAAACAGACAACAAATCAGCAGCTTGAAAATGAAGTAAGGGCATTATGGGTAAAATAATGTGTGATCCTGCCGGACGGAGCAAAGGTCGTTGAGTTGATGATTGTCCTCAGTCTTTCTTTGGCTTAGCGTGTAGAGAAGGTTCTTTAGATTTAAGACACGTCAGCTTTAAGCTTTATTTTATTAACGTTGGATCATTAAAACATCAGAAATCAAGTTTAACTGAAAGACTGAGTTTAGAGTGAAAATATTTAATGTACTAACAGGAAAAAAAAACAGTGTTTTATACTGAACATGTTGGTAATTTTTATGCAGTTAATACTAAAGAAAAGAAATTCTTACACCGTCTCTTACAATGTGAAATTAGTTGAGCTGAAGTCTCTAATTCGACGGTAAAATTCGTCAGGGCTAAGTTTTGGAAAACAAAACATAAAATTTATCGACCTGGACTTCAATAAGTTACTTCCAACACTGTAGACCATTTCCAGACATCTGGCAGACTTTATATCTTGTCAATTTTTAGAAAAACTTAACTTTGGGGAAACACAAAAGAAACGGATCCTTGTTTTTTAACAATAAACACTATGGTACTTGAATGCCATGCAGATAAAGAATTTGTCGTTAGATTGCTTGAATCAAGTTAAATCACTGTTTGATGTGATAATCTGTCATTAGATGCAGAACTGAATAAGCTAAAGTTATAATATGTGTAACTGCTTTAATTATATTGGGGCGCATATTTAGTCTCTTTAACTGTAAATTTGCACAGAAGGTAAAACAGAGCAGTACTGCTGTTGACAGATTGTTAAACAATTACTTAAAAGTGCTTCAAGGCTAGAAAGAAAACTTTGAATTGTGATGACAACTCTGTAGTTTCACCACTACCACTGATTTAAGCCACTCTGGATGCAAATGTTGTTTTAAAACCCTCGTGTTTAGACTCACTTTTTTTTTGGTTTGTTTGTTTGTTGAAAATGAAAAATATAATATTTGTTAGGCTCTTTCTGAGACAGGACTTTAAGCACCAGTAGAGCTGCAGCATCACTTTTAAAGATGGATCGGGTTCGAGGGTGTTTGTTTACGACTTTCAGTCACAAGTTGTTCAGTCCTCCCTCAGGACATTTGGATCAATGTTTCTTGCTTCTTTCTCTTCAGGGTCTACAGATGGATATTAAAGTTTTATGCTCAGCCTTGGAAAACTAGTCCATTCATCATTTACATGTGGCTTATTGCAACATTTTCCCCAGACAGATGAAAATCAGTCTTTACTTTCAGGCTCAGTCTGGAGTTTGGAGGACAGAAAGCACCAGACAGAGAAAATAATGTATGAGGCCATTAGCAGAGGCAGTGCTGTTATGAGATAGCACTATTGGAGTGCATTAAACTCACTGGTCCAAAGTCTATTTAGAGAATTAGCATTTTAAGTAATGACCATAACATCACTCTTCCTCTGGATTACTGTAAATTTAGCCTCTAGTAAACAGGTAAAAAAAAAAAAAGTCAGTGAAGTAGGTCTATAAAATGTCCTGTTTTAAAGTCAGTATATTCTCATACTGTCTCTGCTTATTGCAGTGCTGCTGTCGAAGAGACCTACTCCAAATCGATGAGCAAACTGGCCAAGATGGCCAGCAATGGAAGTCCACAGGGGTGAGTACAGTCATGTTCACCAGGAACAGCACCGCAGCTTCACCCACCAGCTGCTGGTTTTTGTCTTTCAGCTCACTGGATCTGAAACTATAGGACTGGGGAATGTTTGCTTCTGTGATTACTCTACATATGGCTACACATGATATATGAATGAGTGCCATCTGCATCGCCCAAATGTCTCCATTTATCATTCAAATTATTCCCGTATGTTATCTGTTGTGTGATTAATTTTCTGTGAGACAGTGTGTTTTAAGTGATGACTTGATAATCAGAAAATGTGCTGAATCACTGCAGTGAGTGATTGAATAACAACCATCATGAAAACGTTTCTGCAGTCACAAAGTTTAATATTTTATGGTTGTTGTTTTTTAACTCAGGCAGTTGAAAGAAGTTGATAAAGATTTCATGTATTTAATCCCAGTCAGTTTTTAGATGATGTGATGCCAGCTGTGTGCTTGTTGAGAGTAAATTAAATCAGAGCATATTGCAGTTGGAGTTTATGATCCCGTCCAATTTAGTTGCCTCTGTAATTTCTTACTGTTTAAAATTGTAGAAAAAGATTAGCTGTTCCCATACTTTTTTTTAAATTGTTATTACTCGTCCATAAAGAAGTATTCACCTTAGGGGTGTCCCAATACGATATTGATATCGGTCTGATATTGGAAAAAAAACAAATAACAGATTATATCGGCCTGCATCTAAAATCTCTGATATCAGCACTCTGATACAAACAGTCCATTCCAGACTCCGCTCCGGCACCTCTGTCTAGCAGCACCAGGATCCAGCATGTAGAGCCCATGTGATCACAACAACAGTGTTTACTAAGGTACTAACAAAGTAGCAAGAAGAAGGAGTGGCGTCAGCTGTGTGGCAGTATTTTTTCATTAAAGTCCGAAAAAGATGTTGCAGCTGAGTGCAAAACTCGTCAAGCACAAGTTTGTTCCAAAATCGGATCAATATTGGTATCGACCAATACTGAAGGCTACAATATCGGTATCATATCGAAAGTCAAAAAGTTGTATCGGGACACTCCTTATTCTCCTGTTCGACCACTGTGTTGTTCAACCAAGGTGTTAAAGCTTTTAGCAAGACAGTTTTGTTGAGTTTTTAAAACATATTTTGGGAGTTTCTTTTTTCAAAAACATACCCACAAACGTTTGATGAAGACCAAGTTTGAACACAGCAGTTTTGTGTGTGTGTATTTAATATTTATGTTGTGTTTTTTCACAGGACTTTTGCTCCGATGTGGGATGTGTTCAGAGTCTCTTCGGACAAACTGGCCCTCTGCCACCTCGAGCTGATGAGGAAGATGAACGATCTTATCCGAGACATCAACAAGTACGGAGACGAGCAGGTCAAAATCCACCGCAAGGTACATACATACCTGGATAAAAGGGGGTTAATGTTTTTAGCTGTAACTCTGAGAACAAACTTGCAGATTATCGCCCCTGTCTGTTCCTCCTGGACATAGACTTGTATAGTTTCTCATTACTTGCCCTTCATTGAGCCTCTGTCATCCTGATCTAATTTATCTCACACAAAATCCAATTACTGTCTCCCCCCTTCACAGTAATTGGTGCGGTTTCCCTGAAAGTATCAAGTACAATAATGGTCTGTACAGTATGTCCAAGTGTTTTTGTGTGTGTGTTTGTGTGTGTGTGTGTGTGTGTGTGTGACACAGACAAAGGAGGAGATGGTGGGAACAGTGGAGGCGGTGCAGGCACTGCAGGTTCAGAGCAGTCACCTTCAAAAGTCAAAGGAAGGATACCACGCCAAATGTTTGGAGCTGGACCGGCTCAGGAAGGAAGGAGCACCGCAGAAAGAACTGGAGAAAGTTAGCCAACACTTGTACTTTTCTTTTTTCTGTTCTGCTTCATCTAAGTTAGTCAAATGTCCTTAATAGATAAAGGCTGGTTCACACAAATCAGAAAAAGAGGGACACAGTGTTGTGAAAAGTTTCCCTCCTGAGGCTTTTCTTTCATAAAAAGGCCCCAGTTTTTTTTTCCCGGTAATAAGAACTACTCTGTTCTGTTCAGTATTGATTCAGTGAAGTATTCATTTGTATGTCAGGTTTGTGAATGAGAGTGCACGGCTTAAGGCCTCTAATCACCTCTACCTTTCATTCCTCACTAGGCGGAGCTGAAGTCTAAGAAAGCAGCTGAGTCGTTCGCGTTGTGCATCGAGAAGTACAACCGCGTAGGAGGAGAGTTTGAGCAGAAGATGAGCGAGTCGGCCCAGGTCAGCCGAGCAGAGGGCCACTTCTTTTCTCTCCCACCCTCTAATGTGCTGTTGATGAGCAGTTCTTCTTCTCGAGGGCTTTATCTTTTCTTTTTATCCCTGTGACTCACTCTCTCTTTTTAACCTCTCATCACACAAAAACTCCATCTCATCCTTTCATTTATTATCCTGCATCATGCCTTCAACAAAAATAGAGACCTTAACACCCAACTCCTCAAACACCCACCAACTCATGCACACACGCACTTCCTGCCCCCCACACCTAATACCTTTAATTACTGCCTCCACAGTACCATGGTTACCGCTGCTGTTACCATGGAAATCTACAACAAACCCCAATGAGTACTTCTGCGTTTTACATTTGAAATCCTTGGGATCAATTATCTCTGTTGATAGACCTGAGGGAGTAGACCTGGGCTTTGTTTTGGGGGGTGCGGGGTGCAGCGTGTGCTACCTGGGAAAGAGAAAATGTCAAAGGATCAAAGCAGGGATGGAGATCAAATGAACAACAAATCAATAAATAAGAGACAATAAGGCTTTTTATCACATGAGGAGAACACAGGAAATATTCTCAGAAAGTGCTTTCACACCTGTCGCAGGATTTATTTACTCTGACTTTATTTAATCTAAGAGGAATAAAGAGGTATATTTGACACAAATGGACACAAACGTACATGAAAGCTGAGGATAGTTTCGATGTCGCTGTCACCCTTGACTCATTTTACAGATTTTCTTTTTGAGAAATTTGTGTTAAAAATATAAAAAAGTTCCATTTGCTGATAAATCATGTATTCTTAAATCAAGTGGTACTTCAAAGTTTCTGCATTAACCAGTATATTATATTGTTATTGTTTTAATGAATAAACATAGGACACATTCTCATTCAGAGGGTTTAATCTGGATTAAAAGAGTCTGGATTTAGGAGTTCTCTCTTGTTTTATCCCAAATCAGATGATTCCGTTTATTTCAAAGAAAAATGAAGAGTATCCACAACCAATTTTTTCAGATCAGCAAAATCCTGCGTAAGCCATGATACAGGACAGCAGGTCGTCTTAATTTGATATTATGCTTTACTCAGGACACTACTGTCATGTTAGTGAGCTGTTAAAGTACGCCACCTCTGGTAAGTAATGCTTCCCAGTCCGCTCTCCTCATTAGTTATTGCAGGTATTCAGTCAGAGGCAGTCCAACCTATGAGCATAAATATCAAAGATGTTTCAGAGATATTTATGATTTCAGGTCAGGTGGACTCTGACTTGTCTGTGTGCAGGAAAATATTTGTATTGACGCCACATACTGGAGGATTACTGAGACAAATAATCAGTTCTGACAACTCTTAAACAGGGCCATAGAATTTCTGCCACAATAACAGCAATTTAAGTGCATAAAATTAGACAAATGTGCCAAGTAAGCCAAATTAAAATGATAAAATGTTTTGCTGCAGCCCTCTTATCTGGTCATGGTAATCAAAGTTCTCCCAGTCCTGCTCAAAAGTTTGGAGCAACACGAACTGGAGGATTTACTCAGATATAAACCAAGATTAAATCTCATGATCCAATCTGACTTTTTAATCCTTTTTGAAAAAGCCTGTTTTTCAGATTTGATCTCATGTTATATCTCTAATCCAATCAGATCAATTTGGAACGACTCACCACAAACTTCAACTTGTTTTAGCTCTTAAATACACCCCTCTGGTTGATTCAATTTTATTCCCACCAATCCCAAACAAGTCTACTGAGAAGTAAAAACAGACTAGGTACAGGCTGTACTCACGGTCAGATCTAATAAGAGTAAAGATATGTGATAATATCAGAGATGGGAATGATATTCTAAACCAAAGACCAACATCGGCAGCAAATAAGGAGTCAGGAGCAAGTTCAGTGTTTGTTCTCTTTACCCAGAATTGATTGGAAAGCACGCGCTGGCAAAACTCAGCTCACGAACTGAAGTCTCAAACAAAGCCAGTGGCACTACATCAAGACGATTCCCATGAACCAGAACTCGAGTGATAAGGAGCAGGATCAAACTAAATCCTCTCAAATTAACTCTGGTTTAAAAAGCTGGCTTCTTCTTCTGCTGGATGACAGCCTAAAAAAAAAAGCTGCTCCTGATTCTTCTGATCCTTCTTAGAGGCTGTTTTAACTTGTGCATGAAGAAACATGTTTTTCAAAGTTCAGCTTTATTGGATTATGGTTGTTCTGTAAACACTGCTCCGTCTACTACTACAAATCTTAAACTGGCAGTAGTTTTAGAAAACAGCTTTTTATTTAACCTTGTCTTTTTGAAATAAAAGTCAAACCAGATACCAGTGACACAAAAGAGATGTGAAACAGCAGGAATTAACAGTCATAAAAAACAAATTTAGACATCTTGGATCAAACAGATTTTGTCTGTTTCTCCAGGCCGAACAGCATATTTCTAATTAGAATTAATTAACTTGTTAAAAAATTTCGAAGGTAAACATGGTGGCATAAAAACTGAAACTGATTTGGTTTGCTGTCCAAGAAGTTGAAGAAGCAGCTGTGTTTTTGCAGCAAACGTCCTTGTTGATTTGTTTTTCAAGTGTCCTTTCTGAATGTATTTCATTATCGCTGAAGGTCAGTGAGGAATGTCAGCTCACTGTTAAAGTGTTAAATTTCCTCACTGTAACAGAGTTTTTTCTGTCTTTTCTTTGCCGCGGTGTGGGTTTGTGTGAGCAGAAGTTTCAGGGAATCGAGGAGGCCCACCTGCGTCAGATGAAACAGCTGATCAAAGGTTACTCCCACTCCATAGAGGACACGCATGTTCAAGTGGGACAGGTACTCCACATCCTGCTCCTGTGAAAACAACATCTCTGCTTCTTCTGACTTGTTGTAATATTTTAAATTAGATAATAAAATACATTTTGTGCCTGTAACTTGTAAACTTTCCCTCTGCATGTTATAATTTAGACCTGTGTATGATTTTAACCTCTCCTCAGATGAACCCAAAGCCTGAGCCCATCAGACTGTTAAAGATTAAGTGATAGTTGAAACAGATGGTGATATTACTGATTGTTTCCATTTCCTACCTCTTAAAAAATACAATCTTGTTCTCAGCAGCTGTGCACAGGTATTTAACTCGTGCGTATATGTGGCCGTGCTCATGAATTTTGATGTTTTTCTCTCCTTGGACAACATCAAAACTCAAAAGTCAGTTTAATCCCTCATCAGGGCTCCAGTGTCCTCTCGCACCTATAAACCCCACTCTCTAATAGAAAGCTTGAATCACCATAACATCCTGTGTGACTCATTTACAGCACTGGTAATAACTGTGAGTTAATATGATCCATGAAAAATGAGCAGACAGAGCTTCGATTATGAGGATAAAGTCAGGTGTTATTTGATTTTCAGAAGACCCGAATGAAATACTCGTTCTTCTTCTCTGCTGCAGGTTCACGAGGAATTTAAGCAGAATGTGGAAAACATCGGCATCGATAACCTCATCCAGAAGTTTGCAGAGCAGAAAGGGACCGGAAAAGACAGGCCAGGTACGGTGAAAAAAAGCATAAACACTAAATGAGTAACCTGAATAACAAAGAAAATATGAGAACACCCACAGTCTTGGCAGCAGCATGGAGGCCGATTCAGAGCTCAGAGTGACAGAATACTCCAATGAATGAGTGACTTGACTTCCTAAACAGTAGATGCATTTCATTGAATTTTTTAATCAAACTTCCCGTTGTCTGCAGCTCTTGTTGGTTTTGAAGAGTACATGACTGTGCCTGAAGGTGGGAAGAAGAGTCGCGCAAAAGCCTTCAGGATCCCCGGTCTGGGAAAGAGGGACAAGGAGCCAGACTCGACGTGAGTGGGATGCACAAACACACACTCAGAAACAAGCTTTGAAATCAAATCAAAATTTGTTCTCCATGTTAAAGCCTCCGTCTACTCTAAAGTGATGAGATATGTCTGTTTGTTTTTGTGTTTGCAGAGACTCCGCAGTGACAGAGGCACTTGTAAGTAGAAGACAGATTTCTCTGGCTTTAGATCCACCCTGATTATCGCTGTTGTCAAACTTCCAAAGCTTCAGTTATCACGGTAGAAAACAGCGACTCCTCTTCACTGAGAGGAGGGAGAGAGTGTTTTGATCAGCTATGTGACATGTGCAAATGTTTGTCAGCAAGGTGAGCCGGAAATCACGAGTGTGTGTGATAGTGACATAACTGCTGGTGTGGGGTTTCCTGGGTTTATTCTGGTCTTTCTGAGTAGAGATTTACAGAGGTGCTTTGGCAGCCTGAAGGAAAGAGGGTGACTCGACTTGAGAATGTGTATGTGTGTGTGTTTATGTTTGAGCCAGCCTGCGTGGAAGAGTGCACATGGGTGTGTGTGTGTGTACGCTGCCAGAGAGCCATTTAACGGCCTGATGTAGGGAGGGAAAGTAAACAGGAGATCACAGAGCCTCTGATGCTGCTACTTTACACTCGGAGAGGTATACGTTCCTCAGATGCTGCCAGGGTTTGCAGAGGTGACGTGTTGCATAAGAGTTTACATGCTGCAGCGCTGTCACTTCACCCTCTAAAGTGAATACTCGCACTGTAGCTGCTGGCATTTGTCAGCTACTTGGTGATACGCACATTTTGTACAATATGTTTTTTAGGCTTTTCATTGGAAACAGTTTCTCTGTGTGGCAGCAAATGCCTCGATAATAACAGACCCGAACCAACAAGAGATGCAACACTAGACACGTTTACATGGGCAAAGTTTCTTGATCCTGGATCCATTGTTTAGATTGGTGCAAAATCAAATTATCCGAACATGTGTATACATACACCAAGCTTTATTCAGATTATAAGCATTTGGACATGCACAGAGTTGTCTGATTTTGCTAAAACAACCGCAGAAGAAGAGTTGTGTTTACAACTGTGCTGTCAACAAACCAACAAACGTGGTAATGGCACACTTCATCCAATTCAGGAGTTCCCCCCTGTTAAATGTTGTCACTAGATGGCGCCCTGCACTGTGCGTACAGATGTGACATCATTACGCTGTATGTATAAACCACCCCTCTTGATCGGAATACAATTTCTTTCTGATTGAGTGGAATTGGATCAGAATCTTCTGATCGACACATTACGTATTTTTATTCCAATCGGGCTTTTATTCCGATTATTTGTGCCCATGTAAACGCAGCTAATGAAATAAGACTCGTTCAGAAGATCTGTAGCAGGATCAAGTTTCTAAGTTTATGACTCTCTGTAGTTTGTACTAAAATATTTGCCATCATTACTTCACTTACTAACTATTCTAGCTGCCTTAATTCACTGTATCTAGTTTCTATCACAGAAGTTAAAGAGTAGTATGAATCCTCAGGTATTATTGGACTCGTTCTCTTGTTAACAATAGTTGTTAAACAACTGTTTTACGGCTTTTATGCTTAAAATGGATGATAAAACAGAGGAAAGAAACTGAAACTAAGGATGTTATGCAGTAAAGAAAAGACAGCCTGCTTTCAGCACAATTGCATCAGTGCATTGGTTTCCTGATTTAACCACTGCACTGAAGATGCACCACAAACAACAGTTATGACCCTCATGTTTCACCAAAAATCCCCTTTTGTCTTTTGATATTAGTTTAACCGCTTTAAAGCTCCTATGAGGAGTTTTTGCCCTAATATGAAACACACTAAAATCAATTGGGATGCCTCTTTGTCACCTATTTAATTGTGATTTTTAAAGTTAGTAACCACTGCAAGCAACTCAAGTCACGGCATATCCTAATTTTTAAGCACTGGCTGCTCTTAAACTCAAAAGACGAAGACCGGACTCATTTGCTGTCAAAGACTTTTGTTAATTTTTCAGTTCAGGTCCTCATAATTTATTCAGTTTGCTCACCTGGATACTTCCTTTTCAGCCACAGTTTAAAGCGTCAACATAAACTATACATTTTGCTTTCAAAGATTTCATCATAGACATTTAGGAGAGTAGAAACACACAGCTGAACCAAAATATAAACATGAGTGTTGATGATTTGTGACAGGTTAATGAGCCACTGTCTGTGGTTACACTTGTCCTATAGATCTGTTTACTGAAATCTGACCTCATCAAATACTGTGTGTGTGTGTGTGTGTGTGTGTGTGTGTGTGTAGTATGTGTGCACATCCACACACTGAGTCTAAAAATAGCTGCCCCCCTGTGGCTCGATCGTAGGTCTGCCTCTCTTATTTTGAAGATCATGTTACACCGTCCAAAGATCCTCTGACAGGTTTCCAGACATCCTGCTGGACTGATGAGAAGATTCAGATCCAGCACATTCGGAGCTGTAGCTGACATCTTTGTTTGACTTGTCTGTGATTTTTATGTCAAATATTCAACAGTTGTATTCACTGACTCACACTGACAACATTCGTAGGATCTGTTTCTACTCACACGGCTCTCTCAGCGCTTTATAGAGGCTGTAGTGCTGAGTTAGAGTCTGACAAAGCACTCCTGTGTGTGAGAAATGGAGCTGAAGTGCCATTTGTTTGCCTGTTGCAGCTGGTGTCTGACTCTTGTCTCTCTCCTGTGTGTGTGTGTGTGTTTTCTCATTCATACAGAATTCACCCCTGGAAGTAGACGATGAAGGATTTGTCATCCGAGCTGACAGCACTCAGAATGATATCCTTTTTCTGCTCGCTGATGTTCATTCAGCAGAACACCGAGTCTGGATTGTGCTGCATAACAACTTCTCCTTCTTTTAAGGGACTTTCCAGCAGCTGTTTTTATGAGTACATACAGCAGGATGATGATCTGAGCTCCTCGGAGACTCATTGTTACGGAAGATTTTGTGTTTTTTATGATGTAAAGGAGATTTCTGTCAAACACTTAAAATCTTCCCTAAGTGTCCATCATAGTTAGTCCAATCCTCTGTTTGCCTATCAGTCTGTTCCTTGAAGCTTTTATGCAGAATAGAACTAGAAATAGAATAATTTGTGGTTTTACTTTCAGATATTTACACATTTTGATTGCTAATATATTAGGGCTGGGCGATACGGCCTTAAATCAATGTCACCATGTGTTGAGCAGTTCACCTCGATAATGATAATTGGACGATAACTTCTCCACAAGCTGCTCACCCCCTCCCACATTAACTTCATCTACTTCAGCCGCTCCAACTTTTGAACCGTCCTCTATCTCCTCACCTGTCTTTTCGTCTTTGTTAAGAACCAGATGGGGTGGAGTCACGTCACTGACGTAGGACAGCGTTTTAAAGGGACATGAGACCATAGCCTACCTACACACATCCATAACCAACTTAAATTTATTTGACACTGAATATATTGACCTGGGCAAAATGATAAATTTTGGTACCATTAAATTTTTGGTTTATCGCCCAGCCCTACCATATATTTAATATATTTCAGCTTTATAAATAAGTCTATAGGGTATCTCAATCTTGACCCCTTCACTATACAGACACAGTTTGCTCCAAGATAAACCTGTGATACTGCTAATCAAACTCCATTACAGTGAATTTAATTGAAGAGTAACGAGAGGGTCGGGGTTAAAGGAAAAGCCATTTCATCCACTTTAGCCTCGTTACTTTTAGAGTCGGACACTTAGAAATGTCTTAACCCTGTTTTATTGGAGCTAATGAGTGAAAGCGTCCTCATACTCGGATACGGATGAGGTAAAGTCCTGCACCAATGTGAGATAAAAGTGACTCATCCTCCTGGCTCGACACACAACGCTCTGACTCTGAAGCCCTGATCCATTCATCAGCAGCAGCTCTCTTTGTTGACAGCTCGGAGATAACAACTTTGTCCCCTCCACGGCTCAGAATAGATGTTTCATATCTATCGAGGTCCTTTGTGCTGCACACATATTTCTCACAACTTTCTGTGTATTTCAAATATACACCTGACACACATAGACCCTAATGTGCTGCTTGGAGATGACTTCTATTAAGGACGATGATGTTGTACTTCTGCCTCTCTACATCTGTACAACTACATCTGTCTGTGTTTCATTGGAGTCTGCTGACCTTCATTTTTCTGTCTTATTGCTCTTTGAGGAGAAAGAAGCAGTAAAAAAAATCACTTTTTTGTAATATGCTGATCTTGTGCCATCAAAATAACTTTTTTATTTAATATTTGAAGCCTTATTGACAGAATTCTTACATTTCTTTTACTCATTTCCAAATCTCTCTCTTCTTGTTTTGTCCCAAACGGCACACAAAACAAACAGATCTCAACTGAAAGCTCATGATCTAAATAAAGTCCGTCTGAAATCCTGTCAATCATTTGAAATTATCCAAACAGAATAAAGAAAAAAATGGGAATTCTGCAGGAAGTCTTTATCTTAAACCGTGGAGATGTGGAAATGGCTTTTTTTTAATTATTCATTAAATTTTTGTTAAACTACAAAGTACAAGCATAGGTAATAACATCATCATGCCCATCGCATCGTGCACAAGAGACATCCAACATTTAGAGCAGATTAAGATGTGATTGCATGTATCTGCATTGGTTAATTAGTTAAATGTGAGCAGAAGTGCTTTAATTAAAAGTTCTGTTTCTGGTACTGTCAAACTTTAAAATCTTTAAATGGTAAAAAAAAAAAAAAACATCTGGGAGAATAAAGCTTGCGAACATACACTATATAAATATTCCACACTGGGATGTTAATAAGATGTTTCCTCAGATTCACTTTTTATTCCTGTTTGCACTGTGTGGATTTGTTCTCCTTGACTATCCTTTCTGTCTGAACGCTGCTCTGAGGAGAAGGAGAACAACTTCTACTCCAGCGACTCAGACTTCGATGACGAGGAGCCGAAAAAGTTCCACATCCAGATCAGACCGGTGGCCAGCAGCAACCGCAGCAACTCTGCCGCAACGGAGAAAGAGCTGAAAGCCACCATCGGGTCGCTCACCCTGCCCCCAAACAGAGCAGTGCGACATCAGGTTACAACTTTTTTACAAATTCTGTATGTTTGTGACCATCCAGATATTCAGTTTTTTAGCACAGGTTTCTTGTACTTTGCCATCCCATAAAGACAATAGTGTAAAAGTGAGTGGATCAGTCCCAGTCTCTTAATTCAAACCTTTGATGTGCTTTACATCCAAAATAACTACATTTCTATTGGAACTAGCACAGGCTACATGTTTGAGACTTATCCTGCATATATTTTGCTTTACTGCTCTTTCTGATAAGTACAAAAATAAACCAAACCCATGTGGTGTTACAGCCAAAACTTTATCCTCACATAACCCATCAGTGCTCTTCTGTGGGTGACCTTCATTTCTCTGAAAATAGCCTTTTCTAATTATTTAAAATAACTCTATGAACATCGTCCTCCTGCGTCATACTTTCAAGGCTACCTCATGTTCTGGCGGTCCTCCACATTGACTAAAACCCACTTTCTTGACTTTCAGGCGCCAGTCAAGCGGCATCTCTCCAGTAAGTTTAGTCAGATGTGTTTTGATCTCCTTCAAAAGCAATCTTTCTCTCAAGCACAAATCAATATGCTGATGTATAAATAATATACCAAACAACTTGTGCTGTATTCTGAAAGCTGTGTGTCTCTGCAGGGAACTCCAGTACCACAGGAGGTCGCTCAGAAGAGGGTGAGGGCGCCTCCCACAGGGGTGAGTAGTCCGCATATCTCTTTGGATTTCTATCATCATTTATTCATATGAAAGACAGTCAAGTTTGTGGGCACAGCCTTTTGGGAAGAAAAGTGAAGCAGGAGCTGCCTTCTCCCTAATGACCAACAGGGGGAGACTTCAGTGGTTGGAAAGAAGTTTAACCTGAAAAAGAGAAGCTTATTTCTTGGTTTATTGTAGAGTGTCCTAGTCCTAGTTAGCTCTACGTCCAGTGTCAAGTGTCCTCCTTAGGTTTCTGACTTTGAGTCCTCAGACAAACACTGTAAAGTCATTATTAGGTAAAGCATGTTTTTCCATTTAATTTGAGGGCATTCAAAGACACAGAAACTTGTTAGACAGAGGAGTGATGTATCCTTTTATCCAAAATGAACAAAACTGGCAGAAAATCACCCCTCTTCTTGCCTGTTTAGCCCCTCTGTGTTTCCCCCTGGATTGTAAATCTCAATCTTGGCTGACCTTGCCCTAACAGCCACCCTCCATTAGTCACACCCGCGCCCTCTGCTCGTGCTCCGCAGCATGTTTTATCCCGACCGCTCCGTTAGCCGTCTGCAGGTTATGCAGGAGTGCCTTGCCACAGCGAGGAGTCTCCCCCCCCTTAAATCCAGAGGAGGCAGAATTAACGACCAGCGTCTGATTAAAGCTGTTACTCTGCGGTGACGGCAGCAGCCACAGGAGCTGAGTGAGACCCGGCTAATTGCTGGTATTTATCACAGGGAAGGTAACGGCTGATAGGCCCTCCCTCATGCTGTTCGATCTCCCTCAATCTCAGCCTCCTGTCAGTGCTCTGACGAAGTTCACCATGCTGCTGATCAGTCCTGATTAGGAACATGGAGAGTTGTGAGTCACTGATTCTCATTGTGTGTGTGTGTGTGCATGTGTGTTTGTGTGTGTGTGTGCGTGCATGCGCCTTTATTACAGATGGAGATCAAGAGGGTTTACGCAGGTCCACCTCCAGTCCTGATCACAGCAGGTGAGACGCCTCTGTTTTTGGATGTTTCGTCATCGGCTCTTCAAGTTTCTTCTTCTTCTTCACAGGATTTCTACTTCCACTGTTCTTGTTTTGTGTCTGAGCTTCCTCTCTCACCTTGTTGACAAAAACTTGACCCCCTCATAGTCATTGTAACACGTGATTATCTTTTGTTTATTCATATGTTTACTTCTACTTAGTTATACAGAAAATAACTCCATTTTCATCAGAGAAAATTACACTGAAGGAGACCCTGGACTGTGTGACAGCTGAGATAGTGTTGTTAAATGATGAGGTGATGGAATAATATGATGAACATACTCCCACACCGACATTTTTGCAGGGTGTTTTAAGCATCAAATTTACAATAAGTCTGTATTTTTGATGAAACAGCACACTCTTCATTTGATATGTTGTCTTAACTTTATTTTCAACTTTGAGAAAGAGTTCAACCTCTTGGCAAAACATCAAATTCTGTTTTATTATCATTTAACACACGGTCCAGATTTTTAGGAATTGGGGTTGTACTTGCCAACAAATCTTGAGCTGTTCAGAAAGTCACAGAAAGACGAAAAAGCAATCAGGATTCATTGTCTGAAAGTGTAATCCTTCTTCTGCCTGCCAGCTTTATCCTTTCTGCTTTTTCTCTCACAGCCCTCTAATTTGCTCCTCTATCATTTCCTCCTCTACTCCTGCTTCCACCACCCCGTCGTATTTTATCTCCTCTTCCTCCTCATTAGTCTCTCCGTCACTCCTCAGCTCTGATTTTCTTGTCTCCTCCACCAGGTTGAGTTCGACAGCGTCCGGTTCGGACAGTCTATTTGGACCTCCGCTGGAATCGGCCTTTAAGTCCAAAAGTTTTGATGGACGAGATCAACTCAGAGAGCAGAGCGCGTTTGGGGCTTCTGAGTGTAAGAATTGTTGATTTATTTGAAATATTTTCTTTGATTTTTTCTCATTAACTCTGGATCAATCCAAATGTAAAAGGATCGAACCTTTTCCAGACTGAATGAATGAGATAAAGTAACGTAGCCAAGACTAAGCCGCCTATAATGAAGCCAAAAGCATGCATCGAGTTCATCACAGTGCATGGTACCGCTGTAAAAAGTTAGTTTAAGTAAAACTAACTCTGCTTTGCTCAAATATAAAATCAAAAAAACAGCAATACTCTCATTTGTGTTTGATTTGATTCTGCTCTGTGTTCTTCAGACGCCGCCTTCTCCTCAGACTCCTCCTCTCCAGAGAACGTCGAGGACTCTGGTTTGGACTCGCCTTCCCATCAAACCCTTGGGCCCTCCCCTGAGCCGGCAGGTTGGGCCGCCTGGCCTCCTGTGTCACAGAGTAAAGAGCAGACTCAGACGCTGGGACGACCCTCAGATCCCTTCCTCTCCGCCTTCAGGGACCCCTCTCCTGGTCGGAGTCCTCACCTGAAGGACGATCCCGCCAGTGTCTGGTCCGTCGCTCTTTCTCGTCCCTCTCGTGTCACACCCGAAGTGGACCCTCCGTCCACGCGGTTCCCCGCTTTCTCTCAGTCCCTCCCTTCAGTTGAGATTGAGTCGTCGGTGTGGAACTGCAAACACATCCCAGCCGAGGACCCCTTCCTCGCTGCCTTTGAGCGAACTGTCACACAAGAGACTTTAAACCTGTCCGACGCTTGGTCCCGCCCACCTCCTCGTCAAACACAGGAGGGCCGGGGGATGGATGTGCGAGGGGACCCTTTCTCCATGACCCTCCCTGACACCAAGAAACTTCCCACCTCCTCCTCATCCTCCTCTTCGTCCTCCTCTCACCGTAAAGACAGAGACAGGAAACGGGACCGCAGCCTCCCGCCTCCTGTTTCCTCCGACGACCCGTTTGCGATCACAATGATCGGCAGCCCGACGCATCAGTCGTCTTTAGCTGCGGCGGCTGGGTTGATTCCCACACATAGCAGCAACAGTGGTGCCGTTGGCGTTGCCAGCAGCAGCAGCAGACTGGGACTCGATGTTAGCTCGAGCTCTTTACCCAGCGCTCAGCCCAAGAAGGAGCTGATGCACTGGAACTCTGTCCACAACCCGTTCAGTGAAGGAGTTTCCGGAGCGCCGAGCAGCTCCAAGATTCAGGAGGGAGGGGGGAAAGCAGAGGGAGGAGGAGGAGGAGGAGAGAGGAGGAAGCATCGATCATCGGAAAGTGAGCCACGCAGGAACGCCCCTCCACTCACCAGGCACTCAGGGCCGCAGGAGGATCTGTGTTTTTCCACAGACAAAGACCAAGACTGCCTGGATCTGAACTCTCAGATACCGTGCAGCGCCAGCTCTCACAAAGGTACTCATCTCTTCCTTTTGAGTTTGTATAGATGTTGGTACGTGGCGGCAAACTGATCTCTACATCTTTTTGGTGTTACGAGCGGAACTTTTAAAATTTTTACACACAGAGTAGAAAAACAGAAGATAAGGATTCAGTCTCTACCGTTTCTTTAAATACAACTTATCATGATTTAATAAAGTTCAAACGCGGTGTCCATTTCTATTCTTAAATTATTCATCATTTTGCACGTTTATTATCCTTATGTTTATTTCCTTTTAGCTGTGAGACTGTAAGATAAAGAGGGTGTAGCTTTCTTGATGTTTGAAGAGGTTATAACTAGTTAATAGATCATTTATAAACTGTTAATTAATGAGTTATTAATAACTTTTTAAGTGTTTGTTCAGGATTTATATTGATGCCTTACAGATAGTTAATATATCAATAATAAACAGGTAGTTAATGAGTTATAAATGACTTGTTGATGATTTATAACGAAACCTTATAAATTAGTAATAAATCATGAACAAGCTGTTAGTAAATCACAAATAATAATAAAGTTGCAACTATTCCTCATTTACTAACAGTTAATAAAGTTATAGTATAAATGGTATAGTTTTATATTATTAAGAGACAGTTAACAAGTCATAACTCATTAACTAACAGTTTATTAATGATATATTAACTATCTATAAGGCATCATTATAAATCCTTAACAAACACTTAAAAAGTTATTAATAACTCATTAATTAACAGTTTACTAATGATCTATTAATTAGTTATAATGGATAGTTATTATAAAGTGTTACCAAAGTAACAGTTACTTACATTTTTAAGCATTAAAAAGTCTTATTTATAAATCCTTTAGATCCAAAACCCTGACTGGAAAAGAAACAGACAGATCCGTAAACTGTTTATTCCTTTTTGTCTTTGATTACTTGATTAACTTGAGTTTATTCATGGTGTAAGAAATAAGTACAAATAAGAGACTCTGGAGCAACTAATAGAGTTTTTTTAGTATTTCTTAGGGGATAAATCTTTGCAGTGCACATTGAGATGCCAAACTGATGGTAAATTAAAGCAGAGCAGGTTAGATGTTATGAGTTTTTGTTCATTCAGGATGTCTGTGTATTTGATTCCTTTTAGCCGTGTGGATAAAAATGTCTTTTGTTCATTTTGTGTCTGTCTTTATTTTAAGGGTCCAAACAAAACTTCAGACAGGAGACCTCTGAAGTGGCTTCAGCTGCTCCTCAGAGAGCAACACGGGCCAAGAGGACCTCAGGCAGACTCAGCGGCTGTGAGAGGGTGAGTCAAGAATTCACAGCTTTGATAACTTATCACTATTGCAACACCTTTTTTTTAAACCCTCCTCATTTGACTTTATTCTCAGAACTGCATTGCTGAAATCACAGTTTCCCCAACTCCAGTTACACAAACAGGCCAAAGTTTATACTTTTCATGACACAAAGGGCATCAAAAAAAAATTCTTTGGGAATATAAAAGAAGATAACTAAAAAGACAAAAATTCTTCTCTCTAACTCACTCAGATACACAGTAAAATGATTGTGTTGCTGCTAAAACTAACTCTGTAATGGTTAGATTCTAAAATATAATCAAATGAACTGAAACCGGTCCATCAGGACTGTTAAAACTGGACTTCTCAGGTACATAAACCTGTTTTTTCTCTTTGGGTTTTTAGTCCCGGTCTCTATGCTCCTCCCCGCTACCGGAGCCCAGCCCCTCCCTCACCTCCTCGTCCTCCTCCAGCCCCAGTGAGTGGGGTCCTCAGGCCAGGGACGCTGACTGGGGAGGACAAAACCGAGCCACCAGTCCTGCCAGGCCGGGACAATCCTCGCCACTGCCTTTCCAGCACCAAGACCACCAACAGCGACCGGGTAAGGTTCAGAAAGTTACAACCCAGAGACAGGAGCGTGAGAGGAAGAGACAGACTGATATGATCATTAATGAGTTTAGGAAATACAGACACTGAGTGAGGTTTGATGCTCGGTGAGAAACCACTTAAACTCAGTGTCTCATCAGCTCCGCTCACGTTGATCGTGTTTGTCCTTCACAGTGCACCTGTCTCGAGGTCCCAGTCCCATCTCTCTCAGCACACAGGAGGCCTGGCCGGTTGCAGCAGCCATCACTGAATACATCAACGCCTACTTCAAAGGTGGACAACACAACCGGTCAGTGTGAGACGAATTTTTCTTCTGATATCTCAGGGAAAAAAAAGCACATTCGCTGGTTTTAAAGGGAGACTGCACCACTTTCTAACGTCAAAGTCTGTGTGTTTTTATTCAAGAGGTGTTCAAAGTGTAACTCATCTGTTCTGAAACTATGAGAGGATAGCTCTAAATTGACTTCATCTTTTTAAACTTATTTTCCACTTTAAGGAAAAAACATCAGTTTCAAAATTAGGATGTGAAAATTAGAGTTTGAAAAAATGCAGTAGAATGAAGAGGATTCGTTTTAACACTCTGTGTGTGTTTCCTCCTTTTCTCCAGCTGTCTTGTGAAGATCACAGGAGACCTGACGATGTCCTTCCCCGCAGGCATCACTCGCATTTTCACAGCCAACCCCAACGTCCCCGTGCTCAGCTTCAGACTGGTCAACATCTCCAGGATCGATCACTTCCTGCCAAACCAGAAGCTGCTTTACAGGTCAGTTTGTTTTTGTCACAGCTGTGTTTTGTTTTGTCTTGTTTTTTTCTGTGCTCTGTTTACCACCCTTCCTCCGTGCCTCTGCAGTGATCCGTCTCAGAGTGACCCAGACACTAGAGACTTCTGGTTCAACATGCAGGCCCTGCAGCTCTACCTGCAGAGGGAGGCTGAACTCAACCCTCAGGCCTCGTACTACAACGTCGGCCTGCTGAAGTATCAGGTGAGGAGTAAAATGACCCTCCATCACCTTTTAGAGGTGGGGTAGTCAGGATCTGAGGAAGTGCCAGTTTTTGGGAGAAATCTTGAATGTAAACTCTACCCCTCCCAACCAGTTTTCCCCTCAGCTCCTCCTCTCCCCTCCCTCTCTGCTCCAGCAAGCCCCGCCCTCAAACAGATGCTCCTGCTCGCTCGTATCACTTCAATTAAATTCAGATATAATGCAGATAAATACTTCAGATAATTACAAATGGGGCCCAGTCAACGTGAAAGTAAACAGCATTGGTGCTACTGTAGACGCCAACAGACTACCAGCAAACAGAATGTTTGTAGGACTTCTACAACTAGGATAAAGTGACATAGTCCAGGACCCGAGGGAAACAGTTTAGCGATGGCGCTACGACACGTAGCAGGTTCCGTTTGACAAGAAACACTTCTGTTACACTTTGCTTACTTTGTTAAAGCGGTTTACATGTCCAGCAGAAAGGTTACAAGGTCTGTAAGATCCCAAAGCGTCCCCCATCAGTGTTGACCCGGCTTTTTTTTAGCTCTTGTCAGGGTGGTCTACCTCCTTTTTAAGCGCCCGTTATTCCACCAGAGTCGCCGGTAATTAGTTCGTTTTCTTGCTTGTGTTGGCAGTTGTGGCCAAAGGAGGATTCAGACAGTTTTCTGTACTTTCTGGTTGGTTTCTACTGTCCGATATTGTAGCATGCTAACTTTGTTTTGGCTCCTGAACAACAAAGGGGAGCAGCGTCTGCCTCACAACCAATCAGGATGGGGGAGGCGGGGAATGGCTTTGTTTATAGTCAGAAAGAGCGGAGCGCTCTGAAAATTTAAAATGTTGACTTCACAGACATAACAAAACACAGCAATATCGTTATATTACCAAATGTCATCAATAACTAATAGCTATTGACTGATATTAAAAGATTTTTTGTATATACACCACAAAAAGATGCTTCTTCAACGGACTCCTGCCTACCCCACCTTTCAAGTTTATTACCAACTCTGACTCCTATTGATCAATCAGTCCCCCTTTTTGGGGACTGATTATTCTGTTTCAAAAATGCCCTAGTGGATTGCAAAGTAATTGGACAGGTAACTTTGGAGTAATTTCCGGCTAATTTCACAGTCCTGTTTGGTTGTTTAGGTGACTTAAAAATGTCTAGTTGGAGCCCGTAGAGTAAGTGTTGTTAACCTTTCCCCTCTGAGGGCCTGATTCATTTTGATAGGATGTTAAGTATGGACCTCTCTCCTCACAAGTTCTTAAAAACTCCCCGTTGTCTCCTCAGGTGTCATCACAGGACCCGGGTCGGGCTCCTCTCTTACTGTCGGCAGAGTGTCAGCGCAGCGGCACAGTGACTCGAGTCTCTCTGGATTACCACTGCTGCCCCGCCACAGCGCCATCTACCCAGCTCACCGCTGTCCAGGTGCTGCTACCATTAGACCACACCGCTACAGACCTGCAGTGTCAGCCGCCTGCCTCCTGGTGAGACACGATGATCCGTTATAACGATATTTATCACCTCTATCCTGCTGCTTGTCGACTTTCTGTTGCCTCTGATGGATTTTGAAGATCAAGATTCAGTTTGAGCTGACTGATTTTTCATTTGCAGGAATGCTGAGGAACGACGTCTGCTGTGGAAGCTTCCCAATCTCTCCCCGACCAATCACAGCAAAGGTCAGAGCTCTGCAGCTTTCTCCGTACTGAATCTCTACTTTTCTGTTCCAGCCCCCGTCATCAGGCAGAGTTTAATAATACAGGAGGGAGAAGTGTCAGCCTGTCAGGTGCTGATCTACGTTTGAAGACTTCTCACTAAAATTAGAGCTTTCTGCTTCGTTTCCTTCTCTGCGAGCGAAAATCGTTCATTAATGGTTATTAATTGCTTAAATTGAAGTCTTACAGTTAGTCTTTGACTGCGGATTTAGCATTTAAATGTCACAGCTGCTGTTGTCAGTCTTTCGAGGGAGCAAAATGAAGGAATATGTGACTCATATAAAAAGACATGAGCTGCGGAGATGTTCCTCTTTTATGTGAATTTAGAGAGATTGTTGCTCTTCTTCACAGCCTCAGATTCGAGAGCTGATGACTTCATCCTAAAATGAGAAAACGCAAATCAGTGGAGCTCCACCTGAGTGCCTCTTTGTATCAGACACCCACACTTTCCCTCATTTCATTCGTTTTTTTGTTTTTTTTTATCATCTAATGATATACGACTACCTCGGAGTGAGGCTGTGGGCTCAGAGAAAAGGAGGAGAAGAGACTATTCATAGCAGACAGTGATGGATGAGATGTTTGAGGCTGAAAACCTTCATAGTTAGGAACGTTTTTCTGGTTTATGTGCGATGACAAAACGCTGAAAGGTCACCATAACTCCTTCCTGCTCATTTGGGGAAAAAAACTGTTTTCCTGCAAAGTGTATATAAATAACTAAAAGGTTAAAAGTGTCATTTTTGATTAAAAAGGCTGAATCAAAACTTAATTTAGTTTATAGGACTCTGCCTAAACTGTCAGCACAGATATTTTTCAGCTGGATGAGGCCGCTCTGCAGTTCCTCCTCAATTCATCATCATTTCTCCTCTTGTTTCTGCGCGCTGCTTCATTTTACTCTTGGACCTGGAGCTGCTTTTTCATTCACAGAGTATCAGTGTCGTAATAACTGTCTGTTTGAATTTAACTCAGATGTCTTTAACTTTTCAACCAAGTTTTTTTTTTTTTTTCTCAAACTTCAAGAACAACAACTTAAAAAAAAAACTAAAAACAAAAACACAGAGCAAAATAATACATATATACACTAAACAAATGCATGTCAAAGATAAATTTACACTAACATGTCAAAAATAAACAGAATGAAGCAAAGAGCTCATCTAATCCTGCCCCTTCCTTGCAAATCAGAGACAATAATGAATGGAAAAATTAGCTGATTATATAGATTACAGAGATCTGTTTAAATATCTACATATTATATACTACATATACATATTTAATTCCACCTAGGCAGCCTTTTCACCATCCTGTGATATGTCTAGTTGCCTGCGTTAAATTGGTAAATTAATCCTGACCTTATACTATTTTAGAGCGTTATTTTCATGAGGAATTAAAATCTTTTAAGTCTAAAAATAAGATCAAATAAGTCAATTTTTAAGCGCAATTTCACCGCAAACAAAACTGATGAAGTCTTTCAGTAAAGCTTGCATTCATTCTTGGTTTTAGCTAAAAACAATCATTTTAAACGGCTCCTATACTAGCTGTCGAACTCATCAGTTTCTATATTTCTGCATTGCTTTGTAAAGTTATTCTGTATTTCTGTACGTCTGTGTTTGTGTGTCATCTCAGGCTCTGGGACTCTGTGTGCCAGCTGGCAGTGCCTGGAGGTCCCCCGCGGCCCTCCACCCAGCCTGGCTGTTCAGTTCGTGGGCTCCGGGGCCTCCCTGTCAGGCATCGATGTGGAGCTGGTGGGCAGCCGCTACCGCATGTCACTCGTGAAGAAGAGATTCGCCACAGGTGAGGCTTTGATTTCTGACACCTTGAAGCGTTGATTTTGCACAGTTTAAATATCATTCAGTTACAGAAGTGTTTTTACTCTGAAACAAACAACTTCTGGTCCGCTCATCTTTTGCCACGTTGTGTTTGACAGGGAAGTACATGGCAGGCTGCTCCTTGTGAATCTTGTAGAGGATCGTCCCTGCTGCTGGTTCAGAAACCTTTGCACCCTTTCTAAGTCCTGTGACGGAGCTGAAGAGACGATTGGTGGTAGGACATAAAAAAAACGGAGACGGGGCACCTTTACTCTGCCTGAAGGACAATGTGCACTTACTTCTGATGGTGTCCTGCTGTTTTAGGACCAAGCCTTTCCTTCTTCCTCTTTTCCTCTAATTTAAGTTGTGTGTTGTACACTCACTCACTTTTTCTACTGAATCATTTCATCGTGTTCTGAAACTGAAAAGTAGATGTCAGGACTGCTCTTAACCTACAGCAGAAAAAAGGAAATGTTTAAGTTAAATACAGCTGTCTGGAAATAAGCTGCCTATGGGGCTAGGATTTTTAATTTATGTAAATACAGTTTGAAAGAAAAATTGAGAATTCGTTGTACTTAACCTAAAGAAAAAACCCTGAAATGTTTGTAAATCTGCTGTTTGTGATGTTCACATTTGATAAGAATAAATGTTCTCAAACCTTTTTGCTTTACAACAATTTATTACACATTGTGACCAAGTACAAAATACAGCTGAACTATGCAGTTTATTACAGACATCATCTGTCCTTAGGCTAGTTAAAGTGTAGTCAAGAACAGGTTTAAAAGTACACAAAAATAAGGGTTCAGTATACTTGTAAGAAGAACCAAATCTATTCATTAAAAAATAATCCTCCGCCCAAAAAATCTAAAACAGTCTTACAAAACATTACAAAGTACACAAAGAAATTACTTAGTCTTCCAAAGCACTTAAAGGCAAATTACTGTGACAGGCACAAGTTACAAAAAAAAAAAAAAAAAGCCTTAAATAACTCGAAACTCGAGGACTTCCATCACTACGACAAAATCATCCAAGGAGGGAAACAAGGAAGTGGAGGAGGAGAGAAATAAATCAACCAAATAGATTTCAACACAAAGCAGATGTCAATCAAATCAGATCAGCTGATATAAATAGAGATTTCACTTCTGATGCTTTTTCGACAGTCACTGCGGTGGAGCAGCAGCAGCACCACAGAAACGTTTCAGTTTCAAACTCTGAACATTTGAGATTGGACACAAATCGATCACAACTTCTGGTCAAGTGAATTACATCAAAGATTGATTTTTTTTCTTCTTCTGAAACAGTGTGAGACCAGGCGAAGGCCACAGAGCACACACTTCCTACATCATACAAAGATATATATTTATATATATATAATTTATTATGGACATATTCTCCATATAACGCACTGTATTTTCCTATCTAACCCAAACATAACATAAGACTTATCTGAGAAACAGCATGAGGTCAAGTATCTGAAGTCTGGGAGCGTGTGCCAGCTCAGACGCTAAAGAAATCCTATTTATTATACGAGTTTGGTTTTACAGGTCCATATGATCCAACATGTACTGATCAGATGATCAACTATGCAACAATTTCTCTTTTGAATCAGGAAATGATCAGAATTCCAGTTCAGATTTTTACACCCTACCTCCATTTGGCTGATTACCGTATTATTCGCACTAAAAGGCGCACTTAAAATCTGTTTGGCTTGTCAGAGCTCTGCAGCTACCGTAGCCTCACGGAGTTATTGAATGAGTTAATAAAGTTTGACTTATATGATTACTTTGTTTGGCTTAATGCGCATCGAATTCGAATCGATGGTGCGCCTTATAGTGCGAAAAATACGGTAGTCTAGGTTCAAACTCTCTGAATGCTTCCTTACAGCACACAGAGAAGCAGCTGAACTGCTCCAGGAGTAATATATACATGAAAGGAAAGAGGAGTTGGTGACACAAGCTGTTAACAGTGGCTACATCTTGAATACTCGCCATCTGAGCTAAAAGGAGCACAGCATCAGAATCTATTGAGGTAAACAACACCAACATTTCTCACACAGGTAACGTACTGAGTTCCCTGCCTTCCTGACCGTGGCTAAGCTGGTGGGGTCGACTCGTGGGGGGTGAAAGGTCCTTTGGGTCAGTAGGTTGCATGTTTGTTGTTGTTTTTTGTATGTGCGTGTGTGAAAGAGCTGCACACTGCAGCAGAGGCAACAAGGAGAGTACACATCTACACCAAATCTACGTTAAAAGGTGCTTCAAATGTGTTGAGGTTTGGAGACGATACATTCAAACTGCGGTCGAGGCACAGCTGAGGGACAGAAAGACATCTGTAGTGGTGGTTTCTTTTTTTTTTTTTAAGTTAGCGATCTAAGGCACTCAAATGACACTATGGCACAGCTAGTTAAAAATAAGAGAGGAGTAGAATCACAGAAACGGCACACACCACCACTCAAAGTTACACATCGGATATAAAGGTACTGCACAAAGTCATTCACAGTTGGAACGGAAACAAAAAGAAAATCAGGCCCGTGTTACACCCCTGTGAGTAAAAAAACAAACAAACAAAACAACAACAATGAGTGAGCTTCTGAGGAGAAACATCACCATCTGTTTAGTGAGGGGAGGACTGACACTGCTACTTTCTTCTTCTTTATGTACATTGCACACTCTGACTGCAGAGGGACGCAGTGTGCGTGCCCCTCCGTGTCCCTCAAGAGACCCTAAAGAAACTTCAGGGTCACCTTATCTTCAGGGAGAGGATGCTGGTCCCTGCGGCTCTCAGTAGGGGCCCCGCTCAGACTCCCATCTCCTGCAGAGGGTGACTCATTTCAATCCTCTCTCTCTTCACAGCCGGTTCAGTCGGCCCTCTGGAGGTATCGGCGTCACTGCCTAGGTCACTCATCTCGTCAGAGAAGGATGCGTCTAATGATTCGGGGAGAGAGATGGAGGACGAGAGTTCAGGCTAATGTCAAGAGCAGGAAGGGGGACAGAAACAGCTCGGTGTGAAACGACAATAAACATTTATTTCTACTTTACGAAAGGACATAAAGCAACTATTTTTCCTGTATGGAGGGTTTTGTCTTTTTAGAGGCTGTTTTTTAAGAGAAAATAAACAGACCTGGATTTTTTGAACGTCCCAGAAAACCAAAAGGAACATGATTCCAACACAACCAAAACTAGAAGTATTCGCTTTAAAGGCTTACCCTTCTCCATGAGTGATGGCATCATCGAGCTCAGGTCACTGAACTGTGAATGAGAACAGACGAGTTTATATTTCCACCACCGTCCTCAACATGTGTTTTCAACAACTGTAGCTGCTTCTTCTCCTCTCTTACCTCTCCCATGACAGCAATAGGGGTTTCTCCAGTAGCCTGAGCCACACGATGTTCCACCAGGTAAAACATATACTCATCATACAGAAGGCGGATCAGGTGGAAAGACCCGAAACTGGCTGCACTGCGCAGGGTCAGGTCTCTGATCACCATGGAGCTGCAGGGGAGACAGAAACAAAAACAGATTCAACATGAAGTTTTGTTTGGAGACCGAGTTGAAGCTACAGGGAGGAGGATAGATGGAATCACCAGACTCATACCTGTAGAAAGACCACTTAAGCAGGAACTGACGTGCTGCTTTGGGAAAGCTGGGGCTGCCCTGATGGGGCTTCAGGACCTGAGAGACCACATTGTCGAGCCAGGTGGCCCACTGGTCCAGAGAGCTCTGCTGTTGCAGGGTGACCTTGAAGTCTTGCTCCAGACGCTGGACCACGCTCTCATCACACTGACACACCCACGACGCTTGCTCCTAAACGACAAAACAAACGCACCCAAACCCAGTCAGCAAGAAACCTAACAACACCGTCTGGACAGTGGGCGACACTCCCGGTTAGTGTCAAAGCAAGATCACCGAGCAATCAATCCGACAGATTTACCTGGACGTTAGCGAAGTCGACGCGGTTCAGATCGGAGAGCATCTGGTTGATCTGAGACGTGTTCTGGAGGACGGCGCGGGCTGCTTGAGCCAGGTGGTTCAGACTGGTGTAACGTCTCAGTGTCTGGGCGAACGCACTTACAACAGCCACCTACATCATGAAGAGAACAAGAGGACACAGCAGAAATACTCAGCATTAAGCACTTTATGTTTTTAGATTTTAGATTTCAATAATCTAAGCATGTCAGGTTAGGGTTAAGCACCCAGTTTTAGACACCCTCATTCTCCCTAAACCATCCCAGAAAGCTGTTACGTAAAGGGTTTCAGTCAGCTTCATATTAAGTAGCTACATAACCATGATTAATATTTATTGCATCGCTCTAATCAATAAGTTAAATACCACTGAAGAGGCGGCAGGTACTGTGCAGTGACATATGACTCTACAGGAGACTGCAAAGGTTGGAGGTGTTTGAAAATGTCACGAATGATCACATTATTAACTCCCCAGACTCACGTTTCAGGATCTTAATTCACATTTTTACACCCAAACATGATTTCGATTCCGTCTCTCTCCATGTATGTCCTCTAGTTACCTTGGTGCGGATAATCTCTTGTGGAAAGTTGGTCATGGCGTTGGTCAGCCAGCCCTCCAGACTCTTGGCAAAGTTACGGATGGCCTGAGTGAGAGTGCCTGAAGAAACAGAACAGCCTGGATTACAAAGTGGCTGAACTACCATCAGATCTGGATCAAGTCCCAAAGTATTAGACGAGTTTAGGAAAGGGGTCAACCATACAGAAGATTACAGAAGTCCTGAGTAAGCACTGATTGCAAAATCCCTTAATACTGCTGATTGAGGTGAAAACTGAGCAGAAAAGGACTGATTTTTGATATTTCGTAAGTTTCAAAGAACAGCAAGCTATTGTTGGATATTGGTGTAAGATAGTTGACCTGAAACCAGGTGATGGAAGGACAATCTAGACTAAAACCAGTCAAGTATCAAGCCATTCTTCTGCATGGATTGACTCCACCTGACCCGGCATGCTCTAGAAACCCAGTTCTTTTCACTACACGACCCTTTAGCTGTCTTTTTAAAGTGGCACTGAATCAAAATGCATGACATCACCTTCAGTTAATCAACATAAAATCCTTGTTTCATCTAACTGTTGCAAAACATCAAACAGCAGCTGGTCCTGATCTTTTATGGATTTTTCAATGATCTGAAGCTGCCGCTCATCTCTGATTCTGATGCTCTCGGTTTTCCCACTCCTACTATTTACTCACTTAGAATCTCTGCAGAACATATGCCCAAAATAGAGCATTATAAAGTTTACTGTACAATATGTGTTAAAATGGAAAATAACTAAAATATATGAGACATTCAAAGCCAAGCGGTACAATCCAGTAGTAAAGCTGTGGTATCGTTCATAATTTATTTATTAAAAAAAGCAGAGGTACTAACTGGGGACGGGGCGCAGAACATCAGGGATGAGGATCTCCACCAGAGCCTGGTACAGGATGTGATCACAGCTCCTCATCCATAGTCTGACTGGTTCATATTTACACAAAGCTACCAGCTTCTCTCTGGGAATCACACCCTCCAGGTCATCATCGCTACACAGGCAGAGGGACACAAAGAAATACACATCAGCAAAGACTGTACACTGTTACAAGCACATTAAGTTCAGACAGTCAGATAAGAAGGGGGTTAGACTTTGACTCTTTTTATATGTAAGGCTTCATGAAGCAGAAATACGACAGAGTAGAATGACTGAGCTGACCTGTTGGGGATGGTGGTGCTGCCGTCACTAGATGGCGGTGTTGAATACCAAAAGGTCTGCCAGAGTTTCTCAATGTAGTGGAACTGAAGGTTCATCACCACATCCAAAGTGGCCTGCAGGAGAGCAGCAAAAGGGGGGAGGAGGGGGTGAGAGGGAGGGAAGAGAGGAGGGAAAAGAGAGAGAGGGAGGGAGGGAGGAGGATGGGGGGACAAAACATACAGAGCTGAACCATGGCAACCAGACACACAACAAAGTTTCTACAGGCAGGCTCTCGCTCACTGTGGGCCCTCCTGGTTAGACAATGAGCCAGCTCAAACACAGCTCCCTGCACATTAATCATCAGGAGGATCCTACAGGACACGTTCAGGCTTCATCTGGAGTCTTTTAGGTGTTATTTTACCTCTTTCTCTTATTTACTTGTCCAAATAATTCTGGATTAATACATGTGACTCATTTAAGTTGAAAAGCACAGACCTGAACTACCCATGTGACTTCCTCCTTCCTGTTCAGAAGTATGAAGCTCTTAGAAAGCAAAGTATAAACAAACACACAACCACACAGCAAGGTCTCAAAAGGAAGCTGTGGTAAGGCGGAGATCTAAAACGATTAAAAATGGCTTCAGGCTTCAGTCAGAGAGAGAGAGAAATGTAATCTGGTTTCAAAAAGAAGCTGATTGAATAAATCGAGCACAAAATTATCAGAATAAAACAGAAAGAATCAGAGCTGTAAAGAGTGATGAGAGCATATGGGCCTGACTCCACAGAGACAGAGGTCAAACCCCTCTGATTTTCTGTTTTCCAACATGTCAGAGTTTTTCTGCGTCGAGCCTGTAGGTGTGCGAGCATACGATTCACACCGCGCTCGGAGATTCTCTCCTGTCTCTATCTGGCAGGACGTACACTTGCTGCTGGATCTTGTTACACAGCAGTGTAGGCTTCAATCACATGATATGTTTTTGCTTCCTCTCCAGGCATTGCCATGGCAACCTTGTTTATGGTCGCCCCGAGCAACAGGTCAAACACAGAACTCCAAAGCAAAAAGGAGAATTCCCCATCCCTCCAAACAAGAGCGGTATTTTTTCTTTTCCCTTTTTTGTGTCCAGTTTTTATACGACATAGGGAAAACAACATGTCTTAAAGAAAAGAAAGAAAGAAAGAAAGAAAAAGAAAATGAGAAAGTGTGGAGAAGAATAGACACATGCACACTCAGACAGACAAGCGCACACACACACTAGTTTATAGTGTGATTTATTACCCTTAGAACTTTAATTAAACACCTACTCATTTGTGTTTAAGCATTAATTTTATGGCACAGTTGGTGTCTGAATATTTGGCTGTTGTTACCATGACAACAATAAATACAAGCCTGATAGGGGGTCTTGAACTGTTTATAGCCCTTATATGAAAACAGACGAATAAAAGTGAATAAAAGTTAAAATATAGGAATACAGTCTTTGCATCGGTCAGTTTATACCTTTACTGAAACTTTAACTAAGATAGATATCAATTAGTCTTGGCTAATGTGTTAACAGGTCACTACTGGCCTGCATGAAAAGGAGTGAAAAAAAGTAAAATGCATAAACATTAAACACACAACTCAATGAGAGCTGGGAGAGTGACAGAAATGTGCTGGCAGACAAAGACAGGAGCCCATGCGCCTGTCCACAGACAAGGCGACACAAAGGCCCGAGGGGAGGCCACCACAAAGACACCAAGATGTCCACCCCTCGCGCTGAAAGGTTAATTGGCATGTCTTGAAAGCTGCACAGAGATGAAAAGACGGCAGGAACAAAAGGAGTGTGGTGAGACTGGACAAGGGGAGGGCAGGGATAATATGATAAAGCCAGAGCCTCACTGCTTTAATCACAGCCGGTCTCCTGCTGGTGCAGACCCCAAATTTTAATGTCTTATATCATTTCTGTACTTCTCACTGTCAGCATGTTTGAAGGTTATTTTTACACCTACATACTGTACGTTTTCCATTATATTCATAAAAGACGCTCCACCTGTTGACTACTTTTATTCTGTCTCCTGTTTTAAGAAGTTTTTTTTTTTTCATATTGTTCACTTATCCCACAAAAAGTCAGTGTAGATTGTAGGGGTGAGAATCAACAATGGCCCCACGATACGATATTATCGCGTACTTGGGCCACGATATGATATTATCGCGATACTTGGGCAGTGATATGATATTATCATGATACTTGGGTCATGATACAATATAATCGTGATACTTGGGCCACAATACGATATTTTCGTGATACTTGGGGCCACGATACAATATTATCGTGATACTTGGGCCACGGTACAATATTATCGTGATACTTGGGCCATCGTGATTCTTGGGCCACGATATGATATTATCGCGATACTTGGGCCATGATATGATATTATTATGATACTTGAGCCATGATACAATATTATTGTGGCCCCACGATATGATATTATTGCGATACTTGGGTGACGATACGATGTTATCACAATACTTGGGCCATGATACGATATTATTTCGATACTTGGGCCACAATACTATATTATTGCGATTTTTTACATTTTGCAAATATTTTGTGAGTATTGTTTTACCATATATTGCAATTCATACACATTTTCCAGCTGTTTAGCTTATTAAGCATTTGTCTTTCCTTCATGTTAACGTTATTCACACGGTTTTTAATTTTCTTGTAGCACATCTTGCAAACCTAATATATATTTGTTGTACTACCTTTCTCCCACTCTATGATGTCACCTCCGCCAACCCCACTGGACAAACAGTTGATTTTATTTTTTCCATTATTATAGATTTGACTTCATATTAGCAATTAATTTGAAGGGAAATCTGTACCTGGTCAATGGGATGATTCGATATATCATCAGACAAAATATTGCGATACTATGCTGTATCGATTTTTTTCTCCCACCTCTAGTAGCTTGAATGACAACCATATTGATTGGACTGCATGGCAGGCCGGCAGACATCATATATTTGTCTAAACCTTCCTAAGCTCATTCGGGTGTAATAAAAGAGAGTGGTACTGGGATATGATGTACCTCACAGTGGTCTCTGTAGAGCGTCTGCAGCTTCTTGATGTCATTCATGTTGATGCGCTCAGGCAGCGGCTGGGTGCCCAAGTCAGGTGATGGGAAAGGGGGCAAGGAGTGAGACGTATCTGCATACATTTCAAAGCAAAAATAGAGACAGGTGTCACTCATATTACTCACACAAACACACACTCACACACACAAAGAGAGGCCACGGGACAGAACACAGTGTGGGCGGATCATTAAGTACATGTCAACACAAAAACACATTTCCTTTAACTAAGGTTAATTTGACCAATCTGATCATCTTTGAATGACTTTACAATGTGTGTTTTAATTTGATTGGCTGCTGAGAGAAAAACTAACACTGTCTTGAAAGATTTAGATTAAATGAAAAAAAGAGGTGGGGATAGTTCACCTATGTACTGCTGGTGATGTTGGCTCTGAGCGGCCACAGACTGCTCTGGAGTGCTGTTACAGTGCTGAGAGCTCCCACACAGGCTGTCAGACATGCCGTCCACCTTCTGCAGAGGTTTGAACCTATGGACACAGTTAAGAGACACGGATATTAGCTGGATTAAAAAGAACCAAGAAGGAAGGGTTAAGGACCAAAGAACTGTTAATGGCTTGGGCTATTCTGGTTTTCATTCTCATAAAAAAAGTGCAAAGGTTAATACAACTTCAGTCAAAGCAAAGAGAACTTCATGTGAGGAAAATAACATTTTTCTTGTGTAATAGATGTCAGTCCATGCAAACAGTTTGCCTCAGTTTAGTAAGTATAAATCAGAACCTGAAGCTACAAGAAAAAAACTTAAAGAAACTGGAAAACGTCTTCATGTTGAGAGGAAAACAATGGAGCACATGTGTGGGAGAGAGTGCTGACCTCTGTTTCTGGTGGACTGGCTGCTGCCTCATGGCCATGTACTGTGTGTCTTCCTGCAGCCGGTTGAGCGGAGAGTCTGGCTTCACCCGGATGCCGTAGTAATGATACTTAGAGTTGCCTCTAGTAGAATCAGTGAGAGACAAGCCAGAAACAAGTGAGGAGGAGCAGATTTTCCATCAGTGTAATCACTATCATTATCCTCTTCCATCAGCGAGACTCCAATGCCTATGAGCTCCATCACGCTCATCACATCTATAACTGTTACATGATTACTGTTATCGGCATCAGCAACAACTTCCTCCTGTTTGTACCTGGTGCCGAGGCGGCGGGTCCTCAGGCCCATGAAGACAGAGCGGATGAGCTTGCCAAAGGAGGCTGCGTTGACCGGATCTAGCTTCTGTTCCTGACAGTGCCGCAGGTAATGGTTGTACAGGGAGCAGCGGGGCAGGCTCACTCCCTCCGCTGTCTCGTAGTTATCCAGCAGCCACTGCAGCTAAAAGCACACAGAAGGAGAAACAGTCTGACAATCAGTCTGTAAACATAGTCAACCTTGAAAGAAATCAGGACGAGTACAGCCTCCTGTTATCACGTCAAGAGTCACAACACACATGAAATGACTTTATACTTCATGAGGTTAAACATCAGACAGGCATTGCAGCTCCTTCAAACTCCTACTGTGGCTACATTTAAACTTTATTTTTTTTACATTTGACTTAAACGGTCAGTAACTACAGCATAAAAAAAGGTTGATTAAACTTTTGAAGAGCTCTTTATTCCATCTGATGAATCTCGGATAAGTCAGAGTTCTCTCTGTAGCAGCACAATCATAAAGAATTTACATAAAAAGCTTAAAATACCAGATGCAAATCAGGTACTTATGAAGTATTCTTATGAGCCGTGTGATAACTGTGTGATGACAGAGGAGATTATAGAGTTGGAGTGTAGGGAGAGAATCTACACAGCAAAATGCATTCAGGTTTTTGGACATTAGTGTCATGTCTTGGTCTAAAGGAGTCAGGGGTCAACCAAACAGAAGTCAGGGAAATCATTCACAAAAGTCCATGCAGAGTGTTAAGAAATATACTGAAGATGTGCGTTTAAGCAAAAAGGGGAACAGCCAATGAAATGTTAAGATCAAGGAGGGAAACTTATTGAGGCAACAAAGCGCAGCATTGTGACAGCACAGCAGGTAGACAAAGCCAGCAGAGTAGGAAGTGTGTTAAACTTTGCAAAGCACAAGTTTAACATCTTTCCATCAGTTCAACTTTTGATTTTCAATTTTTTTTTCTTTCTAGTGTCCTTTACGAAGAAAGTTCCCGGTTGACTTACATGGCTGTTGAGCAGGCTGCTTTTGTGACTTGCAATTCCTTCAGACTTTTGGAGGTTTTCAATCGCCATTTCAAGCTAAAGACAGAGGAGGCATGCAAAAAAGTGGACACAGAAGAGGGAGGAGGCAAGAGGGTGAGAGGGATGAAAAAAAAAGAGAGAGAGAGAGAGAAAGACGTAAGCAGGAGAATATAACAAAACAAAAAACAAAACAAAAAAACCACAGAGACAAAAATAAAAGGAAATAAGACTGTTAGCAGGCAGCCAGATCTTTGCATTTCCATTAAAATCAGTCAGTGTTGCAGCCAAATCCATTATCGGCTGACAAAAGCATGCAAATCAAGGGATTCATAGGGTTAAGCTGCTCAGTGAAAGTTTGCTGTCAGACACTCTGATGTATGCAAATAGGATCTACAAACAGGGGCACAGGTCACGTCAAGTCTGGAGACTCTGAGGTCAGCCTAACCCCACCTCAGCCCTACCGCTAAACTGATCAATAATAGATATAGAGAAGTAAAATTTGAACATGTGAAAATATAACATAGAAAGTTTTTACTCTGCTATTAGCAACAGTGTCATGGTCTTAAATACACTGGCATATTAGTCAGTCTTGGACAACAGAAGTATATCGAGTCCAACTGGCCGGCAAAGAGAACGACAAAACCAGGGCCGTTCTGCTGAGCTGTGGAGGAAAATCAAGTCAAAAAAGAAAAAGATATGTGGTGTTGCAGCCAAACTGGAGACGCAGAAGAAAAGGAAAAAGAGGCAGGCAGCGATCCAAGCCTTAAGAAGGCTCCCGAGGGCTCATGGCCAAATGGTAATGAGCCCCAGGGGTTGCTTTGTTTTACAGGGCGCTCAAGTGCCTGTGAAAACCTCTGAAACAAGGCAGTGCTGAATTATTTAAGCCAGTGTCCCGATTCTGCGGGCACTCTGTTCCCTGTGTGTTACAGCAGAGCTGGGAGGCCCCCAACTCAGGTTGCTGTACACACTGCATGTCTCTCCCTAAATTTAAAGCCTGTCCCACAGCATGGACAGTCTGGACACAGGCTCGGGTAGCAGTGATGACAGCTAGCACTTGTTTGCATCTCCCTACACTTTGTGGGAGAGGGGATCTCTGCTCAGATAGCCACATCTACTGAGTTAGTAGGTACAACTTATGCATGAACTTTAAAAGATTCAAACCCTGAATTGTGACTCCCTAAATTTAGCAAAACAGTTTCTCAGAGTATACTGGAGAAGTCATCTTCTGTCTGTAGAAACTAAAAAACTCTTGTTCCATATGTTGCAGGCCAAATGATCTCATCCTACTCAAAGAGGTTCTCCAGAGTATCACATAAACGCCAGTCCAAGTGTAGCTCACCATAGCTGAGGAGGAGCGTGATGAATGTGATATGTGGTTGCGGCTGCCTTCCATGTTTCCTCCATGGATCAGGTAGGTGCTCCCGCTGGAGATGATGTGACTGCTGCCCACGTCCATTGCGATGCCCACCATGCCGTGAGAGGGCACCCCGCCGCTGGCAGAGGAGACCACGGTGGTGACATGAGCTCCGCCGGCCTGTGAGTCAAAGTAGGTTCCTACGCCGCTCTGCCCGTACAGCTGAGTGTCGGGGTTGTAGGAGTAAGCAGTCCGACTGTGGAGAGATTATCGTAATTAACATACAGTAATGTTGTTCAAGGCGATGCTTTACAGTTTTCCTCTGTGTTAAACTGAAGCTGTTTTCATACACACCTGTAGAACTGATGGTGTGATGTGAAATACTCAGTATTGCCAGAGTTGAATCAAACATTTTGAGAACACTTTAGCTTTATTAGAAGATTTTGATTTGAGACACTTTAAAAGCAGTGAAATGATGAGTAAAGTGGACTGTCATTAGGCTATTTATTCAGTACTGATTCATACATAATTCAACTGAACAACAATGATTTCAAAGTGGAGCATAATTTCATGCATGGTGCTGTGTCTGTGTGGTTTTAAAAGCACAAAATATGTACATTTTAAGCACTTCAGCTCCTTTTTTACTGTGGTAAATTCAAGTTTAATGACACACAAATAATGGAAAAAGGATAAATATGTGTAGACCAAACAATGTTAATCTAGAAATGTGAGTCAAAGTTATCATATTTATGCGTTTGTATCTTTTTGGCTATACTACCTTTCTTCAATAATTTTTTTTAAACATCAAAAATACATGAACTACACAAATTCAGCTTTGTAAACAGTGTAATATACATTGGCTTACATAGTTCCATTAGTGTAAACAGCCTCTCCACTCTCTCCTACATATTGGACCTGGGATGGGTAAACATGTTGCACCTGTTGCACCTGTGTACAAAGAGACAAACAGGAAGAAGGAAAACTTGTTATTTTTGCTTCTATTCTTGGAAAACTTCTAGTCAAAGTTCTTTACAGTGAACTGACTTACATTATTCATGCGAGTTCTTAAAAGGGAACAGTTCCCACATTGAGGTAGAAATGTAAGATCTCATGAAAAGCTGAATTATTTTTAACTGGATCATGGTTTAATACAGTCAAGCACATTTGAACAAACATCACAGCCTGTAATGTTTGCAATGGTGACGCTCGAGAATGTTAAAGAGAGGTACATTAATCGTCCATCTACTGTTAGATGATGCTGAGGTCTGCTACGGCCCGGATTAATGAGATGAGGTAACAGCAGACAGTCAGGTCTGCTTCCAGTCACTGTTAGAAACTAGACATCATCACACAGATTTGTGTTGGGATCTGGTTCAAGTCCCCAAGAATCATTGTTCTTGGCTCAAAATTTACATCACATACAATACAACACATTATAATAAAAGCTTAGATTTCAAAATATACACTATATAACCACCATTCAATAACCAACCAAGTCTAGTGTTTATCAGATAATTCACACAGCTTTTACAGATCTTTTTATGACACTCATGTATGGAGGCAGTGGGCCAGGCTCAGCCACAGAAAGATATTTTTTAACACTTGAGAGGAGCGGAGGGAAATATTTGGCACACGCCCTAGATGAGCAGCTATTAGTGAATTAAGTAGGGAGCCATGTCTGACATCATTATTCATCGTTTAAAACATACTAATCAAAGGCTAAACATCAACACCCCAGACTTAAAACTTAATTTTACCAAGAATGTGTTTTTTTTTTCCAGTTTATTTATCTTTTAAAGTTAAAAAAGGCTCCAGGATCAAAGAAGGTTTCGCCCTCTGTAATAACAGACTCTGCTGATTTGGATTCATAGAAACAAAACCACTGCTGGTGTTGCATTATTGAAAAATATAACATGCTCAGTAAAGGGAACTTATGAATTACTTTTATTCTCAAGGGGTGTACAAATATGTTCACAGCACTGTACAAGTATGTATAGTACTGTGTACCTGCTGAGGGACCTGTTGAACCCTGGGTACTGAATGCTGCTGTACTTGTCCTCCCTTCTGAGCTGAGCCTGTGGCCTGAACCAGCACCCTCTGTGTGGATACAAGACATAACTCAATTACATGGGTATGCACACACAATCACACACATACACGACATTGTAAACACATGACAGTCGACAACACGGCCAAACACGTAAACAAATGTCCCCCCTTGAGGCTTAAGACTTAAGCTAGTGCTGACGGATTTTAGTGGGTATTTTCTCAGGGTACTTCTCTGATTACAGACAATAAAGTTTGAGGGGCTTTTTTTAGAAAGCGTTCCATGTGTTCTCTTTAAAGCATTGTCTTCTACAACCTGAGACGGCTGAAGTAAAGCAGATGTACACAGGCAGGGGAGTGCTTAATGCTAAATCTAGTGTGGTTAACAGATATAGGAGGCATCTGTTGACAGAGAGATTGGGTCAAAGCCTTGGCTTCTCATCAGTGATCGATTGGATTGACGACATATGAGTGCGTCCAGGAAGGGATCTGGTGTTCCTTCTGGACGCCACATCAAGCTTGGTTTCTTGAATAACTAGAATTTTAATGCTAAACTGAAAAAGAGAAATAAGGATGGAGCATTTATTACAGCGTTTCTACATTTGTCCTGTCATTACAGCTGGGAAGACGTAGTCCCTACCTGCTGGGAGGCTGGGACAGGCTGTACCACAGGGGCCTGAGCTGATGATGACGTCCGCAGCGCTGCCACGCTGGTCGTGGTGTCTGACCCTCCCTCTGAGCTCTGCATGCTGGGTTTTAGGAGACAAGAAGAAGGAGAAAAGAAAACAGACATCAGCAGGAGGGAGTTGGAAAAAATACTTTTACAAGTAGTTGTAAAGTTTGGCAGAAAATAATAAGGTCTCTAAGTGTGGACACTGTAACTGATAATGAATGCTCCTCTGGCTCACTCCTTTCCTTTTCAAGCAATAAGTGAATTCATCACCCTTCAGGGGGTTCCTGGCTGTTTTAAGTCGAGCTGAGGCAGTAAAGCTCTTGGATCACCTTTGGACTTAATCAACAGCAAAATAAGCAGCCCAAGAGATTTACATCAATACTGCAGGTCCTGCTGACAGATCAGGCCCAGGTGGGAAAGTTACAGTACATGAGTTCAAGTTACCAGCAGGACCGAACTGCTTCCTGAGGACCAAACCCACCGCTGCCACTCGGCTTTCCACTGGGTGACAATGTGCACAGCATAGCAAAGGGGAGCTAAAAATGGAGTTACACAAAAGCTCTCACAAAAAAAAAAAAAGGACAGAAAGGGAAAGAGCGGGAGTAAGGCAGGGACAAGAGAAGAATGGACCTGCAAGGGGGAGTAAGCAGATAAAAAAACAACTTCCCCACTCTCTCCTTTAAAAAAAAAAAAAAGATGAAAATGGCAGTGGGGCTCCGGTCCCTGCCAGGACCCTGATGATATCCAGCATTTGTTTCAAACCAGAACTGTTCTCATAGGGCTCCAATAATCCAGCTGATATGAGGAAATTCCTCAATGCTTTGTAAACGTTTGTCGGTTGCTATGGTGAGGAATCCATGACGACCACCCCCGACTCAACCCCCTCTCCTCTACTCTCCTCTTCTGTTCACTCCTCCGCCCTCCCTCGCCCCCTTTATGAAGCTCTTGCACAGGAACTTTGGAGTGTGAGGGGGAGGAGGGTTAGAATAAGGGAGAGAGCGAGAGAGAGATACGGCACAGTTGGGGGGTGGGTTGAATTGATGAGCAGGCTTCGGTCGAAGGCAGGGATCCAAGAGTAGCAGGAAAAGTCAGTTGCATGACAGGAGAGCGGTGTTCATCAGGAGCATTAAAGCAAGACGCAACCTGCTCCAGACACACCATGATTAGCAATAACACACGACAGGATCTAAAATGTTACTTGACTTTATTAAAAGAGATTGCACAAATAGGATTTTGGCGGCAGTAAGCAACAGGTGCAGAAGTGCTATTTCAACTGAATCATAACTTTCTGACAGGGCTGCTTGATTTGAGTCAATTCAGTCCAAAAAAGACATTTATGAAACTATTGCATTGGCCATAGTGAGTAAAATGTGTCTTCTTAATTCAGTCACATGTTACAAAAAAAAAAAAAAGACACGTGAGTCAAAGGAGAAATAAGTCAGAATCAAGAAAACCTAGTGGGTGACAGAAAGAGGAAATACATTTACCGGTAACCAAACCAGACTTCCTTCATAAATGTTGTGCAAACACCAAAATAAAAGTACCATCCTCCTTTGCGGCCATGTTAAAGACAGATGATACAAGAGGAAAACCACTCATTTATAAAACCGCCGTAAATGTTGCTATTAAACGCAGCATGTTGAAGCTATCACGGACAATACCACCAAATCCTTGCAACCTATAATCATGAAGTTCCTCCACACAGCAGAAGATAATAAGAGAAAATGGTACTAAACCAAAGTTTCCCTCCAGATTTCTGCACATAGCTGTAATCCTGACTCGAGAGTAGAGATTTGTGGTTCTCTTTTTTTCTCTCTCACAAGGATTAGGATTTTGTTGAAGGCTGCCTTACATGGATTTACAGGAAATCAGACACTTTCACTTTTTATTACTGTAGAGACAAGTCAAAAACAGCAGCAGTCCTCTTTCTCTGTTACGCAATCAAACTAAAAGAAAATACAAAGTGGGTACACCTTTGATCTGTTCGATTAAAAAGGAAATAATCCAATAAAACAGATAAGATACTGAACGGGTTACCCTTGCTACACATATCCTGAACTAAAAATAGTTTTCTGCTGACTGCTAAAATAACAATTCGGATTTCCACTTGTTTTAAGCTTTGTACAACAAAAACACTCAAGTTTAGAAAAAAAAAGTCTTAAAGGCACTATTGAAACTTCCCTCTGAAAAAACAGAGAGTGTACCTTTAAGACAGAAAAAAACAACAGATTTGGGTGTGCCACCACTGGCATTTTCCATGTGCTGTGATTTTGCCACAGGCAAGGACACACTACTCTGGCTACATGACTAATAGTCTGAGTGAAGGAGGCCTATGTTGAAATTTCTGATATGTGTTAATCCTCAGACACACACATGGTCCAAGCACAGGATATATTTTATTACCTCGATTAACCTCTCTTGGGTGGTTTTCAATGTGTTTGTTAACAAAGGGCAGAAGTGGCACTTTCTCATATGAAAAGTTCTCATACAAAGTGATTTTTTCTTTCATGTACCTCGGGACTTTTATCAAAACAGCACCAACTCAGAGCGAACCTTTCACGAGTCGCTGCAGTGCTCGAGAAACTTTCTACAGAGAGGAATTTGTCTATGTTGTGTCACTAAGGTTATAAATACACTTGCAAGAGTCCCTTCATTTATCTTCAGACTTGTCATTTTTCACTAGAGGAAGTGACAGATGCCCGAGGGCTTCTCCACACCTCTGGGGAGCGGGTGTTGTGGTGCAATGGAGGAGGAATAAGAAAGTACTGACTGGCTACTTTTCATCCATTAAAGCTCAATTAAAGTGCCAGCTCTAATAGGTATGGTGAAGTGTGCCGAATTGTTAGGTAGGAAAAGTCAGGAGAGAGTGCACACAGAGTCTTTCTGCTTCTTGTTCAGGGAAGGTTAAAAGCCACACACATTCCCCACAAGCAGCTCTGAAAGGCACAAAGGTAGACCACAGCAGGAGACATAGCACACTGCTGCAAAACTGCTTCTGTGGACGCCGGGCTGCTGTTCAAAACCCAAACCTTTCCGACTCCAACTCGGAGACAACTTCACACACACAGACAGACAGACACAAATCACTTTTCATGGCAGTTCAGTAAGCCTGTTTTCATTTACCCAAATCCCAGACAAGTGCTTAACAACATTACAACCGCAGCTCCTCCTGAAAGAGTTACCTGAGTTTCTCAAAACTGAACAGAAACAGGAAGGGAAACATTTCAAAGCCTAAAGCCTCAGAAACTGTCAGTGGTACTTAAGTTGATCATGTTGAGGGTGCAGACGAGCTTTAAACATCTGTCACTGACAGATCTGTCTCAAACAGGGCTCAATCAGAGAAAAACACATACAGATGTTCAATTAAAAGCAGAAGCCCACAGTCTTGGCTCATGTTTGCACTAGCCCACATTGTTTGCAGAGCAACAACGGTTGCTAGTGGCAACACCGTCCACTCCCGTTTCCAGGAGCTTGTTGCTGAGCAACCATCAGAATACTTCCCAAACCAAACAATGCCATCCCCCCACCTGATCCCTCTATCTCACGCTAAGTAGAAACTTACAACAATAAATACTATGTAAGCTAATAATTCCAGACACCAGGGAACACGGGGGCAGAGTTATGTAAAAATGTACAGACTTTTCGCTGGTTCAGACTTGATTTAGGAGGACAGACTGAAGTGCTCTGTTTTTCTAACTACTTGGTGCTAAAAAGAGGAAAGAATGTTTAAGTCATATGAGACACAACAGTCCATTGTTCAAAGCCGTTTTATGGTCCTGCCACCCAAAAACAACACTCAAAAGTGCAAGACGAGTCCTAAAGCTTCCTGAGTAAAGGTGATGATAAAGCCACTTGGTAACAGCAGTGCTTATGTTACTATAAAGTAAAACAACTCAAGACTGAGGAAATCATATAGTGTTTTTGAGGTACACTCAGGAAATCTGTTCATCACTGTGTAGTTGTATCGATACATGTACCAAGAGGAGCAACAGGTCTCTGTTGAAGCTTCAGCGTGTCTTCCCCGTTTGAGATTTTCCAAAGCAAATCCAATTTCATTTGCAGGTCTGAAAAAAAAGGCAGTAGCCCTTTTTTCTTTGATTTCATTAAAAGAAACCTATAGGATCACACAGGCACACGCGCTCACACAAAGAGCGAATTAAGATATGATAAGAGATTTCCACAACAGAGGCTGTTCTTCAAGCCTGTCTCATTAATTCATGGCTAATCCAATCAAAGCAGCTCTCGGGGTCTGCAGATGGCAGAGTTTAAGAGGGGTGAGAGAGAGAGAGAGAGAGCGAGAAAGAGAGAGAGAGAGCTGAAACAAGAGGCACTGACCACTGTCTCTGATCCAAGCGCCCCCTCCTTCCCCTCTCCACCCCTGGTCATCAGCAAAACCTGTCCACTCTGTCACCATGTGCGATGCAGGCCCGACAGCCTCAGAGAGGGGAGATCAAACGGTTGCCATGGAGATTGTGTGGTCGCCAGTGCTCTACACTAGCAACATCCGCCAGTCCCCCCTCTTCCCGCCCTACCTCTTCTAACCCTTTCCAGATTTCCACTGTCCCCCCATCAACCCACAGCCAGCCCTCATCTTTAACACTGAAAATCTCCTTTTGAGAGATTCAACCAGGAAAACAACAACAATAATAGGAAATGGGTGGGCAGATGATCACAACTGGGGATGTAATTGGACTGTGGTCATACGTGTGGGTGTCTCCGTTTCGCAGTTATCTGTCCGTCGTGTCCAAATGATGCCATACTGTTGATACAATCGAGACCACTTTACCAGAGTCAACAGCTCATTGATCATGATCAGTGCTTGAAAGTTAAAGGGGAAGGGAAATGCTCAGTTATTTTATAATCCGATCTGTTTTGTCATTTCCCCACGATAATGTCAATGATTGGTTCAAACTAAGAAACAAAAACTACTTCTGTTAAGAACCTCCTACGGCTCTGATATCTTTAACAAAATTCGACAGGGTGAAGTGAGCACACCTTCCCTTATGATGCCCGCACATTCCACAAAAATCCAATCAAACGGAAATGAATAAAATCAGTTTATTTTGAGGTGAAATAGAGCATTTAGGGTCATGGTAAGAAATATTCAAAAACTGTTCCTTTTTGACATCCAGGATCTAATAGGGTCTTGGACTGAGATCAAGTATTTATCACTGGTGCCCTACCCACAGCCTGCTATTCCCGATAATCTTATGTTCATAAGAAATCCTGCTTAATATCAAACAGGAAGAACTGCAAATATAACCTCTGTGCCTGAGGCATACTGCTGTCTCTTCGATGTTTTCACACAGTGGCTCATTTAATCAGAGCCAATCACTAACACCAATTTCTAGACCTAGCCCAGACTTGCATCTGAGCAAGAGTGCTCACGCTTATATTCTTTAGATCTACTTCCACTTGCTGTCTTAAACAGGTGTGCTCCTATGATCCAACCTCCAACCCTCAGACTTCTATTTCCCTGGAAAACCACATTCTGCTGAGAATACCTTAAAAGCTGGCAGCTTGACCGATGAACCTGAGATAAGCTGTTTGCTGCACTGAAGGAGTCGGCCTTCTTGGCAAGGACTCACTCCGCAAAGATACAACATTGACACTACACTGTACTTACAATATGCTTTCACAAGCACTACTTGACACAAACAATGAGTCATCAGTTAATGCTGGAAATATTGAGACAGATCCCAGTTGTTGTTATTCATACAGTGCCAGGCTATCAAACTAAGAGTCAAGAATCTTTTACTTCTTTGACATAAAATAGTATTGGTGATTCAATGTAACCCAATATCAATACAGAAGCCTGCATCAAATAGGTATATTTGTGGGGTTATTTCAGGCCAAATTGTTCTTTCTAAAGCCGCAGTGTTCATGTTTTTAACAGTGAGTCTAGATTTAAAGTGTTCCTCTCTTCAGACAAAAAAATCCAGTGGTTGGAGAAACAGGAAAAATTAGTGAAGTAACCTCAGCAGCATTCAATACTATCCGCTGATCATTAACAATCACTATTATGCATAAATCTTGTTACCATGTTGTGTCTCACTGTCCAGTGGATTGATGTGATTTTTAAATGTTTCATTGTTAGCAAATGTCTATATTTGAGACAGATTACATTTATCATTTATGATGGGTTAGTTATTTAATAAACAGACCGCCACAAAAGAGTAACCGGTAAATTCTACTACTGCGAAAATCCAATATATCCCTACATCTGGTTATGTTTTGTAGGCTTTGTAATGATTTTTTACAGTTATTATTAAAACAGTTTTCTTTCCTTCTAGACTACCTACATTGTAAATCTAGATTAGATCCCACTAATCTGTGCTGCCCTGGATGAAAATTGCAGCACACTTAATTCTTAGAAGAAGAAATGATTGACATACAATGCTGTTTTTAAGCTGCCCCTCCATTTTATTAAACAATGCCACATTAACATTTGCTCTCTTTTAAAGCTAATGAGTGAGACAAGAGGATTCTCAAAGATCAGGATCGGGTTGCACTTCAAGGTAAACCACGGTGAGACTGGAACAGGATTGTTTCCACCTGTTAAATCACATTTTCTGCTCCTGTTCCTTGCCAAGGCTCCCGAATAAAGTGTTTCTGCAAAGTTGTGTTGCAGACCAAGCAAATTACATTCAAAATTACAGTCGGAGTCAAGATGTTTGCTAATCTGCTCCCATCTAGCTCTATTTAGGTCCTAGTCATGGTTCTACTAATTAGTTTGTAGCAGGTTTTCACTGACAGAAGTCCTGTTTTAAGCCAAATAAACATCTCTTAACAAAATAGTCTAAACTCTACAATAGAAAGGAAAAGTGCTGGGGGAGAGTGGGGGCCGCTACTATCCCTGCCTGAAAAGAGAGAGGAGGGGGGTCAGTTATTGTGATGCAAATGTCACTGCCGTGTCTGCTGTTTGTGGCAGGAAATTTAATTAGCAGTTGTGTAGCCGCGATACAAACAGGTGGAATGTTAAGAATGCTCCTGATGACACACTCACACAGGCGGAAGAGACGGACTGAAAAACATTTCATTTCACAACGAGTTTCAACTTGTTGCCACCAGGCGAGGGCCAATCAGTGGCAACATTTTTTCTGGTATATGACAAGATTTGTTTTCTTTTTGTATCCTAGCAGCGTGGGCCTATGATGATTTCCAAACCCTTTGTAGCTGGATGACTTGATGTGAGTTTCACAAGGACTCTTAAACTATTTTCCTTTCAACAGATTCTTATAAAACTGGGAAAGCACATCACTTAAGGTGAAAAGCCTTTCACAAATAAATGAATTAGGAAGATTATGAAACTGAAACATTTCATGTGCACAAATGGGGCCATTATTTTTCACTTAACAAGCCCCACAAGGCATTCTCCTCTCAGTTCCTCTGCTTTGCTCAATGATTTCCTGACATGCCTTTGACTGGAGTTATGGGATAAGTCATTAAATCAGTGTTAATCTAACAATAAAAAAGAGCAAAAGGCAGGCAGTTCAGTTAGCACAGCAGGAGGTTAATGCAACTCTGCACAGATATGATCAACTGCAAACTGCAGCAACAAAACTGATGGCAGCGGCTGAGTCCACATCTATATCTGTAGCAGGCCATTGGATTGAGAATTTCTCCCTGAGGCAAACCTAGGCCTCATCAAGATAAGCTAAATACAGCATGAGCAAACACACATACACAAACACATCCACACCGCACACTTATGAAGGTGCACACACACTCACAGGACATGTGACCAAAAGCTGTGTCAGGTCGCCCGCTGCCTAAGAGACCACTGCAGCTGTCCTATTGATAGCTGAACTGTACTACACACATGGGTCCATTAAAATCTCAAAATGGCACGCTGGCAACAGCAGACACGGCTGTGCACGATCAAACAAGCAACCCGAGAGATGGCTCAACAAGAGCCACAGAGGAAATGGAGTAAGATTCAAAGAAGGGACATATTTTCTGTAAATCATATCACAAGTAAGGTCAGTTAAAAATAAAATACAGAATGATTTCAACGAGGAGATGATAAAACTATGGGAGAAAAAGTTTTATCTACCTCCTCTTTAAAAACCTGATTATTTTGAGAGTAGGAAATTTCTACTTTTCTCACCAACTGCTCCCCACTCTGTTTAAATCTTCTTTTTGAGGGCCATTTCTTTTTGACCTGCCTCTACAAGCCAAAGCTATGCACCCCAACCACAAAGACGGAGATGAAAATAACCCGATTAAAAACCCTGACTTTTAAAGAATAGCATTTCGCCCCCTGGCCCACTCCGTCCTCTTTCTTTCCATGACTTGGGTGTATTTGTGTATCAAGTTGCCATGTAAACATAACAGTGTCAGGCTTGAATTGGGGGGGCTGGGTGGGGTTTGTTGGGGTTACACACAGAGTTTTAGCACAGTCATCTCAATAATTTCTTTGTAGCTGTACGCAGTCGTCCAAATAATCAGAGTCAAGTCTCTGAAGCTTGAACAAAACCAGATAAGTCTTCTGTTAAGTCTCACCACAAGCAGCCTGACCATTACATTTTAATTCACTATACATTATTAATTATATTTATATCAATAAATATCCAATATCAATAAAGCCATACACTGACCTTCTTTGTTGACTTATAGAAAATAGATACTGGCTCACATCAATCAAAAACTATCTGCTGAAATTCATTGTTGAGCTTTCTTCTTTGAAAAAAAAAAAAAGATCACTTCACATAACCATACTTTTTGCAGATTATTACTCAATTCATAAGCCTTGAGTATGAATAGACGGTGCTCTGAAAACAGACATTTTTATGCTGCAGTGACTGATGCACAACAACAGCATATGACATTACAAATGACAGAGTACCTGACAGCTGTCTCCGCAAACATACTAGTTCATTACAAGTAATGTTTCTCAGGGGACAAAATAAGACACAGAGCATGAATAGAGGGCAAACGTGCCAAACATTGTAAAACAGATGAAATAAGGACTTAAAAATTACAAAAGGGGTCTACCTCTCCCTGTTTCTCATTATTGCTAAAGAACGGATTGCTACTGTAACTCTGGCATAAAGGTCAAACAGCAACCCAATGAGACCTGCTATCTGAAATATAAAGCAGTGACACTGAGAACAACTTCACCAACAGCGATTATTTGCTCCTGAATCTGTTCAGCATGCACAGCATCAGTGGATCCATGGTTATTTATTTGTTGTTTGACTGAATTAATAAATCAACATAAACACCTCGGAAATCCGATACAACCCATCACAACATCCCAAGAATGAATTCTCCCTCTACGAAGCGTCTGTATTTTTAATTCGTTGACATGGTCGGACAGGTTTTTACTGTTCTTTAAATTGATTGGTGGGTGGTGACTTGGATGCACGCTGAAAGGTGTTCCTAATATTTTGCTCTTATATGTTTGTTAATGATCCAAACAAAATATGTGGGGCATATTTGAATGTAACCCTCTATAGTACACCACCACCATTTTTAATAACTATGAATTCAAACAAGGAAATAACATAACTATGAAATGAACAATGAATTCTCCCTCTACGAAGCGTCTGTATTTTTAGTTGTTGTTGACATGGTCGGACGGGTTTTTACTGTTCTTTTAAATTGATTGGTGGGTGGTGACTTGGATGCACGCTGAAAGGTGTTCCTAATATTTTGCTCTCATATGTTTGTTAATGATCTGAACAAAATATGTGGGGCATATTTGAATGTAACCCTCTTTAGCACACCACCATATCTTTAATAATAATCATCACAACAATCATCAAAAAACTGAAAATTTAGAGGCTTCCTGAAGGTGAATCTTGTAGTAGAGCTGTTGTATTGTATTGGATTAGACCACCCAGGTGTTCATTATGTTATAATTGGTCAGTGTGAAGCTCAACAGGTATATCTGATCTGACAGCACATAAAAACTATAACTTTTAATCTTTCATCTCACTCGACTGTACAGACACAACAGAGCAGAATAAGAGAACCGTCATAGCACCATCTAGCTGCAACTTATCCTGTTATTCAAGCTGCTTCTGAATATGGAAATCACACAAGTTTGAGAAAAATAAACTTTTTTTTCTATTTTGAAAACAAACGTTGATGCAGACATAAAAATCCGTGTATCTTTAACAAGTTACTTAACTCCTGAAGAAGAAGAAAAGAGTCAGTGTTTGCACCGCGTTTGGCACAGTTGTGACAGAGTAAGGTCGTCTGTATAACTTTATAAATTACCCTTCTGCTCTGTTAATTCATCATTGCTCTGATGAGGGATTACGACAGGGCAAATAATCAACCCAGAGGCTCGGATTAAGTGCTTGCCAACATGAAAGACCTCCTTCAGAGTTTACGGGCGTAGCAAACAGTTTGAGCAACAGGAATAACGTTGCTAACGCTAGCTAGCTTACCCACCTGCTTAAACACTTTCACGTCCACCTTACATTAAAAAAAAATCACTTTGTCTAAACAGTGACAACAAAGACGGACTCGAAGCTGACAACCCAAACAATCCAGTGACCTCAAGGCTGAACCCGAACTCATCGCTCCAGGTCCCCAAAGTTAGCATTAGCGATAGCATGACTGGTAGCCTGAAACCATCCATCCTACTGGGACTGAGCAACCACTACACAACGCAGCAACAAGTGTGAAGTGATGTCGGATTAATCTGGAGCAGAAACGGCTGGAAGAAAGTAGAAGAAAGCGGCGTAAAAAGAGGACACCAACGGCTGAAGTCATGCCCTTTTTTCCCTAGTGCAAGAAAGTGCTGTCAGTAGTTAGTGAGTATCAGTGAACGGAGAGAGAGAGAGAGAGAGAGACAGAGCCGCTCTCACAAAGAAGGGAAAGTTCTGTCGTGGAAAATAACCAACGCTGCCACCAAAGCCTTCGATACACAAGCAGTTTTTCTCCCTTTCGTGATTCACTCAACGCCTGAACTTTTTCGAAAAATCATAGTCACCTTTGATTTGAGAAAAGTTCTGCTCTCTCCCACTCGCTCAGTGACTTCCAGATGCTGCTGCTGTTGCTGAGTGTTGCGCCCGTTGGTAAGTAACTGTATCCACGGCTACAGTCACTATGGCGCGAGGGGGTCTCGAGGCAACTGTTGCTACCCTCGAATGCCTACGTCAGGGCCCTCACTATAGATGGGGAGGAGCCAAAGGGAGTGGAAGGACCGCCCAATAAAAAAAATGCTGTAAATCTGTGTTGATCCACTAGGAGGTGGTCTTAGGTCACTGTTTTTATCGTAATGACATTAGACCTGGATTTACCTTTAGAAGTAAGGATTGTGCCCACATATGCAAGAAACTTGATTCAGTTTTTTGATGCTATCATTGTAGGGGAGAGTGGGGTAAGCTGAGCCACCCCCTGTTGCTTGGAAATGGTAAAAGAAATTGATCATGTGACCAAATATTTAGGAGATGAACATCAATTTAGGGCACAGATCTGGCACATGGAACAATTATATCTGGCCCACAAGATCATATTTGTTTCATTATTGGCTCACCAGTATGAAGTCTGCAGATTTCTTCCAGTATAATAATGTAAACTTTAGCAGCGTTATTCAAAATGTTCTCAATAAGCCACGAAAATCTGGGAAATTAAAGAGTAAGGAAGATTTGATAAATAGTCAAGAATATGGGGAAAGATATTTGGTGTTTTATTTCATGTTTTCAATTTTGCATTTCAAGATTACAAGTCAAACATGATTGGATTTTTTATTTCGTGCCTTGATTTTGTTCAACTCAGTATTTAGATTTATGTCATTTTTATAGTTTAGATTCCAATTTTAAATGTTGAGTTATATTTTGAGTTTTTAAACCTGATTTCAATGTTCTCCTCATGTGTTTGCTCTTTGAAAGCATTATTTTTCTATTTTTAATATCATGCTCTGATCTTTTGAACTAATAAATAAAATAGAATAAAAAAATAAAAATAAAATACATTTTTCTATCTCAGATTGCCTTTAAACTTATCTTTTTATCTTTTTTGAATTTCCAAATGATTTTTGGTGAAATTTTGACCCTGTTTGGCCCTCAGGTTCGAGATTATGGAGTCTGTGAAGGTTAGAACCACATGGGTGAAGGGGTTAGACATTTATTTAAAATAAATAAAATCACTCATGTAAGTTAATTGAGTCGGTCTTAAGTTTTATTGGAATTGTTTTCAGACCAAAAAAGATCATTTAAAGCTTGTTTCATACAGTTTTATACAGTTATATGCAATAATAATAATAAAAAAAGGGAGAGAGAAGGTGAGGGAGGGATGGGGTGGAGAGTCAGGGGGGTTCGTAGGGATAAAGCTCAACTTACTCTGCTCCTATGGTCAACTTACCCCATACACGGGGTAAGTTGACCATAGGAGACCACTTTTTTTGGTATGCTCTATTGTCAAGACAGTTATGTTTACACTCATTCTTTTGGTTTGCAGGGATGCACAACATCTTGACATATATGCAGATACACTAGTTAGAGACAAAACTGTGATTGACTTGATGTAGTGATCCGAAATATGAAAAATGGCTCATCTTACCCCACTCTCCCCTACTCCTAAAATAATTAACAGAATCATAGAAACAGCAAAAGTATTAGCAACTTGTAAACACAGTTGCATGTTTAACAAAAAGGATGAACAACTCTTCCTGTATGTGCCTGCATATTACTGTCAATGTTCCTTCTCTTGACTGGTCTGGTGGAAGCCATGAGGAAGAACTTTTTGTATCATCCAGTCCTGCACATGTGTAATCAGCCTGCAACTGAATGTGCTCTGTTAAATACCCTCCAGGTCCCAAAGTGGCTGTGCAGGATTCCTTAAACAGACATTCCTTATATATAAATATACACACATACCCATACACTGAAAGACATACAGTAAGTGAAATGTTGTAATCTGTAGATAAATAAAGAGGATAAAAACTGTTTTTGTTACATTACTCTGGTGTAAGTGGATAACTATTTAATGGGTAAATATAGCTCTTTACAGTGAGTGAAGGTTTATGCTCTTTACATGAACAAGAACCAATAGGTAAAGAATGAATACAGAGAGCCAAAGGACACGTATTGAATGGGTAAGGTACTAGATGACCTTGTTATCATACACTCAGTGTTTATGTATACACTGTATACACATAGATGTCTATATTCTATACATTCAGCAAGAATTCAGAGTGTATAAAAATCCATTAATTCATATATACAGTACATTTAGCTCAAAGGTACTATGGATGGCACAAACACATTAAAGCTCACAGTGTGAAGCTTTTATGCATCAACTATTTGGGCATTACAAATACTGATGGGTTTTTCTTCAGCAGTTTTAACACCTTACTATCTTCTAAACCATCAGTCTCTGTATTTTGTATATGACTGAAAACGACTGAGAAACAATCTTGTTAAACTTTTGTGTTTTTTGCAGTGGTGCGCTCAGTCTCTTATTCCTGCATTTCACATCTTCAGCACATGATGGCGCCACATATCCATACTGAGAAACAAGAGAGTCACAGGTCACAGGAATTAGATGAATGGATCAGATCGACAATTCTTCTTAGAAGCAGAAGTCAAGCACTTCAATTGTATATCATAGACAGAGCGCTCGAAGTAATAAGAGTAAGAGTGCTTTCCTTTTATCCACTGGTTGATTTGACCATGCAGAAAAAAATACTCAATATTGCTCTGTTTAGATATAAAAAATATATTTAAATCACAAACAAACAATTAATTGTTCTAAATCTGACCAGGTATCTGACTGTCTTATTTTTAAATAGAGCTGTGGACATGACTTTATGGAAAATGTTCCATTAATTTTAATGAAATTCAGGGTTTTGGAGTAAAGTTAACAGTACATCCATAAATTGTTTAAGTCAGGTAATATATGCAGAGACTCTTCTTCGAAATGTTCTATCAAGGATGGCTATATCTGTATCATATGACCTTATAAATTGGGACTGGGGATTTTTTTATGCTACTCTCCATGGTTTGAAATTCACCATTTTGATCTTTCACCGCTTTTGGGCTAAAACAGACAGAAATAATCCAGTTGATTGCAGAAAACACACTGACGCCACCATGTTGAGAAATAACAGAGACAATGTCGCGTGAAACACGAAGTTCAGTTTACTTATTGGTAAAGTACTTGCACGTCTGTGGTAATAGTTATATAATCTGACTTATGGCCTTGAACAGAAGTTACCAAATTTTGATAAATCAATCGATATGCCAGGCTGTCCTTTACACTTAGATCTTTGAACAGAGAGGCTGAATTACAAACTGTTGATTTAGACAGCAGAGGAGTCTGATGAAAGAGGTTATGAAATTGAAGGATCAAGCTTTTTTGGAGTTTGACCAGTACTGCAGAGAGAAAACGAGGTGAATGTCTCCTTCTCTGGGTGAGGTCACAGAAAAAAAAGCAGCAATTTTATCACTTACATTTTCAATATTCTTTCAATTCAGAAATTTAAGAGAAAAGATTGAATACGCCAAGGTTATTGTTGAAAACTTCTATTATGGATATGATATTTGGCTTGAATGAAACGCAGCTTGTCACAGAAATGAAAGTTGCCCAACCTAAGCAGCACAAATGTCATCTTGCAGCACACAATTACACAATTAAAGTGAAGTTTATCCTCTCAGTTCAAATATTATTTTGGGTCGTGGACTTACTGCATCCTTGAAAGATTGATACACAAGTTGTCCAATTTAATATCAAGAGACAGTACATAGTAGGCGGCACGGTGGTGTAGTGGTTCGCACCGTTGCCTCACAACCATGAAGGTCCTGGGTTCGAATCCCAGTCAGGGTATTCAGAGAATTTCCCAGTTTGGGATCAATAAAGTATATTTATCTATCTAAAGCACTTTGTAATCTGCAAAATATCCCTTATAGGTAGATAACAGCTAGAAAAAAAATCTTAATCAGTCACAAATCACAACAGATTAGGAGTAACAAGAAGTAACGGCGAGCTTCAACATGTAGGCTGTAATGAAGTATTTTAAAGAGTTACACAAAGTAAAATGTCTATTTGCAATTCATGCCAAGCAGGAGACAGGGTCCAAAACACTACAGCTTGTGCATGTGGCACAATCTATAAACCAGGTTGTAGCATGCCTTTAACATAACCTATTTCCTGAAAAAAACAAAACAAAACAAAAAAAAAGTCAGATTGAAAACAGTCATATCTTTAAATAATTTTAAGAGTATCATAAAGAATGCAGTGAAGAAGGAATGTCAATGTTTTCATGTGAGGCCACTTTTTTAACAGCTGTTACTCTGTTTTATTGTTTTATTGTTTGTTAATGTTTTACTGTTTTATTGTTTATTTACATATCATGTACCTCTTCCTGTTTTATTTTGTTTTTGACTTTGTATGACAGCTTACTTGGCCGGGTCTGTCTTGTAAAAGAGATTTTTAATCTCCATGGGACTTCCTGGTTAAATAAAGGTTAAATAAATAAAAATTTAATTCCTCATCTTGAAAACTGTTGCCATAGCATACATCAAGGGTTTCTAAAAAGTATAAGAATGAAAAGGTATAAAGTGTGTTTATTATTAGGCCCAAAAATGCAATTAGTGGGGATGATCTAATCATACTCTAGTAGTTTAAAAGGTTTTTAAAGTAAGAAAAAACATCCCAAAAGTAAAAAAGGTAAGTTTAAAAATTGAAAGTGCTTCACAATGTTTACAGAGTCCTCTATCTGTGATATCTCATCTTTGAGCAGTGTGTCTGTGTGTCAGGTGATAGTGTAAAGCTGTAAAACTGACGGTTGTTTCCAACAGGTGTCACAGACTGGATGTCAAGCCCTGACTGTGACCCTCTGCCAGTGATCTTAGCACTCACACGGTGTTCATTCACAGACACATCCAGACCTTCATTCAACACAACAAAGAGCCTTCAGGTAAGTCATGATTTCATGAACCGGTTGGTGGGTAATTCAGGTACACTCTACTCATTTTTCACTCTGTTAATCTAAACAATGACTGAGAATTGAGTCAGATATTTTTATGGTAGTTAGTATTTGTATGAGGGTGAATTAGTCAGGCTAATGGTGAACCTGTTTAAGGTAAGTTTTGGTAGCACACACACACACACACACACACACACACACACACACACACACACACACACACACACACACACACACACACACACACACACACACACACACTGTTAAAACGGCTTTACGCACAGAAGCAACAATGCTTTTGATATACCATACTCGTTTGAAAGAAACTACGTTTGAGCAAATTCTACTTAACTCAAACACAAACCATCATTAGCGGACTTGTATTGTCGTTATTTTTCAAACATATTACTTTGTTTTACAGCCAAATTCATGTCCAAGTCTGTGCTAAATGGTTTTGTGATACATTACTGTAAGATTACATTTGAACATATCTTACACAAGATAAAGCTTCTGTAGTTTTGTGTGCATTTGAGGACTCCATATCCCATGAGCACCAGCACGTAACCTCTAAGATGATGGTGCTTTCAAGTAAGTTTATATGGCCTTTCTTTTTCTGTTTGTTTTTGTGAAAGAAGGGGTTGAATGTAATTGTGTTTTAAATAGATTATTATTGAATATAAATTATTAAAAATAATAAATGATTATCTTTTTAAAAATCCCTGAAAAGTTGCTATTTCTCAGGTAAAGAAATATTCAGGTAGAGTAAGAGTAAATGCTTTCAGTTGCTAAATTAACTTCTGCTTTTCTGTCGGAGTTTGATGAACTTTTTGGCGTATTAATCACAATAATCACTCAGCACTGGGACAGTTTTACCTTTGTATTCAACAACATGATCTTCATTTTATGACTTGCAAGGGTTTTTATTGAATGTTTTATCGCTAGGTTGTGTTTGATTGAGTTGGTTGAGGCACAACTAAAAGAAATTTCTCCTGGAGAAAAAACAACAGCACCAAGTTACAGAATATTTTATTTAGAGTTAATGCAATTGTACTGTACATCATTTTAATGATGCATCTGGTAGACGCTGTCCTAATTCTAATAAAAGATATCTGCAAATTCTTATTTGAAGAGCAATCGGATGATTTGTTGAATAATAATAATTATAAATATTCTGCAAAGCAAGGTTACTTCAGGATATTGCTCCTCAAATCACACTTGGCCACAATCCTTTAAAAAATTCCTCCCAGTACTGTCTCTGCAGAGAGTGGGATGAGAGAGGATGTCACTGACCGACAGTAACCTCAGTGAAGGGTGCCTCAGCATTGAACGCATCCTGCAGCCTTTCAGCCTGTGCGCATGAGTAGAGCTGGTCATGTGACCCTGTGGTGTGGTGGCTCTGTGTTTTCGTCTCTAGAGGTAATTGGCTGAGCCTGATCTTTCTATAAAGAAGTGATGGCACACATTTTGTGATGTCATGTGAGCATCTTCACACATGCACTATTTTGAGGCTGATCTTAAAAAGAAACGCATGTTCCAAATAGAAATTGAGTCAACAACTACTAACAGAAATTATGTGTACATGCACTGACAACTATTTTGTTGTCAGTGCATATATAAATATATATATAGTTCACCTGATTATTATCACAAGGGGCCAAAAACATTCTTTTTTTTTTTGTTTTCTTGTGGGGTGAAACTGAACTCAGTTTTTAGATTTCACTTCTCAGGCAGGTTATACAGAGAACACTAACCTAAATGCTGAGCTGTTCATGTAGCCGTGTGGTTTCTGTTTCCTCTTCTTGAACTTTTGCACCTTGTTGGTGGGAGTTTAGGGGAAATTAGACTCTTCTCCTTTTTATCTCTATTGCTGCGTAAGTAAATGATTCTTTTTCTGTGTATATTAATGGTAAATTGAAACATTTTCAGTAAGCAATAGCTCAAATTACATCCTCATAGCTGGGAATCCAGAACTACAGTTCCTTCCTAAAGGTAGGCATGTTTTTCGTAGGTTCATGGTTTATTTCAGGCTTTTATTGTATGCAAACAGCAAACAGTTTTACAATGGGCAGATCTTTAATATGACTCTCTCTCAGCACTTGCTTCCTCTATTGAGTTACTGTCTTTGTTTTAGCACCCAGTATATCAGGTCATGGCCATAGACTGACTGAGACAGAACTTGAAGTACAGGATTATCTTGTCGAGCTGTATAATTGGGCTGACGGCTTTGATTTTCAGAGTGAGGGCTAAAATTAGGCTTTCAAAACAATGCTGAAAGTAAGTCCCAGCATTCAGCTTGAAATGTTTTGAAGTCTGTCAACCTTAGTTGACTGACTCGCTTTCTTTTATATTTATTTCATCCCGATGTGATTCATCTAGCAATTATGTTGTTTTGAACAGATACTTAAGCACCAACTGAACATTATGTAAAAATCTGTGGAGAAGAAGAAAGTGTTAAGATCTCTAACCCAAATTTACATAAATAAAAGTTTTATCAGCAAAATAATAGTACTTCCAGTTACAAAACCTTTGTGTGCAGAAAAATGACCCATGGCTGTTGATGAATCTTGAAAGTGAAAGTTGATGAAGGTTTAACTCTGATCCAGTGAAACTGCTGTAGCTGGTATCGGTGGACCAAGTCATTGCCAGTATTATAAAGCCAATCTCAATCTGTAAACAGCTTGGTCTCATAGACGAATGTTAAATGCAGTCAATTTCTATTTTGGAAAGCTGAAACTAAAAAATCTGGGATAGATCAACAACCTAAATAATTATTTTGGGTCTTTTGTATATTTGGGTAACTTTGACAGTGAATGCATCACTTTGTACAACACTTATTCTGCATGTCGTGTTTTTATATAAAATGTAATTGCTCAAGCAGTTTAGCCATGACAGTGGGGTTAAAAAAGTACTGCGCTTGATATTTAAATCAGCGAGCCATGGAAACAGAAACAAATGGAAACTCTGGGGGTATCGCAGGAAAAAGTACCTGAATTTAAACTCAAAACAGTGCCTGTTCCATCCATTACAGCTATTTGTATTGTTTTTAAGTGATTTGTTGGCTGACAACTTCAGCCTACAAAAATTTGCTAATCAACAATCTTTATAGTAGAAAACATACAAAGCACATTTTTGTATGGTTGCATTGATATTATTTATGTTATTACCATAGACTGTAGATAGAATGGGCAGCATCTGCCTCCTCGCTAGGTGAAGCCACTCCAAGAACAGCACCCTCAGTTGATGGGCTGCAGTATAGATCATAAATCCCACCTCCGCCAGCAAAGCTCATGGGGCTGTGGAAAAACTTTAGAAATGTATTACACAGAACATAATTTTTTCTCACCCCTGCTTGCGGTGATGACATGTAGTTTTTGTAAGACTGGTTTGTGCTTGAGTCTTCCTATTTCTGTGAAGCTCCGTTTTTAAGAGTTATTAGGGGTTCATGTTTTCTTTGATTGACACCTGATACAGCCTATTGGCGTTCAGGGATTGCGTAGCTTACCGGGGGGATACGCTGTTTGAGCCTAGCGTCATCACAGCGACTCTCTGCGACTCTCCCGCTGAATGCGCACAACGCTACTGCGCCGCGCTGGTTTCAGGAAATGAAGGATATCAAATCCGTATACTGGCGGAAGGAGGAACCAAGTTGTCCATACAGTCTATGGTCACTACCTAGGCCACCGCTTAAATGTGTAAAGACATGCCAAGTGCATTAAATTTATACTGTGGTAGGTGTGTGAATGATCAACAATCAATATTATTGGCAGAAGTAAAGGGGCCCAAAATCAAATTTTGCTAAGTGCCCCATTGAGGCTTGGGACGGCTCTGCAACAAGCATTTCTACCTTCTCAAATGTGCTCCAGAAAGTATAATATTACTTGAGTTTATAGATTTAGTTACTTGCTTAACAACCTAAAAACTGGCTGGATTGTTGTCACTAATTTTCCCCTTTAATTGACAAAACAGTTAGTTATTCTAAGGTAAAAATCAGATAAAATTAGGTATCAATGGGGGGCAAACAAAGGGTGGGACACAATATGAAGGATGTGTGTTTTTTAATAATGTAGGTCACAGGATGTGTGTTTCTTTGCAGCCTTTATAATGTGTATATGTCAGTTAGTGGAAAGTTAAACAGACTGCACAGCTGCAAATATCGTGGCCTCAGAAATCTTTGCGTTGAGTTTGTCCGACAGTAACCCTGGTCGGCGTATCAGCAACGTGTGTGTAAGGGAGTATCTCTGTGGGGGGATGGGTTTTAGTTTCATAGCATCATCTGTCAAGTAGAGAGAGAGTGTGTGTGTGTGTGTGTGTGTGTGTGTGTGTGTGTGTGTGTGTGTGTGTGTGTGTGTGTGTGTGTGTTCTTCCCCCGCTCTATTCATTTGGCTTGCGTGGCCTTATAGGGAGACCGTGTGTGTGGTGTGAGCAGTTTCAGCCAATCAGATCGCTTTGTGATGTTTGAGGAAGGAAGGGGGGAGAGATGGGTGTCTGCAGGAAGCTGGCTGGTTTATCTGGGTGGGGTTTTCAGGGGGGTGGGACCAACCAAGCCGGCTAGTGTTTGAAAATGAATGGTGTGCTTCCTCAAGTAGTAGAAAGAGCCGGCGTATTTGTGTGTGAAGCGGCGAAGAGAAGCCAGAGCATATCAGAGAGAGAGGGGTCGATTCAAGAGACAAACATTTAGTACACACAAGGAGAAGACTTGGTTTCCAGCCATGCAATGTGAGTATCAGAGTTTTATTTCTTATTTTATTCATTTTTATCTTCCACTCTCAGAGACTGAACCCAGTGGAAAATTGCTTTTTGTATGTTGCCTCAGTTCATTCTCTAGGTTTTGTCTCATATTTCAAGTATATATTTGTTTAACCAAAACCCAAAATGTATTTTTGGTTGTGAATCAGTGTACCCTCCTCCTCTTGTTCATGATGATCCAAAATATCTAGTTTATAAATTCATATAGAGGTGAAAATTGTAGCTCAAACATCCTCATTACTATATGTGGATATCTGCTTGCCTGCAGAAGGGTGTAACCCAACCTGCATATCTGTGTGAATTTGAGTTGCGTTCAAACCCTTAACCCCAGTTTCTTTTAAATATCTGCTTTATCGTGAAAATATCTTAAACTGGAACAAAAATGTGAATCTTTCTGTGGTTTCTGTGGATAGAGGATGCTGTGGATCACGCCCAGTCGTAAAACTGCTCAGCTGGTCAGAGGCAGCAGCAGCAGCCCCATTGAGGATGCAGATTGTTCAATGGGGATGTATTGATTGAATAATATGTAATCTTGCGTTTGGGTTCAGACAGTGCAGACAGGGCTGTTATCTTGGACGGGACAGGACAATACATGAGGCAGAAGCAGAGGGAGGGGTGAGGTTTTGTCTGCTCTGTTTGACAGGGGATTAACCCAACTGAAGTTAGCAGGCATGGTGGGTTTTACGTTGGGGAGGGTCCCTGCTGGTTTTGTTTTGAGTGTTCATGCCTCAGGTTGAGGATGGTGTTTTAATGAATAGGTCTTCTACATTAAAAAAAATGATATAACCACAAAGGTTTAAGTGTTGGATCACTCCAACTGTTGAGTTTTCCCTTTCTGGATTGCGCAGCTGTTGCACGGCTTGCTCTACATTCATAATCCTCTCCTGATAACATAGACACAGATGCAGTGATGATGTCAGTTTGCAGGCTGATAAATCATCAGATCATTCATCCTTAGCATTAGCTTTAATAACCTATGAGGAGAAAGTACAAAATGAATGCAAGTGAGGATGCAAAAATTGCTTCCTCTTCCCCTCTAAGTATTTACATGTTCTAGCTTCTGCTGTTTTTCTCATTGTTATATAATCACCCACCAAATATCACCAGACTTTTTATCAAACAAAACAAACCAAAAGAAGACATCAACTTTTTTTACATACTGTGTTTTCATTTACAAAAAATAACCCATCGGCAGGCTGATGGTCCAAGGTAAAAACATGTTAGAGCTGTATTTCAAATATATGGTCCAAGTGGATTTACCGGTTTCTGTAAAATAATCTTAACAGACCACTTGACAGACCTTTAGTTAACCTTTATGGTGTTTTTCATGTGGACAAAAGCCTTCACCATTTACTATCTAACCTAAGTGATGAAGATAAGATTTTAAAGAGTCCTATAAAAAAGCCATTTGGTTGATTTCACCTCACTGACATGCTGGCTTCTCAGATGTACTGTGCGTATCTATCTGTCTATCTGTAGTGGGTCCATCAAATCTCTCGTTAAAATCAAGGAATGCTTCAATTGGCTGCAATCCAAACTAAACAGATCGTAATCCAGTTCCAGGTTCAGGGTACAGTTAGCATCTAACGCAGGTACTTTTTAACTGGAGCAGTTTCAACACCAGTTTGTGGAAGATACAAGTCGTTCGTAGAGTACTTTTATCAATACCCTTGAAATTTTAGCTATCAGTACAAGATCTATTTACATGCAGCTGAATTTCCCCAAGTGACTTTTGGTTTTAATTTTAGTTGGTGGAAAGTTCAAGTCAGAAGAAAGTTCATACTTATCCCATGGGTAAATTTAGTAAGATGGACAGCTGGTGATATTTGGAGGAGAGGCAAAACTGAAAGAGATCATGTAAGCTGGACAGTTTTAATTTTTTGGTAAACAGCTTGGTAACCCCTGATGACAAATGGTGTTTTGGAGTATTACTCACCACCTGACTAGAAGAGGGGGTTTCTGCACTGAAGATAAACAAGAAGCATGTGTCTCAAGTCTTCATATGTGATCTAAATGTGAAGAGCACATGTGATCACAGCTCATCAAGCTAAAATGGTCTGCTAAGATTAAGGGGGGATTCATAAAGAGGAAAAGCCTCAGGGTATTTTTTCAGTCTACAACCATTCAGTTGGAGTGCACATGTGATTGAACCTTTTCTTCAGATCAGTGTCACCCCTCACCCCACCAAACCCTTGACCCTAACAATGACAACACCTGAAAGAAAGAAGGAAGATCCCCACTTAAATCGTACCCTCAGTTTCTTCCATATCTGCCCTCCTCCACCCTCAAACAAGCTCCCTTCAACACTGCTGGAAACCCACCTCCTCTCACAGCTGTGTCCTTGAGGAATGTGCAGCTGCAAAGGACAGTAGAGGGGGGAATAAGGTGGCAGCTTTCCGTGTGTGTGTGTGTGAGCAAAGATGAGATCACCCCCCGTGACGTATCCTCTTGGCTGTAAGACCCTAAAACCTCCTGAGGATGTGTTAACAGAAGTCTCCTTGGGGTCAGCTGGCTGCTCGCCACATGACTGAAGAAGAAAAGTAGTATTGATTTTTTTTTTTTTTTTAACAGCAGGGGTGGCATGTGGGGATTGGGTCTTGTTATTCCTCAGAGGATGGTTTTCAAGGAAACTGTTGCCCAGCTGTTATCACCATTTCAGACTCACTTCCCCCTCAATTGTACCTGTTTTCTCGTCAAATATCGGAGGTGTGGTTTCCCAGATATGCGTCAAACTCCACAGCCCTGATGGAAAATATTTTCGCCCATGCTCTCTGACCCCTTTGGAGCCTGTTTCTCTCCACTTTAACCCCTCGCCCAATTGTCCCTGTGAGGCGGGTCATGATAGGCTGCTGCCACAATAAGCAGACGAAGCCGTTGGTATGTGTTTTCAGCCCTCTTAGATAAACAGGCCGACAGCAGCAGCAGCAGCTCAGACCTGTGATTTACCAAGCTAAAAGAGGGGCCTGGATGAGGGGGAGTTGGAAGTTTACATCAGACAGTGGATGAGCGGTGATGTCCTCTGGTTCAGAAGGCTCTGTTGTGTTTCCTGTGATGAGGTAATGGTAAAGGAAGCTTAGGATTCCTCCTCTGACTCTTAAAATGGAGCGGATCACCTTTTAAACAGTGTAACAGCAGAAGACTGTCGCACCATATGACTCTTGTGTGTCCTCGTTGGCTGTTTTTTCATCTCAAAATTTGGTTTCATAATGTCATTAGATGCATTTATGTGGCTTTTTGTTGGATTACAAAGGGGGTGGAGCCATGGCAGCATTGTAAAGAGCATTTACTTTACTAAACACTACATTTAGAGTGAGTGGATCTGTAGCAGGTCTTTCCACTTTGACAGCCAACCTCCATTTGCTTCTCATGCTACTGCCACACAACCAAAGTTTGTCAGCGGACCATTCATGTAAAGACAAAGTTTGTATAGCAGCTCATAAAGGGGGATCACAAGAGAAGAGTGACTGAACATCATGCTTATCTTTTGAGGAATTTCCTTTAGGCACATTCGTTTTTTTTTTGTTCATGGCATCCTGTTCTCGTTCAGCCAAATACACTCACTAAATTACCTGTGTTGTCATGTTAAAGTGCTTTATAAAACAGCTATTTGACCTCTGCTCAAGAGCTAATGGCAAAATGACAGACAAGACCAGTTGTGACTTAGTGGTGGAAAAGTGACATGACCTGATGTCAACAGCGCTGAGGTGTGAGTCTTGTGAGCGCTACAAGCAGCCGTCGATGTCACGTTGGTGTTACTCGTTTGCAAGTAGAGCACAGAAATCAGCTTTTTAAAAATCTATTTTATAAGTACTAAAGTAACATCTCAAAACCTGCCTGAAGCCTACTTCAAGATATTTGATAAATGTCATTCCTTTTCAAATGAAATAAGACATTTATATTCTGCAGTGTTGAAGGATAACTCTTTGAGCTTACGTCAGCGGAAAGGACTTTAAAATCCCCCTGGCTGATAGTAATCCATCAGTCAGTGAGTGTACAATGACTGAATAAACTTAATATCTAAAAAAGTCCTGTCACTACTTTCTTCCCAGTGACTGCGTGTGAGCCCGGTGCCATGACTGAAGCCGTGGTGATGGAGCCACAGAGGGCCAGCGGCCTCCTGGAGTCGTCCTGTGGCGCAGGGAGCAGCGCAGCCTCCCTTGATGACGGCATCGTGGATACAGCAAAGTAAGTTTACACAAAGACAAACCTGACAACCCTCACTGTAGAGTCTACAGAGGTTTGGTTTTCAGATTTAGTTTCATAGACTGACACTGGGAGTAATGAGAGGACTTTGTACCTCCAAAATGATATTAAAATTGACTAGCTTTAGAACTGAAATCTGACATTTAAATAAAATTTAACCTTTGGTGAGTCTCATCAAGCCAAAAAGTTTATTCTCACATATGAAGTACTACTGAGAAACTGCAGGATGTAGATGGCAGCTAAGTTTACTACCCAGGTAAGGGGCCTGGAGCTCTGAGGTTTGCTCAGAGTATGTACTTATCTAGATTTACGTTCCTGTTAGTGTGTGCATAATGTGTGGTTACTGTCTCCTCTAAGCTTTAATTTAAAGCACTAATAATGTTATCTTAATTTTAAAACTATAACTATAGGTGTTTTCACGATTTACAGTGAAGATGAAGCAATGATTTATAGTTTCAGGATGTGAAGGTGTGTCATGGCCCCATTTTTCCTCAGGGACAGTCGGGGTGCTGTCACTTTGGGAAACCACCACCCTGCCTGGGTTAATTGATGTTTTTTTTCCTTTACTTCTTCTTCAGTGAGTCTTCAGAGGAGGAGTCCGCAGGGGAAAGGGAAGAGGAGATCGGTGTACAAGATGATGTCAACAGAGGCACCATGACTACAGAGGTCCTTGCTGAACAAACCTCAAACACACAAACAGGTGAGGGGAGTCTGAAGTCTGTCTGGCTCTTTTGTAAACCCTCAAACTTTTAAGAATGATCCAGCCAGATTGATAAAAAATAAACTGATGCTCTGGAACAACTGGGCTTTATGAGTGTTGGCTCAAGTCGCTGTGGTCAGCATTACCAAGCATCATTTTCTGTCTCCTTCCTGAGGAAGTGAGGTTAACGGGGGTGCACACATTCTTTGGCAGAACAAACTTGAATTTCCTTTCCTGTCTTCAGCCTCTGCTTTGGAATTCCTTCCTGTACCCGTCAGTGCGGGAAAACAGCACAAAGTCTTCTTTTCCATGATGTTCGTCTACATAATGAACAATTTCTCTTTCAATTTAAAACAAAGCTGACATAATCTGTAATAGATCAAGTGATTTAAAGGTTTCTGTGCATCATGATCATCGAGTCAGAGAAGCAGTTATTTTTCTAGATTACCTTGCTGGTTGAGATTGTTTTTAATTAAAATGTCGCCACCCTGGGCTCTCATCTACTCAGTGTCCTGACAACCAGCTGTTTCCATTTGCGTTTGGTTGTAAATCCACTCTCATTTAGTTCCTCTGTCCACATTATGACTCCATTGTAAATCACAAACATCCTGCTTGAATTCAGGTCACCGGCACACTGTTGCCTTTGCATTGTCGCTCTCCCCTGTTTATATCAACACATAAAATACTACCCACTCTTCATTAAGGCTTTATTGTGGTAGCTCAGGCCATCTGTTATACTGCTTAGGACAACAAGTCATTATTGAAGCATGTAAATGCAGGAGCATGGCTAGAAACTGTGTGACACGTGATTCAGTTCTGTATTCTTTTCGATGTCCTCCAGTGAAAGCCGAGCGCCCAAACTCCCTGTCAGTGCCGGCAGCCGGAGCGTCCAGCATGTGGACGTCTCAGGGTGACGCAGAGGTGAAACTGCGGATAGGGGACTCTGGTCTGGCTGCTGAAACCCCTTTGACTATCAACCAGGTGTTCACCTCAGCTGTAGAGCGCTTCGGCGACTTCACAGCTCTGAGCTGGAAGGAAGGTGAGCAGCAGAAGATCCTCAACTACAGAGAATACTACCAAACCTGCCGCACTGCTGCCAAGAGCTTCCTCAAGGTGAGTTTCATCAGTAATGTGTGTAAGGGTCAGAGCCTTGTGTCACAATCCTAGCATATAAGCAGTCCCAAAGCACCAAAACCAAGAGCTACAAATGATTAAAATTGATTTTTCATCTCTAATTTTGTTTTGATTTTACAGCTTTTGTTTAGAGTGATCATTCTTTAGATTTCTTCTTTTGATGCCTGTTTAGATGACAGCGAGACAAAGAAATAAAACACCTAGATATACACTTTCACAGTTTTGTCATATTTAAAAGCATTATGGCAGTTTTTTACAGTATACTCTGTGATCATAGTCGTTTGTATTTGGGAATAAGTTTTAAGAGTAGTAGTCAGATGAAACCCCACAATAATCTGTGAATCTATGACTCTGCATGGAAATAGAAGTCTCTTTCTAAGTCTGTCCTTGTTTTGTTTACACGTTCAGATTTATTTGGATTAAAAATAAGACCTGGCAAAATGGAAATTTTTAAAAGGTGTGCCGTTGCACAAGTGGAGGAATTCCTCATGATGAATATACAAAAGTTGCCAATTGCACAACTCCTTAAAATTAAGGAGTGAAGGAAGCACTTTGATTTTTATGAACCATAAATACTTGTTTTCTTCCTCGTCTAAAAGGGTACGATTTTACACAATATAGCCAATATTTTAGAGTTACCTTATTATATAAAATCTTATTATTCTTATTTTTTTATTTTTTTATTTTTTTTGCCAAGCAGAGCTCAGCCCGAAGAAATCAATCTGCAGACTTGAGTGAGGCAGCTTCAGACAGGCGTAGGCTGTTTGCACAGGATAGAGCAGGCTATTGTTTATTGTGAAAACCTGCACAGTTACTCAGTAGGGGTCATGTACACACTTTTACAACCCCGTACATGAGAAATCATGCCTTCACATGTCTCTCTGTACTTACACATACAAACTAAACTGAACCTGAACCTTTTCCATCTGGAGTCGAGCGACAAGTGTTCAACCACATATTACATTCCAGTTACTGTAGGAAGTTATTTAGAAAGCTTACTGCATTGCTGAGCTCAGTATCGCTTTCTATTATGATAGTTTTGTGTATACTTAGCTGAATACCTCTCTCTATGGTAACAGCTTCTGTGGTGATACGCTCCAAGCAACTGTGAGCTCTGATCTCTGTGCGAATCAGCAGATCTGTTCCAGTCTGCCTCTGAATGTTTCAGGACTGAAGTCGAGCTCTGTTTGACGCTCGCCTCCGGACATGTTTTTAAAATGAACTCTTAAAGACTTTTAAAATAAAGGATTGTTGTTTCTTAACTTATACTTCATATTTGGTCCTCAATATAAAAGTAGTATCAACAATGTATATTTATTCAAACTGTTGTTAAAAACGGCTTCAACTGATTATTTGATAAAAACGATAAAAACTGGACGAATTGAATTGAATTTACAACATCCTAGCAAGATGATGAAGTGGGAATTGAAAAGCTTGAAAGATCTCATCTATGTTTTGTCTTCATGCAGCTGGGTTTGGAGCGTTACCACGGCGTTGGCATCTTGGGCTTCAACTCTGCTGAGTGGTTCATCTCTGATATCGCAGCCATTTTGGCAGGGTGAGTTTACGCCTTCATCCACAGTGTTTGTGAGTTTCTGCTCAAATTAATATGCAGCTTGGTGTTTCCTCATTGGCAGCTCTGTTACCCTTTGTTCGTCACCTGAGCTGGTTAATCCAAGGCCGGAAACATAACAGGGCTGGATGTCATCGAGTTCAGCATGTTGTCTTTTGAGCGATTATAGAAATATGCTGAAGAGGAAGCTGATGAACGACAGCACTTTATGTGTTTAGTACTCCTTTGCCTTTATGTGTGATCTGTTTAATACAGGGTTCCTACACAAGTATGGAAAACTATGGAAATAAATTTGATCAATTTCCAGGTCTGGAAAAGTATGGAAGATGAAAAATAAAGTGTAGAAAAATATTTATGTTTCCAGACAAAAACCACAGTTAAAAAAAAAACGTTTTCTAAAATAGAAAAGAAGGTATTTCCAAAAATAATTCTAAAAATTAGGGTATGGAAAAGTAAAGAAATTCCAACTGTGTAGGAACCCTTCTTAGACTCGGCACATGTTTCAAGTTCTTCCATCTGCCATGATAACATGTGCACAGATCATGCAGCAGTCATCATACAGCCTCTGTTCTGCAGTGCATGCATGATCAGGCTGCATGAAAATCCATATTCATTCTGCAAAAACCAAAACATCGCTGAATTAAGCACAAAACCCACCGATTGGTCAAGCTCGGGCTGATAGTCTCAGCTGAGCCTGTTACATCACTAAACACCCATTATGTTGCATTTTCACACAGCGATTATGTAGACATCCTGTGTTTAGCGCAGTTCTTGAAAGGCCGATCTTAGGGGGGTAAAGGATACAAAGGAACAGTACGTGATTTTCACACAGGCATGTACTGTTTGCAGATTCTCCCACGCCTGCTCTCTGCTCCGCACTGATGCTTGACGATAAGAATGTTTTGAAACTACCGCTGACTTGTCAAACTGGTCCTGATGAGCCGAATCACAGGTTCAGGTTATTAACACGGTGATGGCACGTTTTCTGCAGATGATGAGCAGGACGAAATCTATCTGGTTCAAGTTTTTCTTGTCTCACGCGCCACTGGCTGTGTGAGGTTTTCTATATAAACAATACTTCTAGGTCAGGGAGATCTTATAGTCCCAGAGATTAGAGAAGATATGTCAAATATTGAGAGCAGAGATGCTTTGATACATCAGGTTTTACATTCAGAGGATTTTTTTAAGTGTCACAAGTGCGTCAGATCAGATCAAACAAGTCAGGCAGAACCTCCTCAAAGAGAAGAAGTCTAACTTATCCTCCGTCTTCTGCAGTGGGTTTGCTGTGGGCATCTACACCACCAACTCTCCAGAGGCCTGCCAGTATGTAGCAGACAACTGCCAGGCCAATATCATCGTGGTGGAGAATCACAAACAGCTGCAGAAGATCCTCCAGGTGAGAACAAAACTGCGTCAAATACCGTAGATAACTATGATAGAAGATGAAGATTGACTGAGTGAATGAAGTACGTGTGCGTCTTTGAAGTATCTGTGAAGTTCATTGTGTTGACGATCACATTTTTCACTGACATCCTCATTGAAAGGTGCGAATGTCCTCTTTGTCACTTACATTAAAATCTGATGGCTGGGTGTGCCTGTGTCACAGAGTTTTTATTTTAGGACTGGCTCTCCTCTTTTTGAGTTTGTTGTTTGCAAGTCACGTTTTCACGACACTCTGTTTTGTTGTTGTTCTCAGGTCGAAGACAAGCTGCCTCACTTGAAAGCAATCGTTCAGTACAAAGATGCACTTAAAGAGAAGAGACCAAATTTGTACAGCGTAAGCTCACATGTTCATGTCAAACAAAACTAGTGTTACATAGATCGAGGATTTTCTCCTCTAAGTGTTTCTGTTTTTCGCATCACAGTGGGCCGAATTCATGGAGCTCGGACGGGACGAGCCCGACACGCAGCTCGACGCCATCATCGCCAGCCAGAGGCCAAACCAATGCTGCACACTCATCTACACCTCAGGGACCACAGGACAGCCTAAGGGAGTCATGCTCAGCCATGACAACGTGAGTTGCAAGAGCAGAGCGTGTTTGTGTATCTCTGAGAGCGGTGCGCTGTCACATGTCCGAATGCACACTCCTGTTGTGCGATAAAAGAGCGGCGCAGATGCTGCTGACAGCACAAAAGATTGACCCAATTGTTCGACAGGTTTGTGCATTCTTTCGACATGAGTCAGCAAAACATCTCAGGGATGTTAAAGACCTCACCTTTGTGTTGTCGAGCTGTAAACCTGTTAAACCATAAACCCGTAACTTTACATGACGCAGACTGGCTCAAACTATTTGTTCTCAGCACGTATTTTATTATAACCGAAGTTCACATCCAGAGGTATAAAACGCCACACTGATACAAACCCACTCTTGTTTGTGTGTTTTTGTCGTCCCTTTGAAAAAAACACATCTCTCTGTTTCCTTCCACACATGAACTAATTAACTTACACCCCTCCTGGCTCTTAGGTAACATGGACTGCGCTCGCCACCTGCCGTCACGTGCGCCTGGCAGACGCCACACAGACTCAAGAGTCAGTGGTCAGCTACCTGCCGCTCAGCCACATCGCCGCTCAGATGGTCGACATCTGGTGCACCATGAAGGTGGGAGGGGCGACGTACTTCGCTCAGCCGGATGCACTGAAGGTGAGAAACAACATCTCTGTTCATATGGGACAAAAACAGAGAGAAAAGAGTTTTTATCAAAGAAAGTGGAAAGACATTTGAAGAAATTAGCACTAAAAGAAAATCAGTCCGTGGTTAGATTAACTTAAGATGCTATGAATATAATAATACATACACTAAAGATTGTAACAGCCCTGTTCATGTTGAGAAAACCATCAAATGACAAAACCAGGACAAAAACAAAGTGAGGAAGAGATCGAAAACCAAACATGAAGAGCAAAAGTTTCTAAAAAGCCAAATAAATTTAACAACAACAAAAATGATAGAAATATCCTCCCAAAGAGACAACCTGAGAAATGATATTAGCCATAGATTTTTTTTTTGAATACATAAAAGTCAGTTTCTTCTTCTTTAAAATCAATCTGAGGGTTTTGTCATACATGAAAACCGGTAATATTCTGTGGGCTGTAAGTAAATGTGCCTGTTGTCATCGCTCATCTCCACTGATCATGTGCATCTTCCATAATGTGTCCTTTCATGGGGATTGTGAGATTCTCTCTGCTGTATAAAAACACGTCTGTCATGCTGCTCGTGATTTCTTGGAGGTTTTTTAAGAAATCCATTATCATCTTTATCGCTGCTACATGTGCAGAAACACATCAAGTTAAATTTGTAATTCATTTGGACAGGGCAGATAACCATGTCCTCCATTTAAAGTTAAAGGATATCCTGAGGGTAGATGAATGAAAACGATTCCTTTCTTCATGTTTTTTTTTCCAATACGTCCTCATGTCATGTGGACTACAAAGTGCGTGTGATATTTGTGTTTAATGCTCTTTTTTTTAACCAGGGCTCTCTGGTCAACACTCTGAAGGAGGTTCGGCCCACAGCCTTCATGGGCGTCCCACGTGTTTGGGAGAAGATGCAGGAGAAGATGAAGTCTGTCGGAGCGAAGTCTTCCACTGTGCGCAGGAAGGTGGCAGCGTGGGCCAAAGATGTCGGTCTGCAGACAAACCTGACAAAGATGAATCAGTACGTGCTTGTAATGATGAAATGACAGCTGCATGAAGACATGTCTACTTCACAAACACTCATTTGATATTTTTTTTCTCTGTCTCTCCAGAAGTGGAGCAGCTGGCCGCACACCATTGAGTTATCAAATCGCCAAAAAGCTTGTATTTAAGAAGGTACGTAAAGCACTTGGCCTGGACCGCTGCAACAAGTGCTACACAGGAGCTGCTCCCATCACCAAAGACACACTGGAGTTCTTCCTCAGCCTGGATATCCCTCTGTACGAGCTGTACGGCATGAGCGAGAGCACCGGACCTCACACCATCTCCGTCCCTGAGGCCTTCAAGATCACCAGGTTCGATTTTGACGTCTAAATAATACTATTTATTATGTGTAAAAAAGAATATATATCTTTCATACATACTTTTATTTATTGTTTTTTATTCCACTACCACTCTACCTCCAGGAAGTGCAATATTACTCACCATGCTGTTATTTTACCCTTAGTTTTTATCGTTCTTATTTTTTTCTGTATATTAAACACCATCATGCTGTGATATGGAAGCCAAGCAACAACATTTCGTTAAGTCTAAGTCTAAGTCTAGAGGATTTGACTCTGACTTTCCTTCCATTTACTACTCCATGCAGAGTTTGTGAATTAAATCAAATGTTGATTCGTCCTGCAGTTGCGGTAAAGAGATGCCAGGATGCAAAACAAAGCTGCACAACCCAGATGAGGAAGGGAACGGTGAAATCTGCTTCTGGGGACGTCACATCTTCATGGGGTACCTCAACATGCCCGACAAGACAGAGGAGGCTCTGGATGCAGAGGGATGGCTGCACTCGGGAGACCTGGGCAAACATGATCAGAACGGATTTCTCTTCATCACTGGAAGAATCAAAGGTATTCCGTCTTTACACCATAAAGAGATCGATAGATACCACTCCGACTTTTGTGTCTGTCACTGACCTTTCGTTCCTGTGCTGAATTTTCAGAGCTCATCATCACAGCGGGAGGAGAAAATATCCCTCCTGTCCCGATTGAGGACGCAGTGAAGGAGGCCGTGCCGCTGATTAGTAACGCCATGCTGATCGGAGACAAGAGGAAGTTTCTATCTATGCTGCTCACCATTAAGGTAAGCTTTAAGGAAACGCAAACCTGAACTATGGCCCATATATGCATCAAACTCTGAGGACGATATGAAAGTCATGAAAACAGGTTTATGCAAACAGGGTTTTTATTAGATTTATATAAGACCTCTGAATAGTAAGTCCCAACCATGGAGGAACCGGATCACATGCATTCCTGGAGTTTGCATAGATAGAAACAGCCTGAAACATCAGCGTGCATGTTGTAACATCTCATACAAAACACTATGTACTGTTTGGATTTCTTATCACTGATCACTGGCAGCTGTAGTAGAACTTCAAAACTGTACACGTGAGGTACAAAGTCTTTTCTAAAAATAAGTTTTTGTGTTAATGTACCAAGAAATGAGAATTTCAGTCAAGATTGAAGTGTAAGCACTGATGTCTGAAGTATTTTTATTCAATCAGAAAAAGTTCAAATTATCTTATTATGGCATCTAAAACAGGAGGATAATTTCTTGTTATATTTTACTCCTCGCTGACAGTCACTGATATCTTTGGGTTGTGAACAAAATAAGATATTAGAGAGTGTTATCTTTGGCTTTGAGAACAGCTGCTACCTTTTCTTTTACTATAACCTGATACTTTGTCAATCCAAACAACAGCTATCAACAAAGAAAAAGAAATGCACGACTGTTGAATCCTTTGAGTAGTTGTAGCCCTAATCATAGTGTAAGATATGAACAAGGGAAAATAACGTGTCGATAACACCACTTATGAAAGGCAGTCAAAGTAAGTGGTATCAGATAGAGACATAAAAATTTATCTTGTTGGCAGCTCTGTATCTTGATAGATATTTTAAAGCACGTCCTTATCATCACAACTTGTATCTAATCTCAGACAGAGCCAATAAACTGTATCTGTCTGAGCAGATAGCTTTGTGAAGAGGAGCAGCAGACGCTTGCAGAGTATTTCATTTCAGGTGCTGCCATCTAGTGGGCTTTGAGGAAACTGTAAGATAGTGCATATAAGAAAACATGTTTAGATACTGATGTTTAGCACCGCAAAGACAAGAGTGTTTACATTTGAGCCCGTTTAATCAAACCTTAAAATGTCTTTTTTTTTTCTGTCCAGTGCCAGGTAAATGGAGACACAGGAGACCCAGAGGACGAGCTGACACCTGAAGCTGTGGAATTATGCAAGAAGCTCGGCAGCAGCGCCACACGCGTCTCTGAGATCGCAGGTGGTCGGGACCGGGCGATCCATGCCGCCATTCAAGAGGGAATCAACCGAGTCAACGAGAAGGCCAACTCCAACGCTCAGCGCATCCAGAAGTGGGTCATTCTGGATCAGGATTTCTCCGTTTCAGGAGGAGAGCTGGGTGAGTGTTGATCAGATAGTGGATAAGTGTAGTTTCACATGACTGTAACTTCTTTTTATGAAATTTTAGCCTTTTAAAGTTTCTGATTCACAAGCTGAAACTCTTCCTTAGTTTCTTTTTCTGTCTTTGGAGCTCAAGAGAAATAGTGATCACGTATTACAGAGGTTTATTTGTAAAGTTTTGAAGCTGGAGTGAAAATTTAACGGGACAGAAAATAATCAATGATCAATGATCTTCTCGGTCCCTTTATTGCTCCCTGTGTTGCTCTGCTCTTTAAACCTTCCTTCATATTCGTCTGATTTGTCGTCCCACAGGCCCGACCATGAAGCTGAAGCGTCCGGTGGTTGCAAAGATGTACAAAGAGCAGATTGAGAACTTCTACAAGGAGCTGGCCACTCCCACCACTCCCACCACCCCTGACAATCCTCTGCCTCCCAAATAAACCTGCCGCTCCTCCACTCGCAGGGAGAACCAAGACTGTCTGAGCCGATAAGACGGACACACACCACCTCATGCTTCCCACCTCCTCCCTCCCTCTCTCTCTCTCTCTCCCTCTCTCTGCTGTGTTTGCTTTTGTAAAAATGTTTGATTTCCTTTTACTTTTGCTCGTCCTGTCCGAGTTTACATTTGCAGGTGCTCTAAGAAAAGGAAAGCAAACATGAAGCCATCGTGAGGACTAGATCAATAAGCTAAATTAACATCAACTATTTACCTGGTTGAACAGTAATGTCGGATAGATGAAGTTGTACCAGCTGTTTGTAAGAAAAGTTGTTTATTGCACTGAATTACTTGAGATAAACAGAATCCCAAAAAGTTCATAGGACGTTTTTAAAGGAGTAATTTGTGTTTTTGAACTTGTTTTTCTTAATTTATTTTCAGTTTGCCAAAGTTTACGCGGGCCAAATGAGCTTCAAATGAAGAAACATTTCTAAAGCAGGCTTCTGATGAAATTCAGCGATCATATCTTAAGGTTATTTTTTTACGTGTATTTGGTGGTTTTTGATTGTCGTTGTTATAAAATAAGCATTTATTCTATCCATGTGTTAAAAGTCAAAGGTTTTCTGCAAATATACTCGAGCTGCAGGGCCTTACATTACAAATGTTGGTATATAAGAATCCAAACTTTGTCTTTCCATGCTGTCGTTGAAGCCATACTTTGCCTTTTGTAAATGTTAAGTCCCACTCGCTGCAGCCTGCACACCTGTCCCTGTTTGTGTGTGTGCGTGTGTGTGTAATATTGTAAATATGTTTAGCCTACATCATCATCTTTTACTTGTCTCTATTTAAGCCTCTTGTACGGGTGAATTTCTCCCAGATATCATTAATTCAAATCTTTTATTGCACTCAAACCTCGAGGGGGAAAAAGAATTAGAGCAGGAAATGTACATAAATCAGTTTAAATGTAGGGTTCACAGCGAAACGTACAAACTGCATTAGAGTTGTTTTATCGCTCTGTTTCCATCTGTGCTGCAGTCAAAAGAACCAACCTTGTATATGAAGTAATTGTAAATTTTTAAAGCATATTGTAGGGGTTTGTAGCACTCTGGTAGCCTAAAGTGAAGGCAAAGCGGTTGCAGTTCACTGAAGTTCAGGGTAAAACAAAACAGAAGATTCAAAGTGTGTTTGTTAAAGTGATGAAATGAGGAAATGATGGTGATTCAGAGGGTCAGGGCGAGTGAGTTTATCACTGTCTCCAAACCATGCAGATGAATAAAAACTGATGTTGTCCCTCCTGACAGTGAAATAGCTTTTAAAAAGTGACATTAAAATGCAACTTGTCTGTACCTGTGAAACTCCAAACTCACAAAACCCTGACTTGAAACTGGATTCACCTGACCCCATTCAGCTGTTTGTCATTTGTTGTGAATAATATCAGGGTTCAATACAACGGAAATATGCATGAAGCAGGCCTGTGAATATTTGTGTATTTGATCAGTTACGGAATAAAAGTTGATTAATCTGATTTTCTGATGTCTTACTTTGTATTTCCTGTTCAGTACATGCTATTATTTTAGCACTTTGATTTTATTGTGTGGACCAGCAAAGTAACTGTAATATTCTGAAGGTGAGGGACATGATACTGACTGATGTCTTATCAAACAATCATGTAAATCAAAACCTTTTTAATGTCTAAATGAAACACTTTCAGTTGTCATTCATCTGCTGATAACAGAGGAACTTAAAGATTAAATTTAAAGCTACAAATCAAGAGTGATACAGGTTTGGACATTTTTCATGAGCATTAAGTGTCTCACTGTTGAAAAGCTGTACAACGGTTCCAGTCAGAGCAGTTAAAACTCCTTGGTAACACTTTATGATAACCATGATTTATAGATGGTAAATAGATAGTTTATTAATGTTTAATCATCATTTAAAAAAGCATAAAGACCAATTCTAAATGGCAAATAGATGGTTTATCAGTGTAAGTTAATAGTCACTTTACCATCAGCAAGCAATGAAATTATAATTAATAATTTTCATCTATTATTCATGGACTATTTATTAAAAGTTTATATAGGGTTTAAATATTGGTTGTAAAACGTCTAGATTAAAATGTGTGTCGGTAGCACTTTGTAAATGATTAATATTTGTTTTTTAAACCACCTTTAAACATTACTTAGATGGTTATTGTAAAGTTGCAACTGATGTTTGTAATACTATGTAAACAATAAATAAATGGTTTATAAACCACCTACAAAATTACTTAGATGGTTATTGTAAATTACGGTTAGGGTTAGGGTTAGGTTTTTAATATCGTAAAATTTAAAATTTATTAATGGTCTATATGCTATTTATAAATGATGATTAAACATTAATAAACTATCTGCTTACCATTAATAAATGGTCAATTTACCATTTATAAATTTGGTTATTGTAAAGTGTTACCAACTCCTCATAGTGAAGTTTCTGAAGAGTAGTCTGCAGGTCTTTGTAACAGCAAATTTACCTCAACCAGATGACTAAAAGGGACTTTAAATAAAATATTAAGTCATATCGTTGATAAAGCCATTGATAGGTTTCCGTGTGGGATTATGAATGTGGTGCTGCTCTGTCTTTCGGCCTGTAGTGGGCGCTGTTTGCTCTACTGACAGCACTGGTTTTAAAGTGTGGACTATGGAAGATCACTTTTTTTGCTTTTTCTTTCACCCATCCTAGTTTGTATGATTTTCTTTCAAAGTTAAGTCTGGTCTTTGTCTTTATTAAGGATATTTTTAGCTATTATGGGAGTTGTTTTATGTATTTTAGAAGAAGTTTCCCCTTGAGTTTATTAAATATTTTTTATTATATCAAATCAGATCTTGTGGACTACATATACTTAGATCAGCCTTTATATTATGAACACCAGCCTAATACTTTGGTTGTTACTGATCACTGCAGACCAAACAGCCCAAAAGCAGCTGCAGTTTTTGAGATACTGCATAGTCAACCATCTAAATTTAATCCTGATTAAAGGATCCTTACCCTTATTTATTGTCGAAGATGATGCTCCACCTCAGCTGACAGGTAGTTTTGTAAAGACATGACCAGAATCAGTGCCACCAGGCCTCTGCTGCTGTACCAGATCCAAGAGTCCTCTGTGCATCATCTTTACAAGCCTATTAGATAATCACATTAAGATCAGGTGAGTTCAGCTGTTCACAGTGACTCTAAAAAGTAAACTCCTGCAAGAAAACTTCAGCACAAATTAGTCCCTCATTTTTGTTATATGTGCAAATGTCCTTGTGGTCAATATTTACCAAAATACCGACAAAAACATGAAATCTAAGAACCTAGATTCACGGCCCATAAACCTTTCATAGTATACAAACCTGAACTTTTGAATTTGTCATTGGAATTGAAATAAATTAAAGAGCTGTTGCTACTTTCACAGCAGTACGAACCAAATGTTTCAAGAAAATCAACTAAACTTTGTAAAAAATTATACACCAAGGAAACAGGACGAGCACCGACAGAGGTCAAACACGGCTTTCTCACACTCTTCACTTCTTTATTCCTTTGCAGAGCTTCGTCATGAGAACAATCTATTGATCAGCCTTTTCCAATAAACGTCCCCCCTTTAGAGACATTTCCTCGATAGATGGTCAATGCATCATGAGCGTTATTACCCGGCCGGCTGCGTGTCCTTTTAACCCCGCAGACTGTGCTGACATCACATCGCATGAACCTTACATGAACCCTGCACACACGGCCATGACCGGGTCACACTGCGGTCAATGAAAACACACATACACACACAGGGGACAACAGTACTTAATGACTTTATTAATAATATGATTTCAAAATAAAAAATAACATTAAAATAACATGTTTTGTCCTTTTTAACAACTTGCATCATATGGCCACATGGTGGCATTTCAATGCCAAGTTTTTTTATTCTCAAAAATACCAAATTGTTCTGCCATCCAGTTCATTTGTTCTTCCCATGTTTGGACCACATACACTGAACCCTCCCCTCCCCTTTTTACCATCAGTTAAAAAAATCAAACCTTTATAAATACAGGCAACCCTGTCCCCCTGTCACAGACACATTATGACAACCACTGACACAGGAAACATCCCGTCTGCACATGCCCCCTCCCACCCCCCGCCACGTATTTGCAAGGAACCAAATGCTCTATTTTCTCCTTGTCTTCATCCTCTAAAGATCCACACAGTAGATATTCTACCTTTGCTGTATTATACACATATTATATATAATAGTTCCAGCTGAAATGCTTCACTCCCACAGACCTCCGCTGAGCTGCAAAGAGGGAGCGACTGGTACCAGAAGACGTGTGTGTGTGTGTGCTCAGTTTGTACTTCCACTTTGATTATTTACTTCAATTAAAATGATCAATGTTACTTCATACCAGCGAGGACAGCTTTAAATACTCAACTAGGCCTCTTTGTAACTTCAAAGTCTGCTTTACAGCTGCTCATCAACATCCAGGTCAGAGTGGCAATCATGAAATACGAAATCAACCGCAAGCAGGTCAGAGGAGCAAAACTGTCTACAGCATGTGATTCAGGGGAAATTCTCCACCTAGTTGTGTTTGTCCAATCTGCATTAGTGGTCAATCAACCACAGAAACATGATTTTTTTTCTGTTTGAAGTGATAAAGTAGCTGATAGCTGCAGACAGAGCCTCCTTGTATCGTGATGCGCAGCTTGAGTTTTGTCACTGCTCTGCTGCACAATTCGACTTAACTGAAAACAGCAGACAGTCTGATTTAGCCAAAACACATGAAATTACGTCTTTGTTTGAGTTTTATTCTCTGGACTTCAATTTTGTCATGTCTGCTGGAACTCGCCTGCAGGCCGTCAAATGAAAACAGTGGTGAGGAGCAGCAGATTTTGCAGCTTTGCTCCAGAGACACAGAAATCGTGTTGGAAAGGCTCGGGAGAAATGTGCAGTTTTTTCTGTCATATTGTTCCAGTTGAAGTTTTACCCTGGTTTACATGCTGGATGTGCTCAGACTATGAGTCACATTAAAGGCAGGTAGCATCCTTTATCCTTGCAGGCAGGAGGCTGGGTGGACGACTTTCCACAGAGACCAGCGATGAAGCTCTAATTAAATCCAAAAGCCAACAATGACTTTGATTTTAGCCCAATAAGCCGTCATATCTGCCCAGGTGTGGGAGAAAATCAGGGTTCAGTTCCATTTACATATCACATGTATGGGTACAGGACCAGATTCTGGTTTCTAAAGTGTTCTCGTTTAATTTGAGGACCATCTTCTTGTCTTGGTGCACTTTAACTCAAGGTAAGAAAACAGACAGTGTGGTCTCACTTTGATTTAACTTAGATTAATGCTTTGAAATAGACACCTGCACATAACTGCAGCAAACAACCCACTCTTGGATATTCTGTCTGAACGCCAATCGTGTTACGATTTGGACCGTAACCAAGGTGACGCACAGAAAAGTCTTCATCTGAGGTCTTTTAATGCTAACTGATGGTTATACCAGAAAAACTGGCTGTCCCGCTCACAGGCATGTATCTTTGTCGGCTTATTAGTTTGTAATGTTGACTTTTGGTTCCACATGAGACACACACATAAAGAAAGAGAGTGTGAGTGCTCACACTAGAGAGCTAAACAGATCCACGTCCTCTATTCAGTCACGCGGCGTATCGGAAAAATGAACGGCATATTACTTCTGGTACCAGCTGCAGCTCCGCTTAACAGCCCCATTGTTTCCTATGATGTGTTTCTTCCGGCTCAAGTTCTCATAACACAGTAAAATCAGGTGATAAAGATGATGATGATGATGGTTTTGTTTGGGGACAATCATTTCTGGATGAGCACAAAAAAAAACAAAACAAACACTCAAATGATAACCGGACGTGACACAGAAAATCAACAGCTCAGCTCCTTCTGGTCCTACTGGAAGCAGAGGGTGATATCAGAGTTTAGCTCATCCAGCAAATATTTTCCGACACCTGCTTCTTGGTGTTCAGCTGTCATCACAATCAACATCACACACACGCACAATCACTCACACACACACTCACTCACACACACACACAAAGAAAACATAAAGGGAACGTCCCCCATAACATTTGACGTCTAAAATAGATCCAATGGGGCATGTTTGTTTGTGAATAATAGTGACAAATCATGCCAAATAAAGACAATTAAATAAGAAACAAACAAACGAAAATGGTTGGCAAAGAAAAAAAAAAATCAATTCATATCGTATTGCATGTAAATATTGTATAAAATCCTTAAAAATACAGTTTAGGTAACTACTTAAGTACTGAAGTCATCACAGCCAAAAGTGCAGAGGTCCATAAATAAAACATTGACTGTGGGCAGACAGTCCTCCACATAAAACTCCCCTCTCTCACCACAACAAGGGACTGAATGAGTGCCAGGTCAAAGGTCAGAGTTCATGAACTAGGACTTAAAAGTTCCCACATCGATGCACAGAGCAGAGGACAGGAGGGTTGGTGTTTTTTCTTTTTTTTTTTTTTAAATGTCTCCAAACACACTCGCAGATGCACAAATGTCACACACACACGCGCACACACACACACACTTAGAGTTGCAAAGTTCATTCTCAGTAATAACGGCCTGAAGTTGTGTTGACAGAGGCACACCTAGAGAGAAAATGAGGGTGGGACGGGTCGGGACGGGGCGGGGGGAGCAGTGAGGGCAAGAGGGGGTTACTGCAGGGCACGTAAGGCGGCAGGGATTTTCTTTTATCCTTTTTTTTTTTTGTTTGTTTGTTTTTGGAGACACGTTTTCCGAGCACAGACGGCGTTTACTGTAAGGACAGGAGGAGTGTGTGAAGCAGGCAACAGAACACGACGAGTATTAAAGCTGTCAGAGCATCAGAATAAAAACACTGAAAAATAGAGGAGGAAGAGAAGGAAGCAGGGGGGATTCGCTCATTGAGAGTTTGTACCACAGTGGGTTAGTGTGTGTGTGTGGAGAGCGGAGGGGCCACAGGAACTAACACACCAGGGGCCTGAATCAAGAAATGAGTTCAGTTTGGCTTGCACAAAAAAACTAAAGACTTCTAGAAAACTGGTCTCAAAAAGCTGGATCCTGGCTGTTAACTCGTGATCTGACAAAAGAAGTTCAAATCGAACACGTGCAACCGATCACATGCAACAAATCAGAGAAAATGTCATCAGTGCAGCAACAAAAGGTGCATTTCAAAAAGCGAAAAAGACAAAGGATTAGGATTCAAAAATATCTACAAATTAGAGGTACATTTGAAGTTATAGCTTTAAAACTAAAAACATGATATCTTTATACGGGCTTCTTTGAGATGCACAGAGAAAAGAAAATTGGATTGATATTTGCAGATCAGTTTTTGATGATCATTGAAATTAAGAAAAAACAAATAAACAAAACTTGACAGTAAAAGGTGTCACTCTGTTAGCTGCAAATCATGTAAATCTTTATAATTGCTCATTTTATCCTGCCATGATCTATCTCGACCAAACTATTTTAAAAAAATCAGTGCACAGGTGTCCTTAAAGTAAGTGATAAAGTAGTAACTTAAGCTTTTCATCGCCTTTCCTGGTAAAAATAAGATAATTAGAAGGGGTTTACTAATCATCATCAAACAGCAGTATAAACAGTCTCCCTTTATCTCTCTGGATTTTCATTTTGCCTGACCTTGTTGCGAGTTTAAAGCTCCAGTGAGGAGTTTTCACCAATATGTTAGGAGTATATTCTCTTTGGACCTAAAAATACAAACAAAACCATCAGCAACACTGTCGACAATTTCTGTCTCGTAATTTTTGATGCCACAGAGGTCTGTGAAAGGGAAGGTGTCAGAGATGAAAAACAGAAAGTTCCTTACAGGAGCTTTAAATTTACTAACACTAGAGACAGACTGATAAATACGTCAGCTGATCAGTCAGCAGCATTTTGACATGACCAGCATCATACTGGCTCCAGCCCTCACGTGGCTAAATATCATGATCTTTCCAAATGAAAAACACTTGTGACAGCGTATCAAATCCAAAATAGCCTCTACAAATTCTGTTATGACGTAAGAATAATGCAGCTTTATAATACGTTCATATTGACTGTGTTTACTTTTTTCTTTTTGCTGATTTCAGAGAGCTGTGCAGAAATCTAAGGAGTCCTTTGTGACAAGATATCTTCCCGTCTGTAATTTAATTCACTGGCTGAGCGGTTTTGTTTCTCATTTCTAAATATTATCATTTAAAATGAACAATAATATCATATCAGCATTATAAATCAGCTATGAGCCGGCCTGCTCTTCATTATCGGTAACAGCATCTAACACTGATAAACTGATATTGGTCATATATTGCTGTGACGCTTCTCCAGGTGATGGAGAGCATGTCCAACAAATATCACATAATCATAATTCATACCTTATTTTGAGTAAAAATACAAATCAGCAGCAAAGATGATCATTCCTTACCATTTATATTATTATCATGATACCTGTATTTGTAAATAGTTATAGTTTATGTTATTTATTTCTAACTAGCCCTATAAGCAAGCCGCTTGTTTTCCATTATTTAAAAAGACATGATATAGTTCAGGTGTCTCTTCCCTGCAACAGGAATAGATCATCAAAGTAAAAGGACATCGCAGATTTAAACAATCAGCCAAGTTGAATAATATCAGTGCGGTAAAATTAAACTAGTTATTAAATGTTGCTGCAGCTGATTTACTCTGTGCATCATCATGTTTAAAGCTTTGTTTAAGAGATGCAACAAGCTGAACCACAATGTTGCAAGTTTGAGTTTTGCCACACGTCTTTTCTCCCCTCACTTCCTGTCACGTCTCTGCTGTCATCTCTAATAAAAACATCAAAAGGCAGCGGTTACTTGTACGAAGACAATTTCTCAAATGTGTGACACAGGAAGCTAATAAGACAGGTTTGCTCGCTCTTACTAATCGCATGAAGCCTGTTAATGAAGAGCGGAAACTTCTCCTCAGCAGGTTAGCCGAGAAGCAGAGGCCTAGAAGTGATGTGACTGTGATAGCTGTGATCCTGCTTTATGAGACCAGTCTCTTTAGATGAAGTTCTTGGTGTTTCTTCATGACGCAGCCCCCTAACATACTGTAAAATTCACATATCTGGGAAGGAAACCAGAGAGGACATATTTCAGGCTTGTTTGTTTCCGCGAACTTGGTCTGAAACGCTCCACCGTGACTTCAAACTGCCCAAAGAGGGGAACCACAACCATTTTCAATAACCTCTGTCTTACAAAGACACACAACACAGCTGAAGCGACTGATCCTAGAGCTAATTAAAGAGAGTTACTACCGTACAGTACAGCCACCTGACGCTTCCTCCTCGAAACGCTGAATCTAATCTCAGAAAGCAAGGAGCGAAAAAACACGACCATCACCGTCAGAACTAGAGGAAAGAAACGACATCACTGATAATCTGACAACAGCCTACAAAGACAGAGGAAAAGGAGAAGCAGGAATGGAAGCCATTAAGACAATACTGGATATTCAGGCATCCCTATTAACACTTGTTTTGGGGGAGAGAGGGGGGGGTTAAGTCTGTGTGACCATGGCTAACAGAGCGCACTCCCCCCCCCTCCTCACGCGCTGCAAGTCGCAGGAAAAGGCACTAGAGTGGGGCTGTTGCTTGCCGTAGAAAAGTAAAAGCGATATACATTCATAGCTCACAGGTTACCTCAACCGCAGTCAGGGAGTAGATACACAAAATGCACTTGTAGAAAAATAAAATGTTTAAAAAGCGTGGCCCCGTTTTTTTTCTTGTCATTTTTGGATTCTGGGAGACAAGTATGGCTACTTTTTCACGGCTTTTTTTTCTTCTTCTTCTTCTTTTACCCCCACCCTTCCCTACCCGGCCCACCACTTAGAAGGCAATTCAGGAGTGATCCTCCACTGCTCTGGCCGCGAGCAGTCGAGCCCTTTCATGCACGCCAATATGGGAATAAGAGAGGAGGAGGAGGAGGAGGAGGAGGGGGGTGGAGAGGAAGGATGAAGTGAGGGGGCTTCAATGGGAGGGGGGGAGGAGGCGGAGGAGGAGGTCAAGGCTCAGCTTTCAGTGCGAGGAAGTAGAGGAGAAACTCAACAGAACATGTGTTTTCAAATGTTCAGACGACGGAGAAACTTTAACCAAAACACAGCCGCTCACTCACACACGCACATATACACAAACACAAACACACGTGCACACACTCATGCAGCACACATCTCAGTGTCTTCATGTACAGTGTTGAGTGTGATAATCTGGAACAAACTGTGTGTGTGCATGAATTTGGTGCCAAGTAACTTTAATTCAACACTAAATAAACAGTTTGCGACACACTATATTATAGCTGTGCTCAGCTGTGGAGCAATTTCAAGTGTTTATTATTATTATCATTATTAAAAATTAACATGTTTTCCTCTACGATGTCTTCCATTAACAGAACATAAACCAGCCTTCACTTTGAGTCTCCCAAAAGAGGAGTTGGAGCTGTTATTGTTTCACCAGAGTCACTTAAATCTGTTCCTAACTATATTATAGTGTGATTATCTGAGGAACTGTTTATTTCATGTTTTCAGCTGCTTTAAAACGCGAGAAAGACGGAGAGTTAAAGCAAAGTGTCACCTGAATTTAACTGTTTGTATTTCTGTGTGTGTGTGTGTGTTCTCTCAGAGGAGTTGGTAGCGGCACAGACAACACCTCCTCTTTAACCCCAGCAGCGCCCACTCACACGCACACACACAGAGACAGTCAACACGCACGCACGCACGCACGACTGCAGAGTATGTCCAGAGAGAAATGAGCTCCAGCTGACAGCAGGGGGAAGGGAGCTGGAGTGTTCTGCCGAGTAAGGACTGTGCGTGTGAAGGGGAGGAAGAGAAGGAGGAGCAGAGGGGGGAGAGGAGTTGGGGGGTGGGGGGGTATTGGCTTTGCAAAGGCAGGAGCAATAAGAGTGCAGGAGGGTGAAGGAGGGGGTGTGGGGTGCATTCCACAGACGTAAAAAAAAAAAGAGATGTGTAGTGAAAATCCTGACTGTAGACGGAGTTCAGCTACTCCTCCTCTGCTCCTCTTCTTCCCACACCCCCTCCTCCTCCTCCTGCTTCAGGGTCTCCTCCAGCCCCCCCACCTGAAGGCGGTGTGTCTTCATGTGTGCTTGTGTTTGTTCGTGTGTTCCTGTTTGTGTGGTAGTTGTTCGATGGTTCAGTCAGGCCTGGGAGACAGCTGCGACAGATGTGGTTGCTCATCCTCTTCGTTAAAAAAAAAAAAACAGAAAAAAAAGAGAGGGAGAGAGAAGACGTGGTGGTGAGTCTACATCCACCTCCACTGCTGCCATCCACATGCCGGCTTCCCCACACCAGGTCCCACTTCCTGTCACGTGGCTGTCGCCTCCAGGTAGCTCTGTAGTTTGCGGACGGTGGACTCGTCCAGTGAAAAAAGGTCAAAGTCAAAGGTGGTGTTTGTGACGTTGAAGTGGCCCGTCTCCTCGATCAAGTTTACAATCTGACAAGAGATAAGGGATCACTTATTATTCTTACACATAACCAAGTCCTTGAGATAACACACAGCTGATTGCACCTCCATTCAATGTGTCAATGGAGATGTTTGTGTTGATTAGTTCTACAGATACTTTTATCTGTATTTGTTGTGATAAATTCAGCCTCTGTAGTGTTTTTATTTCTATTGCTCGTGTTGCTATAACTCTAGAAATGCATAAAATTCTATACATGGAAAAAACAAGAAACAAAATCAACTATAACTAAAAAGGTTTCGCCCTTTAGGATCAAACATTCATGGAGAAACTTCACGGAAAAGCCGACCAGAGAAGTGTCATCAAAGCTGGACTATCAGCCTCTGCAGATCGAGTCAGTGCTACTACATAAATTAGCTCATTTTAAGGAAGGACAATTAACCACCTTATTAAACACCTAATTAACCAAACACTAATTTTGGTGTAAGTGGCCATCTGTAGGATGCAACACATACATGTTTCTATGCCTGCAGCCCACTGATCGGCTATTCAGGTCTGCAGGCTTCGAAAGACAAAAATTAAATCAAACTGGACAAAATGTTGATTCTGATCGTGGAAACGACACGCTGTTTACTGTAAAACCAAGAAGACACTTTTTATGTCTTCACTGTTTATGCCTCTGTGCTACCTGGAATGCTAGAGGTGCGGAAATGGGAACGGTGATGCCCAGAAAGCCACAGAGCAACAGCTGTCATGAGCAGGACTTGGAAACAACAGTCCAGTATCTCACAACCACCAACTCACATACAGCTACAGTCTGCGACGGTTTCCTTGCTGATTGAACATCACTGCTTCAACTTTCATTAATTGGCAGCTCTATCTGTGCAGCTATTGGAGTCTAAGACAAATTTCCCTAAGGGGACCATGAAGTGTATCGTATCATATTGTGTCGAGACATGTCATGTCGTATCGTATTGTATCATATGATATCATATCGTAGTGATCGTATGGTATGGTATTGTAATATTCAGGAGTTAAATAAGAAAACAAAGTGTGTCTTTCAAACAAGTGTTCATGACAAATGTGCATTGCCTGTGTCATTTTGCAATAAAACAAAGAATAAGAATAAATTAAAGTTATTCTGATTCTGTGTTTTATTGCAAAATGACACAGGCCATGCACATTTGCTTCACTTTTTAAAAACTACTGAGTTGGCTGATGAAGGAGCTGAAATAAACTCTACGCACATTTCTGTCTGCGGGGTAATTTTAAAACTGTGTCAAACTGAGATGCAAAAACACTTTAAAACCCCGTTCACTGATCAGTGCACTGCAAGTATCCGTGTAATCCCTTTCATAACTCTGCTGGATCCTTATGTCAAGCTCCTCATTTCTCAGTTTTCTGTGTGGGCTGAACACACACCTGCTGCAGGACATTACGCTCCCTCAAAGCCATCAGTCTGCGATGGAGGTCCACCAACTCTTCTGTGTAGGCCTGCAGAGAGAAGAGAGGGAACATTTTCAGTCAGTTATCTGAGGATAAAAGAAAAGTTGTTGATTATTTTTGGTGTTTTGTTTCATTTTCAAATGATTCAATCTCTGCGCTCAGTGGGATTTCTAGGGATTAAATAAAAAAGTGTGTTTCACCTTCATGTCTCAAGAAAAAAACCCTCCAAACTGAGCATATGGTCGAACCTTTAAGGGATATAAGATCACTTCTACCACTACATAAATTGTCTCCTCATGAAAAGATATGAAGACTATTTTCTTTTAGGGGTTCACAGGCCAGAGTTTGTCTGCACATCTGGATCGATTCACTGCCCTGAGCTCCATCTTGAATTCATTAATGCACTCGTTGAATCATGACAACGCACCGCATGGATGTGTGTGAAAGAGTGGAAACAGAAAAAGTTTGATTTACCCTTCCTACCTTGTCGTATCCCTTCTTCAACACCTTCTCCGAGCGGAAAGAGGAATCAGGACTCTTTCTGCCCGAAACCTGCCGGACAAAGATCAGAAGAAACTCAAGAACTCAACGTTGTTGGAAATAACGAGGATTGAAAGCGACAGCGGAGAAAAGTTTCATGTGTTGTTTCTGCCCTTGTCAGTTCATTGATAAAAGCAGGCGGTAACGCGGGGCCGTGTGACTCACTTTGTTGTTGGAGGAGTTGTGTTTCGGCGGGGGAGGGGCCAGGCCTCGACTCGGGCTGTGCGAGCCGTCGCTGCTGTCGCTCTCACTGTCCAGACTGAGTCTGACAGGGGACAAGGCGAGGTCAGAGGTCAAACGCATGCACACACTGATAGAAGACGGTGTAATGTTACATAGTGTTGTACTTGGATCCACTCTTTGTATTCAGACAATCTTTTTTTTATTCCCAGGACACAAAAAAATAATCACAGGTGACTAATTTATACCTGAAACAAGCAAAGACCATAAACTGATCACGCTTTGACGATGCTCATGTACACTGGAAGTTCAACTACTGCTCCCTCTTTGGGAATGGGGCATAGAAGAGTCATTGCACAGGCTCTCTATCTCACTGGTGCAGGTACTGATAGTTGCATAAAACTTGTGAATGGACATACACTGAGTTACATTATCTGTTGCAGATTTATATAAAAAATAAACCTCTTTGGCTGAAAAACGAACATTTCATTCACACTACCGTAAGAGAAATAACAAGCTTTGGTCATTATGCTAACACTTGTCTCCTAGTCAATCAATCAATCAATCAAATTTGATTTATATAGCGCCGATTCACAACAGTCTTCATCCCAAGACGCTTTTCAAAGAGAAAGAGCAGGTCTAGACCACACTCACTGTTTGATGAATTATCAAGACCCAATCTAAGATGGGATTTGGCCCATCTCATCTAACATGAGTAACAGGGGCGAGGAAAAACTTCCTTTTAACAGGCAGAAACCTTGAGCAGGACCAGACTCATGTTAGACAGCGACCAAGCCGCTGCTGAGTTGGGGAGAAATACAGAGAGATAGAGAGGGAGAGAGAGGGAAGAGTAGGAAAGAGGGCAGGGAGAGAGAAAGAGAACAAGGGAGAAGGAAGGAGAGAGAATACAGAGATCCTAGTGGGATCTTTGACCTCAACAAAGATTTCAAAGAGCCTGTATGGAAACTGACCGGGAGTCACGGTTGGGAGGGTTGGTCTTGATGGGCGTCTCTTCCTCTGAGCTGCTGTCGTCATCGTCTGACTCTTCAGACTGGATCTCCTCCACCATGGAGCGAAGGGGACCTGAGAAGAAGAAGAACTGAGTCATACAAACTGTGACCTCGACCCTGTGATTTTGGATTTCTTCATGTAAATCAAGTTCAGACTCTACCTTGTCCTTGTTTCTGTCCCGGCTCAAAGTCTGAATCTGAGCTGGAGTCAGAACTGGAGCTGGAGTTGGAGGGACTGGAAGGGGCCGACTGCTGCAGGAGGAGATGAAGAGTCAGAATGTACGACATGAAACAGTAATTTGATTCCTTTAGAAAATACAAGAGTTATCTGGGAATGAGTTGCAGTCCTACATGACTCATTTAGTCCTTAATAAGCACAACTGGTTTATTTCAGCATCTTGGATGGACACAGTAGAGCTGCAAAACAGCCGCTCAAAAACAGCAAACAAGAACATTTGAGAAGTCCATCTACCTCTGACTTCGAAGACGCTTCTTCCTCTGAATTCGACTCTTCTGACTCTGGAGGTTTCTTGGGTTCCTTCGGTTCCTGTGTGTCGTTTTTTCCTTTGGCCCAGCGGCCCTTATCCTTGGGGGGTTTCTTCTCTGCGTACGGCTGGCTGGCTGACGTCGAGGAGGAGACACGAGGAGAAGATCCTGTGAAAGGGCCGCCGCTCGGCCCCTTCGGCCCCTCTGAGCTGCCCTTCTTCTGCTTCTTGGCGCTGGGTTTGGGCGACTCCACAGTGGAGGGTCGTTTCCCCGGGGCTTTAGACTCGGTGGGCCCTCCTCCACCTCCTCCCCCACCTCCCCCTCCGCTGCCTGCCCCCCCTCCTTTCGGGGACATGCCCTCCATCTTTGACTCCTTCAGGGTGAGTTTGGGCTCCTTGAAGGCAGCCTTGGGTAAAACCTTGACCTCATCCTTCACTTTGATCTCTGACGGTTTTTTTGACGACGAGGATGAGGAGGGATCGCGGCCACTCTTGCTGCTCCCGTCTCTGTCGTTGTCTCCTTTTGATGTGGCTTTGCTCTCAGAGTCTTTTCGGGGACGCTCACGGTGCTCCTTGGTCAGCTTGTGCGGTTTGGGTCCTTTGCTGCTGCCACCACTTCCTTCTTTGCTGGGCTCCTAAAGAGAGAAACAGACGCACCGTTACCAACAACCTGCTCTTTAAACACTCAGCATGTAAACACTTTAAATTCTGCATTTGTAGCGTTTGTCAAGCTCACTGTATTACAGTGTTAGCATGCTAAAATGGGCTAATATTGCGTAACACAAAGTACAGCGGAGAATCAAAATATTTTCGCAGGTGTTTACAGGAGATTTAGGGATTTGCCGTCAGCACAGCTTGAAGTTTTTTGCCAACAAGAGTCTTAAAGTCTTAGCAAGGAAAACAAATACGAGCCAGCGCACTAACTCAGTGCAATTTTCTCTCTCTTTAGTTACACTATATCATTGCAACTATATAACTTTTTGTGGCATTAAGTGAATGTGCCGGCGTATCTTCATTTTATTGTTTTTAGGTTGTATGAAGTATCTATAACAACTATTCTTCTGTCTAAAGTCTTAACATAACTCAAAATCAGACTGTGTTGAGCAAAAACCCACACAAGTTGTGGTTCATACTAAAGGTTGATACCAAACTGTGGCAACACTGGTGAAAGTGAGGGGATCAGTTTCCTGTTTCCTTCTGATATGATCTGCTGTTTTGCACATAGCTGCCTCAGTTATTCTGCATACATGCATACAGATGTTCAAACACAGCTGGCAGTGATTAGAGGTCTGAGTCAGCCTGTACAAGAGTCTGACTTAATGAATTTGTCAAGGGCTTACACTGCGCAATAAGACGTTTGCCCACTGCATTTTTTAGTAGAGTGTCAATAAAAGTCGGCTGCAATGATCAATGAAATTTCAACACTTTCTAGTAAAAAGAAAAAATCAATGTTCACTCTCGTCAGATGGTCGAGACGATTTTTTTTATTGGAGCTTAAACCAACCTTTGACACATGAGATGTCTTGGTTTTCTTGGGGTCAGAGAAGGCGGAGAGGGGGATGGTGGGAAGCATTGGGTAGTCCGGACTGGGCCGCGACACGGCTTCAGCTCCCTCTGGTACCACCAATACCTGAAATTGCAGAAACAAAAAAATGGCCACAAGTTAATAGTTTTATCTGTAAATCCATACTACGCTGTGTGCACACTGTAAATCCTCCAATAGAGTACAGGTCATTTATTTATTCTGGCTGAAAACTGGCTTTTATGGAGCTGTTTTCCTTAAGAAATTGCAAAGTGACTCATAGTTGAAGCATTTCTACAGCCTGACTGGTCGTGAAACACTTAAGGTTGACTCATCTGCACAATAAACTAGAAACTGCAACAGAGGATGCAGGTTTCTTTAAAAAACAGTAAAAGCTGCACGCATATATAAAATAAATGAAGGCTGACACTTCCATAAAAGATAAAAATAACTGAACGACTAAGGTGAGTAGATTTCTGAAAATTGGTTTTCATTAAGCATTTGACATCGGTCAGTCTGTGCATGGCACATGTATATGATTTAATGCCTTCAGTTCAGAATTTTTACACATGATGAAACTGCATATTAGTGAAGCTTTAAGAGGGAAAGGGGGACAACTGATGAAATAATGAGGACTGCTCGAATCATATGACCTTTTAAAGTCTAAATGCCTGTGTGTACATCATGTGAGGTGCTTGCGTTTGTATTCCTTCATTTTAGCCCTCACTTTTTCCATGTTCATAGTATCAAATAAAAAACATATGACCCATTTTGCAATTGTTTTTATGCAATCAATGTGTTTTTTGTAGGTTTTGTGCATGTAATACTTTTCTTCTCATTACAAAAACACTAAAGAAACAGATTTTTTGTTTATATTGGATGTGCTATGTTTTGCAACTATCGCGTATGATGGAGGAGGATGTAAGACTAAAAGTGTTTATTAACGCAAATTGAAGAGGTGTGGGTGTTTTTTTTTAATGTAAATTGGGAATACTTTCTTACTGACAAAACTTTGCGCTGTGATTAAGAACGGATAAGAAAAATTTACCTAAAAATCCCCATCAAAGATCGTCCCTATTAGAGAATTCTTAAACAAACATGATGAAGTTGTTTCCTCCAGGTGTACTACTGTAGACTACTGACTGTAATCACTCATTTAGCCAACAGTCATGTCGGTGTGGAGAGCAGCCAGTGTGTCAGGGAGCCTCACCCCTCCAGCTTTGATCAGCTTTCTCCTGAATTCTTTGGTGGGGTTGTTGAAGGTGAGTTTCTCACAGCGCAGGTGGTTCACAGGTGGGTTGCCCTCCAAGTTAAGGAACAGGTCGTAGTTGAAACACACCTTTTTTGGCTCCTCCTGAAGGAGACGACAGAAGAAAAAAGAAAACAGTCTGAACCTTTTGAAATGAACAGCATGTGCAGAAACAACCCTTCAGTGTTTGTCCTTCTATCAGCGCAGTGCTGCCTCTCCGTACCTGCATATTTCATAACAAAAGATAAGTGCTGAATGAATGAACCATCACCCCGGACGCCAATAAAACATACAGACGAAGCTGGAGTTGAATCACTGATAAGAAAACATTCCAGACAAGCCAGAGAGATGTGGACAATTAAAGCTGAGGGAGAGGCATTAGGACGCTCTTGAGAGGTTCTTTAATCAAATGTCTTCCTGTAAATGCAGATGAATCAATGGCTGCAGATATTTACACTCCTCTCGCTGGCCTTTTAAGTTTTTTCTTCATCTCCCTGACAGATGTGCCCATTGTGTAGAAGTTAATTGCACAAAAGCGGAGGAAGCAACATTTTTGGGTGCAGTCCAGAGGTTTAATTTCATGAAGCACTGCAGGCACACTAATGTGCGCGTACATCTTCAGCATCGTCCTTATCTTGTAATGAGAGTAAAGTGGTCCTTTCTCTCCTTCATCATTCATTTAAATGGCTCAGGGAGACTTGAAGGTGCCAGTGTAATACAGTGTGCTTGTTTTATTTCTATTAGTTTAAGAGAGAAAACAGTTCCATGGTGAGCCATAGTTAAAAAACGGTTTGTGTTTCAGTCACATATTCACAGTTTTCCTGCAGTTAAGTAAAGAAACACTCTCTGCTTCAGGCCATCGACTGATTTCTAAAACCTCATCAAAAGGAAACATCCGGTCTCTCTTGCCAAATTAAGACATTAAACTTGTTAACACAGGCAGATTTCAGGGGAAAAGCTGGACTCCTTCCATTAATCTAGATTTTCTTGTTCTTTTTTAGTCAGCTAACACTTTGGTAGAGCTAATTGATACCAAATCCATCAAATGTTAAAATACCCATGGTTGTTACACTGACACCACCGAGTCAAACCAAAATACAACACTGAGAAACCAATTTGTGGTGAATTTACGATTTTCCCGAGAGTGCTGGTATCATACTCCGAAGATAACGCTCACCGCAGGGGGAAACCATCTCAGCCACGTTTGAGAATAGCAGAGAAAATAGATTTCATTTCAGCATGCCAAAAGATTATATAGAGCCTTTTGTCACCAGGGAGGAAAATGAATATTTACAAGTTAGTATTGTTTATTCATCTCTCTGTCCCTTCTACTTACCTTTCCTTCTGGACACAACACAAATAGATTGTCTTGTATTTGATTGAAACACAAGGTAAGATTTTCATGTAACACAGAAAGAAACAAAACTAGGCCGTGTAAAGCTTAGCTTCTGGAGAAAATTCTGACTTAAAGGATCCCAGAGCTTTTCCATTTCCAAGAATCCTCCACGAAGCAGCTTTTAGGCATTTTCTATCATTTGCTAACAGATGGATGTGACAGGGAAAGACCTCTCACTCAACACAAAGTCAGCAGTGAGCATAAATTATGTTCTCCTCCTGTGTGTTCGAGACTTATCTGTGTTTGAGCCTCATGTAATGTGGATTTTGTGCTTTATTGCTGTATCAGTAAAAAGTGGATTTTACCGGCTCTGTGAAGTAGATCTCACCTTGTTCTTAAAGTAAACCTCGATCGGCATGAGGAAGCCCGCGTAGCCCGACTCTTCCACTTTGTACGGAGGCTCCTTGCATACTGCGGACAAAGACGGAGAGTTACATTAGTCTTATCAGCAGGATGGCGGACTGAAATAATGATCAAATTAATGGGCTAAATTAACCCATTTTATTCATTACAAAAAACCTCAATGACACACGAGCCAAAAGAACCCAATTTTTAAGCTCTCTGGACTCCTCTATCGTTTTATTCTTTTAGATTTGCACATTTAACACCAACAGATTTGTGTTCACATGTTGGCGCTTCGTCTCACCTCTTTTGGGTTTAGGGAAGCTGTCATGAAGGCGGAAGACGACCCTCTCTACAAAGTGCTGGATGTCTCCAGTCTCTGGCCCCCGGACAAACACCATCCAGTCGTGGGTGAAGCCTTCTGATGTCACTTTCTTCCTCAGCTGGGCTCTGTGACCCAACTCCAGCTTCACCTGCACTGTGCACTGCAAAAAAGAAGGAGGATAGAAACAGTGAGTCAAAAACAGCAGAGTACTGAGGTTGCAGGTCTGACTCGTGTACAATGGAGTCCACAAGTGGCCAGTCTAGGTTTGATTAGAACCCGGGGGCCCGTGTCTTACATAAAAGCCTCAAACAATCAAATGAAAAACTGCAGGGTAATAAATGCAATCTGTGGATGTGGAAGAATAAACACAAGTGGGAAAAAAGCTACAGGGCCTAAATGAGAAGGAACAGATTAAAAATTCAGACTTTTTGTACGAGCTGTGAAAAACAACAAATAACCGTCTCGAGTAAATAACCCACTTTCTTCTATTTCCACTCTTATGCACTTATAACCTGGTTAATATATAATATGGTATGACAAGCACTGACATCAAAATTCAGTGTCATCAATTATACCAAAAAATAACCCATCAATAAAAGCGTCTCAAACTTAAGATGCCGAACACGTAAAACTGGATTCAAAGCTGAGAATGAAGTTAAACTCAGGGGGATTAATTTACAGGGTTTTTTATTCCTCAGTGAACAAATACCGCTGACCCTCTGTGTGTGGAGAAGCCGGAGTTTATTTTGAAGAGGAGGGGATGCACACTTGGCCCAGACAAACACAAAGCTGGATGAGTGTGGGGACGCTTCTCGCTGGGAATGATTAGCTGCCCGAGGCGACACATTTCAAAGGTTTGTCCAGGAGACAGGCACAGTTCTGGGCCACCTCCGCCTGCCAAGAACAATGACAGCGACGGGACAAGCAAATGATACCGTGCTGGTGAGGACTGGCAAAGCGAGTGAAGAGGCTATGGAGATGGGAGGGCAGAGGGGAGCGAGGGGTGGGTGTTTTGGAGGGGCGAGATGGGGGACAGAAAGGCACTTTATGTCCAGGGGACGACTGAAGAATGTGGGGATTTTGGCCCCGCCGGAGAGCAGCCCGTGAGCGGGGACTGAGTGGGGGGATTAGAGGGGACAGGATTGAGATGAGCTGGTCTGGCACCCTCTCACAAACAGACACACACAAAAATACACACTACTCCCCTGCCTGGCACTATGCCCGGTCATTCTGTGGCGGTAATGCCCTTAAACTCCACACCCCTACACACACACACACACACACACACACATACATACACACACACACACACACACACTAACAAGCCTTAGGGTCCCTCAAATCATCAACATAGTCCGCCAACAACAACAGAGACAACTCTGAATCAGGAATGTGAACATGAAATTAAGCTTCAAATTCTTGTTACTAAACTGTCTAATAATTAGGCCAAGAAATTTTTTACCACAATACTATCTTTCATGATATTTGTACCATTTAACGATGCTTCACTCATCATCCCTCGTAAATGCTGCAGCTTTGCTTTCAGTGCTCATTCTGTCCCTCTGCTTTACTAACACACACACAGACACTCAATCATCTTGCTCTCTATCCAATTTGCTGCCAATGCTTCACCTTTATTCCTTCATCATCTGTGGTCAAAATCTCAATCATGAGAAAATTTCAATTAATTGTGCAGTTGTGTATGTTTTATAGCAGCAAATTCCAATATGGAGCATCAGTATCCTGCTTTTTTCGGACATCAAGTTAAAAAAAATCATATTAATATTAAGCAAATTATAAACTCAGTGAAACTTTGTGATATTCTGTCTCTGAACTGATTTATCTGTATGATGTGACGATCAATATTTACAGGAGCCGGAGGAGAAATCTTTTAAATATTCGCTTTAGGTGATCGTCAGTGTTGGATCAAATTACATTGAATATTATGCATTGATATGACATTAATAAAGGAGAAGCTGGAGAGATCACATGTTACGCGTTTGGCGAGCAAAACAACTCAGAGGATTAAATTAAGGACTTATTACCTTAATCAATCAATCAATTATTCATTTATTTTATTTACATATTACCAAACAGTATCAAAGCTATCTCAGAACCATTAATTAAGTAGAGTGAGAGTTGAGACCATCCTCCTAGTTATGTCATTCAAAGAAAATAAACCCAGCATAAGGGGGACCTGACAACAGTGGCAAGTAAATACTCTCTGTGATCACGTCAATGAGAACTAGTTCCCTGGCTCCACTGGAGGGTTTGATAACATGTATTTGTCTGTGACTCGACAACAAAGAGGAAATTTGTTTATAACAGCAAATAAAAAGTACAAGATTGGCTTTTGTTAGAAATTAAATTGAACACTTAAAATTGACTACCCCTATCAATAATCAGAAAATGATGGGACCGGGGGCCGATATTTGGCTGGGAAAAAAAACACAGGAAACCACAGTGAAATGGGCACTAATTGAACCGTGTCAAACAGCATGAAAATACGAGACACCAGGGACTCATCTCAAAGAGAACAATAGTCATATTTCTCAATTTTACAAGAATCTGGTGGACTAAAAACAGTTAAGCAATCCTTCACTGGAAGACGACACATGGATCCAAATCCAGAGTTCGCAGAGTAAGTCAAATTGAGATACATGCATTACCATTACTCCCTTTCTTCCCCTCTCTTTCTCATACCCAGAGCTCCAACTAAAAGGAAATACAAATTTTGGCAGACACACCGGCTCCCACACGAAAACAATGAACTCCCAGCTGACATGTAAATAACACCCCTCATGACCAGCTTTCATCAAATAAACGATTAATGAAAAGTCAGAAACTTCGCCTGGGAGGATATACACACACACGTTACAGCAGCTGTGTTTTGATGGAGCTACAGGTTTCAACTAAAGAAGATGACACAGAAACGAGATGAAACAGCGACTTGTATTGGAAAACGGTCACAACAAACAGAGAGCAGCAGCAGCGGTGCGAATAGCTGAGAGGACAACAAGTGGGTTTGGGAAATAAGGTGTGTGAATGAGTGTGAGGGGAAATCTGCATGACCACTCACCCTGGCATCCCAAATGCAGCACTGGTACATGCTGATCTTATGACTAAACCAAAGCAAAAATTCGGGTACACACAGAGTCAAGACCATGATTCACCTACGAGTGGACTCAAAAACACTTCCAACGAGACCTCAACCAGAGCTGCAGCATTGTTAGATTCATTTTTAACTCTCAGAGTCATTATCAGCTTTTCAGATTAATATGACACTTTGAATTGTTTTAGCAGACAAAAATGAGAGGGCACAAATGATAACAGCTTCTCTTTTTTCTTTTATCATTTTCTGACAATTCACAGACCAAACAACTGTTGATGAAAAAAGAACGACAATAACTGCAGACCACAGCCCAACACCAGCATGATAAAGTTCATGAAGGTAGCTTGCAAGGCTGAAAAATCAAACAAAACTCTTTTGCATGCAACATAGTTAACATTCGTGTCAGAAGTATGACCACACTACTCTGGAGTTGAGGCAGTCGACCTCCTCTGGATGGACACCCACACATCTAGTTAAACTTCAAAGAGGTTAGCACTGAATGGGGACAAGCTCCAAGAAAGTGGCTGAGCCACTTTCCATGGGTGTGTGTGGCCTAACCATCTGAAATACAGTCCTGACTGGCCTCAGGCCTTTCAAGAGTAACCCACTTTGAAGCTACATCCCCCCCTTACAGTTAGCAGAGATGTAATTTGGTTTACCACTTTTCTGTTCTCTGTTAAATGAAAGATGTAGTCTTTTAAAGATGACATTAATCTTAGCAGGACAAATTCATCCATGCAATACAATTAAATGATTAGAGACATGCAAGAGCAAAGGGTTTACAACCAGTCCTAAAACTATGTTTGATATTCCAGATTATTTGTTATTAAGGATCAGCCAGTGCATGGGTGGTCATCATGTCTGGATCAAGTTCAGCGTTTGCCACAAGCCATGCTGCACGAAATTTACTCTATAATCGTAAATGTGCAGGGCATTAGATATTGACAGAGTGCTGGCAGATAAAGCAAAGATATTAGAGAACTTGTCCGGTCTTTGCTGTTTTTTATTAGCCCTGCATGTGAGCTCTCAGGCCGCTGGCAGTGCAGACACCACCCCGCCTCTCCTGCCCAACCTGGAGAGGACAAATCTTTTCCCCGGCGCCTTGTAGCGGCTCCTTAGCCTTTAGCCAGCGGCCGACACTCTCCTCAAAGGTACACTAGCTTTAGCTTAGCTACAAAAAAACTCGATTCAAATTGGTCTTCTTGTTGTTAAACAGTGTGCATGTGCATTTTGACCCGGCAGGGCAGAAGAAACACCAGCTGTAGATCTCTTTGTGTTCCCGGTTGTGGCTACAGCTATGCAGCGGTGTGAATGGTGTGTAGACTGGAGCTAGCTAGCGGTAAATACCGATGTATGAGTGCCCAGCTAGCATAGCTCCAGAGCCAAACAACTACGAGTTCATTAGCAGCAGCAGCAGCAGGAGCGTTTTTTCCTCCTGGCGACCAGAACAGAGGATTCAGTCCTGCCCTGCCAGCGCTAAGCCTGCTGGCATTTTCTCTGTGAAAAGTTCACATTCCGCAAGGAGACACAAAAGCCACTGTACCTGGTTCTCCATGTTTCTCTGGCCTCAGTGATTGTTGTATTTATTTACAGCGGCGTTTGTGGAGCGTCTCCCCAGCCTCTGCTCCTCATTGTGTGTCAATCCAGCCCAGAAGCGGAAGGCAGACGGCTCCCCTCCCCTTCCAGACGACTGCTGGCAGGCAACCAAAACAGAAAGCTCTCTCAGCCAATCACGGAGCTGGAAATTTAAGCACTCTTGAAAGGAGCCAATGAGAGCGCTTTGTAGGCGGGGTATCTGCCGAACTGCAAATACAATTAAAGCATTTTCTGCTGGTTGTCTCGAGTGACAGCGGGCTTGTCCCAATGGCTTACAGCTCTGTTTCAATTGTAAAATGCACACGATGCTAATTGATTAATCGGAATTCGATTGTTTGGGTTTTGCTTTTTCAATTAGTGTGCTAATGCAATATCAATACTACTCACCATAAGGCATATATCTTTTTCATACAGCTTAATATGCCTCATAAACATGGTACATTTGCGATTTATAATTATTGATCCAATGTTTTGTGAACATAACCTGTTACACTCAGAGGATCTGTGTTATTATTCTTAAGCAGCCTAAGCTCTAATGCAGCAAAACTTACTTAATTTGATTGAGTAATTTATTGCATTCTAGTTTTTTCCTTGTCTTTAATTATTTCTCAAAGGAAATAAACCTAATTCATGTAATGTAGGCGTATAGCTTAAACCACAGGTGTCAAACTCAAGGCCCGGGGGCCAAATCTGGACTGTTGAACAATTACATCTGGCCCACGAGATCATATCATCTTTGTTTTATAATTGGCCCACCAGTATGAGGTCTGCAGATTTCCTCCAGGATAATAATGTAAACTTTAGCACCATTATTTAATAAACCGCAAAAATCTGGTAAAGTAAAAAGTAAGGAAGATTTAATAAGCAGTCAAGAATGTGAGGAAAAAATGGTGTTTTATCCATATTTCAAATTCTGCATCTCTAGATTACAAGTCAAACATGATTTGCCTTTTATTTTGTGCCTTGATTGTTTCAACTCATTATTTAGATTTGTCATTTTAATCCTTTAGTTTCCAATTTTACATTTTAAATTATATTTTGACTTTAAACGCTTCGATTTCAAAATGATCTCATATTTTGACATTCTAAATTTATGATATCAACTTTCTCCAAATGTATTTGCTTTTTGAAAGCATACTTTTTCTCTTTTTAATATCATGTTCTGATCTTTTTAACTAATCTATTTTTGTTGTTGTTTTTAAATCTCTGATTGCCTTTAGATTTATCTTTTTCACTTTTTGAAATTCCAAGTGGTATATAATCATCGCTGATTTTGTTATGTATATTTTGAAAAGGAGGCTGACAGTTTGGGTTAAATGTTGACCCTGTTGGGCCCTCAGGTTAGACTTCAATCCAGATTATGGCCCTTGCTGTGGTTGAGTTTGACACCCCTGGCTTCAACTATTGTGCAGATTAGCAGAAACAAACATTTTTGGCACATTTGTAGGGACAAAAGTAAGATATGTTTAGATTTAAAAGTCAAAGTTACTGTGGTGACAACATAAGGGGTTTTTAAGACAAATGCATTTACATGTTAATATTCTGATTTTAAGTTGTTTATAATTTTAGGAGAGTAATACAAAATACTTTTTCTGCATCATATAAGGAAAACTTCTTGTATTAAGATGAATATATTGTAATCTCTGGCGCCACGGGTTGCCACACTGATCTTTTCCCGTGTCCATCTCAACTATCCACTCCTACTGGAAAGAAAGACGCCAGTCTGACTGAAAACATCTCTTTTCATACAGAGTCAGGGAGTGAGGGCCCTTTTGCAGTCAAGGCTGTGCACTGCTCAGACTTTGATGTGAGATTATCGGGCCTCAGCTACAGGACAGAAGGTCAACACTCACTCACTTGGTTTAGTGCCTCCTCCTCTCCCCCTGCTGCTCAAAAACTGATCCGGTCTGCCACTCAGTCAAGTCTGAGTGAAAGAAATCCCACCTGGCTGTCACACAGGAGGTAGGTCCCTCTTTTATTGAGACATCAGCCTTTAAATCCTCCTATTCAGCTAGAGCTGAGAGAATGAAGACATGTCCCACAGGTTTCACATACACATTCTTCCCTAACGTTACAGAAAATAATATAATACTTAAACCTTTAACATTTTACACAATGTCTTTTAGTGGTCTGATGCAGTTTTAACAGTTACCACAACATGATAAAAGACTTTGATTTAAGATTTATTTTTTCAACCACTACATGTATTTCTTTTTTATTAATACGGCATCTATCTTATCTAAAAAATTATACCAAATATCAAATAACAAAAGTCAGGTACCCTTAATTAAAAAAAAGGCTGTGCAAGGCAAGTTCTTTTTTTAGAAAGTACATAACAGAAGAACTTACTGTTGTAATAAACCAAAAGCTTTTATGCATGAAGTGGTTTGGACTCTGCACCTTTCCAGGGTGAGCTTATTCAATTGTCAGCATTGCATTTTAGTCCCTGGAAACTTGGGTCACAGCTGGAATGAGTAAAAGTGGATACAAGCAGCAAGCAAAAAGTTCTTAACTAGTTCCCCAAAACATGACAAAACTTTATTTCAAAGAATTTCCTTACATAGCATGCAGATGAGATGATTTCACCAGGACTGAGACAACTTTGTAAAGTTTGTGGTTTGTTTATTTTTTTATTATTTGCAGTGTAAATGGTAAATGGACTGTTAAATTGCAATTTCTATGCCCACTCAAATGGCTTTTACATTATTTGGCACATTCAATCATTCACACACTGATAGCATGGGTCGCTATGTAAAGCTTCCATCAGTTTTGACTAATCCTATTCACACATTACTGGGAGCAGCCAGTGGGGGGAAGTTTGGGGTTAAGTGTCTTGCCCAAGGCATAAAGGCAGCAGGACCCGGGATTGAACCCCCAACCTTCAAGTTAAGAAAAGAGATCATCCAATAAGCTTGCTTCTATTTACACAGTTGATGGAAAGCCTGAGTTTTTAGAATTGTTTTACTCAGTAATTGATGCAATTTGAAAAGTAGTAAAGAGCAATAATTTCAACAGGAAATACTTCAGTGCTGATTTCAATAAAACAGAAAGCAATTAAAGATTTAATTAAGATAGAAAAACATAAATTAAAACTGAGATTAAATGAAACAAAACCTGCAGATTCCTGGTAAGTTGCCTCTAAAAAGAAAACATATTTATCAAGGCACATGAAAAAGCTCATCACGAGGTATAAAAAAATATGTACATTATAAAGAGATAAGATGCCAACAGTTGTAGGGCTGACAGGTAAGACAACTTTAAACCCCAAATGGTTTTAAGGTCCTGCAGCTGTCTCACAATTTGAACTTAATACCATCATTCTTGGCATGAAGAGGTAATCAGGGAGGCAAACAATGATTCCAAATATGTCTTCCAAGGAATGATTCATAGATATGTGACACACAAGGAGAGGAAAGAGAAGGACACAGTCAAGCTACTTTAATGTGCACACATGCTTGTCCAATAAAGCTTTCTCTGATTCCCATCTGCACACACGTCTGGTTTATGTCAGTCTGAAACCAGCGAAAGTCAACCACTCAGAGCAGCAAGCATCTGGCAGCGCTGCCTCTCCACCCTGCTAAACAACAGTCAAACATGTTTGATATTTGTAACAAATCATGGGTATTGACTGAGTAACAGATCACAACTGAAGACAAGAGACAGCTTTCTTTATGCACATGAAGAGGAGAGAGCAGAGGCCCGAAGACACATGTCTTTTTTCTTTATCCTGGGATTTCACTCACTGGTTATTATTTTATTTTTCCTCAATTCTAAATAGGAAGCAGCTTCTTCGCATGTCCTGACCCAAACATACACTTTAGGGAAAACATAAACCTCAGCTCTTCTGTCTCCCTCTATCATTGTTTGAGAGTATATTCATGGCTGTTCAGGGTCCGTCTCGATCAGCTTTTTGCTGCTTGGCTGCTGTCACCACTTCCTCCTTTGCAGGGTTCCTTAAGAGAGATGCACATATGCACAGTCATCGTCTATGACAGGAACAAGAAGAGACAAAATCATCCCTCCTCACTCTAAACTTAACCTCTAGAGCACTTGAATGTGAGCATTTACTGAGTCTTCTTATATCTAATGCAATGGATTAATTGTATTTCTCAAGTTATGTTTATTTTTTTTATGCCTATGTTGACACGTTTTGGAGAAGTAGGGAACATATTATAAATAAGGCAGCATTATCAAACAGACTTCACTGTGTTCCAGTTTAATGACAGTAAAGGATTGAGCAGCTTGAAAGTGCCGCTGAGATCGCTTGAGGGTTAAAGTGCTGCATATTTTCTTCACTCACAGATCAAAGTTTGTGTTGGCATGTTGACCTACCCCTGTCACATGAGATGTCTTGATTTTCTTTCTTTGGGGGATTGGAGAATGTGAGCTGGACTCTGGTGCTGTCTCGGCCTCCTCTGGGAATAAAACTATCTAAAACAGAGAGAGAAAACAGTGATGCGAGTCTTTGAGATACAAGCTGTACGACAATGTCACTAATTACATTTTCAGAGTCACCTGGTATTTTTGAGAATAAATGAAACATAGCATGGTCACTGCTGCTCCCTAACTACAGGCAGTTATTAAACAATCAGCCGAGTCAAGAAGTCCATATGCCGGGCAGCCTCACCCCTCCAGCTTGAATCAGCTTTCTCCTGAACTCTTTGGAAGGTGTGTGAAAGGTGAGTGTTTCACAGAGCAGGAAGTCATCCTCAGAGTTTAGGAAAAGGTTGTACTTGAAACACATTTTCTTTGGTTTATCCTGAAAAAAAAAAAAAAAAAACAACCACAAGAATGTTTCATTAATCTGAATATCCTAAATGGCTGGGGCATAATTATTATGATGATTAATATTATTATATAATATCATGATATATATTTAAACCATTAGTGTAGGAGAAGGGATGGGACTAGATAAGTTTTTTTACTTTTAAAGGAAAGCAGGATTACCTTTTTTGCCACTTTGCACTATTTTGACATGGACTGAACAAGGTCAGAAAATTTTCGTCCACTGGGGGGCGCCAAAATTGACACAAACAGAAAGTTCCTCACTGGGGGTTATGGTTTTTGGACACAAGATCTTGTCTGTTAGCCTTTTAGTTTTTTTTTTTTTTATCTATTGCCTTGAAAGAACTCACCTTGTTATTGGAGTGAACCTCAATAGGCATGTCAAAGCCAGCAAAGCCAAACTCAGAGACTTCTTATGGGGGCTCCCGGAACACTGCAGACAGACACAGACACTCAGAGTGGGAGTATTGGATGATTTTACAGTGAAATTGATATGATTGAAGACCAGGTTTAATGGTGAAGGACACAGATTGCTGGTCAGTCTTCTCTTTCTTTTTCCTATACCAACAAATGTGTTCTGTATATAAATATAATTGATGAAATGAACTTGATAAAGAGCTGCACAAAAGACCAGCATGGTTGTCCCACCTCTTTTTGGTTTGGGATAGCTTTCGTGCAGGTTGAAGACAACTTTCTCGACCAAGCTCTTCATGTTACCATTCTGTGGTCCTCTGACAAAAACAGTCCAGTCATGGGTGAAATCTTCTGATGACTCTCTCAGCCTTGGTTTGGCTCTGTGGCCCAACTCCAGATTCAACTGAACTTTGTACTGAAAGAGGCACAGACAAGAAAGTAAAGTATTGTACAAAAGGGCAGAAAAATAACAAGAAGGGTATTCACATCCAAGAGCAAAGACTATGTTTGAATAAAGACTGGAGTTATAATCTATGATCCTCATCATGTGACTAACTTTTTATCCATAAGTTATACATTATATAAATCTTTACAGTTGTGAGCAAAGAAAAAGCCACATACATGCATACGATGTTTTTACTTATTTTGATGCTTGACTTGAACTAGTGTTGCAAAAAAAGTTTTAATAATTTCTAACATGGTTCCATGTGTTTGTCAGAATTTTTAATTCATGGTTTTAAGGCATATTTCACTTTTTTTAAGTGGACTTTGACTTATACGTCTTGTTATAGGCCTAATTAGCTAGTCACACTGCACTGTTTGTCCATCATGGACTGCTGCGGGGTGACGCAGCTCAAGGAAGAACATTTATGATAATTTCTTCATGGAAATGCAATCAGGCCGAGACGCTAAGGCAGAACAACTACTGTGTCCGCGGTGCAAAATGATTAATATGGTGATTAATATTACTTCAAGAAAATGATAAAGTAATGATCATAAATGTTCTTCCTTGAGCTGCATCCCCCCGCCTCAGTCGATAATGGACTGTTCCGAGGTCTCGCTACAAACAAGCGGCTGCTGAAAGAGAGTGGGTGAGTTGTGTTTAGTCTCCTTGCTAAATAAATTAAGCAAAGTTAAAATGATGTTTGATGGCTAGTACTATGGCTGGGACCCTGTATGTACTGTTGATGAAGTTAGGTGCTGTTCTGAGCATTATTTGTGGCTACAGAGTGGCGTTTTGGTTGAGGTTTGTGTGTGGCTTCTCAGACCGCTGTGTATTGCTATCCTGCTGTTGTTACTAAAGTTGGTCTAACTAAAGAAGCGAGCGGTCGGCAACAATCATCTCTCGACGGAGTGTCTAACTCAGTGTTGCGGTGTGTTTGACCCTAAACTAATTTTACGCCGGAATATCCCTTTAAATTAAGACTAGCGGCAGTTTGTCATGATAGAAAAGCTCCACTGACAAATAACAAGTAGTTTTGCATTCAGGCGTGAATATTTAATTATGAAAGTGATATAAAGCTAAAATACCTGGTGGTCCATATTTCTTTGGTCACAATGGTGTTTTTTTAACACTCTTCTTCTTTCTTGTTTGCTTGTTTTCTTTTCTTCTTCGTTTTTTTCCCCTCTTCTTCTTCTTCTTCGGTAATCTATTTGAAGACAGTCAGCAATCAATTAAGATACATTACTGCCCCCTGCGGTTTAATTGTTCTTCCCTTTTCAGTCAGATAACAGTCTGTCCCTACTTCATTGCATTTATTTCACAGCCTTGTTGGGCATTTTCTTATCATTTGTGTTGGCTGTACAAAATGCTCTGTGCTGTCCTTAGCCACTTTATTAAAGTCTGGTCTTTTAGATTAATTCTTGACATAGCGTTTTTTAGAATCAGTTTTACGACTCTATTTTTTCTGCATCTTATTAATCTTTGTCTTCTTTTTCTTGTTTTAAAGTGTATTAGCCTATAACCGGCTCTGCATTATCCCCTACATCATCCATAAATATGGAGCATGGACCAGAGAAACTATCATGATACAATAACAAAACAACACAAACCCAGACAAAATAAAACAAGGTTAAATTAAATGAAATCAAGTTGTTCCCAAAATACATGAATTAATTGGATTAGCCTTATTAAAATGCATCTCTTTTGTCCAAAGCCAATGACTGAGGCTCCATCACAGTCAGGTCTCTGCAGTGTCCAGACTTTGATGTGAGATTATCAGGCCTCAGCTAAGAGACAGAAGGTCACTACTCCTGTTGGTCCTGGGCCTCCTCCCTTATACCCGCTCCTCAAAAACTGATTCAAACTGCCCTTCAGTCAAAAGCGAGAGAAAAAAAGTCCCACGTGGGTATCAGACAAGAGGCACGTCCCTCTTTTATTGAGACATCAACTATTTAATACACAGTGAAAACCTCTCCCACAGGTTTCACAAACCTCCAGCAGAGCCTTGTATTTTAGTAGACAACTCTTTGCCCTGTGTGTGTACCACTCAGTAAAAGGCTGTTTCTGCCACAGAGCCTGTCTTAATCACCATCTGTTTACAGATGTTGATATAGAGATATATAGAGCAGTTATTTCTGTCTCTTTTGTCAAATTGTTCAAAATGAAATATGGTGTAACCTTTTGATCACACTGTGGATATGACGCAGGACTCTTTCTTCTCCAAATGCTAAGGGGAAAAAAAGTCCAGCACTTCAAGAAAAATACAACTCTGAAAATAGTTTTGAAAGCATGCTAGCAGCTCAGAATGATAACACTTGCTGAGCAGATTGAATAGGCACCATATTTACCATCTGCTCTTCTCATATTTACAAGCTGTCACTGATTTTTATTGTCGTCATTTGAGGCAGTTAAGAATATCCTGTACAAATTAATAAAAACACTGGGGTGATGTGAACTTTTAATATCTGAACAAAGCACACAAATAAAACAATCTCGTAAATGAACAACATTTTGAATATAAAAGCAACCTGTTACACCCATCTGAAGTTGTTGAGATATTTTACTTCTGACCAAAGTGACAGAGTATTTATATAGCAGCTCAGTTCTTGGGGCTATTTTTTACTTTCATGTCTAAAAATATCTATCATCGAGTTTTATTTGTGGGCCGATCTGTAATCATCACCAATCTAGACATCAAGATCAGAAGTTTGATGTCAAACTTGTACTTTTGTATCCAAACAGGACACTAAAAATTTTAAATCACACTTGTTTTGGTTTAATTGTAGATGTCTCATAACACATAGTAGTACCATCATCCATTTCCAGAGCACTGTTTTTTTCTAAGACCTGATCTACCACAGGGGGTCACTGTGAATCCCTGTGGTAGATCAGGTCTCCCTCGACACCTGTGTGGTACTTGAGAAAACATCTCCCAAATACAACTAAAAAGTTTCTGAAACACTGGATATTAATACAGAACAGACAATCAAATAGTGTTGGCTCATTCTACAGCATCAGCCCTACACTTGGTATGAAACTTATGATTAACATGTGGCATAAATGTAAAATATATGTGCCCAAAGTTAAATATATAAAGCTCTGATTAGCACGTGACTGTGAAACTATCATACGCTGAGATATAAAACTAATCTATGTGAAATTATTTCAGTTAAGTGCTTCGGTTCAAATGTTCAAAGAATGACAATTTTCATTGTTTATTAAAAATAAAACAGGTTCAATGTAATAAAAACACAGTAAATCAAAATATTGTGCCATAAAGTTAATAATAAAAAACACATTCATTCATAAACAGAACATAAATCACAGCAGCTCATATTTATGTACAAAAACGTCACTGTCAACAACAAACTCTTGAAAACACAGATATACTCTTTCTTCACCAGTATTTGTTTGTGACTGTGTGTACAGTAAAACTTTGAAGTCATCAATGCATTCATATAAATATATATTTTCAAATAAACTACTATTAAATATTATGTGTCGTACTCCATACTATAGATGAAAAAAAAGTTGTTTATTCTTTCCACACTTAAGCCAGGTGTATACTAAGAAATATTCTAGCTCTACATCTAAAACCATTTTGTATGCAAACTTGATTTCATCTCAAATAAAAGGCCATTGCATAGGCACAAAATAAAAACATGAAACACACTGTTTGGGACAGAAACTTCCAGGACTTATTACATTAAAGTCCTGGAAGGCTTTGAGGTCTGTGTGTAGGGGGTCCATCAAACAAGATCAAAAGCTATAGTAAATTAAATTTAGTTATGATGTGTTAAGAAGTAATAAAATAATGGTATTTTGTTTGAGATTAGGCGTAGATATATATATTTCTTTTTTTGAGGCTGGTCTTTTAGATCATGGATCATGTATTTGAGGTTTAAAGGTGGTGAGAACTTTATATCACAAAATAAAAGAATTCCTTTTGATAATTTGCTCTTGATGAACTACAGTACTGATAAAATAACGTAACAGAAATGCTCTTCCACAGTTCAAACCGGCTCTAATTTTGTCAACACCGTTTCTGTGTTTTGGGAGTGCCCTTGAGGACAATGTGAGGTAGTCCAACAGCCCATTTATCACAGGGCCAGTACTGCAGCCCGGGAAGAGAGTATGGTATCTCATAGTTGGCGTCCAGGTATGCTACGAGGGTGCTGGCATAGGCCACAGCCATCACAATCAGGATATGCCTGGAAGATACAGATAATGGAAAGATATACGCATGAGTATTTCCTTAAAATAAACAAACCTCTCTCGAAGAAGTGACCTAAATATGCTCCTCATTTGTTTAGCATTGAAATAAAAGTGTCTGAAAAGCCTCTCAAGACAGGAATTTTCTTCTTGTGAATCAATGGATAGGTTTGACAACCTCCTAGTGTGCCTTAAAAAATCAATAACGCTGACCATATATAATATACAACAGTATTATATACGAAATTGGTTATAAAGATAAATTGAGAAAAATCAATTTTGTTATTTTACTTCAGCTGTCACATGGGTGTCTTTGAGAGGAAGAAAATCAGAAATATTTTGTTTATCCCTCTATAAAAATATCTAATCTTTTGATCAGTCGCAATATTACTCACAAAGGCCTGATGTGTGCACACATGCTCAAACGGGACCTTTAAAATCACAGTTTCAGGTGATAGAATCAATGGAAAATATGGGAAAGGTCTGAAATGAGGGAGGGGAAGAGTAAAAACTAAAAAGACAAAAGAAATACAGAGATAAGGACTGTGATACAAGAATACCAGGACTTACCAGATACCATGCAGGTAGCAGAAATTCAGCCTCTGCCAGAAGCTGCAGCCAAAGCGATCACTGATCCAGCAGGTGATGGCGAGCACCCACAGAGCCACAGACAGCTTAGCCAGGCGCAGAACCTTCTGGTCATTACAGCTGTGATTGAACAAAAACTGTTAATTAAAATCAATCAAAACCACACCAAGAAATGTGAATTGATACGCAGGACATGTAAAGTTTTGTACCATTTCATCTCTGCAGCCAGGACATAAAGCAGATGGAGGCCGAAGCAGTTCAAAGCGTAGGCATTGGCTGTAGGTTTGACAAACGATGACACTGTGGTGATCGCTGTAACCACCAGGACGAGGCTTGAAAATGTGGACCTGCGGCAGAGACAACATCTGTGAGGCTCATTGACTGCTATTAAGGTTCTGTGTCGATATCAGTGATCAACAAGACTTCTCAGGAGGTCATTTTTAGAAAGTCCTGTTAACATTTGATCAGTGGAGAAGATGTTTGAACCCTGAAGGAAAACCCTACAAAAACCTTATGTACAGTCTCTATTTTCTTGTGTGAAGAAATGGGAGCATTCACCGATATCTGAATATCCCTCGCTCAACCTTTCCCACAAAGAGGGAATGGTGGCCTTCGAGGACAAGAAGCTTCTATCATCAAAACTGTCTACTAATATATTGTATATTATTTTGCACATACCAACAAAGCCTGCTAAATACAAAATGTAGGTGTTGCTAGTCTGTTTGTTTTGTGCTACTGTAGAAACAGTTGGGTAAGATGGCATTCTCTGTGGAAGTGGACCTGCCCCTACATAGATAACAAAAACAAAATACCAATTCCGACTCAGTAATTTTTCAGTATCTGTATGAGATGCCTCTGTTGTTAAAATATGCCGTCTAACTGGCCGTGACATTAGGGCTGTGACATGGGCCCCTTGAATTCTTGGGCCCCTGTGCAGCTGGAAAGCCTTGCATTATTCAGGAGGTCCAGCCTGTTACTTTGAAAACCTGGAAAATCAACCTTAGGATAGTGGGATTCCTTTCAGGTGCTCATCAATGTATAATCAATCCTCTTCCCACCTTGTGGTTAAATATTTAGGAGTTAGGTGGAGCTCTAATTTTTCACAATAGTAGGTGCCCCTCTATTTCATTCAGGTGAAGGAAGCAACACCATAACGTGTCTCTGGGACAATGACTCCGGTCGGAGCTGTCAGACAGGCTCCACGGCCAGTTCAGGTTAGGTTTCAGAGCAACAGCCTTGAAAACACTCTGTCACTGTTGTTTTCTGTCCTATTAAAGGATTATTGAGCATGCGTGAGTCCCTGGTAACACATTGATAAGTAAGTTGACACTGAATACCTGCACAAAACTTTACCTGTCTTTTATGAAAGAGGGGAAGAGCCTACGGGGGAACCAGACAGAATATCCCACCGCCAACACCCACAGGATAGACAGCTCATCCAACATCTGACCGACAAAGCTCAGTGTCATGTGAAAATATGCCGAGAAGAGCCCTGAAAAAAGAGAGCAAAAGATATAAGTAGGAACGTGGGAACAGTTATAGGACATTTGCAGTCTGTAAATCAGCATAAAAAGCTAAATTCCTCCATGTGAGTCTCATGAGGAGTATGATGATAATTTTGCAGTGATTGTAAATCTATTCAAATAAGAGGAAAAAATAGAACTATTCAGGGTACATAAATCTCAGCTTAATCTTAAAAAAAAGTTCCTTAATGCCCTTTTTTATCCTGCAAAAAGTTGGCAACGATAATTCTAGTTTGATCAAAATAGAGCTTTTTTTTTACCCCAATGGCAAGGGGTTTTAATTGTAGAGCTGTAACTTACAACATCTTTAAAAAATGTCTTGTTTTTATATGTAAAGCAATATTTATACCAACATAGTAGGTGTGCCTCAGAGATCTACACTGGGACCACTTGTTCTGCAGATAAATACCACAATGTTCGTTGTGTGTCTAGGTCGTATCCTGACAGCGCTGTGATTTATGCTCAATCCATAACTAAACTAACAACTCACAGGTACAATGAATCTATGATTAATATTTGTTTCATGACTTGTGCACATGTCAGAGACAGAAAAACAGGCAAGCATTGTGAATGAGATGAGAGACACTCACTATCTGTCCATAAAATCATGAGACAAATAGAGATGAATGTAAGTTTTTGAAACAAGTAAGAAAAAGAGTCACTGACCTACAAATATCATCATAACCCAGACCAGGTGAATGGCTAGGTTCCTCTCTTTGGCGTAAGGGTGCAGAAGGTAGAGCATGATGGGAGATATAATGAAGAAAATAAAGCTGCTCATCTGCAGGGGAAACATCAGTCAATTAACAAAACATCATCAGTCAACTGTTATTGATCCTACCCCTGGGATTTAAATGATGTAATACAAATGCTGCAGTATGAGGATTAAGAACTTACAGTATTGAAGTACTCAACCACGTGTTCTGAGTGTCTGTAGTTGTCTTCACACCAGTCGATTTCTGAACTCTCATAGGAGAAAACTCCTGCCATCTTTTCACCGGAGTACACACCTGTCAGACAAAGAAAGGGGGAACAATTAACTCATTTCTAATCCGCAAATAACCAAGGGTTTACAAGCACTGTATAGATCTGTTTTTCCAAATGGGTGTATGTCCAAGAGGACCGGCAGACTGTTTACTCCGGTGGTTTATGAAAATGAAGTTTCAACTTTGCATGAGCTTTTTTTTTTTTTTATTCAAATGTGGCTTCACACCCCTCTCTGAACATTAATGCTTGTTATAAAGCTACAGCTAAGTGGTTCAGTTTCTAACTTATTGGCATTTCATGTATGTGGTAAAACAATTGCAAAAAAAATACTGTGATAAACTAAAAGTAAGGAGGTAAAATAAAGGATAAAAAGATACTCCGGTATGACAGTTTATTAAGGTTAAGTATCACACTTCAGCATTAGACTTTGAAACAGTTTGGAGATGTGTCCAAGACCAAATCTATAACAGATCAGTTAACACAGAGCAGACTAAGAGTCTCAGGTTTTGCTCAGACGACAGGCAAATCAGATTTGTTTCTCAAATTAGAGCTGTAAGAGTGACTGTCCACACTGCTATTTGCAAGTGGCAGGATCAGATTTGTTTCCCAGGCTATTGCTGATCTGCATGGGTTGCTGTTGCAAAGAGATAGGCATCATTACCGAAGTTCAATGGTGTCATATTGAGACCGACTCAATTAGCATTTCAATGTCTGATGCTAAGTGGTCACATTTTGATCCATCTACCAAACAAACAAAACAAAACAAACAAAAACACACACACACAATAAGCGTGAACTCAGAATTCAGAATCAGCAGCTAAAATGTGAGAATGCTCAAAATTAAAATAATAAATCTAAACACAGTTTGATATATGATCATATAAAGAAGGGCTACAATTTTTTGGTGTGTTAGGAAAGAAAAAAAAAAGCACCTGTCGCTACAGTTTTGTTCACACCAACATATTTAAACATTTATGTTTATAAATACATATTTAATACACACCACATTTAACTTAACTTTGACCTCAGTAATAAATTTATGACAACAGTTATGACATTATCCATGTGACTTTTGCAGTAGGTAACGGAGTGTGAACAGTATTGTGAAGATTACACAGTAAAACAAAGGTCCAGTATTATTTTTACAGTATAATTTGTGCTTTGTTGCAAATTAAAATATGCCAAATTAGATAAAAATACTCCTTATTGATCCCATTCCATGTTTTGTCTCTCTAATGAAAAACCAAAGGATTGCTCTGGTGATTTCTGGTTTACGATTTGATAGCTTTAATGCTTTTTTATTAGAGAAAATGACTGGTTCTTACCTCCCATGTCGTTGTTGTGATACCAGCCTCCTGTCTGTCTGTCAGTGTTTCTGTGGTGCAGGTGGTACAACAGGTGGATTTAACGGGGAGGGGCGGGGCATCGAAATCCTCCCGATCCTGTTGCACGAGACCGTGACGTCACTAATAATCATACCGAACGGTTTCGCGTCTCAGAGCCAATAACAGTCCGTCACCGAGGTAACAGGTCCGGAGTGAGCACCCATCCTGTATGTGTTTATTTATAACACTTAAAGACAAGTTATTTTGGTCGATTAAAGTCGATGAGTGTCGATGATTGTGGTCGATTTCATCAGACAAAAAAGAGAGCAAAGGAAACAGACAGAACAGAAACAGACAGAAACAGAAACAGGTGTTTTAGAGGGAGCTGCTGATCGTTTCTGTGAAAATCTCAGGTCCTCTCTAGAAGAGGCTCAACCGGTCCATCTGCCTCCGCTGCGACAGGCCAACCCTTCAAAATAAAAGCATGAACGCTTTGAGTGGGCGATGCAGCGAGTAGCTGTGCTGTCTGTGTGTATGCGAACGTGCGAGTGTGCGTGTGTGTGCGTGCTCATTCACGAACAGCCACATTCAACTCTTTGCTGTCATTGTTTAAGATATTTTCAGCATGTGGTTCAAATTCCTTTAGATGCAGCTATTTTTAGTAATTAAATGCAAAATCTATTTTTGAACACAAAATTTGAATGAGTTCAATCATATGAAATTTATTCTATTTTATTTTTTACATTTTTTATTTTTTTCTCTTGTTTTATATTATTTTATTTCTTTCTTGTGGGGTAGCACTAAGTGTTATGAGGTTATTGTTTCTTTGTTTCTTTCTTTCTTGTTTTATTTCTTTGTTTGGTTTATTTTTATATTATTTTATTTTTTATTTCTTTACATTTATTTTTTATTTTTTCATTTCATTTTATTTGTTTTAAATTTTTTTAATCTTATTTTTATTTACACAGAGGTAAAATTTATTACAGTTATAAAACTATATGATGCGACACCCTCTTAATTTAATACAGACTGTATCACATTCTTAAAGTTAAAAACAAGATGCATACAACCTCTATCAGAAAAATTATTATTTTCTGTTTGTTTGTTGGAGATACTGAATGTGTTATAAGTGCCCCCAGTCTCCCCTATTAAGAGACTGGGCCAATGACAGTATCACTGCACAACCTGAGTAGGTACATTAGGTACATCGCAAATGTGAGCTTTTCTACAACAGTTCAATAAGCAGCATATAGCAGAAAAAGAGTGCACACCAATGAGCTGCAATTAGCTTTAAGGGTTTTTTTTTTTGTCCCACCAACTTTAGCTTCTCTTGAACTTGGCTAGGACTGTTGCCAAGCAACATATAAACATTATACCTTGCATACCTGATGCTCTTTGTAAATCTGTGAACATATCTGACAGTCAGAGTTGACAGTTTCTTTAGTGGCCTGTGGGATTTTAAAGCGACCACCTTGATCAATCCAGACAAACATTTCTGTGTAATATGAAATTATTTATGAAAAGTGTCATGATTGTTCAACCTTTATTTTTTTCTTTATTAGTCATGAACAAAACAGACATTTATCAACAGGAGGGCAGTTACATTATTTCACAAAATCAACTGCAAATAAAACATTTTTTTAAAAAAGGCAATCGAACTTCAAATGCAAAATTGGTCACCTCTTTCTGTTCTTTATTAGAAATTATTCACAACCTACTGATAACGTTATCTAAAACAGTGCAGAAACCTTGAGGTAAACAATATGAAAAAATATAAATTTTTCTTTCAATGAGATAAAAATCACATGAGAAACTTATCCTGACAACAACACGAGTAAAAAAAAAAAAACTTTTAAAAACTAATTTTTATTTAGACTGAAATAAAAGGACTTTTTTCAGTAATGAGCATGAAGCAGGTTTGTCTCAGTGCAAACGTTACATCCAAGTTCTCTTGTTTTATATTCAACATAGAAAAAAAGAACATGTTTAACTTGATTGTATGCTTTAGTTTCAATCATGAATACTGAGCACTATACGATTTCTTAAGAAAAGCTCCAGGCAAACATGAACTAAGTAGACATCAGGAAGACATGCAGTCATTTCAGGTCACTTTCTGTCTGTTAAGGCTGTAACTTTGGGTTATTTCAGGCACTTATACGTGACTATACATGCCCTGACTCTTGGAGCCTTTACCATCACATTTTTATTTGTGCTACAAATGGAGTTGCAAAAAAGGTTTAACCCCCAGAAATAAGTTAATGTAGCTGACATTTCTTTATATCAGCTGTTTCTACTAACTTTGACTGTACATCTTGATAGTACAGACTCAACGGCCAGATAATTTTACCTAGATTAATAGCTTCTATTAACAACCTGTGTGTTCAAATTTAACATTCTTTCTTTAAAGATTTTGTTTCACCTCCCACAGAGAGGCATTATTGTAGACAGGGATAAGACTAAGGCCTGGTGTGTCATTCAAAACATAAGAGTCCTTAACAACACAGAGATGAACCCCACGCAGCTCTTTGTTGTAGATTTGTGTTTTAAGGAGCGACGCCTGTCACCATCTGCAGAACAAGTAATACATGTCCCAACTTTCAGCAAGGACCATCCTTTAATAGCCTTGTGTCCAATATGGATGGACCAACGATTCACTTGTAGTCTCTTTAACAAAGAGTATGCACTGCTTTTAACAGTATACTCTTTGCTCATTGGTGAAGTTCCTCCTGTTGTGTTCAGATCTTCTCCACATAGTTCCCAGGAAAGAGACCTTCCTTTCCTTGAACCCTGCCTGTCCACCAGCCTGATGGATCTACAGAGAGAAGAAGCAAATCATTTCAGACCAGTCAGATTCATCAAATATCTTAAATAATACATTACTTTTTATAAAACTCACCTATTTAGACAGACTTTTAATATTTAGTGGCATTTGCCATTTGCTATTTGATTGTTTCTGTGTTCTCTTACCTTTTTTATTGTTATGATATCCTGTGACATTTGTCCTGTATTTGACTGTGTATTTGTTATGTAAAGCACTGTGTTCATCTTTCCTGATGTTGTAAGGTGCTATATAATTAAATGTTATCATTATTATTATTATATTTTTACATCCACCATCAATCCTCAATTAGTTACCACCATTTAATCTGTGGCCGGGATCCTAAAAACACACTAACATTCTGTAAAATCAGGCTATGACCACATTTACAGATCATTTCAGTGAAGTTTGTTACTTTTTTCTTTTTGTTGTGACTGAGTTTACTCTGTGAGCATCCCCATATAAACACATGTGTTGATTATTATTTCTGGGTCATTCAGAGGATACTTTGTTTTCCTAATCACCAAAAGGTCAGTGCGATGATACCTAGTATTACTCAATCACGTTTGGTTAAAAAATGTCACTCTAATGGTTTGTGGCCTTGTTTTATTGCTGATTTACACAGAGAGAGACATGTTATTTGCTCTAAATGAAGGCATAAGTAACCACTTCAATTGAAGCTAACATCACTGACACTCAGGAGTATTAAACCCTTTGTGCTTTGTGAGAAATTTTATTAATTATTGGTTGGAGTTAGTGAATGAGACCCTCGCTTTGAACAGTTATAATTCTCAGATAATGCCTCTAATTAAAGCCTACCTCATATAAAGGCCTTGGGCTGTATTAACAAATAAATGACCTGGCCTATAGACGAGGATTTGCAGTATTTAAGTTTCTCTCCATCTTGATTCTGTCTCTTTCACGCACCTTCTTTCACAAGGTCAAACACATCATTGACATCAAAGCTGATCTCATCCGCTTCCTGGCCAACGTACTGATATAACGCCCGGCAGCGGGGCCCCTGGGGTCGAGGCTGTGGTTTAGGAGCAGGAGGAGGTCTATGACTGATGCTCCTTTTCCTCTGCTTCCTGTGATAAAGAGAGAGATACAAAGAGCTGCTGACAAGAGGAAACAAAACTGACACCCAGAAAACTCTGAGACAGATTTCTACTTTTTAGTATAGAGTCTGCAGTCAGGAGACACAGTTTAAGGCGTCAAAAATGTTGTGTTTTCTGTTTGTAATCCTAGCTGAGCCTCTAAAGGAGTTTCTGTTTGATTTGGTCGCAGGGAAACGATTCATGTGATGAGAAACGAAGGCAGAACAGAATTGCTGTCATGCAAACTTGTAACCCATGGCAATCATCTGCATGCAGGTGCAGGAAACAATTTGCCCTCAAACCTTGTGTCTCAACACCACCTCTATTCTTCTTCCTCGAGGCATTTAGCGGACTGTAAACTATGCAACACATGGCAAACATGTCCCACTGGAACGCTTGGCCGGATGCCCTTTCTTCATACGAATAAATGACTATTGCAGAAGCTGTGAACAGGTTGGATTGCATCTTTGTTAGTGTGCGGTCCTTCAACTTCAACTCCCATGTCCCCAGAGGGAAAGAATTTATGCAGACATGTACAACCACAACAAACGCAGTAACATTCAACATTAAAAACCAAAGTTAAAACATCACATGACAACAAGATGGCAAAAGCATCATCAAACCACCTTCTAGACCAAAATTACAACCATCAATAGATACAAGAAGTCAACAGGAAAATGTTTAATCTGCTGAATATGTGAACAACTGTGTCAAAATACACACCTGTAGTTTCAGCTTCTTGCTATAGAAGCTGGATAAGATAATAAAACCACCATTTTCCAGGCAACAGTTTGCTTTATGGATTTTTTTAAACATATCTACCCCCCTCACCCTCCTTATATACAGACACACACACAAACAATCCATATCCATACTTTAGAAGCCGTTAAACCAGAGGATTACACACACAATCCTTTGAGTATCACACACAGCCAGGCCTTGACAGAAACTAGTAAAGCATCAGAATGCCAGCTCTCTAAAAACAGGTTTATCTCCTCCACTACAAAATTCATTCATCTGCTCTTGCTTGGTGAGCGTTGAGCCTCACCTTGACATGCCTTAACAGCTCAGTGGGATAGATACTCAGTGACTAATCAGCTCCACCCTCAAATGCGATGGTTCTTCCCTCTACGGTTCTTACCCAGACATGCCCTGGTCAGGCACGTTGAGGAAGTCCATGTTCCCCTGGTTGTGCTGGTTGTGGGCTGGGACCCTGGGAGCCCTCTGGGTGGGGCCCAGTTTGGGTGGAGCTGTGCTGGGTGGTCTAGCTTGTTTGTGTGGGGAGGAGTACATGATGTCTGATTGTTGCTGATGTTGTTGAGGTGCTCTGGAAAACTTGGCTGCTCCATTCTGGTGAGCTAAGGAGAGAGACAGAGGGTTAAAGGTCAAGATGAAGCCCAAAATAACCTCCTGAGTCAGAACACTGGCCTGAAAATACATTTTGTATTTATACCAAATTCCTTCAGTTCAAACGCACTACAAGTCCCATGATTAAAAATGTTGCAAGTAGAGTAGCAGGAGCACTAAAATGTAGAGGTATGAAGATTGTATGTACTCTTCATAAAGGCGCTGTGTAAAGATGAACTAAATGACTCACTGAAATGCAACTTAAATGCTTATTCCTGAATTACAGAGCCCCTCCAGTGACATTTTATAACAATAAGGTTGTGGCCACAAAATATTAACTCCTGGACCTGAAATATGTATATGATGTGGAGACCATCCTTTGTTGCTTTAGCTGCTTTTAAAATATAAACTAAGATGTAGACTACCAGTATGGTAAATGTAGATGTAGAACTCTTACACCAGATTGTTTTTTTTCTGTCGTAACTTGTTGAAAATACATCCTGTAGTGATGAAACTTGAGCTTATTCTTCACTAAAACACAACCACTCACCTCCAATCACTGTAATCGATTGCACTCTATATCTATGCAGTATGTTTTATATGTAAAATCTCAGTCTTAAGAGTAAATGTAGCTGTAAGACAGAGGTAGTTCAGTAAAAGTAGATTTCATGAATCAAAAAGTGGAGTTGAGTTGAAAATATAAAAGGCTTTAGAGTACCTGGAAAACTGATCTTAAGTACAGCTCTACTGGTCCACTGTGAGTCATTGGTTAGCCCTTTGTATCATATTTGAAACATACTTTTATATGCTTCTATCAAATCAATATGATCAACAAATTATTAAAAAAAGCACCTGAAGCAGTCCGATAAATGATAAAAATGTCCTTTTGCAGTTTATCATGTTTCCAAAAACATCTAATGTATCAAACGAGATAAATAAATATATTTGTTAAATATTAAGGACATTTTGATTTTTGGGGTTTTCAGTGCTAAGTGAGATAAACATTTCAGCTCCAAAAAAATGTGAATTTTCTGGCCATAATTTGTGGTGTCAGGTATTAAAGGGTTAACAAACACAGACTGAACAAAGCAAGGTGTAATAGTGTAACTAAAGGAGATGCAGCATGTTAGAAACATGAATTTACCTCTGTTGGCAAAATTATTTCTCCCTCCACCACGAGACTGTGGAGCACTCTTCCTGGTGGGCTCTGAGGAGATGCAGATTAAGTTACATTCAATAAATAGATTTTTTCCCCTGTTTATGAAATTTATCCTTTAGTTTTTTATGGTTCCACATTACTTAAACTTACTGGAGGACTTCGGTAAACCATCTCCCACTGTAATCGTGAGAGTCTTCCCTCCAGGTTTGAGCTGGGCTAGGTCCCCCTGTCCCCTCTGAAACACCACCACCCTGGAGCCTCCTCCACCCCAACCCTCCTTCTTCACTCTGAACTCCAGCCTGAGTGAGAAGAAAACATGTCAACAGATTTTGTTGTGTTTGCGGTTTTCTCTACAAATATCATCAGTTTGAGGTTGCGGTCCTCTGTACCTGTCAGCGAAGGAGATTGTCAGTTTCCTTTTGAGCGCCTCCTCGTAGCGTTTGGAGAGCAAGCTGAGGAACTCGGTCTTAAAGTTTGACTCCAGCAGACTGTCATACTGAGCTTCATGTATGATGAAGAAGTCGTCTTGTCTTGTACTGGAAGAACAAATACAATCAAACAGACCATTACCTTAAGATCTTACACAGATCTCCATTTTTATTCAAGTCTCAGGGTTTCAAGTAATTACGTATCTTTCTGGATATGAAGGAAAATGACAAAAAAGTGACTCTATTGTTAATCAAGTATATGTTTTTAGCTGATAAAACAGCCAAACTAAGTTTTAGTTCTGTCATGAGTGTATCTCCTTATTTAGTCTCACTTAAGAAGCGACTTCCTATACAGAGCAAAGAGTACCACTTCTTGTAAATTTACACCTAATAATAAACCACACACACACACAGCTGCTGAGTGTAGTGGTAGTGTCTTAAAAACCAGCGACCTACCTGAGAGAGACTCCACTGATGCTCCCAAACTCCAGTTTTCTTTTCAGGACCTCCCTTATCTCTCCTTTCTCAGGTCCTTTCTTTACCTTCTCTCGGCCAATCAGGTAGATGCCCTTTGGGGTCAAGATCAGATCTCTCTTGATGGACTGGGAAAAAAAGAAGTGAGAGGTGTGAGCAATACTAGAAAGGAGAAGAAGAGTGGGGAAGAGGTCAGACTTGTGATTCATGTGAGTGCACATTTCTTTATTTGTTCAGGAAACCCATCATAACAATACTTGTTGGAACTTCACCTTGAACCTGCGATCAAATTTGTTGACAGAATCTGCGAATTCAACACGCTCCCTCTTGGCCAAGAACTGCCTCAGCTCAGGCTTCTGGTCCAGGCCCAGGTAGTCCCCGACAAAGTTCCTGTTGATACTGTTTTTCCTCCGCTCCTTGGAGTTGTACAGGATGTCTGAGGCTGTGCCACAACACATGGACGGACAAACATTATTCATCACAGCACCTCATACTTATACTTTAGTTGGAGAACATTTCTGCTTTGTAACTCACCCTCTTCTCTCATCTGTTCATACTTCTTCCAGGCGATAAACCTTCTCCAGGCTTTCTGGATGATCCTGGCAAAGGTGTCGAACTTCCTCTCCCTCATCTCCTCAAGGAGGAAAAGCTACAAGGAAAGAGCATGAGTTCAAAGTTAGCATCTATTATTGAACACAAGAAATTTTCTAACAGAAATACAAATGAACATTGGTCTCGTAAAGCTGCAAATTCATTCACAGATCAAAGGCTAAAAAAAATGAGCTAGAGTCTATTTGAAAGAGTGTAATCTAAAACTTAAGATGTACTACGGAAAAGGAGCAGTCACTTTTTTCTACCTGGTACAGCCAAGAAATTTGGTTAATAATAATAATAATAATAATAATAATAACGATAATAATAAATTTTATTTGAAGGCACCTTTCTGACACTCAAGGTCACTGTACAAATCACATTAAAAACAGTATAAAACATTTAAAACACATTTAAGAGCAATATCAAATTAAAAAAAAAAAGAATAAATAAATAAATAAGGAAAAACAAAGAGACAGAGACAGGTTAGGTGACCGAATTGGTCGTCTCCATAATCTGAGCTATCAAAAGCTCTGAGATATGTTCTGGTTTAACTTTTCTTGATAAGTAATTTCTTTCTTTAAAAGCATAAATATACATAAAGTGAAGTTATATGAAAATATTTAATTTACAGTCTTTATAGTGTACTTGGCATCATTTAACCCTCATTTAAACAGGTTTGAAACACAACCAAGTCTACAATATAAAGTATCCCAAATTAGCATCTTGCTAAAAACACATAGTGCAGTTCACTCGGTTGTTGTGCAGGGTTAAATGTTTTAGATTTGACTGTTTCTCAAAGCTAAACTGACAAATAAATGAATAAAATCTATAAAGTGTCTCTTACAGATTCAGGGTTCTTTACGAAGACTTTGGTGCGTCCCAGCTGGTATTGATCATTGTCCATGTTGACAGAGCGGAGGAGGTGAAGGACCCCCCCCTGCTCTTGACCCCTCCAACATGGCCACGTCTCTGCAGTCAGAATGGCATACCTGGAAACAACAAGAATATACACAACAATTTAAAACTCACACCCATGAGTGCGTTTTAGCAGGTTTCTCCTTTCGGACTTAACTCACCTCATCAGAAACTTGTTAAAGACTCTGCGATAGGCAAAGCCAGCTCTTCTTACACGAATGTTCTCCCGGAGCCCCAGGTACTCTACCTGGTGTCTGACCCTACAATCACACAGAACATCACCGCACATTAGGAGCATTAACTACATGTTTTATGTGTTTATGCTCGCTGATGTGAGGATACTGACCTGCTTTCCTCCCAGTCTTTTGGTCTTTTTGTCTCGTTGGGTTTGATACAGCGGATGTAATGTGGAGTGCATTTCATCAGTGTGTTCACCAGATCGTTGGCTTGTTTCTGTCAGGAACATTAACACACAATCAAAGCTAAAAAAGAGACATCAACATTACAGTTTATATTTACTTAAAGCTCCTGTAAGGAACCTTTGGCACCCCATGTGGTCAAAGTAGTAAAGCTGTCACTTTGCTGAACTTGCCCTGTACTTGTATTGCTTTCTGATGATCTCATCCTGCTGCCTTAAAGACCCACTCCGATGAAAATCATGTTTTTCTTGTTTTTTACATGTTCATAGAGCATTTTTTTCTGATGCTACAGGACATATCATGAGAAAAATAAGTGCAAAATTGCTTTTTTGAGTATTTCTTCATTCAAATCGCTGTGAATCCCTGGCAGACCTAAACGGCAGTTTCAGAAAAAGTGAGATTTCATACGTAGCAAATCTAAGCTCCGCCCCCCGAGCCCTGCTATGCAAACCAGGCTCAGAGAAATAGAGGACAATCGCGGAACAAGCGTGTGCATTAGCGGATTGCAATGCTTGTGTGAAAGCTAATTATATTAGCTGTCATCACACCTCTAGAGACATTAGTGTCTGAGAGCTGAATAGCTCCTGTGTTACCTGCTACTTCTACAACACTGGCAATGTTAGGCTACAAGCTAACGCAAAGAGAAGTGTACAGAGCAGCGCTGTCTCCTCCCACGACTTAGAGGCTAATTGCTAATGAGCTGCTAGCTCTCTGCAGAAGAAAAGTCCTCAGAAATGACACAGGTAACGTGATTTTGGCTAAAAACTTCATAATCACAATTTAAAGACCACAGAGAACTCTTCAAAAAGGAGAAAAAAAAAACAATCAGAGTGAGACTTGTCTTAAATATTTAAATGTACAACTTTCTATGAATTGTTGTCAGTGATTGTGTAAATATAAGCTGTTTTGGAACTGTTAAAATTATGTTGAAATGAACAGTCTTGCTGCTGGCTCTATCTGACATTCATTTTAATCTCTTCAGTCTCATGACCACCTAATGAATAAACCCAGGGGCTTTGAGGAAGACTTCAGTTCAGGTTCACCACTCACCTTGATCTTTGAACTAGCGGTGGTGGGCCTGCTCTTCTTATCCGTGTTCAGATTTTCAGGGAAAAGGCTGCGAATAAAGTCACTGCGGAGACATAATTTGGGGATTTAATTTTTACTGTGCTTTTTTTTTTTTTTGTATTTAAGGCTGAAAAAAAAAGACTGGCATAATAGACTTACTATTCACTGCTTTGCATGAGCTCGATGAGGTCTGGAAAGAGCACATCCCGGTTTCTCTCGCAAAAGCCATTAATATCGTATGACACCTGAAATGACAGGCATTGTCACAGCAGTGTTGACTTTACCAAGCGAGCAAACACTGTTTATTAGTAAAGCACATTGTCTGATTATTTGCTCTATATTGTGCTTGTTAATGGTATTTGTGCAATGACAAGTTTTATTGGTCAAACAAACCTCACAGGCAGAAACTCTATAGTAAAATGAATTAGACAAAAACTCATGTCAAAGGGATGAATTGATGCTGAGGGAGAGAGGGTTTGACTGATGTCAGGTTCCTACCTTGCCAGCGTAGTGATGTATGACAAAGCCAGAGTTCCAGCTGTTGAAATGTTCGTGCGTACCAACAGCCGCCTGCAGTTTTTGCAGCAAAGTACCATCTGCGCCTTCTCCTTTGGCATGCATGGTGGCACACACGTCATCCAGCACGCTCATTACACCAGGAGGATTCTGTTGAAACATGGTATGGACGAATTTAACAGCAAACACTCACAATACGGGATAGGTTTCACACATATGAAGCTAGTCAATGCAAGAAAAGCACACCATTCAAAGCAATTAGTGTGGATTCATTTGTTAGTTTATTTGTTTATTCGAACAGGTTAAAAGAAAAACAATTAAAGAGACAGCTCTGAAGCAACATAGATAATCATAGTTTGTTCAAAAAGGTGTAGGATGAAGTTGAGAAAACGTATTTAGTTCTACCCTTTTATTGTTGTGTTTCTATAATTTAATCAGTCAGAGCATGTGTAGGAATAACAGCACAGAATAACGAAAATATATTGGAAAAAAGGCAAGTTGCTCATTGTTATAAATTCATGTTTCTCTCTTATATCCATTTATCAGTGGTTTATAAAAATAAGTTTGAACTTGCTCAGTGATCTGCAAGTTTTCATTTCTTTGCTGCAACTTTTCCACAGATGAACTCCTTTGACTGATGTAAAGTGCATTTTTGTGTTGGTACGTATAGGTTGTTTTTTAAAAATATGCATATTCCCCTGAGATTATGTTTGTTTTCTCTTATTTGAAACAACTTTTAGATACGCTGTGATTTGCTTTATACATGATCTGAATAGTTTTGAGATCGACAAATCCTTGAACTTTAGTGCCTTCAGTTTGATGAAGAGTAGGTTTGATGGTTCTCTGATGGTACTTTTATTTACTATTTTTATTGCTCTTTTTTGGAGTTTGTATATTGTTTCTGTGTTTGTTTTGTATGTGTTCCCCCAAACTTCTACACAGTAGGTGATGTATGGGAGAATGAAGTTTGTTGGTTGCAAAGGTCATGCCGTTATGAGCTCACCAGTTTATTCTCAATGAGATCGCACACAATCTTGTTGTTGAAGTATTCGATGGGGGTCCACTTGATGCCTTCCTGAACGTACTCTTCCTAAAAGAAAGCAGGAAAAATGACTCAAGCTCCCTCTTAATCCAAAACAGCACATTGCAGTGATCGAGACACAATGAATATAGAAATATAGAGGCTTGGCAGAATGAACAGAAGTGCTAAATGTCGTTTTTTCATTACCTGCTCAGCCTTCAGAGTCAGTTCAATGAAGATCTGCTGCAGCTTCTCATTGACAAAGTTGATGCAGAACTGCTCAAAGCCATTCCTCTGCCAGGGGAAAACAAAATTCAGTTCATCATAGATCATTATTAAGATCAGCCCATCTGAGCTTCCTCATGATTAAACAAACATCTGTTGTTTTACAGCTGCTTGAAAATATTACGGAACTGAAGGTGATTATGGGACAAACCTGGAATATCTCAAAGCCGTAAATGTCAAGTACTCCAATACTAAATTCTTCATGTGGTTTTTGGATGGCTTTATTGATGGCCTAGAGAAGACAGACAAAGGACAGAAGAAAAGTGAATTACTGTGAGCATATTTAGGAAGCTGGTTGCCAAAAACAGGTTATTTCCTCTTTCACTGAGTCTGTTTCTGTTGCTGCTGTGTGAAAAGTTTCACTACCTCTACCAGGTAGTCAAAGAGTCGTGCATAGAGGGCCTTGGCCAGGGCATCTCGTGTGTAGGTGGCCTGCTCCTGGTTAAGGGTCACATTTATGGACTCAGACTTCCCTCCCCACTTTGAATCCATCTTCCGGCTGGTCAGTTTGTCCTGCAGGCGGTTTGGGTCGATGCCCAGCAGATATGCAGGGAAGGCGAGCACTGAGAGGGAATATTTGAATCAACACAAATACGTCAGTCATGTCAAAATGAGTGATTGTGATACGGATTTAGATTTGTCTATGTTAGAGGCTGGCAATTTTCTTGTTATTAATGCTACTGCAACCTACATAGAGTGTAGCGGCACACACCGTGCAATTCTAGACGGCTCCTGTGCAATGATAATAATGCTACCCTGAATGTAAATACCAATTATCTGCTGGGCAGGGAATCCCTATAGGCAGCAGACAAAGAAGGAGGTAAACAGCATAGCATTGATGTGCACAGACTCTATCAATTAACAGCGTGTTTACCATGGGACTGCTTTGTCATAGTACGCTTTAATTAACTCATACCCCTTGGAGAGAAACAGGGCAATTTATACAACCAGGTGGGAATATGTGTACACGCATGGATGGCTGACTTTATGTGTGTCTGATATGTGTGTGTGTGTGCATGGTTCACACTCACAGTCTGTGCTCTCCACTTGCCCATAGTTCCCAGCCTCAATGAAACTGATGTTTCCCAGGTGGAGGATGCCTGCTATGATCTGCAGCACCTGAGCCTGGATGTCTCCTGGGATCCCAATGACCTGCATGGCTTCCTGGAGACAGCAAAACAGAAGCAGTTGAGTGTCAGGTCTATTAAAAATAATTTATCATTCAAAGAAAAGTATTAGTTTTTACTCAATAAAACATTTTTACTTGAGGAATAAGCTGTGACAAAAACAGTGTTCTTTAGGGTCACAACACCATGAAGATCTGGGCGATCCAACACAATCTGTTAGAACATCACTACCACACATCCTAGTAAGTAAAGTAACCAAATGTTTAGTTTTTGGAGTGCATTTCATTTGTCTAATTAAATTTGATTACAGTAGCTGGCTGTTGAAAATTGGTTGTCACTTAAAGCAGGGTTTGCAGAGAACTTTTTCACATTTAAGCATCTTACGAATTAGAATTTAATGTCTGATACTTTTCAAAGTGGGTTTCTTTTGGCTAATCGTTTCGCAAATAACCGTTTGCTAGTAACCCCAAATGATTGTTTATACGGCGACACAAAGTAATTCTCCAGTATTGTAGCTTGTATTTATTGTAAACTTGCGCCAAGTATTTATTTTAAACTACTAGTAAATAGAAAAGTAACTCAAAAATATTCTAAACTTCGTGTAGTCTTATTAACTTTATTTACCTAAAATGTCGCTACCTCGTCGAAGAGATTGTCTATAGATTGAGAGTCTCTTGTTTGAACCTGTGTTATGGTTTAAAGCCAGTCTTATTCCAAAGTATGCTTCCTTAACCCATCATCTTTTCTTGACCTTTGCCCCTGTCATAATGTCAGCAGCCACAAGAGGGCGCTTTCCGAAAGGTCAGTTCTCAAACATTTATTCTTAACATTGAGTTCACAAACTATACAAAAAATCACAAGCGTTCTTGTCACTTTTTTTCATTCAGCCTCTCTACTTTAACATTTGTAAGACAGTGTGGAAAATTTGTGATGCCTGGAATGAAAAAATTGCAACCAGTGTGGACCGGCCTTGATATGACTTTGTGTGCAACCATGCTACTCACAAAGTACACTTCCGATGTCTGAACACACTGTCAGAGTCACTTTGAATAGGTCTACCAGGTGTGTGGCGACCACAAAACTGTGTTAAATCATGCCAAGTTTAAGTAAATAAATTGTTGACCATAAATCGGAGTGTTTTCCCTCAAGGCTGGATTTCCAACAAAGCCCCAGAATCTGGGCCAGGACATTGAATTGTTCAGTTTTTATGTTTGCTTATTCATAATATTGTAAAAGCACACTACACTAGGATAGAGGAGACCATAATGGCAAAAAGGTTGTAAGGAGGAACAGTTTTTTACTCCTTCAAATCCAACAGGCATTGTGTGTTTGAGATTTTGTACCATAGTCTCTTGGAAATCCTTGCTGTCGTTGGTCCCATCCACTTTGTAGGTCCCAGACTGGTTGAGGTAGTAATAGTAGTCTGGTGTCATGATGCCCAGGCCCTCTTTCTGCTGAGCGTTGGCGCCCTCTATCAACTGAAAGACAACAGTGCAAGAAGGGAAGCTATATGCGGTTATTTGCAGCAGAAACAACAGAGGAATACTCTGGGTCCATCCTCTTTTAGGTAACTTCATAAACAAATCAGTTAAACAGACAAAAAGTGTGACTGTGAATACACCTGTCTTACCTGATAGTAAATGTGGAAGTTCCTCTCACTCTCATTCTGGCTCACGACTCTTGACTTCTCCAGCAAGAAGTTTGAGATTTTACCTCCGTCTGGCTCTCCTCCTCTGCTGAACTGAATCTCAAAGTATTTCCCCTGGTAGATGCAAAAAAATCAAGTGAACAATCAGTGACAACGAACGGTTTGGAGCTAAAACACTGAAGATAACTCAGTCTATGTTATGTCACAGGAGTTTTCCCATCCTGTCCACAACCCCAACAAAAGCAAATAAATAAACAAAAAGGAAACACTTGAGGAATTCTTATGATGTTGATTAACAAAGTCAGAATTTCCGGAAACATCTGCTCAAGTTGATGTTTTTTTAAGATTCAAAAGATTCTTGTTGTGGCCTAAAGGTGTGACGTGAGCGCATCAGGACCTAGCTGGTGGGAAACGACAGGGGTTCACATGAAATTACCGTCTCAGATTCAAACCAGTGCTGATGGGTAAACCAAGAGATTATATTGAATACCCTATTTATTGGCTTTTATTCATTGTCTGTGCATGCAAAACAAATTCAAAGCAGTTCTTTTGACTCTGAACTGTAGGCTGAATAAAATGTCGACTACATGTGGGCATTTTCAGACATTTCATAAAGAAGATATTGTGAATAGACTGACAAATATTGGTGAAAGTTGATCTTTTATAACCTTGTAAACAGAAAAATTAACAAACTTATCTCATCACAAGGGTCATAAAGTTGCTCCTGAGCTTCTTATTATACAACACAGTCTTCAAGTCTCAGTTCTGTATTATCTACTGATTCAAAAGTTAAACTAGTTCACTTCTATCCCAGTTTTCACCTTGCAACTCATCTACTTGGAAAACAGATGACTAGCTCTGACTGTCAAGTAATCGCTCACATGCAGAAGAAGAGTAAATAAGAAGACTGCAGTGGATAGAAGTGGAAGTGTGTGTGGTTTACAGAAATTGAGATTATAATTAAACTGAGAAAGTAGCAAACTCTGGTGTTCAAAATAAAGTTAATGTAGAAGTGGTAAACATCGCTGCTCTTTATCAGGAACTCTAAGGAATGTGAGTGATGACATTTTGTTTTGGTATTAAACTTTTTTGTGCTGTTTTGAATGAAATAAGCAACAATTCAAGTCAAAATCCCCCATTAATTTGTTTTTTTGACCCCTCCTAGTGTGGGGTTCCCTCAGTAAATTTCTAGCATCAGATGGCAGCACCTCCTGTAGGTCGCTGCCACCTTTTGGCTGTCTGTAAATCTCTTCAGACACCAATAATTAACATCATTGAGACTGCATTTGTGTTTTATATAGTCACCACTGTTGAAGCTTACTCACAAAGCGACTGGAGTTGTTGTTTCGTACAGTCTTGGCGTTACCAAAAGCTTCCAGAAGAGGATTAGACTGTAGGATGATGTCTTTAACATGCTGGTGCAAACACAGGAGATGAAACCGTATGAGACACAACAGAAATAACTCTCCCCTGAACTGCAGGAAGTCTTTAAGATGTTTTGAGTCACTGAGGCGGTGTCTACCTGAACTTTAGATCCTCCTCCGGATACTTTAGAAATGTAACCCATGATGTATTTGGCAGCCACTGTCTTTCCTGCACCACTCTCACCACTACCACAACACCATGAAAAATAGGACACAGTACACCACAAAGCAATGTAACATCCCTCGAGGTACACAAGCACATCATATAGCAGAAGAAAACAGACAATCTCAGCAAAAATGAGAGCAAAAGCACATGTGCCTTACCTGATGATGACGCACTGATTCTCTCCATCGATCATCATGTTTCTGTACATGTTATCAGTCAAAGCGTAGATGTGAGGCGGATTTTCATACTGAGCCTAAAGCAGATAGATACAAAGAAATATTCATGGTCAGTTCGTGTTAATTAAGTGTAGAAACAAATTCTGCTGATGAGATTCTGAGCAGTTTTACTCACGGCTCCTTGGTAAAGTTCAATCTCTCTGTCAGTGAAATAAGGCATCTGCTTGAAGGGGTTGACTGATATCAGCACAGGGCCGATATATGTCTGAGGAGAGGAGTCAAGGACCCCGAGGGACTTTAAGCTCATAAATAACCTGTATAGATTTTCATAAAGCCTTATAAAGCCTGAATAAACAACAACCACCAGTATTTTTCTTTTTGATAAATGCAAGAATCAGAAGGATCTCCTTACTAATTAATTTTTAAAAAGAGTACTGATAAACACACTTAACGGCTGTCGGACCAAATGACTGTAAGACAAGTTAAATGTTATGACCAAAACTGAAAACAAAGCAGATAAAAAAATTGTCAGAGTCGTAATGAAAGCCATTTTATCACTGCGCACAGAGGGAAGTGGTTTACAAGGGTTTCTTTGTCTGGAATTTAACACAATAAAAAGGGGAGTAAAACTCTGTCAGTAGCAGTTCAAACATAAATCTCATTGGCTGATATTTATAAGCATAATGGTGTTCACTTAACAATGGTCAGTTCTAGTATTTAGGCTGAGATTGACTTGGTTTACGGACTTGATGTTGGGAGAAACTTTTTCAAGTGTCTTAACTGAGGAATCGAAACAGCTGAAGAAAGGAAGAGACTCTTTCAAACTTTAAAATCAAAACAATCGAAAAGACACATCTCTGTGGAAGTTCAAATTTTACCATTTTCTAACAAGGCGCACTTAAAATGCATCCTTACAAGTTTACAGTTATGTCTTTTTGTTTGTAATCAACAAATCAGTCCTCCAAGAGAACAAACAACAGATTCAACCCCTTAAAGAACCTGTGAGGAGTTTTTGACACTTACAAATTAGACTAAAATTCATGATTACAGTGACAAGACTGGCCATCACATAACAAGAAGAGTCAACCTCATGGTGGTGCAGCATGGTGGAAGAATCAGAGGGTCACTAAAGTTGTTTGAAGTAATTCTCAGGGAACCATAAAAATCAGATCCAAAAACCATTTCAACCTTCACAGTATTTCCTGAGATATTACTCACATCAGTGATCAAAAAGGTCAAGAGACCAACAGACTTTGAATACTGTTCATATAATACTCATAACAAGACGACACACTATTAGACTGCTTTTGGTTCAATGTAAAAAGGATCTGTGGATCTGTAATGAGTTTATCTTACACCTCACCCTTGACACCCGATATAAAGCTGTTCAGATACTTACGTAGCCAATATGTCTTGATAAAATAGAGATAAAGTTACACGCTATGAGGAAGTCAATCCTCTATCGCATGACTCAGCTTTGACCTAATGTCAAAATAGTAGTAAATCATCTTAATTGATAGTCCCGTGAATACATGACCTATCAGTGAAATTGTTGTCGGCTTATAGTAAATGCGACCTTTTACTTTAATATACCTGAAGTGATGTCAGCTGCTTCTCCGACTCTAAATATGGTCTGAAGTTCAGCTGTGCTCAGCAAAAAACGGAAGTGAGATGTTGAGTCACAAAGTGAATGCAGACGAGGAAGAGAGAATTTCTTGTATTTCAACCCTTCTTTGTTGGTTTGACTGACTGTTTCTGTGCTTCAGTTGGCATTTTGAAGACTGTTTTTTCTGCACTTTCAGTGATTAAATGCAAATAAAGATAGTGATGAAACAAATAAGAACATAAAGCATAAACTTCACACCTTCCTAATAACTTCCTTCACCCAAAAATCTAAACACAAGTTGACCTCACTTGTAACTAAATAAATGGATAACCTGATAAATTATGATACTATCAGCTTAAAGGATACAAAGATGTAGTCGTCCATGTATCTCTTCTTTAGGTTTTCCACGATGGCGTCCTCTGTGATCTTGGACAGCAGGACCATGTCATCCACGCCGCTCTGCTTCACATTTTGACTTTGCCAGTGATACTTCGCCTGAATCGCACACCACAGGGACACACAGAGAGGGAAGGATAACAGTGGAAAGTTGGGTGAGATGCTGCTGTTTTGACGAGAGAGATTTTATTTTTAATCAAACCACAGAGTTCACACATGAAGATGAGTTCAAGTGTCATGTAGAGAACCACTTAAGTGTGGGAAACCCATCTCACACATGAGGTGAAGTAAAGGATAAATCATGTGATTCTTGTTTTTGATCTACTCTTGACGAAATTTCAAATCAGACTCTCCTCCATTTTGATTTATTTTCTTAACTTCATTAAATTCCCGACTTGCTTGAAGTACAACAAAAACAATCAACAGTATCTCAAGCTCAAACGACAAGAAACGACTGTTAATACGATGAAAAGATCTGGGCCTTCTGTAGTTTCTAACAGAGTGGGTAAAACACTTTGACATGGCACCGGTGTAAATGTACATTTTAAAAATGTCACCCATTGTGGTTGCCAGGAAAGGAAGCGGTGGCTGGTTGCTAGGAAACGGGTCACAGATGAGGTGAGCTAATAGTCTAACTAAAGACATTTAAGAGAAGCGCCACAGTAGCTGTGTGAAACTACAAAAACCACCTTACAGCGCAGACTTTAGGGTAATGACTGTTGTGTTGTTTGGAGATGTAATGAAAGGGTGTCTCACAGACAGAGCTCTCCAGGTGAGCTACATGCTGACACCTTACTTCAGTTCCCTGAGGTAAACTACTATCCTGAGTTTGGGTTTTTCCCAAAAGACACAGTGTGTTTGATGTGTGAAATCTTGTCATTGCCTTGTTGGTTTAAGTTGAGGTTTGGGGCTTTAACAAAGTGTGCTGTTCCACATGCTCCACATCAGACCTAGAGTCACCACTAAGATGAACTTTTCTAAGACAGAGAGATAGAATAAAAAAAAATTGACAATTCTCTGTTTTACTGACGGTGACTAACCAGTGACCCTTTTGGTTAAAAAATAATCTGATTTTTGTGATTCACCATCAGACAAAGAAGAGTAAGAGATTAATGTCAATGCTACCTTCAATGCTTCAACATTTTCACTGACGTTTCTTAGAAAAAAAAACCTGTGATATAATTTCATGTTTGTGTTTGTCTGTGTAGTTACATAATAAATGTGTACGTGTCATACGTTGAGTAATATTAGTATTGTATCGCCGAATTTAAACACACCAAGCACTGTCTCAAAACCCTTGAAACCGAAAGCAGCGATGTGGTTGTTTTATAAATGTTCATGATATCTTTGTCTCTGTTTTCTCTCTCTGGCTTGGTGAACCTTCATTGAATAATTTATGAGAATTAGATATTAACTTGACAGAGCGATAGCGATAAAAGTTTGTGCACTGCAGACTATTTTCACTGATGGGTTAGGGCAGGAGATTACGATAGGAAGACTGCGTGTCTTGAGTTGAGTCCAAAATAAGAGCCCACATTGATAGTCGTTGAAGAACATAACATCTTGTGTATCACGGTCTGTCACTGTCTAGTTTTTATGCATGAAGAATACACTAAATTACCATTTTACCCCAAATTCATTATCTTTACGTGTATATTTTCATGCGTCAAATCTCCACATCTATGCTGAACAATACAACAGTATGAATTTTTTCCTTCTGTCACCAAGGACTCCCAGATTAACCCCCTTTCTGTCTCCATACTGTATAAACCCTCTGTGGTTTTAAATCCACAAGTCCACTAATCAGCTGTTAGGCTTTAAGTGAAATATGGTGATTTCAGGAAGTTCTGCAGCTCCTTGCACAACTGTGTCCATTCCTCATTTACAGCCTGTAAAGAACACATGATGAACCAGCTACTACCCTCTCAGGTCAAGACGGAAATATTACGCATCCTACATATCCTGATGACAGCAAATAACATGTGAACATTTTAAAACGGTCACAGGGAGCTCCAGTTTAAGAATAAACCTCAAAGATCTGGGATTGTTTGAGATAAATGGATTAGTTTCTTCAAATATACTTTATACAAAAACCTCTCTGATGTGTTTTTTGGGTCTACTTTAAAGACACCAAGACCTGTCCATAAGTTTAGTCTCTTGTTTGAACCTGTGTTGTGGTTCTTATTCCAAAGCACACACTCCCTTGACCCATCATCTTGTCTTGACCTTTGCTCCTGCCGTAATGTTAGCAGCCATGAGAGGGCGCTTTCCGAAAGGTCAGTTCTCAAACATTTATTCTTAAATCACAAGCGTTTTTGTTGCTGTATTTCATTCAGCCTCTCTTCTTTAACATTTGTATGTCAAAGTTGGAAATCTGTGACGGCTGGGGTGAAAAAAATTGCAACCAGCGTGGACCGGCCTTGATATGAGTTTGTGTGCAACCATGCGACTCACAAAGTACACTTCTGCTGTCTGAACACACAGCCAGAGAAGGGATTGCTAATCTACCACAAAAGGTATCTATTTAATCTATTATCTAGTACTGAGTTTCTTTATTATGATAGACTCAAAAGTGATTTATTTTGCATTAAAATCAGTCTATTTGGGCTAATGTGGCACATGCACCTACTACACAAAGTGCTCATGATAGATACTGTTTATTTTCTTCTTTAAAATACAATAATATAGAAAACAAAAACCTCTTCAACTTTAACCAGACAATAAAAACATTCTAGTTATATGTATAGAATTAGCTGATACCAGTGCTATCAGCTTCACTGAGATAAACTCTCCTTTTCAGAGATTGAGAAATCACTCGAGTGACGTTACTGTTCAGTTACAAATGCAAATTTTTGATGCTAAGGGAGCAAAAAATAAACACCAATCATGTCGGTCATGTTGTGGTTTTCGTTGCTGAGATCTCTAAACCTCTCTGCTTTTCACATGAAGTTTGAGGCAGTGTTTACAAGAAAAACAAAGTGACAGCTGACCGTCAAAAAAGCGGCACACTACACAGCTGGTATTTCTGCGGCAGATCGTGCTTTTCTCTCTCACTTTTGGCCATGCCTGTCTGCTTCCTCTCAGACTCCACTCCTGTTATCTGAGACTCTTTTTCTTGAAGGACAACAGCTGCATGATGTCGGTGATAAATACCCTGAACTCTGACTTTTCAGACACCTTTGAGAGGTTTTAGTCTTTTGTCTGTATGTTTTGGTTTTTGTAATAAGACTTTTAAAAGTACCAAGACCTCACAGAGTCAGAGGAGGAAGTGTTGTGACAGAAACTACAGGCCCTCTCCTGTGGTCCACTTCCCCCTCTCACACCTCATCTCTGCCTCTTGTGAAACTCAAACGCTGATCACGCTTCAGCTTCTCTTCATGCAACTGCCTGCATTATTCTGTGGCAGCTCCCCCGAATGAAGAAACATCTTTGAGAGAGAAATCTTAGAAACTGAGATTACATTCAGCACAGCTCAATGTTTAACCTAGATAATGCTCCGTTCAGATTATCTTCAACAGAAACAGCACTGTGCACACCTGGAAACTAGATTTTAAAAGCCCAAAGCCATATTTTAGATATTAAACATGAACATAAATGTTACACATCTGGTGTATTTTTCTGTCTCTAGTGTGTCTCATTGAAAGAGGTTGTCTTGTAAAAGAGGAAACTCATCTGGTGCCGCTGCCGGTGCTGAATTTCCTTTAAAAGATGGCCCAGTTTTCTGAAACACTATCACATCACTAAATAAAATCTGAATTTCAAGCATGACAAGAACTCTCAAACCTTCTTAGACAGAAACAGACGAGGAACACAAATTCTGATTATTTGTCGCCATTTCAGGGTGGAGAAAAAAAGTCTCAAACTTTTGGTGAGAAAGCTACACAAGTCAAGATTCTCGTCTTTGTGAATGAGAAGAACACAAGAAACAGCAGCTTTCTTCGGGATTGGACACACACATTATATCTGAGTAAAAGTGTGAGAGAGAGGAAATAAAGGTGTGGTACTGTACCATTGTTCCTGTGCACCTCTTTCCCACAGGTGTCCACGGTCCAGGGAGGAGGAGGAGTGTGTGAGTGTGTGTGTGTGTGTGTTGTTAAAATCCACAGGTGGAGGTCCTCAGTCTGCAGCCATCACACTCACACACACGCACAGCTGGATGGTTGGAGCCAACAGAAGCCAGCAAAGACCTACAGGACATCCACTGCGACAAATTCAAAACTCTACTTCCTCATCCTCCCACAGCAGCGGTATGTGAAAGAAGAACTAACACACACACACAAACACACACATACACACACTGCTACACACACACACTAACCCTAAAGAGGTTGGCTGATACTTCTGTATTTCTGTCATCAGAGGCAGGATGAAATAAAGACAAAACAGGCAGCCGCATCAACACATCATAACAGCACAATCGGTCGCACAATTCAACAAGCGTTGCAGTGGAACAACAATAATGATGTTCAATTTGTTGCCCAATGATGGTGCTTCGGTTGTGAGCTGCCAACTCCACCCAGTCTGTGGTTACTTCACCGTGTGTTTGTGACATTAGAGGATCCGCTGCTCCTAACGCCCAGAATTACTGAAGCAGGGTCATACAGGGTGTAAACACACACACACACACACACACACACACACACACACATAGACGTTTGTGGCGGTGACAAGGTGTCATGTTTACGCCGTTATATCTGATTTTGAGTGTGAATGTTTTTTAACCTGCACATGAATGAGGATCCAGCTGGGCCAATCAGGGGCTGGGTTGAACTGACTACTTAAAGAGCCCTTCACATGAGTATGAAAAGTCTGCTGCTGTTATTCTGCATCTTTCAGTATCAGTGTTGTATCTTTTCTGTCTTTACAGTCATTTTGCACCGTTTGAGTCGGTTGCAGTTTGCATCATGTCTTGGTCCTTTCCCTCCATGTAGATGTCTCTTATCTTACCTTTATGTCATTTTCATTTTTTTTGGGCCTCTATTGGCTTTTGGCTTGTTCTGATGTGGTTTTGTCATGATTTTTCCTGCGTTTCTCAGGGTTCCTACACAGTTGGAATTTCCATACTTTTCCATACCCTACTTTTTAGAATTATTTTTGGAAATATCTGCTTTTCTATTTTTGGAAAACAGTATTTTAGAACTGTGGCAATAGTCTGGAAACAGATATTTTCAATACTTTATTTCTCATTTACCATACTTTTTAAGACCTGGAAATTGATCAAACTACTTCCATACTTTTCTATACTTTCCATACTTACGAACCCTGCTATCTGGTTCTTTACTAATTTTTACTCACTCTACACTACACTGGGGTTTACAGTGGCAGCAAGCAGCTGGTTGATTAACGTCTGTCTTCTTAGCAACCCTTAAAACTCCTTTTGAACCCAAGGTGTCTCCAGACAAGGTGGGTTAATGAACTTGATGTACCTGCAAACACCGTTCTTACTCAGTTGTAGGCTACTGGATGCCTCAAAGTCTCATCATTGTCAAAGCCACATTGGCTGGTCCTCACATTGATCAAGTCCTTAAAAACTGGATGTCTAAAAACTTTGTCTTCCACAATCCAGGTTGGATTGGAGGCAGCAGTCTAAACAAGTCAACCTCGATCTCCCTCTCCCCAGCAACACTTTTCAGTTCCTCCTTGATAGGACATATAATCTGAGTGAGCTCTGGCCCTGCCTCAAGGTCTCCTCCCCACTGGCTGCACCTGGAACACCTCCACCGGGAGGCGTGAGCCAGCTCAGTTGACTCTTGTGACCCAATTTCAAAGTGTCACAAGAGTCACTGCCCACAGCTCACGACCATAGCTGAGGGTTGGAACGCAGATCGACTAGGAAATCGAACACTTTGCCTTCTGGCTCAGCTCCTTCTGCATCGCAATGGTCCAACCAAAAACTGGCATTACTGCTGACACTTCACTAGTCTGTGTCAATAAGAGAACTATGGCCTCTGTCTGTAAAAACTACATTATGTATTTGTAACAGATTTTAACTCTGGTCCTGAGAGATCATTTTTGGCACTCGGGCGTCTTCTTCTCTGACAGTTGATTGGAGAAAATATCACATTTATATGAAGAACATCTATCAGGGTTGTAATTCATTTTGATCAGTAGCTGTAGTTCTGAGATAAATAGATCTCATCACACAAACTTTTGTATGTATACAGAAACAGTGCATTTAATACCCGCCGTCTTGATTGCTGTCTCAGTCTCAGTCAACAGGAAGAAACTGTTGGGTCATCTTTTCCATGAAGGCGGTCAGTTCCAGAAATAGACGACCATCACTGATGAGCTCAGCCGCTGTCTAGAGGCTATTTTAACCCACACTCTGCTGATCGCTGTGAACTGTTACAAAGAAAAGGTCAATAAAAGGAAAAACAAGCAGTAAAATGTCTTAAAATCATCAATGCACCATTTTAATCAATGTAATATTTCCTTTTAAAAAGATGTACAAGGGGGGATTTATCTCCTATAGAATAAAACAACATACAGTACATGTCACGTTATAATTAGCATGTGAAAAACAAACATTACAGATACTGTCCCTCTTATTTACTCCGATAAAACCGGCTCACTCCTCAGTGTGAACCTTTGATATAGGCACAGAAACATAAAGATACACCTTATTATTGACAATATAACAGGATATAATCTGGCAAACATAATGTGCAACTGAAAATGTGACAATGATTTTTTTTCCATCAAAACAGTCCTGGTAAATGTTTGGTAACAATGAGCTCAGTCCGATGCAACACAACTGCAATCTATATTAAAACAGCGGCTGGTGTGAATAATATGAGATAATTCTGATCGTAGACATGAGTACGAGCTGAAAGATTTGGCAGAAATTTTAAAATGTGTTTCCAAAGCTTAGTTTTTGTGTGTGTGTTGTCTTGAGGGTCAAAAATGAACCACCATTTGAAAGAAGATAAACCTTATCATTTTTACAATTTTTTCTCCAGTAGCCCTAATTTGACAAAAAAAAACTAATTTTACCAAAAATTGAATAACTAAGTTTATTTTGATTTAAATTCATAGACTGTATATAGAATGGACAAAACAGCACCCTCTGGTGACAGGCTGCAGTATAGGTCATAAATCCCGCCTCCTCCAGCAATCCTTATGGAGTTGTTGACAAACTTTAGAAACTAATTACACAGAATATAAATGTTTCTCCTCCTTGTTTGCGATGTTGACATGTAGTTACAGTAAGACTAGTTTGTGCTCAAGTCATTTTTTTCTGTACAGCTCCGATTTTAAAAGTTATTAGGGGGTTCATGTTTTCTATGATTGACACTTGATACAGCCTATGGGCGTATGAAGACACGCTGTTTGAGCCGAGCGTCATCACAGCGATTCTCCCACAGAATGCGTACAAAGCTACTGCGCAATGTTGGTTCCAGGAAGTGGATAAAAAACGGGGAATTACTGAGAGCTTTTCAGCTTCAAATCTGTATACTGGCGGAAGGCAGAACCAAGTTGTCCATAGTATATACAGTCTATGTTTAAACTTAAGACCATAGGGGCACAAAAAAAACAGCAGTAACCAGATACCAAACGCTGGTGCCGGCTAATATAACTCTGTTTTTCTCAACAGAAAAAAAAGGGAATCCCAATTTAATCCCAGACTTAAAATGCTTCAGACAACGAAAAGATAAATGACCAAACCACATCTGTTAAAAGAGCCCAGGAATGCTGAATTACTGTGATGCTATCCTGTTCACAAATACTGAATTTTGGGGGCAAAAATGAACTCAGGGAGAGAGAAAAGCTGACTGTATGATGAAACTGAATCCAATGAGGGCCCCTGCTGGTGAGTGAAGGGTCTGGCTATTGAGCCCTTTAGACCAATATGATAACAAAAGGCTCCTACTGAATCCTAAATAGTTAAGAACAAACAAACAAACAAACAAACAAACAAACAAAAGATGTTAAATGATAAACCAAGAACAATGACAACAACAGTGAACTATTAGCACCAATACAAACCAAAGCACCAAAAGAAACAAATAAAGGAACAACACTGCAGCTAATCCTCAGAAAGACGCTAAGACACGCTGTAGCTTCCTCTGCTTACACAAAAGAATGTGACATGTGGTGTTACACAAAGCTGCTGTCAGCAGTGATCAGTGTGAACATTTATGACAAAGAGACCAGTCAGTAGAGAGTTCAGAGCACAGCGGACGTCACAGCGATGACTGAGCTGAGAGCCTCTGAGGCAGCATGTTTAAAAGTGTCTCTGCAGGATGGAGAAACAGCTGAAACAGCATCAAGAAAAAACGGGGTCAGGAAATTTCATTGACAAAACCTATAGTGTGTGACTCATCCAATGGAGTGACACATGGAATCAAATCACTGTCCTTAAAAGGGAGAAAAGTCCTCTAGGTCTGCATTCATGGAGCGCTTGACATCATCTGTTTAGGAATTTTTTTTAACCTCAGTCCTTTTGCTTCTCGTTTTCTATTTTTGAAGATTTAGCTCCATCCTCTATGCTAATAAGTGGCTAAAACCTTTTTTTGTTCCTTTTTTTTGATGGGAAAGTTCTCAAAAGTCACTTTTTGCTGCCTGCTCAATGCCAAGCAGTTTTAGGACAGTTCAGGGGCTGTAGCAGAACATCCGCCTGCTAAAGAGTCACGGTCAGTGGAGACGAAAGTAGAGTTGAAATAAGAGTGAATACTAGATACTAGAGGTGGGAGAAAAAATAGGTTCAATAAGTATCGGGATTTTTTGTTTTACAATTTTTAAATCTATTTATATGTTCACAAATTGATTTTTTTTTCAGATTTAAGAATAAATCTTAAAAACTGACTTACATGTGATGTGTATTTTTTCGGGAAATATGGCTCCTGGAATAGTCAGTAATCAATCATAATCAATCAATCAATCTGAATGGATGATTTCAGAGTTTGATTGTTTCTTTTTTTCCTAATTGCACTTGTTTTTGAGGTTTAATTGTCTGTACACAACAGCTGCTGTTACTGTAACGACTATTGACCATGCAGGTTTTGACATCAGTGGGCTACAGCCACCATCGTGTCTGGAAAAAGCAGACTTTTAATAACCTGGAAGTCCTGTCAGGCTTGTTTGCGCACAGAAAAAGTATCTCTTTAAGTTTGTCACAGAATCTTTTCACAGCAAATGGTTTCTGGCTGCAAAAACACGTCATATCTGTGCCACAAAGATACCAGATATTTTATAGGCGTGTAAATCCATCCTCAGATTATCACTCCTGCTATAAAAAGCAGAGCGGTCAAAGGTCCCCACTCCCCCTCCTGCTCCTTCTTCTCCTCACTGGGTCTGTTCCTGCTGGCGGGGCTTACTGTCTCACTGTGCTCTGAATTTACACTCACAGTAAAAAAAAATACCAGTACTGTCAAATAAGTGGAAACATATGGCGAAAACAAACTGAAAAGAAAAAAAAAAAAGAGTACAAAAGCACAGCAAAGCCTGATGCCGAGGGATTTTTTGAAACTGACTCAGGGATTTTGGACGGGAAGAACTTTCCACAGTTCAGAGAACAGCTAAAGGACTCTGTATCTTATGTTTGCTTACTGGACCAGTGAAGGTTGTAGTTGTAAAATTAATGTTTAGAGGGACTTGAGTTCTCCCTTCTTTAATGTATTTGACCAGCCTAGCAGCAAAGCCAAAACAGCCCATGAAAGCACCATCCTTGATTAATGACAGCTTTGAAAATAACCCCAAAAATGAGCAGGTGATTGCTCTCTGACCCATGATGCAAATCCACTGTTTGTTTGGCATTGCTGCATCAGTCTCCAGCTGGTTTACAACACTTCATTTCTGTTTGTGGTACGGATGCAATTGAACAGAAACACCCTCGGCAATTTGTAGGAACCTTGAGGGGCACTAAGTTACCAGGCATTTTAGTGTTTTTTTTTCAAGATTTTCCACAAAAGCTGCAACAATCGGCAGCCAAAAACAACCATCCTATAATCTGAAAATGTCCCTGTGAGTTCGCGCCGTCTCTGCACACTCAGACTGTTTCCATGTGTCCTCTTACTGTAAAGCTAAACTAACCAAAATGGCAAGAACATGGCAGGTTCACTGCAGTGACTCATTTATAGTTTCCACAGAGAAATCAAGTCAAATCACATCAAAAGAAACATAAAATACACAAGTCCTCTGACTGCTGACACTTTTGTGCAATTCAAACATCTGCTCATACTTCAGCTAAGTAACAGCGAGGACTCGAGAATACGTTTGATACGAAACACGGCATAAAACAATGTGGTCAAGTAACAAGTATTAGATAGAATAAAAACAAGTCTTTCTCTTATAAGATATGATATTCCTTTTCATGGACGAAGATATCTGGAAAATCATTTCTTTAAGTGGATTTCTTAAATTTATAACTGAACAAATATCACCTGTTATCGTACAGGTTTAAGAGAGTACTGCGACCAGCCCTGCAGCCAAACAGAAGTATAGTAGCACCAAAATATTACAACGAGGGATCAAGACAAAGAGAGAGAGAGAGTTCATCCATAATATAAAAAAAAAATGACGACTCTCCAGGTTTCAGCAGCCCTCCCCTCCAGTGGAATGTAAAAACTCAGCTCCACCCGAAGAGGAGACGGGTTCAGGCTGGAAAGAAGTCCAGTAACAGGACTAGGTGTCAGTCCTACAGCGTCCCAGTTCAATTTTCACACACTCCCCTGACAGAGGCAGTGTTAGGGCTGCTGTAAAAGGCTCAGTGGGAGGGTTTTTTTCAGGCTTACTGTGAGTGTGGACATGACCCAGAGAGGCAGATTGTGAGTTTTCATAGTGTCCATGTGGTCAGTGTCCCTGGCAGGTCTTGCAGCACATTTGCCTGAAATATGGACGGCTGCAGAACTTGAACCTGAGCACCATGGGGCAGTAGGCCACAGTGTTCACATCTTTACACTCTGCAGGGAGACACACAAAAATCAGCTGAATTACTGCGTTCAATTTGCAGCACATTATTTTAAAACTCACTTATAACAGCAAAAAAATAAGATCTCTATAACCTTTTACTGTCATCAAAAAGTAGGTTTTAAAGGGATATTCCGGTGTAAAATGAATTAAGGGTCAAACACACCATAACACTGGGGAAATAATTATTTCCCAGTAATACACATGCATCAGATTTTAACCATGCCCCTAAATTAAAGGGATATTCCGGTGTAAAACTACTGTATAGCTTTTTTCAAAGACTGGTAAGTCGATATTCAGGATACAATGTCCAAGTTTTCCAATACAAACCACTGTGATTTTGAAACTTGAGAAACATGAGATCACTGAGATGTATTTTAGGTTTAACAGATTAAAAGATAGAGAAAAGCCAACTTCATAATTTAACTGTATTCAGCTCACTAAATTTGCATATAAATCCCAAATGCTTACAAAAAAAATTGAAATCAAATAAAGAAATCTTGATGAAACTGTCTGTCTATAAAAACAACAATGAAACAGGAGCATTACGTGTGAACTTTGACCTCTGACCTTCAGGGTTGTCTATATTGATAGGCAGACTGAGGTCACATTTGCTCTTGCACTGCTGCATGGCTGCTGGCCGCTGATGTTCCAGACACTCATTGGACGGCTGGCCGATGTGGGTCAGACACTGCACAGACCGCATCTGCTGACCCAGACCACACTTGGCAGAACACTGAAACGCAGACACACACACGTCCAAATATTTGAACTGGGTGTTTCACTATTATTGTTTTAAACATCTTTTTTATTTCACAATGATATAACAACCAAAGAAAGTGTCCCTCTTTTTTTAAAACCACATAATTTCCTATCCTCCCCATTATTCCCAAGGGATACAGAACAGGAAGAGTTTTAACCACAGGAAAAATTGACTTTGGAAAAATACAATTGTGGTCACATCTTTCAAGATTTTTGGTCTCCGTTATTTCCAAAATTGGAGAATTTCTTTAAGAGGGACAGATGATTATTTGTGCATTATTTGTGTATGCATGTGTATGAATATGTTCATATATATAGCCTTTATGTGTACACATTTGGATAGAGTTTATTGATATCATTGTTGCTGCTTCTTTCTTTCTTTCTTTCTTTCTTTCTTTCTTTCTTTCTTTCTTTCTTTCTTTCTTTCTTTCTTTCTTTCTTTCTTTCTTTCTTTCTTTCTTTCTTTCTTTCTTTCTTTCTTTCTTTCTTTCTCCTCATTAATGTAATTGTCTGATTCTGTACTCATTTATTTATGTATATATATATATATATTTTTTTATTTCTGTTCTGGGTGTTTTATTTAAGTTCAAATGTATGGAAGAGTAGGAGTACCATTTTATTTATTTTTTCTTTGCATGCAAAATAAAAGTAAATGATTAAAAAATGATTTTAAGAAATTATTCATACTTTTTTAGTCTTGCTTTTAACTAAATTTTACATCATTAACTTTGTTGATGTGTTTTAGCATTTATCTGCTCTAGTTTTAATGACAGGATCGTCTTTTATTGAGCTATTTTGGTGTTCTTATTTTAGTATCTTTAACTGTTGTTTTTATATCATTTTATTTATTATTTCTTAAATTTTATTTTGTGTTTCTTTGTTTTTAGATTTTAACCTAAACCTTCAGTGTTTCCTTATCTTGAGTTTTAAAACAACGTTTCCTCAGTGAGCACATTCCTGTTTCCACGAAATCAAGCCCTTTTTAAGTTTATGCATTTTAATACTGTTTCTGATGCAATTAGATCGTGGGGTGGGAATGAGTGGTTGGGCTGGGGTAGTTTTGGGTATTTCTTTCATTCCTTTTTCTGTGTAAACCACTTTGTGCTACATGGTTGTGTATGAAAAGTGCGATATAAATAAAGACTGATTGATTGATTGATTGAAAAAAAATCTTATACTCTGCCTTACAGAAAATACTTCACTACCTCCATAAACCAAAACCATGGCTCACCTCTCCCCACGGACCTGTCACCCACTGAGGGGGAGGGCAACGCTGCAAGTTGCAGCGCACCCTGGAGGTGGGCCGGCCTTGTTTGGAGCACTTGGACTCTGGCAGTGTCTCCCCGCTCTCCCCGCTCTTACACAAGACCACACGGTGCCTGTAACCAGGACCACAGCTGGGCGTACACTGAAGACGGAGCAGGAGATGGAAAGAACAGAGAAAAAAGGGGAAGAAATAAGAAAGGAGGGTGCAGCAGGGGGTTACTGCGGTCATGATTGAGCAAAAAGGATGTTACACACTATGCTCAGCAGAGGGCAGCAGCTGCATAAGAAACCAACTGCATGACTAATTCTCAAAAGCTCCTAAAATTGAGAGAAGGAAAAATTGCCCCATTGTAACTTCTTTCAGGTTAGTGTGAGCTTTAAAAAAAGTTAAGCTTCAGGACAGAGATGGATCTTTTGGACTTTGGACTTCTCAGGCATATTTTTGTTGGGACACATAAAAAAAGTCAACAAATCACGTCCGCTAGATCAAGTTTTGCATGTCAAAAAGACAGACTCATGCAGCTAAAGGTCATAGGGTAGGTAGATTAAAGTAGGTTGGGGAATTCCCTGAAGTGCTCCCAAATGTAACATTGTGTTCATGGCCATGTATTTGTCTTCCCTGTGCCTCTACTATGTATTTCATGACTGAGGTACTGTTACTACTCTTGGCAGATCTGTATGTTCCTGAGGTTCGAGTGGAAAATAAACTATTTCTTCATCTGAGAGGAATTCTGCAGAAAAACTCATGAAATGGTTCAAATTCAGCCTTGAGTTTACAACTAAAAATCGCAGGAGTTCATGCATAATGGAAACACTGCTAACTACCTCTGACCAGTCCAGGGCCAGCCACTCAGGAGGGCAGCTGTGGTTGCTGCAGGGCTCGGTAAGAGACGGGCGCAGGGAGGAACAGGCGGAGTCATCCAGCACTTTCTCCTCGGTCGGGGAGATTCTTCTTTTACATAAAACCTCTCGTGTGCGCAGGCCGCCGTTACAGCTGCGGCTGCACTCCGACCACTCTCCCGTCGACCAGCTAAAGACAGTTTTTTCAATTTCACTACATGAGGAAACACTGAGTGACTATTTTAGAAAACATTTACATTAAAGCTGACCTGGAGAAACACACATGCACAATCGACATCTATTACTCACGTTGGGGAGCACGGCTCAGTGTTGCAGGATCTTCTTTTCTCTTTTGGTTTGTTCTTCTTGTCACAGAAGTGGTTGTAGATGATCGAGTGCTCTCCGTGTTTCTTACACACCACCTGCTGGATCTGCACACCTGCACATGGGTGAAACAAACAGACAAAGAGGAGAGCTGCATTTGTTTTCTTTGGTGGTTGTTTTGGATCCTTTGAGATGGATCAAACCAAATTTGAAGCCAGATTTATAGACACAGTGCTTGGACTGAGCAATGTTGTGTGTGTGTTGTACCTCCAGCACAGAGAGCTGAGCAGCGTGACCACGATGTGTAGTGCCAGGCAAAGCCGCTCTGAGGGTCCCTGTTCAGCGGGGGGTTGAAGCGATAGTGGATTCCTGGGTTCTCCTCCCTCACCAGCACCTTCAAACATGAAATGTAACATGGCGGTGAAATGTTTTGGAAATTTATGCTGAAGAAATGTTGCGCTGCATCTTTATGCTCCTACCATGACAATAAGGGTCATATTCGTCGGCCCCAGGGCTTCAAGAGTTTCTGGTCCATCAGTAGGCCGCCTGTAGTGGAAAGTGGTCCCGGCAATGTCGAACCTACGCGGCGTGTCAATGGTCAGCTTCCCGTTTATAAAGTACTGGTCTCCTTTACTCTTCAGTACTGGAACACAGGACAGAAGGAGAAAAACACTTAAGTTAGACAGCAAAGTGAAAGGAAGAATGAACGCATTGATCCACAAGCTCACAGGGAGCAAGATAAGGGAAAATGCTATGTCTATGGCAGTCACATTTCACTTGCTTTTCAAGTTCTTCAAAGTATTTAAGTTCATCTATCCAGACAACACCCAGCTGCTTAACTGCAGCTTTGGTTCTTCCTTTGCATCTCATCTCAACCCAGCAGCTGATGATGGTCCAATACCTGCTTTTTGAGATGTGATGCCTTTTTGATAGTTCCTTAAAATGTTGGACCTACATGTTAAAGCTATAAAATTGTGTGAATGTATCATTGATGAGTTAAATCACTTGCTATACTTGTGCATTATCCTTTAAAGCATATGCTATAGTGGTCTAATGTTAGCAGAGAGCAGATTAACCTCAGATTTTCTAATTTAGAAGTGCTGCATTAGTCCAACACAGTTTACTCCACTACTTCATGTTTTAGATCCCCTTGAAAGTAAAATTGAGTGTACCTAAGATCAGACCGGCCGTGAAAGTCAAACTCAGCCCACCATTAATTCGCTGATTCTTACCCCAGCCCATATCAGCCGACAGCTCAGCTGATCATCTTCTATGCGTGCAGATGTCAAAATAGGCGTTCCATTTAAACCCTTTCAATCTGCCTCCTCTTACCGCAGCCTCTGCAACTGCTTTATAACCCGCCTCCACCCCAGCTCCTCTTTTATATGACATGATCTGACTCATACGATGGCGGCTCTGCTCTGTTGACGGGGGGAGCTTTGCTGCTGCTCTCCCTGTATTGACTTGGGTTTGGAGGTGTGGTCTCCCTGGCTCAGGCTTTGGGGCAGGATCCCTCAGAACTGAGCCGTACAGCAGAATGAAACTATTGCATGCAAATAATAAATTCTCTTTGATGAAAGTGGTCCCAGCTGGAGTGATACATCTCCTTCTTCTCATATGAAGTATCGACGACTGGCCTGTGATCATGAAAAAGCCCAAAGTTTATACTGATATGATGTTTTATGTTGGTATTAACTAGGGGTGTCCTGATTTGATATTGATATCGGATATCGGTGCGATAGCAACAAAAATCAAATATCGGATTATACCGGCCTGCATCTAAAATCTCCGATACAAGCAGTCCATTCCAGACTCCGCTCCAGCACCTCTATCCAGCAGCATACAGATCCAGCATGTAGAGCCAATGTGATCACAATAACAGTGTGTACTGAGGTACAAACAAAGTACCAAGGAGTAGGAGTGATGTATATATATTAATGTCCGAAAAAGTCATTGAAGCTGAGTGCAAAACTTATGCACAAATTTGTGCAAACATCGGATCAATATCGGTATCGGACAATACTGAAGGCTACAATATCGGTATCTTATCGGGACAACCCTAGTATTAACCCATTTGCACCATTCTGCCTGATGCTGAACACTCAAAGTGGTATCTAGCTATTATTAAAAAAAAACAACAACAAAAAAAAGAACATTTGGTTTGAAGAATCTGTTTGATACAGAAACAGAAAATGTAAATGTAATCATACAGAACACCTTACCGAGATAGTTTAAGGAGATGTTGAGTTCTTGTATGTGGATGAAAACGGAGCCTTTAGGGATTCTTACGACTTCTTCATAACCTGAGGTACAAACAGAAGAGACAAAGTTAAAATAGTTAAGGTTTATTTGTTTAGGGTCAGGGGGTCAGAGGGGTTGATGCATGAGTAGTGTTAATCTCTGTAGGACGTCGATGGACTAAGCAGAGGCTTCAGATTCCAGCTGCATTCCTGGGCAGCCCTGCTCAGCTGCCCTGCTCCACTCTTTGCTAGAGAGCGAGAAGTAGGCCAAGAGCCGGCTTCTCTACTCCTCTTCCCCTCTCTCTCTCTTTCTGTTTTGGCCGTTCCTCCCTTTTCTTTTTATGCTCATCTCACCTCTTCCTTGCTCTGTTTTTACTCAGCTCTGGTCTGCTGTCCTGCCAGCGGACGAGCCACTGCGGCCCTGGAAATAACTCCGGCCTCACTAGAGGAAGAAGGAATTGAAAAAATATGAAGGAATGAAACAATTCCTTCCAGCGCTCTCACCGCAAGAGGAAAGGAGAGGCTTGGCTCCTGACCTCTGCGTGCGGCTCTTAGAGGAGAGACTGACCTGGCTCGGAGCGTCTAGATGGAGGCGTGGAAGATTAGAGGGACAGACTTTGAGGGTTTTTGGCCACCGTGACAGATAGAGGGAGAAATCAAGAGAGCGAGAAAATTGTGTTGTTGTGTTAACAATAAAGGACCTGAGGGGTGAACACAGAGCAAAAGAGCCGTAAACCTCTGACATCTCAGTAACCCCTGACAGCCAACCAGAGCCACAGATGGAAAGACACTTACAGGGACATCACTGCGTCCAATCAGAGGGCACAGAGCAAGAATAAAGCAGCCCAGCAACCTCAACCACTGCTCTCCACTAGTCATCCATGTCTGTTTTTACAATGTAGATTTCATCGTGTCATAGCTTATTTAAATCAGGGAGGTGAAACACTGGCTAAAAGATCGAAGGGTTCAAACAAATCAAAAATCTCTCTGAAGACATTATTTAGTGATTCTGAGAGTCTGATTTTTCTGTGACCTAAATAAGCTTCCCTTAGAGAGACAAAACTATTCGAAAGACCTATCAAATGGTGTTGCCCTCACTGCAGGCTGGAATTGCAGCTCATCCAAGGGGTCTAGTTCAAGCTAGTATCAGCTAGTCTGCAAAAATTGATGCAAAATGATGCGCTTGAACCAAGTGGTTTCTGCAAGTCTGGTCTCTCTGTATTATCTGTGATTTTTGCTAGATTTTTCTGTTGGCTGCTGATGGATACTTCTGCTGGGCGAAGAGTTTACTCAAAAGAAGAGCTCCTTTCATTAAGACAAAGCAAATCTGGACAACAACATCCAATCCCAGAGGACATCAGGAGGTGTTATCGTGGTTGCCGTGGTACAAAGGTGAACTCTTTGCCCGACAAAAGCGATGAGCTGGAGATATCGGTGAAGACTGAGAAAGCAGACCGTGCGTGCAGTCTCCTGTAAAGCTAGTGGCAAGAGGAAAGAAGGAGGTCTGGCTTTATTTGTCAACCAGAGATGGTGTAACCCTTCACACATAACTGTCAAGGAGAAGTTGTGTTCTCGAGATATTCAACTGTTGGCAGCTGCTCTTCGGCCAAATCTTTTGTACCCAAAGCCATCAGACTTTTCAACTCTTTTAAAACTAGTAGATGACTTTTTGGACATGAAAAATGAGACGACAGACAATTGAAATTCTTTTTCTTCGATAACTTGTGTGGCTCTGATACATTTTATCCTCAAATGATCACAACTGTTGCTTCTGCATTGCTTTTGACAATTCTTATAATGGGTTTCTTTGCATTTCCTGCAATGTCTGCGAACATAGTGCTCTTTGCCATGGATACCATCCCCAAATCATCAAACAACCCCCCCAACTAAATGACTGCGAGACGACTTTAGCCTTACTAATGAGTTTTCTTAAGCCAGCGCTAATGTCTGATATTTCAAGGGTAGTTAAGAGCTCAGCTTGGTTGACAGACTGGCCCGGTCACTGTGGTCCCGGCACAGCTGCCTGCTCAGGGTGCGTCCCCTCTGAGGAATCCTAGAAGGGGGCGAGTGGTGTTGACAGTTGGGTGAGAAACTCTTAAGTTGGTGTTGTGGGGAGAAATGTGCCTCAGAATAGTTTCAAAAGCAGGCGGACCTCAAGCCACACTGGTTGAACCTCAGCTAAATCTATCTGCCACATGTCCGTGGGTTGTTGGTGGATAAATATATGTATATACACTGTATGGTATGTATGTCTGCATATTTTTATCTGACTGCAAATAGCTGAGAGATTTTTCCTCTTCCTTCTTCAAAATATGGGCTGGCTAAGGAGCAGCTGATCTGAATCTTCACCAGTATTCGGTCGACTTGGTCGTCTGTGTTTGTTCATTTATGTATTGACTTTATGCATATCATGCTACTTATAACTAAACAGAGGAGGTGGACAGGTCTTCAGTCATCTGATCATGTATATTTCTGTCTCTCTTGGTACTTTTATTCCTTTGTTTAGAAAATTACACTTGTGGAGTCCCTCAGGGATCTATTATGGGCCCTACTCCTTTTCCCATGAGTGTCCCATAATGAATTGATTTCTCTAACTTCGTTTGGTCTCAAGCATGTGTGAAACCCCTTTATGCCGCACTACCCTTACAAGAAGGGTGCTGAAGCCTGGATCATGTGGAGCATCAACTCCATGGACCCTGCTCAGCCTCGATGATGTTTAACTCTTCCTCTTTTGCCCGTTTAAATAGCTTATCTCTTTAATTATATATCTTTTCTGCAATAGTTTAAATTGGGACCCTGCAGGTAAACTGGACTAAAAGGTGAAACGTGCGACGATGGGCTGCAGGTTTGGCTTTGTGGTTAAATTCTGCACCCCATGCACAGAGGCTATAATCCTGAAAACAGGCGGCCTGAGTTCAATTCCAACCTGTGGCTCTTTACCAAATGTCATTTCCTGCTCTCTATCCTAGTTTCCTTCTCTATCAACAGTCCTGTCCTCTAAGTAGAGGCATGAAAGAGTCCGAAAATCAACTTAAAATAAAACAGTTGTGACTTTTTAGTCAACACCTGAATCATCAGCAACTTAAATATCTTTTTAATGTAGGCCTGAAATGCTGGTCATATACTTTGTCCAAACTGGGGCTGTAATTCTGGTTGCCGGTTACTGCTGTAATGCTCTACCACCCGATGAAAACAAGCACAGATAGCAAATGGCATTTGTGGGTGTTATCTTGCAAAGGAGACCAAAGGCTGGTAGTTCTGGCCAGTGGGACGGTGATCAACATTGACTATTTTTTGCTCTAAATAAACAATAAATATATGGATATTTACTAAAGTTCAACATTATCAATTATGGCTGGTCCTCAGGTCTAGTTTCTTTTCCTCTCTTGTAGACTGGAATAAAAAATAAATCTCCTTTGAGTGCTTGGAAAACTCATCAGGATTTGTTGCTATCTCTGAAACAGACTTTAAATATTGGCTGCATTAGCCCTTAACTGCTGTAAATGAGCATCATTTATCTTCATCGATAAGAAGAGAAGAAAAGCAGGTGCTGGAATAAATCATTTCTTGCAGATTTGGGGCTGTGTTGGTGTTGGCTTTTGCAAAAAAAAAAGCTATAACAGAATTCTGCTGTGAAACTTGTTTGCATGTCAACAGACAATTATCAATATATTTGAAATGTCTGGGGTATCCTAACTCACATAGCGAGGCAGCTTTCCAATCCAGAGTGTGAGAATCCAAAAGTTGCATGTGCACATTTTTAAACTACAGAACAATTACGTTACATAACCCCTCATGGTAAATGCCTCATGTTAAACTAATCTGATTCTCAGGAGAGCAGAGTCAGCTCCAAATCTACTTTAAATCACCTCATCCCCCTGTCAACAAAATAGGGATAGCTAGAATATTTATCTATATGTGCAGAAACCTCTGTGGCAGCAAATGTGAAACAAAAAGGTGCTTGTGTTTTCGTTCTGTACCTCCTTCTGGCAGCGAGTCATTGAAGAGTCCCTCCACAGACACACAGCTGCTCCCGTCACCCCCGCAGATCCGACAGCGGTCCTCGCGAACGTCCGAGCCGAGGATACGGTCACAGCCAACGTGCTGCGAGAAGGGAGAAACGAGTGAGCTGCAGGGTCACTCAGGGTCATGGGTGAAGGGGCACAGTCAGTAAGTGGAGAGGTGTCAGAGGCCGGGCTGAGGGGATTACCTCTAATGTCTTCCAGCCGTCTTTCACAAAACACAGAAATATCAGATGGTAAGTCCAGATGTGATTTGTGATCCTGAGCAGACATAACGCTCTTTGGTTGCTAAACTCAGAGCTGTCGACATGAATAGCTTTCATGATGAGCAAAGCAGGTGGTTTTACTCAAACTCTTTAACAGTGAAACAAACCTAAACAAAAGTTTAGAGAATAGATGGCGACTGCTCTCATCCTCCTGTATTCATATGACAGTTGTTTACTGTAGAGGCGGATAACAAGGCTTTAGTTTATTTTTAGTATCATGTGGATTATATCACAGATCAGAGCTAAATTCAGAGCTGGAACAGTGAATCATCTATTGGTTATCTGTTTGCTTCAAAAGGGTGAGTTAATAAAGTTTAAATGATGTGGATCCAGACTTACAAGAGGCCTCTGAGTTTCCCAGACATGAAGTGGACCAATCACAGAAACCATAAAACTTTACAGTGCTAAAACTGGGGGGGGGGGGTTTATTCAAGAGCACAAATCTTCTGTCAGATAGCTGTACAAATCAATCCTATAATAGGTGGGACAAAAGACCAATACAGCAATAACTTTTGATCCTGACCTAAATGAAAAAAATATTGGCCGGGTTTGTCATCGGAACTTATAAAGGTGCTGCAAATAAATGTTCCTGCTAATTGGACTCACTGCATCAGGATTTTGTGTCTCCTCGCAGTGGCACTGTCGACATGACGCAGCGTGATATCAGAAGACAACGACAGCTGGATGTCAGACAGTGTGGTGTGAAGTGACATGAAGAAGCGCAGATCTGTTTTTAAATCCAAAAGGAGCGAAAAAGCTTTCCCCACAAGAGGACAGAGCATGGACTCTAGTTTGCAGAGATAGTTTCAGTCACCAGTCCTAGTCCTGAACTGGATTAGATTAAACAGAGATGTGGCAGATTTATCCCCCATGCATATTCTCTATTACCAAACAGATGCACCTGATTTATTTGTGCTGTGGCTGCAAGATGCATCTGTCTCAGTCGAGCATATTACAGGAGAGGTTTCAACTCTGACTCTGAAAGGATGTGCTTTATGTATGTCAAACTTTACACCAATAAAATTTAAAGTTTTTATTTCATCACGTCTGTATCGTCCAGGTTTGAACTTCCTTCATCTCTCTGTATCCCTCTACATCCACCAGTCATGTGAACTTTTGTGCACCTTTCTTCATTTCTCTGTCCATTTGTTTTTCACATTAATATGTTTGTTTTCTCTTCAGGTATTAAAAATAAAGTGGGCGCCTGTTTTTTTAGGTGTATTATGAAGTCCTGTCCAGTAGCTGGCTGCTTAATGAACTGCTGACTCAGTAAATCAGGCACTGAATACCAAAACTCAACACCATTTTTTGACTAAATCTGGTCCTCTATTATTTGTCCAACAGATCCGGAAAAAAAGAGGCTCTGGCAGACAAAGTTTTTGTCTGCAGCGGTATGTTGTGTCCAACTGCACCATCTGTTCCCAGGTTCTTTTTCAAATTCCCTAACTCCCCTCCATCTCTGTCGGCACCACTCTTTTTCCTTATTGTCAGACCCCCGACTCTGGAAGCGAAGCCAGCATGAGGCTGCAAACTGCAGACAGAGATGTCTCCACAGAGTGTTTGAAGTTTAAGGTGTACATAAAACCTGAGCAAGGTAAGATGATAGGACTGAAGGAGAAGGACAAAAGGCTGTATTTCAGACTAGAAAGTATTAAAAAAGAGAGAAAAACATGAGCGAGAGAAATGAGAAGAATGAACGTGGACAGAAAAGAGAGAAAGAGAGAAAGAAAGAGAGAGAGAGAGAGATAATCATAAGACTGCAGTGAATGAAAGGCTGCCTGCAGTGCAGACACACAGACTAACAGCTGAGCTGGGGGGTCACTGAGTTTCTCCAGAACAGAACTGAGCCGAGCAGAGGGGGAAAAAAGGAGAAAAGAGGAGGAGAGAACAGAGAGTCCGATGATGTTGATAAACAAAATCCTTTTTTAAATAAATGCTGGGAGGTTGGCCATCCCTGACTCCCTTTAATCTCAGAGACACACAAAATAAAGCTAGATCATGGGGGGTAAGAGCGAAGAGAGCGGGAGCCAAAAATGAAATATCCTGGCACGACACCAGCAGCCAAGCCACAAAACTACGAGCTGGATATCCTGAAATGTGAAACATTCGGGGTCTTTTACCAGCTCTCACAAAACCTCAACTTTCTTTCTGGAGAGGAGGAACACCCAAAACAAACACGAGGTGGAAATAACGGCAGCTACAATGACTAAATAAGCTGCACGCTCAGAGGACGGTGTTTTTTTATAGCTTTTTATAAATATGAGTGTCAAAATGAGTCCCAAGACAGCTTCATGCGGTCTCCCGCTCTTCATCATAACAAGCAGCGGTCAGGGTTTTGTTTTCGCAAGTCACCGAGGTCCAGAGAGAGAAAACACTAATGAGAATCTCAAATCAGTGCCAGAGATAAGATCAGCTTTCATTTGAGGAGCTGACTGTGATGACCGTCAGCGGTCAGAGTGTAAACAATGGCAGCCATCCAGAGCCTGGAGAGTGAGTGTAAATAATACAGTCTCAGATGTGAACCCTGTCCTCTGGTCACATGTAGCAGCTAACAGCCTGTATTTCAATCAATAGTTGGACTCTTGCAAACACACACACGCTGAACTTTCATGTAAACACAGAGATCTTTCCTCACCTTGCACTCTCCGTTCACACACACATCCAGAGTGTCGTCCCGGCAAGGTGTACCGTCCACCACAGCTGGAGCGCGCTCTGTGTAGAAGTTGTATCCTTCAGCCAGGCAGTTCAGAGAGCAGGGCTTCACACCTCCTACACATATACACAAAACACACAGAAGAAGACATGAGAGGATCAGGAAAACTGCTTTAGATGGATCTTTGTGTTTGATGGTATTGATGACTCCATTTTAAAGGGCTATTCCGGAGTAAAATAACACCGAGTTAGACAACCCCCCCGAGAGTTCAATGTTGCCAACCGCTTGCTTCTCTAGTTATACCAACTTTAGTAACGACCGCACGATAGCAATACACTGCGGTTTGAGGAGCCGTAAAATAAACCTCAACCAAAACGCCACTTTATAGCCACAACTCAGAACAGCACCTAACTTCATCAACAGTACATATAGGGTCCCAGCCATAGCTCTAGCCACCAAACATCCTTTTAACTTTGCCTAATTTCTTTAGCAAGGAGACTAAACACAACTCACCGACTCTCTTCCAGCAGCCATTTGTTTGTAGTGAGACCTCGGGCCAGTCCATTACAGTCAGAACTAAAGCAAACATCCTAAACTATGAGTATATGAGTATTTAAATTGGGGGCTTCAGCAGAGCAGCTGAGATATAAAATCTTAATTTCTGCACCAGCCTTCCAGACCTTCAGCACCGGACATAAGGGATCCATCAAAACATTATTAAGGTAGGAGAAATTATTCTGAAGTGGGGTCAGTTTCTGTGTGTTTTTCTTTTGTATTAAACTGAACCCTGCAATATGAGCTGTAAATCTACACGATAAGGCATCTTGTTTATAGTACTATGTGTCATGTTTACATCTGTGACTTGTTGCACGTCCTTGGCGCATGTTCACATGCTTTTGAAGAGCGCAGATGAGAGAGAGAAATGCATCTGCAGAGGACTAAAATTATATTTATCAGTGCTGACAACTACAGAACAAACAGCCGACTGTGATTCGATAGCGTTTGCCTGTAATACTATCGACCCCAGTACATACAGATACAAATATGAACATTGACAGACATACAGTAACATTGAGGACTGGCATTTCAAGAAACTGATACCAACAGTGTCCACAACACAAATTGTATTTTCCTTCTCTGCCTTACCGAGGTGGAGAAACCTTCACAGGTCAGCTGATACCAGGTATAGCCTGTGATTGGTCAACTATGCATATGATGGATCAGTCAAACTCTGCGCACTGTTTTTATCTGTCTGTGTAAGCGCTGACAGTAGAAAGGTAAAATAATTTGGATCAAAACACCAACCCATGGATGATTAAGATACCAAATAAAGAAATAGAGTAATTACAACATCTAATAATGTCATACCCTGAAAAATACGGTACTGTAATGTCAGCGGACACCTAAAAAACACATAGTACACCTTGGTTGGTTCCATACACCTTCATGTATGGAACCAACCTCCTCCCTAGTTTCCATCTTTCTGATTCACTAACATTAAACACGCACGCACACGCAGCTGCCAGAGGTCTTTCCCAGCCAAGCGGTATATATCCTTCATTCATCTGCGCTGCGTGCCAGCAGCTCCAGTTTTTGAGTGGCTGTTGACATCAGTCTGGTTCTGTGTTTGTTTGTGCTGGCAGCACTGAAGCAGGTACAGTGTGTGCTGGGAAAGACAGAATCAGGGAGAGAGTATGTGCTGGCATGGCTTCCAGATTAAAAAAATTAATGCATGCATAGACCATGGAAAACTACAATTCCTATGGTGCCGGGCACTGGCGGGGCCAGCGTGGCTTGAAAGCATCGTGAATGTGAAGGGTGTTGGAGCAGCTTGTTTAAAAATACCAATAATACTTCTTTTTATAAACTGTCTTTGGCTGTTTGGGCTGAGAGTTCCTTACCCTCTTTCAGGACAGATATTAGACAGAGATTGAAACATTTTGAGCCAAATTAGGTGCGCAAAGTGGAGGTATACAAAAAGGAGGACGCAGAGAGCACAGCAGTAAAGGAACCTGAGTGGGAGGGTTGAAAGAGTGAGCAGGGAAGCTAAAATGAGAGTTGAGGCGAGTGAGAGGCCTGTGGAGGACAGGGAAGGGGCTTGGCGGTGTGATCTGGCCTTAACACGGGGCAGAGTCTATGGCACTGTTCCTATTTTAACAGCTGCAAGGGATTTCCATTGTAAAATCAGCTGACTTGATGAAAGGAGCACTTGTTGCCTGAAGTTGGACTCAGCTGGCCAGCCATCTCTGTTAGCCATTATGTTTTTGGAGGGCGAGATTAAAGGCAGTTATGTCGTTGAAAGTATTTATCTTTTGCATCCAGTGTAGTGCTCATCAGGAGCGAGGAATTCTCGCAAGGCATTCTGGGATGCGTGGCTCTCTGCGGCCAGCATCTGTGGGCCAGACAGGACAGAGTCTGCAGCTTCGATTCACTTTCTCCTTTCTCACTCTGTGCGCACAGACACATATACATGCACACACCCCACTCTTTCTCCTGAATTCTGGTTGTCTCCAAATCTTGACCTATATCTTTCAGTCTGCTTTTATCTGCTTACTCTCATCGTAACATGGATAACATATCCGTCTATCTTTGATTTAAGAAACATGAAATGCTATTTGCTCTGCGTTATATGTTGTTTCTGGAGTTAAATCTGTATTACTACTATTCCTCTTTGCCTTGTTTAAATCATTGTAAACCGGCAACTTTATTCTGCTTACTTTCAGTTGTCTTTCCCTCTCATGCATCTGCACCCTCTTCTCTTAATGCACACAGTAGATCAACACCTCCGTCTGTCAGAAAGTGGTATTTAGGGCATGGATACGATCTGCAGCAGAGATCTCCACTGTTTAAGTGAAAACCCATATTGTTACAGAGAGATCAGCGGCTCACTCACCCCCTCTGTACGGCCTCCAGGTGTAAAATTTTCCCCGGAAAGGAACACTATCGAAATCCGAGCACTGCATCTCTCTGAAATCCCGAGAGCCTGGAGCACACTCCTGTAACACACACATATTCATACTATAAATACATACATGTTCACATATACTCGAGCAGAGTCCCATACAATATGAACATACCAAGGTAAAGACAGTAGATAGAGATAGTATAAAATGACATGAAGTAATGGGTGTTGGAGTGACAGCTGGATTTGAAACTGAAGGGCCTCCTGCTTTGAGCCTCTCTACATGAGTTTAAACTGTTAAAGGGATATTCTGGCGTAAAATTAATTTAGGGTCAAACACACTGTAACACCGAGTTAGACACCCCCTTGAGAGATGAATGTTGTTGACCGCTTGCTTCTCTAGTTATACCAACTTTAGTAACGACCGCAGACAGCAATACAAAGTGGTCTGAGGAGCCAAAAACAAACCTCAACCAAAACACCACTCTATAGCCACAAATAATGCTCAGAACAGCACCTAACTTCATCAACAGTACATATAGGGTCCCAGCCACCAAACATCTTTTTAGCTTTGCCTGATTTCTTTAGCAAAGAGACTAAACACAACTAACCTACTCTCTTCCAGCAGCCGTTTTTTTGTAGTGAGGCCTCAGGCCAGTCCATTACGGACTACAGCGGGGTGATGCAGCTCAAGGAAGAACATTTATGACCATTTCTGATGAAGTTAGGTGCTGTTCTGAGCATTATTTGTGGCTATAGAGTAGCGTTTTGGTTGAGCACGTGGCTCTCTGTATTGCTATCGTGTGGTTGTTGCTTAAGTTGGTATAACTAGAGGAGCAAGCGGTCGGCAACATTCATCTCTCGAGGGGGTGTCTAACTCAGTGTTACGGTGTGTTTGACCCTAAATTTATTTTACACCGGAATATCACTTTAGCTATACCAACACCCAAATTTCGAGGGTTTCTTAGTCAAGGATCTACATTTGTACCTGATTTTAACATCTATTGCAATTGGTTAATACCCAATCAGTACTCAAATAATCATGATAACAAATAACTGAGTCACAACATATATTAACTGACTTACATCAATGTTACAGGACCTGAAGCGCTTTCTCTCCCCCAGACAATACTTTCCGCCGATGGTTGGTCTGCAAGAAAACACAGACAGAATCAGTCAGCCACATCTGAGAATAATTTAACAGGATCTAATCCCATCACATCTCATAAAACAACACCAGCTCCTGATCTCTGCTCCGTCTGCCTTCATCAGCGTGTTTCAACCTCAATGTCTCTCTTCGTTTCTTTATTGTCTCTCAAAAACTGTCACGACAACACCTCAACATTTACAGAGAACAAAGCCGCAGTCAAACGGCTGCCTCTGCTCAACCTTTAACAAATTACGGCAGAGTGTAGCCGAAGGAAGAAAAAAAAGGAGACGATGCTCGGTAATGAAACAAAGGAACACAGTTGGCCTCAGATTTGGGTCAATTCATTCTGGGTTTAATCATTTCAAGATGAGGGATCTGGTGAATGTGATTCAAATGTAAGTCAGCGAGTTGTTTGGTGATGATTCAGACTTCTATCTGAAATATTTTATACACGGCACAGACCGTGGCCCTGCTGCTGCCTGCAGACAGGAAAAAGTAACCGACCTTAAAGAGTCCTCGTGATACACAGCATTATCGTAAACAAGTGTGTTTCTTCAACTTCATCCAGAGACTTTTTCATCAGGATCAGGCTACTCTGGTCAACAATCTGACCCGGGTCTAAGCACGACCAACTATTGCGTCCAAATATGTAAGCATTATTCATAATGTAACAACAGTTTTCTAGGAGAGCACAGAAAGGAGAAGATCTTGGTATTAAAGATGGTCCAAGGACATTCACCTGCCCAAGGGAACTTTAATGATTTCTTCATAGAGCGACCCCTCAGTGAATAATGGTGGGTCAAAACTATGATCCTTTTTCTGTGCCTTAGCTTTGACTTAACTACAAAAAAAATCAGGCTTTTTGTTTATTTATTCAGTTTCTATTCAGAATGTTTGCACACAAGGTTTATTACCAGGCCAGTAAAGCTGCATGGTGCTGGAGAAATAAATTGCACGGAACAAGGACTGCGGATTTTTTATTTTTTTGTCCATTTTTTTAGAGTGTGTTCAGACCAGATGTCAAAATATGAGTACCGGCTGGCTGATGTGAAAACACTTTGGTGTGGGATGAAATGAGGCCAAAAATGTTCAGAACCTCTCATGCCACTGAAGCCGATTCCAGTCAGACAACTCATATTTGGGCTTTGAGCCGTCTGTTGCAGCAGCAGAACATTGTCTGTGTTTGGTGTCTGGGCGCCGACCCCATCAATCCTTGCAGTTTTACTTTTAGGGTGGCGATGGCAAAGGGGCAGCGGAGATCAGAAATCGCTCAGCTAAGACAGACCGCTGATCTGGGAGGATAAGTTTGTCCTGAGATTGTGGGGGGGGGGCATGCCAGGTACCATACTTTACCTGGGACTGTCACAATGTCGGATAGAAGAAGAGACCCCTCCTCCACAGGTCCTGCTGCACTCCTCCCAGGGAGACCACAGACCCCAGCCCCCGTCTATGCCTTCTGGACGAGTCCCATATGCCACACATACCCTCTTGTAGCACCACTGTAGCACAAACACGACATACATTAATACAATCAAACAATAAAAGGATGCCCTCTTTTGTTTTTCACAGTGGAAACAACATTTCATTCGACATGAAAAGGCATTTTAATTCGACTGATTTGTAGTCACGCAACCTGTTCCCATGATCCGCTGCACCACCCCTCCACGGTTCAGACTACATTTGATCTGCAGATTGATGAAAATTTGGCAAATTTGGCCGCAACACAACTGCTGCACATTGCCCAATCTGCATAGAAATGTTTTCATAACACTCTACCCTGACATTTATTGGTTCAGACATAAGCCCCAGCTGTGATCAATGTTTTCCACTCACTCATAACCAATCACAGTCCGTTCTCACAACAAGGTGGCCCGTTTGTATACATCTGCTGATCCTTGCTATGCTAGTGCTGCCCACACTCTGCTGCTGCTGCTGGTAAATCTTGCCTCCACCACCTCCTAGCCTTCCCTCTCTGGTCAAAAAATCTTGTTATCACCTTTGCAGGGGGTGTTGCAATGCACTCCATGAAAAGTCATAGCGTTTGGCTAACCTTGGAGGCACTTTACAAAGCGTTTTTTTTATTATTTTTTAAATTTATTCTAGGGCTTTTTGTGGCTTCCTTTGAGAGGATATGTGGACAAAGCTGGAAAGCTGGAGAGAGAGCAGGGAGCAATGGGCAGAGCAGGAAGTATAACTTTTGTGTACAGGGTGACTACTTAGACCACAAGGCCAGTGGTGCCATTAAAAGATGCAGAGTCAGTTTAATTGTATTTCTGTTTGGCAATAAATGCTTAAAATCTATGGAGACTTGACTGATTTAAGCATACATCGAGCTGTTAGTTCTTTCTTCCTCTGAGCCACTGTAGTGGGTGCAAAAGCAGAAACAGTAATTGACTGTAAAACAAGGATTTTTTAAGTATTTACCCCTTTCTCTATGGTGTTGGTCTGACAGATGGTTCCCTCTGCAGCGGGAATGCTGCTGGTGATGCAGCGGTTGCTCTTGCTCATACACCAAAGTTCGCTGCAGACTTCCTGTGTGAGCATGTAAAGAGAAATATTGACGCAGTTATTCTCTGTTTATTTGTAATGGGACAAGTATGTAGCACGTACATTGATGCCTGTCCTCAGATGGCATTTCAGCGACATAAAAGTCCACAAGAAATAATGAAAAAGAGAAACTCAATTGACAAAAACATGGATAAATGAAACTCAGAGCTCAACGAGAACATGTTGATCCCTGCACAGAAAAAGCTGCTTGAACTTATTAAAATTTATGTAATAATAAAATAATAAAGGCAGAGAGGAAAGTAAAAGAGAGAAAAAAAGCAAAGAGAAGGACAGCCTGTAAGAAAATATCAGATCATTAAAACAAAAAGAGCAGACACACTCTCTTTCACCTCCCCCTCTACATCCTCTACAGCGATGCCTCTGACACATGGTGGTTATGTTTTATTGTGTACATATGTTCTGACCATATCGTCGGGGTCGTAATGAGTCTATAAAGAAGTGTGCTCTTCCAGATGTACAGTCTCTCTGAACCTGGCCTAATAAAAGTTGACCATGCAATAAAGTGGATGCTCTTTGGCAAAGGTATTGCAAGATGTTTCTCACTGTGGGGGGACGCTGACATGAAGAGGGGAAAGTCAGAGGGGGAAATAAAGCAGAAAAATAATAGACTGAGTCAGTTTAAAGAGGTTTCTTTTTAAAACTGTAAAATACTGACGGGTGATAAAACGTTGCACAACCGAAAATGCTGAATAATGAGATAAAAAAGTGAAAAAAAGAGCAATTCTGGCTTCCTTGAGAGTGGATATTTTATTACATGGATGGCTGGGAATCTACACAGCATTTTATCTCAGTGAGGTTAGTGTTTGGTTTACAGCTCTGCCAGTGAGGCTGAACTATCGCAGGTTTATCTTGTTATATTTTGGACCGATGCGACAAAATGCCTGAATGACCCCAGGATCTCATTATGTTGTAAAATAAAGAGACTCACCGCATATTTACACTGACGAGATCTGACGCCATACTGGAAGCGACACTGTTCGTCTGCATCATAGGCTTGACCCGGTGCTGTGGTCGGGTACACAAACTCCTGCTTGGGGGGGATGTTGTTCAGGCAGGAGCCCATACCAGAGCTGAAAGACCAAAGCAACAACAGGACATCGTTTTGAATATTGTTCTGTGTTTGTCTGATGTGTTAATATATCTGTACTGTACCATAAATTTCCTCTTTAAGGACATTTAAAGTCTAAGTCTAGGACACTTGCCTTAGGAAATGATGTTGTGGTTGTGTGTTAGTTTTTCAAGTTAAAGTCACTCAACAGGCTGCGGAGGATTTCTGCTTGGTGTTTCTCTGACCATCAAAAATGTTACTATGACTTGTGAGTAATTTCTTTTCTATCTCAAACCTCTAATTACCAAATTATTTGTGGTGTTGCAGTTATCTGATTGGCAGACTCACTCTAGGAAGCTGGTGATGTAATCTCGGCTACAGGCCGACCAGATGAACGGGTTTGTCTTCATGGTGATGTGGTCAGCCATCAGCTTGGCGGTTTCCTGGCTGCGAGGACCACAGGCATTCCCCATACCGTCATGGTTCATCCCAAACCTAAAGCCCGAGATGAAACAGTGACAACACTTTGAGGCTTTGTTTTTTGTTAAATGAAGCTGCAGAAAGACCGCAGAGAAACGATTACCATCCATAACCTCAATCACAGAAGTGCTGTGATGTGATTAGCAGGAGGGGAATACGAGCTTAAGTGCTGGTTTCTATATTTGAGCTAAACTCTGAATTAAAAACCTTTATTGACATTAAAACCGACTTTGTATAAAAATGTAATCCACAGCTGTACTTTTATCAGCATAAAATCAATATGTAAATCCACATGCATGTAAGTTTAAATGCAAATAACACGACTCATACTAACGGGAGTTGGAGTTTTCGGTAACACTTGACGCCCATCTCTGTAGCCTATTATAAATATCTGTATAATGGGTTATAATCACGTTATAGCACTGTATAACTATAGTAATAAACACTCATAAATGATCATTATGCTTTATAGCAATAATTATAACACATTATTAAGCATTTTATCAAGACTTACAAGTTCAGGTATTATAATGTGTTTTAACTGTTAACAACTCACTGATAATGCCCACATAGATAATGCAATGCAACTGTTTTTAACAGTTATAACACATTGTAATACCTGACCTTGTAAGTCTTGATAAAATGCTTAATAATGTATTATAATTATTGCTATAAAGCATTATGATCGTTTATGAGTGTTTATAACTATGGTTATATAGTGCTATAATGTGATTATAACGTATAATACATATATTCATAATGTGTTACAGAGATAGGCGTAAAATAAAGTGTTGCTCTGAAAGCAGAAACAACTGTAACCCAAGTTTTATAATATGATTAATGCTACAAAGCATTATAAATATTCATTACTTTCTTCTTTTAAGTTACATGAATTTGGGTCAGACAAACTAAGACTAAAAATCACAGTAAGAAACGTTGTTTATATCCCTTGAAAAGGAGATGCTGCATCTTAGTTATTGTATTAAATCCACATCTTTACTTACAACCTTTAATGGATCCAAAACACCTAATCCAGGAAAAGTAAAATCTGTAGATTTATAAATGATTAAAAATATAAGTTAGGGTTAGCAAAACTTCCCACTCATATATCCCAGATATTCTTCTACAAGCACTATTACCAGTCATGTAAACTAAGAGACCTTGTGGTCCAGGTCTACTGTATTCATCATCAGACACACAAGGATCAACCATCTGTGAAAAAACCCTACCAAGTCTGTGTCAGACATGTTGTTGTTACAAGATACTCAATTACTCAGAGAAAGCGCTCATTTTATTTTCTGGATGTGTGACCGATAAAAGCATACAGGATGGGAAATTGCTTGTTGCTTAGTGAGTAGAACATTGTTTCCAAACCATCTGGGAGGTCCAGATAGATATAAAAAGCAGAAAAAGCAGTAGCATCAAGTACTGCACCAGCCCTGCACAAAAAAAAAAATACTAACTTCACAAATAAAAAGTGTGACCGAAAGAAAATATACCAGCATCAACACATTCTCAACAGATGACAATGACTCATGGAGTCAGAGATTACATGAAATCTCTCCGGAGATCTGGAGACGTAATCCGAGGAGGGAGGGGTCATCTCAAAACAAAACACATGAAAAGACATATGAGACACCTCAGGGAGTCCTTTAGGGACATTTAGTGTTTTAGCCTTAGTTAAAGAGCAAATCAGCCACAATTAATCTAGATTCTGGATTATTAAATTCACTTCTATAGTCTAAGTGTCATGGCTCTATATGTTTGCCCCCTCCCCATGTAACCTCTAGGTGCAAAAACTATACATTTGCTATTTGTCTGGATCATGCTGTGTGGATTGTTCTGAGCTGGTTTGCTTCATTCCCACTTACAGAGCCAGCTGTGTAACAACACACTCTTTTCATTTTGACAGAACAAACAGTGAGCAGATCAGGAGAAGATGTTTACCGACTCTGACAGACAAAAATATCCATGAATTATTTGCCTTTGTATGTGTGACTTCTAGGGTTGCTGTCACGAAACCTAAGCTGTCATTTGTCATGGAAATGAAGCCTTAGTCCTCATGCTCTGGATGAAAAATTATCATGTGGAAAAAAAACATCTACGCCGAACCGCTGAGTGTATTTTTCAACTGACAGTTTTCTCCTGAAAGTCGGGGATGAAGTCAGACGTGATGGGACAGAAATGTCATGGATTATAACACAGCTGCAATCTGGACCAAAGAACACCACAGTGGTCTTCTGTAAGGGTACAGTGTGTAGGACTGGGAGTATTTCATGATATCTGGTGGTCAAGTTCTGGATTGAAACACCGCTTTGCTCACCCCTTCCATTCGTAAAGTGATGGTGTCCAATGAGGACAAGAAGCATTCCTCCATTTGTGTAGATTTCCCTTCCTTTAGTACTAATTTTTGGACTAGTATTGCCTTTATTCAAAGAGGACAGGATGGTGGACAGAGTATGAAATGAGGAGAAGGGAGGAAACGTGCGTGAAAGGAACCACAGGATGAAATCGAACCCAGGCCAGCTGCTTGAGGCATAGCCTCAGTTTGGGCCACACGTAAACTGCTAGGCCAGTGGCACCCCACTTGTCAAGTTTTTACCATCAAAAACCTCCAGAAATGTCCATCAACAAAAAAACTTAGTGTACAACATCCTCTCTGTTTTCTCTTAGTCTTTAATTTGGTACATTTTTGTAGCCACTCACAAAAGACAAAAACATGTATGTTACTAGTTTGCTGTTCAGAACAATAGTAGAAACATTGTGGTGCAAGATGCCGGCCTCTGTAGAAGAGGACTCTGCTAAATGCTGCTTAATATTACACACTGTACCTTTAAAATGAAGTCGAATCATAGGACTGCCACTTCTTAAGATTCCTGCTATCGTATCAGGAGTTACATTCAAATCTTTGTGGGAAATAGCAACCAGGAAAGTTTCTGTATTGGAAGCCCTTTACCCCGGTTTTTAAATAGATTTGAGTCTTCGTGTTTCACTCACGTGTGTCCTATCTCGTGGGCGATAGTGAAGGCTGTTCCAAGACCAATGTCCTCATTGATGCTGCAGCTCCTCTCCGGCTCACACATCCCTCCTACAGGAGCCAGACCTGTCGGGTTAAGACTTGGTTAGCGGGCTTTATAGTCCTGATTCAGTTTTTTCCATTAGTCTGGTAGATCAGAGCACTTTTTGTGTGTGCGTGTTACCTAAGGTTTCACAGGGCTTGTTCTTTTGGATGCAGATGTCATACCTGGATGCAAATACCGGGGGAAAAAAAATCTACTTTAATTTACAGACGTGTACAAACAAACAAAATCAGAGCTTTCAATATAGAAACCACTCTGATGGCTACAAAGACATTTGACATGGACATGCCGTAGATTCACAGCTGGTGACGGACACGCTCACACAGTGATAGCAGACAGATTTACACAATAGCAGGAAGTCATGGACGGTCACTTTGGTGTCATCTGTCTGGACCGTTTCCATCCTCAGCTTGATAAAACATGTCCTTAAACCAAAGTGTTCTCACAACCACGTCTCAATAAAGCGGACGTTTATCTACAGTATCTGTGCATTTCTTATACCTCCTCTTATATAAGCTTGGAGAGTGTTCTGTGAGACAGAAAGGGAAAAAATGTATGGTATTCAGATGACTCTGGCCAAACCATGCTTGTGTTGTTTGCTGATGCACATTCCCCAGTCAATAGCATCAGTGTTCTGTATGCTTAATATACATCCTCCGCTGCAGTATCACCAAGCGAGGGCAGAGTTAGAAACATCCCAAAAAACTTCGACCTTTAAAGCAGCCATCTTTCGATTTCATCTTTCTGTCTCAACCTCTTCGCGTGTCTCCTCATTTTTCGTCTGTGCTGCTTTCTTCTATAAAACAAATCTGTCCGCTCCCTCCTCATATCTCTCTTTTACATTTTCTCTCCAGATGCTGAGCTGGGCAGAGCGGCCCCAGCTATCGTCACCAGAATGGACAAGATACAGTCTAACTCTCTCGGACTTGGCTTGATGAAAACTTATGAAGACAGGGGCTGGGAATGTGAGAATACTGCCCTGAGGAAGCGCAGTTTAACCCTTCTGTATACTGGGAAACAGACTCAGAACACAATCATTATGTATCTTAAAAGCACGTACGCTCAGAGCACATGCTTAAATGTTAGTGTACATCCTCCACAGTTTTGTGACGAGGGTTTGTCCGTTTGTGTTTCTAACCTGGTGATAAGCACAGCAGTGTCATGGTGAGCGATCCCGTTGTCTGGTATAGCGTTGCCATAGCTGCTCCGGTGCTGGATGGTTTTCTGCCACTTACAGAAGCTGTCTAAAGACTTTCCTGCGTGGTGGTTGATCTCTAGTGTTGGCTGGAGGACAAAAAAAAGACAGGAAGTAGATAAAAACGCTGAAACCTCACAATGATCAAATTGACTATAACAGCTGTAGAACCGTTTAGCAAAGGCACTTCAACTTTCTGTAAGGTTATTCCAGGGTAAACAAATTGGAGATTTCAGCTATCAGGTGCTATGATAACCTAGTTCCAGTCTTCCTGTATTGTGCGTTTGAGGCTCATTTTCCACTGTTGTCAGTTAGTTTTAAGACCCAACTTTTCAGAGTTTTTATAGGAACTCTTGACTGCAACTGAGAAATTCAATATCAGTGAATATGGAGACACTTGCTCTTCACCAGATAGCAGCTTTGTTTGAGGCAGGACAAGAGTGAAGGTGCATCTAGTATTATGAGAGCGTAGAGGAGATGGGGAGGAGGGAGTGCTCCGCTGGCCACAGCTGGCGAGAACTCGTAACCCAGGAATGCATGTGGTGACATAACTAGTAATTGTCTCATCCCGCAGTCCCTCATTTCTGGGTCTGCTGCTGGCCTGATTTTTATTTTATTTTCCAGGGGCAGCTTTGCTGTTTTCAGACCTGGAAACCACACCAGAACTTCTGGCCAAAACTACTCTCGATCCTGTCCCAACCTCAGCATCAACAGACCGTGGAGAAAGAATAACAACACTAATGCTGCCCACCACTAATGATCCAAACATTTACCTCTTTACTCTGTCAGATGAAGAACACATCCGAGAAGTAAATATAGAGCTTATTTTGGTGCAGTATTAAAAAGTATGAATCATAAATGTTCCCCCATATGACAACAACGGAGGAAACCTCAAAGTCTTTCTGTCTTGTATTCAGAATGATTCATCCGTCAGACTGTAAGGAAGGTCAAGATTACTATGAGGTCAGCCGCAGCGTCTCACCACAGACTGTTGATGGCAGGCTAATAAGGTCAGTTACAGATGGCCCAGTCATCTCCCGTGCAAAACGGAGGTCAAGCACTTTTTATGAACTGAGCGCCTGCCTTGTGGTCGGCTGTGGATTCAGAATGTGTGCTCCTTCTACCCTCTGGGCAACTAATTAAATCATAAAACGACAGAGCAGAGCCAAGCTAGCTGCTCTGTGAGGCTGAACGCGGCATTGCTTTGAGATAAAAGGATGATAAACCATCTTACTGGGATGTTAAGTCGGTTCTATGTCATCCTTTCTTTTTACACAAACATAGGACTCATGAAATTTCCTGACATCTGGGCACCAAGTGTGCACCCTGTCTATGTACAGAGGCTATAATCCTTGTCTTAATGGTTGCTGTTCCTACTCCCAATCAGAACTCTTTGCTGCATGTCCTCCTTTCTTCCTATTCCCCACATCTCCTGTCCTATCTAATAAAGAAGATGAAGTTTTTCCCAACATTGTCATCCTAAAGGTGCATGTTCGAACACAGACAGCAAGACTCTATTCAGTATTAGGTATCCCAACAAAGTCTGAGATGATGTGACGACGTGGCAGGTAATGGTCTGAAACACCCAGCCACCCTCTTTACTTAAATAAAGAGCATCCAAACAGCTTATTTCCTGCTGTGAGGGTCATGGGTTTAGGGTAAGTTCCCAAAAATACCAGGACCTGAATGTCCTAAAATTCCCAGAAAATGTCAGGAGTCTGGGGAGTTTATTTTAGCCTGTTAGATTAAAATAAGCAAATCAGAAGCAAATAAAAAGTAAAACTGGAGCTGTTAGGAATTACCGTAGTGACCTAAATATAAGACGACACTGATTATACCACACCCTCCCTTGATTGCCACGACTGAATGGAATACAAAAATGACTGTGAGTGCAAATAAAGGAACCAAATGTTGAGCACAGATGTATGAAAAGCTGAACAGGATTAATTCAGTCAAAACATTTCTACTTTTGGATTTTTTGTGACATCAGGCTGCAGTGGACTTGAGCTTAATTACTAAAGCCCTGATGAATTCAGAGGGGAAAACTCTGTCTTAAATTAAGGTCATTATGGTAATTTTATTAATTCTAAAGCAATAGAATAAGTTAGCGCACTAAAGTCTATCCTTAAACAACATCCCTTCTTGGGCTTAAACTCAACACACACTGATTAGTGAATCATGACACAGCTGAACACACTCCTAAATCTAAGCCTGTACTTTTCTTCACCCTGTATGTGCGTCACAGCGACAGTCAGAGAGGTCCCTGTTCATGAGCAGGACAGTCACAAAGCAGCTCTGTCTTACAGGTACAAACCTCCCCTCATATCCCCACTTTTCCGCTTCTCCTCACCAATCTCCCTCTTCCTCTCTGCCTCACATCGTTCGTGTCCCTTTCATTACAGCCCAGACCCATTTACACACCCAGACTCCACCAAACGTCGAAGAGGAAAAGACCAATAAGCCAATAATTAGGCTCATACGCAGAGGTCACAGATAATGGTCAGGGATGAGTTTTGGGCGAGTAATGAGAAGAAGCACAGACAGACCTTTATAGAGGAAACAGAACTTAAAGGTTGATTTACCTGGTCCTCCATGAGCAGGATGAGCCGTGTCACCACAATGTTGACTGCATTCCCCAGGCTAGAATCCTGGAACAGTTTGGCAACCTGACCTCCAGGGAAACAAGAAAAGACCAGTCTTAAAAAACCAGCAAAAGCATCACAGCAGCGCATAAGACAACAGCACAAACAAACAGAGGAGTAGATTTAATATATCAAAATTCAAACTCGAAATGTCCTCCAATTATCAATGCCTGGTTTAAGAAAGCCTTCACCAAACACTTCAAATCTTAGACAGACTCATCCAACAGCCTTAAAAGAGCTGTTAAGTCTCAGTACCAGTGGTAGAAATCATTATTAAAGAGTTCAAACACCAACTTTGTAAAAAAAAAAAGACCAGACTGAAAACCACTGCTCACACCAAAGCTGCTCTCAGACCCTTGTCATTACTGCTGTCTGGTGTAATTAGGGCCCACTTTGCTCCACACAACCAAACAGATGCTGCTGGTTTTTCTGCGATTCTGTAACACTCCAGATTCAACCTGTTTTGTAACAATGGCAGCTGACCAACCCTTCATTAAATACATTCCTAACATGTGTGTGCACCATTCAAAGTGATTAAAACAGTGTGTGAAGAGATCCCCGGTGACAGAAATAGTGCAGATGATGACATACAAACTAAGCCCGGGTGGCTAAAACATGTTCCCTCCCCCGGGGGGAATCAAAATAGGTCAATACATCTGTACTTCTTTGTCAGTTTGCAATATTCAAGCAACTAAAAATAATCTTAAATACGATCTGTCGGACAACCACTATGTGTTTTTGACACATATTCGTATGCAAGGTTATGTACTTTCAATTATTGGTGCTAAAGGACGACTGAGGGTAATTTCTGTTGCTGCAGACATCTTTATTCAAGTCCACAGTTTGACTTAGATGACTCCAAAATGGGATATCAGATATCAGTGGTTTGATTGAATGATGAATCATTGCTGATATACTGTATGTACCCCCCAAAAAAGTTATCTTAACCACTGATGTGAATTCTTATTCAGAAATATTTCCTTTTCCTCTTTTGTGTAGTGAAACTTACAATATTCATGACAGCCAGGATGTACTGCTCGATGTCTCTGCGACCATGGTAACCCACCATCATCTTGTCCGCTACCACCAGTGTCTCCACGTAGCGCTCTCGGCTAACTGAGCGCTTCAGGGGAAGCTGGCCGCGGCCAACATGATGCGGAGGCGTTTTTAGAGTTCGCTGCCACCATGACGCGGTTTTCATTGGCTTCTCGTCTGTGGGAGATCACACACACTCAGGTTTTAAGATAAGAAAAAACACACTTAAGTCAAACTGTTGCTCGGCCCAACATACATTAATAACCATTGATTATCTGAAAGGTTTGATTGGGCACTACGGTTCCCTTACACACCTCTAGTGAAAATAGAGCAGGATTACACTGCTTGTTGGTTTTATAACTTTTTATTTGCCAAAAAAACTGTTTTTCTAAGCATACTTTTGCTTTTTCAGCTACGCCCTGCACTACAGACTCAGTCACACCCAATCACTTCTGGGACACGGCTACAACCGCAATCTTCTGCCACTGGCTGCTATGCAAATTAGCCTGGGTGAGTTTACTCCTCCAGTCTGGACTGAACAGCTGCTCCAAAAAAAAAAAAAAAAAAAGACACCAGATTATGTCTCCTCTCACCAATGACTCCGCAGGATTGGCCCTTGTATTGGTGGCGGAGCGAGGACCGTTTGTAAACCACATGGGGGCGCCCTTCTGCTCTCTCCCCCTTCTCCGTTCTAGTCTGATTATCTGGTGAGACAAGGGGTTCAATCAGGTACTCCTCTCCTCCTGCAACTATCACCCCTTGCTGCAGAGACACATACATAGGATAGAACAGAATAAAATAGAGTAAAATCCCAAGCATGATCGTTTTCCTGGTAGAAAAATCACAAACTTAACATCACACAGGTGCTCTAAATCTTTACCTAAAAGAGTCGGAAACAGCTAATAAAACAGATTAAATCAAATAGTCCATAAATGATTAGACTGAAGTCATTTGTATGTTCTCCGGCAAAGAAGAGTGGGCAACAAAGCAGGCAGGGTGAGCTGAGGTTAGACAGAAGTGAGTCAGAGGCCCTCTGAGGGACCGGGGAATAAACTCTAATCTTTCAATTCTGCAGATTTAACCCTCCACATTGGATCGTAGTTCACCAAGCTTTGTTAGAGAAATGTGTGTCAAGGAAAAAGGTCAAGGAAAAAGTGCACATTTAACATGGAAAAACAAACTTTTTAAAAAGTCAGTTATGTCTTTTGGGTAATTAAATGATTAAATAAAGCAAATGAATGACAAAAAAAGTTTGACAGTGGGACTGCGATAGTTCCTCTTCTGCTTGACGGAGGCAGAAACTGCAGCAGAAAGACAGAGATGATTGGGGAACACAATGGGTACATGTAAATTAAAAAGTTTCCATTAGAGTTATTTGAGAAGGGAGTGTTAAAATTGGCAGCGCAGACATAGAGTCCTTGTGAATTTTGAAGCAGAATAATATAAAAGTGACTTCGAACTCTCAGACTCCCTATTCTTACACAACACAGCTCATCCTATTGCTCCATGATGAGACTGTCCCATTACAAACTCTGTCCCCTCTCACAGGGTCCTCTGTTGTTTGACTGAGGATCAGGACCACACAGGTCCAACACACACACACACACACACGCACCCACGCACACAGACAAACACACGTGAGAGCATGAAAGGGTGAATGAGAGCGAGAAAAATGAGCGAGTGAGACAGAGAGCGATACACTAACACTTCCTTTGATTCTGCTCAGATGTGTCAGTCAGAGGGAGTGTCTCCCCTCGACTCACCGCGGCTGCTTTTAAAGTGCCTTTAATCCCATAATAAAGTTAGTGATGCTCCTCTGGACACACAGCCCGCTCGCTGGTGAATGCGCTCACGCGGGTCTGACCAACAGTAATTACGTGTGCGCTTTATTAACGCTTTGTGAACACATCTAATCCTCAGCTGTGTATACAACTGTTACTGCGATGCCTGCTGTTTGTGGTGAGAGGATACACAGATACACAAAATGCAGCAACGCAATTAAGTGATCTGGCCAAGTGATTCAGAAAGAGGAGCGCACTTTGATCTCCTACGTTGGGGGACTGATAAACAAATGACTTGATGAGAACCGGGAATACATGTGGAAAAAAAGGAAGTAAAGAAGGAAACTGAAGCAAAACATTAAAAAAGATTAAAGGTACCTCGTTTGAATATGTGTTTCTTCCTCCCGTAACTTTTCTCGCTGACCAGAGATTTATAACACATCTCTGAGTTAGTCTTTAAACTGCCCCATGAGAGGATTGTAAGAAGGCTGGGTAATAAATCCCTCTATGGAAGAGATGTTTAAATGTATAAAATCTTTTGCTTGGAGTCTTTTATTTTGCTAAGGAGTATAGTTTTTTTAAATTGGTTTAATCGATCCACGATGTTAGCCCTAACTCTAACCCAGAATTCCTCAGATATCACAAAACTGACAGAGAGCATATGACCTCTCCCGGACTCAGCTCCATCAAAAAACATCTAACCATTCATCCCATCCTGTCAATTTGGCACAAACTATAAACTATTTTAACTGTGAGGCATTCCGGTTGAGGCTTTTGTCAATGTTTCCGTTGTTATTTAATGTTGGAGAAGCTTAAATAAATCAGATAGCATTTGGATTTGACCATTTTACTATGTTTTGGGGTCATTATGTTAATGGTTAAAAATAAAACCGAGGTAATTTTTCCAGATTGAAGGGTGGGTCGAGGTTTCATTACAGGTCATTTCAGTCCCTGAGGACCACACTGGTTGGTTTTGGATGGAGATTAAAGCCGGCTTCAGCGCTCAAGGTCTGTTAAAATTTCACGCTTTGAAGTCTGAATCAAACATTACAGATCCCTTATTTGCTGAGCCAGCTCCGCTTCTGCTGACCTTGCTTAGCGAATTACATGTGGATTAGGTGTGCAGGTTTCGGTCTTACCAGGCCATTACAGTTGCTCAAGGCCACTTTGCTGGAGGTAGGCTGGTCTTGGAGGTGTCCTACATAATGGCAGTGGGGGGAATAGGGATGACTCCAGGCTAATCTTCCTCTCTTCCAGTACTCCACCCTGAACTGCCGAGACAGGAGGCCTCCCTGCAGAGTCAGGTTCAGCAGGAAGTTGTTTCGTGATGTGGACAGCTGGTAGAAGAGCTGAGAGGCGGCAAACAGAAGTTCAGATTATAAATAAAAGGTTTTGTGGAGGGTGATTTGATTCAAAGATATGTATAAATGTGAGACGGACTGAAACAGACTGAAAAAGAAAGAGAAATCAAATGTTTATACAGAGTCAGGCAGTCTGTCTTCAATGCTACGTCTTCTTCTTTTATTGTGTTGGTGCGTTTCTGCATCCAGCGTTTCTCCATTTGGTCCAACACGTACTGGGATTGCAATCTCATACTGGCCAAGGCTGGTCAGAAAGGCAGCTAGAGGGAGCGAAATAGAGAAGGCACAAACCAAGATCAGAATTTAACTTATTCAAGCCAAAACTCAGTTAAATCTAATTTACTCAAATTAAAAACATTTGAGGCTTTGGACGTTGCTTATTCACAATAAAGCTTTGGGCTTTTTATTGAGAGAGGCCCAGTTGGCAGGAAAAAAAACTCTGAAAGCCTTTTTTGGCCACTTACTGACAAGATCCCTTCACTACGAGCGCCCCCCTCCACGAGGCCAAAGGGAAGTTGCCGTGGTTACTCTGAAACTGTATACTTCCTGTCTGTCCCAGTCTGTGCCGGGGACTGGTGGAGATTTATTGTCCAAACACACACAGCTCCAAACAGCTAACGTCAGCTAACTAACGGGGAAAGGTCACCAGCAAATGATCCAAGTTTTCATCAAACCTTTGGCCCCAGCTGGTGGAGAAGCAGCCCCCTTCCCACACAGAGTAAATACCCAGAGATCAGAGGTCCTTGGTACAGACTTGGAGAGCTCTGTACCAAGAAAAAAAAACTCCATAAACAGTGGATAGGTCTGGCTTGAATAAACAGAGGGGACAATTTTAAATGCTGCCTTCACATGGAACTCATGAGGTTGTACTGTATTTTTGACATGGGAGGTTATGTGCAAAATATGTCCGCCATTCAAGTGGTTTTAGTCATGAGAACCAAAATTGGTCAGTCTTTGTTCTCCTTTCAATGATGATGGACGAGTCAGCATTTTTTTCATTATAATTTTATGTTTAATTTTCCTCTGTCACTGTGTAGCAAAACACCACCCGTGAAGATTCCCGCAGGCAGAATAGTCTTCATAGGTTTCCATGAAATGATGGTGAAACCATGAAAATCGCGTGAGGAAAAACACTGACTGAGCTAGTACAGTGGTTAAATGGAAAAAAGCAGCAAATAAGAGGTACTGGCTTCATACCTTACTGCACTTAGTTTTACCTTCAACACCCCTGTAATAAAAAATCATATACCCCCTTTGTGTCTAGGGGTGTTATCTGCTTCCACCAACCTGCACACCTCCTCACTGTTCCCTCATAAACTGGCAACATGCAGCTTTCTCATAGTGCTACCTGTCAGCTTCAGATTTGGGACTGCAACTATGGGGCAGCATATCTAGATCTTAAGTTAGACACTAAAGACGTTTGTGTTACACTAAAATAGTTGTGTTACTCATTAAACATGCTTTAAGACACTACAAATATGGTCTTCGGCAATCATTAGACAGTCTTGTTGTTTGTGACAAAGGTCTTTAAATTGTGGTCCCAGAGAAAAAGACCGTAAAGATAGGGTGACCATATTCTCACTTCCCAAAAAGAGGACACGACTTCACAGGGGTGGAGTCACGGAGTCGCACGAAGTTAATTTTGGGAGTTTTTCGGGTTGGATCAAGTGTTTTTAAGCGCACTCAGTAAGTCCATGTGACACAAAATCTAAACTCTCGTACAAAACTGTGGACATTTGAAGGATTTTAAAAACTTCCACAGACAAAGCCGGACATGCCCGGACAGCCCCCCAAATAGAGGACATGTTTGGGCATAAGAGGACGTATGGTCACCCTATTAAAGACCTTAAAATACTTCTAGTATTGTGGACCTGGTTCTCTCTTTTAAATATAGAGACTAACTTCTTTAGTTAACCCAGTCTACGGACAGCTAAACTGGGCTCACAAATAACTTATTGAAAGCAAAAAACTTATTGGTTGGGCTTTGTTATTTACAGACTACAAAAAATGACCTTGACACTGTCTGAATTTAATCTTCAATCTGGGTTTTAACATCAACTATAGCCCAAGAAAGTTGCAGTTATCAAACAGCTAACTTAATAAAGTAAAGCATTAGTTAAGTAAGAGTTTAAACCCATCTTGTTTCAAACTAAAACTGAAGACAGAAAACTTATTCAACTTTATTATTTAAAAACTAGACTGTAAAAATCTTAAGCCTTGGTGCAGATGGTCATGTTTGCTTTTGGACATCATAAAATGGCAAAGATATGAGTTTCAGCGTATTTCATAAATGTTAAAAAACTCCTCATAGGAGCTTTAAAGACTGGTCTTCTTGATCAGCAGCACCAAAATCATAAAATATTGTTCCAAAAACACGTTCCAAAAGTAAAACCCTCTCCATGAGAGCTCGGAGCAGTTTCCCACTGCTCCCCAGCGATCCATCCTGGTCTCTAAAACCACCACAAGTAATCGGGTAGGTGGTATCGCAATTACCTTTGAAACACAGGAAAAACTCCTGCAGAGATTTACAAGGGAGGGTGATAGAAAAGTAGATAAAACCCACCTCCAAGGACGATATTAATGAGACCTCACACAGAATAAACCATGCACTAATGAAAGCCATAAAACAAATGAGGAAGTTGAAGAGGAAGGGATTTTTTTTTTGAACTATCTGAAGCTACTTCTCCACAGGTTTTCCAAATACTACCACAGAAAACCCCACAGGAGAAACAAAGAAACAGGCTTTGAGGAGATTATTGGGGTTGTATGAGGTACTTGTGACCATGTATGTTCACAGAAGATGAGATGAGATTTATGATGTTGGTAAAATCACTATAAGCTGGAGACTCATACATTTTGCTGGAACACAACAGAATCATCAAGCACATCTTTACTGGCCTCTACCATTATTATAAAACATCAAAGCTGTCATAATTCAATCATTTCACTGTCATCAAGCACAATGACAGATGAGTATGTGTTTTTGCACCCCTGAAAGGATAATCTGATAGAGTTAATGACAGCGTTAATTTTAACAGCGGACACTCCTCAAAAACACAAACTCCTGTGCTGATAATTACAGGCCTCCGCCCTTAAGCAGGGCATTATCCTGGTTTCTGTTATCACCAAATGAAAATAGTGGAAGGAAGTACTCTAGATGGAAAACTGTCCCTCCCTTTATCTCCGACACACCTTCATTGTACCTCAGGCAAAAGGTTGATCAGCATCGTTTGAAATAAGAACTACAAGACAGGAAGAAGCCGTGATTATTTTGTTTATCCTTGGAGAGGAAAGTGGTGGAATTTCACACTTACTACAGCTCCAAATAAGACCTTATCAAAACAACGACCTCACTCACACGTTTTCCGCTTCTCTCTTTCTCTACTTAAGTCCGTCTCAGACTTGCCTCACTTTAAGGATAGCTACTGACAACTTCTTTCTGTCTGCTGTCTGCTGTGGTAAAGGTGGTGTTTAGTGAAGCTACTAGTTGAAAAACATCTGTCTGCTGTGGGAACGAATGAAACTGTGGAAGGAAAACTTCAGTATTGATCAACTTAGTGTGGTGGGAAAAGTGAATGGAAATCCTCATCTAACTGAAGTAGTCTTACAGATCAAACCCGTGCAAAATTAGGCAGCGTGAGGGTTCATGGGTGACTTATTTGGAAGAAGCAGCATGGTTGACTTTTAGAGATGGATGGCTGTGAGGGGTCAGAGGTTAAGTTTAGGAAATTGACAGTCACAGCCTTTTTCTGGGTGAGGAGACACGGACTCTTTAGGATTTTATGTCTTTGCCTTCAGGGGGGATTTTAGTTCCTTAGCTTCAGTGAATGTGAGAGAAGCAGAAGGACTCTGGGGTGAGAGGTTTGGGGGGGTGGGCACATGGCGGTGGCTACGCAACATGATTTGTGTGGAAGCCTGGTTCAAGTTCAGCCGTTCAGACCTGCAGGCTGAAAGTGAGCCTGAGAAACTCATTTCACACAGTGTTTAATAAACACACAGTCGGTACAACTTAAAATCCATAGAAAGTGGGATATTGTTTAAAATGTTAAAATTGAATATGATAGTTGGCAAATCATTGAAACCCTAAACTTGATTAAAAATGGTGCCTTCCCAGATGTGTGAACCAACCATGCCATGGACACTTATGCATCTTCTGAGCATCAGGGATGCTAGCTTTTGAGCCATGCACCAATAACAGGCCTGAGTGTTGCAGAGAATGCAACACCCATGATTTCCAAGGAGAATGTCAGTTTTAGGATATTATAGACTCTAGGACATTTTATTTTAGTCAAAGTGAAATGTGCTTTACTCTGAGAAGTAGCTTTCATTTCTAGATCATGTCTACATGTCTTTGGACATTTTTGGAGTCTGTTTTGAATGCATTGCCATTAAAGGGCAAAAAGATCACAGGTAAGCAGTATGAGTTATTGGTGTTGTCCTTTTTAGAGAGAGTTTTTTGTAGACTCTTTGTACGGTAGATGATGAAATCTACAAATTTGTATTCTCTGGAGCACTATTCTGAAATTGCTAAACTATTTCCTCATCTGTTCTCTCAGAGGGGTGAACTTCTTTCCATCTTTACTTCTGAGAGCCTCTCTCTTTAGACTCAGTCATGTTGCACATTAGTATAATTGGTTGGGGAACGTTTCTTCAGGTGTTGCATCAAATTTATCTCAAGCAAATATTTTTTTTTTCATTAAAAAAACATTTTTCATTCTCAACATTGCAGAATAGCATAAATCACTTACAAATTGCATGAAAAAGGGGGTAATTGGAAAGATTTCCTGAACATCTCTAGGCTTGACGTGGTTGTTTCGTTTTACTGAAATGAAAAACAGACTTCACTCTGGGAGCCTGGACTGTTTAATATATTCAAGTCCTCTTGTTCTCAGAGACTGAAAATAATTAGAGTTAACCACATTACAGAGCCAGGATCACAGGCAATAAATAATAATGTTTTTCTGCTATTTATAAAGACCTACAAGAATACTGTTCACTGTTATTATTATTGATTACATTGATGTCTACCCAAACTACCGACTTTAAAGGGTTTGTGCGTACGTGAATACAGATGTAGGGAAGGATTTTGAGATGGCTCCAGATGTAGCCAAACAAATTTTAATACCATCCTATTTGACATGCCAAGATATTTGCCCAACAACTCTGCTCTATCATGATTTATGTTATTGGTTCAGTTTACAGGGAGCACTTCTGTCGTAATCTCCCCTCTCACCTTGTGACTCTGCAAACTCATCTCTGTGACCTCCTGCGACCCCTGTAGCAACCATGACGATGACGACACTGCAGAACAGACCAGTCCTCCACAGCATTTCCATGGTTACTACAGTATTTGCTATAGTAACAGAACTCAGTGCAGTGGTCCCCGGGCGTCTGTCCCAACATGTCTTCTGTCCTCTCTGATGCCCCGTCGCCTAGCAATGGGACAGCTCAGCACTCTGTTGGGCCATGGCTACAGGAAGATCTGTGACTTCAGACAGACATAGCAGCCTTAGGTGTGTGTTGATCAGCAAGTGTTGACGAGTCCGGGACTAGTCCACACAGAGGTAAGAAAAAAGGCCTGGATGGATCTCCCTAAAGGGCTCAGCAGCAGCAGCGGTGGGTTGAGACTCCACTCTCTTTGGCCCTGTTAAAGAGAAATCATTCAGCGAGGAAGAGGAAGGCCAGGAAAGGGAGTGAAAAGGGAGGGGAGAGACAGATTTAGGCTCAAAAAGGAGGGTGGAACAAGTAAAACACAGTCACGATGAGAGAGAGAGAGAGAGAGCATGAGATCCCATTGACCCATGCAGTCCCCCGGTCTAACAAGAAAAATCTACCAAGTGCACTTTAAGCATCCCATGAAGGTCCGCCCAGTCCTGCTTTGTTCTTTCAGCTAATCAATCTTGGCTTTGGGGAAGGGCAAACACCCTGTCTTTCACTCTGATGACCATGGACAACAGTAGGTCCCAACCCAGGGCCCCTGAGGCCCCTGGGCTTCAAGCTGCCTGCCCACCGGAAAGAGTTCAAACACAAAGGAAGCCATTGATGTTGTAAAAAGCTTCACTTAATGCCCAAACAGGGCTTGAAGTGGGTATTATGTCAGAGGCTCTGGGGGTAAAATGAGCCAATTTGAGAGGAGCAGCAGGATGCCATCACTGCTACGCTGGCTGACTGAGGTGGCTGGTTGTATGGCTGAGTGATTTGCTGGCAGGCTGCCTGACTGTACAGCTTACTAATTGGCTGTCGTCCTGGCTAGTGGACGGGTGGTATGACTCCCTATATGAAGCTTGTTTACATTCAAACCATTCAGGGACAAAGCGCTGTAATTATCATAGCCTAATTGATACTGGTTTCCTGGAGCCTCAGATCCTTTAAATAATTGTACGTGGCCGATTCTAATATTAGAAAGTTGACATTAAATGATTGTCAATTAAACCAAAACCCCTCAAAATCCTTTTAAAATGCCTCAAACAAATCCTTACCGTTAACTTTAGGTTTAAACATCACCATGCTGTGACAATAATGACTTTTTAAACATTTAAAGAGTATCTCAAGGTTTTCATGAATTCTTTGCCTGCATGAAGATCCTAAACTAGGGACGGAGATCGGGAACCAGTTTCAGATGAAAACCAGCCTCAACTACTTTGAGTCACCAACATTATTTGCCTTTGTTCATTCATGGTTCCTTTATGGGTGCCCTGGAAGTCAGTGCAAACAATGACCAAGAAGTCAAAGAAATAATCATTAAAGCAGCGGTCCAATCTGTTATTTATGGCATAATATTATTGTGCTTACAATATAAACTCTTAAAAAATACAACTGTCCAACTGTCTTGCATCTTGTGACCAAAAACGTTTCAAATTTCTTTGTTCAATGAAACAGGAATGAGCTAATTTATCATCTGGTCCCTGAAGAAGAGGCATGTATCTTCATGTTTGATCAGACTGTATGAAAGAAATCCAAACACACTTTTCAGGAAAGTAAGACGTAACGCATTACACCGAAGAGAACTGACCTTATTTAACCATACAATCATATATCATCTACGTATCGCTGAACAATGCCAAAGAAATTCAATATTGTCTCTACTGGCAGATTTTAATTCATGTTTCTTAATACCAGAAATAACATGGAAATTATGTTTATTAACTGTTGAATATAAACTGAAGCTTGTTTAGTCACACCTAATGATCAGTCATTGTATGCGCCATTTTATCTATATCATTTTTTGGGTTTTGTTTTGCTACTCGCACAATCACCACAAGGGGCACTTCGGGTGAATGGGCAGGTAAATGCTACAAAAGAGACACAGGTGAAGCAGTGATCTGGGGAATGGGAAGAGCAGACGGTTTTTACCGCTAATCTCCGACACCACTCTCACCCTCATCACGTATATCACCATTGTTGTAAGTTGGACACATCTGCCTTCTTTTGTTTGTTTTTTATTTAATCAATAAATGGCAAAATATAACTCAACAACAACCTTGGATTGGACATTGGATTGTACTTTAAGCGTGTCAAAAACACCTCACTCCCGCACCCAGACAGTGACTAAAATTCAGGTCGCCATAGTCACTACAGTCATGATTAGTTAAGGTCGTGGTCAAGCCTGACAGACATCAAAGATTGAATCTTTGGGTCGACTTGGCTAATTTCGCTGTAACTTGTAAAATATAAACCCCAGATTCCATTTTGGTGGAGCACTTCCTTTTATGTTTATTATATTTACTCATAGACCAATATAGAGGAAGCTGGAAAATAACTTCCTCAGATGGCCGGATCAAATTTACAAGTGTGCCCCACTCTTTGACTTGACTTTCCTAGCTATGGATTGCAGCGTCAGCTAAAAACCAAACCTTTGCTGTTCTCTAGTAAAAGTCTGCCCACCCAATTCACTCTAGTCCCAGCCTCCCTCCCTTCAGTCCCCTCCCATCCATCCCTCCCTCAGTGCCGTCTGGGGAAAGAGAAGAGTGAGTGGAGACGCCACACTGGCCCAGATGGCTGGCGGCTAACCAACTGCAGCCAAAGGTAATCGGAAGCAGATGGGAAACCTTTTGGTGACGAGAGCAAGGGGGAACAAGTTGCCTCCTGGAAAAAAAGGAGTTAAAAAAAACAAGAGCAAAGCCCAAGGGGAATGAAAAAGAGACAGCGGAGTGTAAGCTGTTTGAGCCAGCTGGGAGAGCCATTCTTGAGTGTTAATACCCTGAAACTGAGTGTGAAGGAATGATGTGAAAGGAAACCCTAATGTGCCTCTCAGTTCATTCTGAACAGCAAAGGGAAGGTACAGTAAAAGGAGAGCTTGCTTAAAAACACTGAGGGGTCTTTGTACTGTTGCAGCTTCCCTCATACGTGGAACAACTGAAAGTCCTTCTCTCTTCCCCTCCCTCAGGCTTTCTCCCAGTCATTTCCTGCACAGGCCAAACTCCCCTCCATTTTCATTACTTCTTCTATTCTCGCTCTCGATTTATTGTGGGGTTATTAAACTTGCAGCTTGATATCAAGTGCTTTTCATTACCACTAACTCTCCCCTTGTTTATTTTAACAAGAGAAGGAGGGAGAAACTAGACCCCCACCGGTGCTATCCCTGGATGCTTTTTAAGTAGAGCTGTTTAAAAGAAGATTTGTAGTCAGGCTGCCAGGCCCTCACACCAACATGCATGCATTGCCTTCTTAGTAAATTATCACTTCATTATAAACCGTGCAGAAATACAGCTCAATTAAGAGAGAGCTGTCGCTCAGAGGTGATGGTGTCGTACATCTTCCGCGGTCTGTTGTGCAAAACCATCCCTCTGGGCTGTATCACTTTGGCGAAATAAAAAGCGTATGTCTGTCAGCTAGCCAAGTGAGCACATACGCCGACTCTTGACTCAGTGTTTTGCTTGGATTACGCTGCGAATATCGAGCATATACAGCCATAATCACGGCCAAGGGGGAAAGTGGTCTGAGCTCCAGTAGACAGGCCAACCTATCTGAAACGCAATCACGATTTACAAAAAGAGAAAAGAATGAGGGGAGAAGAAAGAGGTCGTTGTTAACAAGAGAGAGAACAGGATAATTAGGTGGGAATTTAAATGCGGGCCAAATCTGTAGCATAATCAAGCCAGCAGACTGAGAATCCTCGAGACACATTATTTTTTAATCTTGTCATTAACTTGTGAGCACTGACTGGTGCTTTTTTTCATGTGGTATAAGGGATGTACTGTAAGTTTTTTGTGTCTGTAGCTAACTATGCTGTCCTTGTCTTTAAGTATTGCCAGGGAGAATGGAGCTATCCGAAAACTAGCACACTAATCAAAGCCATATGACCGGCTCAAAGTAAAGTCTGTGTGGAGCGAACAGATGCTAAGTGTCCCTCAGCTTAGCTTCAAGTCTAGCACTCCCCCACTCTTTCTCTTTTTTCTCTCTTTTACACACTCACACACACATACAGTACACACAAACACACTGCTTCCACTTTGATCAGAGTGTAGCTCATGAATCAGCTTTAAGTTCAGTTTATTATTTCATTAAACCGGTGCTGCCGCTTCTCTTTTCTAATAAGACCATGAGGCTGTGGGATCAAATAGCCCATAAGACTAATGTCACTAGTCAGACGCAGCGTTTTCAGACTTTCTCAGCAGCAATTACTCCTTCAGTGGAAAAAATATATATATCAAAGTCCAGATTCACCAAAGACTCCACATGAAACCCTGAACAGGTGATCATAATAATCCAAAGAAGTGGGGGATACTTCTCAGACTAAACTCTAATACTCTCTGTCTGCTAGAAAGACAGAAAGAGAAAGAGGCAGGCATTCCTTTCTCAATTTCCCCCAAATAAACAGAGTGCAGATGAAAAGTGGGAACATAAACAGGCCGTAGAACCTCGGATGTGCTCCCCTCGCTCTGAAAATGTGCCTCTTGAGTCTGAAACAATATTTAGTGAGAGAGAGAGAGAGAGAGAGAGAGAGAGAGAGAGAGAGAGAGAGAGAGAGAGAGAGCTGACTCGACATGAAGTGAGTCAGCCAGCAGCAGCAGCAGCAGCACTGGAAACAGAGCACAGATGGTGGAAGGTTTTCTCTGTCTTCTTCTTCTTCATATTCTTTTCTGCAGTTTGATCGACTGAATGTCACAAAAAAAAAAACAATGTAAAACAAAAAACTTCTGATGCATGCATGTCCGGCATTTTCTAGCTAGGAAATTCTTAAATAATGTCGGGACCGCTGTAAATGAGTTGTTACAGACAGTTCATATTCCCTTTAATATATTCTATCAAGCCAAACCTGCTTTTAACCCATCTTTTAACCTGATACAAAAAAGGACATTCATTCATTATATTGATGTTATTGTGTAGAAGGTGTCACATTATAAGTTGTTAAGCACTTACTTATTAGTTTAATTAAGTTCTCCTGTTCTGAATAAAGTTTAAAGAATTTCCTTCGAAGTTCTTGCGTAACTACTTGTAGCTGGCTGGAGTTGTATCTTTAGTGCTGTACTACCTGTATGTAAAGAAGCACAGATTACAGATGGCATCTCCTAGTGTGGAGCAGTTTGGCGGTTTTTTCATCTAGCAGAAGGAGACAGAGTTGTAGGCTGTGCTTATAACTTCTTGACCTGACACATGTGTAACCAGCGCAGGCATGTGGACGTCAACCAGTTAGGAGGACTCCAGACTGGTGATGTTAGCTCGGTTAATATTAACCATACTCTGCAACCAATATGATGACCCCTGATCCCACTATGTTAAGTATATTGTGTTCAATTTTGTCATTTATTTCTCATACTTTGCTATAGGGCTGGGCGATAAAACGATAACGATATACGGTTTTTGATAGTCAACATCCTGCCATGTTTTGGTAGACTATACGAATAGCCAATGAAAAGGGGAGTTGCTCTGGGTCCGCTTCATGCTGAACCAATCACGTGCTGAATTAGAACCAAGAAGCAAACAACTGCGTAGTAGCAGGCTACAAACGTCTGTGGTGTGGAAGTGTTTTAGTTTTTTTAGGTCGGACATGAAGCAGAGTTATGTGCACTGCAAATTATGTCGAGTACATGTTCTCGCAAAGTCAGGGAATACCTCAGATCTTTTTCACCACCTGAAGCTGTGTCACAAGGCAGAGCATGCACAATGCAAAAAGCGACAAACCCCGGAGCAGAGCAAGGAGCCCATGGCGCCTGTGCAGCTGAAACAGCTGACCATTCAGTCCACTTTCTCTAGCGCAACGACTTACTACAAAGACCTTACAGATGAAGTAGCTTATTCTGTTGCAAAAGACATGCTACCAATAAGCGCTGTTAAATTTCATTTTTTATATTGTGAAAAAAAAAGAACATATTGTGAGCCCTACTTTGATATTACAGTCTGACCTGTTGCAATGATCAAATTATGCATTTCTACATCCTCAAACAAATGTCTGTCCGCGAGGAAAAAGGCCAAGTAAAATCCTACTTTTTGTATTATGTCCTGACAGCCAGACATGTACTAAAGACATGTAACATTTCTGCAAATCAGCTGATCCCTTCAGTCATTCATCATCTCTGCTGTTCAATGAAGGACCTCAGATTTCCCTGCTTGTGCAAACAGGACCTGCTGCTAATTACATAATCTGTGTAACAGCTGTGTATGTTTAAGTAGGCTAAGCTCTGATACTATGGAGGTGGTATTAATGCCTACAAGATGTGACACATTTCTCCTCCTCCTCCTCCATCAGTGGGGAGCTGCAGGTTGCTCCACCCGTCGGTGAACAACACAATGCCACCCTTCACTTCTCGACCTGATATCTGCTGTCGGCCACATCATCTCCCCTCACACACACACAAACTCACACACACACACAATCACAAACACACACACACTGACTGCCTTGTCACTGGTCCAAGGAGATCCCAGCCATGACTAAGAGCCCTGTAGGGTCAGCTAAACCCAGAGACAGACTGAAGGGAAGTCTTCACCATGGTCAACACTCACTCCTTAGAAGTGCATTAACCTGCGCGAGGCTGCAGCTAACGAGGGCAACCATCTAAACTTGCAGAAATAGTCCTGATCCAGAGAGCCTACTGAAGTTGTGAACAGCCTCCTGCCAGCATCATGTGTCAAGACAGACTCCCTTTAGAAAAGTGCACCAAAAAGTAAGAGCAGACAGTGTTTCCGGGCTCGTGGTGGACCTACCTTCCTCTGTCCCCGTGCAGCTGTGAGTCTGTCCTCTGTCCTCCGCGGCGGAGCGGAGCGGTGAGGAGAGGAGGCGGCGCCGGCGGCTGACTGAGGCTGAGACTGCTTCCACCTCCAGAACCGGAGAACCTCAGAGAGGTGCCATACCAACAGTGCTGATACTAACTTACTTCCGGTTGTAACTTTCAGTATAAAAGTCGCCACTGCAAAAGTTTTCTGTAAGAGCTGAGAGTATAGACTGTACACTATGGGCAACTTGGTCCCGCCTTCCGCCAGTATACGGATTTGAAGCCGAAAAGCTCTCGGTAATTCCGCGTTTTTTCTCCACTTCCTGAAACTAACGTTGCGCAGTAGCGTTTTCCCCCCTTCACCACTTGCGCAGCAGTGTTGTGCGCGTTCGGCGAGAGACCAACGTCCGCTCATGGCGGCCATCTTGCTATAGGCAGCTCGTAACATTACAGTCTATGGTGTATGTAGCATTTAAATAACCATAGATTGATTAATTTTAAACCGATGTTCAAACGGTATGGTTTGAAACAAACCTCAGAGTTTTAGTTACGTTCCTGAATACTCAAGAACAAATTTATAAAGTATCAACATTTTAGATGTTTTTAACAAACCAAACAGCTTGGAAATCATGTGCAACTTAAGTTATGTTGAAACGAAAGAGCATTTCTGCCGTAAAGTATGTCTGAGAACCTTAGAAAAGAAAAGTTATCTAACATGTCACCAAACCTCTCCCTGTCCTCTCTGGGGTAGTTCTCCTGTTAGCCTACATCTTTTTTTCACTGTATTTGGCAACGACCACTTGCACCAGTTAGGAAAAAAAGAGAACTTATTTTTTGTTTCTGGTACATTTAGAGCCCTTTTCCATCAACAATGCCCTGGTCAGTTGGTCCCACTTTTCTCTCTGCTTCTAGGCCTTTGGCGGCATAAAGTATGTACAAGCTTGCACTTATTGATTCCATTCATTTTATCTGCTCACATTAATGTATCATACAGGTACAGTCCTATACCTGTGCATTTTGTTGCAGTTTTAACACATCAGAGTGGCAACAATGGACGCTGTCTACCTCCGCCGAATGCGTGCAATGCTACTGCGCAAGTGGTGGAGTGGGAACAATGCTACTGCGCAATGTTGGTTTCAGGAAATGGAAAGGAAACACGTAATTACCGAGAACTTTTTGCTTCAAATCCGTATACTGGCAGAAGGTGGAACCAAGTTGTCAATAGAATATACAGTCTATGGTAGCAACACAAAAATCTTTAGAACTCAATTCTAAGGACTCAAAAGAAATCAGCTTTATAATTAAAGGCATTATGAAATAGCCATGGATAAAAGGAGGGCCGTGCCACCCCTGGCCACCTTTCTGGATATGTCCTTGGAAAGATGATACAGAATATTAATAAAATATGTAAAAGTTAATATTGTTCTCCTTCAACTGCAAAAGCATCTGCCTCAGTAAATGGGATCAACTCTTGACTGATGATTAAATCCTCATGGAGGGTTTGCATGATTTGTCCTTGTGTGCCTTTCTCAGTCTTGAAAAGGGATTTTATTTTGAAGGCAAACGTCCTTTTTTCCGGTTTAGTTTTGTTTGCGTGTCGTCTGACTTGCTCCAGAGGTCTGTCTGACTCTCTGGACTCTGAAGAAGAAGCAGCTGCAGCTGGTTAGGTCGGTGTTTGGGGGGGAGGTTGTGGGGTTCGTCGAGGGCTTCCTTCTCCAATGCTGTCTGTCTGTGTGAATGAGACAGGTGTTTGAGCATATGTGTACGTGCTATAATCGTTGTTTTGCAATACAAAGTATAAGTGAATTACTTTTATATGGCCATTATTTTGATTTACAAGCACACTAGTTGAGAAATTAAACAGCACCTAGCCTAGTTTTGCGAGAAACGTCTAGCCTATCTGTAGTCAAATGTTTTAAAACTTGCCTTTTATCACCTGTTGTCCTAGTAAACTCATCAGACAAAAAACAAACAAACAAAAGAAACTGTTCAACGCATTCCCCAAGTGGACATAAACATATCTTTTTACAAACAAACAAATGCTGTTTTTTGTGTTGCAGGAAAAAAAAGATGAAGGGGTCGTTTCCTGCCATCTAGAAAAGGAAGCAATAGGTAGGTCACTGTGACATATCACCACCTGCAGTGCTGCTATTAACCACCCAAATGAGGTAAGTAGAAAAGCACAGTGTGTGAAAATGCACATGTAGCAATATTTTTTCAGATTCTGGACTGAAACGCTCCCCTGCTCACCTCTGTCAGCGAAGTGACAGTGACCTTTGAGGTCAACAATCTCCTGTAATGCATGATCAGTCACCTATATGCTCTGTTTAAAGTTTTTACCATAAAAACTATTGCAATACTTCATCTTTGGTACTCTGCATGTCTTCAGATACGTTTTAGGGAGCCACTCACTGGATTATACAAAAATGCACATGTGCTATGGGATAAACATGGTGGTAAGAGCTTGTGGCCTCTTTGGAAGGTATCCTGCTCCTTCTGTAGGTATAAAAATAATAAATAAAAATAGGCCTGTACTGTGTTTTGATAAAACATTACTGAGTTTTTAATAGCTGATAAGAGTGTAAAAGAACAATTTCACAGACAACAAGTTGGTTTCAAAGTTGTGTGTGTGTATCTATGTGTGTGTGTATTTTTGCCTTTGTGTGTGAGAGTGTGTGTCATCCTCTGTAACTCTCGCTTGTTCAAAGCACCTTCCACTGCTGTCAGATGAACAGATACATCTGCGTGTCTGAGGTGACAGCTTCTCTCCACTCTGCGGGGAAAAGTAAGTCGATTCATTTGTTTTATCCGATGCATCAGCAGAAACAGACAGTGTTTACACACACTTAGAGAGTTGAGAAAAAAGATAGTATGCCTAAGTAGGAGTCAGTGTGAAGAACAGCTGTATTTAAAAAAGTATAAAAGTGCATTTTCACATTTTACAGAAGTTATTCACCCTTTGACACAACTTTAAATGAGCCAGGAGTTTTCTTATTTTGATTTTGTGATTCTGTGGTAATGTGTAATATTTGAAATTTTAGAGTATTGAAGTAAAAATCCTCAGTTTAAATGGAGGTTTGAAATTCCCCAGTTGCTGTTCAGCCAACATAAAACAGATTGAATGTGTATGTGTGTGTGTGTGAGCCGAAGCTGGGCCGAGGCGTTGTTGCTTTAGTCTGTTCACAAAAACAGAGATTACATGTGCTAAATATAAATAGCTGTTTTCATTGTGTCTTGGAATAGAAAACCCCAAAATGGGTAGCTCTTATCCAGAAAAGTGGTCTAAGCGTGTGTGTTTTTATCGATAGTAAGTTTTCCTGAAATTACTGGATGTATTTTTGTTCTGGACTGAAGCGTATCTGCGAAATGTTCCTGCCATTGTCAGGCGATATCTGCCTGGGCAGCAGAAATAGGTTTTTATCTACAGAACATGGTTGTAACACTGTTTTCAGGCAATTTGATCATTACATCCAGTTTCAGATTAAGCCAAAGTTGACACTTAAAAGGCCTCATGCCAGCAAAGTCTCACTTAGTTTAGTGCAGCTCATTTTAATCAATAGAAACAGCCCGTTCTGCTAGTGTTATCTTTGTTTCATGAATAACAGTATTTAGGCTTTAAAATGCTCACATAAGTGGTGACAAACTTCACTCTTTGAGTGTTGATTTATATCTTTAAAAGCCTGTTTTGTTTTGGTAGAACACAATGTAAATCCTGATAAAGAAAAACTGTTTATTTAAATGTCAGTCTTTTCAGCTGATGCAGGAAATTACGCTTTAGTTTGGGGCATTTCTGCATCTCTGATCTGAGGCAGATCAGCATCGAATCAGAGTCTCTATTTATTTTAAACTATGGCTGAAACAAAGACCAGATTAAGGAAAAGTGATTTCTTGTTCAGAGTCAGAGGACACAATGTCTATTGTTGAATGCCAATGGTCTGAAATGTTGTTCTGTGTACGTATAGAGAAATTTCTGGACTTGCGTCATCCTGAACTGACTTCCTGATAGCACAATATAAATAGTCATGACCTGAAATAACTGCAATAGCTGCATAGTTATCACAGGAATGTTCTTGATTTAATTTGAGCCACGTAATCTACAGAAAACAAGGTTTTTATTAGTTCGCGAATCGAGTCATTGGCTTTAAAATGCTCTTCACACTTTTGGTACATGAGAGAAAAAAAGCTAAAAATACTCAGAGTTTTTGAGCGATCATACGGCCCCTACCTGACATTAATGTTGGAACGATAATGAAGTCCTGAGTAGAAACAGTTCATAAGGTTGGATCTTGATTAATTGGCACAGACACAATTCAATTTTTTTTTTCAGATTGATGATCTTTTTCTAATTTTAGCTTAATTTTATGATAACAGGAATAACACACACATTTGGAGGAGTTTTTGACCATTTCAAAAATTTGCATTTTGGTGTTTTTTTTTTGTTTTGTTTTTTTAACTATGAAGTATAAAAAAATAGATAGCGTGCACAAACAGTGCATAAACAGCAGAAGTGTAACACCTTTGACATGTTTTAGATCTTACCAGTTGTGTGACTTCTGCCAGCTCTCACAGAACACAAGAAATTTAATGACTTAATTTATACAAAATTGATTCATAATCTTTCACTAAAACAGAAAAGCTTGTCATATTGATATAAAATGAAAAATATAATTTAGTCCATTTTTTTAAGAGATGAATTTTCGCTCGAGGATGATCCCTTTAAACTTTGGTGATCTTGTCATCTTTTCCTCCAAGGCCACGTGCATATCACAGGTTTTTACAGTTACCTCAGATACGATAGTCTTATGGGGCAGAGTGGCATCTTGGGAAACACATATTTAAGCTTTAGGCTGAAAGGTCAAAATTTCCCCTAATCTTCCATATGATGCTATTAGGTGGTTTAAATGAACACCTACGATCAAACCTCTCAGAGCTCACCATGCCGCCATCAGGATTCATGAGTATGAGTCTGCTCCACATGTTGATACAGTGATGCAGTCTCATTAGACATTTTAAGATCTGAGCAGCTCTTGTCTGAAGTTTCGTTCCGTTCTTTACTATGAAATCTCCCCATGATATTAAGCTAATCAAACATAATATACAGCAACTGACCAACCAATCAGAATTTTAGTTTGGTGAATGATTACATGGACTGTAAATGAACCCCACGACCTCAATCACATCCTTCTCTGTGGAAAACAATCACTCGAGCTTGTAGATTTTGGCCTGTGTTCGTGCTGTACTCCACTGCTTTCAGAGTGACTCACAGGTTGGTTTCCACAGCTCACTGCGTCTCTGTCTGCTTACTCTGCAACTCCTCATGCGTTCAAGAGGCACATTTTAATTATGCACGCTATTCAGGTATTTTCTGTCTTCTTAAGTGTCTTTTTGTGGTCCATAGGTTTGGAGCTAAAAGAAAGAACTATGAAATGAACGTTTTAATAAGGACCACAAGCTGAGTGAAGACTTGGCTGCTGCTGTCTGTGTTTAAAGTTTTATGTCTCGCTGGCAAACAACCAGTGGTGATGATTTGAACTAAAGACAAAACATGTGACAAATTAAAGGGAGTTAATGACATCTCTTTAAAGACTCAAGTAAAACAGGTGGTTTCTTAAACCTGGAAGGATTCATCGATTCATCATAAGGTGAAAGGTCAAGGTAGGCCAAACTACTCACTGAGCATTTTTTGGTCTAAAAGAGGTCTAATAGACATCTAAATGTAGCCTAGACAACTGGTCTAAAATCAGGCTACCACAGGTCTAAAAATTTAATCTAAAAAATTTAGACCAAGTCTAAATCTGGGCTATATCTATACTACACTGTATATTGCTCAACAGCTATCATAATTATTTTGGTTAAGTACTTGGAGATTAGTTATGGGACTCACAGTTGCTTTTTGAAATAAATAGTTATCAAATAATGGGTTAAAGTGCAAAAAATATACAGAATCTAGATGCTTGAAATTAGATCTAAAAAAAAACGACGTTTAATAGCCATCTATTGCTCAATGGGTAAACATCAAAACTCACAGATCAGAAGTGAATTTACACTGAAATTGAAACCTACAAATAAATTCTGATGTTTGATGCAGCATGAGTACTATATTGTCATTAGAGCAGTGTCATAATTCAGGTTATGTTATGGGGGTGAGTCTGTATTACACAAATACTCAATGCAGAAGTCCTGCAAAAACCTAATTTTAGTCAAATTAAAGCTCCCATAAAGAAGTCTTTACCGCTTATGAAACAGACTGAAATATGTAGCGATGCCTCCCTACGACCTTCAAGAGCAAATTCTTGACAACTATCTTTTTATGTTTTGGTGCTTTTATTAGATAGGAAAGCTGAAGAGAGACAGGAAATATGGGGGTAAAGAGTGGAGGAAGACATTCAGCAGAGAACCAGCAACCGCCGCGTCGAGGACTATAGCCTCTATACGGGGCTGTACACTATACGCCTCTTTCTGCATTGCGAGACTGACTATTTCAATACTGGAATTTTTAATGCCTGCAGCTGCTATAAGAGGGTGGGTATCGGAAAATACAGTTGATAACGCACTGAAGAAACAGTCTTTTTCCAGAAAGGGGAGACTTTGAAATGACTTACTGCTCGGACACACACAGGACAAGATCAGCATGAAGAAAAGATGTATAATATTGTACACAGGGGGCGCCAAAATCTGTGGTGATTTAGACCTTGACAGGATAAATGTGCTCAGCTGATGAGACCCTGTACTGAGTCACAGCTCGTCTTTAAACATGGGGGGATATGTCTGTTTGTCCACACCGTATGGTCTGGGGGCCTCTGTTCTGGTTAGACGAGGGTCAAACCACAGCAAAGTTTAAGTTTTGTGGCAGCTGTGTGTTTCTGCTCAGTTATCCACTGTGGTTGGGGCAGAGAAACAGGTATGTAGCCAGGAAGCTGAGGTTTTAACACCTTATACCTGATTTTAGACAGTCAATTTGAAGCATAAAATATAAACATACTACAGCTCTCAACTGTTCAGATTTGACCAATTTAAGGGTGGTGCATTTATCTGACAGGACACGTAAGCAGACTGTCGAGTCTAACAGGGAGACAAAATCAAGATTGAGATTGATAAAATACTCTGAAAACTTTTACCTTCTTTGTATTTTGATGTCCCTACTTCTGCATGTTTACAGCGTTATGAATGTGAGCTGACGTGTATGATCGCTGTCAGTGTTTGTTTTGAACTCCTACAAGTATTTTCCGTCTGTTATCACATAACCGTTCCTTGTTGCAACCAAAATCTGATGATTTTAATCTCATTTTACAGCCTCATGTCACCTCAAACCGTTTTCTACTAAATCATCTACAACAGCACACAGAAGTTGTTTTTAACTACATTGCCTGGTAAATCCCCTCCAAAACTTCTCTTCCCCAGAGAAGAAAAATGTAAAAACTTAAAATTCTGAAGCAGAAGGAATGATCTAGAAGTGAAAATCAGCACCTGCTCAACGGAAGAGCAAGAAGCTGGAGAAAGGAGGCTGTGAGGGCGGATTGTGACTTCCTGTTGTGGCTTTTTTGTCTCCAGTTGTTAATCTGCATGCATCAGGCAGACACACAGTGTGGGTGCCTCTTGCTAAGAGTCTTATCCAGGCATAAAGCACCTAAAGGCTTGTCTGTAGAGCCGAGCTTGCTGGTAAAATGCTGTTTCTTTGATATGACAAACTGTCTCTGCAGTAATATTATCAGCTTGATCAGATCTTAGTATGTTGGGAAGACAAAGACAGAGTTTTGTTGTTCCTACTGAAAGTGTGTCTGTGGTGATTTTGTCATTGGTAGATGAATAATTAGAGAAAGTTGAGCAGAGGTTAGATTGCATGTGGGGGTTTAAATGTTAGATGTAAGAGGTCATAGACGGGTTTTTTTTAATCAGTGGGTGTTCTGACAGAACTGGGAAAACTAGATTCACTCATTTCTGAAAACTTTCTCCTGATTTCCTGTGTAGAGTTTGCCCGAGTGCTTTTCTTTTTGTCTCTCTTTCTGCATCCAGGACTCTGAGCAGTGATCCAGCTCCCCCCCTCTCCCTGGTCTCACCATGTCCACTGACCCGGCGGTCGAGCTGCCCTTCTTCTACGGCAGCATCAGTCGCTCTGACGCTGAGCAGCATCTGAAGCTGGCAGGGATGGCCGACGGGCTATTTTTACTGCGGCAGTGTCTGCGCAGTCTCGGAGGCTACGTTCTGTCTGTTGTGTGGAACCTGGAGTTCCACCATTACCCCATAGAGAAGCAGCTCAACGGGACCTACTGCATCTCAGGAGGGAAGCCTCACTGCGGGCCGGCAGAGCTCTGCGAGTTTTACAGCAAAGACTCTGACGGGATGGTGTGCGCTCTGAAGAAACCATGTCTGCGCCCCCCAGACACCCAGATACGGCCCGGTGTGTTCGACAACCTGAGAGATAACATGCTGAGGGAGTACGTGAGGCAGACCTGGAACCTGGAGGTGAGGCCTGCTGCTCCTGAGGATCAAAACCTTCAACTTCATCAGTTTACAATCTTTACAAATTTAAAAAAGTGAAACATTTGAAAGAAACATAATAACAGAACAAAGGTGTTTATATTTCCACTGAGTAATAGACAACTCAAGGAGCCTTCTGCTGTCATATTTTTGGTATTAGCACTCTACTTTTACAGCATATTTAGCAACTATTTTTGAAAAAGAATTGAAGCTAGACAGATTTAGATTTTATATCAAACAGCGTCTGTGAGATTTACAGAATTTAAAGCTTTTTGTTTTATATCAACTAACTTTAATCAGGAAGCCCGACAGCAAACCTCTCCTGTTACGAGTTTAGGTTGGGATTTTCAGGAGTTATGGTAAAAGAGAGATTTGTTCATAAAAAAAAAATAAAGACATTAAATACATTAAAACAGGTTTAAAAACTTAGAGTTTACTCTAAATCATAGAAAAAGTTCAGATGATCAAACAAGATGTACAGGTTTAGGTGAAATAGTTGAAGGTACCATGCCAGTCAGTACAGGAATTTCCTCCCCTGTCGATAAATATTTAGTTAAATGTGTTACTATTGTTGGCCTAAAATGGCAGTCATAGCAGTAACCTCCTGTAATGAGAAACAAGGCCTATGCAGAAGTGCTTGAGGCTGACTCCAAAAGCACCAAAAACCACTTACACTCCCGTTCAGAGAGCTCATAAATCAACATGCTCGTCACCTGGTTAAAAAACAGTTTTGGTCTGAATAGCTTGTTTCCACATCGCCCTACACTGTACAAAAAGTGAATTTATTTTACTAAAGCTTCATTTTGAAGATATTAAGGCTACAGTTATTTCAGCAGTAAAGACACAGCCTCCACTCTAAACCTTTAGCTGTTGTTAGGTCAACCAAAAGTTCGGTTGAGAAGGCGTTTTCAGTGTGGCATCTGCTGCTGTTAGCCATCAGAAGTTATTTGGTATTTTTGTTATTTGTTATTTTTATTTGCACAAAATTAGACATACAATTGATTGTTGAAGCTACTTCTACTCTGCGATCTCTTGGTTAGCTGCACACTTTGACATTTTGCTCAATTTTGACCGTTTTCTTGGTGCTTTCTTTTCTCTAGATTAGGCATGAATGCTACACATGTAAGCCATTGAAAACATAAAAGTACATTATTTGAAATCTGTTTGACACAAAGTGAGTATTACTTTTGACTTCTTTACTGAGCTATCTGGGATTTTGTGAAGTGAAAAGTGCCTTCAAAAGAGTGAAGGTGTTATTTCCCATCATGGCAGAAGCGGGAAGCAGGAAGATGCTGCAGCAGCAGCTAAACTACGGTAGCCTACAGGGACAAAGTAGCACAAAATTACAAAAGACCAACATATTCATTGAATGTGTGCCACACTAATTTCACACTACAGAAAAAGTCACTCTTACATTATTTCTAATTAAAGCACAATGTTTGATATAGATCTGAAATAGTAAAATAAGCTTTAAAATGAAGAGGTTTTTTTGTCCGTGTCTGTCTTGGTGCTTTTCTTTCTCAGGGTGAGGCCATGGAGCAGGCCATCATCAGCCAGGCCCCCCAGCTGGAGAAACTGATCGCCACAACAGCCCATGAGAAGATGCCCTGGTATCACGGTAAAATTACCCGCCAGGAAGGTGAGAGGAGACTTTACTCTGGAGCGCAACCAGATGGCAAGTTTCTGTAAGTTCCTCACTCTGATGCTTTCTTTTACGTTTCTTCATCATTCAGTTTTTAAAATCTTGAGCAACACTGTTTTTATTTTTGTTTTTCCTCAGCGTGAGAGACAGAGAGGAGTCCGGCACTTTTGCTCTCTCCATGATGTATGGGAAAACCGTGTACCACTATCAGATCCTTCACGACAAATCAGGGAAATACTCCATGCCAGAGGGAACCAAGTTTGACACCATCTGGCAGGTGAGAGCCACGATCATCAGAGATAAACTATCAGCCAAAGCCAGATTTAAAAGCTTTAATGTGTAGTAAGTTCATGATGGAATAAACAAAATCAAGCATGACTGTTTCAGCCACACATCAGGATATACATACAGGTAGCTAATCTGATGTAAGCTGGTGAAGTTCAGGCAGATGAAGACCCTCATAAGAGTTACACCACATACCGAACATAAGGAGAGACCTTTCAAAAGCAAAGTCACACATGAGCAGAGATTATTTTTGATTCAGACACGGGACATGACCTCTCTGGCTGCTGTTGAATCTAAATTTCAGTGTTAATCTTGTCCTCTGTAGCTGGTTGAGTACCTGAAGATGAAAGCTGATGGGCTGGTAACTGTTCTCGGGGAGGCGTGTCTTAACGGCAAAGCTGAAAGTACTGAACTCCTTGTTTCCTTTTCTCACATATGTAAACAATATGAAACATCTACATTGGTTTTCCAGTTCATGATTGATTACTTGTTCCATTTCCAAACTCACCTCTCAAGTTATTGATAAATTCCTTTTTTCTATCATAATCTTTCAGAGGCACCCAGCCTTCCTGCCACAGTGAGTATTAACCTAATCCTGTATGTTAATTACCTTGCTGTATTTTCATTATAAGAGACTCACTTTTGTGTAACTATTTCAGAGGCGGGCCGGTCAAAATGGATACACACCGCCACCCAAAGGTCAGTCATATGAAGTACAACCAACTAAAACAACTCCTTAATCGATTTAATTTTAACAGGAAAAAATAAATCTGTAAATACCAGGAAAAGCCTGCTTTTCCAGTGAATTAACATTTTTAAACTTTGTTTTTCACCCCAAAGATTTTTTTGGGGAAAGAGACACAAACACGGTTACTTTTTAAAAATTAATTTCCATGATGGTTTTATTTGGTCATGATGTTACAGCACAACTGTCGTCGGATATGTCCTGATGTCCACTACAAAAGACACACAGAAATACTCAAACAATTTCGTTTCTGGGTCCCAGGACAGTAGCTCCGTGATGTGATAATAACTCAGCCAGCCATGCGTTGTTCCAGTTTGAGGAGGCATTAATGAAAAAAACTAAGCTGAAGACCAGATTACTGATTAAGCTCAAAAGATTGTTTTTAAAGATCCTGCTTACAGTTCTAGTTTAGAGGCAAGCACGTCTACAAAAGCCTGTCTGTAGTTTATTGTTTTTCCACGGAGAAGGGTGTCCTTTAAGGTCACAGCTTTTGTTTTCAACTACGGCAAATAGGCTGCTTTTAAAGGTAATAAGATGTATGTGCCTTTATTAAAATCATAAATTACATTCATTATTGCTTAGAAGCTCCCCTTTAATCATTGACTTTCATCTTAACTATTTAAAGACCCTTCATTTACTTTAGTTAGATGTTAAATAACACAAAAAAGACTTTAAAAGGTTCAGATTGTCTTGTGAGGATGAATCTTTTTTCATGCACAACAGCTAACAATGCTCCTTTGCACCGTTATAACACTTACTAATGTTTATAAGGATTTTATAAGGTCTCATAAGTGGCTTATTAACTGTTAATAAATATTTATTTCAAGCGCCCTTATAAAAAGTGCAGCTGAGTTGGGAAGTGGTTTAGTAAGTCATGATTTTTGCACCTCCACTTGTCACTCCAGCTGTCACAGCAACAGCAAACAGTGTTCCTGTGGACCGTGACCCTCTGCCGATGGACTGCAATGGATTCAACCCGTACCACAACCCCAATGAAGTGAGGAAGTTTAACATAAAGAGGACTCAGCTGCTGATCGATGAGGTGGAGCTCGGCTCAGGGAACTTCGGCTGTGTAAAGAAAGGAGTGCTCAAGACTGAATCGTGAGGAAATAAAACAACATTTTATCAAACTTTTACTTCAGCTCAGTATTTGATTTTAAGATCAGACTTTAACCCAAGGATTTTGTTTTATTTGCTCTCAGGGGCCAGATAGATGTTGCCATCAAAGTGCTGAAGAGCGAAAATGAAAAGACTGTGAAGGAGGAGATGATGAGGGAGGCAGAGATCATGTACCAGCTCAGTAATCCTTATATTGTCCGCATGCTGGGGCTGTGCAACGCTGAGAGCCTGATGCTGGTGATGGAGATGGCCTCTGCTGGACCTCTCAATAAATACCTCTCCTCACACAAGTGAGTTCATTTCACAGTTTATTAGGGACTCCATCTGGATATAGAGAATTACAGGTGAATGAAGCTACATGTTAATGTTACATGAATGTGAAGGATTCTCTGGAGGACCATTTTATTTTGTTACATAATGTATTTAATGTTCAGAATACTCACTGTCCTTTATTTATAAACCAGAGACACAAAAACAAAAACATTTTAAAACTATTGAAATAGATAGAATCATATTTCACTTCAATTCTCCACAAGCTTGGCAAAGTCAAATTTATTTTATTGATTTCTACTCATACGGACACAGGATTGCCATAAGCAAGTCTATATATTTTACACAGTATTGAAATTGAAATTTATGCAATTTTCTAACCCAGACAGGTTCAGTTGTATGGCTTGAAATGCAGAGCTCAATATAATGTAGTCTAGACATTTCATTATGCTAAGAGCTGTTGAACCAAAAGAGGATTTTACTCCTCGGATTGTTTTATTTGTTGGATTTTCTATGAGCAGTTACAATCATCAAAGTGATTTACAATGGTATTCTGTCTCCACAGAGATACTGTAAGTGTGGAGAACATTGTTGGCCTGATGCACCAGGTGTCACTGGGAATGAAGTACCTGGAAGAGAAGAACTTTGTGCACAGAGACTTGGCGGCTCGTAACGTCCTGCTGGTCAGCCAGCAGTTCGCCAAGATCAGCGACTTTGGGCTCTCCAAGGCGCTGGGGGCGGATGATAACTATTACAAGGTACACGCAAAGGCAGAAAGACCTCATGTGTGTTTCACTACAGGACAAAGTTACAAGAATGTAGAGAAGATTGACAGAAGTACAAACAAGGTAATCTAGCCATATAGATAAATAGATCAATGTTAAAAAAAGGTCTACAGGTGAGTGTTAAAAATGAGATCTAGTCACACAGATCTACAGATAAATGTTTGAAAATAAGATCTAGACACGTAAATCTACACAGAAATGTTTAAAAAGGAGATCTAGTTACACAGATCTACAGATAAATGGTAAAAATTGCAGATGTGCAAGTAAGGTGTGCTCATAAGCTTACATTGTTGTCATTCAGCAAAAGTTATAAGTGGTAAATATTCATTTTTGTCAAAATATTCCATGAAAATTCTGCATAACTATTGAGAATGAAAGTCCATTTTAGACCCCTGTTAAAACAGATGATAACTGCCTTTGTGAATCATCTACATGCTCGTAGTACTCATAACTTTTGTTTCGTACAGGCTCGTTCTTCAGGTAAATGGCCGTTGAAATGGTATGCTCCAGAGTGTGTCCACTACCACAAATTCTCCAGTAAAAGTGATGTGTGGAGTTTTGGTGTCACCATGTGGGAGGCCTTTTCCTATGGCGGGAAACCTTACAAGGTACCATGCATCTCTCCATCACAGTCAGGACTCACCCTCGATTTAAATGCTATTACAGCTCTATTTACGTCTCGCCTTTCTGCAGAAAATGAAAGGAACAGATGTTATGCGCTTTATTGATGAGGGGAACCGCATGGAGAGTCCACCAGCATGTCCAGAGAGGATGTATGCAGTGATGAAAGAATGCTGGACTCACAAGTAAGGCACTGTTTGTCTCCTGTTCATATTTATTAAACACTATCATCACCTGAAGAGTGGTACGCTCAGTCTCCTGGAGGGCTAAAAGAATAAGAAGGGCCCCTGTTCTTTGACATTTGGCACCAGTGCACATCAAGCTGTGTTTAATGGAGGTCTGCTTCTGGCGGCAGTTTAAAAACAGTTTGAAAGCCTCTTGGATTTCTGTAATTTTAACAGCACATTTATGTGGTGCTAGAAAAAAAAAGAGATCTTTTGCATTTGTCTGACACAATCTGGACTTTTCCTTTACAAATAAACACGTTAGTGTGACTGAAATCCCACTAAGTCAAATTTCTCAAAGTTGTCCTAAAATACCATTATGATGCATTTGAAGCTTTATTTTCTCTGGCATGTGTTCACTCTAATTAACACTCTGTACTGTACATGCTCTATAAGTTGTACACCAGGTTTTGACCTTGAAGTCAAACAGCATGAATGTGTCCAAGAAAGCTGGGTAGAGATCAAAACCTCACCTAAGAAAAGAGCTGTAAATTTGTCCATACGTTTACTGTTTGATATTCAATCAGTTATATTCTTGCTAACTTATTTCTCTATTGTTTTGTTTTGGTATGTGACCAGGTCAATAAGTCAACTGCAAGAAGGTCTGTTAGTAACTAGCTGAAAGTAAGCATAATGCCACCAATGGAGATGGACAAACTTTGGTGAATAAATTGGTTCTTGCCCAGTGCTTGCTTACCTACACAAGGGAGAATGGACCAGTTCAATTGCACCTGCAAATACACCTAGTCAGGCACATGCAATAAGAGGGGATCTTCCCTCTTGACCCCCACAAGCACATTACTGCACATGGAGCACAACTGTACAATATTAAAACAGTATTGAAGCTGTCCTCCCTGAAAGTGACATAGAAAAGTGGTGATGTGGGAACACGGTCGACCACCCTCTGTAAATCCCAAAGCTGATCTAACCCTCCTTCCTCCCTTCTCACCAGACACGAGGATCGTCCTGACTTCAAGAAGGTTGAAGAGTCCATGAGGTCTTATTATTACTCCATATCCAACAAGGCCAAGGCTGAGGAAGCTGCAGCCGCTGCTGCTGCTGCTGCGCCTTAATAAACCGAAAACAAGGCACTTTCTGTCCCAGTGCTGCACAAAGCATCCTTTCAACCAGCCATTAAACAACCAAAACAAAGAGCTTTTTATGATTGCTGCACACTGACCAGTTTCAACTACAGAACTAATACGGCTGAACAGGCCTCAGAGACAATAAATGTGCATTTGTAAATTGGACTTCAGTGTGTCAGCCATGTAAGGGGAGCCTGTGTCCATCTGTCGACGATTGAATGTCGACGTTGTTGACGTCTTTACATTGATGAAATATCTTATTTTGTATTCTGGTATTTAGGAGTATAATGAGAGTGTGGTGTGCATTTCCAAGGTAATACTTCAGAGTATGCCAAAACATTGCAGTAGTTTGTAGCTTTTCTTTATGCCAGATCATATAAAAAGAGGAAGCGATAAAATTGTACTTTTGTATTCTGGTTTCTAACCATTAATCAAACTGAGTATTTCCTTTTCATTATACTCGAATGTGATTCATTTTGTTAACTGATTGTGCATGTTTTCTCATCAAACCTAGTTAAAATAATTCACTATGACCATTATATGGAGTTATTGATGCATTTTAAGTATAACCCATACAGAAGTTCGGTAAATCAATCACTTATAACTTTTACTGTCGACTTACTGGAAAGATGACCAACTTGCAGAATGAGACAAGAACAACATAAAACCCCCAAATTTGACAAAGTGCAAAACTAATTTTGGGAATTACACCCTGCATACATGCCTTGTACAGGCTTCCAAAGCATCATGTGCAAGTTCTCGAGTATTTTTTTGTTGTAATGTCTTATTATGTCGCTTCGTGCTAAGGTGTTTTTTTTTACTGATCCCACACTGTGCCCCCCTATGGGAGCAGAGTTTGGAGTTGCCTTTTTTCCCCCTCTTCTTTTCTCCTGTTCTCCTTTTTCTCATCTAAGAAGGGAGCGCCAGTCAGGCTGGTGATCCTACAGTTCTCCTGTTCCTGTCACCCTGTATGCATCTGTCTACTGTATGTTTCTTGGAAAGGATGAACTGTAAATAGGAATTTCGCCTTGTAGGACTAATAAAGGAGTATCTTATCTTATCTTATATTATTATTGTCACTGCTACATTCAAATGCCATAAAATAAAATGACAGATGTCCAAATATAAGCAGTTTTCAATTTATTTTACATTGTCAGCATAAATCCAAATAGTCTAAAGGTGTTGGAATACAGTTTACAAGGGTATGAATATCTTTCAGGATTAAAATCTCGATTTGAAATGATTTGACAAGGGTATTATCTTTGGTTTTCCTGTCAGTGAGCCAAACATGATCCCATTTGGTTTATTATGACATCCACTGTTATAAAATTAATGCGGTCAGCCAGTCAGGGGCACTCACTGACAGACTGTATCACAGGAAACATTTTTGAGCTCCCAGGCAACACTGACCGGAAACTGTGGAATTACTCTTCAAAATAAGAGTGGAGAGATTTTGTCAGAATTCTGCAGTGTGAATATTGGTGCATATTGATATCATGGACTTTAAAGGGATATTCCGGCGTAAAATTAATTTGGGGACTGCAATACACAGCAGTCTATAGAACCACACACAAACCTCAACCAAAACGCCACTCTATAGCCACAAATAATGCTCAGAACAGCACCTAACTTCATCAACAGTACATATAGGGTCCCAGCCACAGTACTAACCACCAAACATCTTTTTAGCTTTGCCTAATTTCTTTAGCAAAGAGACTCAACACAACTCACCTACTCTCTTCCAGCAGCTGCTTGTTTGTAGCGAGACCTCGAGCCAGTCCTTTTACGGACTACAGTGGGTTGACGCAGCTCAAGGAAGAACATTTATGATCATTACTTTATAATTTCCTTGAAGTAATAACCACCATATTGATCATTTTGCAGTGCAGACACCGTAGTTCTTCTGCCTTAGCATCTCGGTCTGATTGAATTTCCATGAAGACATGATCATTAATGTTCTTCCTTGAGCTGCATCACCCCACTGTAGTCTGTAATGGACTGGCCCGAGGTCTCGCTACAAACAAACAACTGCTGAAAGAGAGTAAGTTTAGTGCTTACAATTTTATAACAATATACTAATGATAATAATAACTATTTCTTATAGCACTTTTAAAGACAGAAGTTAACAAAGTGCTTTGACAAACTGTCGTAAAACACAGAACATCAGCACTTGGAAATAAAAACAAATAAAAAAACAAAAGCTCAGCTGAAAACAAAGCCTCTGAATTGAAGGCCAATTTCATTTGTCATAAGAAACCCAGACAATACAAGAACCCTACAACATTTCTCACATATAGTTGTCAAAGAGGTACATTAATTTGAAAGGTCTCCCCGGAAGTTAACACCAATGTATCTAGCCTGGTGCTGGTGTACTTTTCGGTCGGCAGGGAGGAGTCAGACGGCAGTTTCTACATCAAAGTGACATGTTTATTGAATTAACAGTAATATTACAACATGTTTCGATCTATGTATCCATAATGTAGTCCGTGCATGTCGCTGACGTGAAGCTATTGACCGAGAAGCTGATAATTATCGATAAAAGATCGAAGGAAACTGACGGAACAGGAAGGCGGAACAAGTAAGTTGTGGTCGGTAAAGTGTCTTTCAACCAAGCGTCACCGTTTGATCGTCTGCCTGTGATAATAATCGATTTCAGACGATTATATCGATGCTGTCATGTGGATTATCGATGTGTAATGTGTTTTTATAGCGCCCTTCTTGTATTTTACCTGTTTCGGAAAAGCAACAAGTCCGACCGACTTAACTCGTCACGTCACGAATAAACTTGCCGTCATGTGCCCCGCTGTTTAATCTCGAGCTTTTATCTGGAAAAATGGGCTTTAAACCACACAGGAGCCGCATTATTATTGCTAAGAGGGGGCTAGTATGTGAAATGTAAGTCTAAATAGTCCTGACAGTGTCCCGTTATGCTTGTTTGAGGCTGTGTTTTATTGTCATTCCGCAGATTCTTGTTCCGGCGCTGAGTTAGTGTCTGAAATAGGAAATGAGTCATGTTCACTTTAAGGCCATGTTTCATCTTTAATGTAACTTCGCCTCCCCGCTGCTGTCACTCTTCACACGCGTCTTTTTGCCCGAGATGTTGAGGCTAAAACTCAACTGAGGCCTCCTCACTTTACTTAGCCACACAGGCCAAACCAAATATAATGTTAATTTTATTACATGACCTCTAATTTTACATTTAAGAAAATCCTTAAGACCTCATTTTCTTAGTGTGGGACTTCTACTTTCCTACATCTTTGAATGCAACTTCAGGCCCAAGGTAAAACCAAAACTGGGCCACAAATGCTATTGTTGTGTAATTTCCCAGACAACTCTCACGTATTACATGTTTAATAAGGGACTAAAATAAAACTGTAACAGAAGACTTGGTAAAGGGAGGAGTTCACCAGCTTTACTGTGTTGAATGTTGATGGCCTCAGGCTGCAAAACATTAAACGCATCAATCAATCAATCAGTCAGCCATTGAAAAACTATTAAGCCTGCAGGTTATTTCTTTTGAAACCTTTTAAATTAATTGCCATCAGATATAAAAATTAATACTTTGATCATGTTGAGAGTAAAAGGTACATGTATAGATTTTTTTCCACATGTGTTGGACAGTATCCTGATTTTGTTTCGGTATTTCAGCATTTTCTGTCATTTAGTTGACCAACCACTCTACCATTAGTGTTGTTTCTAAAAAAACATTATGAAAAGGTTACTTGGTAAAGCCTATAACTGTTAGCCTCTGCCCCTAAATGATTGAATCAGAGCTTTTTAAATCCCAAATGCCAGACAACCAATTTAAGAAAAATGACAGAACTTGTTGAGGTACTGATATTTGTCTCTGCTCAAATTATTCTATTAAAATTCAGTGAAATAGGGGGAAAAAAAAAGAATTAGTAAAACTTTTGTCAAACTTTCAAATTCAACTTTGATGTATGGCACTTTTCAGACACACTTTTCAGACTAAAAGCAATAATTAAACAACAGCAAAACCCAGCCCTCCCACCCACACACTCACTTATGGACCAACACACACAGATACACACCCACTCTCACTCACCCACACAGACACACACACACAAGCACACACAAAGTGAGAATTTAAGATATATTGTTAAAGAGACATGGCCTGATACTGTGACATTACGTGAGGAAAGAGCCACTTTTGGGAAACACTGGAGATAAAGATAAAAATGGTAAAAAGAAAGAGTAAAACCTGATGGACTAAAACAAGAAAATAATCTTAAGTGAACAGGTAAGTAAGAGCTCTTTACTATGTAAAAGTGGTAAAAGAAGTAAAAACCTCTATGATGGGAATCAAGAAAAAGACTAAGAACAAAAATGTATAAAGTGACATAAAATAAACATTAAGAACTTCGATTAAAATGAACATTTGCAATAAGAGAAATATGAAAAGGCAGTCAGTGAAAAACCTGTCATCACAAACTTTGACATATTTTGAAATTTATATGAAGATGTGTTACCGAAACATCAGGCTCAGTAGAAGATCTGCATATGAGTGAAAACTAGCATTTCAAACTGCTCTCCTTTTTTCTTCTCTTTTCTTTATTTATACACAGCGTAGCAGAAGAAGAGACCAAATCATAACAAAGACTCTGTGCTGGCTGTTGACACAACCTTTTAACTTCAGCAGTAAATAATTCACCTGAAGCGTTCAAACCAATCACCCGCCACTGCTACATGCAACCATGTCCTTGGCCCTGAAACAAGTCTTCAACAAAGACAGGACATTCCGGCCGAAGCGCAAGTTTGAGCCCGGGACGCAGCGCTTCGAGCTGCACAAGAAGGCCCAGGCGTCCCTGAACGCAGGGCTGGACCTGAAGCAGGCCGTGCAGCTGCCCCACGGTGAGGACCTCAACGACTGGGTGGCTGTCCACGTTGTCGACTTCTTTAACCGCATCAACCTCATCTATGGCACCATCAGCGATTCTTGCACCGATCAGACCTGTCCTGTCATGTCCGGGGGGCCCAAGTACGAATACCGCTGGCAAGACGAGCACAAGTACAAGAAACCGACAGCGCTGCCAGCCCCCAAATATATGAGCCTGCTCATGGACTGGATCGAGGTACAAATCAACAATGAGAACATCTTCCCCACCAACATTGGTAAGTGTGAGATACACTACAGATGGTGCTTTTAGACTTTGGTTCTTTAAAGTCTTCACTCCTGTCCAGATTTAGATCCAGCCCTCTTCAGACTTCATAGAGGAGTGTTTCCACTATTAGAAACTTTCTTTGTTGTGCAGGATCTTAGGGGTTGGTCCAAATTCATGAGTCATGCAGAGAACTCCCAAGCCACCACCCATTCATAGACAGTAATCACATACCTGTAACATCATTACTCTAATTGGCATTACATAATTTAGTTAATTTTCTGCCCCTCGAGCACGATTGCATAATGACCAGAGCCAAACCTTCGTCACAAATCAATTGTTCTTTTTTGAACAGCATTCAAAGCTCCTCTCATGTCTGACTAACAGTTATAAGCAGTGACAGACAAAGACACTCGGGCGTTAGAGGTGATGCTTCATCTTTTTATCCAAACTCGGGCACTGACTTTTACAAGGGTGGCATAAAGTGTTAAGTGAAAAAATACACGAATAACCTTTAGTTATCCTGTTCTGTTGGTCCACAAACAACTTTATGTCCTCCAGTTTAAGTATCATACTGATGTTATCTTCCTGTGTATTTTACTAACACAGCAAAGTAGCAATACGACACACCTTCTTACCTTAAGTCTGTCAGGCTTCAAGGAAATTTACATTAGAGGAAAAAGTAACACAGCACGTTGCAGCACAGCCTAAATAATCGTTTTTTTTTATACAAGCCCCGCCTCTCTCAATGCAAGAAGGCCAATCAGGGTTTTAAATGCTCATATCAGCAAGTTTCAGTCGGTGTGATGGGATCACTCACATATAAGAGACTGTAAGTTGATTTAAAACAGGAAGAAACACTGATGTTATATTAAGATTTCTTAAAAACTGTTATTTTTCGCTGCTTTTTTGCCTTATTAGACAGAACACTTGTAGAGAGACAGGAAATGAAGAGAGCAGAGGATGACATGCAGTGATTAGTGAAGACTGGGAGTCAAACTAAGGAATGTCTCTCTGTATTTTAGGCCTGTGTCTTGATCTCCAAGCCAATCCAGTGCCCCACTTAGCTTTTATTTAGAGTTCTGATTGATTGCATCTAGTAAGACACAGAATTATGTTGATTTTTACAAAAACAAGTAAAATGGCCCAGGATTTTACAAGATGCAAAGATTGTTTTATTTTTACTTCACATTATTTCTCTGGTGTTTATTCATGTATTTTCTCAATTTAATTCTTAATCAATTCATTGGGGATTTTTCCCCATGTAAAGAATAGTTGTTCCAGGTTAAATAATAGACTTGATAGAAATACATTCTCAGGTTGTGGGTGCTGTGAAAACCCAGATAAAGAACATCCAAGTGTAGTCTGTGCAGCCAGTAACAGGTCAAACTAGTTACAGAGATCATGTGTGATACAGTCTCTTATTCAAACTATCAGTTCATCTCAGTTGGAAGAGCAGGCGCCCCGTTCACAGACGCTACAGCCTTTTAAGCGTCGATGCTTTCACTCCTGGTCATGGGTCAAATAACAGAAAATGCACAACTCCAAGTAATATGAGGGGAAGTGAACAATCTGTTACACATTCATGAAGGACACACACAGTAACAGCAAACTCAGATTTCCTTACAACATGCATAATTATTGTTTTCTCCAGGTAATAGTTATGCTTTATTCTTATCAGATACTGTTTATTGCATTACGTAAATTGTTTTCGTAAAAAAATAGGTGAAAATGTCTCTATTTACTTTTCTTTTCAATCTTTCATTGGTCAGTTTAATTATACTGTGTTGGTATGTTGATGGTTTACAAGTCAGAAAGCCTCAGAAAAGCTGCTGTAATGGGAAAAAAACTTGGTATTTTATGCAATAAATGACCTACAGGATTTATTGTTCTCCCACTGGACTGACCATGTAAGCAGTGGTCACAAGAAAGATTTGAAAAAGCCTCTTTAATGATTAACATACTGTATAATGAACACAAAGCAAATTACGATTAGATCTAGATAATTTCCTGCGAAGTGGAGGCGTCTAAAATCTAAAGCTACTATTCTTCAGATAACATAGAAGAGGACTGAATGATTCAATCTGTAAGGCCACATATATTGCGCATCATAAATGCCATCAGCTTATCGTCTGCTGCTGCGGCATTCTGGGTTTTGTCTTATCTCTGTGTGCATGCCCCGTGCCGTGGATTGCCATCTGACTAACTACAGAAACATCCAAGCAATGGATTAAAAAATGGGTCACACAATGCACAGCAGGCTAAGAATAGAAACGACCTCTGACGTGTCTGTCCCCTGGAACAGATTCCTGAAATATCATTGAATTAGTCAAAGCAAAACGACATTCTGAATAAATCGCCCGCTCAGAGCCGAGGCTTATCCCTCAGATAAAGTTGTGTTGATTTTCCATCACAAGTGAAGTGAGGCGGATTCCCTAATTATGCCTGTACCCAGCCTGAGGACAGAAAAGGTTAAAATATCAAAGGTTGATTCCAATGTTCTATGACAACTTCATGAAGCACATCGGCTTTTTAAATGAATTCTCGTCTGTGAAGCAAACAGAACAAAACTCATGCTGGACTGACTGTGGTGCCCTCCTGTCTCCATCTGTTTGACTCCCAGGTACTCCCTTCCCTAAGACCTTCATGCAGGTGGCTAAGAAGATTTTGTCGCGTCTGTTTCGGGTGTTTGTCCACGTCTACATTCACCACTTTGACCGCGTGAGCCAGATGGGGGCCGAGGCTCATGTCAATACCTGCTACAAGCATTTCTATTACTTTGTCACTGAGTTCAACCTGACGGACCACAAAGAGCTGGAGCCCCTGGTGAGTCAAAAAGGGGGGGGGGGGTCTTGACTTAAGCTTAATGCACAAGTATAAATGTGAGTAGAAACCACAGAAAGCACTCTTGAAGTAGATCTTTTTCTGGGAAATTCGTGCTAGACATGGACAATGATGTAACATTTAAAAATAAATCGCTAATAGTTTATAACTTGCAAATGTAAGTATGTCTCATCAATTCCCCAAACTGTGGAGTGCATAAATGAACCTGACAGATACAAAATTTCTGAGTATGAAATTAATATCCGAGTGATTAAAGAGCCTCTATCTCTCTATATAATTATTTATTGATTTTTTTATTTTAATTTCTAGATGCGCCACTGTAGAACACCTTTAGCGCCCCCTTGTTGACACTTGATGTAATTGATTCTGTCTTCTGCTCAGCTCATATATAGCGAAAGTAAAATGGAGAGTCCAAAGTGATTGTTAATAATGCTAAATTCACCATTATAACAGTTTAGTTGTGAAGTACTGCTGTGACCTGGTAGACCAGTTCACAATCATTCATGTTAGTCAGAAACCAATCAATGAATGTTGGAAGTCCGCGTGGCCAGATCAAAAATTCAGATCTTCATTTTAAATCAGCAGGAGGTACCTTAGTTATCAACGAACATGAGATTACACGTGCCTCATTCTAGATAAACAGTTCTGGTTGGCCTTGCCTCAACTTGGCCAGGTGTGGATTTGTTTGGCTCTTCCCATGCAAATAAAACACACACTTGTATACATACGACACCAAGGCTAGTGATAGAGCTTTGAAACCCTGACCATGAACTGAGAATGAATTTACTGCATGTAAGCTGAAATTATATCTCATTTTGATAATAATTTTTAAAAGCAGCATGTATGAGCGTGCAAAAGAACTACAGGAAGGTCTCAATATTTTTAGAAATTTGGAGATAATAGACAATTGGTAGAAAAGTGTGCTGCTGTCCTTACAGGCTTGTTTTCCAAACTGAAGTTCCCTTTAGTTTCAATACATTTAACCACACTGTGTTAAATGTTCGTACTGGATATTTTCAGATCTTTTTAACTTTCTGATTTACATTCAGCACTAGCATTGCTTCTAGTTTTCTTGTCTTGTTATACTTTCCTTGAAGGAGCAGTGTTCAGTACAATATAATATTCACAACTGTGTTTTAATTAGTGTATCAAGTCGCTACAGTAGAGTCATTAAAGTAAGAAGAGAAGAGCCAACCTGACAAATATAGAGTCCAACTTGTCATGCAGCCTCTTTTCCTCCTGCGTCATTCACCATTGAGAAGGGGTGAGCAAGGGAGCATAAATCTACAGTCTGACCCCATAATAAAACTCTATATTCACACTTGGACACTCAGGATTTATTTGTAAATCTGTCCCTGTCACTGTTTTCCAAAATAATGACATGTGGGGATATTTAAAGAAAGTACTTGGCTGCGTCCTAAAATGGTTCACACTGAGAGGAGTGCTTGTATTTCCTCCTCTGCTCTCATTCACTGTCCTCTCTCTGTGTGTGTGTGTATGTGTGTGTCTGCAGAAAGAGATGACCTCTCGGATGTGCCACTGAGGGAGCACTGAACCCGTTGACATTCCGGACAAAAACATCCGTCCATCTAGACGACTGCAGCAGAGAACTTAAAGAACAAATTCCAGAAAGAGTCTATTTTTATATTTAAGTACTGTAATCTATTTTAGCCACATACTGTAGGTTTAAAGCAAGAACCTTATTTTATGAGGCGTTCTGTTTCTTTAAGAAAAGTTTTCGACCTTTTATCAGAGCACAGTATTAAGAGGTGTATGTTTTGTCTTGATGTTTTTCTATTTTATTTGAATTTCAAGCATTCCTTCTGACTTTCTGTCTGTCTAAAATTATCTAAATTAGTACGATTTCTTACTGTATGTCTATAAATTCGCTATGTTGTTACATTAAAATCATTCTTTACTCTATAATAACTTGACTTTTGGTATTCAGTATTTACTATAAATCAACACTGGCTCTTAGGCGCAAACAAATCTGTGCAGTGCCCTAACATAATGATTGACTTTTTTGTTAAATATCAACATTTCTTTGAAGCGTCAAGTATTTTTCTCAGGAAAGCGAAAAGTAAAAAAAAAAAAAAAACACTTTTTTTCATACCGCCCTGTTGTTTCTGTGTTTTGAAGGCCATTTATGGTGTCTGAGAAAGTACTGAGGCTCTGTGCCATTCATTCAGAACTTCAGTTTACTTTTAGAAATGAACCAAATCCAGCTGGCAGCGTGCTGTGGAGTCAGACATTATCAAGTTTGTGTCACCGCACGCACCGGGCCCCACGCCATCCGGCAGGTTCTCAGATGTTGATTCCACAGGTGTTTGTTGCAGATACTCTTGGCAGCTGAAGGTCACACGAGACTTGCACCTCACATGACAGATCTGAGCTGGCGGCACCTGTTCAAAAGAGCGAGACCAAAACTGTCCACTGGGTGGCACCAAACACCAAAACTCAGCTGTACTGGGAGTGCGCTGAAATGGTTGAGTTAATTCTGTGGCTCTGCTGCAATCTGTCCGCTGTCCCAGTTATAGAAAAGATGAGGAGAGAGAAAGGAGCTTTTCTAGACTTGATTCAGGTTAATGATTCGAATAAGCCGGTTATATAAGAAACAGGCCAGACTGTTCTGTGATGAATACAGAGAGAGTTTTTGTTTGCAACCTCCCCGGCTTTGTTTGATTGGGTCAACTGCGGTCATGAATGGGCTTCAGAACAACATTGTTGGTCAGATTTAGAGGCAGTTATCAGTCGCAATAGTTTGATTACGTGAACAGTATGCCGCAATCTTGCACAACAAACACCTATTCAAACTTATTTCAGTCATTTTGGACAGAATGGCAAATTTTGTAAAGAGACCTTTTCACAAGTTCCCCCTGGAGCTGGAGGCTGTCTGCTGTGTTGTTAGAGGTATTTCAAGCCCAATAACTAGATTTGTTGAATAAAAGTCTTGCACTGAAATTAAAGCCCCTGTTGAGAGTTTTATCTAGTTATGAAAAAGACGTAATGTTATAACCTACAAAAACAGACAAGATGACCAGTAACAAGACTGATTATTTCTGTGTTGTAGTTATATGCTTGAAGACACTGTGAGGGGAAGTTTCAGACAAGTGCCTTTTGCACATTTTCTGCAGCAATTATTCACAGTGAGTGAAACATGATCACTCCACAATTAAAAAAAAGCATTATGAGATCTTTTTGACTGAAAATACTCCTTACACATACAGGACGAATCAGCAAAAATGTGAGTTGCTGTGTACTTTTTTAAAGGTATACATGTTTAGCATCTAGATTTCATTTTAGAATAAATGCTGTGGGTAAAATCTAAGCCTACACGTAACTACAGCGCTCAAATAGAGAAACTTTAAAATCTTGGATGTGCAACAATAAAACTTTAAAGACTTTGTACTGTGTTTTTTTATATTTTGAAAACAAATGTTAATTTAAGTGTTGGACATCAGTACTATACTGCTGCTGAAAGGAGGGTTTTCAAAGACAGCAGCCTGAAATATGTTCATAATTTGTTTAAATGTAAATTATGTAAAACAACAAAAAGGCTCTCAGAGGGACAATATAATAACAAAAAAGCACAATACCTTTTCTTTACTGATTATCACCTACTCCTCTATCTCACTAATAAATCAGTAACATTGTTACTGGTTACAGAGGTCTGATTTTGTAAAGTTAGAAACATGCAAGAACTCATAATATTTTGTCAAAAAAAGGAAAATTTATGACTGTTGAAATATAAACAAACAAACCTGTGAAACAAACAAGTATAAATGTGGCTGCTGGAAAAGTAAATTAAGTGACCAATGAGATCTGACTACAAACAAACAGATTAAGTGGAGCTCACTCTGTGGCACACAATAAATCAATTATAACCTGTTTTAGCATCTTATAAACAGTTGTAAACCTATGAGTTAAAAACATAGACTGTATATACTATATATCTATATTTCTATATACAGTCTGGTTAAAAACATCTGTAGATCCCCTATGAAGGTTGATTTGTTTCTAAGAGGTACCAACTAACAGATAGTACAGGAGTACAATATTTCAAATATAAGCAAACAAGAAAAGTACTCGTCACTCAACTCATTACTCAACATTACATAAGTTTATTTGTTTGACATACTAGAATGTACAAGTTAATTATAAGGATATGTGTGTGACTCACGCAACAACCAGCAAAGGCCTGTAAGCCTAAAAGACACCCATTAAAAAAATGTATATACTCAAAACCATCTTGATATCAGTGTTTTTAAAACTTCACAAATATTACAGTGCTGATATTTATTCCACCTCAGCCCCTTTGGTTTGTTCAGTTTATTTATTATGTAATGATGATTCATCAAGAAAAAAGTGTCCTGTCTGTCCTCAGACCTGCATTTATAATCAGTAGAGTCACAGTTAAAATATGATGTTTCTGTCCTTCATTCAACACTTTATTTTGGTATTTTTAAACTAAGTGGAATAAACCTACATGATGTAATTTTCTGCCCCAAAAACATCAACCAGTAAAATGACCTCATTGCCTGCTGCAACCTGATCCTCTTACAGGATTGCCCCTCCTCCCAGCGGTCACTTCCTGCTAACCCTCCACTGTACTCTGGCACCATGTGCTGCTGCTGTTACGTGTGAGACAAGCTGCGTCTGCCTTTTGCTCTTCCCTCCCTCCCGCCGCTGTGTTTTTCTCTTGTGGAATGTACCAAGCAGCCCTGAAGGCTTACAAGACATGAAGGAAAGTACTGGAAAGAGGCCAAGAACAAGGGGAAGAGTTCCAGGCTGCAGCCAATCAGATTGAAGCCCGTCCAGCTTTGTCAGGGTTTAAATACACAACAGTGTGTGTGTGTGTGTGTGTGTGTGTGTGTGTGTGTGTGTGTGTGTGTGTGTGTGTGTGTGTGTGTGTGTGTGTGTGTGTGTATCTCTCTCTCTATCTCAATGTGTTTATGTGTGTGTGTCTTGTTTTGGTGGCACAGTGTGATTATTTACACATAGACAAAAGGGTTTGGGAGATAATGTGACTCAGCGAGTGTTGGAATGAGCCCACACCCTCAACGGTTTTGGGGCTTGTGAGTCAGTTGGCTCATGCAATGTTGCATGGACTAAACTAAAGGAAGTCATGATTTTAAAGGCACACAATGAAAAAGAGCACATAAGAGTTCCAGGAAAATTATGAAATGTATCACCGGGAACAATATTAAAAAAAAAACCTCAAGCCTGTTCATGATCATTTTTTCAAGCTAAGCAAAAATTCCTCACATCTGCTGACCTCAGTTCATCTGAATTTCCCAGTTTTGCATCAGCCTGAATGGAAAAACTGCCAGATAGGAATATAAACAGGCCAGACGAATAGTTTACAAAACCACTGGATCTGAAGTGAAAATAGCAGTTGACCTGAGTTGTCCCAAGGATGCTAAACCACACAACTGCAGTTTCTGTGTACTCAAAGTTTACATACTCTGATGTCACTTCTTCATGAAACATCCAAACATTTCCATCTTCATGTTTACCCGTCCACAACAAACCACAACTTCCCTTTTGGTTGTTGTCAAAGGAGTGTTCCTCTCTGCTCTGTTATTATGCCTAAAGTTGCTCAACAACAGCAAAACACACAATAGCACATGATCGTCAACATTTGCTGAATATCTTCTGACAAATGTCTCATTTATTGTGCATCTGGTCTAAAAGGGATTGCAAACACAACCCAGCCTAAAAAGTCAAAAGAGATGGCTGCGCTCTAAGACTGCCTGCAAACAACTGGTAATGACTTCCAGTTGTTGGTGTGTAACCAAATATGAGAGGATATTCTTAGAATTTGGAGAAGGGATTGGTTTCATTTTTGTTGGGGCCATGGAAAACGTGCAAGGAGCAACAAAAAAAGGAACAAAAACCTCTCCAGAGTACAACTGGAGAACAAAACAAAGGCTATTGCAAAATCCCCTGACGGTGCTGCCGTTGTTTTGATGAATATTGGACGCATTTCAGTAGCCCAGTATGGCAGGCTTTCTATCATAATACTCAAGGCATTTACATTTTTGCTGGAGGTTATGCTGGAACCTTTTCCTTACTGGAGGATATTTACTTCTTAGAAGTTGGCCCTGGGAGTATTTCTTGGAAAACATACAATGAGAAGTAGCCTGGGGCTCAGTGACCTACCCACTGCAGAAAAGTATGCACAGTGTCGTAACTGTGTAAGGCGTCTTGCAATCGTATCTTCACAGCCTTCTGACAGTTTTATTTGGACGTGCCAGACATGTGCACCTCACAATACAGTACTTTTCCTAGTATTAGCATACTTATTCACATAAACAGATACAGTGTGTAGTACTCTACTGTTGATAGTAGATAGCAGAGGAATGTCATTGCAACAGATCCCACTGCTTCAGACGTAAGGCCCTATAAATATGACTTCTTTTAGCTTCTAGTTAAAGCAGCTTCTGTGTACATTTTTGCTAATTTTTTAGCTTTGAATTCAGAGGAGACTATAAAATTACAGAAACCAAAAATCATCTCTTTTCATTTAACTTAAAGTGTGGGGAAATTATCTTAAAGTTTTGACATAATTTTAAGATCAAGTTCACAACAACTGTTAGCAGCCCTACATCAAATTATGTTATTTACATTGTTAAAAATATTAAAATACAGGACCCGAAGTTGCAACAAGTGCCTTGCATGAGATTTAAAACGTGTCAAAATTCAACTCGGTGTATTTGGAATCTTAGGACTTCTATTTGAATCCAGCTGTATAAATTTGAAATGTGTGATCTGTATTAGCTGAGTTGATGGAAAAGTCAAACATAACAGATAACCGCATTTTGAAGTCATGCATTAACTGTATGAGAATAAATAGTGTTTGTGTCACACATGCAGTCCATCTCACGACTTTCTCTTCATGCAAAATCAGAGTATTGTAAGATACCTACTTGAGTTATTGTCATGAGCAACGCCATCAACAACAACAACAGAGATACACCTCTTTTGCATCATATTTCAGTCTGGAATAACCTTTGCCTATGAAGAGAACCTCGTCCCGTGGATCCCCTGATTGAGTTTCATCATGTCAGAACCAGCACTTATACTACCTGCAGTTATTTATGATGTTCTGACCCTCTTTTTTCTGACCTGTAGTGACACAGACCCACCCCCCCTGCACTTGGATGTGTGATCTTGTTTTCCTACTAAAACTTTGCTCACACCATGTGCTCCTGGCTTGGGATAGGCAGTCAGGAGCTTGCGTAATGTTTGCTACCACTGGTGTGTTTAAGGGGCAGAAGGTGAAAGGAGGAGGAGGAGGAGGAGGAGAAGGAGAGGCAGAAAGCCTCCTGTCACAAGACTGCAGACTCCTGAAAACAACCTGTAAAAGGTTTTGACTTGAACACCTTTGATAAACATTGCATTAATGCTATCAAGAGCAGGTATGTGGACTGGTGACTATGCACGGTGATTAATGACACTTGGCAGCTTACTGAGGACATATCCATGTTTAGCATATATTGTAGCATGAGCCAAGAGGATATATTATGATAGGTGACATAACTATATAACAGTTTAGGATCCAATGCAAAACAATGTGGTATGATGTGATGAAATATGTATCATTAGATATTATAAAATGTGATAAGACACCATACCAGACCAGACCATATAATTATATTATGAAAACATACAACATAACACTACACAATATAATACCATAGAATATTACATGTGACAGACAGACTGAAGATATAGGATTTGATTCAATACAATGAGGTTTAATTTGACTCAAAAAAATTAAATACTATATGATACAAAAAGATATGATATGAAAAGAGATGAGACTATGAGAGACGACATGAGACGATACGAGATGAGAAGAAACAAGACAACAAGACAAGACATGACGCAACGATACCGTATGATATGATAGGATAGTATGATATGATAAATACTGACCCATATAGATGTGTAACTATTCCATACAACATCATATGGTACAGTAGTTACAATGCAAAACAAAGGAGCCCACAAAGATGCTGTGCAATACAACAATGATAAGAGAACACAAAAATATTCAATAAAGAGATAGGATACAGTCACTTACAATAAAATACAAGATGATACAATACAATTGGCTTATACAATGAAACTGTGAGTACAAAGTGACAGGCCATGACTTAACACAATATGGTACAAGATATATTATGATATAATAGGACATTTAGATTCTACAAAATAGGATCTGATCAGGTATGATTTGATACATCAAGATACTTCACTTTACAGCAGGTAAGGTCACAACACAAAATTGTGTGGTTTGATGTAATACAACACAATAAGATTGAATACAGCCATATACCATACAGTAGGATGTGACATGCATTACATGTTGAAAAGTTAATAAGAATATGATAATGACTATCTAGATTTAATTAAAATTATGCTAGTACTGCATAAAAACAATGTAGATACAAGGAATTTCTATACACCACCTCATTTAAATAACATTCTCTAAACACTTGTGGATATGTTTATTGACTTGTCATGTCTGTGCCAGTGTTGCTTTGGCATCTCACAATTAGCAGATGGGTTAAAAGTGCACACATTTCTGCATCATCAGAGTTCTTGGATTTCTCTCATTATCACAACCGTGAGACTGCATCTTCACATCTGTCTGAACAGCCGCTCCATCGGGCTCTAAAACGTGCTTGCCTGTCTTTTCACACGTCACACGATGAGGGTGATGCAACCGGCCACTGTCCTCACCTTCTGTGTCAATAACAACTTCCTTAAAGCTGTGACTAAACAGTGCATGGAAATTTTTGTGTGTTTTGTCCCATTTTCTTTTTAGGTTACAGTCAGTTGGGAAAGTAGCTACATGTTTATACTCCTTGTTTTGATTCAGATTTTAAAACTCATAAAACAAAAAAGACGACAATAAAACAAAATTGGAGCAGTTTAATCTATAACAGAGAGTGTCTTTTTAGGCTTCCAACTACAATAAACACAAAACACAAAAATGCTGCTAAACTAAACTCTAAAAAGGTCTCTATGCCTGAATTTCATTATGGATTCTTTCTTTGTTATAACTAATTTTCCATTAAACTTGTACTAATACAAACTGCATTGGTCCTCTTTTTACAGCTGACACTGAAAGCTGCAACGTGGGTCATGGGTTAGGGAGTGGGTATGTCTGTGTTGACTGTGTTTGATACTGGAATTCTGCAACAGCTGCAGGTATTCACTGCCCTAGTCTGAGTCCATGCACGGGGTGACTGATATGGAGAATTTGGATGAACACCCATCTGGCCATGGCCATTCAGCACGGGGTGTGAGAATACCGTCCAAGGCATTGTAAATGCAAATGCTTCTCCAATTCCCAGGCAAACAAAGGGGTTCGGGGTGGTGTATGTCTGCGTGAACTCATTGTTTATGCACTGAACATAGCACAATACTCAATCATCTGTCATTGACGTGCATTGACAGCAGCAAAAACAGTTATTGTGATTTTAACGCCGTCATGACTTGGACTGGAGTATCTGGTCTGTCTGCATGTTGCGCCAGTCCCGCATCTCTCCACCTCCATTCACATCCACGTTTCTCTGTCATCAAAACAGCCGTAGGTGCTGATTATGTTGGTCTGCACGTACTCGGCGTTTCGTTCCCGCACACATCCCACTGTAGGGCCTCTCGAAACAAAACACAGCACATGGGCACAGTACCATTTCGTATGAACTCACTTTTTTTCTCTTTATCTATTACTGAAACGTGTTTGCAAAAGTCCTAAACCACTCTGATCAAATTAAATGACTGTTGTGTTTTAATTGATTCCTTTTAAATCCATACGAAAGGCTATTTGTGAGTTTTGCTCCGTGGGAAGAATAACATCTTTCCTCTCAAAAATGAAATGGAACCAGCCCACGTACCATTTTCTAGAAGGCACGTGATCCCTGTAGACTGTTGATGCAGTCACAGGGAGGGAGGAGTCAAGGAGGAGTCAACAGGGAGGTTATATAAAGCCCCACACCGTTGGTTGTTTGCCACCTTCCACGCACATCCTATCAGGCATTTCCCCCCTCGACCGTCCTCTGCGGCTTGTGAAGCAGTGGGTCAAACAACGACGCTAACACTGGAGCTGTAAAATTAACAACGGGGTGAGTCGACAAAGTCGCCATGGAGTTACAGTTACTCTGCTCATGTACATTTTGTGTGGTTTGCACGCGGAGACGCTGAAACTGTTTTTCCTCGAAACGTTGCAGTGACGTTACAGTGGGGAACGTTTTGAAATAACCGTCGTCTGATTTGAACGTTCGATCTGTCATAACGGTCGAGTCGCATCAAGCGCTCGAGAGCAGTGCTCGTGAGTTGACCGTTGTGACTCTGTAGCATGTCCATGCTAACTAGCCTGCAGTGGCTGTCTATACCTAAACCGAAAGCTGCATAGATATTTGAAAATATGTTTTTATGGCTAAGGTGTGGCATTGTAACAGGTTATTTTGTATGATACCGCCCCAGTTTGGTTTAGTCATATAGCTGCTTATAACTTAACAGTCGAGCTAAACGTGGGTGGTGAAGTAGTTAGCTGCTGCTGCTGTTGAGCTGATTGTTTGTGTCACCCCATGTACATGTGACGGATTTTGGGAAAACTATCCTGCTTCAGTCTCATTCACTGTCTTTCTCTAAATGAAGAGAAGCTTTACAGATGTATATTTTAATTCAATGTTTTTGGCAAGGGTTGTAACGCTGCGGTGTGTTTTTTATTGTTCGCAGGGCTCCCGTTTAAAGCGCCGCAGCAAGCTGACCAGCCAGCGCAGTGTGATCACTTGCGACTCTCTCTGAAACGACCAATCGTTTCTGAGAAGTTGGAATTGATATCCCGAAATATTAAACCACTGCAGCCGCCGCACATCCACCAAAAATTACCCCAAATCGAAGCAAAATGGTTCAAAATAAGATAACCGAAGTCACTGGATTTCATCGCTCTTTCAAGGTGAGTCGTGGGTTTGCACATGAGGTGCCTCGATCATGCCCATTGGGAAGTCCCTTTTTATTTGACCACATTTGTCAGCGTGTATCAGAGGACCTCACCTCGCTAAATATAAACACATCTGTCACTTTCAAATCTAATGTTTGACAAATTGGCTGTGTGGCCTGGTGTCACGTGTATGTTCAGCTAAGTAAAGTGACTCGATGAGATGGCAGCTAGGAGTTGTGCCAGAGTGTCAGCCTCATGCATTCATATGAAGCCAGCTGAGTTGTGCTGTGTTTGGGTGCACTTCTGAGTGAAGTTAGCTTTTTAAAATGTTGTGCTAAACATTTGTGACTGTTTTCGTAAGTTACTGACCATCAGCTGTATTCCTGTCTTGTGTAGACTTTAGTTTATGGTAGGAGGAAGTAAGATAAGAAACACTCTTATCAGTTAAGCCTGCTATTGATGCTTTCAGCTAAATAGTTCATTGATAAGGCACTGTAAAAAGCATTTTTTCTACTATTTTCTTAGGGCCAAAATCCTTTTGACTCTGACGACTTCACCAAAAATGGATCCCATCTTATTGATTCGTCTTTTAATTTTGATCCCTCCCCAAGACACGGTGAGTTATGTGATTCAGTCATTTTTTTGTTGTTTCAGAAAATTATTTTATAGCAAACGAACAATCCAAACAAAATCACAAGTTGGCCTCTTGACGTTGTTTGGATCGTGTCCCAACCTGCATATAATAACATTGACACTCCTATTGTACCAGACATGCCTTCCAGCCAGCCTATCGACATCCCCGATGCCAAGAAGAGAAACAAGAAGAAAAAGCGTTGCAGGGCAACTGACAGTTTCTCTGGCCGATTTGAGGGTAAAAACCGTTGCAGCTATAGAGAATGTCCTCCATTTTGGAAATTGATTTGACACTAACTTGTTAAACTTTGCTATAGATGTCTACAGACTGCAGGAAGAGGTATTAGGAGAGGGCGCTTACGCCAGAGTGCAAACATGCATCAACCTCATCACCAACAAAGAGTATGCTGTAAAGGTAAGCCAGTGAACACTCTCAAACACTTAATGACTAGCTCTTTTATATTGAAAGCATTGGCATAAGAATAGAGCCCTACTTCTTCAAGTCAGTTCTCCCCTCTCTCACGAGTCTGTTAATTTGTCACTGCTGCATGACACTTGCCTGCTGCTGGTGTGAGCTGGCTGTGAGCTGTTAAATTGATAGGACTACTTGTTGACCTCATTGCTTATGAAGGATAAATGAAGTTTTACGACGTCTTTTTACATGCTAGAGCCTATTATTGTCAGTCACTGTTGAGAGCCTTAAGGAGGAGAACTATTTGAGAGGATGTACTGTATGTGACTTTGTCCATGTTGCTCTTTTTTGTGGTCATTCTTTAAAATTTCTGAAGCGGTTCAGATCCCAGAGGCAGGAAACTACTTTTTCTTTTTTCTTCTTGTGCAGCTCTCTAACAGATGTGTGCAGGCTCTCTGCTGTGCTGTGCTACTGCTGCACTCTTTCTCTTTTTTCTTTTCTTTTCTTCCTGAATGTGCAACACTAGCTGGTACTAAAAGACCCTTCCCCTAGCTGTTTTCAGAGTTTTTCAGCCAATCACAGTGTCGGAAGAGACATACCCACCCCTTTCTTTTACTTCTGCTGCCTATAGGGGACGCTCGAAGTGAGAACATTGTGTACTGCTAACTGTGCCAAAACAAAACCCACAGAAAGAGTGAGGGAGGAGGGGTGCTGTGTGAGAGTTATGACCCAGGGTGTTTACACTGCTTTGTTCTGCCTCTCACTCAGCTTGTTGAACTTTTTTCCCCTCCTTTTCCTCTCCAAATGGGGTGTGGACTAATACATGCATGTCTTGACTTGTGGGGACTTCCTTTTTTGCTTTTTACTGGTGATGCTCATTTCCTCATTTGTGAGAACAAAAAATTGTTAGATATTTTTGGCTCAAGTGCCGAAAGTTAAACTGGGGTTTGCTTTGTTTTGGTCAAGATTTTTACCTGTAACCTATAAATGCAATGCACTCCTGGGCGGTGGATTTCGCAGGTTTATTCACATGAAGGTTGATGTGAGGTGTTGAAAAATGAATGCTAGTTCCCCATAGAGCAAGTGTCTATGTTGTCCCCATTAATGTTTCAGAGGAATTGAAGCACGGGTTCTGTGATCTGTTGCTTTTGTTTACCCTTGGTCGGTTTGGTAGATCCCTTGAGACTTTGCAGCTCTTGGGGGAGGAGGCACGGTGGTCGCCAGTTATTGGGAGGTCATTCAGTCGAGGGGGGGCTCAGACTGTTCCTGCCAGATGTCCTGTCTCTCCCCTCCCCCTCCAGACTGGGGTAGTATGTGTGGCTTCCTTGTGTTGCAATAGCAACAAAAGCCTTTAAACACCAAGGAAGCGCAGAGGGCTGTGCAGTGCATGCCTATCTGACGATCTGGTTTTCAATCAAATGCTTCTTGCCAAAGGTGTTATTTCACAACACTGACTTAATGATTGACGATGCAGTGCGACCTTGTAGGGACTTGTTTTGGTGCTGTGATTCAGGTTTGTGATCTCTGGTAAACACCCATAAAGCTATCTCTCAAATTCCTTTTGACCCCTTTCCTCCTATCATTTATTAATGCATTTATTGGCCACGATTTTTACGTATGAGTTTATCTGCACGTGTCATTATCAGGGTGGGAGGATTGTAAAGTTATCAGATGAAAGTGAGCTGATTGGGGAGCTGTTTGTGCTGCTGACTCAGACTAGAACAGTGCAGAGGCTTTGGACTGCTCACTGGCCTCTTGTCTGTTCATTAATCCTGGACGCACACACCAAAACTCTGGCCCCACTGAGCTTCAATAGCAGCTGTAATCCGGCTACCAGGAAGAAAAACATGCACAACCTCCCAAGCAGACAATAACTAACCAGGGCTGGAAAATTCAGGCCTTTTTGCTTCGGTGTCAGCAGTCTATCATTCTTTCTCTCTTGGCAGGGCATCATGCGGCTGGTGGCCCCTCAGTGGTTCAGTTCCAGGCAGCACAAAGTTATATTTAGAAAAGCAGTTTTGTTGTTATCGTCAACAGTTTTGGATGAGCTCATGGGACATTGCAAATGAACACTTATGACTCCTCTGGAACACTTAAGATATAAATATGGGTCACACATGAAGGCTAAATATAATACAGCTGCGACTTGTTTCTTTTTCATTCTGTTCTGTCAGTGCTTTGGAACCTTCTCTGAAAGTAGGTTAGAACTATCTCGACAACTGTGTCACAGGGTAAGATAGAGGTAGAGCAGCAGGGAAAAAATGTAGGGCTGGAAGAAAATGAGCCACAGGGCTCTGTGTATGGTATATGTAATCCATGTAATACCACTCAGTCTAAACACAGCCACAGGGACGGGGTTTTGTGATGTGGTCCAAGGGGAAATTTTCTTCATGTATCACCTCTCACAAACAAACTCAGACTTTGATTGTCCTCTTATGTACTGTGGACTAAACTGAGATAATGTGACTGATGCACATTGTTTTTCTGTTCCAGATCATTGAGAAAAGACCAGGTCACAGTCGCAGTCGTGTCTTCCGCGAGGTTGAGATGCTCTACCAGTGTCAGGGCCACAGGTAATGTCCTGTCATTTTCAACTCTAGTAATGCCACCTGATGAATTTATGGCGACTTAACAGCAGACTGAAGACCCTGACCCAGTTGTGCAGAATCTTGTTTGTGTGAAAGCCCTGAGTCTCTTTAATCCACTCTGAAGAAAACAAATACTATCTCCAGATACTCTGTAACCATTGTGCGTTTTTTTCCCCTCTCTGCAGCAATATCCTGGAGCTGGTGGAGTTCTTTGAAGAGGAAGAAAAATTCTACCTGGTCTTTGAAAAGCTTAGAGGAGGTGAGTAAATTACAGCTGCTGCTGCTGCTGCAGGATGACTGCATCACATCCATTTATTTATTTTCCAAATCTTCCCGGCATACGCACTCTCTTGTGTGGCCATTTGTTTGTGTCTGTGTAAGGGAAGGCTTTCATTTTATGTTTTGTGCTTGTAAATAAAGCTGTTACTCTTTTTTTCCGCCCATCCATTAGGGTCAATCTTGGCACACATTCACAAGAGACGGCACTTCAGTGAGCAGGAAGCCAGTGTGGTTGTGCAGGACATCGCCAGTGCTCTGGATTTCTTGCATAACAAGGGTAAGACCACTTGAACTAAAGGATGAGCAATTTAGTTGTGTGTCACTCACCAAAATAAGACAAGCCCAAGGGCGTAAGTGTATCTGAAATGGGTGTGGAACAGAAGTTGAATGTTATTTTCTTACAGTAGTTTCAGTGGTTATGTTTATATATTATTTCTTGCTTTAGGCGCACATTTTTCTAACCTAGACAAATGTTTTCTTTTCTCATTTCTAGGAATGGCACATAGAGACCTGAAACCTGAAAACATTCTCTGTGAGAGTGCAGACAAGGTGAGCTCACCACAACTATTTCAAAAGGGAATTTAATATGGTATCCAAGCATGATCAATAGTTCTAATATGATACAAATGGAAATCACAATAATAACATGGGAGAAACAAAAACATCATTACTTGTGTCTCTTTGCCAGATCTCCCCAGTGAAGATCTGTGACTTTGACCTGGGCAGCGGGATCAAGCTGAACAGCGACAGCTCACCCATCTCCACCCCTGAGCTCCTCACTCCTGTAAGTCTACTTGATTTGTCTCAAAAGTTAAGCATTACCATAAAGAAAAGCTGGATGGTGGTTTAAAATGCAATGCTGGTTGGCAATCTAAATGTAGCTCATGAAACAAGGAAGAGATTAATCTGTCACAAAGTCTCGGTCACATGTCACTAAACAGTGCTTGGTCTTCTTGTTGTGGATAAGCTGGGTGTTTTTAAGCTGTAAAACAATGTCTTATCAGGGCCAAGGCTGCCTGCTGATTGGACAAGTCTCAGTGGTGTTAGCTACGAGGAAGCTTGCTGATTGGTGGAGAAAATGAATGTTGTGGTGGGGTTATGATAGTTCAGTGTTGTGCAGGCGCTGAAATGAGGCAAATTGTTTCCTGATTGTCCCAATCTGGCTGATTTGAGCTCCCTTATCTTCCTAAAGTACTGGCAATGCTTGGAGAGATATCCCTGAGTTTAAAGTCAACGTCCTGTTGCTTATCAGTCGCAAATATTGAGAGCCATGAGTTTGGAGGTTATGATTGTTCAGCCGTCCTGCTGTCGTCACAACACAAAGCAAATGCTCCTCTGCGGGACCCTTTGAAACCTCTTAGTGGAATGGTAAAGTCAAACTGGCAAGTACTCTGCTTGTGTAAACAAATACCCTGTCTGACTGCTTGTTGTCTGGGGATCTGGAAAGATGTACCAGAGCAGGTGAAGGATAGAAGTTCAGCCTGCAGGAATGTAAGGGTGGGCCGGGGGTTCACCACGTGTAACTTCATCTCCAGAGAAATAATGGGTAGAGAGCCCAACCCTGAAATATCTGAAGGGGGCCTGGAGGCCTCACATGTTTAGTCTACATGGTTCATGTTGGGCTTATGTATCTGTGTGTCTGATAGTGTGCATTCAGACTATCAACTTTGTCAGATACTGTACAATAAACACATCTCGGCAGCTTCAAAGTTGATACAATTTTCTGTACTGGGTTCTTTATTAAATAACTGTCCTTGGTTATGAGCAAAATTTCAATGGAAGAAAAGTAGATACATGAGGAAGGACACAGTTTGGTAGCCTTGGTGTTTAATAAGGCCGCAGGGAACGCATTGTGACTTTTACAAGGCCATGTCCTGTTGTACCCAGTTCCCTTGAAACCAAAACACACTGACTCTTGACTGTTTCCCTTTCTCTCTGCGGTATGAGAAAAACATCCCCTCTCTCTCTCTCTCTCTCTCTCTTTTCTGCTCAGTCTCCGCCCAGTGGCCCCAACCACGCTTGTGCTGGTCTGCGCTTTCATTATGCTCTTTATACAAAAGGCTGTGCATAAGGCTTGTTCTGGAAATTTTGCTCTTTGCCCATATACCTAGCAACTGCAGCGTGATTGGCTAGACTTGTAGGAGGGGGGTGGGTAACTAGGAGGGACAAAAGCCCAGGCTGCTCATGCGCCCTGGCTTGTTTTCTTTGCCTTGATCACAGGAACAATGTTATCTGATTTTCATCTGACTATTTGCAGTCTCTCCCTCCCCCCTCTCTGCCCACAGTTGCTATTGGACAATATTATGTGTGCGTTTGCATTTTTTCCTAATTTTTCTGATCTAGCCTCACGGGTTTAATGAACTTTAACTAAGCCTATTAATAAGTTTTACTGTGGGTGGTTTTTGCATTCTCTCTTGTTAAAGCTAGAATGTCAGTAACTCTGAAATAAGGAGGACCTTTCCAGGAAAAAGCTAATTATAGTCTGTGGATGGTGCTGCACATGTAGCAGCTTGTCTGGCTGCTTGACATGAAATAGATCCAACTGTTCAGATGTCGAAGCCCACGTGCAGCAGTTGATAACTGTGGTGTACAACATGGAGACAACACTCAGAAAGAAGTCTGAGAACTGCCTCTCGTTCTCCCGTTACAGAATGAGGTGCAGCCACATGGAGACGGAACAGGTTTCCCTCCTGTAAGCCTATTCTTATAATCCTGTTGTTGGTTTACAAACAGAGGTGTGCGTCTTCAGTGCTGTCAATATGGCCTGACTAGTCACATGGTTTTAGGAAAGCCCCAGGTTATGATCATGACAAACTCTGCGGAAACCATAATCAGCTGACTCGCAGCAACTGCAGCTTACAGGAAGGTATGATGAGAACATGTCTGATCAAACTAATCAGGTGTTTGCGTGACAGCAGCACAGGAAGGAAAGTGTTTCTTCAAGCATTTCTTGGTAGTTTTGGAACAAGATTAGCCACAGAGGAGACCGGCCTTTCACTTTCAGAGCATCTTTAGTAGGCAGAAATATCCTGCATGTGTCTTTCATTCATTTCTGTGGCAGCTGCGTTTGGCCTGAATCCTGGGAGCTTGTCTGTGGAGGCAGTCGCCCCAGACGTGATGTTGTTGGTGGAAGCGTGGGGGGTTGGGGTTTTTTCCTCTTCAATAGGCGCAGCTTTGTCTGGGTCTAGATTCCTGTGCAGCAAATTTCATTACATAAGGGTGTATGGCAGGGTGGAGGAGGAGGAGTTAGGAGACAGCTGGGATACGGCACTGGGACACAATAGATCCATGCTCAGTGTAAACATGCTGCCCAACAGATGGAAGAAAGGATACAGGCCAGAATGGTCTGCCAAGTTTTAAACCTGATGTTGAACAAATGCTTTAAAAACAAGTACACAAAGATGGACCAAGGATTTTATCAGAGGATGTCTACGTTAAGAGCATAAACCAGAAACTCAAGAAAAAAACAAAAAAGAGGCATCAATTCAATGTCTTTTCCACAGATATAAGTATGTCCCGCTGAACTAGCGACCTGCTCTTTTTTCCTGTTCCCCGAGTATTAAAACAGCATTTGGTGCTTGTGTTTCCGAGTTACATAACTGATGAGGGTTCAGCCCAGTCTTGGGCTCTGCAGGACAACCAATCCTCTTTTCTCTGCTCAGTGTTTGGCCTAATTTCTCTCCTAGCTACATAACAAGGCACAGTCAGAGCCGGGCCTGTGATTGCCCCGAGTCCATTCTGCCCGCCTTGTTTACAGCTCAATGGTCAAAGTAGTGACTGGCTGCTGGCTGTTTACCCTCACTGACCTGCTTCATTATAGCTCAGCCCTCCCTTCCTCTACCCTGGATACTTAATTGTACACTACGTTCCTACTTAGGTGTCCCCAAGACATTGAGGAAAGCTGCATATAGCACATTTTAAATGGACCCATTGCTGCAGCTAAAGCATGTGACAGTCACATAGGCTGCCCCCCCTCCACAATACAGCCCCACAGTGGGCCCCATGCTCGAGCATTTGAACCACGAGGTATCAGCTGAGCTCAAGAATGTGGGCAGCAGCTAAAACAAGCTTTTCTCTTTCTTGACCCTTTTTTTTTCTGCTGTGGTCACTGCTATTAGACATCACTTTGACTCACAATCCTGTCCCTCTCGCTCTCTTTGTCCAACAGTGCGGCTCAGCAGAGTATATGGCACCTGAGGTGGTTGAGGCTTTCAGTGAGGAGGCCACAATTTATGACAAGCGCTGTGACCTGTGGAGCCTTGGAGTAATCCTCTACATCATGCTGAGCGGCTACCCTCCCTTTGTAGGCCGCTGTGGTGGTGACTGTGGTTGGGAATTAGGGGAACCTTGCCACACCTGCCAGGTAGTACATCCTATTAACCCTTTAGCTTGCCTCTCGTTAAGAGCATTATTGTATCTGAAAACAAGGTACACTGTCTCACCAAGCAGGAAACTAAAAGGGATTTTTTTTCTCTCTCCACCTCTAGAACACTTTGTTTGAGAGTATTCAGGAAGGAAAATACGAGTTTCCAGAGAAAGACTGGGCTCACATCTCCTCAAGTGCCAAAGACCTTATATCCAAACTTCTGGTTCGAGACGCCAAAAACCGCCTGAGTGCCAGTCAGGTGCTGCAGCACCCCTGGGTGCAGGGGGTAGGTCCAAAAATAATCAAGCCTCTTCAGCATGTTTTTGAAAGAAATGCTTCATATCTATTAAAATGTTCAGTTTCTAAAAAAAATCCTCCTTTCCATTTATTTTTTAGGGTGCATCTGACACTTTGCCAACATCAATCGTGCATCAAAGGTGAGACCACGGATACATAAAGGGAGACTGCACCCTTTAGCATACCGAAGTAAGATTTAGCAGTGGGTTGGACCTTATTGACTGACTGTCTTTTCTGTGTTTCATCAGAACCAGCAATGCCAGGGATCTGACTTTCTTTGCTGGCAAAGCCATGGCTGTGAACAGACAGCTGGCTGAACAGGACGGTATGGAAGACCAGCAGCAGCAGGAAATCCCATTTGTTGTTACCGCTACTGGTTCTTCTATGCGCCTATCTCCTCCTTCCAACTCCAAGCTGGCCAGACGCAGGCAGCGGAGCAACCAGCCGAAAGGAGGGCCAGTCTCTGCTGCTGAACTTCGACAGCTCTTGGCCCCTCTTGTTATTGTGGGAGACTGTGCCTGAACATTGTCAACCCTGACCTCTGACCTTCTGTTAAAGATACAAGACCAGACTGCCCTGAGACTCTCCCTCTCCGACTCTGGCCCCTCTCCCTGACTTGCTGGCCCTGGTCCTCTGCCATTCAGGCTTTTTGCCTCGCTGTACATGGAGATGTAAATTACATCCCTCTCTCAATGCCTTCTGCCCTTCTGCAGCACTTCTGAAGCACATCAGCCCGGGGCCAGCATATAGCAAACACACACAAATGTGCATGTCACAGTTTGGGAGGAGGGCCAGTTCACGATTTGGGAGAGAGAGAGAAAGAAAGAAGAGTATTTTCTAAGTTATTTTCTTTTTTCCATGAAACTTAGTTCAGAAGAAATCAGAACATTTATCTTTTCGAAACTAAGCTCAGACACCAAAGGACAACCTGTTGTGCTGCTCCCACGTTACAACTGGATCCACTGTGAATTAAGTTATCTGGAATGTTCTCTTTGCCTGTATGTATATGCACGAACAGCCCCTCTGCAGATACGTACAAGCTTATGCAATATGCCAAGGTGAAGGCTGTTTATGTCTCCAAGGGATTCAGTCGAAGGGTTTGGAAGGGCTGTAAGCCAATGCTGTCCGTGCCTGGTGCAGACCATTATGTGGCTGGGGACTTCAAAGATTTTTTTTTCTTTTCCTTAATTCGAGATGAATTTTTCAACACTGAGCCTCTTCTGTAAAACGTCAGAGATGACAAACAAGCATCTAGCTTGGTGGCCATGCACTTACTGCTCCTCGATAGAGCAAGGAATGATTGTCAAAACCCATTCATACACTCATTCATACTGTTGATTTAATGAACATGTCAATTATCTCTACCACAGCTTTCAGTATTTTCAGACCTTTAGGCAAGTCTAATAGTATTGAACTAAACTATTGCACTTGATTTTTGATGCAGGGCCACCTCAAAATTCGACATCTGACCTTGCTCTGAAGTATATCATTGGAATGTTTGTACAAGCGAATTATGTCAAATTACGAGGCAAGCTCAACTGGGTCAGTGTTACTGTCATTGTAAAGAATTCATGACATGTCCCCTTGCCACAACCAGAACTTGTATTTTTCTTTTTCTTTTGTTCTACAAGTCAATTTTTGCATTAGATTTAACCTTGAATATGGCAGTAAAGGTTAGAAACTCCTCCCCAGGGGTTTGAATAGCACATTTTTGGCCAACATGACCCGAGTGTCAATTAATGATTTGAATACATTCATTTGGACCATCATTTTTTTGTCTTGTTTTTGATGTTACCCCTTTCTAAAAGAGACAGATAATTCTCAAAAACAAAATGAAGAGGCGGGTAAGACTCAGAAAAAAACCTCATTAAAAAAAAAAAATCATTAAAAAAGGAAAAACATTCCACAAAAAGAAAAACAACAAAAAAAAGTCTTCCACAAACGTGTAGCTGTATTAAGTTTACTTTATTTTTCATGTTTGAAAACTCCATGTCAATGTGCCACACTGATTTCTTTTTCCCCTTTTTCTTTTGTATGGCTGTTAATAAGCTTTTATTTTCTACATGGTGATTTTCATGCAGGTGCTGTTCAGTTCAGGTGAAACACCGGATGTTTTCCTTTAATTTTTTTTTAAATGTTTTGTGTTTTTAAAAGTTCAGAGTATGTGGTGTTTGAGAGGAGAGAGAAAGTTTTGTTGATCTGGAGCGGTCATGCCCAGTGAAGGCGAGTTTTTAAGTTTTATTTTTTTATGTATAAGAGTTGGCAATAATCTTTTTTTTTTGTTGTTGTTTTTGTTGTTGCTCAGATTAAGTTCATTAAGCTCATTTGAAACTGACAGGTAATGGACTTGGTGATGAGGTCTCACAAAACTGTAGCCATTTCACCAAAGAGGGTTCAAGTCGAAACGTTGAACGTGTGATCCATCACCTGGCAGTGAGAAGTGAGGACTTCTGATTGTCCACGTCCTGTTGCCAGCACTGCAGCGACGGTACTCTCTACTAAGTGGTGTCCAAGGACCCATTAATGCTGATAATAGGACACTGTAATAGTTCTGAAATACTTTTCTACAGATGCATCGTTATGGGGTTTTATGTCTTATAATAAGACTTACTTGAATTTGTGTATGCAGCTGTTTCTTCTCCACTTGGGAAACTACTTTGCTATCAGTAATCTCAAAAGCATTAAGCTGAGAATCAAGGCAATCTTTGGGTTTTTGAAAATACCAATACAGTTCAGTATTCTGCCTTTTTCTCCCTTTTGAGCATCAGACAAGTTAGTCCCTAATTTTTGATAGGGTTGGATACTCAGAAGCGCACAGACTTTGACCATTCTCTGTAATTTCCTTAATGGTATTATTAGAGTTCTCTTGGTCATGACCATTTCTACTTTTGTCACGTGGCAGTGGCTCTTAGGACTGCCTTTTATTGGGGGGGAAGGGGACAAAATGATATCTCTAAGCCCCGCAATTTTGTATTGTGAGTCATTTTGAAGTAAGGAGGTGTTAAATTCAGTGATTCAGTCATTTAAATGGACGGTCCATTATCATCATCCTCCCCCACAATTTGAATGTAGCCTGCAGGCAAAAGCATTTACAATCCAGCAACATTGATCAAATGTTTGGTAGTTTGTTTCATGGACATGGTGTGGGGTTATTCTGTCCACGTCAATACCTTTTTTCTTTTTTCTTTTTTTTTTTAAGGTGACGCCTGATTAACACTGTCTGAATCACCCCATCTAAGCCCGCTGTGTCCATCTGAAACATAAAATAAATACATCCTTTAAAATACAGAAAAATATTTTGATTTAAAATAAGCACTTTACTGTACCATATGAATGATTGCAGTTCATTCAAGCAACAGAATTTTGTATTGTTTTTCTAAAAAAAAAATGCAATAAAATGCTTTGACCTACCCACAGCTGTCTGTGTGCTTACTGTCAATGTTTTGATATCTCACATAAACAGTAGGAAAACCTCTTTTTGGGATTTGCTCTCCCCTGTATCTCTAGTTTCATATTAACCAACAGTTTTATCTGGTGGTCAAGGCTGAGGCCACTTCATCTGATTAACTGCTGTAAAAACCTTTTATCAGTTTAACACTCCCTGATACCTGGACTGACTTTGTCACTCGTGTCCTTGGCTGTTGGTAAATATGAGCTCAGTTGTCCGCACGCACAACACACACACACACAGCTGGTTTCACCTTGCATTAGTCATACTGAGAGCTTTTACTGTGATGTGAATGGAGGGGAACTCCACAGGTCCACAAGTAGTCTGATCTGACGAGACTGATGCAACCTGCTGCAAGAGCTGCAACGCGGAAGCTCTGTGTGTGCCACCTCATGATGTTCCCTGGAAATACAATCACACCACTTCTGCTGAATTAACATTTACTGCTGGTGCATCATTTCAACACTGCTGCAAGTCTGGATCTGTCATCCTGTGATTCAAACCAGCTGCGTAGACCAAAATAATGTCTGATGGAATATTACTTTACAGGGGACACAAAGATGTCAATTAAAGAGGAATTACAATAAACAAACATAAGACAACTTTAATTTCCTGCTATTTTCCCTTCTGCTCATTTAAATTACCAATAAAGTATTTTACAAATTGAGTACTCTCTCCCAGACTCTACACACACACATACATTTCCTGATTGAAAAAGAGGCTGGAAGAATTTTTAAAAGTGCCTTTTCTTCTTCTTCAACCAAAAAATACAACAAATGTCCCACTCTTTGTCATCACCTTTATATAAAGTGTTAACAATAATACAGTCACAAGACCGAACAAGCAAGAACAAAACTCACTCACTCTATTTTTAATCTTGGAGTATATGGATCATAACAACATGTATATCAAATAAGATAAAGAAAATCCCTCTAAAGATGTCGAAAATCTTAATTTATACATTTACAAATACATAAAAGTTCCAATAACATTATGTTATGTTATGATTCCTACAATCTTCCCTGTAATTTTCTATTTGCTAACGTTTTATAACAGACACTTGGAAAAATAAAAAATGTCTTGCATAATTTCTATTTCAGCTTTGTAGACGTCATGAGGCAGGAGGAAATTAAATGATGCAACAACTGCATGTTTTCTGTACAGTCTGCAGGGATCATGTGACTTGGAAGCGCCCTCTCAGGAGTGTGTCCCCCTCTAGTGGAGTCCGTGCACACTCATGCTCACATCTCCACCCTGTATGATCAGCTTTCACCAGGAGTGGGATAAAATAACCAAATATATTTACTCAGATTCTGTATCACAGTAGAGGTAAAATTCATAAATCTTCTTTTAGAGTTCAAATCATACTTATAGTTTTGTCACATCACTTTTTTTTCTGTGAAAATCATACAACACCAAAATGTGTTAGTTTTCAGTATTTAAGGCAAATTGAAGGAGCAGTAAGTGCATAAATAAAGCAGCACCTGTGGCTGAGACTAAAAAAAATGTCCTGCACAGGCAACTTTGATGTAAACACTGCAGTTTGTCTTATAATACTGCCATACTTCTGACGTACGTTTTTACTTATGCAAATGATCCAGGTACTTTTATGTTTACTTAGTGAGATTAACTTGTTCAAAAAGATGCAGTAAGCTTTAATATGTACTCAAATAAATAATTTTTGTATCCCAATCTAATGTTTTCAGAATCTATTTTTAATTTAACTTGAGTTTGACTTCATCCTAATGTTGCATAAAGCAAGAATGAAACAAATCCGCCTTGTGTGAGCTGCTGATCATGAGATTGAAAGTCATGGGATCAAATTCTCACTGAACTGAGTCGAGGAACTTTGTTTCTGCACCAAGTGTTTGAAGAGTTTTAGGAGCCAAAAAAGTCTGTTTTGATTAAGTTTTAGACAGAAGTTTCTTAACTAACCTAAAAATGTGCAAACAAATGCAGTTTAGATCAACAAATTACTTATTAAAACGATAAAAATCTGAAAAAAAAAAAAAAACTAAAAAATTTTCAGTGTCCATTAAAAAACAGACTCAACTTCTTAACTTGGCAATTTTACGATTTTGTCCAAGTAAAAGTAAAATCCAACTAATCCAAGGTAAATTCATATCTGAGGATATGAACTTGTCAACACTTAAGAGCTTCTCCTGTTTTATATGTAGCTGTATTGTATAGGAGGCTGTTAAGTAATACTCACAAATTTTTTTTTTTTTTTTTTTTGGTTTTATTTACTGTTTACTCAATATTTGGTGCTTTATTAGCTCTGATAACCTGCATTAAACTATGATAAAACCCATGACACTGATGATCCCCTTTATACATTGTAAATATCCTTCACTATACATCCATGGATTAAAAAAAAATTATGTTTCTGCTTTTAAGTCTGTTCTCTTTCTTTAATTGAAAAATATCTTAACAAGTTATATGTTTCAGTTACTTGGTTTCTGTTACAATTCAAGTTTAATACCCGACACCATGCCAAAAAACACAGACAAACAGCAGGGGTCAGGCTTTCAGGTTAAATTCAGAATTACAGAACTTGTGATGGGTCTTACTCATTTTGACACTGTAACAGGTAAACAGCAGAGAACAGTTCAGGTGCAACACAGAATATATGATGGACTTTTTGTTTTAGAGAGCATGTATTTTTGTTGTTCCTGACTACTTTGACATGTGAGCCTGAGACTTGCAACTATAAATCTTTCAGCACAGCTAATATTAAACCACTTAAACACCCTTAATACATAGTTAATTCTAGAGGAGTGTCTTCTAGAGGAGTGTTCTACATCCAAGAAATTAACTGTAATATTGGAGAGACACAAAAAAAACAGTTCACCATAATGTCGTTTTAAATGACTGACCCTGCAAACATGAGTATATTTTACCTGTGGAAAAATCAAGAATTGTCTAATATATATAAAAGTAAAGTAGTAAGAGGAAGAATGATTACAACCAATCAAATGGGCTATAAACCAAAGAATGAAAACGACCTGTACAAAGATCACAGGCTGTTTTTATAACAGGGTTGAAATGAGTTAGAGTTGGCATACCCTTAAGTTCTCCTCGTCTGTGTTAAAACCTATGTTCTTTTATAGGTAAACGCATTGGGTTATGTAAGACATCTGAGACTAAACGAGAACAAAATGTCACTGATTACCTTCTCAGCACACCTGTAAGTCATAACCATTAGGCCTGGGGCTAATTTGATCACGTGTCCTCTGGAGTTTTTAAAGGCTTGGCACGTGCTGGCATAAAGTTTGACACTGCAGCTGGAGGTAGGTGTCATGGAGCACCAAAGGGGAAGGTTTAAGGTGGAAATACAGGGGTGTTTCTTTGCATTAGACAGGAAATCTGAGAGGAAATCAGGCCAACAGCTACTATAAATGTGTAACATGTTGTTCTGTTGTGGACATGTACTTACTAAAAGCAGTCTTCTTTTTGAAGGATTAGCTCTGTCTCTTGTTTTTTTCTCCTGGGCAGTGTTTTTGCTTCGAAGTTACACTTTCTGGAATTACGGTAATTTGCCGTATCTTTTAGCTCGGTCGCAGAAACTACAAGCGTTTTCTAATTTCTCACTCGAGGTTGTGAACATAAACCTACCGCTGCATTCACGTGCTTTAAAAAAAACGAGTTTTCAGGTTGTAAAATGTACGTGGACGTCTCCTGAGTGTAGTTACTACCCAAATTTTGACATAATGAGGTTCTTTCTGACATTAAAGTGAAACATATTAATGTATATCTGTAAAATGACATTTGCATGTCAAGTGTGTTAGGTGGGCACATGGACGTAGCAGAACTACAGACAGCATGAATGTACGGTGGCCGAGAACCGCCAAATGCTGCACAAAACAAAAAAAAAAGGGAAGTTATTGATGCCAATAAAGAAAAGAAATCAAAACCCGCTGCAAACAGAAAAAAGAAATGCTGCAGATAAAAATAAAAGCCACAACGGAAGTAAACAACTCAAAAACAAAATGGTAGATCTTAAAACTCTGGTGCGTTATCATTATTGGTCCCCGGCAGCTCACTTCCATTGTGGCTTTTTTTTTTATTTGCATTGTTTTATTATCGCAGTAAGTAACTTTCTTTCATCAGTAACTCTTGTTGTGGCTTTTATTTTTTTTTGTGTGTGTTCTTTTTTATTTGCAGCAGCGGCGGTTCTCGACCACTGTAGTTACCACTCAAAATTTGACATAATTAGGTTCTTTCTGACATTGAAGTGAAACATATTAATGTTAATCTGTAAAATAACATTTGCATGTCAAGTGTGTTAGGTGGCCACATGAACGTAGTAGAACTACATACAGCATGAATTAACCCGCTCTTTGCTTTTCTTTTCTTCCCAGGCCGCTGCAGTAACCGCTGACCCAGGCCTTACCTGTTTGGATACCTGAGAAATAAAATTATGAAACTCTTGTGTCTTTTATTTAATAAAGAAGGGGAAAAAACTGACAAACCACAGCCATATAAGAGCACACTCTGTTTGTTCATGGACTATTATGAGTCAAAGCTTTATATGAAAACCAGCAGAAAAATCCAGAAAATTGAATTTATGAGTTTAAAAAGAAAGCAAATCCCAAAATTGTATAAATTGTAAATGTAAACTTGTTAAATAAGGCTAAATGACTCACTCAGTCACTGTCAAAATGAATTATAAACATATGGACTCTGATTTTTCTGTCTTGAAACCATAGCCTGCACTTGTGACTCTGTCTGTGACGCCAGGAGGCGCGACACGTGTAAAGTCACGCGAGATTTTGTGCTGCTCGCCGATCCAACATGGCGCCGTAGAAACGTTGTTATTGTTCCGTCGCTCACACAAGCTTTGGCTCTACGAGAGAAACTGCGCACAAAACGACGGCGCTACTTCGTGTGGGCATGAGAGGAACATCTGGAGATAATGTTAAGATCCACCGGCTTCTTCCGAGGGATTGACTGCCCGTTTTACGCGGAATACACCGACGGGAAAGGCAGCAAAAATGGGTGCAACAGACCGTACTGTCACTTCAGGCACAGCCGACAGAGAGTGTCTTCATCCGGAGCTCCAGCAGATGTTAGGAAGCACAGAGACCTCCACTCTGCACAGAAAGGTGCTGAGTATCATTTATGTTACATGGAATCAAATACTTATTTACTTCGAGAGTCAGCTGCCAGGACATGTGTGGGTGGACTGGAGCAAAAAAAAAGTTCCCCTTGGCTAAAGCAGGAACGGTTTCAGTTCATTCCTCTCAGCACAGTTGTTGACATGTAAAACATCGTAAATGTCTTCCTCCCTGAAGCTAAAAGAAATGCAAAAACTTGGTCTAACAAGGAAAACTGTCGGCAAAATAGGACATAAATTGATCATCATCGCCTAGAGCAGTCCAGCAGAACAACTTCACTATAATGTAAAACCTTCAAGTTGATGTTTTTTGACATAAGACAGGTGATTTTTGTTGTAACTGTGTATTTGATTGATTCATTGAAACTTTTATTAACGTGTCATGCCCAGCCTGAGTGGGCTTACAAGACACCAAAAGCAAAGAAACATAAAAGCAGATGAAAACCAGAAAACAGACCATTTAAGCATATAAACAATCCCGAGGTTTTTTTCCAAGCTTCAGAGACAAAGTGAGCTAACTTAAAGACATTAAAGTTAAACAGACAGTTCAGTCTAACATCATCAGAATACCAGAACATTTCTGAGTTTTTTAACAGACATTGCAGTAAATTATGGAGTTCTCAGTTCATCATGTAAAGGACAATATAACTCACTTTCCACCTAAAGAGATTCCCTGTCCAACTCCATTCCCACAACTGTCTCAATCTCCTTTCTATGTTATACATCCACTTCGCTTTTTTAACAGCACTCTTTAGAAAATATAAAAGCTGTGGTCTTCCCTGGTGGTTTTTCTATACCTGAAAACTCAAGTCTGCAGGTTTTTTTTTTCTTAATTGTCAAAGTTTAAAATTCTGTTGAAAATCACTGCATGTAACCGTGTGGATAGATAAGACCAGACATCATTATTCTCCAGAGATTGACACTCGTTTCAGTTATTTTACTTAGTAGAAACAATATGTAGGGAAAATTTGAGCTCACTATTTAAAAAACTATGGGACACAAGAGAATTTGATCGTTCACATGATTAAATTAACTGTAAAGCCCTGGAAAATGGAGAAATATCTAATTCTCTGGTGTTTGATTCAATAAAAAATTCTTATAAACAATCAGTGGCGTTTTCGTGCTCCAGTGTCTCCCTATCAAAATAAGTACTGAAATATGGAAAGAGCTAATCCTATGTTATCAAACTCGATTCTGGATTTCCCGTAAACAAAATGACAACTAACAGATGATTGATCCATTACAAAATGCTTCAGTAATATGACACGTTGGAAGTAGCTCAAATACTACAAATCCTTGAATTCCAGTGATTTAAAAAAACTGATGGGTATATTTTCGTTGGATGGGGCAGCTTCATAAACTCAAGTCCACCTCTTGTAGAAATCCTCTAAAAAGAAATAAGTAGACTTCTTTATGTTTTCATCAGTCACTCTTGCTAAGATTGATTGTCTTCTCCTACAGATCAAGGTTACGACCCCTTCAACCCTGAAGTTGTGAAGCCCCAGGACCAGCAGAATGGAAAGCCTGCACCATCAGGGGACCTCAGCGGCGCTCTGGAGATGGTCAACAAGGCCATCGAGGAGGTCCGCAGTGAGGTGGAGAGGGAGAAAAGGAAGCTCTCTCGAATCGGAGACGAACCGTATGACCCTAGTGAAAGCAGCACTGTGTCTACTTCTACCCCGGTCAAAAGTAAAGCACAGGCTTCACACATGGCCTACGACCCTGGGAGTTATCAGATGACATCAGGGGATTATAACCCCACCCCGAGCTGCAGCAAGTATACCTTGGATTCAGACAAGCAGGGGAACCTTGGTAACTCCATGGAATACGTCCCCACTTCAGTAAAAAAGGCTTCATCTCGCATACACGTGCACCAACCCTCCTCTTCTCCTCCTCCCAGCCAAAAATACTCCAGCTGCACTTCCTCCTCTAAGTGTAAATACACAGTGGACAACTCTAAACCATCTACAGATATGGAATATGACCCCCTGTCCAACTACGCTGCAGGAATTGCAGTAAAAAATAAGAGAGAAGGTGGTGTAAAAGCTGTCAAAACACACAGTCTTCAAGGTTCAAGCTCAGTGGATGAGGAGTATGTTGTTGCTGTGAAAAAACCCCGACAGGACGGTATAAACTCTAAAAAGTACACCTGTTCTGAATCTGATGAGGAGAGCTCTGGAACTGAGTATCGGCCCACCTCGCTGAGTAACATTCAACAGAGAAAGGGCAACAGTGGGTCTCTTAGGGACGCTGCAGGGAAGGAGAGAAAAGAGATATCTGAACGTATTCAGAATCAGCTGACACAGAAGAATAAAGAGGACTCAGCAGGGGACTCAGACGTCCAGGAGCATGTGAAGCGAAAAGAGAGCACTGAGAAAAAGAAAGAAGCGAGTCAAACTAGCCACGAGAAAAGTTGCAAATCTGACCGAGTGCATAAAGCTACAAAGGAAGGGAGCAAAACAGGTGGTAGTAAGAGTGGAAGCAGCAGCAGCAGCAAAGACAAAGTGTCAATAAAGAAATCAGACCAGGACTCTGCAAAGAAAGAGAACCAGAGTCATGGGAAAAGAGACGACAGGAAAAACACGGTCAAGGTTAAAACCTCTGATAAAGTTCTGAGGGAAGGAAGAGAAGAAAAGAAAAGTGGTGATAAGATCAAAGCTGTGGAAAAAGTAAGAACAGACTCAAGCAAACGAGATCGAGATGCAGAAAACGGTGCGAGGGAAAGCAAAAAACCTAAGCTGTCTGAAAAGGAAAAGGACCACAAGAAGTATAAAGACCACCTTCACAAAAATGGCAAACTTGATAGCAGTAGAAGAGAAAAGGATGGAAAGAAAATAAGCAAAAGCAGCTCTGGCAGCAGCAGTCATAGTAAAGGTGGTTCTGCAAACAGCAGAGACAAGCTGAAGCAAAATCAGAGCTCTGCAAATGGGAAAAGTAAAGAGGCCAAGCATCGAAATCGAAGTTTCAGCCATGTTGATCTGTTTGGAGATGAGAGTCCAGATGAGGCTGAGCCGATCATGATAGATGATTCAGATGATGACGATGAGGAAGAAGAAGTGCTGGTTAGAAAATCTGCTGATGCTCTAAAAAGGAGTCATTTGAATAAGAGGAAAGCGTCAGAACTGACCCCGTCATCCTCGGATGAAGAGGACAACGGTGGTGTTGAGGACAGCAGGACAGGTAAGGATGAACTGGACAATGTTGGAATTGACTTCTCCAGTTTCCATGACGATTTGGACTTTGATTCGGATCCCATGGAGGAGTGTTTGCGTATTTTTAACGAGTCCAAGGATGTGAAGAGGGAAGACAAGGGAAGGCAAGCTAAGCAGGTATTATTGTTTCCATTATGAATATTATTCCTTGTAACTGCCACATGTTGGTGTCTGACTTTTAGTGTTCATATTTTGTTAGAGACAGATTTTGAGACTAAACAAAAATTCTTTGTTGCCCCTCTCAGCCTTCTCGGGATGTGGAAGAGGAGAAAAACACAGAGAGCACTTTAACTACTCTCTTTCCTGGTCAAAAGAAGAGAGTCTCTCATTTTGTTGCCAAAGGAAACGTGAGTTTGTCTCGATAACACCTGTGTCTTTCTTTCTTCATTCAGTTCACAGCACAGCTGAGATGCAGTTAGTCCAAAGTGAACAGACAGTGAATGTTTCAGAGATGAAGACAGTGTTTCATTAAGCTGTAGCCTTTAAAAAAAGAGAACAAATACTGTGGCCATGACAACACACACGGACCACAGAGGAACTGTATGAAACAAACAAACAGGGACAACAGTGTTTGCTTAAAACTTATTCAAACATGATGGTTCTGCCTCTTTGGTTGATGAGCAATTAGAATGAAACATTATTTACAAAACTGTGGAAAACTTCATCATAAGGTCTGCTTCAATGCCATCAAACCTATAATAGAGTGAAAAGAAATGATAATAATGATATATGTCATTTTAATTGATAACTCAGGGCTCTTTCTTGTTATCAGGGATAACAGCTGGGTTGCCTGTTCAAACAGTTTCATTTATCTCTTTATATTGAGAAAACAGATAAAGCTTGTTTCTGTGTGATAACCAGGTAATTCTCTGGTAGTCTTGATAACAAAACAGCATCAGGGGTTATTGTGCATGTTTGTATCTCGAGGGCAGGGGTGTCAAACTCAACCACAGCAAGGGCTATAATCTGGATTTTGGTCAGACCTGAGGGCCAAACAGGGTCAACATTTCACCCAAACTGTCAACCTCCTTTTCAAAAAATATGTAACAAAAACATTGATTGTAAATCATTTGGAAATTCAAAAAAGATAAGTTTAAAGGCAATCTGAGACATAAAAAAAAATTTTATTCTTATTTTTTATTCTATTTTATTTATTTGTTCAAAAGATCAGAGCATGATATTAAAAATAGAAAATAATGCTTTTAAAGAGCAGATACATGAGGAGAACATTGAGATCAGCTTTAAAAGGTCAAAATATGATTTAAAATGTAAAATTTGAATCTAAAGTATAAAAATGATATAAATCTATATACTCAGTTGAACAAAATCAAAGCATTAAATAGAAAATCCAATCATGTTTGACTTGTAATCTTGAAATGCAAATTGAAAACATGAAATAAAACACCAAATATGTTTTTCCCACATTCTTGATTATTTATCAAATCTCCCTTATTCTTTAATTTCCCAGATTTCTGTAGATTATTAAGAATATTTTAAATAATGGTGCTAAAGTTTATATTATTACACTGGAGGAAATCTGCAGACCTCATACTGGTGAGCCAATAATAAAACAAATATGATACGATCTTGTGGGCCAAATATAATTGTTCCACGGGCCAGATTTGGCTCCTGAGCCTTGAGTTTGACACCTGTGCTCTAAGGGTACAAATCATGGTCGTCTTAGGTTCAGTCCAAATCCTGAGACATGAACAGAAATTGACTCGTTATTGTTGGATGCACGTCTGCGTAGTGAGGGAGTTACTTCTATTCTCAGAGAACAGTCAGATTACACTGCATGGACCACCACACTATAAACTATCATACAGTCACAGGGTCAATGATGAAAGTGGGTATTTAAGGAACGACTTGACTCATCTTAGTCTATGTATTTTAGGAACATAAAGTACTTACTACAGTTTTTTCTGTTTTAATCAGACTGATGCACCTTCAAAGACTGTAGTGCAGCCGTACAGACGACTCACAGCGCAGGAGGTCTGTTACCGGCGTATGCAGTTGGCTCAGCAGCAAGCTTCTCAGCTCTCTGCCTCGGTCAAAACCTCCCCGCAGAGCTCCAGTTCCAGCTTTTCTGGAGAGAAGAAGAGGATAGCACATCGTCCAAACCCACAAACAACATCCTCCAAAACAAGTACCAGTGCCTCTTCAGCTTTTGTTGTGTATTTCTGTTGGATTGTGTTGCTTTGCTCTGGTCACTTGGGTTCAGGTCTCAAAGAATTCTGTTTCTCAATGTTGGGCAGACGTCAAACCAGCTGCCAGTCGAGCGTTGTCCCCCAGCCACTCCCATCAGACCATCAAAACCCAAACCACTGCTGGTATCTTGCCCAAAACCATGTCCACTGCCACGCAGAAGAGGGTGGCACACACACCCACCATGAAGGTATCCTTTGGCTTCAAAATTCCTAAAATGTCATGATGGAGAGGGCTCATCTTCAAACAATGACTCTTATCTAAGTGTAAATGTGTGTTTTGACTTTTACAGAGCAGTTCGATGAGGCGACCCGTTATCCCCACTGAGTTCGGGGCCAAAGTTCCCACCAACATCCGCCAGCGCTACCTCAACACCTTCATCGATGAATGTGTGAAATTTTGCTCATCAGAAGAAGTGGCCTTCCAGATGGTAAGAGTAACACATTATTCTTGATGCCGAGGAAATTTAACTCCTGATTGAGTTCAACAAAGGTTTTGTTTGGCCGCAGTGGCCCAGCTTTCTGACCAGCTGTTAAAAAAGACAAGAATATGTGACATGAAAACACATCGAAAAGAAATACCCAAGTTTTGTCCAGTTGGTGTGTCAATGAAAAGTTTGAATCGTAAAAGAAAAACAAGCTCCTGATGGAGATTTGTTACTTCCAGGCCCTGGATGAGGAGAACCTGGTGTATGATCGTAGTAGCAGTAAAAACATCTACCTCAACGTAGCTGTCAACACCCTGAAGAAGCTCCGCAACAAGAGCAGCTCCAACCCACCTCCTATCACCAGTATGTTTCACCTGTACCTGAGTAGTAAAAAACACACTTGCTATAGATCATAAGTGTCTCATGCTCTCAATGCAATATTCTGTGATCGTTATGATACATTTTAGATGTAATTTCTCTGTGTTTGTATTTCTGCAGAGGATTCTGGGTCGGCCTCCAACAGGAAGGCTCAGTCCCATGAGGAGGTCCTGGGAGGTCGTCTGGCTGCTACAACCAGCTTCACTGTCAACAGGACGGGGAAACAGCAAGAGGAGAAACTTGTTGGTAAGAGATTCATGTCAAGAAAAGTTTTTTTTTTTTTTTCCACAATAGAAATGAACTTGAAATACCAAACGAAGTGAAAAAGAAAAGAGGAAGTAAAAAAAAAACCCATATGCCAAACAGAAAGCTGCTCAGTGTAGCGTTGGGTGTCATTTAACAGTAAGTACAAAACTGTTTGTATACAAATGTGACATCCTCCAGGTGCTGTTTACAACCAAACTCTCAACCCCATGACTCAATGTGAAAGTGATTTGTTTATTTTTTTTCCAAAAACAAACTGTAGGTTGTTAATTAGATCGATAAGAAGTTGAAATCCCGCTCAGTGGAAAATCTACTAACTCTAGACTCTATAACAGCACGGTATGCTAACTGGCCAGCAGCAGACAGGAAGGCTCTCCAGAGAGTTATTAACACCACGCAAAAAATAATCTGACTCCCCCTGCCCTCATTTGAGGACACATTCAGAGCACGCTGCTTACGCAGAGCCAGCTGCATCATGACGGATGTAACTCACCCCTACAAACACCTCTTTATCCGGCTGTCGTATGGGATGTGTCAGGAAGACCAATACATCTAGATCTAAAAACAGCTTTTACCCCAGAGCTATTACTGAACTGAACTGGATACGAACACTACCCACTTCCACCATCAGCACAAGTCCTAGAAATGCAAAACTATTCATATTTAATGAGCTGTAACCCCCTTTGTGCCTGTAGGGGTACCTGCTGTGCCATTATACCTCATGTACAACAATATTTATTATGGTACAATGATCAGGTGCACGGTCACAGAGATAGAGTGGTAATTAAAAACTTTGATGACATACACATCCTATACTGCACTGAAAACTGCACTATAAGGCATCAGTTAACTCATTAAGACCTGAACCCTGTCTGAGACACGCCTCTGAAATCCTGAGGGCCATTTTGAGAAGGGCCCCCAGATCCTGAGGTTTTCTGAAATGTTGAGGTTTACAAAAAAGCTGATATCTCAGCCCCTGTAGCAGATAGAAACAAAATTCAAAATGTATTTGAGAGCTTACACGTGTGGCTTTTAAGATAACTGTCTTTTGTTTGTCTGAACCTTCATCAGATTATTGAAAACTTTGAACAAACAATCTCAAATGAAATAAAGCAGCTGTATAAATAAAAGTAAAGACTGCACTGGAGAAACACAAACGGTTTGCTTTCTGTAAAACAAGTGGCAGTCATGATAAGGTTTCCATTCAATACAAATGTAAATATAAAAAAAAATAAGGTGTTGAAAGGGTATACAGCTGCCATAGCATAATTCTCCTCTGAAGCTGCTCTCTGCCTCCGTCATTGTTTACTTTCCTCATGAGTCACATAGCAAGATCCGAGCATGAACCTGATCGCTTTATTAAGCTTCATTAGCCTGTCAGAGGCAGATGGGTGTGATGATTTGATTCACCACGACTCCAGAAATGATTGAAAAACTACAGAATGTAACAAAATGACGTATCCGCGCCCCTGGTTCGAAGGGTAGAAATACGCAGCAGCGCCGCCGGCTTGGAAGGTTGAAATGCGTACACACTTCTCCCAGCTTCAAGGGTTGAAATACCTACGTGCACCCGGCTCCCGGAGTAGAAATGCACAGCTGCGCTCCCAGCTTGAAAGGTTGAAATGCGGACATGCTGTCCCAGTTTAAACGGGTTATATCCCATCCTCTCTTTGAAAAAAACACATGAAGTTAATTGATCTTGGAAGGTTTGAGTAGCTGAAGCTGTAGATTGTTTTTGCTGTTGCTTTTACACAAGTGTTTTCCATGCAGACTTAATGATTATAGAGGAAGTTTGTCCAAGCCTAAACTTCTCTTAAATTTTAGTCATCTTTAAAGTGTCTTTGTTCTACAGTCTTTCCTCTCAAACATATTCATTATGACTTATTACATCTACCGGTTGTAAACACTTTTATGGCGTGTTTTCTGACTTCACTGTACAGATCATAAAAAACACACATTTCAATGTGACTCTGTTCCTGCAGGAGCCACGCTGTTCAGGAAACTGAAGGCGTACCTGATGACGGAGGAGCAGCTTCAGGAGCACAACTACCCGAGGGCGAACCCCGAGGCTGCAGGCAGAGCTGTTATTTACAACCTACCTGAGAAAAAAGCCACCACAGACCGTGAGTTACGATACACACCCCACAAATTCCTCTCAGACTCCCATTGACCATGACTTAATCATCGTGACACTGGTATGTGTGGCTCAGCGAAATTTGACTTTCAGCTCTGTAATGTGTCTCCAGCTTTCTCCAAGATTTGCTGCCGATGTGGAGCGGAGTATAAAGTCAACGTCAACGGCAGCTGTGTTCGTAAAGAAGAGTGTAGCTTTCACTGGGGGCGACTGCGTAGACAAAAAGGTCTGTCTGTCGGTATTTATTCAGATTATCAATGAACATCTGTGTCTTCTGTCGTGAAAATGATCCTGCCAAATGTCTCTGTGTCAGTTTCTTTGATTTAATATGAATTGTTCTTTTGTCAGTGGCTGGAGCATGGGAGACAAACTACAACTGCTGTGCTGCTGCTGTTGGTACTCCAGGCTGTCAAGTTGGCAAGGTATCATCTTCTCAGACCTTTACATTGCATTAAAAACAACCAAAATTATGGTTCGTCACAGCGAAGTGGACTGAGGTAGAGATGAGACTGGAACCACTTTGTGGAAGAAATCATTTACAACATGAAAGATAGAAAAAGAAATGGCACCAGTAGTGATTTTAATATCAATAATAGTGTCCAGCTCATTCAGAGTCAGAAGTTGGAGTTACATTTGTTGTGTAGAAAACAGTTCTAACTGTTCAATAAGCCCCGAAATGTTTCATTTTCCCACAGCAACATGTCCAGGACGGGCGCAAAGAATCATTTGACGGCTACGTCACGACGTTCAGTAAATCTCTCCCACTGGATGGAAACGCAGGAGTGTTCGCTTTGGACTGTGAGATGGTGAGCCAGTCTGAGAATTGACCTACGGAAAGAAACTGTGATCAAAAATCTAAAACTTCAAATTTGATAGAGAAACTATCAAGAACTGTATAAAAAGATGGACGTGACAGCTTCATGAAAATGAAGCCAAAACATGAAGTTCCAGCTGTATTACAGACCATTAAGCTGTCTCCTCCATGTAATCAGATGGGACATGGGTCAAATTACTAAACCAAAATACACATCAGCTAAAATTCTAAGTCATGGTTTCAATCATTGTTCTAATCTAGCTGATTAGTTTAGTTAGTTGATGTTATAAACTGGGTTTTGATTGAGAGCTCAGTTGGGCTTTAATGGTCTATAACCTGGACCTGATGAGCAGAAGCTGCAGATCCTCATGGAAAGAATAAATTATATACTCTGGCCTAACAGTTGTGTTGTTAACAGCCTCTGTTATGTAATCTCATCGACCAAAAGACTGTCACAGTGTAATGGTATTTAAAGAATCCATACATATAGATATAGATGTCGTCCTAAATATGAGTATGCAGTAACACTGCCTAAGTAACTGGTCCACAGCAGGGGGCAGTAGTGAGTCTTTACTCGTGTTGCTACCTGCCAAAAAATAGGTGACAATGAAGAACAGGCAGGAGTAGATAGACATCCAGATAGCTAATATATACAGTGTAGTGACAGCCCTAAACTAAGCTAAAGAGGGAATAATGAGACGAGATGTAGTGAAACAACACTAAAAAGTCTCTGAACTTTAAGTAACATGAAACTTCAAACTCTCACAAGGAACTGCTCTCAGCTGAGGGTCTGTTGTTGTTTTATCTATAAGTTTGTGTTTGGATTGGGGTCAGGATGTCAGTATTTCCCCACCAGATGATGAGTACTGTGCAGACTCTGACAGGGCCATCCATTTTTATATACGTATTCAATGGCTGGAATAATTATTCACCTCTGTTTGTCTGTTTTGACTGAAAAATGTCTCGTGTTGTTTTTCTCTTTTGTGACAGTGTTACACAAAGCAGGGCTTGGAGCTGACAAGGGTGACGGTCATCAACTCTGAGTTAAATGTCATCTATGATACGTTTGTCAAACCTGACAGCAAAGTGGTCGATTACAACACGAGGTGAGTGTGTCACCAGCGGCTCGACTCTGCGTGTGTGACAGTTGTGCGTGTGTAAATTTGTCCCTGTGACCGGCACAGAGGTGTAAAGTCAGGATGCTCTCTGTCTCTCAGGTTTTCAGGAGTGACAGAGGAGGACTTGGAGAACACCACCACCAGTCTGAGAGACGTTCAGGCCGTGCTGCTCAGTATGTTCAGCGCTGAATCCATCCTTATAGGACACAGTCTGGAGAGTGACCTGCTCGCTCTGAAGGTGCACCTCATCGTACTTCAACAAAAAGAAACACTAACTTTCAGACGCCTTTGAGTCTCTGCTGAAATGAAAGTAAAATAAATGTTTTTCTGTCCATTTCTTCCCTCCAGCTGATTCACAGTTCAGTCGTAGACACAGCCATTGTGTTCCCTCACCGACTTGGCTTACCTTACAAACGCGCTCTGAGGAACCTAATGGCGGATCACCTCAAGCGCATCATTCAGGACAATGGTGAGAAAAAGCCTTGTGATTATAGTTGTGCATATCATATTTTATTACCTGTTTGTGCAGATGGTAACATTCGGACCGTGCTCTAACTTGTGGCAGTAAAAGATATTTTGACATTATAAGGATTTAAAAACAAAAGCAACGTGGATAAATTCTGAGAAATCGGCGACCATTTGAGTCCCCATGCTGCGGAAAAATGTTGTTGGTTTTTGGGATAAAGGTCTTGAGCGTTTCATCCCCATTAACTCACAGATAAATACATAATCCTCTGTCACATTAACATGGCCCCAGTTACACAAACAGACCCCCTCATCCACATGCTGAGCACATTTCTGCCCCAAAGCATAATCCCATAATCTCCATATGTAACCCACTCCTGTCTGACTCCACAAAAACAACAACCTTAAATCAACTGATTGATCATTTGACATCATTTGACATAAAGTCTGATTTATTCCTCCAGTCAGGTATCATGTATTTTCAACGTTGTAAGGGCTTCTCAACAGCCGCACCGAGGCCTCAGTCCCCCCATGAAACAATAAGGTTAAAAGTCTTACAATGTAGGTAGTAGTAGTCAGTAAAAGACTAAAAACAATGCTGAGGAAAGTGTTATAGTTTGTCCATTTTTATACATCTCAAAATTTAAAGCTTTAAATCCTCGTCCTACAAATGCAGTGTGTTCAGTTGCACTTCATTCATCTCACCACTAGATGTCACCCCTGTGCTCTGTGCCCTCAGGTCTGAGTGTTCAAATCATGTACAGCAGAGTGTGCAGAACAGTTAAGCTTTTCAAAGCCTCATTTTTCACTCAGTATGAATGACGTGCTCATATTTTCTGTTCTGTCAGGTAATGTGATCATTTCAAAGTTCCCTAAAAAAGCTGCTGCTGCTCTGGGGAAACTCAGCTGTGCAGCTTCATCCTTATCCAGCTCCGACTGGTTTAGGCTAGATTCTAAAAACTAACAAAGGAAGCACCAGAGAGGCTGCTATTATATTTTTAAAAACAAAGTCATTTCCCGGATGATGTGTCTTTGATACTCGGTGATCCTCTGTTTTTTTTTTCTGTTACGTTTACGTGGAGTTGGGAAGCTTTATCATGAATTAAGTTCAACACATTATGGCACGTTTACTCCGTGATTTATTATACATGTTTCCTTATTTTAATCTAAAAGGGAATTTCTGCAAAAGTTTGATTCTAAAGCTCCTGTGAAGATTTTTGAGCTGGCAGTAACAGAGAGTGAAGTTTAAAGGCTGTAACCTCTGAGACAAAGTCTGCAGCGTTGTCGTCAGAAGGCTCCTCATGGGATCTGGGCTCCTGAACGACACGGGGGAGCAGCGTCCGCCTCACAACCAGTCAGGATGGGGGAGACGGGAAATGGCTTTGTTTACAGTCAGAAAGAGCGGAGCGCTCTGAAATTTTAAAATGTTGACTACACAGACATAACAAAACACAGCGATATCGTGATATTACCAAATGTCATCATTGACTAATAGCTATTGACTGATATTAAAAGCTTTTTTGTTTATACACCACAAAAAAAGATGCTTCTTTAACAGATTCCTGTCTACCCCACCTTTTAAGATAAAAGTTCATGCAAAATAAATGACAGTCTCATTAGCATCTACTGGGCTTTCAATGAATGAATGAATGAATGTTTGAATAAGGAATCAATCTAAAGAAAAAAATCTCTTTTTTTTGCCACAAAGTTGCACAAATGCTCCCTCTTTTTTCATACGTGTTGCCTTTCCAAGTCATTTGTAATATTTAGCTGAAGACTCGTGTCGCTTTCTCCACAAAATCATCATTTTTCAGTCAACTTTCATGCTGCTCTCCCAGCATGTCGGGGAAATTAAAAGTCTCATTTGCGCATGTGATTGCAGTGGAGGGCCACGACTCGAGCGAGGATGCGTCTGCCTGCATGGAGCTGATGATGTGGAAGATCAAGGAAGATGCAAAGGTCAAAAGATGACCTCTGACCCTTTCAATGTACTTTCCCATCGGTCAACTTCCTGCCTTCATGTTGGTCTCGAGAAGGAGGTGAAGTTCAGGACGCCTGAATTTCTCCCAGAGGTCAGAGTGTCGATGTTTCTGCCTAATAAATAAAAGAAAACTGTCGGTCAAAGCAATAGGAGCCCACACAAACAGTGTTTTTATTTGCTTTAAAGTATTTCTGTTCTAAATATTACTTTATATGTATTTCTGTTGATCTGATCAGTGTCTTTTAAGGCCTCAAACCTTTTATGAATAAAACCTTTCTGAAGACTTCACATGTCAGGGCATTGTCCACGTAACATTGATGGTTAATATAATAATCACGCCAGGCTGTGTCTTCAGCCTTAATTGCACTAAAGGAAACGCTCTTATTTTATAGGGCCTGAGTCGAAGTACCTCATCTGTGTTATTAAGCATCGACTTCTAATGAGCGACACGTTATTGTGTGTAGGTACACTAAAGTGCATCTATGTCTGTCTTCCTGTAAATGCACTTGTGTTTTTCACGTTGTACCTCGTTTTCTTGTCACTGATGCTCTGTACATGGTGCATTTCTTATCGAGTTTGTTGGTCAGCCTTAACCTGACTAATCCTATATTACTTGATAATATAAAAAGGCTCTGCTACTACCTATTTACTTGATGGAATATATCACTGTACTCTCGTAGTTCAGATAAAACACTGACCACCTGCATGAAATAGATCAGTAGGAATCGTTGTGATTGCAGGTCTGATGTGTTGTTTCTCCATAAAGACTCAAAAGTAGGTTCAGCGGTGTTGAATTAGGACTGGGTTATTAGACACATTTATCATTTAGTGAGTACCAGCTAACTTGTGCAGTTTTATGTTCAAATTGACTGAAAAAGTCCTAGACTGCTGTAAATATGCTGTAAGCAGTTTCTTTTTGTATATGTTTATTTTTTGTTGTTTATCTTTTTCTATTAAAAGGTATTAGTTAAAAACGAGACTGCTTTGTTTTTTTTACACCTGTACATGAGTAACTAGAGTGCAGTTTTAAAGCTCCAGTGAGGAGTTTTAAGCTGCTGATGGATGACAACATAATTGACAGTTTTAAAATTGTAATTTTCAATGCCTCTAACAGGGATGGGAACTCGGTTTTGAGACTTGGACTCAAGTAGCACTTGTGTCACACACTAATACAACATCAGACTGGACTCGGATCTGGGCTTTGGGATGTGAGGACAGCCTTTTTTTGTAACTGGTTGCTGCTGCTCTCAGTTTTTCTAGTGTCATCACATCAGGTGATGCTCCACAAACAGATTATTTGAGGTTCTGCTTATTAGTTCTTCCAAAAGCTCAGATACAGAGAGGCTTGAAGAGACTAAAGGAAGGATAGCCATCAGATGGCCACTTGGGTGGTAAGCCAACCATGCTTTGATAGTTGGCTATAGCCACCTGTAACTACTACTACTGAACAGAGGTACTGCTTTGTCCATTGAGGGTGTGAAAAAGAGAGTTGCTGTAGATTTTTGTAAACCAAAAAAATACATAAATAAAATAAAATATGTATAAATAATAATAAAATAAAATAAAATAAAATAATATGTTTTTTTCAAAAAGGGAACATGCAAGAACTGCAAGGTGAAATTGTGAAGTAGGACGATGAAGATGTTAGTCAGGAAACAGACTAAAAATGCAGAGGTGGAAACAAACAAACAAACAAAACAAAAAACAGCCTGGTGCTTTAACTCATAACCATCTGTGGGAGAAATATGGAAAGAAGTCCTCAGATGGTTGATTTATTTTCATTTCATTCATTTTAACAGGCTGTTTAATATCTCATATCTTGGAGATCTCTTCAGCAGATTAATTTATCCCAAAGTTGTCTGGTTGTAATGATTCCTTCACTTGTGGGACTGATGAAGGAGTATCTTATCTTAAATGAATGAGTCAAACTCTTACTGTCGAGTTTTTCAGATGACACTTTTGCTCCTGGACTTTTTTCCTGACTCCTTTTTCCACCGGTTATTGCCCTTGTATCTCGTGTTTACTCTCTCCTCCTCTGCTGCATAAATAGTTTCTGACAGTGTGACAGATTTCTCTGCGTACAGTGCCCGGCCTCTCCCGGTTTAGATGTCTCTTTAACAGCAGGTGCAGCGGCTGTAATTCTCCTCTTTCTTCAGCAGATGTGTAAATTGTGAAAACTGAGAGGCCCATCCTTTCTCTGGTCTGTTTGCCTGTTAAGCTCCTCACGTCACATGTCAGGATGCATTTCCCCCGGCTGGGTCTCGGACCCCAGGTATGAAAAGAGCCAGTTAGCGAGGATCAATACCTACACAATGTTGCAGTGACAGGGAGGGGGGCTTCCTAGTGTTTATTGAGTGTTGCAGAGATTTTGAACATGTGGAGCAAAGCAGCTTAGAGGGGTCGTCTTCATTATCAAATTCGATCAGCGCCTCTCTCTCTCTCCCTTGCTCCCCCGTGATCACCTTTGACTAGCGGGGGTCATGGGGGGACAGCAGCAGGTCACGGCTCTGAAACCAGACCCCATGCTGTGAGATGAAGAGCTGTATTATCTCACAGCAAAGACACTTCACTGGATACCTCCTCAACACTCTGAAACTATTATCTGATGGATGAGCTGATCTCTTCAAAACCGTCAGGAGCTGGTCTGATCATGGATTTTTCTATAAAACCAAGTAATCTTGGCTTTTCTGTTTTCTGACAAACTGAATATCTTTAAGAGATGTCACCTCAGATAAACTTGTGTTTTGCAGACCAAAAGCTCAACCAAAGGCTCAAGAAAGAAATCAGCAACATTAACGTTAAACGAAGGTGTTATTCCCAGTGGAAAACCTGAGCATCCTGTCGTTGTTGTTTTTTGCGATTCGTAACATTATACTCAATTTTTAGCTCATTAAGTGTTCACTTCTTCAAGCCTTTCACATATCAGTAATACATTGTTTACTAGCAGTTTACTAGAAGTTTATTTTCAGTCGTTTACAAATAGCCAAAATAATCAGTTCAGCCATCTATTCTTCTCTTCATTATCAGGTTTTTCAGGAATAAAATACCAATAAGCATATAATTTCTTACAAAGAAGTGAAAAGTCTCTTCTCAGAAACCTTAACCTTTATTTCCACAAAGTTGTATTTTGACTTTTTCTTAAAAGTTTGACTTTTTTATGTTGTGTATATAGTATAGTGAGAAAAAAAATGGATTTCGTTTCTGTCTTGCTGTTCAATCTAACAAAAGAGGCAAAGAGGCACAGTTTCAGCTGCTATAATGTTTCTGCTCTGTGCTCAATTATGCAAAACTCGTAACTTGAACATCTGCAAAACAAATTAGTTATTAAAAAAGTGTACCATATTGTACCAGGCTGTGATTGTGTTTCACTCTTCTACTGTAAAAATGTGTGAATTTATATAAGTGTTAATGGAGTTTTTTGGCTTTTGAAGCCAGCCTCAAGTGGACACTCAAGGAACTGCAGTTTGTAGCTCTTCACGTTTGCTTCTTATTTTAACACTGATGGTCGCCCACTCGTCTTTAATAGATAAGAAACACATTGGGAAAATAGGGAAACTCCATAAAACCTGGAAGAGAAGAAAAAAGTTTATATCATTAACGTGTGTCGTCCTTGAATATCTGCATTTTCACACATACTTGGCATATTTGATGTTCTCACTTTTTTCCACGTTTCTTAAGTTCGCACCAAAAATCTTTGTTTACACAGTACATATTGTCACCGGGTCTTAGATGACGGCTTAAGAAGACCCTGACCCAAAGGTCTGTTTTTCTCTCTGTTGGTCTGAGGTCACCACTTGCACCCCGGTGTAGCCCACTATGGGCGCCCTTGACCCCAGGGACACCCAAAGCTGCCTGTCCCCCTCGCTCTCCGTCTTTAATCTGTAGCTCCTCCGCCCAATTAAGAGACTGATCTTTACTCAGTCCTCTCATATTGATCTGCTGCTGCTGTAGCTGCTTATTGCTGCGCTCCCAGGGGCTGAACTGGAGATCATAGGAAGCTAATTGGAAGCTAATATATCTCGTGGTCTTATAATGGATGAAATATTACAGCTCGGTGTTGCAGTTCTTCTGATCAGTAAATTCAGACCGGTGGATTTGGTTGCTCACTTAAAACCTTCCAGCTGACATTAAATACTCATATAATCTCTGCTCTATGTGTGTGTAAGTTTGAGATTTTTTTGTGTATACTTGGTGTGTTTGCAAACAGGTCAATGTCACTCTAAGCCCTGAGTGTGTCACAGCCAGTGTCAGGCCTCACAGCGTGATCCGAGCACTCAGAAGAGCTTAAGAGGACTGACCGACCCGTCACCCGCTCCTTCTGCCTCCCTCAGGTCAAAGGCCAGCCGGCCCCATCGATTCCCCTGCCATGAAGAAGTATTTAGCCCCGCTCTGCTACTGCTCGCCCCTCTCCAGCCCACATGATCACCGCGGCCCCTGAAGGCCCCTCAATTGTGTTCCGCGTGCCGATCGATCCGGTTGGTGTCCGGGGGGGGCCTTCCTCAGAGATAACTGACAACTACAAAGGTCCCCTCCTGACAGGCTCGTGTCAATACAAATTTCCACTATTGATAAGTAATTAAAGAAAGCCTGGACATAAGGGGGTTTGCTCTCTGAAACATCTGTTAAACAGGAGACATTAACAAAAACGTCTCGGTGACAAAAAAAAGAAGACAATGAGAAAAAAAGAGGAACATTAAACGCCCCTCCACCCTCACTTACATCAGCTGTCTCCTAGTCTCCACCCACACTGCTATCACTTCATACACTTCACAACAACAGGTGCATCAAGTCCACAGCCAGTGTCATTCTTTTTTCATATTTTAAACTACTACAAAACAGAAAACTAGGGGATACTTTTACATATATTCACGGTTTTGATCATTTTTGAGGAAATAGATATTTTCCTCGTTTGTTTTATGTGATCTAAAACTGGATTGAAATGTAATGGCAAGCTGTGTTTATCCTTCCTCCTGTGTTAGCTCACCCAGCATGTTTAGGGTCGGTTTTGACCCGTGTCCTAAATCTGCTGTAAGTTACACTAAAAACAATTCTCTATCATTCAATTTTGTTCTAATCTCTCGGTAACCTTGTTAGGCTTCATTATCCATGAAAATATTGCTTATAATAGTTTCTTTTTCAGTATACCCCAAAATGAGAATTTCCTAAATCTCACATGATTGGAAGAGGATCTGACTGTCAGTGTGGTGCAGGACAGTGCACCTATGATTTCAGTTTTTGCTCTAATTATTGGATATTGATCTAACCGGGTCAACAGCAACCCTAACACCACAAGTGCCATAATTTTAATAAGAGCATTTTATAATTTAGTCAATTTAATTTTTAATTTTTTTATTTTATTGAAATAGAGGTTCCTGACAAAGTCAAAAAGTCTTGATGCAAAAAAGCTAATTTAAGTGGTTCTTTCAAGCATTTAAAAATCAAAAACGGGTCGCTGCAGACCTTAACACAGGAGGAGGGTTGAATAATAACGGCACCCTTGGCACAAAAGTTCTGATCAATACAATATGTCTCCAGCAGAACTTTGAGGATTATATTATGAAATCCTCAGTTTTCGGTGTCTCTTTGGTGCTCTGTAAACATGAGGCCGTTGCAAAAACCTGTTCCTTAACAGTCAAAATAAAGATGAGAGGGTAAAAAAGTCAAGGTGGAAAACCTGCGAAGGAGGAAGCCTGAAAAATACTCTCTGGAAAGGCTTCTGTAGAGAACTTTTGGTATGAGTCAGATTTGGCAACCCCTGTGGACAAAGCCGTCTTTGCTTATTTTTGCTCTTCATTTAGTGTCTCCTGACAATAAAAATCTGGTCCTGCTGACTTTTCACAGTCAAATGTTTCATTCATTGTGATTTTTTGTTGTTGTTTTTGTTTGATTTTTAAATGGAAATTGTAAAAACAGGACTGTTTCTTCAGCTGCTTGGCTGACATTTACCCCCTCGCACCAGTTTCAGGTGTTAAAATTGCAACACAAAATCGTCATTTTTGTTGGAGATGGTTTTGCTTTTGTATGTCGTAAGAAGGCATTAATGTGAATTTCAGACTATTTCATTAATGTTAAAAAAAAACAACATAGGAGCTTTAAATGAAGCCTAAATGCAATAAAGAATAATTGTCTTGACGGTGACCTTTCACATCCTCATTTTCCTACTGTCAGTGAGGTCTGTTTAACTCCCTTTGCTGTGTATGTTAAACCTGCATGTAGTGTCACCTGCTCGCTGCAGAGAGTTGTCAGAGTTGTGACTTTGCTTTTTACCTTCTATTCACTGTAATCCATGCATGTGAGAGAGGATCCCCTTAAGAGCAGGATAACTCCTTTTAAGAGGTTTTTCATCACTACAGGAGGGACTCAAATCCACTAACTTCTCATTTACCTCTGCAGCAAAGCCTTAAATGCAGACTCTCCCACTGTGGTGATTAAACCTGCTGCAGTGAGGCATGAGGGAGTGTGATGCTGCTGGTGATGTTTTGGGTTTGCTGGTTGTTATAAGAGTTTGAAGGATAAGTTTTGGATGCTTCGAAGTGAACCCTGGTCATCTTGATAGGTGGGAGGTGAACTGGGCCGGGGGAGTAAGGGACATGATCCAGTGGGTGAGGAGGAGGAGAAGGAGGCGATCTTGAGCTAGTGAGAGAGTGAGTATTGGCGGCCCCGGGATGGGGAGGGTCACACACAACCACACTCTTTGTGTGCCTCTAATCCCCCCAGCCAACACAGCTTTGGCCAGGTTTCATCATGAAAGTGCCATGAAATAACTACTTTTTTTTCTCTCCTCGCAGTAAATCTCCCCTAATCCTGCAGGCTGCGGAGACAAAGGCCTCTGGGACCTAATCCTAGTGCTTTTAGTGGGGCTGAGGGGCAGGCCGACAGAGCCTCTTCTAAATGACTTATTTCTATCGGACACTAATATAGCTTGACAGCCAAGAACGGCGAAAGGAGAAGGAAAAAAGCACGGGGAGAAAAGAGCACAAACATTTTCACATATTTTGGAAGTCCGAGCAGTTGTTTGTGAAAGTACACGGTGAACTATGGTTATTTGTTCACTTCATTAAAGTACAGAAAAACTAAGACAACTCACATGGATATCTGGGAATACTAATGAAAACCTTGGCTATGTCTGTTTGTGCTGCTGGTCTGGGTGGAGGAATGTACCTGTAGCATTTCATTTTGCACCTGTGGACGAAGGGGTGTTTGTTTGTTTTAATCTGTTGCTCATCTTGTCCGGTACACACCCAAATACTGATGTTTATCATCTCTCTTGAGCCTTACATATTGAGAAATAATCACTTTTTGTTCCTGATTGCCTTGTTTTCTTTTGTAGGTGATAAATCAGTGTAAGTTTCAATCTGTCAGATGACCAGTGAAAAACAAATCCTCAGTGGAGCTTTAAGAAAACACAAAAACAAACCCCATTTTAAAGCTTCTGTAAGGAACTTTTGGTTTTCATTGATTTTGGGAAACCCTCCAAACAAAACTTAACCTCTAAGTCTTTGACAAGTTTGTCATGTGCATTTTAATATGTGTGTTTTTTAAAATGGAAAATCTCTTACTGAAAATCTTAGCCAGTTCTTTTTATACATTGATTTAATAGATCTAAATTCACATTGAGGCCTTTTTATGATCAGAAAAATAATAGAAGATCCTCAGCGACAAGGTTTTGGGTTTTTACATTGTAATTTTGAACACCTGAAAGTAGGACTCATGAAGTTTCACTGCCAGTTCACTGGGTGCCAAACTTTTTTTGTGACAAATAAGTTCAGGTGACATTAAAATAACTATATTAGCGGATCAGAGGCACGGTTGACTTGACTGACAGGCTGGTTCACTTTAGCCATTTGCAAGGAGGATTTAAGTCCGCCTCTGGTAGGTTGGCTGAAAGTTTAGTTGGGTCAGATATACCAGTATGGCCACCGCCACTGATAAACTTCAAAACTGACCTCTAGGGGGAATCTCAGTGGATTCGCTCTTGTAATAATTCATCTCAAAAGATTGTAAAGGTCAGTAGAAACATGGTAAACCAATAAGAAAAGATTACAAACATGTGTCTTTGCATTCCAACATTGATTTATTTATCGCCAGTGTACGAGAATACAGTCTGTAACCTATAAGAGACAGGAAGCTGTTTCCATATATCAAGGAAAGTTACACTTGAACAATGCCCAGATCTTAAACACAGACTCATCCGCTGCTATTAAAATACATAAATGAATAACAATAAATAAACAAATAAGCAAAAAACTGAGATACAACGCCTATAAAACTCAGTTAAAGCTCCTTTGACAAACTGTAACCCTCTGTGGACAAGGCAAAACCTCAGATCTTTAAGCTCTCCTTCTGTTTGTGTTGTTAAGCATCTGTTGGGAAAAAGTGAATAGAAACTTATTCCTGTAGCATCTATTTGTGGCGCCTAGCCTGTAACAGTGATTTCAGACATTAAAATAACCATTCAGGAGTCATTAATCAGGAAAATTATGGTTCTGATTTTGCTTTTTCAGGTCATAAAGCATAAATGTTCATTTTTGTCTGTTTTATAACCAACTTAACAAACTTCTTACAGGAGCAATAAGTTTTTTAAGACCATAAATGACCATTTTAGTGCCACTTTATAACTTTATTACACAGTTCTAAGTTGATTGAAGAGTTTTATGTCATGTCTTTGTAATCAACAACCATAACTACACTTGTGGAGGTCATAAAACCAACTCTACATTATTAATATAATTCAAACTCTTTAGGTAACAGGGTACAATCAGGTTATAAAGAGTTACAGAATTTTTAGGCAAGATCAGCATAATTATAAAGCTTGTGTAGCAAAACAAAACCATCATACCACAAGTGGCATAAAATGGATATTCTTGGCCCATAAACATTTACCAAAAATGAATTTATTTGAGTGAAAATCCTCAAATGTATAAAGAAGCTTTGATTTTGTTGATAGTTGATGTTTTCCTTGATTCTGTTCCTGGGAACACTTCAAATTGAGCTAAGAAGGATCTTAATCCAGAAATGATCCTCATTGAGTGGAGTTCAGATTAACTTCACACAGTGACAGTTTATAGGCAAAATATGGTGCCTGTTAGCAAAACAAACCCCCAGAGAAAAGCCCCTGTGAGGGGGGGCTGTCAGATTCAGCGGTCTGGGAGAAAGAGGGGCTGAGAAGGAGAGCACAATCAAAGGCTGTTATTTTAATCTGTGCTGCCTCGGAGATTAGCCCTCCACATTGTTTTAATTGTTTTAACGGGAGGGAATGAAACGCTCGCTTATAGGGGGATCCTTGGCATAAATCTCTCAAGTTCAATAGTTTCAAAAACTTGAGCCCCTTGCAACCCCCCTCTCTTCCCTCATCCCACCTAATCCCAGCTAATACCTTTCTTTCTATTGGCTAATGGCTGATGGGAGCCTGGGTAAATGCTTCTTAAATAGTCGTGGGTGAGAATGGTTTCGGAGAATTAGATCTGTGCCACGACAAACATACGCTCAAGTGCGAGAGGGGATCGAGTTAAGGCTTCAAACTGGACTAAGAGACACTGGATTTACACTTTTACAAGATCTTTGCTGTGCGTAAAAACGCATCCGGATTTCACTCCACTGCTTCGAGCCCGGATCTCAGGTAAACAGTCGAGGGACGCTAAAAGGAAAAAAAAAAGGAAAAAAAAAAAAAGTGTCGTGTGGATAAATTAAAATCTCGTTTGGAGTTTAGGTGTCTTGCTCAGAATACTGCTTTGATGGCTATGAGATGGATGCAAAGTATATGACAATTTAATTGTTGTGCGTAATATATATGAATTTTGAGACAATGTTTTTTTTTCGCAACTGGAACATGATAAACTGCGAAGATTTCAATGTAATTTTATTAAGTGTATGGATGCAAATAATGATGATATTCTAGCCCCTCAAAAATGTTAAGCCCCCTCGACCTTGATCTATGTGATCCTGTATAAAATAATAAACATCTTTCGGTGCGTAAAACTGGCCTTTCTTTTCCCTTTACTTCAGCATGAACTCATTGAATTTCTGCGGACCGTCCAGCGGTGGTGTGTATCCTCTTCACGGAGCAAACTCCATGCTGTTGGAGCTGCACCAGCAGATGGCGGAGCAGTACCACGTTTACTCTGCAGCCAGCCCTGCAGTGCACACCCTCTCTGTGGCTGAGAGGCTGGCAGGTGGGTCACCACGGTCCAGACAGATTCAACTCCTCCAGTTTTCCATTTTAAGTGATGTAATCTATAAGAAAATATTAGTAATTCCTAGCTGATAATCAAAATACGAGTAAGAATTAGATTAGATGAAATACATTGCTTTGGGTGTTCTTGTTATAAAAAGCCCTGATTTCAGTAATATTATTGTTGTTGTTGTTGTTGTTATTATTAATAGCATTAGTATTTCTGTTGTTATGCCCAATATTCTACCCATACTTATGATGCACAGTTTTTTTACATTATGTTTAAAGCTCCTGTGGGGAGTATTTTTTATGTTTATGAGATAGACTGAAATCCATATTGAGGCCTTTTTATGGAATATGAAAACAAATGGGACCATCAAGAACAAGATTGATGAGTTTTTTTAATTGTATTTTTTAATGTCTGAAACCCCCGGGAGAGGATAGGTGTTAGCCAAGCAGCTGGAAAAACTGCCCTGCATTTACATTTTCACATAAAATGTTCACAATAAATGATACATTTGACCTTCAAAAGTCAGTATGAAGTAGAACACTACTTAAGGACAGAAGACAAGATAAGCTAAGGGTTCTTTGTCCACAGGGGGCGCCAAAATGAAAACAAACCTGAAGTTACTTACAGGAGCTTTAATAAACTTTTACTTCTGAGTAACAGTTTAGATTGACTTTACAAAGTGTTATCAACAAATGTACTCATTATAATTATTACTGTTAATTACTATTACAAGTCATAGCACTGAAATGTATTGATTATTGGTCCAGGGGAAACTTTCCTCATGAAGACTCTTTCAAAGTAAAAGTATCAATTTTTAACACATATTTCAGCTCCTAGATGAACTAACTGAACTAAGTGTAACTCATCTATGCATTAAAATATATATATGTATTTTTCCAAAATACATAGCCTACTCAATTTAACATATAATAAGACATATTTCAAGTCATCCTATAACACAGCAAATCACAGTGTAAATTTCCTGCAGGTGGAGACTTCATTCACAGTGGTTTTTTGTGTCCCTCCCTCCTGACAGAGCTGATTCTAGAGGCTCGGTATGGAAACCAGCAGAAGCAGCGTCGCAGCCGCACAGCGTTCACGGTGTCCCAGCTGCAGGCTCTGGAGAAAGCCTTCCAGCAGACGCAGTATCCAGACGTCAGTATGAGAGAGAGGCTGGCTGTGTGCATCAACCTGCCTGAGGCTCGAATACAGGTGAGAAAGCACGGAATCCAAGCGTTTGACTGAGAACATGTTGTAACCAATACTTTATTTTTGTTGTTTCTAGATGGGGAGCTTGTAAAAACCCTAATTACTTTCTTTAAGGACACAGACTGCTTGTTTTGTTGAAGTAAAGTAATGTATGTGTATGTGTGCATGGACAGATTTGATGTTCAGTTATCTGTAGATGTGGTTACGCCATTTAAATGTTAAGTTTTGTGTACCATGTTATTTTATTTTCATATCTATGTACTCCACACTTTGTTCCTGTAATTCTGTATTTTTCTCTTGTGTACCTGGTGTATGTCCCATCAGACCAAATTATTTTACTTAAAATAAAATCTGAATCTCATCTACCTCTGCTGTCTGTCCTCTAGGTGTGGTTCAAGAACAGAAGAGCAAAATTTCGTAAAGGTCAGAGGTGCTCCCCGCTCTACAAAGATCACTGTGTCGAGGAGGCATCACATCACAGCAAGGTGGGACCTGAAGAGAGGACCGAGGACAAACAGGACATTAGCCCATCATCGTCTGAAAGCAACATCCCTCCTCCCCACTCTCCTCCTCCTCCTCCCCTTCCTCCTCATGTGAATAAAACTCAGGACATTTTCCCCTCTCTGGCTCCTTCAGACTCTGACGTCTCACATTTCCCCCTCCAACTCAGCCCCCCTCCACTTTTCCCCTTCATAGCAGGGGAGCGATACAGCTACCCTCAGCGGCCGGTGGTAGGTGTTCTGTCCACTGAGCTGGCCCTCCCCCCGGTGTTCTGGCCCATCATTCAGCAGCACAGCTCCAGCCTGGGGGTTCCTGCAACATCAGTTAGTAAAAACTGCATCTTCCCCCTTCAGACTGCATGTTCCGGTAAAGCTGTGCCTCACCCTCACCCGGGGCTGTAATTGGAGACCTGCATGGTCCAGGATCTCTGCAGCCTGTGGACTCAGACCTGAAGCATTCCTGCTGTTAAGGACAAGACAGGGTGACAACGTGGAGAGCACTTACTGTGAACCTGAATTTGGACAGAATATGTTTTTGTATCCAGAGAGCTTTGTAATGCCTGTCTGTTCAAAAAGAAAAGAAGCTGTACAGTCATGCACCTTTAGTATGTTTTTAGTACACAAAGACTCATATGGGTCTGCTTCTATAACATCTTCAGGTTGGTTTCAATTACAGAACAATGAGCTGTTTACTCCATAACGTAAATAAAAGGTGTGCAAACATCCCTCTTAAGGGACAGGTCTCCTGCAGCATCATTAAAACAGCTCCACAGTAAAGTGGATAAACTGTAATAACAACGGAAAAAAGCCTTTTTTTGGTGGTTATGAAGCTGTGCAACTGAAAAATGTGGAATAAAAACATTTTCACTGAGTCCTCTGTTGTTGTTTTTTTGTCTTTTGTCTTAAAATGCATTTTGGGACAAACTATGACTTTACAAGAAAACAATGCAGAACAAAAACACAGACAGACAGACAGATAGGTAGGTAAAGCGTTTAATTTTTTCATTTTTAACAGTCATATTTTCAGTTCCTTGTCAAATAAATATATCACAAAATCGCCTCAATCCCTTTTTTGCGACCTATAGTTTTTCTCTGTATGGTTATATTAAATATCAAGTATTTAATCCCTTTGACTCGTAGTTAAGTTAATGACTGTCACTTAATTAAAAGTAAATAATTTTCTCTCAGCTTGGCTCAACATTTTGACCCCTGAACAACGAAAAACTGAAATGAGGGGCTTAGAGAAACAGCAAATACTCACCTCTGACGAGCAAAAGCTAGCTCATCCTTGGCCCTTTTCCCTCTTAATGTGATCGAAACAACATTTAAAACTGTGGGCCATTACTTTTCTCTCAATCAGCCTGAGTTCATGGTTAAATGACTTCTCTATTTGTCTGTGTTTTTTTCTGAATTGTCACTTTTGATGACTGATAATGAGGATTTGAAACCACAGTAGCTAACAAATCCATCAGCCAAATCATGATAAAACCTGGAGTGTCATCTTTTAAAAAATATTTTGTTTACGGTTTTAGATTTCACACTGATGAAATAGAGATAAGAGGAATACAACAACATGATTATCAGTACAAAAAGGGTGCCAACAATAATTAAAGAGGAAAATAGAAATACAAAAAGGGCTGCGAGTTTATGAAGTTACTGATTTAAGGATATGCACTGGAAAATGTCTCAGGTTGAGCACTAGACCCACTTCAGATAAAGCCGCTGTGGATGAGGCCAAGATAGGTCCCCATAGTCTCTCAAATTTGCTTAACAACCACCATTCCCAAGTGAAGGGCCAACTGCATGTTGTATGACAGGTCAAATGTCTCTTTAGAGCATCCAAAGATAGTCAGGATTCAATAGAGGAAACATAATCCAGAGAAAACCAGAAAAGATGTACAGGTTAACCCTCAGTAGAGCGACACCTGTTGGATTTTAAAGTTGCTGATGGAAAGACGCAGTGAAGGTTTGTTATTGAATGACAGTCTGTGCATTACCTTGTACTGGTTTAACCTGCGGCGTGATTAATGGAACAACAATGAGCCCCTGACAGCGCCTCTTCCCAGAACGCTACAGATATTTTTGTGTTTAATCCACCAGTACAGGCCTCGCTGATGTGATCTAAAGACACTGGAACCATACAGCTCACCACACCTGAGGAGATTTTTCAGGGAATGTAGCTTCCCCTACAGGCAAAGTTAAGTGACGTAGGCCTATGTCTTTGCTGATCTTGTTTTGTGCATTTGTGTGTTTTGGTTTCTAATGTCAAGTCTAAATCTTCCTCATTTCAGAGGTGTTACAACTTATTGTCAGCCCTTGGTGGGAAAACGTTTTCTCTGCCTCAGCGCCACCTCTTTGGTTTGGGTAATTACTGTAAAGATATAGTCATACTTTTTTGTGGTGGTCTGATTTGCATTTGTCAGTCATAAAGGGCTATTATAGCTAATTATGGTTAATTTATCACCGTCCAAATGAAAAATCATTGTACAATCCACCTTCATGTCTGTCCTTGATTATGGTTGACATCTTGTAATGCCATGCAGCACCATCAACTCTTCAGCAGTTAAATCCTGTGTATTATAGTGCACTACGTTTCATCACTAACGACATATTTCGCACTCATCACTGTTCCCTCTATCAAAAGGTTGGCTGGACTTCTTTCATATAAACCTAGTAGCTACAGAACACGATCCAGTAACTATCTACCCTTAGATATTCCATATATCCGCACTAATATTGGCAGAACTGGTTTCAACTACTATGCCCCCTTTAAATGGAATGAGCTGCAAACCGCTCTTAAACTGGAGTCTTTCATTCATCTGTAGTAAGATGCTGCAGATGTTTTATCAGTCTGTGGTGGCAAGTGTTCTGTTCTACGCTGCAGTCTCCTGGAGAGGAAGCACCAAACACAAAGATGCAAGACGTCTTAACAAACTGGTGAAAAAGGCTGGCTCTGTGGTTGGACTCAAGCTGGACTCAGTGGAGGATGTGGTGGAGAGATCTACACTGAGGAAGGTGGAGACAATTCTAAAGAACATGGATCACCCACTTCACAACACCTTGATGGACCAAAGGACAAATGGTGGTGGACGGCTCCTCTCTCTTCGCTGACGGACAGAAAAATTCAGAAGATCTTTTTTACCAACAGCCATTAGACTTTATAACTCTTGTGTAAATAGTAGATAACTTTTAGAGACATATATTGTGAGACAACAGACAATTGAATTCCCCTCAGGGATTAATAAAGTTATTCTTATTCTTATTTTCTTATTCATCTTGGAGATTTTAACTACCTGTTGTCTGATGTTTACAATAATCGCTGTAACTGTTTTAACTGATTCCCTTTTAACCTATTGTTTGTTTGTTGTGTTGTGTGTTTATTGTGAATGTTCCTTGTTCTCAGGCCTCTCTTGTAAAAGAGATCTTGATCTCAATTAGACTGCCTGATAAAATAAAGATAAAATAAAAAAGATAAAAATTCTAGGTTGCTTTCATAAATGAAAAATCCTCATAGGAGCTGAAAACTGAAGAGAATGCAAAAGCTATCAAAACAGATAAGCATGATTTATGTAGACTAAAAATGACTCTAGGCTATCACACCTGATGGATACACCTGTAGCATGAAAACAGGTTTAGAGGAAACTATTTGGGTAAATAATCACCTATCACCAAGGCAGCATGGGATCCGAATTTTGCTGCACTAATGTCCAGAGCCTCCAAAGTTTGTATGCCTTCATATGAGCCCAGCTCCGTCGTATCAAAAGTGAAAAATGTTGAGCCAAATAGACCAGTTTGAAGCAGTCATGAGCTGCGCAGTTCTCTGACGTTCTGCCTTATTCCCCAAAACTAGGTGCGCCGTGTTTGCTGCGCAGTGCAGCGCTGTAAGCGACAGTGACGCTGCGCCTGGGTATGGGCAGTTGAAGGAGGCTTAAAGAGACAACAGCAAAATCATAGCAACTTGGGGGCAAAGGAAACGAAATGAGAGAGATACCGACGCACGAAGAAACATGACTTCGGCTCCGTTTCGATAACTAACATTTAGAGGTAACATGCTTGCCGTTTGTGGTATCGGTGTTTTCCTACGTGTTGTGTTTTTTTGAAGACAGCGTCTCGCCGGACGTTGACGTTGTTGCTAATGTTTCGTAGATGCTAACTGGCTAAACGGTTAGCCTTCGAGCTAAGCGGCGAGAGATCCCGGACAGGCAAGGCAGGCAGCCGCTGGTGTGCACTCGGTTGTTTAGGATTAAGGAGTTGCCCAGCAGTGGTCAGGATAACGGCTTTAACTGGGATCTGACCTCGAAAACGATCCCATCAGGTGAAACGCTGGTCACTTTTATCAGAACGTTTCTTCAGTCGATGAGATTAACTAAATCTAACGTCGCCTCGGACATTATTAACAAACCGACCAGGTTAATTTAGGATAGGGAATACCAGGCAATCAATATTTTATGCTGTTTCTTGTTACCACTTCTTCCAAATGCAGTGGTTTGCTGAGGGTTGTTCCGCTTGTGATCGTATGTTGTTAACATTTGAGCTAACGTTATATCCTGAGCTGGTTTTTAACAGGCGTAGGGCCAAAGTGGACGGTGTTTTTGGTTGGTGCTAGCTTGGTTAGCTTTGAGCTGCTGTGTGACGTTCCAGTATCCGCTGTAATGTGGATTTAAAGCTTCACGCTCGATGAATATGCCAAACGTGCTGCATTTATATTATAAATGAACGCGTTCAAAGTTAAACAAACTAACCGCGATTGGACAATCAAGCTAACTACCGTCTTGGTGACCGGTGTTCTGTCGAAGAGAGCTGCCTATGGAGAAATGCTACTCAGTGGCTGTGCGCATGCGAAGAGCTACAATCCTGGGCGCTTGACGCCACTGGGAGCATTATTTAGAAGAGGATATCATGCCATCGAGACACAAAAATCCCGAAATATTGAATAATACTTACCAATAGAGTATCCGAGGATGAATTCAATTCTGTCACAGTGCAGATGAGTTTGCAAGTTAAGCAAGTTAAAGTGATTCTGTCCCCGAAGCATGGTTTGAAGGGCTCATTATTGAAAATTCTTATCATAAGTTTTATATTATTGTGTCAAAGTATGCGACCCAGAGTTATACAGTCAATTTGCCCTGTTCTAAAGCGAAAACACGAATTAATGGCGCGAACTTACAGCTGCTGCTATCGATTCGCGCTACGGCAGCACTTTTCAACAAAGCAGCAAATGTCGACAGAACACCATGGAGTATCTGGCCTTGTCCGCCTTACCAACCAGTCTTGTTTTAACCTTAGGTCTACCGATGGCTCATTCGACGGGATTTGTCTTCTAGCGTTTGTTTTCTTTTTTCCCCTCGCTGCGGAAACATTCGTGTTGATATGTAAGAAAGAAACGAGGTGCTGTGAATCATTTGAAACTAACGCTCACTGACAGCTGGTAGGCACAGTTAGCTAGCAATTAGCAAGCTGTAACAAGCTTAAAATTAAGATATGTATTCACCGTGGAAAAGTTAACTGAGCCATCTCGACAATATACTTACATTTATAGTCTCTCTTTTGCACTCCGTCTGTTATTTTACTGATGTTTGACGTTTAGATTTATGTTGTGTCGTGTTATTACAAGCTAGGTCAACCGTATTGACTAAAACGTAATGATAGCGATTTTATCCCACAGCTACAGGCAGTTAAAATATATTTGTGAGAGATTTTATTTGAAGTTTTTCTATCCTATGTGACTTCTCAAATCAGGAGTTGATGTATACTTCATCTCTGTGTTTTCATTGTGAGTTCAGTGCATTTGTTGCTTTTTTTAAATAGTGAACCGTGAAAAACAACACACAACTTCCTGAATTGAGACAGTCTAGACATACAGGCCCAGATTTACCAAGAATTATATGTGTCAGTGTATTACTTCCATCTTATTCTTACCTTTTAACCCTAACTGGAATCATATGAAGTCATAAATACTCTTTAGTCACAGTGGGGCCACTTTCAGAGGAATCTAATCTTCCCAGGTTACTTTTACAGTGAAGATGATTGACAGAATAAATGTATATATAAAAAGAAATTGAAAAAGGGCTGTTTTCTATTCAGAATAAAGTGTAAAAGGAAGTGGTTTTATTTGTAAACATAGGTGCTAGAAGAACAAAAAGATCCTCACAGAAAACAGGTGTCCTGGGAACTTAATAATGCCAATAGTTACCAGACTTCCACAATTCTAGTATTCGGAAGAAAAAGTGGCCCATTACTATTTCATACTTTCATAAAGAATACCATATCATGATGTTCTTTTTGATTTATTGCATTCCTGCCAGACATATCCAGTTTTCCAAACAAATGTGCCATGATAGAGTTCATCATAATCATACTGTATTATAATTGTATCAACAATTAAGCTTTGGTCACCGTAATGATTTAATTTTGTGTTCAACACTAGCTTTCTGAAAATACTCTTCTTTGAATCATATAACTCAAAGTGAGCTGTATTTCCTACTATCAGTATCCTGGTACATTATGTGACAAGAACGACATGACATAATGACTGACTACATACCTGGCCTATACTTGTGGGCTGTTTTTCAGGTGAGCTGCAGAAGTGAAAAAGAAGGTTGTCGTTGGATTTCTTATATTTCTGTTTCTCATCCTTGCTCAGCTCTCTGCAAAGATTTTAGGCTTCATTTGCTAGATTTAGTAGAATGAAACTTGCTACTCTAAAAATGTGTGATCTTTAATCACATATGCCAAAATTTTCTGTCAAAGTTATCTAATAAATAGGTTATCCTATGTGTCAATCTTTCACTTAAGACTTATAAAACTGTATTTTAGTTCTCTCTTCTCTGTATCATTTCTAAGTCAGTCAGATTAAACTGAGCTAGCTGTACACCAGACTGAATCCAAATCCCTCCAATTATATAAGTCCCAATGATGCAGATGTTATGATGGGATGAGGCATTACAGCAGTCATTGATCTGTTTAAGTGCCTTTCCATAGGAAAGAGTAGCTGCTCATTGCTACTGGCTGCATTACCTGCTCTCTTCAGCACCACCAGCATCTTAGATCATGGACATGTGGGAGTTAAGAGCGAGATGTGTGCCTGTTGTTGGTAGCATAAAGATGCTCAGGCATGGTCAGGTTACAGTGCCATTACAAAAATGGCATAATGGGAGTTATTGATGCAGTTGGATGATGCCACAGCTTCTGTTACTGTTTAATTTGATGCACTGTCACAGTTTTGCCATTATTCGATTTAACTTATTTTAGAGCCTTCTGATTAAAAAAAAAATGGAGTATAAAAGTTAGTCTTGTTGGAAAATAATTTTGAGCTCTGAAAATAGTTGATATCAAGTAAAAAATGTTTTTGTTCTGGATATTCTAATACCATCATAGTAACAAGGTGGTTATTAAGATTTTCAGTATTTAGTTTATATTAATTCATTTATGTGACAGGTGAATATTTCTCTTTTTCTTTAACTAATTGTAAGGACAAGCTCTGTTTTTTCTGTGAGTTGAACAGTTGAACCGTGCTTCTCTTTACAGAGTTTATGGAAAACAGACTGATTTCTGTCAATTTTTGATTTTGCAGATCTGCAGCGGACATCCAACTCACCTTTTCCTTGTCATCGAATCCTGTGATTCTGGGTTGCATCATCTGCTGTGGCCCTGCAACATGGAGAGAACCCACTGTGTCACTGAAGGCTGACCAGAAGGAATGAGGCACTCCAGGAGATGTTTCCAAGTGGCCTTGTGGATGCAGTAGCTACGCTTCGGAGTACTTTTTTATGACGAGTATTGTATGTGTGTCTGTGGGCACATCCTCACACAACCTGCCTATTCGTCAGGCAGGGGCATACTACTTTGAGACTGGAGGTGGAGAAACATACAAGAAAGGAGCCCCTCTGCTAAACGAGGAGCAGCAAGAAAAATCTGAGGCACCGAGCAGAAACGCTGCGTGATTGACGAACGGGGCACTTGTTTTAAGTGTCTTAAGAACCATTTTAACAGCAACACCTCTCCTCTGTCTTGTAAGATTTTCCCCCCTCCCCCTCCCTAAAGCCTCAACGGTCCTTGTTATTGGAGTGTCTATGGTTTGCATGGCTGGAGAATAACCGTGGAGAGGCCAGGGTATCACAAGCTTATGGATTTTGACAAGAGAGGGGGCAAGGGAGAGACAGAGGAAGGGAAAAAGATGTCTAAGACGGCAGGCAGCAGGACTGGACATGGGGGCCGGAGTTCAGGGACCAATTCTGGAGTTCTTATGGTTGGCCCAAACTTCCGTGTGGGCAAAAAAATCGGCTGTGGGAACTTTGGAGAGCTGCGGTTGGGAAAAAATCTCTATACTAACGAATATGTGGCCATCAAATTGGTAAGTGCATCTTCAGGGTTGGTGAACTGGCACAGAAACATAAACTTTAAAGTCCATTTGTGTACCACGCTGCTATGTAACAGTTCACATTAAGGATTGTGTATACCTGATGATCAGATATACTTTCTGAGCGGTGAGAAATGATCTGTATATGCAGCAGACTCTTTGATCTGACCTCAGAGGAACAGACACAGGAAGTAAATAGGAACTCTCTCCCCCTCCCCCTTCCTACAGGTTGGCCTCATGTTCTGTTAATGAGTCAACCTTTCTCTGCTTATGTTTTACCAAAGTAGTGATGCTCAGACAAGATGGTATTATATCATAAAGCATATCTTGATGGCTTTTATTTTTCAGTATGTAACACAGGTTTTTTTGAAGGGGTTCTTGTAAAGTGTGAAATGGATGACTTGCTGTGCTCAGGGGTCATACGCAACTCTTATGAAATAGGACGTAACCCTGGTACAATTTTTAAATATCATAGCTATTCTACATTTCCTTAGCCTTTTAAATTAGTTTCAATCGTACTGAAGCTGTCCCTCTATTAAGCTCACAGGAAACCTAAAAAGCGATCAATAATTCACCTTGCCTTTTTGTTTTGTGTCAGCATTTGCTTCTTTTTCCAGAGCCACCAGTTTAGTAGCATTTATACACGCTTTGAAAAACCACATGAAATGTCAAAGCTCCTTTTTTTTTTTCTTCTTGCTCAGATTCTAGGCCAGCTAGAGGCAGCGAAACCATTTCCTCTCCACATCAACTTTTTCTCTCCACATCTTTCTCTGCTTCAAACATGTTGCCACTTACAGGACTTTGATCACCGCTGGATGCCTTGTTTTTCCTCCGAACATCTCATTGTAAACATGGCATTACTCTTGTAAAGCAGACTTACTGAAGCTCATGGGAGCAAGGCACTATCTAGACCACATCTGGTCTAGTCTGTGTATGATTTTTCCTTACATTTGTATCTCCCAGTGAGGTTGTTATCTCAGATTGGGCATCCACTGAAGGCTTTGCTAACCACATCGGAGACAGAGGTTAGCAAACAGGCGTAATTGCAGTTCTCCTCCTCTGAAATTCTTAGTTGTGCTTGCTGCCTCTCCCCCCGTATGCCTGTGAAACCTCCCATCTGTTTGGGTATTTTTATCCCCACGGTGTCCAGCTATATCTGGATCTAGCATTAGTGCCATGACACTGCTCCATGGCTCTCGTGGTCTACTGGACCTATCAGTTATCTGTATTTTTTAGAGTGGGAACAGGATGTAGTGCTAAAGGTGTCAACAGGCTTGACAAGGCCTGGCTAGTAGTACACCGAGTGTGAGGACTTGTGTTTATTCGGTTTGATATTGAGGGCTAATTTTAGATGACGTTTCATGATCCTTTAATTTTGATAGTAATGTTTTTATTTGACAAATATCACTCTCTTACTTGGTAGGCTCTGTGCTTTTTTACCAGTGTTAACACAAGCGACATACAGAGGGCTTCTTCCTCGCAGATTCTCGGGTTAACCCATACTCTGGCACAGTTGTCTGTCCACATGTTTCTGTCTGTCCCTGATCTCACAGCTCTCCCGGGTAACCCTGTGAATGTCACTGCTTGTCCGGCGACGGCCTCTCGTACCGTCCAAAGGAGCTGTTACTGAAGTCGTCCTCGCAAGTAACAACCCTGTTATCTACAACCACCTGCTAACACATGCTTGACATGAGCAGGTTCTCCATCAGTCACTTCAGAGTCACTGCTCACTTGGAGATAGAATGAAAATAAACGTTTGAAAGTGCAGGCCTGGGACGGGGCTGACTGAAGAGGTTCATTCATGGAGTGGAGTGTACATTTTGATTCGACTCAGCTCTAACTAGATAAGGAGTTATATTGAGAGGCTGCAAGAAGTACAAATTTAAGCGTTATTTCATCTATTTATTCACAAGTTTTGGATCAATCATCAAACTTCATTATGACAAAAATAGAAAATCTATCATTTGAACTTTTGAACCTCACTCCTTCTTGTGTTCTCTTTGTCACTATTGATTAAGTAATAAGTGCTTTCATAACCGAGTGGTTGTTAGACTCAGAAAAACACTGAAGAAATATATCAGTTATTACCTTGGGGCTGTTTAAATCAAGTGTTGTCGATCAATGAATAAATCAAAGGGACACAATAAAGTGTGATTTGTTATCTTGCTGGTTAAAACTGGTTTAATCTCCCTCCAATAAATTGTGGATGTCAACCTCCAAAGAACGGCACATTGCGATTGCTCAGTGTGGAGCTGGTGCTTTTATGTGCTTAGTGTCATGTGTGCCAGCATTGCAGAGTAGGTTATGTGGGTGGTGCCTGCCTGCACCTGGGACAAAGGTGAATGCCAGTGTCACCCTGCTCCACCACGTGACGGCAGAGATAGAGGGAGCATGTATGGCAGGCCTGCTGCACAAGATCCTCTGTCAGTGGATCTAGAACTGCTGTGAGTACTGCTGCAAAAAGCTAGAGAGAAGGGGGAAACTGCCGAGTGCTGAAAGGTCGTCTTTGTTAGCAGGCCTTGTCGACACACAGTGGTTCAGTCTTTGGTTCAGCTGGATGCTTTCTCACACTGACAAACGCCTGTGTGATGGAGGCAGCACCATATAGCCACTGCTGTGAGTACACTGCAGGCTTTGCTCCCAAGGGGGATCCCTGCTTCTTAAAGAAACAGCAGCATGGAATATCTGCTTTCTGTCGAGTCTTACTGTGAAAACTATCCCCCATTAGACTCTCTTAATGAGTAAAGGGCACGACCATCTCATAAATACTCTCCTGGCATGATGACATAACTGTCCACCGAGAAAATGACCATCTAATCCTCTTTCCCCCTCATCACTGAGTTATACTATTTTTATTTGGCCACTCTTGCTATTTTGGTGTCGTGTTTCTCTCCCTCTCGCCTTACGCCGCTGTCTTCAATTTACTTTTTTTTTTTTTTTTAATATCTAAAGGTCATCCACCCTCACTTAACCCCAGCATTCTGTTAGCATTTGGTGCAGGACACATGTACACCCACACTGTCCAGTATTTGGCCTCTGAAATCCACTTGAATCAGTTTCACTCACATAATCGGCAGTCCGCTCTCCAAGCTTGCGTTTCATTGTGGCTCTATTTTCATGTAGTTATTCGATGATAAATGGGAGACGCGTGTGAGATGTGCCTCTTACTGTGTAGCTTCTGCTATCAGGAAGTAGAGGTAAACCAATTGGTGACCTCAAGTGGCAAGAATTACTAGTAACAGTGACGAGTGGCCTTAATATCCGCTGAACTCAGGGACTGTAATAATTGAGTGTAATAGTGTTGGGACGTATAGTCCTGTGCAATGCCCTCAGCTTTTGGGTGGGGTGATAATGGAGTGGTAGGGAGAGACAGACAATAAATACAGAGTCCTACTGTGCATTGTTAGCTAACCATGTAAATACAGGGTGGTGTTTGTTTCACCCTATGTACTGTATGTTGGCTTGTCCGAAGCATGGCCGGTCTTCAGACTTTAAAAAAGAAAATGAAATAGACTCTACAAAGAATAAAATAGTCAATTGTAGTCAGTTGTGGCTTTAAAATTTTAGTTTGAAAGATTTATTTTGAGTTTTTTGTCCTCTATTTGACAGGACAGGATGGTGGATATAGCAGGAAACGGGGAGAGGGAGTGGGAGTAACATGCAGGAAAGAAGCCAGGCTGGAATCGAACCCGGGTCATCTGTGTACATGGGTTGCACTCAGACCGTCCGGCCAGCAGCGCCCCATTCTTTAACATGTTTGATTACAGAGAAATAGCACATTTTAGTCATTTTAGTATTCAAAATAAATCCTAAAAATACAACACCTCCAAAATCATAGCTGTATCCTCAAAGGCAGACTTGTGAACATTTGAGTGTTAAAGTTGCATAACATTTAAAAGATCCATCTGTTAATCAATCTGTCATCACCTATTAAACTATTGATTCATGGATCCCCAATTTGTTGATAGTCAGCTGATAACTAAATTATTTACTTAATTTCTGTGCATTCATTTCCAGCATTCACTGTTCATTGCAAACAAAGACTGTCCCACAACACTTCATCCACCTTTAGTCGTCAGTGTTAAGTCTAATTAAGTCCAATGATGGACACTATATCAGAGTATTAGCTGCAGCTCTAGACTTGCACACTATGCCCCATCAAAACAACTGAGTTTCTCCTCTGTGCATACCTCAGTCATTGTTGTTGACAGAGCTGATATCACAATTCCCTACCCCTCTAGATTTTGATTGGTCTGTGGTGGATCACTGACATTGATGAGCACAGTGGTGTGCCAAAAGCTTTAGTAATTTCAGCTGAGTATGCTTGTGAGCAGTGACAAGAACAGGTGATGCTTGCTAACTTAACTCTTCAAGAAGAATGTGATTTTTGGGAATCATCCTTAAACATGATAAAGAAATGGGGGTTAATTATGATCAGTGAGAAATTGTTCCATGCATCATCACCAGTAATGATAAAATTCATTATTTAGAGTTTCCAGATTTCAGTCTTAGACAAAACTATGGTATCACCACATTTCCGCTGAAGTTGCAGATGAGAAAAAAAAACATTAGGTAACATGTTGGCTGTAACTTGTCTTTGTTATTTGAGAAGTGCTCTGAATGTTTGTGCATTTGGTTGGAGCATTGTGTCGAATGTTGTATATTGCTTTCAAAAAGCACTCGTGTTCTGTATGGTATGTTATTGTTCTTGAAGTATCTGGCAGACTGTTTGTTTTCTCTGGCTGAGTCACTGATGCAGAGGCACAGGAGTAAGGTGGTGTGAAGCCGCTCACTGTGCTGGTCAGTCGTGATACTCTGAAGGAAATCTGAGGTGTTGTACTGAACTCAGTCTGCCGCCCACTGAAGCATGATAAGCAGCTCTTGTTGCAGTCCAGCTCAGCAGCTTACACCAGCTCTTCATGAGGCCGTTGTCTAAGAACTGTGAAGCCACAAAAGCCCAATCAGCGTGTTTTGCTGGAATTAAAGTGGCATTTTGACGATTTAAGTTCTTCTCCCTTCCGTGTTTGGGCCCCCCCAGAGAGCATACTGGGCAGCCTAAATGACCAAATCCGTGGATGGCAACAGCATGTAAAAGCCTACCTTCAGTCAAGGAGCTAATCCTCTAATGAACTAGGAGCCAGCAGCAGCAGCAGCAGCACAGTACATTCACACAGACACACTGTTGCTGTAAGCATGATTTAGAAGAAGTCATAAAAGCTGCAGTGGAGAGTCGAAATGTTGGTGACTTCAGAGAAGCAGCTACAGTGGTTTCTTTGTTTTAGGTGGAAATACATGAATGAAAAGAAAAGTTTTGGTGGGGCAGAGTGTTTGCAAGCAGAGCAGTCAGGACTGTGTAATTTAAATTTTTATGTGTACTTCCTGCTTTGTAGCAAAGCACTGTCGTATTTCCATTTAAGAGTCACAGTGAAACTATATTTTTGTGTGCTTTAAAATGTGTTTTGTTCAAGACTTCAGCAGTAGTTAACAAGTTTCTCATATTTTTAAGTGTAATTTGGGTTACAACCATGAGTTGACACTACACTTTTCTGTCTGAACTCCCTTCATGGCAGTGGAATTGAAGTGGTAAACTAGAGCCAAAATATCCAAACCAGATCCAGATTATGGTCATTTGAAACTAGCTGAAGCCAAATAGACCTCAGGTCTATTTTTGAGGATCTGCTGTGCAAGACAAGATGGTATGGTTGGAATCAAAATTCTCAGTGGTTCACAAGCAGCAAGAAATAAAAGTCTGTTGCTGACGGGAAACACAGACCATGAAGCCTAGAGCAGTGATACATACATGTGTGTTGTTTTGATGGTGCAGATTAGCTTGCAGGTTGGAATGGATCAAACTACTTGGCATGTTATCTCTGTGTCATGTCATGCTGACACTTTTAAAAGGAACAAAGCCACACTCAATAATAGGAATTACACCTCTGCTTTTCCTGCTGCAGCATTTTAACATTTCTGCAGTGAAAAACACTGTCCAAGTATTTTATTCAAGATTGTCATATCAGATTAGTACTTTAAATTGCTGCCCCTACGACACACAGTATCCCCGTTTTTGGTACAGCTACATATTTTCAGTTAAAATGATTCATGTGAATTGTAGTTAACAAGTTTGAAGTCTGTGGTCAGAGCATAGCCACAGACAGGAATCATACTTCTTACATAAAAGAACCTATTTTCAATGAACAGAAAATCTAAACTTTGAAGTGATTACCCCTATGGCATAACAGCAGTCATTGTTTGCTTACAACAAATAATGTCTGCCCTGTTGATTGTCAGTGGAGTGGCGGTCCACACCAGCAACAATACTTCTTTGTTCGATAATATTTGGAGACTTTGCTGTGCCCTATAGGATTCATAAAAAAAACTCAAATTAGGTACAGGTGGGAAGTTAGGCAAATGAGGGAGTGCACAATACAACACATTGTACCTAGGCTGTGTCTGACTCCTGTGTTGAATGACAAAGGAGCCTTGCCTCTTGGGTTCATTTGAGTGGAACTTCCCATGACTGTGTTGATCACGACAGAGCCGTGTGCTGCGTTTGCCTTCTTCTGACTGCAGCAGCTGAGTTCAGCATGTTTATAAAAAGCCGTCCCAATAACTTCTTTTACAGAATTTATAAAACCTGCCTGTATGTATAGATTCTTTCTGTTGTCTTGGTTACAAATGAGAGGGTACTATTGAAATCTGATCTGTTGCATTGACAGATGCTCCCCCCTCTAACTTCCTGAGTCAATATTCGAAGTCAATGAACATACAAACAAAAGAAATGCTGTAGCTATTTATAGTTTATGAGAAGTTATTAACTGCTCACTCAGACCCTAAACCCTTAAATGATACCAGACATTGTATTCAACATGCTGTGGAATCCATGTTTAATGCTGACATGAGATAATCATAAATATAGATGATATATCTTCCTTTAGCTGTACCACACCTTGCTAACATCCTCTTTCGCTGTAGTTCCCTCCGAGTAGTAATCAACTTGTTTAGAATCATGGAAATAATTCTGAATTTGATTATTAAGTTGAAAGTGAAGTTTTTGCTCAAGTAGATCTAGCTGACCTGACTTCACCCAGGGGCGTATGAGGCCCTTTGAAGCACTCATCATCTTGGCTTTTGGTGTAAACAACTACCATTATTAACCAAGAGGATGTCACTGGAAAGTAGTTGGGAGCTGCTAAGTTATCACCAAAGAGTAGCGCTAACTTTGCTATCAAGTTTTGCATTGGTATGTCATGAGATATTTTTCCAACAAAGTATACTCCTTTGAGTGTCTGTCAGTGTAAGGAAACCTGGATCAATTGACAAATTAGCATTCTGCTGTATAGGAAAAAAACTTGAACTCATTAGACTATAACAAAGATGTCAACAGAAAAATCTCAACTGAAATGATAAATCAATATCAAAGAACAGTACTGGAATATCTTAAATACTTCTGTTGTGCAGTCTCTGAATGAAAGCTGGTCAAGGTTGGTCATTGGACCATACGAATGATGCCTAATCCTCGCGAGTGTGTTACTCTAGGTTTGGGTAGGCAGCTTATGGCCCCATCAGGGTGTGTTAAATCTGAGCTGAAACAGGAGAAGCACTGGACCCCAGCCAGCTGTTGCTTTCTTGCACCGATCGCTCTTTAACACCAGACTCAGAACATCGACACCTTTTGATCACTGAGACTACACACACCACACACACACACGAACCTCAAGCTTCCCCATTTGTGTTTTCGTTGGCGTCATTAGTGTCCATATGAGGGCTGCTGAGTGGAGATGCACCATGTTGACATTTGAGTCGCTCAGTCTGAGATAGGATGAGTCACATTGCCAGTTGGATATTGTGAAATGGTTTACTGGGAGTCAAGCGAAGGTCAGGGTCTATTCTTGGCCTTATGCATAATGCTAGGCCTGTTCTACTAGGCGTGTCACACATAAGTGTACATATGCACCCGTTGAAAGTCATTCAGGCTTTCTGAATAATAAAGAGCACAGATGCTTATTCATGTTTATGGCACCATCCCAGTGTGTGCTGTACATCATAAGATGGTGATAATAAGGTCCAAAGGTACTCTCCTCCTCTTCAGTCCCACTGCAGTGTAGCATCACGTGTCGAGTAACTTATCACAACTGGATATGTGCAATCAGTATTGGTGGACTGTTGGACTAATTACATAGTCAATAACCTGTAAATCATTCTGATCATAAATCGATTGATTGGTCTGTATGGTTTGTTATGAAGGGTCACTGTTGATCAGGGATTGTCTAACCCTGCGATGAAATCCTTAGTCATCTGTTTGGTTCCCAACCAAAACACATTCACTTTCCTGTTGAAAAGGAGTAGTGAAAGCAAAAATGTTTGTGTTTAAGCCACAGAAATCGTCCAGTGTTGACGTTTCTGTTGGGAAAAAGTGAGCTGCATTCCCCGGTGCAACCAATATACCAGTATAAAAGTCAGATAAAGGTAATTTATTGTTCTGTGGTATTATACCCAGAAGATTGCGCTTAAAAAAAGCAAGAGACCCCTTTGCTACACAGAGCAAAAGTGCCAGTTTTAATGGAGAGACTCTAATTTACGACAACATGTGACTTGTTAGGGGAGGGGATCCAAGTCTCTGCAGATTTGTTGCAGGCAGTAGGTCTGTCTGTACTTCACAACTATCACCACTACTGTGTTGAAAGGGTGGTTACAAGGCGGAACCTGAGAGAGCCACACATCTGTATAGAAATCGCACATTGCTAAATGCAATGGAGTCCTCATGTAGGAGGGTACTTTAAACCTATTTCCTATTGAAGCCCCTCAACAACAGTCAGTGTCTTATTTACCACTGGGACTTTCTGTAAATGTCAGATTTTGCACTACATGGTAGCAGAAGGGAAAGAGCCAAATGCTATTTTTCAAAGCACAAATTGATTTACTGCAAGTGAAATCACAGATTCTGGTGAAAAACTCCATCTGTAGTTGACTGAAACATCTCAAACAAACTTTCCCTCTAGAGTACTTAACACACAGAGAAATGTGATATGTTAAAGAGAATGAGTGTAGTGTGAGACTTTTCGAGACTTCAAATGACAGGTGTCTAAAATTAGTTTTCTTCTTCCTCCTCATTTGGTGGTCATTACTGAATTCATTCAGTGAGGTCAAGTCTGATCTTGCTCATCAGTGTTGGAGCAGAGATCAGATTTAGCCTGGATGACATCATATGCAGAGTTGGTTAATCCCGGGGAGAGGACACAGTGTGGATGAAGCGAGCCATCAGCTCCACACAGCGTCTATCACAGGTTAACATGCAGGACCCATCACGTAATCAGGGATGACATAATCATATGTTTGCTTCAAGAGTTTTCACTCCAAGAGGGATCCTTGATATGGCATGTCGCCTCTCATCTTGCAGTCATCCCATGGTAGCTGTAGCTACAGGATTTGATCGGACTAGGGCTGTATTTACTTCAGCACTCTTACAAACAAATCTGTCCACTTTTTAGTGTTGTGCTACTGTTAGTGTAATTTAGAAATTATTTTCTCATATTTGAATTAAAGATGAACCCATCTTTTCACCGATGTTGCCATTTCCCCCCTTTTGTGACTTCAGTCATTGCTGCTGATATCTAAAAAACCCAAATTGTAGACTTAAACCATCTTTAAGACTGCTTTTCTTTTAATCATAGTCAAGCATGACTTATAGCATATCCAGCTATGTAACCCTGTAGCTGAGGTTCAATGCGGGTTAACGAACTTGCCAAACTGTTACTGGAGCACAGAGTTTAAAGGGTTGGGACTATAGCGGAGAGAAATACGACAGCAAACATCCCAACGGAGGTAACCCCAGCATGGTGGCAGACTGCCTCTGTGCATTGATAGTCTTTTTAATCCTTCAGTGGTGAGTGTAATGGCTCGGATTAAGGTGAGGTAATGTTCACCGGCTGAATAAGCAAGAAAAAAAGTCATGCTATCATAATACAAAAGATGATTTAAAAAATAAATTAATAAACAAGGGGGTCTTTTGAAGGTGCATTTCAAATGTTCTGGTCTCAAGCACAGACTAAGGCTGCACGATATTGGAAAAAAATAATATTGCGATTTTTTCAACCCTGCGATATATATTGCGATATTAAAAATACAGTATTTTCACCAGATGACCTGAATAGCACTTAATGTTATGCTGCACTGCTGAAATCTTGAGGACAGTTAATCTGCTCTGATCTTACCTCTTTTTGTGAATGTTAGTAGAACAGCTTTTGTCTGTCTCAGAGATATTTTTAGCTTTTATTGTGCTGGGACGTTATTGTGGCAACAGATGAACACAGAAGACGTGTTTTGGTCGACATCATCCTTCTTTTAACCGAAATAATTCCAGATAACCGACTTTCCTTTTCTTTTTGGCAACAAATCTTCATTTTCGGTGGTTTTCGCTTGTTCGTTGCTCATTTTGCGATCGTTGTTGTTGTTGTTAGCGGTGTTGTGCCGAGAAACGCATGTCCTCCGAGAATTGCATGCACCTCGCAAAACGCGCACTGCTTATAGTAGAGTGGTCCATGGAAATGTACAATTTAAAACCCATACAGTTCTTATTTGTTGGGCTTAATAGTCATGAGTAAAGTTCCCAAAGTAATTCTCAGCGGACACACGTCTCCCTCCATGTGCAGAACATGTGCAGGGGTGGGTTTTCTCCTCCCTGATTTTGATTGACAGCTGGCAGGGTAGTCTGATTGGCAACTGAGAAGTGAGTCTGATTGGCAACTGAGTTAAGGACGAAGATGATTGGTGGATCGCTGCACAGCACATGCAGAGTCACATGCAGTGTATCTCAGTCGGTTACCCTTGAAATTAAATGAGTTCATTCACCTCCAATATCGCAGGCTCTGCGATGTGACTATCGCACACACGTACATCGCGATGACGATAGTCAAACGATATATCGTTCAGGCCTAGCACAGACCCATGCTACAATGGCAGTTTGTTTTCTGACAGCGAAACACAGCTGCAGGATGGAACAGCTGAGGTGGAGTGGTCACTGTAGCAGCAGGTCAGACAGAGAAGGGCCCTTCTGGCCGAAGGGTCAGCTGGCCCGGACACAGGCCAGCACTCTGCATGACAACACATGGGTTAACCAAAACTTTCACTATAGCTAGGCAGTGCAAACAGGTGAAAGTAACCAGAATGCACCTTTTACTTTAAGATGTATACAAATAAAAAAGCAGATATTAAAGTTATAATATTACAAATTGCATATATTTGACCAAGAGAGACCCCTAATGAATTAATTTTCCACAAAAAGGCTCCTATTATGGGAGCGTGTCTGCACAGGGGGAGGATCAAACATTATCTGATAAAGGCAGAAGCTGAGAAAAATCCTCATCATATGCAAAGTTGTTACATCAGACATTTGCAGCTTGGCCTTCGTCGTTTACACAGCCATAGCTTATCCCATCTGCTGGGAGTAGAGATGACTCTTAAGTACGTAAAGCTGCCATAAGCCTCTGTTTCCTATTGTAAGCTGTTTTAAAGGGTCCTGTGGTTGGGTGCCATCTGTTTTCACTCATTATTTATATATTTTATGTTTTCTTTCTCCTCTCCTCCCTGGCATGGCCTGACTTGTGTGAGATGTGCTTGCTGTCCGTGCTCATGTGGGAGGTGGATGACGATACAGCAGTTCCCAGATCTGCCTCCCAGACTGGTCACGTGTCGTCCTCCTACAGGCCTCCACTCCTCTGTGCTGCCTCCTGTCTTTCATTCTCAGTTTTATAGCCCCTGGCATGCACATTTGTTCTTACTTCTCTGGTACTCTTCCTTGTTGGCATCATGTTGCAGCAGGATGCTGACCTTTTTCTCTCCGCAGATGATTAAAAAAACATGTATGTAGTGTCTGCGAGAGCTCCCATTGCCTTTGAGGGAATATATTACTCCTAGCTTCAAACTTCTCATGTTTGAATCACATCACAACAGAACATTGTTCTTGTTATCTCATGGATTGGATCAAGTCATGCACAGTCTCTTGTCAGTTATCAAACATAATCTCTTGTGCGAGGTTGTAAGCTCTTTTTCTGTTCACAGTTATGCTTTTATTTAAAGCAGCTACTTGACAAAAATACTGAGTGTGAAGAGGGTATTGTATAATTTTTGTTTTTCTAGCGATATCCTCTTTTTCTCAACATGTCTTGTGCCTCATGAGGAAACACTCACAGTTGTGTCACCACATGTTGTTTTGAAGACTACATGGACCTCTCTCATACCACGGAAAAAACCTGGCAGATAATCTTTTGAGAAAATCAAGAAAGAAGGAATCGAGTTCACAATTTACCCAGTTCACGTTTGCCCAACCAGCTTTTGCCAACCTTAGATTGAACCTTTAGTGAAACCTCAGATCACAGCATTTGAAACTTCGAGACGCCATCAGAAAAGAGTGGAAAGTCCCTCGTTGTGGTACAGAGCTTGTAGCTCTCACTCCCACATGCTATCAGGGAACTAGAGGAGAAAATGCTCCTGATTTGATAAAGGCCTGATGGAGAGAATGTTGAGGCTTAACAGCTTTCACTTTATATAATTTAAAATAGAAGTGCTTTGGAATTTGATGCACATGGAAAACAACTTTAAAGATTAAACCTCTCTCCTAGCACCTCTCCTCTAGAACTAGTTGTTGATTTTAATATGTTATCACTCATATGCTGAATTTTTAAGTTAATTCTAATAACCTACAACTTTTCCCACTAAATAAGAGAACATCTGAGCTAATTTTGTGAATTTTGAAAACAAATGTTCAAAGAGGGGGCTGCAAACCTCTGTCGTGGTGAAGGCTTTAGCACAGGCTGTGATGTAGCTATTGAAGATTAAGTTGAAGAATTAGGTTGTGTGTGTGTGTGTTTGTTTCATCCTCTTCATGATTGCCTATAATGCTCTTGTCATCATGAGAGTGGCGTTAATCAGATTACATTTTAGGTTGTAAAGCTGGGACTAGCGATATAATGAACAGTATGTTTTAGCAGGTCAATTATCACCCATGTCATCACAAAAGCCTGCTGTTCACCAGCTGGAGCGGCTTTTTATCCTCTCATATCCTACAACTCTGACCCCAGAACTCATTTAAGTTCTATTAGGCTATTAAGATAAGAAAAAGCATTGTGCTGCAGTTATTTGAGTTAATTGCAGAGGGAGGTTATCATATTAAAGTTGTATCAAGGTTGTCACTCAAAATTTGCTTTGTACTCTTGGAGTGAAGCTCCTAACTCGGTTCGTTTTGCTTGAAATTAGTCTTTCATTTCTCTTTAATTGTCCAGGAACTGTGCAAGTAGTGATATATCACAATATTCTGTTTTTCCCTCTGAGAAAAGTATAACATGAAAAACTTGAACCTTCACATCCAGCTGATTTGTGATCTGTGATGTTTACTCCTTTTTTTTGCTCTCCTCTTTTTCAGGAACCCATAAAGTCGAGGGCACCACAGCTCCATTTGGAATATAGATTTTACAAACAGTTGGGAAACTCAGGTAAGAGACGTGCAGACTGAAGGTTATTGTTCTCTGACTGACAGCATCACGCAATAACACAACACCTTTATTATGACCAAGTAACTCCAGAAGAATGACAGGAACCCTCCAACACAAGTTCTAAGATGTCATAATAAAAGAAATCAAATCAAAGCATCACAGACTCTTTTCTTAAAAACCTATTACTAATTCAGTTGAAGCATGTTTCCCACGCTCTTGAGCTAATATGCACCTACTTAAGGCCAGTCATCTGTGTGTAGAAACATGGCTTAAATACCGATACAATCCAAGAAATAGCATAGTAAAAAAGGAAAGAAAAAAACACACCTTGGGCTTTGCAATGATTAAGATTTGATGTCATATCTAAGGCAGAGTTCAGCAGCTTACAGTGGCCCCATTTAGTCTCAGAACTCTCTAGAACTCGCAAGGGTACAGGAGGAGGTTATCAAGAACAATGGCAGCAAGAAAAAGGAGCAAGTTGTGGGCAACAAAGATAAATCCCCTTAAATGGTTGACAGTGTTTATGTAGTACTTGCTTATTAACTGAGTGAAAATGCATCACTTTTTGGATTGAAAGCTGTGTACAGTGAGGCAATAAATTTGACCCTGTTTTTTCGCCTTTGTGTGAAATTGGACTTGAATAAAAGCTGAATTCAGGCTATATATGCCAGATCTGCACTTGAGTTGTGTTGCAGCTATTGTTCAATGTGCTTCTCAAGTTTTATAAGTACAAATAAGATTTACATTCCTCTGTATTTATCCAATTAGCAGAGATTGCGTTCATTAAATTTACAAATCGATTTAGGAAAATAAAGGTTCTGTTTGTGGAGACTGCTGTTTGTGGTAGTTTGAATAGAAGGCATAAAGGAGAGGAGAGAGCACATCTTTCAGTGTAGCTGCAGTAGAGTGGACATGTAACATCAGGAGGATGGACACATGAATACTACATCAACAGACACTTCCATTCTACTTAAGGCCAAATTTCACAGTGGGTTTGTTTATCTCTCTGCACCCCCCGGGGGATACTGGCTGTTATAAAAGCCCGCATCTGCTTTTCCAGTCCCACCTCTGCATTACCCAAAGTCTGTCCTCTCCTACAGCACTGTCCAGAAACATGTAAATGTGTGTGTTACATAGCTGTAGCTCTAGGGGAGCGGCTCTTTGATCTGACCTGGCTGGTTGCAGAGGGTGAGAAAGGAGGCAGGGAATGGGCCTGGGTTTTATTTCATCATACAGCACTGACTGACTGGCTGGTTTTGGAAATATTTGCCTGTTTTGTTAGTGTAAGATTTTCTAGATGCATATGTTGATTTAGCTTTCTCACAGACCTTGTGTGCAGTCTTTAATCCATAAACCATATGCCAACACGCCACTAAAACCTAGTCAAACTAACAAAAACTAAAGCTGCACCAAAGAGGTTTTCGCAGTCTCTGGCGCCTCCTGCTCTGCCAGTTTCTGCTCTATATCCTCTGTTGATTTTGATCCCATAGCTCCTTTTTTATTCTTTCACCTAGACCAGGTCCTTTTAAACTGTGTAAATGCAGAAACCAGGTCCCAGTTGACACTGTAGTACATAATTTAGCACAAAGGAGGCTCACTGAGTCAATTAAAGCGTGACCCCTCCCTCAAATCTGCAACAGCGTATTTTAAAAATGCAACACAGGAAGATCTGTGAGTGTAGGATGCATGGACGAGTGTATATGTTAGAAATGGAGGGTGGGGTAGCTGGGGAGACTGCCTGCTGCTCAGTGTAGCATGGACAGCTACATAGAGCTGGGCGTCAGAGCCAACCAGCCATGAGAAGCTGCTGTCAGAATGTGCATTTCTGGGCTCAGATACAGAGATGAGTGAAGCTTTGGCAGCCAGTAGAAGTTCATTTGTGATACTTTGAAAGAGTAACCCTGTTGGTTATGTGTGTTTAAGCCAGGTCAGGAGTTATAATTTCCAAGGTGTGCCTCCTAGGTCTTTAAACATCTGAATGTTTTAAAGCTGTCATTGGCCAGAAAAGGCAGATTCTCACTCATTTTAGTGTTCTTTATGGAACAATTATTATGGGAGAGGTTTGGGTGAACATATTGACGTGTATGATTCACTGTGTTACCTACAAGGCGATGGCTGTGGAATAATACAGACCTCCAAACTCTGATTTTCATGGGGAACTATGTACAGCTGGATTTGTCATTCCAAGAATAGAGTTCGAGTCTTGCCGGGGTCCATCATCATCTGGCGAGTGTGTATTCCTTGGTCTAATTTAGTGATATGTGTCAACTTCCTGGCTCCTTGTGCCAGAGCAGAAGCCCTATACTGTTAATAAGGAGGTGGGGTTTAGGGCAAAGCTTGACTATTTATAGCTGGCCCTCCACAAGCAGTAAGGCAACTATGGTGTGTCTGCTTGGAAAGCTTCCCCATGCCAAAGGATCCACTGCCGCTTTGATTGATGACTGCAGGCTGCAAGGGAACTCTCTAATATGCACTGCTTACAGAGTGTGGCCTGTTTTTCTCAGGGTTTCTCATGCTTTAATCGTTCACTCTAATCTGTGAGTTGATGTCAATTTAAGAGTAACAGTGACTGTAATCTTTTGTACCATCATTTCAAGTTATTGCCTTGGTTATTTTCAGGGTTGCAGGATATTATTGACATAATATTGGCATCGGTAGATAAAAGCCTCTTAATTTGAGTATTGGTATTTGCAGAGATGAAAATGTCTTCTGACATGTACTGCTCATAAGGGGACATGTTGATTCTGAGCAGCAGTAACAACTTTTGCACGCCAACAACAAGTTTCAACATGTCGGCTATAAGGAAGTATTTTGATGTGTAGGAGACAGGCGTTGAGACAGCTCTTTGCTGTGCTTGTAAAGCATAGGTGATAGGATAAGGAGCAAAACAACACCTCTTTAACAATTCGCCAATTTAATCGTTGAACCCTCATCCTTGAGCTCCATGATTTTCTGAAAGTGCAAAAAAGTCATTAGCTTCTACAGTCACGCGACAAAGCTAAAGAAGTACAGTGAGGTCCACTCAAAGGTACTGGAGCTTAACATGAGAATAATTTAATTCATTTCTCTTGATAACCAGCCTTTTAGCATAGTGGAAGATAAGGGCCTCTCCATGTTAATGATGTGCTTTGATCGGTATCGGTATCAGTATTGCAATAGGAGTTTGAAACTACAGACAGATTGGATGTCAAAAATCCTGCATCCCTGGTTATTGTCTCTTGCATGATAATCTCATTATGGTCATCCTGTCTGACTCTGAGACTTCTGCTGCCCCACTCTTATTGACTCAGGTCGTCTGTGGGGTATGTGACGATGACTGTTTACAATATAAAAGACAATTGTAACCAAATTATGTTTGTAAATTGTGAATTTTTCATGTGCAGTCCCTCAAAAAAATAGATCCTGACAAAGATCATGATGTACTCAAATCAAGAAGTGCTACTCGAGCACGATTTGGTGCATTTAATTCCCCTCTCTCTCTCCCCACGTTTTCGGTCTCTCTCAGGCTGTCCTCCAGTGAAAAGTAAAAAAAACACAACGTTGTTCTTGTACAGAAGTGTATACGTGTCATTGACAATGAGGCCCATTTGTTTGGCTGATGACAACATTTTGACATCAGGAACTGTTGAACAGTTGGTGTGACGTCACGTTATTATCAGAGGATGACCAACAGACCATGTTTGTGTAAGGACACAGATAATGAGTGTTTTATCTTCTTCCCACTCACAAAAAAAAGCTCTGAAGTATAATGAGCAGAAATCATGCCAAGAAAGGACGCTCTACTCTTTTAAAGACACGCAGTCATTTCAGTGTCAGATATTGTCCGTTGGCAGAGAAGCAGAAACTTTGAGCAGTTTGACTCATCACTGAACCATGGAGCTACAACAACACGACTCGGCTACGGAGAGAGGTCCTGGTTCCAGCCGATGACTGGCTGCTATATGATGATGTGACAGGAAAGGTTCACTTCACTGTCTAGCATGGGTGGAGTCAAGGCGACAGATTAAATGTACTTATGTTGTCAACCCTGCTAAATGGACACATGTGACCCTGATTGTCCAGGGCAACGCGAGAGCCTCAAATATGTCGCAGCATGGACTAGTCAGCGCTTTGCGCCCAGGAGGAGAGGAGGAGCTTATCTGCACACTGTTAATTCTCTCCTGTCCTGGGCACATCCCAGCTGTTGGGAATTCTGCCTCACAGCAATTTACAGCAGTGTTGTTATTGTTGTCCTTCTTCATGGTTAACACAGAGTCAATTGACATAAATGGTGGTAAATATAATTTACTGATGATCACTCAGCTGGGGTGGTTCTTCCCAACTACAGAGCTTGTTGCCTCTTTAACAGTCATGGTTTGTTTGTGGTCAGGTGAGTGGCTTCACCAGGAATACACAGATTTGATCTCAAGGATTATTAGAGATGGCAGGGATTATCCATCATCTTCTTTGAACCCTGGCCTTGATAAATAACCCTTAAAATTAGGGCCCGACCAATATGGATTTTTTTGGGGCAGATGCCGATACTGATTATTAGGGGGAGGGAATCATAAATCAGTCCATACTTAAAATCCCAACAAATGTAAAAAATCTGAACGACCCCATACATGAGAACAAGTAACAGGTAGTAGAGTCCCAACTCTCCAAACTAGAAATCTTGTTGAATCTCATGACTTTAGAGAAACATCGTGGGAAACAAGGTGGTTGTTAAGCCAAACATCGCTTACATCGTTTGCACTGCAGCAGCACTGTGAGATGTACATGTAAACACACAATTACTCTCCAGAATGTCCTTTCCACTCATTTGTCATTTGTGGACTCTGTGGAGGTTTACTCACTCCCAGCATCATCTGAAGGCAGAAACAGTTGTCACAGTGTAAGACTCTGTCCTCATGCCAGCCTTTTTAAAATCAGCTTTACTGCAATCAATGACAATAACACAGCGGTTCATTTACATACAGACACATATCCCAGGGGTGGAGAGAGGAGTGAGGCAAGGCAAGGTTATTTATACAGCACATTTCAGTGACAAGGCCATTCAGAGTGCTAAGAGTAAAGATGAAGAGAATGAGATAGAAAGTAAATCGAAATACATGGAAGAGAAAAATCTAACAATCAGTGGTTTGGATTAAGTTGTAAAAAGATCACAGCATGTCTATGGCAGCATCTATTTGACAATAAGCAGGGGAGACTGGCCCACTGTGGGGGAAAATCTGCTCAATTTCAGGAGCAGAGTTTCTGAAACTTTCAAGAAAATGTCTCAAGTGTGTTAACAGTCAGAGCTGTCGTCAGCTTGACTACTGGATTTCCCAGGACACTTGTGTTGTTACCAGAAATAACCAAGTTGGTTCTCTCTTTCTGATGTCCATCGGACTTCACGCTTCCCATTAACTGTCGCCACGGCTGTGTTTGTCGTGCTTCCTCCTTCAGTAGGCTTGCTTCTCGATTAGCTATCATTCCACTCCATGTGACAACTCTCTCAGTGTGCGCTCTGTCAGTGGAATTCTGCCCACACAACAGGATGTCTGAATTTAACTATCAAACCTGTTCAGCATCTATGTTTACAAACTGGTACAGCACCCATTATCTTCTAAGCATACGAGGAAGTAAAATCACTCCCAACATACCTGGCACTTCAAGAAGATCTGACATGATCTTTTGAACCATCAGAAACTGGCCTTGAATAGAAAACATGAAGAGCTGCATATATATCTGGTCATGTTTAGGAACTAACTAACTAAATAAAATAAACAAGTATTGCTGTCTTATTTCTCCCCCACACACTCTCGTCTCCAGCCCTGTGGTGTCTTGTGGGATTGATTTGCTTGTGAGTTGCGTTGCATTTGTAGCTCTAGGCTTAGCCTGTGCATGCCCGAGTGCTGATCACGTTTCAGCCGAGTGAGAACATCTCCAGAGCCCTAATGGAAGCCACTTCTCCTCCTCCTCCTCCTCCTCTCTATACACTACACTCAATACATAATTTCAGTCTTTAATGTGTATTCCTTTTCCTCTCCCTCCTGTCTCAATACTTCTCCTCTCTCCTCCAGCCGTCTCCTCTGTGGCCCTTAACTCTGACATTTCACTGTGGGGAAACATTGTCTTCAGCTGCCATGATGCAGCCTTCCCCTCTCTCAGTGTCGCCTGGGAAGGTCTGCCAGCACATACAATAGGTCGGATTGTCTGAAATTGTCAAGACAGCAGGGGTCGGAGCACCACCGCCATTGGCCCTCAGTGAAAGCTGGAGCACGTCGCATAATGCTGAGCAGACTGTGACTTACGATGACTTTATGAAACAGTCGGAACTTTGAGGCTTTTTCAGAAGCAGACACTGGGTCATTTGACAAGTTAGAATAAAACCATAAGCAGTGAAATATCCTATCAGGGAAACATGAATAATGTAAGAGGAAACTTTTCGACATTTTGGTGTTAAACTTTAGCCTGTAGCTGTTGAAGAAGATCCAAATGCTGTCTGACTTAAACACTCATCCGTATTAGTGCTTCATTACCCCAGTTTGTTAAAGGTCTTGCTGACGACTTTCTGCTACACTGAGGAGTAAAGGTCTTTACACACCGGGACTGACGCAAATATACAACGCAAAATTACGAAATATTCAGAGTCGATTTTTTACGCAACATACTATACATATCAAGCGCGATGCAAGACGAATGTGCGTTTATTTTGACGAGACTCGATGAAAATGTTAGTGGTGGATGATGAACAGAGTTGCAAAATTCATGAGCATTTCGTCAGTCAACAATAAACATATATTCTGCAGTGTTGTTTTTGTTGACGATGACGTTGACGAAATATTTTCATCAACATTATCGCCAACGAAAACAACACTGGTATGTTGAATCTGAACAGGTTAGCTTATGAGCTAAAGTTACTTAGCACAGATAAAAGTTAAAACAAAGACGTTTAGCAAACTGTTAAAGCACACAAACCATCGTCATATGAGAAATCCGACGCTATGACTCTCCACAAGTTGTTATCTTTGTAATGTGTCTGTTTTTTAAAATTTTTTTATCATAAAGCACTCTGTTCTTCGACACGTAAACAATCAGCCGGTTGGCCATGTTTGATATACCGGTGAATCTGACATCGCAACAACACGCAATCTGATTGCAGAATTGGACACACAGTATGCAAAACTTTAGAAAATTCAACCGTGAAACGAAAAAAATAAATGCAGCAATATCGCAGGACGGGAAAACGTTGCTGATGTGAATGCTTGTATTGACAGGATACGGGTTCGAAAAGAAAAATTGACGTCCGAAATAATCAAATGAAAAAAACGGTGTGAAAGGACCTTAACTTTGCCTCTTTTGTTTGGACCTTGTTGTCAGTCCAATAACTCATTTCATATGCTATAGTTTTGTTCTACAGTATTGTTTCCATCCCTCCACAGCAGCTGCACTCTTTGCTTGTGTCCAGCAGCAGAAGACTAGAATACACAGTGTGCTCTTCTCCTCTTGTGATGACTCTGCTTTGAATGCCCTCTAGATTTGGGCCAAGCTTTGATGAGTCAGCCTCCCAGTGATCTCTTGTCACTGCCTCATCTGTCATTGGCATTATTACCAGATAAAAAGCAGACTAAAGAACAGACAGGTGTGCACATGTGTTTCGGTTTACACCCCTGGATGCTCACTGTCTGGGGGGAAAAAAGTGGGTTCAAGAGGTGAGTTCAACAATAAAGCAGCTAGCACTTGTTATCTTTGTCCCATTTTCCCTTTATAGCTTCACCTTACCATCTTTGTCCATGTGACTGTCTATCTACCAGTTAACATATAACATCAGTGCTGCTGCGCCTGTTGCGGCTGTAGCTCTCTGGAAGATGGCTGACATGTAGAGAGTCGGCAGTGGGTGGCCTTTGGCACTACGGAAAGGTTCAAAGGTCGATGGGTGGCCGCCTGGTCAGAGAACACTGCTGCTTTGAATCATGGGAGAAGCGCTAGTCTACAACTTTTCTGACAGCGGATATAAAGTGAATAGATGTTCGAGCAAAGGCAGTGCACTAGATTTATAAATAGGGCCGGGTACTCTGTGTCTGGGATTATCAAATAAATAAAAAGTTAGTCACAAAGGAAATAGTGATGTGGATACTTTTATGGCACCAATCTAATTCTTCAAGTCAACTATCTAAAAAATGCTTTGTCATTGGGTCCAAATTTTCAAAGGGCAAACTTTATCAGAGATTGCGAGCCAGTTAACCTGCAGCGTGCTTGTACTGAGCTCAAATAAATCCTGTGATTTACCGTCTGAAGTTACATGAGATGGAAAAACAGATCTGAACCCAGAGGCAGGGTTTGTTGGTGTTTTGTTTTGTTGACCTGTGTTTCTGCTGCTGCTGCTGCTGCTGCTCAAGTCAAGGATGTCTGATACACTGCACACATTAAACCTCGAAGTGAGCTGTGTTTTCTCACTGGGCTCAGATAATTTGTTGACAAGTGTAATTTCTTTTGGACCAAAAAGTAAATAGTAACAGTAAAAGTAAATAATAGCTGAAGTTAAAAGATATTTGGATGATTTGGTCTGAGATACTAATAAAAAGAGAGTCTGGTGAATTGCCCAAAGCCTCCTGGGAAAACCCTGCTGGCTTCCCTTTTGTCCAGAACTTAAAAGATTATAATAAACAGTTTTATGTTTGTTTCCCAAGAATCAGCTTTAGTGAAAAACCAAGCTTTGTGGTTTTTTGAACAGATTCATCTAAAATTAGTTGATCAGGACAACAAAGGACAGCAATCCCTGCTTAAAAATAATAGTCATGTGACCTCTGTTTCTTTTTTTTTTTTTTTTTTTTTTTTTGTGTTCACATACCATTTGTGTTCTTTCTTCTAGTAAACTTTTGCAAGTCATAGGAGAGTATTTGTGAAATATGACGCTGGTCTCTTGCGAGGCTCAGCAGTTTGTTCAGCTGAGACAAAGCTGTAAAGTCTGTTGCCAGCAGACATTAAGAAAACAGCAGCTTTAGGTCACTGTGAGACTGCTTTTCTTTGGTGGTTTGTAGTGCTAAGTTGAGGATTAGATTATGAAAAAAAAATCTGAATTCAACCTGTTTGTGTTGGACGTGTCAGCATGCTGATTTCATGCTGTAAACTCTCCTGATTTTCTTCCCCCACTATGGAAACACCGGCACAGAAAGGTAGCACACACAGAGTGGGGTTAATCCATCCACATTCTTTGGAAGTTATATACTTCAACACAAACTGGGTGTGGTGGTTTCTAAGAGCAAAAACTATTTACAGTTGTTGTGAGTGTGCTGCACACCTTAACAGGTGTTTCTCTAAGACACCTTTCCTTGTAATCCTACTTCAGAGAGAGACTGTGAGCCCTACCTCTTTCTGACAAACCTGTTGAGGGAGGCAAACTGAGAGTTTCCTCACACAAGTTTTGACAACAAACCAGACCGGGTGAATATTTAGTTTAAGGCGATTTTTGTGCTCGTTCTCAAGAATGTTGTTATTTTTGAAAAAGACAGAAAAATGGAAATCTCAGTATTTTATTCTTAGTTTTGGTTCATGTGACTCACTGATGACTGGACAGTCAGGTGTGTGGGAAACAAAAGCAGAGAAACAAAGTGCCTACCACATTATTGACGTCACACACTGTTGATTACCTCAGCAGCTTATTCATGTTTCCTGGTCAAGCTTTGTGTATTAAATACAGTGTTGTAGACCTGATTCATTATTTTAGATACAACATCAACTACAAAGGGAAATGCATTTGCTGTTTTATCAACCACTTATACATCCCCAGTGCAGAGAGAGTCTGAAAGTCCTATATTCAGAGCTCAAATGGCCTTGGGTAGCAATTACTGCCTCAGCACCATGAGATATTTTGGACCCAGAACAATACAGTAGTTATGTGAGGGGGTAAAATTTTCAGTTTACTGACGTAGCAGAGGAAATTTCAATATTTTTTTTACTAGAATGTCAATGAGCATTTTCTAAAAAGAGTACACTGATTTTTTTATTATCATAATTACACAAATGTACTAAAAAACTGCTTTTCAATTGAAGTACAGATGACTGTCTTCAGCTGTGATGCTTTACTCTACATGCTGTCATCGGTGCTAAGAGGATGGATTTTAACTATTTAATAACTGGATCTCTAAATCACTCAAACTTTTTTCCTGTTTCGTTTATAGTGGATAAAAAAGTTTCTGTTTACACAAACCAGCCATAACATTATAAACACTGAGACCATGTAGTGTGTTTATACTGTGATCGTGCCGTTTATAAGATATTGTTACTGACTTAATATATCTGTTTGTGTGTGTGTGCAGAGGGAATCCCTCAGGTGTACTACTTTGGTCCGTGCGGAAAGTACAACGCCATGGTGCTGGAGCTTCTGGGGCCCAGTCTAGAGGATCTGTTTGACCTCTGTGACCGCACCTTCACCCTCAAGACCGTCCTCATGATAGCCATACAGCTGGTAAGACCTGAAGGATCAGAGCTGCAATCATAGAGTGGATTAAGATCAACAATCTTTGTTTATTTAAGCTCAACAGGATATGAAGTGAAGCTTTCAATATATTTTGTACAGTAGAGGTCATTTGAATGTGCTGCAAGGAAAATGACTAAAATATCTGGTGTGTGGATGTCAGGTTATGTTCATCCGTATTCAGTTTTTGCTTGTGTATTGTTGGAAAGCTAACTGAATAAAAAGGTAATTAAAAATGACGTCATCTGTTCATTGTGCTCGTAGATTACACGGATGGAGTACGTCCACACCAAGAGTCTGATATACAGAGATGTGAAGCCAGAGAACTTCCTGGTTGGGCGGCCAGGGAGCAAGAGGCAGCACACCATCCACATCATCGACTTTGGTCTGGCCAAAGAGTATATAGACCCCGAGACCAAAAAACACATCCCCTACAGGGAGCACAAGAGTCTGACCGGGACGGCACGCTACATGAGTATCAACACACACCTGGGAAAAGGTGAGAAAGAAACCAGGAACCAGACAGATACTGTGATGAATCCTTTGGGTCTAAGTGGAATTGAATGAATATGTTAAAAAGAATCATTACTGACAAGTACACTGAATTATGAACAAACTCCTTTTTGTAGCTGCTTTTAATCATTGTAAACGCGTACCCTTGGAAATGAGTGTACCTAATATGTTTGTTGAGATCAGCACAGTGTCTTAAAGCTTGTCAAGAATCTTTATCTGCCTTTCAAACATTTCTCTTGAGATTTCTCTGAAGTGTAGCTTGATTTCTGGGAAATTTGAAGCTTGTAATCGTTTTGATGTGATTTTTTTCCCCTTTTATGGTGGCAATAATCAATCATGTTCCAGGAAGTGTTAACAGTCTGCATGTTTACGTCCGACCAGTCACCTTAAGAGGGCGACCTCACTGATAACCCTCATTGAGAACCAAAATCTGCAGACGGTTGGCTCTCCTTCGGCTTTCTGCTGTGCTGTTAATCACAGCCTTCTATTCAGCACTGTACTGTACATAGAAATTATCACTCCCAGGTTATTGTGTTGTACTGACTACTGCACAGTTGCCTGTTAACCTTGTCAGCCGCTTACAGAATGAATTTGTCTCTCACAGGTAATCTAATTTCTTTCTCGTTCTGTCGTTCCAGAGCAAAGCAGAAGGGATGATTTGGAGGCGCTGGGTCACATGTTTATGTACTTCCTCCGAGGCAGCCTCCCCTGGCAGGGCCTGAAGGTACTGAAGCATATTGCTCTGCATCATCCGTGGTGATTTATGTCAGGTTCCTGTAATCCTTTCAGTGCGTAGTAAGGACATACCCTCTCAATACAGTATCTCTTTCATACTACATATCATCCTCATGACCTCAGGGACAGGAACCCTGCTCACAACTCTGTCCTCTTACTCTAATGACTTTTCAAGGTCTACAAACTGATAAATCTGTGTTGTTTGTTGAATTCGACCTGCTCTGACACTCACACACACTATTGGCTGCTCAGGATTCAAAAAGTCTCTGGAGTTTTCAAAATGATTCACTCATCCTTTACAGCAAAACGGCCCATCTGTCAATCCCTTATTCTACACATTAACAAGCACTATTTCCTTAACACTGATCAGCTGTCTGGATCCTGAAGATACTTTTGCTGCATTTGTAAATCAGTTGACTGGACTCAGTTGAAGAGACTCAAACATCCATAGGGAGCTTGGAGTAAATCCCCTGCTCTTCACGTCACAAGGAGCCAGTTGAAGTGGTTAGTTGATAAGGATGCCTCGTCTTAGAGGTGTTCCAGACCCCACTGAGTAGACCAAGAGCTTACTGGGGTGATGTCTGGGTTGACTTGCTCAGACTGCTACTTCTGTGACCTGACCCAAGTGAAGCAGAAGAAAACGGATGGATGAATGGACTCCACATATTATCAAACAATCCTTTTGAACCCAATAGACGAAGCCAGATAGCATAACGGACAAACAATAAAGCGTTTAAAAACGCACCGTTTCAATACATTTAATGGAGTATTAGACCACATGCATGATGAAGATCAAAACAAATGTTTGAACGTTTCGCTCACCTGTAAAGAAGAGACATCGAGTGTTAGGAGGGCAGGGTATAGATGCACACAGTTGCTCGCAGGCTTCAGAATCAAAGGTGCACATACAGTAGCGCTGACTACAAGACAAGACACCTCATCTTAACATTTGCTGTGTGGGAGGCAGCTCGTGGTGGATGAATGTGAGGGGTGTATGATTGTGGAGGATGACGGGTGGCTCAGGCCAGCTCTCACCGACACACAGCATAACAGTTGGCACCAAAACACAATGAAGAAGTATAGATCTGGAACTATGGAGTATAACAGTAAACAAACCTGCAGGAGGGTACTTGGTAAGTGTCGCAGGATTAGAGGGGGAGAAGCTTTTTTGGTCTGTAGTTGATACTGGTACTCTCAAGATGCTGCCTGAACAACACTACAGCGTGAGAACCTGTCCTTATGAGATAATACTTCCTGTCGAAAAAGAGAAGTAATTGACAGACACCAGCTGACTCCCTAGTGCCACACTGTGGTGTAGAAATTCGGCTTTAAAGCTGGAGTGAAAGACTCTTAGACAGAAGTTAACCTCTGTTACTTTCAAGCCTTGGGTAATTAAGTTCTACATATCTTGTTAAGCCTATTAGTTGATGGTAACGAGTGCTAAAATACCAGTCAATCAAATTTTATTTATATAGCCTCAAATCATATGTGTTATTGATGTCAGTTAGGCTGATGTTCATTTCTGCAGCAAAAGTCCAGAGGAACCTAAGAGACTCAGGGACACTCAGAAAGATTTGGTTAGTAACTTTAATGGGACATGAGGATCTGAAGGAGAGAGAGGGACAGACAGGAGCTCAGTGTGCCAGATCTAAACCTATAGCAGCATAACTAAGAGCTGGTTCAAACCTGCCCTAACTATAAGCTTTATCAAAGAGGAAAGTTTTAAGTCTATTCTTGAAAGTTGAGAGGGTGTCTGCCTGCTGATAGCTGAAAGCTCTACCTCTAAAACATGAGGAACATACAACCAGAATTTTACTGAACACGACAGATGAACATGACTTTGCTGTGAACTTCAGTCAATTTGAGCTGGCTGACAACCAGCATACAGGTTGCATCTCTCCCCCTGTTACTTTTTCTATACCAGATGTAAACATGGTATAGATGCATGCTAAAGAAGTTGAAGGTATTCTAGTCTGTCCTATTGTATTTTGTTCTATTTCTCTTACAACCAGGAGGGGGGAACAAAAGTTTTCTTACTGCAGCTTTAAATTTGTGATGCAGAAGGATCTGTTTTTAAGTGCTGTGGTTTACACAAACGCAGTTTCCTACGTTTTTCGGTGACCTTGTGAAAGTCTAAAGCACCGTGGCAGACAGAGCTGATTTTCAACAACACAAGCCTTCAGTGTGTCTCGTAATGACTTGAGCACTTGACTAGCCACAGGATTTGCATTCTTTTCTGTGCTTAATTACACCTGTTGAATTGTACTGCAAGCAGCTCCAGATGAACTCAGTTTCTACATGTAATATGTATTTCTATGTGTCTCTCAGGCGGACACTTTGAAGGAGAGGTATCAGAAGATTGGGGACACCAAACGGGCCACACCCATTGAAGTGCTTTGTGAAAGCTTCCCTGGTGGGTAGAAATGATCTGTTTCCGTTTGTTCCCAGCATTAATGAATCTAACACTCACTAAATGATTATTATAAAATAACAATATCTCCTCTTTGGTTACAGAAGAGATGGCCACCTACCTGCGCTATGTGAGGAGGCTGGACTTCTTTGAGAAGCCTGATTATGACTACTTGAGGAAGCTCTTCACCGATCTGTTCGACAGGAACGGCTACGTCTTTGACTATGAATACGACTGGGTCGGCAAATCACTTGTGAGTACCTCTTACTGAACCCTCTCATCCTCTTCTGAAATCATTTGATTGAGCCATCTTGATAGCAGATGTTTCATTTCTCTCACTGGTTTATTGTCAGTCAACCCTTATATATAAATATTTAAAAGACCTTCAATGTCATGATCTAGAAACCCTGTTTCAAGGTCATGGAGGTAAATAGAGCTTGGGGAAAGTGATAATATTCTGAGGAATTCAGAGATTTAAATCCACAGATTTGTGTGAGTGAATGGAAAAAGTAATTCTCTGAGATTGAAGTGAACGTATAACAAACTAAGGAGAAATGCAGGGCTTGAGACTGAGACCTTGATTTCACAATGTGCGAGTAAGAATTTCATCTGGTAGTGCATATGTTGTAATGCTCCCTCTAACACAGGCCCTGTATTAGAAATTGTGGTCGAAAGTCACCCTCTTTATCACTGGCTTAGTCAGGCTCCTCCACCTGCACCCTCTCCTGTTCTGAAGGGAGAGTGCCATCGCATCGCACACCAAAGACAAACAGAACTTCACAACAACAAGAGTTTAGTTATTTTCTCAAATGAAGCGGTCTATTGCTGATTATTTCTAAAAAAAAAATAATGAGGAGAGGGAGGAGGAGGAGGCTGGTGGTGAGGGAGAGCCAGCAAAAGGTGCCAGATCAGACGGTACTGATGATGAAAAGGACAGTGAGACACGGCCGAGCAGCAGGTGAAGAAAAAAAACACTGCTTTCAACGATTGTGGCGTCCACAGTACCCGTGGTTGCTGAATGAGGGGAGAGCTATGTTGTGTGTTTGTCAACAGTGTGGCCCATCTGTTGCAGGCAACTCTAAGTGAGTAATCGCTCAACAGATGAGAATGAAATTGTCATTTAGTTTAATACAGTCTATAAAATAGCCAGAGAGGAACTTCCATTCACACAATTCAAATCACAGATCGTACTGATGAAGAAAAATGAGGGTCTTCTTTTAAAATGATAGAAAAGAAATGAGCTTCTTCTGTCACGGACAAACTTAATACTCACAGTTAAATATTTTGCAAATGTCATACCTCGCGTCACTGTTGATCTTTACTTCATATGAAACTATAGTATGCCAATTCAGACAGCTATTCATCTGCATGCATGGTCATGCTGTTCCCCCAAATAAAGACCAAATCATGTGCTGTGCTACCAGTGGGAAAAATTAGTGTCGAGCCCTGGGATGACTGATAAGAAACTTGAAGTCTACGCTCTGAGTTAACATTTCTAGTCATTTTTGAGTGTTTTCTCTAAATATCACTGTCCTCTTTAGTCTCTACCTTTCTTCACCAACATTTGGTCTGACTAAAGTTGATGTTCTGTGTGGGGAAATATTCTAAAATCTATTTAATAAATGTTCTTCGGAATCTTCTTTGAATCGTCTCTTTTCTTTCCTTGTGTTTCCTGCAGCCCACACCGATAGGCCCTATCCCCAGCGACACGCCCCTGCAGCCGAGCAGCAGAGACAAAGCACAACAGCAGACCAAAAACCAGGTGAGTTCACCGGCATTAAAGCAGAACAAACACCACAACCAACCAACCAACCAGCCAACCAGCTGACTGACCAACCAGCCAGCCAACCAGCCAACCCTGTCGGTCAGGTTCCCCTGCCAGACTGCTCTTATATATTTACTTCCTGGAGAAAATGGCTGCCGTTCACTTCCACTTCTTCATTTGTGTTCCTGTCCACAGTCAGTTGTTGACAGTGACGTCATCTATCCAAACAGTCCTCGTCAGACACTCTGACTTTGATAAACAGGTGCCTCAGTAGGAGATGAAATCCTACAAACAATCACCAGAAAGGCTTTCTCTTGCTCCAGCTGTGAAACAAAGCTATTCAATGAAGTCTTCACACTTTGCCTCTCTAAGATCAAGTCATTGTGTGCATGAGTTGACAATGTGAACCACATTGTTCATACCAGCAATGACGTACTTGGTATGTGACAAAGTGTGGACCTATTCCTCTTAGTGGCATGCAAACCGAGCCTTGTAATAGTGTAAGTTTAGTCTTAGAGTGATAGTTGAAAACAAACAAGAAACAAGGAACATGTTGCTGTACTTTAAAGGTCTGACTCAGAGGCTCCGATAAAACCATCCAGTTAGTACACTAGTTTTATCATGACTGATTACAGTGAACTCTAGACTCTTTTTACTGCCCTCCATTATTGTGATTAGCTTGGTAACAGCTTACCCAGCCAATCACTTCTGAGCACATTTTGTCAGACTGTGAAAACCTGAGACTTCCTGGTCTCAACAGTCAGCTGTATCAGAGGAAAGCATCTGCTGTCTGTCTGCGTAGCTGAATCTGTTGGTGGGAAGATAAGGCGTAGTGCCTGCTCTGCAAATGAAAGCAGAACCTCTGACAGAAAGAAACTCTGAAGTTGAGCCTTTAAAAACACATACGTGTTGTATCAGATATGTAGTGCTAGCTGAGGTGATCAAGGCTGTCTTCTTTTACTCCTGCATGACTTGATTTAGTGTGTTGATCTGTGCTTTGCGTCAAATTTTGCTCCCCTCTACTCCTCTATTAACATAGTTTGTCTTAACAAGCCTGCTTCTGCTTGGAAGATGTCTTCTATAATTTTTTTGTTGTTGTTTCCTTGTTTTTTATTCACTCACTCCCCTTTCCTCCTTGTCCCCCCACCACATCGCCTCACCCCCTGACCCTCACCCTCCCCCCACCTCTTCTCACCTTTTCACCACCACCTGCCTCAACCCTTTTTGCTCTTTGCGTCAAGTCGCCTGAGCCCAAAGGAAGTGAGTCTCAGCCCACTCCAGTGACCAATAAGGAGACTCTGGGGTCGCACCTCACAGCTGAGCGGCTGGGGGGCTCTGTTCAGGTACTGCTGCTAATGCTACTGCTGCCGCTCTGATGGCTGATGCATGTAGCCATATAGTTTTTTTTTTTTTCTGTGCGTGTCTGACCCCCCTCTCTCACTCTGACTTCACTCTGCCTGGCTGACAGGTAATCTGTCCTGACTCTCTCTCTTTCTCTCTCTCTCTCTCTCTGACTGCATCAGACCGTTTGAATCCCTGTGTGTCAGTGCTTTGCCTGTTCTGTTTGCTCTCACCGCTTCATTCGCCTCATCTGCAATTAGCTGCCCACAGGGAGGACCTTGAAAAGATGACATCCAACAGCAACTGCCATGCAAACTTCATGACATTAAAAGATGAATTAAGAGCATAAATGGGGGAACCTTCACCTTTAACCACGTGTTCGTAATGTTTTATGGCCAAATGTAAATCATTAGGACTAAGAGGCCTGCATTGTTACTGTGGCAGATTCCTGACACCCAGTGGTGGCTAATTGAACTGCAGCTTTTAAAGAGGGGTTCACACTTTTCAAGTCTGTCCTAAAATATTCATACCATCGAGGACATCTGCACTTACGAGGCATGAACAGACATGAAAAATGTGATCATTCCGGTGTGGAGGGATTTCAGGTGACTTGTTAAGGCGCTCTCCCCTACCCTACCTGAGACAGCAGCGACACAGAAGTATTCACTCACACATCTTTAAATGTGAATGTCCATCACCACACTACGACCAGCGGCTCTGCGTTTTAATTGTAGAAGTGAGCAGTCTGCCGTTCTTCTGTGCTTGTGCAGGTGATGAGCTCAACGAATGGCGAGCTGAACACTGATGATCCCACAGCCGGACACTCCAACGCTCCCATCACCGCTCCCACTGAGGTTGAAGTGGCCGACGAAACCAAGTATGAAACAGATACATAGAAGGGTTACAAAACCCTCTTGTACCCTCTTCTAGATCTTTTTTAAAGTTTTATGCTTTTGTCAAATATAAGCAGACAGTCATTTAAAAAATAAAAGTTACACAAGTGAGCAGAGAAGCCTCTACATGCACCGTGTGAGGCAGATTATTTCTGAGATCCTTCTCCACCCTTACCTGGTGTTAAATCCAAACTTCTGCCTTTTATTGAATTTAGCGGTAATACAAAATGTTTCTATGTCACCCCTTAAAAATGAACTAAGTTGATTACACAGACATGAGCCTTATCTGGCTGCAAGAGGTCATATCATGATTATTTTTTTCTGTACTGTTTTTATTAAGTTAGATTGAATTGTGTGTATATGCTTTAATGAAAACACAAAATTTTTTCCACCAACATTTCACATTTAATACAAACAAAGTATTATTCCTAATCTGCCCTGAACTTTACAGGGTGAGTATAGACTAAGAGTCTTTTTAACATTTTCAAACAGGAAGTGCTTTTATGTACTCTGTCGTATTTTTCATACACAAGTCGACTTGTCAGAAGCATATTAAAAATCTGGCTGCTTAACTGTTTGGAAAAACCGTCATTAAGCCATAGGGAACTTCACTTTAGAATAATGAAAACAATCTCGTGTAATCACATGATGCTATAATAATCAGCTTGGAGCTCCAGATGTTTTCTAAATGTTCATACACAGAGAAGGAAATTTATGAAATCTTTGAATCAGCAGTTTAAAGTAGGGGTGTCAACATCTACACGTGTAAACAGATGCACAGATAACAAATCAAAACCGTTTGGAAAAATCAAGAGCCGTTTACAGGCTTTCTTTTCCTCCTCCTCGATCATATCTCACCAAGATATAAACATAATGTTGCCTGAAAGCTTCAGATAATAACATTAACGAACTATACATTTAAATGTTCCCACTAGTGAAGTTCTCCGCATACCTAATAGATGAATTGGGCACAATGTTACGTTCATTAATAAATATATAAAGATCCCGTAGCCTGCACAGTCAGTGTCACGTTACTTTTAGTTGACTCGGCGATGGCGGTGGTCAACAAGTGGAGCACTGCCTGACAGTTTTTTGAACAAACTGCCAGTGGAAATCCAGTTGAGTGTAGGCTATGTCAGGTAAAGTTGGCTTACAACAACAACAGCACAGGGTCCATGTTAACTACCTGCAATGGAAACACCCGAACAAGTTGGAGGGAGAGATTGCTGCTGGTATTGATGCTACGGCTAGCGATTCACAGGCTAGCATGAGGGATTATACATACAACAAGGCGAAGAAATGTGACAAGGCACAGAGTGAGCATATCAGCAACTTCATAGCTGAAATGGTGGTCCACGACATCATCAAATCAAATTTCATATCAAATTTTATGTATCTGGTGCAGATTCACAACAGCCGTCATCCTAAGACGCTTTCCAAAGAAAAAGAGCAGGTCTAGACCACGCTCACTGTTTGATGATTTATCAAGACCCAAACTAATATGGGATTTGGCCCATCTCATCGAACATGAGTGACAGTGGCAAGGAAAAACTTCCTTAACAGGCAGAAACCTTGAGCAGGACCAGGTGCCTGATAGCTAAAAGCTCTACCTCCAATACTACTTTTAGAGACATTTCGTACAGCGAGCAGACTTGCAGACTGTGAGTGTAAGGGTCTATGTTTTGGACCAGCTGTATAGTCCTTAAAGACTTATTAATGCAGCCTGATAAGAGAGAAATACAGTAATCCAGCCTAGAAGTAACAAAAGCATGGACGAGTTTGTCTGCATCACTCTGAGACAGGATGGGTCTAAAAAAAAGTGGAAAAAAGCTATCCTTGAGATTTGTTGAATGTGGGAGCTAAAGGATAAATCCTGATCAAATAACACTCCCAGATTCCGTACAAAGAGACCTGATGCCAGACTGATGCCATCTAGCGTAGTTATGTTTTTAGAAAATACCTCTCTAAGGTGTTTAGGACCAAGGACAAGAACTTCAGTTTTGACATGCTGCCTGTGTCAATGGTTGAGGATGACTGGAGCCAGGCTATGAAATTCCCTGCAGAGCAACAGTTAGCTCACAGATATCAAAGTAGGTTTTCTTGTGTGTCAAAATGAGAGATGATTTTATTTTTAAGTCATTTTACTTTCTGTCATAAGTAGGCCTAAGTCTGAAAATGTTAAATGAAGTTCTGTGATTTATTTTTTTTATGTTGATTATAACTTAGTACCTATTTGAAGTGTCTGATAACTACTGGAATGGCTTTGATTTAATGGGATCAGGAGGTGTTTGAGTGGAGACTGAACCTTCTAGTGGTTATACAGCGCAACTGCCATATAAAGAGATCTCCGCCGTCGGTTAGAATCCAGGTTTACACGTGTAGAAAAAATTGTAAACATTGACACCCTTAGTTTAAAGTAAACACTGTGTCAGGTGTTGTGTTTATAAACTGACATGTTATCAGTTCCTTTTTCTAAATGTAGTTCTCCTCTGTGTCCTGCAGGTGCTGTTGTTTCTTCAAGAGGAGAAAGAGGAAAGCCCTCCAGAGGCACAAGTGAAAGAAGAGAACAGAGAGAACTTGAAACATTGTGGTCACTGTCAAGTTTTAAATGGAAGCAACTACACAGACCCCACCCCCACCCCCCACCCATCCGTGTTCCTTATCTCTTTCCAGCTCTCCTCCTCTCACCTCTTTCTCCCTCTCACCTCATTTCCTCCATCACTCTGTACCCCCCTTCCCTTTCGCGCTCTCTCTTTCTCGTTCTCAGAGCTCCCCAGCTTCTGGTGAGCTAAAGGAATGTTGCAGTCCTACTGACTCCACAACAGACTCTTGATTCCTTTATCGATGAAATATAAACGTACCTGCATTACAACGGGGGGCTTGAGACAAAGTAAAAAAGCTGTAACAATGAAACTCGAATCCGTGGCGTGAATATGAAAAAAGATGCTGTTTGAAACAGTTGTTGTATTGATTTAGATTCCATAAAGATTGCTTATTGTTCCAACAGTCAGCTGTTGATCAGGGGGAACCATGAGTGGTTTGAGTGAATGAAAACTGCTCATTAGGAAATTGTTTTATTTTTCTTTCTTTCTTCCTTTGGTGTGTGTTTTGGGATCAAGGTAAAGAGGTAAAGGTGAACTATGCTGATGTTAAATCTGAGAGACACAGGAAGCATTTCATCTATAAAACTGAATATGGAGGATTTTTATGTTTTATTTTTTCTTCTTTTTGTAATTGAATCCTCAGTTTTCAAAGTTGAATCCCTACATTGAAAACTTATTTTTATGTTGTAGTGTTCTGGAGTTCGATTCTTTTCCTCACTCTGGCTTTCTTTTTTTGTCTGTCAACGTGGACTTTGTAGCACAGTCACTGGCCTCAGGTACTGTGGACGATCGAGAGAAACAAATATCAAATTCTCTTCTTGTTATTGCACTTTTGGAAACAAAAAAAGAGAAAACAATTACAGTGAGAAAAAAAAAAAAAACTTTAGGTTTGAAATTAACAGTTAAGAAAAACAACTTAATAAAGACTGATCTAGGAAGAGTCCTTCACAACGCTTATATCTGAGTTATGGCCGAAAAATGTTGTCGATTTACATGAAAAAAAGATATGTCTTCGATTTTTATTTCTTACATCAAAATAATTTACCAGGAAATCATAGTTTGTGCCTTTCTAAGTAAAATGTTTAAAGCTCAAGTGAGTGTCCCGCAATGACGTTTTATCTAATCTGTCCCAAATGCTCAGTGGATTACTGTGTGTTTGTGCATTATGTGTGTGTGAGTGTGTGTGCGTATGTGTGACTGGAACTCTGGAGGTTTAAATGAATGTGTTAAATAACTTTGTGCATGTTTGCTCTCACTTATAAAGCAGTATCTATCCCTCCCCTTCATCCTGCACTGTGACAATCAACACATCTATACGGCGTCGGCGTGTCGAGAGACTGGGAAAGTGTGTGTCTCTCTGTGTGTGCGTGTGTGTTAGTTACAGAGAGAAGTGTTTATGGTGCCAGCTTAAGATTCAACAAACAACAACAACACAAATCAGTATGAGCCCTGTTTTGTATTTGTAGAGTCACAGGCAGCCAGGTTTTCTTGTCCAAAGAGCGCATTAGGTATCTGGATTTTCAGGTTTTAACCCTCCGGAAGTTGAAGTTTTCCATGAATCGCCCTTTTTTAATTTCTTTTCCTGGAGTACACAACTTTAGCGTCACGTGAGGCTGCAGCAGCAGAGAAGTGAAGCATTATCCATCATAAAACAACAGAGAAGCAGCAAAAACATGTTTTGTCTCTCACTATACTGACTTCTATTTCATAAATAAGAAAAGTAGAGTTTGTGTACAAGACATGTGCAACTCTGGCCTTATTTGCTCTTTGACATTGTTTGCTTTTCTGAAACGGTTAATCCCTCCACACAGTGGTTGCAGGGTCATTTTCCTTCCCATCCATCTAGGCTTTACAGTTGCAGCTCCAGATTTCATTTTCTCAGTGACCATGTGTTGTTTTTTTAGCTGATTTATTATTTTCAGCTTGGTGCTCCCAGTTAAAAATCCACCTTCCAGATAACGCCAAGTGTTCTGACCTGAAGTTGTATTCTCTCATGTGTTTGCATAAAGGTTAGAGACCGAAAAACAAAAATGAAAGTGGCAGAAAACCAACATGTAAGCAGACTTTTACAAAAACAGAAGTATCCTATGCTTCCTGTCATGCACCTAAATACTTTTATTCCTTCCTGGCCTTTAAATGCTATGTCACTGGGACCCCCACCTATTTGTTTTTTTAAGCAGGTATTCTGTGAAAGTTCAGTCCAAGGGAGATAACCCTGATCACATCACTGTCTTCATTTGGGTTCTGTGATCTCCTGATCTTCCTGTTAAAAATCATTAAGTTTCCCTTAAGACACATTAAAGCCTCATTACTCTGATTCAACTGGCTTAACTTTAGACCTCAGTTTACAGAAAAGCTGTATGACCAGCACATGATTACCACAACATACATGCAAATGTCCTGAAAAAGAAAAGAGGAAGTGTGTGGGTGTTTCCTAACATGAGTTTAACAATGTTCATCCTGCATTTTTTTTATTTTAATTTAGCATTTAACAGAAATTTATCACCAATTTTGACCATTTTGGTTCTAGATTGAGATAACTGTGTCACATATATAAATAAATAAATACAGTAGATCACACATTTATAATTCAATAACGTAAAATCTGGTCTTTTTTATTTCAGCTTTTAAACTTCTGCAAAGTTAAGTGGCCTGAACCCACGCTGAGGGGATAAATATAAGTGTTCATATGTGCATGAGTCTTTTCAGGGGAAGATACTGAATCACTCCTCATGTGAAGAAACTGAAAGAGGAACTGACTGTCTTTGTAACTCGAGTTATAAACCCCTCTGTGTGTTCATCAGCAGCATCAGAGGCGTGCACAGTACAGAGCTGTAGAACAAACACTTAGACTGAACACCTCTCCAGATGCGTTTTTACGCGTGCAAATTTCGGGGGAATTTGATTAGTGAATTAAGCTTTTCTCAAAGCATTAAATTATTCTGCTGAAAGCTAAACCACTTCAGCTGACCAGCGTAGGGAACCAGCTTGGAATAATCCACTACATTGCGTTTATTGTTACTTTTGGAGATTTTTTTGGCGCATACCCAAGCTCAAAGGTTGAAGTCGTTTTTTTTTTTTTGCCCAAGGTCTTGTTAATGTTACAATTTGAATCATGTATTTGTCAATATGAAAAGGACAGATCTGTTACTGTGAATAAAGGAAGTTCTATCACAGGAGACGGTCAATCATGGAGCCGTATGTGCGCACCGAGCGCTCTTTATCGCTCTTCAAGAGGTTATGTTACGCTGTGGGACATTTCCAGAACGACCTGTGCGCCTCTATGTGGTTCACCTATCTCCTGGTCTACCTCCACAACGTGCTGGGCTTGCAGAGCACCTATGCAGGTGTGCTGCTGCTGATTGGACAAATAGCTGACGGGATCTGTACGCCTTTGGTGGGATATGAATCTGACAAAACGCTATCAGGTATCTGCGGAAAGAGAAAGTCCTGGCATCTGCTGGGTAAGTACCTGAATATTCATCAAATATGCAGGTTTGTCTGAGTAGAAGAAATTCTAAGGTATCTCACAATGAAGAGATAACACTGCGAGGAAATTATATGAGCTGGCTATTCTTTTGGGTTAGGGGAGACCGGGGATGGTTGTAACATTTTTGACATTTCTGTATCTTAGAGCTCCTTTAAGCCAATGTATTCAAACTGTGAAACAAACTAGGTAGATGTGTCCGCTATTAACGGCTGTAGCAGGTACCCCTGCAACACAAACAGACAACGCGTAATTTAGTCTCAAACACAAGGAGTGAAATGTTACAGTTTACCACATAGTCTGGCTTAGTTGTAACATATCCAGGGGTGAAATGGGACATTAAAAAATCAGGATAATGACAAAACTTTATGAATTGGAAGCTTTTTATTTCACACTTTAAAGACATCTTAACATAACTGAATATGAGTAGGCTATGTGTGTTTGTGCTTTTTTTTGTCTAGCATCTTGACAAGGTGACGAGACAGAGGCCAACTGTAGACAATTTCTATGGCACTCCTAGAGTGTGGGTCTTATAGGTCCAGTGGGTCTAAAGGTCCTTTCACACCGGGACCGTATTTTTAGTGCGATTATTTTTTTTTTTCAAACCCGTGTCCTGTCAATACAAGCGTTCACATCAGCGATGTTTTCCCGTCCTCCAATATTGCAGCATTTCTTTTTTCGGATCATGGTCGATTTTTTAAAAGTTTTTAAAGCATACTGTGTGTCCACTTCTGACCAATCAGATTGCGTGTTGTTGCGACCTCTGATTCACCGGTATATCCAACATGGCCGACCGGCACTGAACAGAGTGCTTTTTGATTAAAAAAAAAAAAAAATTACAAAGATGACGACCTGAAGGACAACTTGTGGAGAGTCATAGCGTCGGATCTCTCATATGACGATGGTTTATGCGCTTCAACAGTTTGCTGAACATCTTCGTTTTATCTTTCATCCGTGCTAACGTAAGCTAACGGTTGTTACCATAGTTTCATGTGCTTATCTTATCGCCTCTGATCGGCTATAAGTGCTGACCGTTTGGCTTGAGCGTGTGATGACGTTTCCAGCTTTTCTAGCCAATCAGAGGTGAAGGAGGCGGGACCTTCCCCGGCAGAAGTCTTCCCCGGGATGGTCTGACTACCACAGGTTCCTACATGTACACATGTGGAACAAGGACTAAACTAAGCATGTGCAGAGTGAGTCAGGTGATTTGTAAAATTGTTCCTAATTGAAGAAATTTGAAGCGTTACAATTGACCTGTGTTACAACCATCCCCGGTCTCCCCTACTATTATGACCAATTTCTTAGCAGAGGCATTTAATGTGACTGTCTGAGTGGTAGGCTGGCTGGTATCTTTAGACTAAAATCAGCTTCTATTTATTGATGATAATATAGTGGACGTTATTTACTCCTTCATTGTGAGGTTGTGGTCCACAGACAAAAGTTTAAGTGCTTAAACTATGAGACTATTCCCCCTAGGCAGTGTTTTAGTGGCTTTTTATGTTCATATCAAACTTACTTGCACAGAGAAAAAATTATTATGGCATGCTGAAAACCAAAACTTAAGCAGACCTGTATTGTAGACTCATATTTGAATATTATTTAGGTAATTCTGTTTCTACTTTCCAGGGACTCTCAGTGTTATTTTATCATTCCCCTTCATTTTCAACCCGTGCCTGGCCTGCACCGACAACACTCCTCAGTGGGCTCAGATTTTGTACTTCTCCCCCTTCATCATCGTCTTCCAGTTCGGCTGGGCAGCCACCCAGATCTCACACCTGTCCCTCATCCCTGAGCTCGTGAGCCGGGAGAGCGAGAAGGTGGAGCTAACGGCGTACAGGTGAGCTGACGTCAACAGGAGATGCAGGATGCAGGAAGAAAAAGAAAAAAAAAATTAAATCCCCTTTTTTTTTTTTTCTTTTTTTTTTTTTTTTTTTGATTTTTTTAAAGGATATTAAACAAATTCATGGACAAGTTTGGGTGAAAAAAAAATAGTACAGCAATACCTTTGTTTTGGCCACGCCTCCTTACACTTGGAGCAGTCTATCTGAATAAACTTGCAGTAAATTGAGAATCCAAGTCTTTTATCAGCTAATACCTTCAAGATATGTGCCATTTACCAGTGTATAATCGCTGATATGAGTAATGTTTGAAGTCATTATTATTAGGTCTAAAAAAAACTAGACGTCTAACAGCCGTCTATTGCTCAGTGGGTTTGTTTGGACACACATTTTTGATACAGCATTAAAATTAGTAAAAGCTTTTCTTCAACGTTGGCAGTTGAGACACAGGCCATGCTAACCAAATTATGTGGTGGTACGTCAACATGTGTCATGCAATGTCTTAAGTTTTAGTCAGAGTTAGCTCATAGCAGGAAGGAGCTCTCACACACAATAGAAAACTTGATCACCTCTTTATCTTCTCTTCATATTGTCTAGCATTCACCTTGGTGCCCAAAATAATCTCCTTTTGATGCACTGTTGAAAATAAAAGCAGAACTTGTGAAACTGTCTGTTTAGATCCGTGTCTGAGGTGATGATTACACTGGAGATAGTATTAGGACAAACAGGCATGAGACAGCAGACACATTTCTAGTGAAAAAGGAAGTAACTACAATAGCATTGTTTTATCCATGGCAGCCAAGATATTTCAGCTTTTAATTTTCAATGAATGAAGGAAGTGATAACAGGGTTTCTCTTTGTCTCCTGTCACTGTTCCTGAAAAGCTGTCACAAACATGTTCCTGTTTGTTTCATTCATTTCTCCTCTCGCTCAGGTATGCCTTCACCGTGGTGGCTAACATCGCAGTGTTCACTGTGGCCTGGCTGCTCTTTAAATTCCAGTCTCAACACAATCTCAACCCAACAGTCACAGATAATGTGGGCCCAGTGGACGTCCCTCTGTTCAGGGTAACGCGTGTGAAGACTAAGAAGTTCACAAACTCCTGAGAATTCAATTTTTAAAACTGTCTCTTTCTCTGTCTCCAGAATCTGGCCCTCATTATGCTGGGCATCGGAGCTGTATTCTCTGTGCTTTTTCACATGGGCACAAAAGAGGGGACACTGGCCTCAGAGAGAGAGAGTCTGCTGGTCTCACCTGCCCCTCAGGAGGCTAAGCCTCGTCCCGTGTTTCGCTGGAAGTGTTGGCTGAAGGAGCCGTCATTCTACCAGGTGATTCTAAGTCAGAGGGTTCACTATGTTCATCTCCCTGATGTTACACAAAGGGTGGGAAGTTGGAATTCTGCTGTATAGTCTCTTTACTGAACTTTTATTGAACAGTACAACTGCACTGCTCCTCAGACAATTTGCACAGAAGATTTTTACAGGCTGTAGTCTCTCTGATTGCTGATTTGTCGACCAAACAAAAGTGTTCAAACAAAGACGGGTGTCAGGTTTCTCTGTAGCCCTGTCCAGTGAAGGTGAAAAGCCAAAATCCAGGTGAATGACTTTCTCACCTGGGATAGCCTGTGGTTTGTAATTGAAGTGTTTCTGTTGGCATGAAAAGTTTTCAGGGTGATGTAAAAACCTATTTCCAAACTAAACTCTTGGGCAACTGGGTTTGCGTCATACATTTCCTCATATAAATACACTGTTGGTAACTTGAACTGTATTATAATCAGGATAAGCACTTTAACCATTTATTTGAAGAAAAGTGTTCAATATGCAACTGAAAAGACTGAATTTTCACAGAAGAAAATGTGTCTCAAGTTTGTAATCCTTAATTCAGTACGTTGGATTTCAACGAAAATAGTTTCGATGTGAAACACTTCCTGCAACCTGGTTTACTTCTCAGCAAACAGCTTTTGGCAGAACTTGCTTGATTTATGTCCATGAAAACGAAAGAGTTATTTCCATAAAAGAATCAAATGAAAAGATGACTTTTTTCCACTGTGTAGTCCTGAGGGTTTTATTGAACTGCTTCTATTCCCACTGGAATATCACCCTGAAGAGTTCACTGAAACCCGCGCACAGACCAGATGTTTGAGTTACTGTTTCTCTCACCTCATCCATCTCAATGCTTCCTTGGGAATTTTAAATTGCCTGAATATGTTTTGTATTCAAGATTTTACTACAGTAAGGGCAGTCATTTATCTGACTTTATTTATGTACCGATGTGTTTATTCTGGACTGTACAGAGCTCTAAAACACTTCAGAGATATAAAAGTTTGACAATGACTGAGTTGGATGTTCAAACTTCACCGTCTAAGATAAACGCGTGTCCTTTTGTTTGATTTTTGGACCAGATGGCTTTCCTGTACATGTGCACTCGCCTTATAGTCAACTTATCGCAGACCTACATTTCGATTTTCATCACTGCCTCGCTAATGTTACCAAAGGTAAGGCCGCACTTTGGGTATTCACATGTTCCTGACTTATCTAACTCAATATCATTATCATCACATTTCTATATCAACTTTTTATTTCTTCCTTTGTGCTTTTCCTCAGAACTTCATCGCTATCATACCTCTGGTGATGTATCTCAGCGGCTTTGTTTGCTCATTGGTCATGAAGCCACTCAGCAGGCTCATAGGAATTTATGTGAGTCTGTAAGCAATACATTATTCATTATTGATCAACATGAATATCATAAAACAACAATTAAATCACTTCTTTTTGTAGGATTTGTTATCAGTGGGTTATTGATAATGCCCATTTTCTTTTCACACCTCTGTCAGGGTGGAGAGCTTGAGTTTTAGTTTCATACGGCAGAGTTTTAGGTTGTAAATAGTATAAATGAAATCTGAAATAAAACATCAGCCAAATTTCAAGGCTATAATATTGATCAGGCACTAACAATATAATAAGTATAAATCAGAGGGGGCTGAATTTTATCTTTCTGTCAGTCACTTGACAGCATGACAGTACGTACTAATGTTACTTCAGTGTAATATGATTTTATTTTAGTGTATTAACAGGCTTAAATTAGTAGTAACAACTAACATTTCTGGTAGATCAGACACTAACAATATAATAAGTTTAAATCAAAGCTGTAGCTAACTTTAGCATTCAGCAACATTGTCCCCATCCTTGAACATAACTGGACTTTCCTCATGAACTTCTGTAGATTATCATTCAGGACTTAGCGAATAAGGAGCATCTCTTGAAAGCAACTTATGAAGTAAAAAGGCTGTTTTAGCCTCCCTTCTGTGGGTCATCTCAGAGAGAAATATTGAATTAAAATCAAATGGATGTGTCTGTTTTCAGATAACGTATTTATTGGGCCTCATGCTGGTGTTTGCATTCGGCATCTGGGTTTATGTGGCCAAGCACATGGGAGCTGACAGCATTTATGGAGCCTCAGTGCTGCTGGGAGCTGGCACAGCTACAATCCTGGTCATGTCTCTGTCCATGACCGCCACACTCATCGGGGATCAAACGGTAAGTGTGAGGAATTGAGTTCACATCCATAGACAGTTTTGCATCAACTCAACTGTAGGATAGAAATACCTAAATAAAAATTGTACTTGCCACAAATACTTATGTTTTACCTTGTTAACATGTCTCTTCAACACAACGACAACTTTAGCAGTCTTACATAAACTATTCTGGGTTGGTTGAAACACTTCCTGTTGGCATTTCTCTTTTCAATTTAAAAAAATTAATAAAAAATCAAAGTATTTCCTCTCTGTTGTTCAGGTAGTCCAGCTTGGATGTTTTACCTCAGCAGGAATGTCTTCTGCATGATATGAATTGTGTTTGAGAGATTAATGGCTGTGTGGTTGCACAAATCCCATGAGGCGTGCATGTTGTACATTTCATAAATTAATATTTCAAGTAGATTCATGGCAATGTGGAGCTAAGATTTCATGGTTTAAGGCTTGTACGAGACAGGTATTTGGTGTTTTCTACTCTTGAGATGAATATGGAAGCTTGAACTGGTCTCTTCTTTCTCTTATCTGTGATCTTTGAATGAGCGTCTTAAAGACAAGTTAAATCCAAGGTGATTTAACCCTCATAATCAGTCAAATCTTATGGCTGGTACTTGTTTCATTTATTGTCTTTGCTGATATCTAAGAAAAACTATCTAAGGAACTGAAACTGTGAAGCCAACCCTTCATATTTGAACAAATCTGAGAACTCATGCTGGTCTTATTTTTCCTTTCTGCCAAGACCTCATAATGAGACAAGTGTAAAAACTATTGGAAAGCTCACACAGGACTCACATGGGACTAACTCTGAGACTTAACCCACTTTTTTTCCTTAGGCAAGTGGGAAAATCGACCAAATCTCCTTTTTGTCTTCATTTGAGCAGATTTTTCCCCCAGAAAACATAAATGAGACATATACAAGATCTTTTCCTGAAATTTACATTGCCATGTAAAAGCCCAACCTGTATTTTCTGTAGTGTTGCTGAGCAGTAAAGCAGAGGTGTGAGGACAAGAATGTGACAGATTAACTTTGTTGATTTAATTATTTTTAATCCACAACACAGCAGTATAATACAACACTGCTACACTACAAAACTATAAAAGCATTTCAGCTTCCCAGTCAGACAGTCACATCAGAGGAGAGTGACTGTTTAATCAGTGAGCTCAAAAATCTGTGACGAAAAGTGTGGGGGCACCAACTTCCCTCCATTGTGCTTTACTGCAGTGACTTTTCATCTCTGCTTTTTTAAGCAGCAAAGTGGAGCCTTTGTTTATGGGTCCATGAGCTTCACAGACAAGGTGGCTAACGGTCTCGGGGTCATACTCATCCAGAGCCTTCGGCCGTGCAAGTAAGTTTCACGTTTGAGCAGTTCTTGGTATGGAAGTTTGTAAGAAACTGTAACCAAATATGTTCCAGCTAACAGGGAACTGAAAGCTGTCTGGGCTTGTTTTTTTTTGTGCTTGCCAGAATACAGGGGAATTCTCAACAGTTTAAACAGTGACAGCTGGTTTTGTTTTTTAAGAGTAAGCATATGTTGTTTGGCATGTGACACCTTGACATGAGGGTATATCTCTTATGACTCTTTTCCACTATAAGAAGGATGTGACAGCTCAGACATAAAAACATTTTTAAGGGGCAGGTTGATATGTAGGTATTTGCTATGTCATTTTTATTAGTTGTATATTTTGATTTAGTCATCATGCAATTCACAGTCTAGACATTTTAAACAAATGTCTACTGAACAGACATAGGCAGAGGCAAAATGAGGAATGAGACTAGTCCAATTATATGTTTTAATCAACATCATGTAGAGCAGCATCCTCCCTATCACTGAATTGATGGCTTTATGTGGTTTTCTTTGAAATTTAAGCCCCAATATAGGCTTGCTTTATTTCAACTAGTGAAAAGATGCATGTTGCTTTATTGACACTGCATCGCTGTCACCTCTGTGTTACAGTCTCTTAAACATTTCCCCTTTTTCTTACTTTCTTCTAACAGTGATGAGGCCTGCTGTCCAGACTGTGTTTGGTTCTATCGAGATGTCATGGCAGTGGTAACTGGGGGCGTGGCCATCGCTGCAGCAATTTGCCTTTTCACCATTATAACCTGGCCAATCAAGATAAGAAGAGAATCATAGACTGTATATAGACTGTATATGTACTGTATACAGTCTATGGATAGGATCAAAAACTGTGCTAAAGTTGTTTTAAACTGTGAGAACAAAAATAGATCAATCTCCCATGTGTCTTAGATTCAATAACTTACATTGCAGTAATGTTGGGACGTAATTTGGATATCAGGAGAGGAAAATGCCTTTGATACTAGTACTGGGACTCATGCTATGCTGCCATCTAGTGCGTGAAACTGTAACTACACTGTTTTCAAGGCTTTAAAAATAAATAACTGTTCTGTACTGTAATACTGTGCAAGGCCACTGCACAGGTAACATTTATCATGAGAAAAATCTTTGAGAAGATTCAGATGTGTAGAATAAATGTAAGAAATGAAATCACAGTCACACAGCCACATTTACATGAATAGAAAATTTCAGAATAGTTTTCTGGTTGAAGGGCAACTTACAGCACAATTTAACAAAGCCTGATATCGCACAACATGACAGAGATTTTATACAAATGAAAATGACCTCTGCCGAAACTTGAAAGCTAATGTTTACAGTCACTTGTAAGTGATTGTGGTGCTGCTCCGAAAAATTGGGTGAATTTGACAACTCATGATTAAGTTTTTGGAAATTTGTGTATATGTGTGTAAGAGTGTGTGTGAGCGTGAAAGGGATAAAGCGTGAAAGTCAATACCTAACCATTATAACAACAACCACTTGCTTTGATTACACTGTATTTACTATAGAGGAGAACTGATAAACACGTCGTTGGATACGGGGAAAATGGTTGTGAATCACACAAAGTATCTGTTCAAAATGAAGTGAAATCATGTGGAGGCAAAAAAATGCAATTGATAGTTGAATTAATTCAATGAAAATGTAACACTATTTTAAACTGTTAATCATAAAATCTTTTAACCAATGTTTTTATTCCTTTTTCTGTCTGTCACCCTGGTATGTAAACAGTATGCGGCAAAATTAAGGACCTGTGAATAAATAAGTGAAATTGAAAGAAAATATACCACATGGCCCTCTTAATTATTATTTTCGGTCAAAGGGTTTGATTTGTGTTCATTTTTCTGTTTTTTTTTTTTTTCAGCTGACATAAACAATGGTGAGTCCTTTTTACCATTTCTACATGAGAGAGGGCACTGTTGTACTGAACATGGGCATAACTGTGATTTTGTTGTTGGCTCTCAGCCAGCTGACTTGTCCTGAAGATAATCATAGCAGTACTGATACAGCGGCACGCCCTCTTGTGTCATACAGCCTTTGTGTAAACAGTTGTCTAAGCCAAAAATAGTGGTAAAGAGGTGTCATAAAAATGTGATACTCCACCTGTTTAATAAGCCACAACTTTAATGAAACTGAACTGTTTCTGAAAAACAAATATTTACCTGCATCTAAAAAAAAACTTTGATGCCGTTCTCTATATTTGCAGATAGGGGTTATTGTCCAGTCAGAGTACTTTTACTTACAGTCAGAACCTTTTATTAAGTACATGAAATAACCCTTACACCAAACTGTAAAAATACTTAATATCAAAGAAGCCTGGCATTAAAAAAGTTACAGTCTGTTTGTTATCTGTTTCAAATGTGTGTAAATTTATTTTTTAAAAGAGGGAAAATGTTTATATTCACTAGACTTCATCTATACTGCATGTAAAGACAAAACCATGAGATCTGTAGGCAGAGAGTACAGAGGGATAATCAATAGAGTTATCAATCTATGTCAGGAACTTGTTGGTTTTGGCTTCCCCAAGCAGACAAAGCAATCTCTGGAACAGGTCCTGTCCTGGTGAAGGTCGGTTTTCCTAAATTCATCCCACTGTCTTACGGTCAAAATAATCCTCACTTTGAATCTTTGTCTCAGAATATCGATAACTTTATCAGTTTTAGTAGCATGTGGGTAATCAGTAGGGGAGAGTGGGGTAAGATGAGACGTTTTTCATATTTCTGGTCACTACATCAAGGCAATCATAGTTTTGTCTGGTACCATAGTAGACCACTTTTTGTCATGCTATATTATCAAGACAGTTATGTTTACACTCATTCTGTTGGTTTGCAGGGATGCACAACATCCTGAAATATGTGCAGATACACTAGTTAGAGACAAAACTATGATTGCCTTGATGTAGTGATCTGAAATATGAAAAATGGCTCATCTTACCCCACCCTCCCCTGACTGATTGCATTACAAAATGCTCGCCTCTATCAGTGTCTTAACCTTGAGTGGTTTTTGTAAACCGAAGAAAACCCGCCCTCTGGCGGTTGAGAGACGGTGGTGCTTCAGTTTTGTCCGGTCGGTGGGCCTCACCATCACTGCGGACAGGCAGGCAGGCGGGACAAAGCACTTGTTCAGAGGCTGCTGCTGCTGCTGCAGCTCGAGAGGGAACCGCTTTGTACACTTCTGGCTCGGACAGCGGTTAGCGGTGGACTAGTGAAGATAACCTTGAATAAAACAGGTCAACTTTGGTGCAAATTAGCTTAGAAACGGGTGTATTTTCAGTCCGAAGCATTATTTTTCTCCAACTGCTCTGAAGTTAAAGAAAAGGAGAGATTTATCAGGAAACGGTGACTGTGAGCAAGTATTAATTCCTCTTCGGCGACCCCCTCCAGGTAAGACAATATGGAGGTAATGAAAGGTGGTTTGAGAGCCGTATTCGAGTTGTTCTTTCTCATTAAGTTTGCATGAGTGTGTTTGAAAAAGTTGTTAAAGTCCGTCGTGATAACGTTAACTGTTGTAGTAACGTTCAAAAGTAACGTTACTTAACGGTAGATTTGTAACCGTTGGCCTACGAAATTACAGTAACGTTTAAATCTGACTGTCTGACAACGTTACTCTGAAAAGACTCGATTAAAAACGATTCTTATCACCACTTCACCGAGACAGGAAAGGGAAATCTCACCGAGGACAAACTTTTCTTTTAACACTTTATAACGGTTACTATCGACTATTACTAGCTTTATCAATATAAGCTCATTTGACACGTGATTTGTCTTTGAGGCTGGAAAACTCACCTTTGACTAACTATAGTCAAAACAACAACAGAAAGTAGCAACTCTCATAACCTGAAGCTCTTAGTTATGTTTTTTGAAATTAGTTAAATGTTTTTTGTTTGTACTCACTACCATTCAATAGAGTAAAGAAACTTGAACTCCTCCATGAAGCGTCATTTTCCCACGAAGAGACACAGTGTAGAGTATGGTAGTATGGTTTGAGAATAATCCATTCAATAAATGAGGGCTGAATGATGTGAAGAAAGGGCTGAAGGTGATACTTTTACTTAAAACTTGAAGGTGACACTCCTACTGAATAGCTGTTTGAAAAAACCAGATTAATTTAAACACAATACACTTTAAGAATGACTTGTCAACTGTGTATAATGTGGATAAATTCCACAACAGCCCTTCGTGCACCCATTCATTTTTTTTTATCCCTACCTTGTTGTTCATTTTAGTTTTTTTTTTTAACATAATATAATCTTTACACTTGCTGTAGAAACACAATATTATCATAGAAATAGATTAGACTTACCTCATTACTGTGGACAAAGCCAGCATGGTATGTCATGCTCTGGCCTACCACAGTAACCAGCCTATTGTTTTGTTCCACAGATGACCAGGAAATTATCCAGTTTTCCAAAGAAAACATTTCAGCTCCAGATGTGTCGAGATCTTGAGAAGCTGACCATAAATTACTCATTACGAAAGCAAAACAAAGTACAAACAATATGGGGCATGTCCCCCTGAAGTTTTCTTTATGACTCCCTCAGTGACATAAAATACAATTTAATCTCCAAAATAAAAATAAAGAAGCATTTCTTTGACACAGCTGATTTATTTTCATTGGATGGAGATAAACATTTAGTGACTTAAGCAGACTGACTCTCTTTTTTCGATAATTTTCATTTTATTGTTTTCACGAGGAAGCGGTTTTCCAGGGATTTTTCAGTGGGGTGTTTTTAGGCAGGAAGTCCTGCCAGACTCCTGTGTGTATGCCAGTGGGTCTCAGCCTACGTGGGGCAGGGGCCTAATTGTTTTTGACAGATGTGAGGCATGTGACTGTATGACTGGAATTCCATTATCAGCAGCAGATGATAGACTCTCTGTATTGGAGTGTGGCTAAGGCTGCGGCTGGTGGGTGTCTGACCTGACCTGTGACTGTGGTCCAAACTCTGAGCTCTCCACCCAGCATGAAGATTTTAGACAAAGACTTGTGTATCACTACTACTACAACTGCTTCATCTCCTACTACTACAACTACCTCTTCAACTGTTTACTAACACAACTGCTGCCATAGCAAGTGCTTCAAGTGATCAGACACCACAGTTCAGTCAGGGTTTTTCTTTAAGATAACACATGGGCTTTTCCCTACAAGATCATATTCCTTCAGTAGGTAACCATTAAAAAGACTGGACTTGGATTTAAGTGATCCAATATATCGTTTTGTCTGACTATTGGCCCCAAAAAAGTGTTTTTGGTGGGGAAATTGATGATCATATGATCTCATTCATATCCATCAAAGTGTTAGCTTGTCTACTTCAGGATGTCTTTTTACTGCATTATAGTTTTATAATAAGAAATTATACTTCTCTTCAACTCCTCCTTTCGTAACTTTGTACCTTATTCCACAAAGGAAGACTCAGTATCTTAAGATCATATTTTGGGAAGGTTAAATGGAGGTGAACTTTAAGATTTTAAATGTGAACCTGACTCTTCTGTACCTAACAGAAAGCCAGTCTAAATCATGATGTTTTTTGCATCCTGAACAAAGTAAAACAAGGGGCCGTGATTTACAGTTGCTTGGTCTTTCGATTCATAATTTTATTCTGCACAAGCCAAGCTCAGATTATTTACGGCAGTTGTCGCTAAAATCAAATACTACAGTGACTCGTAAGCCCACCTGTTGATCAACATTAAAAGATACCTGACACCGTGAAACCCATCCACCTGTCCTCCCCTCTTTCTGCCTGTTTCTCCTGTCTCACCCCTCTCAGCAGCAGCAGCAGCAGCAGCACAGAGGAGCCCTTGTTTGATCCTCCCTGGACAGTGCCCCAATTTTCATTCTGTTTTTTTTTTTTAACCCTCTGACTCCATGGCAACTCTGTTCCCGTGACGAGCAGTCTTGACTTTTGCCCCTCCTGCTCCCGAAACAAAGGCAAGAAGTTATGGAGGGAGGGAGGAGAAAGGGCTATCGGGGTGAAGGGCAGGGGAATTGTGAGGGGGATGAAGGATATGGAGGAATGAGAGAGGGAATAATGGGAAGGTGTCTGGGATGGAGGCTCCGAGGCGAGACTTCTTCTGCTGTGTGTGTGCCAGAGTCCCATAAAGAGAGGAGAGTTATGACCGGGACTGTAGACCTCGGGCAGTGCCAGGGACTGTGTCTCTCTGTCTGTCAGTCTGTCTGTCTGTATGACTACATCTTTAAATCTCTCACACAATCCCAGTGAGGAGAAGGAAGAAGGGCGAGAAAGTTACAGCTTCCAGGTTGCCATTTGCAACATTTTTAAAAAGTGGTAACTAGGCCTGGGCGATTTGGCAAAAAAAATGATCTTGATATATTTTGTCATATTGTCTGATCTCGATTATTATAATTTTTTTAACTGCCAGTTTGAAAGCATCTGTACTAAAAACTAAAAAAACTAGATATTAGTTCAACATTTTGTTAACATACAAAGTAAATAACAAAGCAAAGTGAATAAGATAAACTTAGAAAAATAGAAAAACCATTTTAACTCAACAGCACAATAAATGTAGATCAGTACTGAAAAAATACAGTGGACTACTTTATGGTCCTGAGTGCTTTAGCAGTTTACTTCTCTGACAACTTACAGAAGTGAGCAGGAAAAGCTTGACTCTGATTGGCTGTTGTGACGCACGTTTCCGCCATGTTTGATCGAGTAAATATGCTCACAGCTAATCACCATGATCGAAATGAAATTTATCACTATCATCGATTACGATCATCATATAATCGCCCAGTCCTAGTGGTGACCAATTCTTTGCCGTTTTATTTCACTAGAGACAATCTCCTAACATCGAATAGCAAGGATTGGTCCGTTTCTGTTGGAAAATGTCATTTTTTTCTTCTTATATATAGCTGTTTAAAGCATAAATAACGTGCAACTGAATGTTAATCTGTATCGGATTAGCAGAGAAGATGTGGAATTTCAAGAGAATATTTATCAAACACTATCAAAAGAGTCATAGACCTTCCAAAGCCATAAGTGTATCCTTATAATCGAGCATCTGTTCTGCTTTGGACTGTAGCCCCCTCACCTCACCTGAGGGGTCTTTGATGTTATATAAGCTTAATGCATGTTTTTGTTAGCATTGCTGGTTGTCTGGTTGCTTCTATGCATGCCTTGACCGCACCAGTGCAACATGTCAGCACCAACGGATGTGGTCTTTAAAGCTTCATATCTTACAACAGGCAGAAATGACATAAGTCCATTTTATATACAGTGTCGTTGCCAAGCCACATGCTGCCACAGTCAAAATATTTGCTATTGTTGTGGTATTATAACAGACATTGTGTTGCTGCCTCTAAGCATGTTGCACTCAGAGTTATGTAAGGCCTAGTTTCCAGTTTGAAAGTAAAGAAAACGTGAAAGACCCTCTGATGTTTTCCTCTGCTGTAACATGTGGGCAGTCGGCTCTCTGGAGGGCTTAGTGTAAAGAATGAGCATTGTGAAGTCGTTTACAATGTGGCCTTGGCTGTCTCTCTGTCAGATTTGTAACAGAAAGAAAACAAAAATTTTGAGCTGGAGGGCGGGATGTGAAACGTTCAAAGTCTGGCTGGACGTAGTGGGGGCTGGAGGGAGACTCCTACAGCCTGCGTAGAGGCAAAAAGGAAAGTATTGTTGTTTGGTTGCCCTCCCTGCCCTGGTACCGACATCTCCACACTCATTCTGGATTTGCTGGATCAGAGACCTCAAAGCTAAGGTCATTCCTTTAATATTTCTCTGTTTTACCTTGATGAAGTAGAGAATCAAAAAAGCTTTCTGCCCCCTGCCAAAAGTTAAAAGAAAAAAGCACAAACAAGCCTCTCTTGTAGCTCATAAATCACACTACCCTGGAATTGGTAAAACATTTACACTGCTCTGCTACTCAACCTCATTACAAAAGACAGTCACGCCTTTCTCATATCTGCACACGGAGAAACTCATAACATTGTTGCTAGAAAACAGAGTCGGCTGGACAGCTCTTAGCTCTGCTCAGGGCACTTTACTTTCTGGACTTTACTCAAACTGTGTTTTTTTTGTTTTGTTTTTTAGTTTTGGACTATCTTGAGAGATGTTTGACAAGCAGCACTACGAGAGTCCTCCTGTCTACAGTCCTCCCTTCACCCCCCCATCCAACAAAGGCTTTGGCTCTCGAGGCAGCTTCCAGGCCCCTCAGAGCGATTACAACGCTTACCCACCTCCACCTGGATCTTACTACATCGAGGACAGACCGCAGCACTTCTACAAATGGCTGTCCCCTCCAGGGATTATCAAAGCCATGATGGCCACTGTGATCATTCTGTGTGTGGGTATATTTGCTTGTGTGGCCTCCACTCTCATGTGGGACATCCAGTACGGGTATGGAATGGGGATGGGAATGGGAGGGGGTTACGGTGGTGGGTACACCGGCAGCATTGGTTCAGGATATGGTGGTTACGGAGGTTATGGGGGTTATCCAGGCTACGGAAGCAGCTATGGCTCCTACGTCTCCCCTTACTCGGCCAAAACAGCCATGATCGCCATGGCAGCCATTAACTTCATAGGGGCGCTGGCCTTCTTCATCGCCACCTTCTCCAAGTCCAACACTGTCCGCAGCAGGAAGTTCTTTCTGGCCCTGCTGATAGCCTGTATCATCATGGCTGTCCTGCAGGTAAGAGTCATGTAGTTTTTTTGTTTTTCATATTTACAAATCAAGTCTTTAGTCAACTTGTACGTTGTGTGAAATACTTACCTTGTTTTGTTCATCATTACTCACCTAAGATAGCATTAATACATGAATCATACGTATGAAATAATGTCCTGTATATGAAAAGTGGACTGCCTCAGAAACATCTAAATCTGGACAAAATGTCTTATCTCCGTCTATGGCAAATATTCAGGAGAAAAACACCTCCCAGCCATGAGATCAGATCATATGAAGGATCTGGATCCCACATGTATGTTACTGACCTCTGTTTGGATTCAACTTCCCTTATTTTATCTTTTTACTGTTATTTTTTAATGAACAATCTGTCAAAAAAGTGAGTCCATGCTTTCCATTTGAACTTTTGGCAAGCCAAATCACCTCACAGATGTCCAATCAATCACAAACATCCAAACTAACAAACCTCAGCTCAGCTATGAATGGTATTTAAATCTGCATGCTTGCAAAAACCCCAAATACCAGAAGTTTAATCTAAAACAGGACCCTCTGTCTGCGGTCTCACTGTGTTCAGATTACAGTGTTCTAGCTGCTGGTTGGTTGAAAAAAAGCTTATATAAAGAAGTTTGTTTCATGCTGCTGTAAACATAATCCTGCAGATCCATAAAATGAAAAAGACTCTCTCAGACGCAAGTGTTGAATTTTCTTACAAACAGATTGGACCTCGGAGTTTGAGATATTCAACAAAGTAGGATTAAAGACATTTTATACCAGTGGGCTTGACACTCTGACACAGTTTCTGAGTTATATCTTTATGCAGCTGGAAATGATGCCAGAACATGAATCTAAATTTTTATTCAGATTTAGAAGAATGTCACTGTTTATTGTGTTGTGGTGCTTACAGATAATCAAGTCCAAAAACAGTGTTATTAAACCATAAACACATTTTTGTTGCATTTATATTTACATGAAAAAGGAAAGGATGCTGTTGTTTGTCTTTAAAATGAAAGACAGTATCTGTTTCATTATTTAATGTCAAAATAACCCTCTCATATTCCCCAGGGCATCATCAATATAGTCTACATTGTGGGAGTGAATCCAATGGCCCAGAGTACCTCCAGTATGATGTACAACCCCATGCTTATGATGTGCCAGAACCTCTACCAAACCAGCTACTCACAGATGGGAGGAGTGGGAGGCTTCCCGATGTACAACCAGTACCTGTACCATTACTGCTTTGTGGACCCACAGGAGGTTTGTGTTCTTTTACCTGAGGACATTTTGTCGATATTTACAGGATTTATTCACAGTTTGATGACACAGTGTGTGCTTGTCCTGAAAACCCTGTCAGGATCATTTCAGAATAATTTCAGGTTGATTTAGTGGATTAAAGGGTCAGCGAATGTTTGCCCTTTTCATTTTTACTGTTTGATTATCAGAACTATGATTGTGTCCATAGACTTATCAAAGAATGAGCATATTGTTTCAGCTTGAAGAAAATGTAATTGAAACAAATCGACTTCAATTTTGTGCCTCTGTGAAACCATTGTGAACAAAGCTGCTGGGAATGTGGGAACAGTGAGCGAGATATTCTTCCACAAAACATATTGTAGCCACTTATTATCATCTGCAACAAACTGTGAATATGTAATACTCATAATGGCGTCTCATACAGTATGTATGATAGTGAACTTCTTGTTCCAGGATAAACCAGCCCTATCTTCTCTCCCAGCTTATCTCCTTTCCAGAGTTCATTCCTGTCTTCTTGCTCTTTCCAGGGAGTGGCCATGGTGTGTGGATTCCTGGTTGTCATCGCCTTGGCCGTTGCCTCTTTCTATGCCCACAAAACAAGAGGGAAGATCTGGCGCTACGGGAAACCAAACATCTACTGGGATGAGCCGCTAGTTGGCGGGAAGGCCTCTGAAGGCAGAGATGTAGAGGAATGGGTAAGAGACAACTGGACGGTAGTCACAGTTTAATAAGACTGGGTTTACAGGGGATTTAAAAATAAATAAAAAACCACATTTCAACCCCAACTGACCCTGATTTTGTGCGTGCACAGCTTGCACTCAAATCAACAGGGTCACAGAGGGTTTAAATCCTGACGAAGGAAAGTGGATGGAAAACAGTATTCACCGACAGATTTGATAAGATGATGAAATGATCAGCTATGTTGGGCCTCTGCCTAAAAGATTCATCCAGAAGTGATGCGTGGCAGAATTAGTTTCTGCCCATTTTTACGATGCACAGTAGGTATGTAGGTAAGTCATCGGTGTGGTAGTCATCCTGCTGAGGTCGTCATCCTGCTAAGGTCGTCATCATCACTCATCAGCTGTAAAGATAGGTTGGGTCACTGCAGTGATGCAGGTGCTGTAAATAGATCAGCTGAGCTGTGCATTTTCCCACTAGTTGGTTTGCCACTTGTTACTCTGTTTTTGACATGATTGCTCAACCTCTCCAACTGGATCAACAGAGTTGTTAACCGGTTCAAATGTTTCATTTGTTTCAGTCAATTGTCTTTATGAGTCCAAAGTCCTAAAGGAGCATCATAAATGAATCTTTATGAGTTTATAGGATTCAGCAGTCACACGACTGTTGCAGTGTTTCCTAAAGACTGAGTCACTTTGTTCAGGGTCAGGACTGATAGCAGTAAGCGATTGTTTGCTCATGGTCGACTACCTGGTTTCACTCTGAATAATCATTAACCACCTGAGGAGATAACAGTAAGGCAGGAGGTTTCTGGAGAGCCTGCCTCTGGGTTTTTAAACATAAACACCATGCCAGTCATATGGGACTGTTACCTGAGATATGGGTTGATCATTGACTTGACCTGCTGCTTTTCAAAAGATGCTTGTCCTTAACAGTGAGTGAAAATAAGTTTACATTAAAAGCGGACATTGTAGCTCACTTGCTTATGGCTTGAATGCTCAAATCAGGAGGTATATTCATATGAGGTACCTACACATGTTTTTATTATGTGTTTTACTACTTTACATCTTCATAACAGCTTCTTTAGGATGTTTTCTTTCTTCTAAAGCATCCATCTACAAAACATAACGTCCCCATCCAGTGTTTACTCAGACACTGTGCATGGGAGTGTCAAAAACACAAACCATTAATTGCAAATACATGGAATACCAAACATACTGTGCTTTCTGATTTGAAGTGAGAGAAAAACAAACAGAAAATAAAAGCCAAAATTGATAGTTTTAAAACATGAAACCTCACCGATTTCAACGTACTTGGCTACAAAGACAGATAGTCCTGATAGTTGTTACTAATTTAAAGGAAGTGCTTTTTTATTGATGGGTTTGAAAGGCCAGCCCACCGTCTAGGTCTAGATTACATACTAGTAATATGCTTCTTTACACTGTAGGGGCTTTAGAAATTCACACTTTGCTCTATCAGTTAATCAACATTGTGCATCTGACTCAAACTCCATCTCTTGCACTCAAAATACAAAAGCAAAAGCTGAACCGATGTGTTGTGCCAGAAGATGTAGAGCTGTTTGTTTTTAGAAGATAGTTGTCATTGCCAAGGACATGTCATCATGCACCAGAAGAGTAAGAATAGACGAAGCAAGTCCAGAGTGAATCCTCTGACTCGTACTGGTGTCTGATAATAGAAGAGCCATGTGTACTGATGTCATCTGACTCTCTTAAAGTACAGTGTTGGAGTTGACCGCCACTGCATTAAGAATTTCAAAACTCTTGATATTTTATGTCAATATTTAGGAGGAAAGAATAAGAGGAAGTAAAGAGTGGGGTTAGGGACATAAAACTCTTTGAATTCCAGTCAGATCATTATTTATTCAAGCCACTCATGTATGTAGGTTACAGAACAAAACTATTGTCTATGAAAGCAGGTCAGCCTAAGTATGTCATTATTGTATACTGACACAGATATATTTACAGTCTGAATAAATAAGCTATCAATGTTGTAGACTCTCCCTTTGCCTCAGTTTGGTCATAAACCCACTGCTCAATGCTGCAGTTATTTATCTTACTGTTGCTATGCTACCTGCCCACTGTATCTGTGCCACTCAGTGAGTCATGAACCCTTTACAGCTCCTTTAAACACAATGACAGTGGCAGTCTTAAGGCTGTGGTTAGGCTGAGATTGAACCAGTCTCTGTTGCTGAGCTCAGGGAGGCCTGGCATACTCGGATGACCTCACACACTGGCCTCATTCAGCTCGCGCAGGGATGCAGGCTGCATTGTGGCTGCTGCATGAGGTCATCTGAGTTAGTTTCTGTGTGCTGGACACAGAAGTACCATGCAGATGTAGATTGAAAGCGTCTTGGGCAGGTTAAATGGATGCTGGTTGAGAAACACAATAATCTGTCTGGAGGATGATTATTGAAAAGCAACAGTGCACAGCTTTTTTTTTTTTTACATCTGTGGGAGTCCAACCAGAGAAAGTGGCTTGAAATTAAAAATATAAAATTATAAAGTAAAATTCAAGATAATAAATGTTACTGTTCGATAACTTTTAGAGTAAGAAGTTGTGACATTTATACAAACCAAGAAATTGCTAAATTGTGTTCTGTTGTGAAATGTTGAAAATACTGTTTAAATGAACTACCGGGTTTACTCGAGTACTCCGGAAGTGGGGTTAGGTAAATTGGCCACTTTCAAATTGCCCGTAGGTGTGAATGTGAGCGTGGATGGCTGTTTGTCTCTATATGTCAGCCCTGCGATGAACTTACGACTTGTCCAGGGTGTCCCCTGCCTTTGCCCGAAGATGCTGGGATAGGCTCCAGCCCCCCCGCAACCCCGAAAACGGGAAGAAGTGGTAGAAAATGGATGGATGAACTACAGGCAGTTTTGCATTTGAGAAAGCACCACAGTTCAATCAAAGTAACAAATTAGAGACAAATCTTCAGAACTCAAGAGAACATTTTATTGAATACTTGTGGACAAAAACATTTAGCAGAGTAAAATATTGCTACAGAGGAGTTTTGGATGTCTGTCCAGCCATCTTCTTAAAATTATTTAACAAGAAATAAGGTAAACATTTAGATTAAGACTTTAAAAAGTCATGTATAGTTCCAATCTTTAATGCATATTGAAATAAACGAACTATGGTTATCTCAGCCATGTTTGAAATAATATTGAATGAATTTAGAAAACATAATGGTGATGTTGCTCTTGTGAGGGTTGATGCAGATATGATGCTGGTTACCAAAAAATGCCATTGAATGGCCGGATAAATCTATAGTTTTGACAGGTTTTACATTTGCTTTAGTGAAACACATGTTTGTCTACAAAAGTCAAACCCCACTGAAACCTTTAACTTTGGCATTTATTTGAATCCTAACAACATCAAACGTTTCTTGTCTTTTACCAAACTTCTACTTCATTTCCCTTTTTTGACCCTCACATACCTGTCTGCCTCCCTGTGCTCCATTTATTCCTCCTCCCCTTCTCTGTCTCTCTCTCTCTCCTCTCATCTTTGCCTCTCATCTTTTTCATTACAACTCTTGCATTGCTCACATATCCTCTCACCGCCCTGCAGCCTTTGAGCCGCACACTGAGGGGGGCATTGTTGGGATTCTTAACATGAAGTTTGGTCTTCAAAAAGGATTCTCCTGCTGCTGCATGAAGGGCAGCGCTCCCCCACCCAGGCACTCCACCCTCCATGATTATTGTTTTTGGGGGCTAGGCTGATGTTTGGCTCTGTTCCTGCTCTGTGGAATTTCAGAGATCACTCCGTAGTAACAGAAAAGGAGACTTGTTGTTTTGTTTAGGTTTCTCTTAGTTGTAGTAGTATATTCATGCAAGTAATCATTGGCAAAAATCAATGTTTGACTCGTTCACCAAGGGCAGGTGCGGCAAAATGGGATAGAGAAGTACAGCAAATGTTTATGTCTGTATGGCCTGTTGAGCATAATCCTGGATGTTACTCCTGTTTTGGCTTTTTGGTAAACAGAAAACAACACTTGCAGTAGTTTAATGTTGTTTCTTTTAAATGGGGATGAGATGATGATGATGAACTGAGCTGACAGCAGGATGACAAACAGGCAGGCAGGCAGGCAGAGATCACTGTGGACCATGGGCACAGGTAAACACAGGATTACACAAGAAGCCAGCAACCTTAATCTTGTACTAGATCTTATTTTGGACGTAACATTGGTAGAACATCGGTGAACAAAATGATCTGATGAAAAAGTGAAAGACAAAGCAGAAGTAGAGAGGCTGAGCGAGTGGATTGATGGGAGTGGAATTTTGACCATGCCTTGAAAACACTCAAAGAGGGAAGAAAAACAGGTGACTCAGTAAACAGGGAAAGGGAAAACAGCTGAAACACCAGGAATATCCTTGTATTCAGGTGCCACTCAGCGGCCGGTCACATTTCTGTACTTTGGAGGTCACTCTTTCAGCCGCTGTATGTGTTCATGAACTCTGGGTCGTAATGTGGACTCAGTATTGATTCTAAAATAAGACAATAACTCTATTTTGATGGAAATGTAGGAGTTTTTTTTACATTACTTAAACTCGTATTGATGCATCTTTATGATAAACAAAGGTAAACATGACCATCAGCAACCAGACTGACAGTTTTTGTCCTCTAAGTTTTAATGCCTGAAAACTGGTGCCAGGGGGTTAGAGTCAGTAAAGCCTCTGGAGAAAAGGCCCTGTTTTACACCTTTCACATTGAATATTCACAAAAATGAAACATTTGACCTTTAAAAGTTGCAGGGTGAATGTTTTGGCCAAACATCACTGCTCAAGCATAAAGAGAACAAAATAAGCAAAGACTGCTTAAGGCGTAAAATGACACAAACCAAAGTTCCTCACAGGACCTCAAAAAAAGTTCCTCAAAGAGCCAAATAGATCTTGCATGTACATTATTCCACATATTACAGCAACATATCTGCAAGTTGTCTACCAAATTTCTCACATTTTCACACCTGATGAATGAAGAGTTTAGAAGGTGCAAATGACAGCTCCATGATGTTGCTTTAAAACTTACTCCTTTAGTTATACTCTTTTTTTGATTAATGTTTCTATAGCATTTATACAGTTGATTATTTGACTAAATAGTTTCTGCTCACATTAAGCTCGTTAACTTGTCACAGAAAGACAGTGAAACATGCTGTGAGGAGGTTGTTTTGAAGCTGTCTAATAAATGACACATTTACAAAACCCTGTGGAAATGGAAGAAGCAGTGACCCCCCCCCAGAGGCCTTCATTGTTAGGACTCTCCTCTTGTGGGATGTCTGACCTCACAGGAAGGGTTTGAATATACAGATAGCAGCAGAGAATTTATTTACCTGACACACAGTTTCTTTGTCTTTCAACAGAAGAAAAGAAAGGATGAATGTTTCCGTACCAGGTGTTCAGAGGACACTGGTCAACAGAGAGATAAGCTTGAGATAATATGGATGATGAGATCTTTCTACACCACGTCTCCTTGGCTCATCACTAATTAAGATTTGTTCTTTTTAATTAAACTAAATTAAATGTTTTTAACAAGAAACTGTCAAAGGTATTAATAGATAACTTAAAGGATGAAGTTGATTTAGGATTAGCTGGAAGTTTGTTAGACAATTAGCCTTTGGCCAACCATCCTGTGACCTTTTCAAGCATGGTTAACTAAGCAGATAGTTTTCTTTATACCCAGAAGACAGAGGAGATAGACTGTAGTGTTCAATTACAAGGCTGACTGCTTCTCCAAAATTTACACACCATTCATTCACCCTCTTTTGTCTCTGGTTGAGAGACAGCTTTCATTTTCTCCTTCACTTAAGACATCAGGAAAAGCGCAGAGGAATAACTTCTTCTTTAACAGGATGTCAGTCAGAGAGTGAGCTCGTAGCACTGCCCGGTCTTTGTTATTTGTTTGTTTGTGTATGCTAAGTCTGTTCCCTCCGCTTCTTCCTGCCTGCTGTAGGTGAACAATGTGGAGGAAAGCCGCAGCGTGCAAGACGCCCCGACCCTGCTGGTGTCAGAGAAGGGAGCCGGGCTGCTCAACGCATCAGCAAACAGCGTCATCTCGTACCCCCCAGCCAAGGTGGACAGCAGCTCCTACAATGAGGACACCTACGACAACAACCAGTGAGTTACCCTGCATTACAAACTCTGTTTTAATCAATGAGAGGATAAACTTTGGTTTGGAGCAGAAGGAGGATTGTTTGCTTCCACCCATGGAGAAAAGAAACTTTAATAACATACCTAGAAGAGACGACAGAATGATTATTAGAGCAAATGTTAAGTGCCGTAATTGTACAAACCTCAACTGATGAAAATGCAAGAAGCATAAAGATGAATCTAGGGGTTCTTTTATTGGTATGCAAACCACACATTGCACTTTGTTTCTGCATTTTATGCACTCTGCTCATGCAAAAATACTGACATATATTTTTTTTTACCTTCTAAATCGTCTTTAATGCTTTTTACCTCCTGAACTGTTTTTATGTAAATGTATTTTTTTTTCTTTTATGATGTATGGCAGTGTTTTAAATGCCTGTGCCTGCTGCAACCCGATTTGCCCATTTTGGGACATAAAGTTAATGTGAAGTGAAGTGAAATCAACTGCATGAAGATAGAAAACTAATATCCATTTGATAAAAATCAGTTAGAAATAATAATATTGCCCTTTTATTGTATTTTTAGCTTGGAAACAGACCTGGGTGATAATTTCATACCACAAACTGTAAAAGGTGTGGGTTATGACAAATAAAGTTCCTTGAATCCTTGAATGTTCTTATAAAAGTGCAGTACAGAGCATCAAGAAAATAAAGTGAATGATTATGAGACTGAGAAGTTTGCCAGGAACTTCCTTGCAAACAAGGAAGTTGTTCATTAAGTACCAAAGGAGGAGAAAATGTTGTGTTTTTGATATTCTGTCATTCTTCCTTTCATCGTGTCTGCAAGTAATGCTTCAGCCGGGAATGTCTTTCTAACAGGACACGTGTGGTAAAAAGTCCAAAGCAGGATTAGGTATCTTTTTAAATATTACATCTCCACAGAAATAGAAGCTGCAATATTTGAGTGACTCCGAGGCAAACAATGAACCTCCAAACATGTGACTCACGCAAGCAATATCTAATCACTGGTCTGTTTTAAAGCCCATGAAAACATATTGCCCTACCCACAAAAGAGCTCTGCATGTGACCTTTGAGCTTTACCTTGGATTAACTTTCCTTTGCCGTGTTTTTCTTTTTGTTCCTTATTCATTGAAAACTCTGAGGAGGTTGTTTGTGGACAAACGTATTCACTTTTCGTCAAAGCTAGAAATGATTTCTCAAGCACCTTGTTTTCCTTCTGCACGAAGCTCCTCAGCTCTGCGGTGACTGATAGTGCGTTGCTCTTTACAGTTTCATAATACCTCTGTACCTTTGAAGCTTGTGTCAGAAATATGCTCTGAATGACCGGATTAGTGAGGACTAAACTGCTCAGAGACAAAATAATCAAATTTAATGTTGTAACAGCACGGATTTTGATCCGGTCCAGAGTACTAAGAATATCATTATTTTGATGATTCCCTCTCTCTTCCAAAGTAAACGTGGCCGGCAATTTCATAAGCAGAAGAATGCTGGCCTGAAGTGCTTTGTTGTTGACATAACACGACCTTTTTGGGTAAAACTTGTAATATGTGCACAGCTTAATATAGACTCCTCTTTATATCTGTGCATCCTTCAGATCTCTGCATGTTTCCTCGTTCCTGCTCCCTGGTCACTGAGGGCGCTGCATCTGCCACAGAAAAAATTGTAGCGTGTGAGCAAAACAATCATTAGTGGTTACAGACGCTTACCTTCATCCATACAGTGTCTGTCTCAGCATTATCATTAGATATTGGTTTGCTTTGGACTCAGTGACAATCGCAGAATTTACTGGTGTTTTTTGGGGGGGTTGTTTCTGTTTTTGCTGTTAAGGGCATCATTTTCCTAACTTGTTATGATCCACTCAGTGGGACTGATAATTCACTTACAACAGTACACTTTATGAGCAACAAGAATGACTTTGAGATCTTCTTCACCCCTGAGTTTTGTCTCTCAGGCCAACCAATGTCAGCATCTATAGCTATTGAGTAAAAAGTTGGTTGAGAAGTTATAGTTAAGCTTTTTTATGAAGTATCAACTCAGTGGATTTTATGTTCTACAAAAAGTTCCCAGGTCTCACCAATTGCTCCTCTCTGACATCAACATTCACCCACTCCTGCTGCCTTTTCATGTCTCTTATTTCTTATATTTAATTTACTTTTATCACTTTCATTTTAATCGAAAATGTACAAAGCCTGATTAAAACTGAACAACATCCTAAACTCAACAACAAGTCTTTAACATTTAATCCTAATGGGCTAATACTTACCTACAACCAAAGCTCAAGGAGCTACTGTAGGGTTAATGAGTGAACTTGCCCAATAGGTAGACCCTCATTTTGTGTTTTGACAGAGTAATTAATCATTAAAATGAAAGACGTCCTAGTTTGGCCTAGCAGTTAAAAGGTGCACACCATATACAGGCGAGTCCTTGTCGTAGCATTTGCTTAATTCCCAGCCATGACCTTTCTTAGTATGACAATATATCTCTCAACCCTCCTCAGCTGTTTATTCAATAAAAGGAAAAAAATACCCAAAAGAGAGAGAAGAAAAAAGGTGCATGATAGTTCTCTCAAAGATCCATAAAAAAAAAAATTCCTAGTGTGATTTCTGTGTTCAAGTTTATCCAGCATTATCACTGTAATGTTGAAACGAAGTAAATATTCACCAGTTTGTTCCTGGGTAGACTTGATTAGATTGATTCCTGAAAAACAACTGTCATCTTACTTTTATTGCTGTCCTGCAGGTACTCGGAGAGGACCACCAGCAGACCCTCAGAAGCCCTGTCAAACGGTGGGGGAACTAGCTCCAGTCCTTCAGAGGAGATCGGTGGGGTCCGGAAACCCTCTGCCAACAGGGGCAAGAGACGCAGACGTAACCCTGAGATAGATGAGTCTCAGTATGAGACCGAGTACACCACAGGAGGAGAGACAGGGAACGAACTTGATGATGAAGAGTGGGAGAGGTAAGAAATTAGTACAACTACAGTTCTGCTGTATCTGTGAGCCCGTTTACACTTGAGTTTCACATTTATTTTGAGTGAGACTGCTCAATACGATAGTAAACAAGGCTTTAACACTTGTTATTATAAAACTCCTAAAGAGGAACATGCACCGCCTTTTAAACACTCGTTCTTTAACTTTTGTGACAGACAGAAAATGACCTGCTCCTGCCAATTTCATTCATTTAAACAGCATTTACATGTGAAGCTAGATAGATAGATACTTTATTAATCCCAGAGGAAAATTCAATAAAAGGAAAAAATCGAGTTCTTGAAACAATTGTGCTTCCTTATCTAGCATGTCTTTAGAAATCTGGAGCTTTCCCGATAAAGATTGATGCAATAACCTAGTGAAAGGTCCGTTAACTGATAGTAGTGATATAAGCAGCGATGAAACTGGAAAATCTGTCACCTGGTCACCTGGGAGAGATTTTATACATCCGTGTTCAACTTTTGCCTCTTGTTTAGGTCACTAAAACACATTTTGACCCGCTTCTCTCGGGCGGCAGTAGCTCAGGAGGTAGAGCGGTCGTCCAATAACCGGAAGGTTGGCGGTTCGATTCCCCCCTAATCCAAGTCCGTCCGTTGTGTCCTTGGGCAAGACACTTAACCCACCTTGCTCCCAGTGTGTGTGTCCTCCACTGGTGTATGACTGTGAGTGTTGTGTGGTGGTGGTCGGAGAGGCCGTAGGCGCAGAATGGCAGCCACGTCTCCACCACCAAAGTGTGACTGTGTGAGCGAATGAATGATGTATCCAATGTAAAGCGCTTTGAGGGTCTCTGATAAAGCGCTATATGAAATCTGATGCATTATTATTATGCATTCTCTGTGTGGAACTCGTACACCCTCTGGTTCAGAGATTGGCATGTCTTTTTTTGAGAACACAGACTGTAGATTGCCGTTTAATACCGCCGCTCTCCAAGGACCAGACCTTAATTCTTGGATTTAAATTAACAACTTTAAGCTCAGAAAATCAAACTCTTACGTGAGAGTGCAGATTTGCAGAGGAGAAAATACCGTTCCATATCAGTCCATAAATACTTGAGTGCAAAAATAGTAAATAAGTAAGTATGGAAAAGACCCTGCAGTGTGTCACCCTGTCCAGGAGAGCGGTTAATCCTGTGAGGCATGTCTGTTCACATGGGCTGTAGTCAGGCATAACAAGAGAATTGGGCCAAAGGTACAAAACATGGAAGTCAGAGTAGCTTATGAGAAAGTAGTATTGCTGTGGCTGTGGTTTAATCTACTCAGACTTTAACTAATTTCCCTGAGGGGGACATTTAAAGCATAACACAGCCTTATCAAACTGTCTGCAATATACCTTTGAGCATTACCAGTAGCTGATGCGAGTGTACATCTAACGCTGATCTTTTCCCCTCCTCCTCCAGAGCGTACCCCGAGATAAGATCTGATGCCGAGCGTCACGAGTACAAAAGAGAGTTTGATGTAGATCTGAAGGAATATAAGCGCCTGTGCGCAGAGATGGACGACATAAACGATCAGCTGAACAAACTCAGCAGGCAGCTGGACACGCTGGATGAAACCTCTGCGAAATACCAGGTCAGATATAAACACAGCTCAATAGAGACACCATCACTGAACGCACATCGTTGTAACTGAAGAAAATTGAGCGTAAAAAATGAGAAAATTAGGAATGCAGTACAAGTGGTGTGAGAGGAATGAATATTTCAGCAAATATTTCTATATTTAAATCCAACACAAACAGTCAAGTCTCTCACTCACTTCGATGTGGATTTCTTCAGTCTTTTCTCTGGTTAACTTGTGGAAGACAGACCCCGATCAGTGAGATACCTGCACGCTCTGGATTCACTTGTGTATAAGCTCCAGCTGATCATTTACCCTCCAGTCGACTCTTTTATCATCTTTCTCAGATAGAAGTTGAAGTTCAGCTTAATGTCTCCTCTTCTCCTAATCCACCGAGACGTGTCTTTCTGCTGCTGCTGCCGCTGCTGCTGTTGTTGTGCAAACCTGACAGCCTGACAGCACTCAGGTCCCACTTCTCAGTGCTGCTGTTGGAACTAATAAATATGATGTGTATGCTTGAGAGAGAGTGGAAAAAAACAGGCACCTTATGACACATATGACCAGATAAACAATTTTAATATAAAGCCTCCTTATCGAGACCCAGCTGTCTACACAAAAGGTGCACACCATATACCCAGCTGTCTATGTCACATAAGGGGAAATTTGTGCTTTTCACTCTCTTTATGGGTATTTGACATCTTTGATAACTGATTCTACACGTTTATATACAATAATAATAATAATAATGATGTGGAATAACGTGTGCTGGGATTTTATTGGTTTGGGTTGAAAATTGGAGTGATGAATAGACGCACAAATTACATGACTCAAATTAAAACACACAGACATGAATGAGAGAGTCTAAAGGTCTATTCAGAAATACTTCATTATGAAGGTCCCTTAGATTTTAAATCCTTCTTTCTGTTTTTAGTGGACTGACACAATCCTTAAAAAAGCTTTTCTCTTTTTTCCACAGGCGGCAGCAGAGGAGTATAACCAGTTAAAGGATCTAAAGCAGGTAAGGAGATGTCAACTCATGAAAGACTGAACATAAAGCAAACTTGAGTTGTCTGTAAAGTATTACAGATGACCTTTTTATTTCAGCCTGCATCCTTTGTATTAGTGCAGTCAATACTCTAGTGTATATATAATGCAGAGAGAGGTGTCAAAGTGGATCCAATCTACTGTGGCAAATGCTAACAGGATTGTAAACACCACATGTGAAAACAGACGATATCAGGAAGAGCTCATAATGTTTTTGTGCGTCTGTGACATTTACAACCTCAGCATTACTCATGAGCTCAAGAACGTCATGTATGAGTCCGTCTGTGTGTACATGCTGTTTGGTTGTATTACATGACTCATCCTTGTGATCTGTGCTCCGCAGACACCAGACTACCGCGCCAAGAAGAAAGACTGTCGCAGGCTGAGACACAAACTGTACCACATCAAACGCATGGTAAAGGACTACGACAAGAACCACTCGTGAATCCGCTGAGTCCTGACACTCGACTCGATGCTCCGCTCAGCAAACACTCACCAACCCGAGCCAAGATACACTCCGACACACTGCAAAGACTATGAGACATGACCAAAGTTACCTGTACAGAACTCACACACACATAAACACACATAGGGAACATCCTGCATGTTAATAATAACGGTTCTAGACTTGTGTTTTCCTTTTATTACTCGCACCACGTATGTATAATACCTGTATAAACTTCTTTACATGGAGGAAAGCGGGATAAGCACTGTCGTTCTCTGTGAAAGATTCAGCTCATGTTTGCAGTGTTGAGCAACACTTCATAAGGAGTGGCTGGTTGTTTGACAGTTGCCTGACCCTCAGTCACCTGTGATAGCACCATGTTATGTTTCTGCAGCTCTGTTTGCTCTTTCGATTGGAAATTTGTCTTAGTTTTATCTTCGCAGATAAGAAGCGGAACAGTGTTTAGTAATAGGTGAAGCAGGTTGCTGGGACTGTTTTCGCACATATGCAGTTTCTTTAACCCTTTTGCGCGGTGTTATCTGCATCATAAATGATTTAAGCGTGTGCTTTTCTCGTGGTATGGGTCAGTCTTTGTAACCAACGTCAACACATTTAGATGAGCGGCCTTCTTTTAGGGTTTGCCTCCCATGCACTGCCACTAAAGTAATATAAAGTAATATGATGAGACTGATTTACACCGATGCAGTGAGCCAAAATGACAAACCAGCCAATGAGATGCGTGACATTGTTTTTTTTTTATGTAAATACTGTAAATCAATCTAGTTCTCATAAACAGCAAGAACAAACTTTCAGCATTCGTCTTGTAGATCATGCATTTGTGATGTCACCTGTGATTCGTACAAACTAAAGACCCACAGTGGCTTTTTTTTTTTAAATTGTTCAAAATGTGCTTCAGCTATGCAACATATTAACCATCCACACTACTTGTATTTTCTTTCATGCACTCTCCTCAAAGAACTGGAAAACACTGCTTCTTTCACTATGTATAAGCTACTCGTCTTTTCATTTCGACCAATGAAAATGATCATCTGCTGATTCAATATGTTCATTATTTTTTTTATTATTAATCCACTAAAAATGTGCAAAGTGTTACGATCTCGTGTACGTCTTAAAATTACTCAGACACACTGTTTTGATTTGTCATGCATTTGTATTTTTATGAAGAGCGTTGTGGTCATTTTACAAACCATTTGCGAGCCATTTATTTTTGTATGAATTTATTTTCTTTGATGCTATTATAAGACCATTTTTGTAACTGTTATACTTCCGTAAGGCATGGTGTCTCAGAAAGTATTCAATTGTGTAAGCAATAAACATTTCTAATTCTCTAAAATCTAATCAACCTCTTTTCTGTTCTGTTTTTCTGAGCTGCTGTGATGCACCTGCAGTGAGCATCCAGCAGGGGGAGTAAGTGGGTTTCTAGGCTGATGCCATGGCAGGGAGCTTTATGTGTGCTGGTGCTGCCCTCCTCTGGTGTACTACTTCTGAAATTTTCCATCTTTTATGCCATTGTTTTATTATCATTACAAAATTTGAGCCATTATCTTATATTTAAAAAAAAGGCTAACTTGAAATAAATCACCCCTGTCTGTCTGTGTTTGTCAAACCCACTCTGAAAGTCTTGGCATTTCATTTGATCCTCTTTTAAAATTGTGTCAATGTGAAAAATGTGTTTTTGGATCCTACATTTATAACTGCAAAACAAACAAAAATAAGATTATTAGTATTATTCTCTTCTGCAGACAGTATCCTTTTAATATCATTCATGCATTCAACCTTTCTTAACATGACCTTTTAAATTCACCTTTCACCTGCCTGAGTCACCTGCTCTCAGCTGTAGAAAATGCAGCAGCTAGACCTTCCACTAGGATTGCTGCTGTTCATGAATCACTGCACTGAGTATTGATTAAATCAACGATTGATTTTGTGACTCTTTTAATGACCTTGAAAGCATTTCAAATCTTATTTCTGAGTTTTTTTTTCAAGCTGCAAAGGAAATCAAATTTTTATGTGTGTGTGTGTGTGTGTGTTTGTAATATAAATTCATCCACAAAGGAATGAGAATTCTTTTATTTCCAGCAAAGAAAAATAACCAGTAAGCTGTTCTTTTGCATCTCAGCACGGTCATAAAAACGCACTTCTATTTAAAATAAATCTAGCTTCAGCTTAGATCTCAGCACAGCATAACAAGTGCTTCACTGCCTCAGGAATCATTGATGCCTTGAATAATTACAAACTAATATAACTTACCAAATGAAGAAATACAATAGACCAAAAGAAAAACAAACACACAATTTGATCCCAAACTTGTCTTTTCTTTCAGTCATTTAATTTGGCAAGAAAAAAAAAAACATTTGTCACATTGAGCTGCTGTAAGTGGCAAAAACACTCAAATATGTGACGGCTGAGTACCTTAATCACAGTACCAACAAACACCGTAACCTTTAAAACACATCAACACGTGGAGTACCTCGCATGAGAACAACCGTTATCTGAAAGCGACCTCTGTCCATGTGGCCATGCTTTAACGGGCTGCTTGAAAACAATTCAAATGAGCTACCTCTACCTTCACAGACTGAAGCTTTCTACGAATGACGTGTCAAACTTAAAGGGTATGCTTTAACATCAAGTTTTACATTTCACATTTTTAAAATAAACTTTAGACAAAACGAAGTGAACATGCAGGTCTACATGGGAATATAACTGTCAATGGTAAGTGTGATAAAAACACCTTGATCCCTTTATTTTTCTCTTTAGCACACAAGTTTACAATCTTTGTTTCTGATGTATAAAATGTGAGGTAATTATGTTTGACGGGGATGTGACTGTGTGAGAGCCAGGATGTGTTTGAGCCCATTCACTTCCACTTTACGACAACGAGAACAATGCGGTTTAATATACTACATGAAAGAAATAGCTGAACAGTTTGGAAATATGAACTTAACCTCTGAGAGAGGCTGAAACCAGAAGGAAGTTTGCTTAAATTAGTTTAGCATAGCAAAAACAAATGGGAGCAGCCAACTAGATTGTATCAAAGGGGGACAAAATCCAACTTAATTAATAAAATACTTTACTTAATTTGTAAATTTTGCGTTATAAAACATTAAAACTAGCAAGTGCTTTTTTCTGGGCAAGTGGTTGTGATACATGGAAGTGTTGGCTGCTGAGTTTTGTAACATGTAGAGCGATCCAAACCAGCCATACGTCCCCTTCTTGGGGCTATTCCAGGCCAATCTGCAGCTAGTTTTAGTTGGGACTCGATCTTATCTGAACATAGGAGAAAGTAGGTAAGTATTTTTCCCACAATGTTAAGCTATTTCCTTGTAACATACACAATATGTCCAGAACACACAGTACTAAAAACATTACACTGCACAATACAATGGCAATGCCTCTTCTTTGTTTTGTTGCTGTCAAAGGTGATACTCTGCAGTCTTCACAAACACATTTGGTAACAAAGTCTGGTATTTATAGCGCATATCAAACACGACACAACCTATGTTTGATCTGCGAAACACAGACCGTGTGGTGTCAAATGTAAAGCTCCAAAGCTGCCTGTAACAGTGGCACTGTTATGGCTTGATTATGAGTTAAAACAAAGGAAAATCAAGCAGAGAAAGAAAAAAAAAAAACACACAGAGCCTGGGTTCAAACTGAGTCACATTATGGGGTGATATGGGAGGAGGTAGTACAGGCACATGGCCTCATTTTTGAGTCTGAAGCCCTGATTTACTCCAGAATGAGACAAAGAGAGATCAGACAGAGGTCAGAGCACAACTGGCAAGTGCTGCAAACATAAATATAATGACAAATACATATTTTGTTCTCTTTAAAGCAGCTTTGGTTCCACTTCTACCACATTACAGAATTTATGTGGGAAAAAAAACTGACCCTACACTCACACACATATCTTTAAATTGAGATCCTGTTTTGTATTCATGACATTCATTTTGTGTTGTATAATATATCTTTATGTGAGCTCTGTCTCCTCCCAATCTGATCTCTGTCTGTCTCACTTTGGACTCAGCAGGGTTCACTGTCCGGGAACATAGGGCCAGCTGATGGAGCTCCCTGATAGCTGCATGTCACGGATGAGTGTCTCAATGGGTGTCTTGCCCACAAGTCGCATGAAGAAGAGCTGGGAGATGAGGTTTGCTGGCACAGCGCGCAGAGCTGGAAGGCGCAGCAGTAAGCGGCCAAAACGCTGCGGCTGATTCGGATACTGCAACCTTTCGTACTCTGTCAGGGCGACCTGGGCCTTCTCCTGCAGGGACTCTACATGGGCTGGGTCAGTTAGCCCGCATGCATCTGTAAGGCAGGAAAATACAGGATGATTAATATTTATTTATTCAGTGTTTTAAAACCTTTTCCACTGCTTGCTTTCTCTATGTCTCCTTCCTTTTTTTCCTTTGAGGAAAAACTTTGGCACTAAGCTTTTTCACAGTGCCTCGGTGCGTTTGCCCCGTGGCCCTAAAAAGGCATCTCTAAGAGTCACATTCAACTGACAGAAAGTCACCAGTTACCAAGGTTAACTCTCTGACCCTGTCATTTGGCAAGGAGGGGAAGAAGCCAGAGTACCCAGGCATGCCCAAGTATTCATGCAAACTCTACACAGAATCCCCTGCTGAGGATTTCAACCAGGGACCTTCTTCTGTACTACCATGCAGTTCCAGGGTTTGGCTACAAATATATAATATTTACTCAAATTCTAAACTCATGTTTCACTATGTGTACTTAATGGAAATATGGGTTTCAAGCTATGATTATGGCTGTATTATGGAGGCAACACATGGAGAGGCAAGTAATAAGCTAATGGTAGATCCTTAAGATCCTTAGTGATAACTACTGTAAACAAACACTGATATGGTATCTGTCTTCACACAAATGTTTTTAAATACTCACACAGATCTTCTAAACTCACCAGGTGAAAAGAGTGCAATGGCTTTGAGGCAGCTGTACTCCGCTGAGTCCACCTGCAGCCGATTCAGCTTGTCCACCTGGTCCTGGAAGACCCTTACCTGGTCCATAAAGGACACAACTCGCTCAGCGGACATGGGCGATGAGTGGAACCCAGCAGCTGCCAGCAGAGGAGCCATGTGTAGAGGCAAAGCTGACTGAGCTGCATTCAGGATGAACAGTTCGCTCCAGCTCAGCCTCAACAGCGCCACCTGTGGATTTCAAACTCTGATGAATCCCAAACAATCAACAGCTCACATTTGAACTTGTGTATTCTGCATAATTACATTTAACATGTACCCGCTTTCTTTTACAGAAATCAACAGGATGTACAATAGATCAGATAATACCAATTTCAACATACAGTTAATGTTTAAGCCTGATAATTAGAGTTTATCTTTATTTAAAACGTTGCATAGTATAAGCACGTTGAGACAATACTGTTCAGCTTTACTCACCTGCTCTGATACTGGGAGTTCTGGGAAGTATGGTATGTTTCTGGCCCACTCCACAGTGCTGAAGAGGAGACGAGCAGCCAGCTCACAGATGCTGTCGATGCCCATGACTGAAGCTCCACTTGCAGACCCCTGCATCTGAGCCTGACCGTACGGGGCCCCATAGCGGCTGTTGGGGTACGGCTCAGCTCGAAGGAGCTGGGAGATGAGTTCTGACACAGGCTGCCCATTAAAATAGTCTGCCCCGATGTGACCCGGTACTGGTCCTCCAATGCCCCCCGCCACAGAGTTTGGACTGATACCTGAGTGAGATGGAGGAATGCGACCCCGTTGGACTGCTAAAGGAAGAAGAGAGGAAAAAGACACAGATGAATGAAAACTGATGTAATGACTAAGGAAAATCTAAATGTTTCATGGACTCTAACACACTTAAAACAAATAGAAAGAGATTCAGTATACTTGTATTCAAGTGATGGTTGATATGGGGTGTGATACTGTCTCACACATTCATGACAGACATCATTACAACTTAAAACGTTAATAAAGCAATTAAAGATATTTTCCCTGCTCTCTGTTTTTACAACATCTCTCCTCCTCTTATTATTTTTGCACAGTTCCTGAGCTCCTAAAGTTTTGTGGTAAATGTACACGACAGCAAACTTCCAACAATTACTTTTAAGGGGCTTGTTTCCCTTTCAAGGTTTTGAGTTTTTTTTTAATTTTGCTATCATTTCACACCCTATTTGAATGATTGAGGCATCTCAAGGTTGTCTATTACTAATTGCAGCTAATTAAGATTCTGACACACCCTGCATAATCCTAAAGAACCTGATATTTGCTTTACTCTTGGGCCTTGTTTGTCTCCACATTTTGATTTTGAGCATTCAGTCAACTGATTCATAAGCTTCTTTGTAAGTTGTGGGAAATGGGTGTAACCACTATTAAAAACACTCTTGTGTGAAGTCTTTATGTTTTAATCATATTCAGCTTTCCTTTCAACAAAAACTTGCCATGGCTTATCAAAGTGAACACAACTATGTTCAGCAAATCACAGAGCCACAAACTAACATAATCATGAGTCAATGACAGAAGTCTACGTTAAGACCACTTTATTTGACTGTGGTCTTTTTAGTCTTAGATTATGACCTAATGCTATTATCCTAATTAGGTCTCTGTCTAAGGCTAATACACGGCTGCCCTTCCTCAACCTTACACCAGGGCTGCTGTGAATCATATTTAATACTCTCATTTACAGTCCAAAATAATGTTCTCAATCTAGAGGCCTCGCTATTGAAACCAACATAATGGAAAGGATTTAATTCATACCAAACACGGCAGAAACGCGGAAGTAAGCGGAACTCTCGCGGGAGGAAGGTCGAGAATTCGTGTCAAATCTCAACAGCTGCTTCGCTAGTGCAATTGTAAAGTTACCTTTAACTTTTGTAATGTAGCATACTTTAAATGCTTTTATTCTTGTTTAAACGGTTTGGTAAAGAAATCACAGATGACTATTCATGTGCCGAACGAGTATCCGTGATAGTTTAGATCTACAAATCGGTTAAATTAGTTGGACACAGTACCTCAGACATTTCCACTTCCTCCAAGAAACCGGGACAGAGCAACTCGGTGTGTTTAGTGTGCCCTCAGCTTGGACTTTCAGGTTCGTTAGAGCGATGAGAGTGATTACAGTGATTTTATTTATTTATTTTTGTGAGGGAATTAAGAGGAGGTCAATTGATTCAAAAAGTGAAAACTTTTATCAGATTTCTTTTGGCTTCTAAGTAACTACAGACTTTTGTCATCCTATACTATGACATTTTTTAACATACTAAACTATGATCTTTTATCACACTATAATATGAAATTTTTACCATGCAATATTATGATTTTTTTTAACATATTATTCTATGAAACCTTTTTATTTTACTATACTATAATATTTCGTTATTCTGTACGTTGACATTTTTATCATATTATACTGTGACATTTTTTTTTATCATACTATACTATGACATTTTGTACCATATAATACTATGACTTTTATTTTATTATACTGTACCCTGACATTTTTTAACATACAATACTATGACTTTTATTACACTATACTATGAAACTTTTACCAAACAATACTATGATTTTTTGTTTTTAAACTATGAAACCATTTTCTAAGTAACTACTTTGCTAACATGTTAACTTGAACTAGGCAACATAACTGATGTGGGTACATACATATTTTTTTGTCTACACTTATTCCATCTCCACCAGTTTTTTATTACTTTTTTTGACATAATTAAAGTGGTAAAGCTTTTTTTTTTTTTTTAATACATACCACTCTTAACTTTGCCCCATATCACACAGACCCTGATTTTTCCTGACTGATGCTCTTCAACCTGGGGCAAATTCTACAGCTGGTAAACTCCAAGACTGGGTCAAAGGTGAGAAAGACAATTCCAGGTAATGTGGAAACAGCTCCCTCTGCGTCACAGCCACAGCTAGCATGGTTCATTAATAACTAGGCCCAATATAACCCCCTGGCATACCGTCACCTCAGCGCACATTATGTATAGGACAGCTCATGGTATCCACTGACATAGACTGAAATACCAGCACAGTTAGGTTAGAGGTGACTAGAATACAATTACAGAAAGGGTTATAATAGTTAACGATGAGGTAATGAGGGAAGGAGGTAAATAATATGACATCAGGTAAAATGGGAATTCTCTCTTCTTACTACCAAAACAAAAAAAGTATTGTAAATATAACTTAGAGGATCTTTTGAGTGGCTTTAGACAGAGCAGAAAGAACCTGGTTCTTGCTTTTGCTGTTATGCAAATCAAACATGGTTGACTTTAGCTCCCCTTCATCCCTGAAGCGCAGCAGCTGCTGGGCGTCGAGCACTGGGGTGAAAACATGCTTTGGTTGACAGTATAAATATTGTGCTTTGGATCACGGGCAAATGTCAGTGACTGTTTCTGTCAGAGTAAGCATTTTCTCAGTGAATTATCCATTCTTGACATTTATGTAGTGTGTTTCCAGTGTGTTTCTTTGTATTTGTACTAGTGTAGGTTTGCTTTGCTTGGGGCTGTTTTTACATATGTTTGTTGTTACGAAAAGAAGTGAGGAGATGATCGTTTTAAACCTCAGCTCTGGAACATAGTCTGTGCACACTCAAGTGCAGTATTTTAAATACTAAATAAAAGTTCAGCTTAATCTTGATTTAGTAGGATCTGAATGTGTCCTCATCATTTTTGATGGTAGTGACAATATGTAGTCTGTTCTGTTAAAGGTACAGAGCAGAAAGGGGACCATATAGTGATATCTGGAGATTATGAAAGTTGCTTTTGTTTTTATCTGATATTCAAATACGATCTAGCTCTCTGCTCTCATCAAAGATGCCTCTATGATGCTCAAGTATGATTCCCTCATTCATTAAGTTTTTGCTGTCAAAAACATCTATCAAGTTCAACAACCTCAAGCACTATTAAGCCTTGAAACTTGAAAAATTAACGTCTTTCACCCGCTGTGTACGTTCAGTAGCTTTGTTACCTTCTTTGCGCATTCCAACGCGGAAACATTTCTTCAGACGACAGTATTGGCACTGGTTGCGGTGATGCTGATCGATTTGGCATTCTCGATTTGATCTGTAGAAAGAGAGAAAAGTAGAGTAGGGAAAAAAGGGAATGAAAAAGTAGAATTATCCAACTTGAAGAGCTTGTAGCTTTTGAAATTTACAGACATTTCCTAAAACAAAGATGAGAATCACTTTGGAAAGCTTTGACTGTTATGCAAGTTTCCAATGAGGAAGTGAAGTTTGCACTGACGTCTTTGTCCCCCCCTCGCTTACCCCTGTGATGAGTGAACTGTGCGAGCCGGCATGGCTGAAAGGCTATCAAGGCTGTGACCTTTGTAAATCATCGGCCCTACACGCCCTCTTGTTGTGGTTTACAGCAGGACAAGGTCTCCCAATGTTTGGCAGGGAGCCTTTTTTCAGCCCCTCACGTGAAAAAAAACTGAATAACAAAACATCTTTCTACTCAGCGCTGTCGCATTATTAGATGTGAGGAATAAGTATATTCAGGGACAGAGGGCAGTCTCAGCGAGGGAAGAAGGTTGAGTTGCAACATTGTGTTCCTGTGGTGAAGAATAATGGTTATGTTGACCTTCTGAGGCAATTCATCCTCACATGATTGACCTTCGGGGCTTTCATTTCTTTCTTTTTTTTTTGCTGGAGCTGTTTGTGAGATGTATCCAAGGTTAGAACATGTTATTCTGAAGATAGACACAGACTAATCTGCTCTCTCCTGATGAATGTGGATGATAACAGAATGGCTTTATTCACTGTGGGACATTGTGGATATTTCATACAGAGATTGAAACAGTTACATGTAGTTCAGTGTGTTTACTGTGTTGGTTTAAGCGCAGTATATGTGGACAGTCGCAGATTTTATTACAGAGATGAAATCCTCCCAAAGATTAGGCTAGAGGAGTCAGAGCTCCCCCTGCTGACTGGCTGCAGTGTAGGTCATAAAGCCCACCTCCTCCATGTTAACGGATGGGACTTTGGTCTCTTTAAAATGAAAATGCATGACAAATCAATGTTCCCAGACATAGTTCCTGTCTTTAATGTTAGCTTTGATCACACAGATTTATGCGCAAGTGTTAGATTTTCAAGAAGTTACGTTTTTATTTGTTGTTTAAGAGTATAAAAAGTTGAATGATGCACTGATTTACAGATCTGTTGACAAATGCAGCTTCTGCAGCACAGATTGGCAAACTAAAGGAGGGAACATAACAAAAAGCGACACAAGAGTAATTATATGCTTGAATATTCATAACCACAAGTGTCACACTAACACAAGAGGCTGTTTCAATTTGGACTGTATGACAGGGGGCTGTTTGTGACTTTATTGAGATGTTAAATGTGTTTAATTCAGTCAAAGGAGGTCAGTAGGAGGTCGACTCTGGCCCTCAAACTTGCAGCCTTTTCTGCACCCATCACAGGGAAAATTATGGCTCCACTTTGTTCAACGGAGGTGGTGTGGATACACGGTTCACCTTTATATACAGTTATAGAAAAAGAGCAAACTCAAGAAAACTGTAAACGGTTTTCTGTTATAGTTTCATCCAATATCTGAATTCAAACTATTTTTGGTGCCCACAGGAGACGTGAAAATAATGGAAAGCTACAGTTCTAACACTGCACTGTCTTTTCAGCAAATAAAAACATAAAGTTAGACTAGAATATATAAAAAGTCGTCCAGCAGGTCAAATAAAAAGATGCATCTCCATGTACATCTGTTTGAAGACTCTGTGCGGATTTGCGGCTTAAATCAGAAGCTCCTACCTGCAGGAATAGTTGAGGTTTCTCCTGATGCTCCTCTTGAAAAAACTCTTGCAGCCCTCGCAAGTGAACACGCCATAGTGCTTCCCGCTGGACTTGTCCCCGCACACCACACAGTCCACCACACAGGCCTTGTCCTCGTCCCCGACGTCCACATCGCTGCTTCCTGCCTGAGGTGAGCCCTCCTCTTCCTCCCTCCTCAGGTAAGCTTTCTCCCCCAGTCCATTAGTGTCCCCGTTGGGGTTGCCCCATCCCCCGCTCACCATGGCCATATTCTCTGAGACACGCAGCCCTGAGAGTGGATCATACACAGACCCGCCCTGTCCCCCAGCTTCAAACTACACTCAAAGTCTGATAAATTGTCTCTAGACAAGAAAACAGCCGCTCCAGGATCTTTGTGAAGGCGGGTCTTTGTCCGAGAAGAATCAAAAGCTGGATAAAAAGTTGTCCCGTGCTCTCTTGTGTTGACCTTTCTCCCCTTTGCCGTCTGGTTGTAATGACCTGGAGGTCCTTGGCAGTGTTGTTTTCTCTCTCTCTCTCGTCTTTAATCCCTCAGCTCTCTCTGTTCTTGTCTTTCACCCTCGTGTTCTCTCTGTCCTGACCTCCGATCAATGGCCCCCGAGTTCTGAGAAAAACTCCAGACACACATTGAGCGGTTCAGAGTTCAGGCAGAAGAAAAGGGTGCAGCCTTGCTCTTTTCTCAGGAAACTATAAATTACACTTTGACTCCTTCTCTCTCTTTCTCCCTCCCTCTCACTTTCTCTCTCCCCCCCTTGGAAGAAGCAGAAAAAAAAAGTAAGGGGGAAAACACCTCACCTATCCCTGAGCATAGTGACCAAACAGAATCCAAGCCAAAAGAAAGGGAAGCTCTGCCCCTCTGTCAGTGCTCAACTTTCTCCCAGAAGGACAAGCGAGTGGGAGGAAAATAAAACACAGCTCTCCTTCACGCAGGGTTAAACTGCCCTGCCCTCTCCTCCAACTTCTAAACTAGTCCAACCAGTTCCTGCCGTGCTGAGGTGTTATCTGCTGATCTGAGGCAGTTCTAGTCCAGACTCACTCTTGACTTGTTGTAGCTGTTATAGGCGCAGAGGTGATAGTGATGAAGAGGAAAAATACAGTTTGCCCGTAGAGAAAAACTCATTCATTTGGTTCCAGCAGAAAAAAGAAGAAACTTCAGAGGAGTTTGGGGAAAGTTGGTTTTGCTTCTGTCTTTGATTTCCTGACAGGAATCCCTGTTCTACTTCAGCTTTAACAATTCAGCCAAGGGATATTTTATGCTCTATTAACAGCAGGAAAAGCTCCTGTTTCCAAGATTGATATTGATATGAGAAGCCCCTGCCCCTCTGTTCCTGTGGTCCTCGGCTCTTCAAAAAGTCCTCCTCCTCTGCGTCTGTGGAAAAATGATGTTTCCTTGACTCCCTTGTGTCAAGAGGCTCAAATGTCACAGGCAAAAACAACAACCCAAAACAAAACCAGACTTGCAAAATGACCTTATTTGCAGTTTGGCTTCCTCTCTCAGCAGTGTTGTCTCTCCCTCTTCCTCCCTTGTTTTTTCAGTGCTTGTCCATCCAGCAGTAACAACCAGAGGCCAGAACCTCTTTTGCATTCCCTGTCAGTAAGTCAGGGTGTACTGTTGCACTCTTTACTACTCTCTCTGCCCGTCCACTTTTTTTTTTTTCTTCTCTTCTCTGTCTTTCTTTCTGTCGGCCCCGTCCGGAATAAATTAGGCAAACAAGCGCAGGAAAAACACAGTCACAGAGCTTTTTTAGTGAAGCCAGGCGCTGCAGCGGAGAGCAGTCCAGAGATATCCTCCTCTCCTGCTCCTCTTCTGCTCCTCTCAGTCCCCTCTCTGTGTCTCTGCTTCGCTCCCTCCTTTAGGGAGAGTGAGCGTGTGTCTGTGTGTGTGCTCAGGGATTTGACACTGCTATTCAAGCCCTGCCGTTGCCATGGCGCTGGATGCCTTATAAGGCCAACGGAGTCAAAGAGCACAGAGTGGGCTGCAGCCACACACACACACACACACACACACACACACAGATAGAAAGAATGCCTGGCTGCCTGACTGGCTGCCTGTTTCCCCCCTGACCCCGGGCCAGCCTGGGAGCAAAAGAGGAGTTAACCCCGACACTGCCGTAAGACAAAGAGAAGGGTCTCGGGTCGACACACAGCGAGCACATGGCACTCACACTCATGTTCTCCACTCCACTCTAATCCCAAAGAATTCCTTCGACTTTGTTGACCCAACAATAACAGGGAGGGCCTGTTGTTGTTGAGCAACTTGTCAAAAGGTTATTCGATACACCACCGGCTCCTTTTCACACCTGCTGCACACACTCACAGGTCTGTGTGAGGAGGAGGAGGCCACAGATCCTGGTGACCTTCTGAATCTTGGATGGTAACGGCTTTTGCCCTTTTTAACGGGTGATTAGGACTCTATGCACATAAAGTTTGACCTGCGAGAGAAAGGCTTGTAAGAGAAATGTAGAAATCAGAGCTTATCGTCTATTTCTCTCCACGAGCCAAGTGTTGCTCCTGAGGGATTCTGTATGTCACAGTTCAGCCCTTGTTTATTAGTGTGACCTTATGCAGTGAGGTGTAAAGTAAGGTTGTGGGAGTCAGAGTGGGTTGATATGTGGCAGTCCTGACTTTGAGCTGGAAGCCAGAAATCCCTACCCGCCGAGAGCTGACCGTTAAAAATGTTTGAAATAGTAACCGTGTTGACCTCACCTTTGAAGTGTTATTTGCAGAGGTATCCAAAATGAATTAATAACTGCCCCTGAACTAATCTATCACTTACCTTAACCACGCTGTATTTGCAATTCACAACATCGGCAGTATCAAAAGTCTCCTAACATTTTGACCTTTTTATTGCCGCACAGGTAACTACACATTTGTCTTTAATGCACACATTCATACACTGATCACAGAAGTCTCTCTGCCTATTGGGGTCTAATCAAAGTCAAGTACAGACAGCCTTGACTTTGTGTTACGCAGCTAAAGGTATTTAAAGTTTAGTATCTTTTCAAATCACACATCAAACTCGTAGACTGGAGGAGCTTTTACCCCGAACTGTCAACTTTTTCCCTTGAAAGGACATCACGCTACACCTCTGAAGCCACAGCTCCCCTACAGTGTCTGGCATCATTGCTGAGATATTCCCAGGGTTTTGCTTTCAGCCTTAGGAAACTCCCCCTGTGCCACAGAAATATTACATAACCATTTTCCAACCCTGTCTCCAAGATGTTCCAGTACGTGTTTGTTTCTTCAAAATCCCACTAATTAAATACTTTGAAACTTTCTCCACCGACACCTTTGCGGCTTTTTGAGGTCTTGCTTTTGACCAGCTGTGTAGGGATAGAAAAAGGAGCGATCTCCTCTACCTGGCTGTCTGGTTTACGTTTTTCACGCAGCTACTTCCTTCATTTTTCATGAGAGCAACACTGAACATACTGTACATCAGGAAAGAATAATGTGCCCTTAAGTGCCCCGATAAATCATACATGACAGCTTTGTATTGAACTTGTTTAACAGTGTGGTATCTCTAAACTGAACACACTTTTGATTCCTGACTGAGAACATAAGATTCAAAGAGTGAAGAGAAAAGTGTTCAGGGTGGATGATGGGCACGACAAGACATCTAGACAAATCATTGCTGCTTACACAATCTGTAGCTGTAAATGAGTAAGGGATAATAAAAAACACCTACTAAAATGCCTCAAGGCAACATCACAACATCAAAGTAACAGTCAGATGTTTTGTATGACAGTAAGCAGAAACAAACTCTCAGCATTTGCTTATAATCTAACACTATTGTTCATTTAAAACTGATGCTGTAACACATGTAGTTCAAGTTTGTTTAAGATTTATTCGAGGAAACAGTCAACGTGGCTTTTGCTTCAAACTGTTTCAGACTCTTTTTTTAAATATCTGGAAGCACAAACCTCACCGAGTCAATCGATTGACCCGTGTCAAAACAAAAGGCAACTCTCCTGTTCAAGATCCTTTCATCCCGTCCTCACACTCACATCACATGGTGCTCCCTCTCTTGCCTACAGCAACAGGTAGTTAAACCAGCCAACAATAAGCTAGTGTCAAGTTAGTCAAAGTTAGTTTCAAGATATTTGTGTTTTTTTAACATTTGTTTTGGTCACTGTTTTATTGAGTTGAACCGACATACTTATATCTAAAAGTCTATCACTCAGCCACCTGAGAGCCCTCCAACAACTTCAATTCACAGGACATGTTGACCTAAAAAAGGATGGATGAAATGCATCCTTCATGACCTAGGAGGCATTTAACCCTCACATACTGTTCGGGTCAAATTTGACCCGTTTTGACGTTTAACAGCAGTAAAAATACCCTAAACATCATTTTTTAAGCCTGAAACTTGATGACTTTTCCTGAAGTTGCCCAAAATACATGAAATTAATTTTAAAATATTCATGTGTATTTTTGTTTATGTGCTACAAATTTTTCCCCCCTAAGGCTGTTAGGGGTCAAATTTGACCCGTATCTATATTTAGATGGATTTTAGATCTAGCAGTGTGGGACAAGTGACAAACAGTAACAACCGTGTTCAATATAAGGTTTGTTGTTCAAAAAGATATATTCAAATCATTATGAAACTATCATTACCTTGACAGAAACACACACACACACACACACACACACACACACACACACACGCACACAGACATACAGTCACACAGACACACCTAGACAGAGGTCAAAATGACCTAACTAGTCAAGAGAACTTTCTGTGACAGAAAGCTGCTCTTTGAACTCTTTGAAGGGGCAATTTTGACCCGGAACATACTGTGAGGGTACAGGATTTGAACAGTATGTGAGGGTTAAGGAAACCTTCAGAGTGGGACGGCCTTCGACGAACAGCTGTGACACCATTCCAGCCTCTGAATTACACATTTACAGCCAATTCCTGATTTGGTTGCTATGAGTGTATATTTTAGGAGACCAAACGCAATTATATTCATTTTTGTTGTTAAATCCAGCACCATTAAAACACCTGATATTGGATATTTTATGATGGGTAATATTGTATGAGTGGACCTATATCTAAATGTAACACTGGTGGTTTCCCTTTCAAGTTAGACCACAAGTTACCCGTGGTCCTAACAAAAGCGTTGTTGTATTTCCTGTTTTCAAAACTAACTGTACATGTTTGCGGAGTAACTCTTCTATCGTCTTGGCAATTTTTAAAGCTCCTGAGGAATTTCTGGCCTGCTTTGTCAATCGCACCATCAGCATTGTCATGTGAAGGTCTCCACGAAAAGAAGGGAGGACAAAATAAACAATCAGAGCCTGCAACCAAGGTTTCCAATAACAGCCTCCAAACACAGGAAAAAACCCACAGAGGAGGTATTCACTGTGCCATGCCTGCTTAAAAGAAGCTCTGTTTACTCAAAAAGTGTTTGCTCATCACATGGTTTTACAGGAATTCCCCGTGAATGGCAAAATTTTTCTCCCCTGTGATCTTCAAAAGAACGTTTTGCCTCACAGAAGAAGTATGAATGTCAAAGGAGCAGAGAGGTTTTCTGTGATAAAGGCAGACAGCAGGAAGGGGAAGGATCCCTCATACGCTTTCTTGTCAGAGAGGTTAAGTCAGGCCTTTAAAATGTGAGCATAAGGTAACTTTAACCCACATCCGTCACAGCGAGACTCATTGTGCATGGATAGGCCTTTTGTTTGCATAAGAGGTTATCAGGGGCCAAGCTAAGCTGCTGTACGTTGAAGCAGTGCTTCCCTCTAAACCTCTGTGTGGATAGCAGAGGTCACATCATGTGGGGTAATACTTGAAATGTACTGATAAAAGAGCTTTCTGAGAAAAGGTTGAGTTTCTGATAATTCACAAAGTGTTCACAAACTTAACACTGGGTTAACAAGACATATTCACACACTTAGATTTATCTAGCCTTGTAAGACCCTCGGTTGAAGATGTACCGACCAAGTCTCAGTCCTTTATTTTAGATGGGGACACAGGAGCGCTGCTTCAACCTGTTCATAAAAAAAACAAGATTGCAGCTTCCAGCACTGAAAGGTCCACTGAATTTACCATGGCAGCTGTTAAGAAACATGAACAAACAACTATTGGTGATACAGGTGTGTTTCTTTCTTCTGCGTGCTGCTGTCTGTTTACATTTCTGTTGCTATTTGCTCTGTTACATGTTGCGTTAATCTGATTTACTGTAGGTCTGTACTGTCACTTCAAATCGTTTAAGAATTACCTAACCCTAAGGTACCAACGCTCCCTTTAAATATGAGGGAGAGGTAGTGATGCTACATTTTGGTCAAGTTTTACTTCTTGCCATATAAGTGCTCTAAATTTTGGGGCTTTTGTGCTTTTTTCAGAGAGGACAGGACTTGTGGTTAGAGCAGGAAAGAGGGAGAGAGATTTAGGAGTGATTTGCTGAAAGGGCGCTGCAGGTTGGACTGAAACCTTGGCCGTCTGCTTGAGGGCTGAGGCCTCTGTGCATAGTGCTCTGGACTTAACCACCAGGCCAAATTAGCGCCTCCATATTCTGTATTTTATCAGGGGGAAAAAAGCAATCAAGACTCCTCAGCTTCTGAAACTTAAACTAAAGAAGGAATTCATGAGGCAGAGTATTGCAATCATGCTTTGATGGACGACAGCATCTTCTGGTGGTATCTTCAGTTCAGATGGAGCAGGTTGATCCATTGACCTTTCTGACTCGACTTGTTTGGTCGCCTTGATTCCCCGCAGCTTTGGTATGTGAGGTTAAAACCAGACCGTCCATGTTAGCTGACACTCTGGTGATGTGTGAAAAAAGTCTATCCAGCAGAAAAATGCAAATGTGTTGTTTTGAATATTGGAGAATCCTTTGCAGTGGGTGTTGAATGCAACCACGGCAGGTTGTGCATTTATCCCTTTTTGCATATACCTTGTATATCTTTGTGTGAGTGTGTACTGGTGTGTGTATGTGTTGCTCTTTGAACTGCAGGTCAGGAATGCAGCTGCTCTCAGTGTGAAGTCGACTGTGTTGGAGTCTGTGCATTCTCAACACAGTCAGGAGTCTAAACCATCAGAGTGAAGCAGACGAACCTTTAACATGCTCACCTGAATGCTGCACACAACAAACACAAACAGGGTCATCGCCAAAGGTGGGAACACCTCCAGTGTATCTAAACATTCCCCTCAAATCCCCTTTACTTTCTTTGTAGTTGAAAAAAGTCTATGAATAATAACACCACGATCAAGCGCAATATTCTTACCTGAGATGTTGGCTTTCTTGAAAATAGTTGACTAAAAATTTGTTTGTCCAATAAGCACTTTTGTTTTTTCTTTATATAGTTTATCAAAAAGTGTTTTCAGGAAGTTCAATGTCAATCACAAAAGCTTTAAACGGAGATCATCCTGATAGCTCTTGCGTAAAAGTAGGAAAACAAAAAGGAGTAAAAGGTTAAGACCAAAGCTTCTGTACACACAGAAACCTCTCAGGACAAAGATTTAGAAATGATCACAGACAGATACCGTGGATTCTTTCAGGTTTAACCAGTTGCAGCCTGTTAGACGTTAAAACTGTTTGAAAAATGGCAGAAAAACACAACCAGTTTAACTGAATCCCCTGGCCATTCATTTTTGTACATGAACTCTGCGTGACCTGAGTTTGAGACAAATAAGACACTTCTCCTCAAATATAATCTTGGCCGTGTGTTAACTGTGTTAGTTAAAGTGTAGAGGAATGTGAACACCGGGGTTAAACTTTAACTCTGAGGAGTAACTCTAGGTGAACAGGAGAGAGCACATGACTCTCTGCTCCTTCCTCAT